GGAGAGGGCGGTAGGAAGTTACTCACCAATATATTTTTTAAAAGTGAATGGTTCTCGCTTTTCGATGATGGACAGGTTCTCACCCAACCACAGGTCCTTGACAGTTCGGATCGAGTTTACCACGAGGAACCGCGTCTGGCCAAACTTGGCCTGATATAGATCATATCCGTACTTCTGACTCCATTCCGTCCATACAGTCGCGTCGGCTTTGCCCGAGCTGGCTCCGAAATAATGTAGGTGACCAATAAAGGGAAGCGCACCGGGAATCTCTGGGATGCCTTCAATCCGAGGGATCGTGGTCCATATCGAATACTGCAAATGGTTAGAATCATTGGGACAACGCCAAGGGTTAGATCTTTGCTCGGTTTACCCTGTAAAGTGCATATAGCACGATCAAAACGGCCACAGTCAGGAATGGCATCGTATTGAGGCGGGCAGTAAGTCAGGTGCAGGCGACAACGATATCGAACAACACACACACACACACACACGGCTCATATCATCAAACCCGACGTCCAGTCTTGATAAGAGCCCCTTTGTATCTTCTCGGACTCGACCTCTCCTGCCCACCACATGGTGCTTTTCTGGCGAGGTGTCCAGGTCTTTGATCAGCAATCATCTTCCGGGCCGTATCAATGATCCGGCCCACGAGTTTGTCCACGGTGTATCAAGGGAAATGTGAAATCCGATATCAAAGCATCGCCATGAGGCTACGACCCACTCGGCCTCAAACTCAATGGAGATTCGGATCTCATCTTCCTGGTTCGTCCCTTTCCTCTTCCCGCAATGGATTCAACGTGCCTTTTTGTGGATCCCATCCTTATCTGCACTTTTCTGGCTTGTGAGGTCTTGCCGTTGTTGTTATGCGAAATGTTCTCAACTACATCTTTGTCCCCGCCCCCTCCACGAGATCCAAGGTCCTCGACATGCTTCAGTATCATCTTCTCTGTGGACTGACCTCGGGCGCATCACGTCTAGTTCACCGCGACCATGGGCTTCTTCACTGATTCGCAGTTCGACGATACCGTTCCGGGGACGTTGGTGCTGGTGGACATCGACCACCGCCTCGACGTGAGACATGCTAAAGGCAACAAGTCTGATGTGGTCTTGCACCCTGCGCCGACCGACGACCCTGACGACCCTCTCAACTGGTCGAGATGGAGGAAACTGGCTCAAGTCATCTGTGTCAACATGTACACCTTTATGATTTCATACGCGTCGGGTGTTCACTACTCCATCATCGGTCCCATCAGCAAAAGCAGGGGCATCCCCGTGTCTTGTAAGATCTGCCCTGCGATGATCCATAACCCAAGGGCGAGACTAACAGGCCACCCTTTCCCCAGCAATCGTGTCGGCGCAGGGCTACCTCTTCCTCCTCATGGGCTGGGGAAATCTGATCTGGTTAGTATTCCTTGACTCCACAGAGGTGCTTGTGGAAACTAATCGGACAACTCTAGGATCCCCATGGCACAGAAGTATGGCAAGCGACCCATGTACCTCCTCAGTCTCATTACCACGCTGGTAAGTGTCTCTCCACGCCTACTTTAGTCGTGTCAGGGAAACTCACAGCTCCGATAGGGTATTATGCTCTGGCTCCCACACATCAGTTCTGGGCCGGAATGGATCGCCAGCAAAATCCTCCAAGGCTTCGTGGGAGCTCCAGTAGAAACCCTGATTGAGATTTCGATTGCCGACGTCTTCTTTGTGCACGAGCGGGCAAAACACATGGGCATTTACGCTTCCATGGTCTTTATCGGATCCAAAGTCGCGTCCTTCTTGGCTGGCTTCATCTTTGACGGACAGGGATGGGAATGGGTCCCGGTAAGTTACTTGGATGCACGACAAAGTTGAAACGATGGGATCGAGTCGACTAATGAACCGTCTTGCTGTCCAGTATTGGTGTGTCATCTTCATGGGACTTTCGATTGTGTTCTGTTTCTTTTTCCTAGAAGAGTCCAACTACGTCCGTCCTGCGCCGCAGGAGAGTGTGGCGCCGACAATCAGCACGGGGCTGGCTGAGGATCCAGAGGCCGCGAGCAAAGAAGTGGGTGTCCAGATCTCGACCACAGCGACGAGTACTTCCTCGGGCGAATCTCGAGCGCCCAAGCCCTTCTGGAGTCGACTCAAGCTGTTCCGCAAGCCCGAGAAGGTCTCGTGGCAGTTGATGGTCCTTCGCCCCCTGAAGCTGTTCCGTTTCCCCATCGTCTGCTGGTCCGGCTTCACGTATGGCTCCTTTTTGTGTCTATATACCTTCTTCCAGGCCACTGTTTCGCTGGTGTTCAGCGGAGAACCATACAACTTTTCAGCGTAAGTCCTGCTTCCTCCAATCCATCTCTGTTCATTTCGCGCCATGGAAAACCGCGCCTGCAACAAAGGAATCGAGCAACAGCTGACGGGAACATGATCTCAGAGGTTCGATCGGGATCACATACCTGGCACCGCTCGTGGCTGGTCTCGTCGCCATGTTGTACTGCGGACCCTTCGAGTCTTGGGCCGTGCTACGCATCGTGCGCCGTCGATCCGGCATCTGGCTGGCTGAGGATCGGTTATGGCTACTGCTCATCTGCGTCGTCACCAGTCCCGGCTGCTGTCTGCTCTGGGGCCTGGGCGCCGCGTACGAGGTGCACTGGTTCGGACTGGTCTTTGCCACCTTCCTCCTCGGCTTCAGCATCTCCGTCGGCGCAAGCCTCGCCATCACGTACTGCATCGACTCCTACAAGGAGATTGGCTCCGAGGCCATCGTCACCGTCATGCTGATCCGCAACACGACAAACTTTGCCTTCAGCTACGGCACGAGCCCCTGGCTCAGCGACATGGGGTACCGCAACGCGTACATCCTGGCCGCCGTCCTGTTCTCCCTGCAGGCTCTCACGACTCTGCCGATGATCAAGTTCGGACCCCGTCTCCGCAAGGCAAGTCAGGACAAGTATCAGTATTACATTGAGCAGGATAAGGACCACAGGGCTCTTCACTGAGCAGGAACGGGAGCAGACGGTTGGGGGGGCGGACGAACTTTGTAGAGTCCGTCGCAACCCTCTCGAGGCAGGGTGATGGAGACGGGGCAGGTGGATACTAAGGGGGCGTCATGCAATGCAGCTTTGGTTTTTTTTCTTTCCTTTTTTGCGGAATACGAGTAAGACGTTTGCCCTTGACACGTTCTTTACATATATTGCAAGAGCCCCTCCCGACTTGTGGAGTGTTGTTGGTCCGTCCCACAATGAAATCCTCCTCCACTGTAAACAATCAAGAAAGGGGACATTACATGATCTTGTATGGTGTTCGTGCCACCAGTGCTATTGTTCCAGGTGTTTTGCAATCCTAGGGTCAGACAGACAGACAGAACGACAGACAGACTGAGCCAGCTATATAGGTGTGTATGTATGTATGTATGTATGTATGTATGCCGCAATGACGAGTGACGAGAATCAAATCTACCCACCCACGAGGTACACCTTCAATCAATCCTTGGGGGGAAATCAGTCAACGAACAAACGACCGAGTCCACTTTCATTGCTTTTGTCCGACTGACTGACTCCCCAGACTCCAGCACAGCATCCAGCACACAGCATCCACGAGTTTCCTCCGCTTGGCAGCTTGATTTACCAAGGACAGAATACGAATTGGTTACTCAACCTACAGTATCTAGCTGGTTGGGAGGGACAAAGGTTGGGGCATTTTTCAAATCAATCAAGCTCAAATCTCAAAGCCCAAAGCTCAAGGTATCTCTATCTCGATCAGAGAGCGAGAACTCGCCATGGTTCCCGTGGCATACACATGTCCAGGGCGGGCAAGTCGGGCCGTCATGTATCAACCATCCTCGCACCTCGGAAAACGTGTAAATCCGCGTTGTGTGTCTACCATCATGCATATTCACCAGTGGGATCCGGTATCTGGTAGATAAGGGAATAAGGGGATAAGGTTGATAGGGGTCGAAGCAAAAGTGGGTGGGGTCTAACGAATAGATCGTGGCGCGGTATGGTATCGCAATCGGATAATCAACTTCCTCTTTATGTGATTCGTTCATTTTTCTTGATGAGCATCAAGTGTTGTAAAAAGTTGCTTGAAAATTGGAGGAATGTCAAAGGGTCAAAGCCTCTCTGTTACCAACGAAAGCATGCCTCGTTGTCGTCGGCACGAAAGCAAAGAGCAAAGAGCAAAGATGGTGGCCGCAGCGTGGGAAACCGAGGCGCAAAAGTGCAGAGAGATCCTCACAAAATCTATCCCTGCCGGGTACGCTCTCGCCGACGATCGACTACCCTCGCCGGAGGAGAGGTCGAATGTGACCACGTTCATCGCGGACTGTGGCGCTCTCTCTCCCAAAGAGCTCGCCATCACGGAGAATGGAGCGGGCGAACTGACGGCGGCGATGGCGACGGGCAAGTACACCGCCGAAGAGGTGACAGTCGCTTTTCTCAAACGGGCAGTAATTGGTCATCAGCTGGTAAGGAAGGGCGATGAAGCCGCCCGCCCTTGTGCGTCGAACGCGAGAGAGAGAAAGAGAAAAAGGCTAACCTGAGGGCCGCTCTCGTCCATCGACAAACAGGTCAACTTCGCAACCGAGTTTCTAGCGACTGAAGCCATCGAGAGAGCCAGGGAACTCGACAAATATTTTCGGGACACAGGCAAGCTCGTGGGTCCGTTGCACGGTGTGCCCATCTCTGTCAAGGTGCGTTGGGGGAGTCGTCAAGCTGGCCCTTTTTCTCCTCCTGTCCTAAACTAACGTACCGTACCCTCTCCCATGTAAAGGAACACATTGGGCTCGAAGGTCGTATTTGTCACAGTTCATATACGGCGTGGGTGAAGAATGTCGTCGCCGAAGATGCGCTGATCGTCGCTCTGATGAAGAAGGCCGGTGCCGTCATCCTCTTCCGAACAAACCAGCCCCAGACATTAATGGTACAAACCTCCTTCACCCCCTCAGCTCTATCGTGATGACAAGGGAGAGGCGTTGCTGAGAGGTGTGAGACTATTGTTAGCACGGAGACACCAACAACAATATCTATGGTAAGACAGTCAATCCATCCAACCGCCTCATGAGCAGTGGTGGATCATCCGGAGGCGAGGGAGCCGCCATCAAGCTGCGATGCGCTGCCATTGGGACGGGCACCGACATCGCCGGTTCAATCAGGATCCCATCGGCACTCTGTGGCGTCTATGGCTTTCGTCCCACGTCTTGTCGATTGCCTTACAAGGTCAGTGGCAGTAGTGGTATTTGCATCCCGCATCTAAGGAATGTGTGCTCACGCTGGGAATCAACCACAGGGCATCATGCTTGCTGGGGGCGGTCAGGAGTCTGTTCGCTGTGTGGTCGGCCCATTGGCCAACAATATCGATGATTTGGAACTGATGATGAGGACGGTCCTGGATCAAAGTCCGTGGGAGGTCGAGACAAGCCTCGTGCCGCTGCCGTGGAGCCCTGTAAAGGCATTTACACCACAGACCCTCACTGTCGGGGTCATGGTTGACGATGGGTATGGTGACGAACGCACCACTAGATCTTGGGCGAAAATTCAGTCGTGCTCTGCTGACCGAAAATAGGATTGTGAGACCCAGCCCTCCGTTGCGGCGGGCAATGGAAATGGCTCAAGCAAAGCTCAAGGCTGCTGGAGTCAAACTGGTGCCGTGGATCGGGCACAGACACGACGAGTTGCGGCCGCTGCTGGTGAGTTTTGCGGAACGCTGTTTCGATGGGATGTTGCACTTGGAGTCGCTGACTGACTTGCATCTAGTACGAGCTATGTTTTTCCGATAATGCGGCCGTACAGAAAGGTCTTCTGGCAGAAACACAAGAGCCCTGGTTGAAGCTGACCAAACGGGCCATGGGACTAGGACGCGAGATGGATATCCACGAGATTTGGCGGCTACACGAGCTGCGTAACACCATCCGAGAGGAATATCATGCAAAGATGAAGCAGCTGGGTATTGATGTCATTCTCTCGCCTGCCGTCAACCAGGTCGCCGTCTTGACCGAGGACTTCACCTACGGCTTCTACACGGGGGTGTACAACATTCTCGATTTTCCCGCCGCAGTCTTTCCAACCAAATTGGTGTCAGATGCAAACTTGGACGTCGAGGATGCTAACGCACAACCCCGAAATGACTTTGAGGATCGTGAACTCGCGAAATGTATGTCTCTTGAAGGGGTCGTCGAGGGCGAGGATCTGGTTAAGTCGTCAGCTAACGTCAGTTTTTAGATGATGCCGAATTATTCGCTGGAATGCCAATTGCTCTGGAAGTCGCTGGCAAACACCACCGAGACGAGGAAACGCTGGCTGCGATGCGTCTAATTGAACAGATCGTTTTAGCCTAGTTTACACTGATTGAACTGGATGCCCGAAGGAAAGTAGCGGACAATAGACACAAGCGGGTCGGAGGAGGGAGGATGGGACTGACAAGGAGGCAGACGCGGGGGTTTACCTAGCTTGCCTGCCTGGCACATGGCTGGGAACACACCCCCGTCTTGTTCTTTGGTGATGGCCTACCAAGGCCTACCTAGGTAGGAAAGTAGGTGTCTAGCGGGCTTCCCCTCACAGGGGCTGAGGGGTTGAGGACGCCCGGGTAGGGTACCCGTGCCCTGTTATTACATAGGAGATTGGGGCGCCGAGGAACGCCCCTCCCTAAAAGAGTGCCTAGATTTCTCGGTTATCGTCTTGAACAATCAATAACCACACAACCCGAACCGACAGGCACTTCATTGGCCGGGCGCAGTCTTGCATCTGTGCTCCCTCCCGATAAGAAGAGATAGAACCCTTCAGCCGCATCTACGAATGGCGCGTCGACTTTATAGATATATAGTATTGGCTACTGGCCTGCTTGACTTTCCTAGCATCTATGCACTTGATATCTCCTGATGCCGTCCTTTATCTTCTAGCAATGCGTCCACGGTCGTCTATTCACGAAACTACCGTACAAGCAGAAGTCACCCACTAAGGGCAACGAGAATGCCGGACCATTCAAGCCAACCTGCATCCGCTCGGTCACGGAAGAAGGCGAGTGCAGCTTGTGTCAATTGTCGCAGACACCGCGTGCGGGTAAGTAGTTCTCTCCCTGCTTCTATTTCATCTCGTCGGCGTCCTCTGCGACAATCGTTGGACTGCGCTGATCCTTCAACCATGTTCAGTGCATCACGACCCCGAATCAGAACCAGTGCGACCGGTGTTCAAGACACGGCGTCGACTGTATCTTCAAAGACGACGACGAGCGCAAACGGTGAGCATCCAACGTCCAGCCTTTACAACCCACCTCCTAACGTGGACAAGGCCACACTCCAAGGCCAGTTTGAATGACCTTCTCGCCCGAGTCCAATTTCTCGAGGGATTGCTTCGACAACAATCGCACTCGACGAATCAGCTCAATTCGCTGCAGGAATTCACATTGGATTCAGTCGTGACGGCTCCTGCTGATGATGTGCAAAGGCGGCCCGAAGACGAAGACTCACTCCCACAGCTCGGTCAGCCGAACGAGGCACAGCTACCGGATGCATCCCCCAGGCTTCCAGGCATGCCGGCAGTGAACCAGTCCCGTAAGAGGTCACATTCTCGGTTGGACACTTGCTCGATCCAGTCTCGTACAGATTCGTCTCCCAGCGCATCCGTCAGTCCAGGGACTCATGGACAAGCCATCCTTGACCAATTGACCGACACGGTGTCCAATCTTCTCAGCGTCAAGGTCGTACAAGAGATCAACTTGACCCTCGAGCATCACTCACGCTATGACGCGCATCTACCCTTTACAAAATCCTTCGAGCGCAATACTCGCGCCTTTGCACTCCTCCGGTCCATATCACTCGAATTACAGGACCACCTCACAAGCCTGTACTTCAAATATAGCAACCAACGAAATCCTCTCGTGAACGAGGAAGCCTTCATGTCCGACAAGGCCCTGGGTCGCACCGACTTCTATAGCCCTCTGCTCCATCTCTGCATTGTTGCTCGCGGCTTGTACTACGCCGACCTGGATGACCATAGGATCGACACGTTCCTAAGGAAGGACCAGGATAATGTCTTGCACCGAGAAGTGTGCGGACTGATGACTTTCGACCTCTGTGATTCAGGCTCCTTGACATTCTGTCAGGCGCTGGGCGTTGCGTCTGACCTTGAATGTGGCGCGGGGCGATCAAGGAGTGCTTGGATGACTATCGGTACGTTCAATCATGTTGTGCACGACCTACCTATAGAACTGACGAATGGTTTAGGCGCGGCCATCAGGATGGCCTTCGATCTGAACATCCACGTGGATCGGAATCAAACGGACAATTCTATACTGGCACAACAGGCACGTAAGGAGCTCTTCTGGGGCTTGGTCTCGCGTGATCGGTCAGTCACCTGCACCCAGTCCCCCGTTTCCCACCTCGTGGACTACTCACACAGCGGTAGATACTACACTTTATCTTTGGGACGCCACAGAATGATCAGAAACTCTGACTTTGCCGATGTTCTCCAGTGTCCGCCGCACTGGGACACGTATCAGGTGGGAGTCTTCACCGCCATAGCAGACCTGATGTGCTTGACGGCAGACATCGTCGAAGTGCTGGTGTGTGCCCAAGACAAGCAGGACTTTTCAGACCTCCACTTGAACCTGGCCGTATGCAGCAAGGCGCTCAAAAAGTGGCATGCCCGGCTGCCGGAACGACTCCAGTGGAATGCGGTCAACGTCCGGGAGGCCGACCCCAGATTCTTCCTTCTCCAGTGAGTCGCCATGGCAAGGCAATGGTCCAAAAGCTTAGAGAACTGACCACCTCGTAGTTTACAGTTACATGCCACCTACATTATACTCCACCGGCCGTTTTCTATGATGCAGGTCTTCGGGCCCGGCGTCGGCGGCACGAACGAGGGCACCGACTCCTATTTCTGGTCCCCAGTCCGCAGCCGAGCGCATATGCTATGCATCGAACACTCGATAGAAATATCCAACATCCTCAAGCTCTACGAGCAACAGCGCGCACCTCGTGTTATGTGTTTGAGCGTAGTGCACCATCTTGGAATTGCGGCTACGGCTCTGATTTCCGAACTGGTCTTGGAGCATCCCGCCCAGACTCCCCTACTTCCCCATCTCCTCTATATTCGGGGAGTCTTACGAGGTATGGTGCCGACGTATAAAGGGGTGAAAAAGACACTGCACATTATTGAGAAGGCCTGTACAGCTTCTGGCTGGACTTCGGACGGTCCTTGCACATACAGTGGTCTCGAAGCAGGCGGGGTCCGCCCAGCGACCTCGATGCCGACCTCGAAACTCAGAACATCTCAAGGGCTCTCCCTTTCATCACAAGATATGTTCCCCAGGGGGTCGCCGGCTCAGCCTCCACCAGCGGCCGCGTTTCTTTCCAAGCGAGCAGATCTGCCACTGTCCTATGAGAAAGCCCTACAGCCGGAAGTCGCTGGCGATAACAATTCATTTGACTGCCACGAGTTTTCGATTGGGAATCTGGAAGACATGTTTGGGTGGCCGGTGTGGGGCGACGAAGATGGACAAGCAGCTTAGTGGCAGAGAAGAGACGGGCTGTAGAAGAAACTTGAGGAAAATAACGACCGGATGACAAGATAGGCTGCCAACAACGAGATAGGTGTTCCAGTCCGACCATTGGAAGTTGTGGACAGACTGACCGATCAGGATTTCCATTTTCCGATCAAGGACCCTTTCCCGGATCATGAAATCCGATGCCATGCTTCGGCTCCAACGCGTGTGCGGGGAACTGGGGAACCTCGAAGAGGTTTTCCGAAATACTTTGATGGCACTTTGAGGGGGCATTCACTTGGTGGGCGGGTAACTGAATACCTAGGTAGCAATGAATTATAAATCCAAATCTAGTCGGTGATGCATCGAGAGAGAGTCTTCCTCCCACTCTCGCAGGCTAGCTAGCTAGACCTTTGCCACACTCAGAGACCCCCTAACACGTCTTCGACGACGCACGTTTCATACCCGCCCGATTTCTTTGCCAGGATGGTCGTCAGATATTATATCTGCCTCAAGAAGAGGGAAGACGTCACGCTCGAATATTTCTATCACTACTACGAGCATGTCCACGGCAAGATGTTTTTGGAGGAGGTGCCCGAGGCCAAGGAGAACCTCATCAAATACGAACAGGTATGTGTTTCCCCTTCCCAACCCAGCCCCAAGGAACAGAAGCCATGTGAGGAAGCGCTAAATTCTGTCTCAAAACAAACAGCATCACCTGAAAGAGTCCCGAAAAGCGCGCGAGATGGCGGTCGCAGCCGGACGGAAAATCACCTGCGACTACGACGCGATGAGCGTCATGACGGTCGCGACGATGGACAATTTATTGAAGATTATGACCTCCAAGCCCATGTTGGAGAAGGTGTTGCCGGACAACGACGTCTACGTGGGGAGCATGGAGACGTTTATCGTGGATGAGTCGGGTAAGAAGACGTTTTTCGAGCGAGTGATGGAGACGGACGTAGTCTCTATATCACTTGCCGTATTGGGAAAAGGTGGCTCTGTCAGGTGGTCATTGATTCAAAACAAAAGAAGACAAGATGTGTCCCTTGTTCCGGACTGTACACAACTCTCCTCTTTTCCAGCCTTGTCGTGTTTATTTTCCGCGGGCACGTATTCACTGTTGAGTGCTGAGCTCCGAGCAGTTGTTACTCATCTTTTATGTAACCCGCCAAGCACCGTAAGGCTGAAAGAAACTCCAAAGAAGTTGCGAGGATTGAGAATCCCAGGCGTATGCGCCGATCAAGGAAAACCACTTTTGTCTGGACCGCTTCTTGGAAGCTAGTCTCTCATCTGCTCACCGGATGGTTGCAGATGTTGTGCAGCTCGCCAACGCTTGCTTTTTCTTGAACTCACAGCATTGACTGTTGTAGATCGATTGTCTCTCGAGTCTCCACACCTCGACTACTGGCTACGTCCTCATATCTCCCGAGTCTTCCTTCACCAACCCACCTCATCATACCGTGTCCTCCTCTGGCAAGCGATCATGTCCATCCTTCACGGCAGGACCGTGGCACTCTCACGATCACTGCGACTGAAAGTGCTTACAACGCAGTCAAGCCACGCTTTTCGACAGCGACCGGCTCTCGCGAGGACCTACTTTTCCGTCCACCATCCGGATTCCCCGCCTTTCCCTGAAATCCAAGATCGAATTCTTTCCGCCGCCGTTATTCGAGTTCCTGAACACGGGTTCACAGAAAGAGCGCTGGCGTTAGGAGCTAAAGATGCCGGGTACCTCGATGTCACGGTCCAGCTCTTCCCTCGCGGTGTCTTTGATCTCATAAACTACCATTTAGTCACACAAAGGCTTGCATTGAAGAATACCGTGCAGTTTCCCGAGGGATCTACGCTAGGATTGGGCCCAAAAGTCAGGACGCTGACCATGGCACGGTTGAGAGCCAATGCAGACATCATCCATCAATGGCAAGGGGTGTGTATTTTCATAAAATTGCTTCCACTTGTCCCTCATCTAACGATTATTGCTGTAGGCTCTTGGCTACATGTCCCTCCTCGAGAATATTCCTGCCTCTATGAAAGAACTTCAAGCTTTGTCGGATGAGATCTGGTATCTCGCAGGAGACACCGCAGTTGACTTCTCCTGGTACACGAAACGAGCCTCCCTCGCAGCCGTCTACGCAAGTTCAGAACTGTTCATGACCACGGATACATCAAGAGACTTTTCGGCAACGGAAGAATTCCTCGACCGCAGGTTGGGAGATGTTCGCCTCCTCGGGGGGACCGTGGGGGGAATGTCCCAGTACCTTGGATTCTGGGCGAGCAACAGCGTGAACTTGGCCAGGTCTTGGGGTATGAGAGTGTGAAAATACTGAAGAAAGATATCCAACTTTGGTCCTTTCTGAGCGATTCCATGGAGCCTGTCGCCCTACTACGCGGATGTCTTCACCGAAATACCAAGTTCGGGGGTACTACACAGGCCGCCAGAATTGACGAAAGAAGATCCTCCCCAACACGTACTTTCTATCGACCTTCAACGATTTACAGTACCGGCGAGAAAAGGGACTTTGTGCCGGTATTCAGTTTCGTGGACTGGCACATGCGAGCAGAATCGTGGTCATGGACTGTGCGTACACGGAAGCTGCTTGAAGATTCCACTAGACGTACCCTTCAGCAATGCCGGCAACCTGCAAAATCCTCGTGCCCTGTCTCTGGGTTCGGTCACAGCAGATGATCGAACTCGACTAAGGGCTTGTCAAATGCTGAGGCTTTGGCAGCAGAGAGTCAAGCGTTCGGCATTTGTCACTCGTGGCCCTTCCCTCAAGGGCTACGGGCCAAGGACATCCAGTCGGCCATACAGCACGATACAGAACCACCAGGGGTATAAGGGAAGCCGGTGGAAGAGAGCCGACCACAACATCTGCATTGGCTGGAAGATCGCGTGCGTGGCCACTTGGTTTGTGTCCATTGAGACCAATTCAGCAGTGTATGCTGTCCCAAAGCGCTCTCAACGACGCCCGAAGCTGTTTGACCCATGTCGGTGAGGGCGTTACACCCTATGAAGGTATTGCGGAGTTGTTGCTCTTTGAGGCGGCGGTAACAAAAGTGGATATTTTGTTTTCAAAAGTATATTTTGTACTCTAGACCCAATGATGGTCCACCAATAGATATTGTATTTTACATTTCTGATTTAATAACCACTTATGTGAAGCTTCAGTAGAGTGGTTGAGATGTTGGCAGTTTGGGGAGGTTAGTCGGACAATCAGCTCGCATTGAGATTATATTATACATAGCCAGAGCTTGTTCTTTTCGATCTGACCACTTCCTCTACTCTATATCAGACATCTCAGTCTCTTTCCCTTCCTATACATCTGACTGGAAGCATTCCCCTAACATCTAAGGTTGAACAGACTAACCCAGCCTGTTGCTTGCCCCCACCTCCTGAACCTCAGAGAGCTGCAGAGATATTACAATCAAAATTTCCTCTGGTTTCTCTGCTCTGTGAGGTGTGATCAAACATGCAGGCATCACCGTCCAAAGCCCGCGCGCAGGCACTCGCGTCGCACTCCTGGTCAATTGTGAGCGGGTGGCTCGCGAGGCTGTACCATCCGTCGCCCGTGCCGGCATTTGAACGCAACGCTGCGACGCTCCAGGCCTTGCAGAGTCTTATGGCGGAGAACATTGCCGCGGATCGAGTACGGGAATTACTGTTTGAGGCAAAGGTGGAGGAATTGGAGGCAGCGGAGAAGGAGGAGGAACGACGAACGACGGGCATCGGGAGTCATCACGACGCGATCGCAATCATGTCCTTGCTCGAGACGTCGCTGGCGCCGGCCGCGACGGCGGCGCTGGAGTCTCTCGCCAGCTCGGTCGTCGTTTTAGGGCGCGCCTCTCCGTCGACGTCGACAAGCGCCAGTGTCGTTGGAGATCTGCCCTCTCGGATCGTCAACATCCCTCGCCAGACCTTCGCCCAGGAATCCCAACTCTCAGCGATCGAAACCCTCACAGCGGATCTACAGACCCAAGTCACTCGGACAAAACGAGACCTGGCCGCCTTCTTCCCCGAAAGGACACCTCCCACTTCAGCCCGTGCGCAGGACGACGACCCGACCTCACCGAGCACGCCGTCTTCATCACCGACCCAACAGCACCTCCGCACGACGACGAGGACGACGGATTCCTCACACCTCCATAGCCTGACGCTCCAGCACCAGCGCGAGACGAAACAACTCACCCTCAAATCCGCCGAGTACCGATCCCGCATCGACGCGCTCGAGAACCACCTCGCCGCACTCACTCGTTCCGGCTCCCACTCCAGTCCTTCATCGACCGACCCCACCGTCCTCGCAGCGAAACAGCGCTCGCTGGCCGCCAAGAAGAAGAAGCTCGACGCGCTGCACGACCGCATTCGACAGTTCCACGGCCTGCCGCCCGACATCGAGGTGTCGCGCGCCGAGGTGCGCCGGGCCGAGGGGGCCCTGGACCGGCTGAGGAGACGGAGGGACGACTTGTTTGAGGCGTTGTAGCTAGCTAGCTAGCTAGCTGTATGCCTCCCCGCTTGGCTTCTTCTGTCTAGCACTGGCGTCTGGCGTCTGGCGTTCGTGCCGTCTTCTTTTCTTTTCACAGGCTCTCCTCCGGAGTTCAAAACCTCATGACCGGCCCAGAGTCGCAGACATCGCGGTCCGGAAGTAAAGGCGGGAAAGAAGGGCTTCTGGAATTGGCGCAAGCAAGCAGTCAGCGCGATGTGCTGGGCCTACGGTAGGATTGTCTAGCAAGATTATAACAAACATTGATTTAAGGTGGCCCGACGATAGGCGATAGGCGATAGGCATACAGAAATGCGCATTATAGAGATAGAGAGGTCCCAACTCAAAGATGGACAGACAGACAGACAGGCAGAAATACAAGACATGTCCGCCACCATACCTGTCGCCATCTCTGCCCTCCCTGTCTGTCTGTCTGTTTGTCCAGTCCCTCCCTTGTCTCCCTAGTTTTAAATCCAGAAAAAGGCCAGGACAAATACCGAGCTGAGCTGATCGCACACAACCAAAAAAAAGGGCCTTAATGCATCAAGGCCAGCGACCAGTTATCCGCCAGCGCCGACGCTGGGGTCCTGGAATAAGGGACATTTAAAAAAAAAAAAAAAAAAAAAAGATAAAACGCCTGGCGTCTGTGTCTGCGTCTCCCGTAGGATCTCATCTCTCTTCCATCCTTTTTCGAACAACTCCTAAAAAATGCAATCTTCTTCTGACAAGCTCGCAGTGTCAAACAGCTATCCGGGCGCGTTTTATCGTGTCTTTCTCCGCCTTTTCGGCTTCCGCTCTTGCCCGTTTCCTCTCCTCTCTCAACCGTTCCTTCTCTTTCTTGGCTATGAGGTATTTCTCTGTATGCCGCAACGGCTCCCCATCACTTCCTCTGACGGTCATGTCATGCAGGACAGGCGGTCTCGTGAAGAACAGGACACGCCCTTGGTCGTCTTGTGGAAATTGGTCGCGTATGTGTTTTGGGATCAATTCGTTGGCCGTGTCCGACAGCACAAAGACTTCGGCGACCCGTTGATCGGGGTAAGTAGTTGCGGCCGTCGAGGCAAAGGGTGCATATGGTTGAGCAGGAGTGGCGGCGGCGCCGACCGGTTGCATTTGAGGTGGGCGATTGTACATCCCCTGGGCAGGAGTGGTAGATGTGTAGTTGGTAGGGTGGGCGGGAGTCAACGTCGGCTGCGGGTGAATTTGGGGGAGTGGGTTGTAAGGATGATGCGATTGCGGAGGGACCGGAGTTTGGGGTGCAATGGCTGCATGAGGATGGGCTTGTGACTGTTGATAGGAGGTCTGTCGGCCGTATTGAGGAGCAGGTGAGATGGACTGGTGTTGGAATGAGTTGGGAGTCAACGAAGGGGATGGACGTGTCAGCTGAGGTTGCAGAGTTGGCGGAACGTGGCCCCCTGCGCCATTACTTATGGGACGTGGTACCATGTTGGCAATAGTGCTTAATGAAGCTTGTCTCACGACCGGCGGTGGAGGCGTAGGGGGAGGCGGAGGTGTTGGTTCTGGAGGCGGAGATTGCTGTGAGATGGAAAGTCAGTAAAGATGCTGCGAGGAAGTCGGAACAAAGTGATTGAAGCTAGTATCCATCAAACCACCAGGGTTGCAAAGACTCACATTCTCGTCGCGGGCATGTTTATGGATTCCGCCCACGATGGGCGGTGCATTGGGATGGCCCCATTGAGGAGAGGGTATCTCGTCCGTCTCTTTCATGTTGTCCTTTAACAGGTGCTTGAGTGGGCTGGGTATCTTCTTGATCTTTCGAGGCACCTCAAACAAGTCCATCTCGTAGTCCTTGTCTCGCACTTCATCAGGTAAACAACTGGCCCATGTCTTGATTTTGTTGAATCTGTGCTTCTCTTCGTTGTACCGCGCTTCGCAGACATAGACCTCCTTCGTAGGATCGACGTTTCGAGGTCTTCCACGAGTGTACCTGGTGAAGAACATGACAAAACAACGATCAATCACTTCCTCGATCCGATGGTCTCGATATTGGCCTGTCTTGACAACCTCGTTCGGCCAAAAGTGTTTCTCGTACTGATGTACTGTTTGTTCTGGACGGTAGTACCAACACGCGTTTATCCACTTCTGACCATCAGAATCTTCCCAAGTTCGGTAAATCTGAGCAACAATCGGCTTGGTCACGTCATTCTGGTTTTGGATGTGGACCCAATCACCGACCTTCCAAAGTTCGTTTTTGTAAAAGATACCAGCCGGCAAGGGTCTTCTACCGTCTTCCATGAGGTATTCATCGTCAGGTTTGGCCTTTTCGATTTCAGCCAGTTTCTGTGCTTCTGCGTGGAGGTCTACCGCATCCTGATAGATTTCACTCCCATCTTCGTTGAATTGCTTTGCATTGTTAAACAGCAGATCAAGATCCTTCATGAAATGCTCAAGTGACTGGTACTTCTTTCTTTTGGCCTTCTTCTTGATGGTGTCGAGGGCGATCGGGTCTTTGATCTCAACAAAATAGGCCGGGTACTCCATCTTATCGGGTAGTCGCTCAAAGTGACGGACTTTCAAGTTACCCTCGTTGTCTTTCGGCTTGCGGAGCCCTTTGAGAATGGCTTTGATCCGAGCTTCCATAGGCGTGTCCACCTTGGGAGGTCGTCCTCGTCGTTTTCGAAGATCAGCATCGTCGCGTCTGTCATCATCTTCATCGCGACCCTTCCGTCCTGAGATGCTCGGCCGGCCGCCTTTCCGTCTTCTCTTCCTGCGATCATCTTCAGAATCGTCCTCGTCCTCGTCATCCTCCTCGTCCTCATTGTCTTCATCGTCATCAGACACTGGGGTCGGCTCGGGGGTTGCATCGGGTATCTCTCCGAGGTCTGGGAAGACTGTTTCCTCTTCTTGGATCAAGCCTTCATCAACCAGCTTCTTGAGTTCCTCCTTGAAGACTGTCTGCAGCAGAAGCACGTCGCGAACAGGAGCCGAATTCGGTCTGTTGTATACCTGGGCGTTGTGGACAATCAGGGCGAAATCGCGTACAAACTCCGGAATGCCTGTGTATTGCTTTCTCTGTATCTTCTGCTTAAGAGTACTGATAGCCACAGGGTCCTTGATGATTTCGTGGTAATCGGGTAGGACCCGTCTATTGGGCTTGCGTCGGAAAAGCTGGGAGGGGTAGTAGTCCCTAAAGATGAAGTTAGCTTACGATGGGGACTCAGACGCGAGGTTGCACAGACTCATCCTTGATTTTGATCTTGTAGTTTGACAAGATATCGGTAATGTTTTTCAGGGCCCTGTACTGTTCAAGAGAGACGGGAGGCTCCTCTTGTCCATCTCCAGCTGCGTCCTCAGCTTCTTCAGCACCGTCGCCCTCATTGTCGGATTTGTCGTCGGCCGCATCCTCTTCCTTGACAGAAGGCTCGACTTCGATGGACTGGACTGGCTTCGTCGCGGGCGCATCTGGGGTTTGGGACTCGGCCATTGTCTATTTGTCGCGCAACGATCGCAACTGACTCGCAACGTGGAAACTGAGCTGGAAAGGCACTACGGGTGAAGACATATGTAGGAGACCTATGCGCGAGCACTTTATCTCTGGGAATTGGGCGAGACGATCAAGTTGTCGCGACTCTAGAGGGAATGCGACAGGCGACGTTGCGCCTTGACAAACTGCGGGCAAAATCTGGGGGGCGCGGCGATAAAGGCTTGGCGGCATCTGCGCTGAGGACCTTCCGCAGCTTCATTTTCCATATCACCCCTTTGCTATGCTGATGAGTTCTACAATTGTCATCGTTGAAAGAAAAAGAGTGCATTGGAATCAAGGATCCTTCTCCAAGTCCCTAGTTCAGGACGCGTCTTCTGATACTCGAATGAACCGCGTCGAAAGATCGGCCCGGACAACTCTTGGGGGTTAAACCACTCTGGGCTGATTAGGAACTTGTTCGCATGCTATCTTTACCACCTTGACCGTCACCGCTGGCACGCGAGGAAGGCCTAGAGAGTGTCAGAGGCTACGTGTCGAGTCGTGGGAAGAAGATCAAGCCGTGTACTCCACGCACAACGAACGGTCCAGTCATTGAGATACCGCACAGAGATCCAGCTCTCCTCCACTTTCGTCTTTTCCATTCAAGACCATATCGTTCCCTGGTGGCGACCAGGGGCTGCGAGTTTGTTTGCTGTCACTTGTCACTAGCCACTGATGTGCCTCGTGACAGATCTGCTCCTCTTACGTTCTTCGGCATCTCGTCTGCCCAACAGTATATATAACAAATCACCAGCAGTCCAACCCGTATTTGAAACCGAAAGAAGCAATGAGGGTCCGTATTAGAGGCCCTTCTGGCAAGTCCAGCACAGTCAGTCTCGACGAGTCCGCTACCGTAGAGACGCTTCGGACAACCATCCAGGCCGAAACATCAGTATCTTCCTTCGAGATAAAATATGGCTACCCTCCAAAAACCCTACCGCTCGATCAACTGGCCTCTACAACGCTCCTTTCAGAGCTCGATATCAAATTGAATGGCGAACAGCTGATCGTTAATGAGATTAAACCACTAAGCCGGAAGGGTGAGACTCATCCTCCGGCGTCAGATCCACTCAAAGGCGCCTCCAGCGTAAGAGATTCCTCAAGACACCCGGGCGCTGCATCAAAAGCCTTCCCCAGCACATCAAACGCAACGTCCAAATCTCAAGAAGCCTCGGTAACGCCATTGTCATTGTCACGAAAGCAGAACCCCGAAATGGCAGACCCACCTGAGGTCTGGTGTCCGGATCTACAGGGCACCTTGGTCTTACGCATTATGCCAGATGACAATTCGTGTCTTTTTAGAGCCGTTGCCAGTGCCGTCCTGTCAGATATGGACGCAGTCACGGAACTACGGTCGATCATTGCCCAGAATATTCAAGCCAATCCTGAAAAGTACACCAAGGCTATTCTAGACAATAAAGAACCCGATGCATATTGCCGGTGGATCCAGACTGAGGACGCCTGGGGGGGCCAAATCGAACTTGACATTCTCAGCCGACAATTCGATATTGAAATCTGCAGTATCGATGTGCAGAGCTTGCGAGTGGACAGGTACAATGAAGATGCACCGAACCGTTGCTTTATTGTTTATTCTGGCATTCATTACGATACAATCGCTCTAAGTGTCCATGGTGAACCACCAGAGGCAGATGTCAAGCAGTTCGTCCAGCCACTTTCAGACGAGGTCCTTCCACATGCCATTGCTTTATGCCAGAAACTACAGGCCAAACACTACTACACCGACACTGCTGGGTTCCAACTCCGATGTAACGATTGTGGAGTGACGTGTACTGGAGAAGCTGGGGCAATGAAACATGCAGAACAGACAGGGCATATGAACTTTGGAGAAGCTTCTTAGGGATAGGGGTCTGGGATTCGGCGAGATGCTTGGAAGATCCCGTCGGCCACGGAGGAAATTGGTCTTTCAGCCTCAATCCTTTGATGAGAGCGCTGTGGTGTCGAGAGACTGATCAACCTAAGGGGAGACATTCAGCTGACTGCATGCTAGTTAGATAGAGGTATATCAGGCCTTACAAGTACCACTTTGCTCGAGACCGGACGGAGCATCGGACTGAAGCACACGTCTCTGGATTACCACACGCGTCTACCTTTTGTATTACAGAGGATGGAATGAATTCTCGTGATAGGTGACCTGTGGACTGGCTCCGCCCTCCACAGCCCCAAATGAGGCCCTGACTAAATTGAACCGTGAACATGGTCAGTGAACAACGCCACAGCTGAATCCACAAACCGTTGCGAGCGAAGCATTTCTTGGGTTCTGACTCGCCCTTGCCGACACCTTTTGGTGCTTTTGCTGCTTTTGACTTTGACGCTCCCTTGGCCCGTCTACACCCGTTGGTTGCCGTCATATCAAATCGTTGGCTTTGGTTTCTCGGCTCAACCCCTCCGTCCCACGAGTACATCGCGGGTTTATGTAACCGAGGTCGAGTCAATCCCATGGGGACGAAGTATTTATTTTGTTCTCTAGATTTCTACTCTGGAGCCTGACGTTGCAGCCCAGCTCAGAGTTATCGTCTTGCAATCAATCGTCACAGACTCGGTCCATTCTATACTACAACACTCACACCTCCACCCCTAAAGCAGTCACAGACACCATGGCGTACGCACAATCATGGCTCGATGTAGGTTTTCCCAGCCAAATTGTGCTCTATTTCCTATCCTCTCTGCTAACGGACATCTGCAGCTAGAGAAGAGCCTGGGTGGCCGCACGGTCATGACCGGAACGCCAGAAGAGATTCGTGCCCAGTATGATCAACTTGTGGCCTTGCTGCTTCCTCAATTGTCTCCCCCATCAGACGCCGTCGAGAGCAAAGACGGCGAAGTCGAGGGCATCAAGTACCGCTTGTACACACCAAAGGAAGCTGCCAAATCAGGCCCCCTACCTGTGGCCATCTGGACGCACGGCGGAGGCTGGATGACCGGCGACCTCAACTCGGACGATTTGCTCTGCAGGGTTGTTGCTGAAGCTGTTCCCTCAATTGTCATCAACATCGACTATCGCCTTGCCCCCGAGCACAAGGTCCCCACACAGCTCCAGGACTGTTTGACCGTGTACAAATGGGTGAGCACCATGACCAAGAGTGCCAGCATTACCAGTGTAGTCATGTTTACTAATACATATTCTAGGCACGACAAAACGCCGCCTCGTATGGAGGTGACCCAAACAAATTCTACACCGTTGGTGGCTCTGCAGGTGGTGCACTGGCGCTCCAAATCGCCAACCGTCTGGTCAAAGACCCCTCGAAGCGCGATGGCATCAAGGGTGTCGCCGCCGTTGTGCCCTGTACGCTGCACTGGGACAACGTCCCAGAGGAGTATAAGGGTATCTACAAAGCGTACGAGGAGAACAAGGAGGGCGTCCCCATCATCGACAAGAAATCGATGCAGATTTTCTACGAACACGCAGGCGCCGATCCCAAGGACAGCGACATCTTCACCGCTCTGGCCACAGATAACCACGCCAACTTCCCTCCCACATATTTCGTCAGCTGTGAAAAGGATCCCTTGAGAGATGATGCGTACGTGATGGAAGCCGCACTGAAGAAGGCAGGTGTCCCTACCAAGCACGACCACTACAAGGGATTGCCTCACTATTTCTGGATCTTCCCCTCTGTGCCCGAGGGGCAGCAGTTTGTGGCCAACTTGATTGGGGGTATCAAGTGGCTTGTGTCGCAGATGTAATTAGCTTGAGACTGGGTTGCTTCAGAAGGATCAGATTGCGCGTCCAAGGACGGCGAGTCAACGAGACTACCATCCTCAAGCACTCCGTAATCCCTTTTGCCACATATGGGATAGAGGCAAGCGAACAGAGATATGATTCAAGGACCCATTAGTCTGGCAACTTCAAGAGGAAATAGACCTCCCTCTGAGCTAGAAAATTCCACGGCAAAGCAAGTTTGTAGTCGTCCCTCACTGAGTATACAGAAAGCCCCGCGTAGTGCCGCTGCTCTTGAGATCGACCCCACCCTCCACCGTTTCCATTTAAAGCGGCATCGGGCTTGTTTCCCCCCACAGCCTCGTTGAGCCAGCATCAGGCGATGCAGCATTTGATCAAAATGAACGGGGGCACATTTCCCTCGCTTCTGGATTTATGGCTGCTTCCTTTTTCACCAGCGTCGATGGCTTCACCTCCGCTAGCGGCCTCGACAGTCCCGTCACACCGGGCGGTGCCGGTGCTGATGGTCTCCCTTCGTCCAAGCGGTCTACCGCCCTGACCGCCAAACTGACCAGCGTCCTCTCCGCGTCCTACGCCGATTACGAGACTCGCGATGCGTTGCGCCTCCTAGACGAGCGAGGCGTCCGGAATGACGAGGAGACGAGGAGGAATCTCAAGGCCAACGCACAAAATGAGGTGATCGATTGCAATGCACAGATCGTGGATGATTTCGGTGTGGTTGCGGAGGTAAATACACATATTCTCTGGCTTTCGTCCAACAGTCATACCACCGTTGGACTGCCCTGAAGCACTTCGTCTAACAAATGGATAGCAACTCAAGCGCGTCGGGGCCTTGCTCGCGACCCTCAACACCACGTGCGAATCAATGCGCACGCACATCCTCGCGGCGAAACAAGAGTCCGCGCCAACGCTGGAGGAATTCTCCACGCTCATGACGCGCAAACGGGAGACTGAGATGAAAGAGTCCCTCTTGACCGCGTTCACCGGCCACTTCCTCATCTCCAATCAAGATCTGAACATTCTGACCAGTTCCGCGGAACCGCTCGACGAACGCTTCTTCTCGATCCTGGCGAGGTGCAAACAGATCCACAAGGACTGCGAGTTTCTTTTGGGCTACAACTCCTCTCCTGCCGGCGAGGAAGAAGGCACGTCCCGATTGGGCCTGGAGTTGCTTGAACAGACTACCCGCAACCTGGATGCGGCTTTCAAGAAGCTCTACAACTGGATCCAACGAGAATTCAAGACGCTCGACCTCGAAGACCCCAATATCAGCGGCTCGATTCGTCGCGCGTTGAGGGTCCTCAGTGAGAGGCCGAGCTTGTTCCAGAACTGCCTCGACTTCTTTGCGGAAGCGCGACGAGCCACGTTGGCAGAGGCGTTTCATGAAGCCCTGACAGGCTCGGGTCATCATGGAGGTGCTGCGACGAAAGCGATTGAATTCTCCACCCACGAACCGTTGCGGTACATCGGCGATATGCTTGCGTGGGTGCACTCCGCCGCTGTTTCGGAGAAGGAAGCTCTCGAGGGGCTCTTCGTTTCCGATGCCGAAGAGATTTCGCGGGGTCTCAGCGCTGGGAAGGCGGCCGATCCGTGGGCTCGAATCAGCCGTAGCGGACAGAGAAGTCCGTCACCTGTGTCGAGCTCAGACGCGGAGAAAGAAGATGGTGATGAGCAGCCGGTCTTCGATGGGCGCAAAGCCCTGTCTGAACTCATCTCCCGCAATCTCTCCCTCGTCTGTCAGACGTTACAATCACGCATCGACGTTGCCGTCCGCACCTCGGGCGATCCTGTGCTCATGTTCAAGACCTTCAACCTTTTAGATTTCTATCGCGGCATCTTCTCCAAACTGCTGGGGCAGGACTCAACCCTAGCCCGGCTCATCCAGACCCTGCAATCATCGACGCTGGCACAGTTTGAACAAGCAATGGAAGAAGAGACCACCACCGCCATTGCAAGCATGGATTCGGAGCCACCGCGCGATCTCACGCCGCCGGTGTTCCTGGCCACGGCCTTGAGACAGTTCAACGACGTATGTCAGGCGAGAGGTCCCCAGATGACGGAGCCGGAACTCGAGCGACTCTTTACGTCGATGCTGAGCGGGATCCTGGCCGCGTGCGCCGAGTCCGCGACCAATCTCGCGGACGTGAGGAGAGCCAGCATCTACAAGATCAACTACCTGACCGCGCTGAAGGCGACACTCGCAAACATCTCGACCCACGTCCCCCCTGCCCGGATCCCACTGGAGAAGGCCGCCAGGGAGATCCAGACGGTGCGGGACCAGCTGGTCGAATTCGTCACTTCGACGTTCCTCGAATTCTCCGGCGTCGCGGAGCTCATGCAGGAGATCGACTCGCGCAGGGGACAAGGCCCAAAGGCCCGACGGGCCTGGCTCCTCCAAAACCTCGACGAGGCCGCCCAGCGGCTCGACGCGTTCCTCTCCTCGGCCCTTATGGACGCGCAGGAAGCCATGAAACCCCTGTTCGACCGCCCACTGGCCCAGGATGTGGTGGCCGAAGCGGTGGAGAAGTTCTGCTCTGAGTACGATGACTTGGAGGGCATGCTGGAGACGGTCGATGCTGAGACTTCCGTGTCAGCGTCAGCGTCAGCGGGAGAGGGTGAGGGTGAGGGCGACGATGACGATGACGATGACCAAAAGTCAGAGGATCAAGGGGACAAGAGCGCCACTGACCCGGTTGGGTCAGTGAGAGAATCGTATCCCAGGACTGGGGCAGAAGTGCGCGCTCTTCTGAGCTAGTGTCCAAACAACTTTGTCTATGCCTGACTATTGGGTGGGTCAAAATGAAGAGTGGCCGTTTTCCACTCGCGTTCTTTCCGTATGCATTCAAAAGTATGGGTTGAATGACATGATGATCGAGGTCATTGGAACCTGTATGTAGGTCATCCAATCCAGCTACATAAGCTACTCCGACAAAAGACCTCCTTTGGGTTTACTCTGCTCAGCCACGGCGGGGATCTCAATGGTTAGAATGTATTTGAATTTGCTTTTGAGGTTTCAGACATGCTGAAATAGAGAACTAAACTTGGTACATGAGCACAGGTAATATTGTGCTGAACCTATGCCATGATCCGGTTTGCTCCCTTTCCATTCCACTTCGAGTGTGACATTTGCCATGCTGTTACAGGTTGCCGCATCTATGGTGGTGGTTTCTCTTCTCAGGGTCTCCTGTTCTACAACACCTTTTCGGCAGCAGAGACTGTGAAGCTTTAGAAATAACTCCATAATTAAAGGGAAATGGCAGAACTCACTTGTAACCCCCGTGTTGTCGGGCTCAACAGAGGCCTTGGTGACCTTGCCATCCTCCGTGATCACAGCATATCGCTTGCTTCGGCCATTGCCCAAGATGCTAGAAGCATCGAACTCCACATCCCAGGCACGAGTGAATTCTCCAGAGGGGTCAGCGAGGAATCGGATGCCGCTCTTCTTTGTCTCGTCCAAGCTCTTTGCCCAAGCCTTCATACTGTGGAAGAAGTGAGAAACATGGTGGAAGGAATGATATCTCAAGAGCTCTTACACGAAAGCATCGTTCACAGAGACCACAAACACTTTTCCGGCACTCTTCAACTTGTCATTGGCAATGTAGCCCGGAATGTGAGTGTCGGAGCAAGAAGGGGAGAATGCAGCGGGGACACCGATGATGAGGCCTTTGCCAGAGCCGAGCTCTTTGGCGAGATTGACCTTGTTGCCGGGGGAGTCCTCGTAGAGGTCGATATTGGGGATGGAGTCGCCTTCTTTGACCTGCAAAATGTCAGTTGGTGTAGAAACCAGGTACAGAGATACACACCATGATTGCGGGTGTCGATGAGAACTGTCTGAAGAGGGGAGTGAGAGAAGCGGGACGAAGAGAGGTGGAAGAACGGAAGATGGATCGAGAGAGCATTTATGTGACTGGTGAGATTGAACTGAGTGGGAAAGTATTTGAAATCTCTGGAAGGAACGATTCACTCCAAATTCACTTGCACTTCACTTGTTGTGTGCTGTTGCCGTTGGTCCTGGGAGCTCTAAGGCTGCATTCATACTTGTAGCTTCCCCAATGGCTGTGCCAATGCAGGGGCAGGACGACATCATTGCGGGGAAGTCTTTAAGCTGCGAATTGCGGTTGGTGCCGTTGCGCGGGTGCCTCTATGCCTCCCGGGTGCCTCCCTCCCTCCCAGAGCCAACCCACCACAACACTCAGAGTCCTGCGCCTACTCAGTATGGGAACGAGTACGAAGGACTTGTGATCCGCTGCAAGCAATGGCCTTGGTGACCCAGTATTGTCTATGATTCCACTGGACCCCTCGCTCAATCCTACAGGATTGCATCATATATTTGAAATCTTCTTGATGGCCATGCACATGCGAGTCATCTCCTCGCACAAAGGAGACAGAGGTTGCGGGTCCGGCCCCTCCAATGATAATATTCACTCGCAAGTCCCTGAGACTCGAAAAGTAAAAGCTTCATAAATACCTGCACTACTGACTTCAACCTCAGCGAAAGGCGAGGACTCGAAATCTGAAGTTACCCGGGTTTCGGATAAAGCAGTCTGCAGGAAGTACCCATTACCAAGATGGCCATCTGAGAAGTCCTCTGCAACTGGGTCGCATCGCCTCAATGCACTCTCGGGTGGCTTGCAGCCTCCTTGCGCTCTCCCTCAAGACAAGACCTCGCGACCGAAGCACACGATGTCTAAATCGCCAGTCAGAACACTAGCCATCCAGTAATTCACCTCAAAGTTTGATGTCAAACATTTTGGCACCTGCCAAATTCGCACCCTTTGTGCCAAAACGAGCCCCTGCATCTGTTGCGCTGTCCAAGTCTCTTGTTGCGGTTCCCCGACCCACGGATTCGGTTCGCGTTGACGAAGGTCTAGACTCGCCCATTGCTAGACCAACAGAAGAGCTCGGATACTTCCTTGGTGATCGCCTATCCACGAAGTGCAGATTTGGCGTTCATTTCCCCATCATTGTGAATGGAGCACTGGCCACGAACTTCGGCGTCACCGAGCATGTAGGAAGCTGTCATCTAGAACCGCCAGAAAGGATTTGACACTGTTTTATCTCACCCAACAGGGAGTGATCAGGAGACAATGCGTATAGGTCGTCCTGTTGTACCAGGATGGTCTTTCCGCCGGGATGCTTAACCCGTGATTTTCAAAAGGTTACGCTGCCACAACTTCCTTTGGCCAGCATTGGGACGCCTTTCCCAAATCGGACGGAGGAGACGAAGGGGCGATCCGCGATCGCGAGAAAGAAGAAGCGAGCAGAGTAGCCCGAACCGACCGGTGACACTGCTAGGAAGCCAGGAAGCAAAACCCGAAAACAGGGGAAGATCTCAAGCATCAGGGGCGCCAAACAATGCTTAACGCTTTCAAGTACGGGAATATCTACCAAGTACAAGGTACCTCGTACAAGTATTCGGTCTTCTAAGCAAAGAACGATTCAGTCGTTAGGACCCACGCTGCTGGCAGGACTTGGCCTGTCTTTCTTTGTTCCTGCGCAAGACGGGGTGAAATTTTTATCACTTGACAAGGCCCTCAAATTGACAGCCCCATTCCTGTCCCGAGTGCAAAGTTCAGGCGGACATTTATGGCACTTGCGGCTTGAGCCATCTCCGTTAAGCCCCCGAGCTTGTTGGGATCGTCATGAGGCGAACGTTTCCACAGTGAGGCTGTCATCCTCGCTCGCGTCAGCGAAGACGCGGTCTTTTTCCTTCGGCTTTTCTTTTAGGCCATCACGACCTGCGGATTGACGGCTCTCCACTGATAGATTGTACTCGTAACCGTGAATCAACAAGGACGAGACAAGCAGCGCAATCAACAAAAGCCTCTGCCTTTCGATCGTTTCAGCGACAAAGAAGAGACTCCACAGAATCCTGGTGGCGATTTCACGCCATTGCCTTTAGGGAATGGTGGAATGTGACAAGTCAAGGTCCATTTCCAACTACGAGTTTCTGTTCTTACTGGCAGGCCGTTATTCTGGTAATCACAAGCCTCATGGTTGCTTTTCTCGGACAGGGAAGCCGCCTTCACCTCCCTGGCCCTGGGAAGTTGGCGAGTTGACAGTTTTCCCCGTCGACAGTGGATCCTGATCAGCCGAAACATTGCGATTTCCGGCTACGAGTTTTGCAGTGTGGCAGGCCAAGACAAGCACTGGTGCTCCAGGAAAGTCAATGATCAGCCTCGAAAAGTGTCTTCCTCACCAGACTGCTCCAGCAGTCGAATGGGATGTTCAGACGGTTGTGTTTTGACGGGCCCTTGGCCCCTTTTTTCCAACTTGATGGTCGATCGCTGTGACACTTGGTTTGGAATGGACAAGCGTGGCCAAGTGAGCGAAAAGAGAGTCTTCGGATCGCCAAATCGGTGCCAAAGCCCATGGCGCACTCGTCACATTGGCCAGTCGTGTCCTGGGGAGTGGGTTTTAGCGAATGTGCCCGAGCGGGGGGGAGCGCACGGAAAATTTGGGCTTTGGCTGGGGGTGTTGGGCTGCTAGACTCCTGGACTGGGCGCTGGGCTGGTATGATGGAGGGCAAACCATGGGCAAATTCATCCCTAGTGTGCTAGTTCACGCATCGGGGTCGTCCCCCATGAGCCATGACCCATTCAGCCCAGCAAACTGTTTGGTGGCTTCCCCCTCTCCTCGATCAGATCCTTTTTCTCCCTCAAGGGCCCCGGAAGCGCCCTATCACTGACCTCCTTGATCGGGTTCCGCATGATTAACTCCTAGCACTAGGCCTAAAGGGCCACCAATGAGCCCTACTGGTACACAGTAGTTAACCGAATCTCCCCTCTACTTTGTTCCTCGCGCACTGTTAGCCGCACCACATTTCCCCCCCTCCCTTCGCCCCCGGTTCAGCATACAGGGAGATGCGATCCAATGCTCGCCTAAACTGGGTACAATGGTCATTTTTTGATGATGCTGACTGGATGGGCAATGGGAGTTGTCTGGTGTGGTCCACCTTTGCGTCCTCTTTGCGTCCTGATAGAGGAGCCCAGCGCCAACGACGCCTCCCCAGAACTGCTAGGAAATTCTTTGTCCTGGTTGTTCTTCTGCTCGTTTGCTCGTTTTTAGCACTTTCCTCGCTAGGTTCCCAGGCTCCTTTGGTGTTTCCAAGAGCCCGCCTATCCACCCACTCCCTGCATCTTGCACCTTGTAACAGCTGCAGCCAACTTTCTCTTGCCCCCCTCCAAACCATCCACCAGCCAACTTGGAATCCATTGACCCGTCACCACTTCCGATCCTTCTTCCCCAACACCAAACACCGCACAGAAACGCAGACACACGCAGACAAACTCATCCTCTCCCCATCCCGCACTCGTTGAACATCCCCATTCTATTCAATCGCTGCTATACACTTCTATCATCGCTTTGTATCTGGGTAACCTGGCATTTCACGTCATTTGCTCCATATCGCCCTTGGCCCTCCCGAGATCTGGGAATCCTAGACTCATTGCGGCCGAATAGCCGAAATCCAGCATTCTGCACCCTCCAACCTCGAAGCAGCCTCCACCATCCGAGTTTGTCTGTGCTACTCGACCAGCATTCTGCCGCCCAGCACATTCCATTCCAATCATCATTATCTGACGGCGGATCACACATACCTCCCATCCCGCATATTGTGCTTTTACCGTATTCAAGCACCTTACGAAACTTGAAAGCGCATCTTTAGCGATGCTGCGGTGATCCGGCATTGTGCAGCGGATTGCAACACCCACGATTGAAAGCGGTCGACGTCCTTGTGGCCTTAGTTGAAGCTACATCTTGGAGGGAATCTATCGCACAGAAGAGGAAAATTCGATCTCGGTAAAATCACAAAGATGGACGGCCAGGGTGCATCGGGAAACAACTCGAGCGACTTTGTGCGCAAGCTGTATAAGTATATCTCCCTCGCAGCCATCGTCCGTGATGGCACTCGGAGCTAATTCATGCGCAGAATGCTGGAAGACCCTTCGTACTCTTCGGTAGTCCGTTGGGGCGATGATGGTGACAGCTTTGTGGTATTGGAGAACGAAAAATTCACAAAGTCCATCCTACCCAAACACTTCAAACACTCCAATTTCGCCAGTTTTGTCCGGCAATTGAACAAATACGATTTCCACAAAGTGCGACAGAACAATGAGGACGGCGGATCATCCATGTACGGCGTCAACGCCTGGGAATTCAAACATCCAGAGTTCCGGCAGCACAACAAGGAGAGTCTGGACAATATCAGACGAAAGGCCCCAGCCCCTCGGAAGCCATCGAGTCTCAACGACGAACAGATTCCCATCCAACAAATCGACCTAATGAACCAACAGATTGTCGCACAGGCCCAGCAAATAGAGTCTCTTGTGACGTGTAACAACCAACTGCAATCCCAGTATCAGATGGTGGCGCTTGAGATCGTCCGACTTCAGAAAACGGTCGTCAATCACGAAAAAGTCATGCAGGATGTCATGGTATTCCTGCAATCCGTCGACGCGAAGCAGCGCAGAGACAGCAAGCAGCTGTTTGCTCCACCCTCGGACTCTACACAGACAGGCACAACCCTGACTCCCACGAGCCAGAATATGCCTCCTCAGGATGAAGACACCCCGGCGTCACCCTTACAACACGCCGCGAAGCTCCTGAACGATATCAATTCCGATGGACAATTCAACATCGCTGCGCTCGAACAAATGAACTCGAACATGCATACCCCACCAGTAGGACAGGACCCTCGATCTGGGCAGTTCCGCGGGCCTAATTCTGCCCCTCCAAGCGGCAGCATGGGTTTCTCAAAGATCAATCCGGCCGAATTAGAGACGGTTGTATATCCGTTGGGGTCAACCAATGGCATTGACCCCCTATCCAGCGAGTACATTAATCACATCCCATACTCATTGCCTCCGAGAGACGGCTCAGATCCACGAGGACAGTTCGCCGACACACGAAAGAAGAGTGGGACAGCGGATCCTGGCTGGAGTCGACCGCCGCGAATTCTCCTGGTCGAAGACGATCCGACCTGCCGTCAGATTGGCGGCAAGTTCTTGCACTCGCTCTCGTGCGTAGTTGATTCGGCTCTCGACGGTTTGGAGGCCGTCAACAAGTTGCAGGAAGGGAACAAATACGATATGATATTGATGGATATCATCATGCCCAACTTGGATGGTGTGTCCGCCTGTCATATCATCAGACAGTTCGACCGAACCCCCATTATCGCGATGACATCCAACATTCGAGCGGACGACATTCATATGTATTTCCATCACGGAATGGACGATGTTTTGCCCAAGCCGTTCACGCGAAAATCCCTGGTCGATATGTTGGAGAGGTTTCTGCCACATCTCAAGTTGGTACCACAGGAGCCGCAGCCAATGTCAGCGACAACTGTGCCGTCGGGAGCGGCTTCGTCGACGGCTCACTCCGTCCGTGACGATATGTCAGCAGAGGCTTCTCCCGCGGGATCAAGCACGTGGAATTCTCCCAGCCAGTACTCAGGAGTGTCGCCAGTAAACCCCAATATACATTACGGCGGCATGGCACAACAACAACACTACCTGGACACGAATGGAAACCCGACATCCTTTCCAAACGGGCCACAGACTCCCGTAGGGCTGCGAGGGTCCGGCATGCTCGCGCAGCAGCAGCAGCAACAGCAGCAACAGCAACAGCAACAGCAGCAGACACACAGAAGAGGTCCGTCGGAAATGGGCGGAGGATCGGATATGGGCAACTCGAACAAACGCCAACGCATATACCCACCCCAAAATCAACCAATGGCTGCGCCAATGCGGCAATGATTATGACAAAACATTTCTAAAGAGGCGGATTGCAGCAAAGGATATACATGCATGAGCTCTAGTGCACACGGTAATCTTTGACGAGGAATCGCTCTGGGTCAGATGGGCCTCTTGATCCATTGACATGCCACTCGACCAATGACGCGACCTCGTCTTTCCGACCTTCGAGCCTCAACAGCCCCGCAGGATATCGGCCGAACATTTGAGCGGCGTCGAAGAGTATCAACCGAGTAGAAAGAAGCCCATCAGCTTCCTGCAGGGGTACACAGCGACCCATATCACGACTTGATGAGAGATATAAGGGTGGGGGAAACCACGGGCAAGTTTTTGATTTACGATACCTCTTCACGAATGATTTTTGGGTTTGGGGAAGGCCATCGACCTTTTGGTGTTGATTTTTGATCACGGAGAAGCTCATGGGCTTCAACGTTCTCCATGGTCTGTAAAGATGGTACCTTGCGGCCGGTTATATGTGTGATGGTTGTCCCTGGGCTACCGACCTGAGGTTTTCCAGGGAAACATGGAATATAAATCCTGTGGCTCACATGTAGTGAAAGAGGTGTTTTGGTGTACAGAACTATCTAACATCTACCTAGGTATTGTGCGGTAATAATGGGTTTTAAAAAACTATCTGCCCAGGAGCTCCGACAACATCTGCAGCTTTGGGCCCAATATCTGGCGTAAATGGTTTTATTCTGATGCCTTTACTTGTCTTGTCCGTCGAGATATCTTCTGGGAATGCTCACGACCAGACTTGAAACAGCCAGCCAGCTCCTTGAATAATAGGCATCCACTTCAACTAACATAGTAGTACCAAAAAGTGTAGAGTCACGTCCACCTGCGATTGTCATTAATCAGACATCGAGCTCGGTCCCGGCGAGGTCTATCACTCTCCCAATACACATCCTATTTTCATTCATCCTATTCTCTCCCTCTCCTTCTCCCACTGCTCCGGGGTCAAGCATCTAGGCGTCCAGGCATGGATAGCCTTGATCTCATCCTTCAACACCCCGTTGACCAGCCGACTCCTTGCCAGTAGTGTTTTCTTCTCGAAGTCTGGGGACACGATGATGGCGTTAAAGGCTTGCCCGCAACCCCCCGACATATCCTCCATACTGATGTGAGTTATGTTTATGGATTGTTTGAGTTTCTCGGTGAGGAAGTCTGGAGTGATGGGAGGAGAGGAGGATGCGGCGACTTCTGCGGCTTCAGTGTCCGTATGCGCAGCCATTGGTGGGGAATTGTTTGTCGAAGAATACGTGAAGGAGCGCAAAGCTGTGACGGAAAAGGAGCGCGAGAGAAAGGACCGTGGTCTGAGTCCTGGGCGCCGGTGGGGTGTTTGTCTGGTGATGGTGCTATTTGCGCGGACAATCGTAGTCGTGACTCGGCGGGCCGCTTGCGATGCCAGAGCAGTATAGACTTGCATGGACACGGCTTAGGGCTGAGGAGAAGGGTTCGTGACGGATAGCCGAGTAGGGTTGCGTCTTGTGGTGAAAATGAAGTCTTCTCTTCCAATAGTTGAAGGTCAATTACTGATGGTATTGCGAATTGGAAATCAACCCTGACGGAAAATAATAATCCTCGGTCTCCCAAAGAGCTGCTTGGAAGTGCGTCATCGGAGGGCAATCCACGAGTTCAGCCTCGCGCCTCTATTTTTCCTGCGACGGCCAACGCACCAGCTTCCAATGCCCACATGTTCTTGGACACGATGTGAGCTGGCAGCACATTGACTGATTGCGCCGACAATGTGCTGCGCTCGACTAAGTTTCTGATGCTTCGATTTTTCCTCCCTCGAGCTGTCCATATTCCTAAATCCAAAGCCCTCTTGACTCGTCGCAAGATGAGCACCTCTCAACCCCATACCTACAATGTCTCCCCCTTCACCACTGCCGTGGTGTCCTCGATGCGCCGTCTCTATCCAGAGTCACTAGCAGACAAGACGTTCGACAACACGGGTCTGCTAGTCGAAGCTCCCTTCATACCCTCCCGGCCTCGGAACCGCAACTCGGTCCTATTGACCGTCGACCTCACTCGAGCAGTCGCAGACGAGGCGATAGAGAACAATCACTCGGTGGTGGTGGCATACCATCCTATAATATTTCGGGGACTCAAGTCCATAACCACGGATGACACCCAGCAGTTGTCCATGACACTGCTGCTTGCACATGGCATCAGCGTGTATTGTCCGCACACGGCCGTTGACACCGTTCCTGACGGAATGGCCGACTGGCTCTGTGATATTGTGACGGGCAAAATAGACGATCCGGAGCCCGAGGCATATGCAGTGGCTTCAGCTCCATCAGATACAGAAGTCACGACCTCTGAAAGCGACTCAGACATACGTTCCAATCCTTCTACAAAACCCACGTCTCCTTCGGCGCATCACGACGAGGACGCAATGACGGACCCATTCACCACTCCTAGAGCAAAGATGAAGATCTCTCGTCCGAGCCATGCGCGCAGGACCTATTCTAGGCCCGCCCTGCCACTGCCAACGTCTGACTTCCACGCTGCTGTAATCCCTCACGCTCGGAGCGTCATTACCCCGTCTCCTCGCGCGTCCCTTGACGCAGCGAACCAATTTACTTCGTCCAGTGTCTACAACTCCTCCAACACTGGGGCTGGGCGGTTGATTGAGTTTTCTTCACCGCAACCCTTGACCCTTCTGATCACCCGCATCGCTCACGCAATCGGCCTTCCCAAAGGCTTTGCGGTGGCCATCCCTCAGGGGAGAAATCTCGACGAGATGGCTATCTCGAGTGTTGCCACATGTCCAGGCAGCGGAGGCGGCGTGGTCCGGGGTTGCAAGGCGGATTTGATATTTACAGGTGAGCTGAGTCACCACGAGGCTTTGGCAGTCATCGAACGAGGTGGCTGTGTCATTTCCTTGTTCCATTCAAACTCCGAGAGAGGGTACCTCTGGAACGTGATGAGGGAAAAGTTGGAGAGGGAAGTTAAGGAGGAGTGGGCCAAGATGAGAGGTGAGGAGGCTAGCAAGAGAGGTTTGACCGGGCAGATCAAAGAGATGCTGGATGATGAGAGTGTGGAAGTGGTGGTCAGCGAAAGGGATAGAGATCCGTACGGGGTTGTGGTCCTGGATGAGACGGCGGTGGAGGGAGTAAGGATTGACGAAGGAAAGAGTTGAGCAGTGAACATCAGAGATACGCCTCTGGACACGGCCAACAAGTCTCCCCTGGCCAGGCTGGTCTACGTCGCCATTTCCATCACCACCAGGACCTGGAGTTTTCCTCGTTTCCTGCCACCTGTCAACGAGATTTCGACGACGGCCTGTTTGTGCTAACGCATCTTGGTCCTGCTTGCCAGCTATCATTCGAGGATGTGTCGACGCACATAATCAGAGGACCCATCACTGAGGCTGCTGGTGGCCGTTAACCTCCACGCCGAATGACACCTCCTCCTGCTCCATTGCCATAGAGAAGACCAATTGATACAACCCGTATCACTATCCGCTTGGCCATTTTTGTGGTTCTTTTCTGTCCTCCAACTGCGGCTCTGATTACAGCCCGGTTTCAATCCAACATCGGCCTAGGTTTGGTGACAGTACAAGTATCGCCATTCGGGTTGACATGGTTTCGGATATAGCAAAATGGCACGCGAGAACGAGAGGGATATATCAGGGGCATGAAAGGAATTGCTTCGTCGGCTTCTTAAGGCACCTACTTAATCTACCAGATGGTGGGAGAAGAGTTGCGCTGGATTTGCAGGACTTCTTCACTATTCAGCCTGTCGACCATTCGGTTCGAGAAGATTGTTCTATTACTCTTGTGATAGCAGCAGAAGCCAACGACCTGGCTCACCTGTTTGAGTCTGATTGTCACAGAAGCAGTGTCTTCAGAAGTCCCCTGCTACTAATCTCTAACGGTCTATCCATCTATTTCTTGCTTCAACTCATTCTCCCTTTTCCGGTGTTTCCAACGCAAAGATATCCCTCCTTTATTCCTTTTCTTAACCCAGCTTCACTAAGCATCAACAGCTACAGCAACGTTGAAAGCAACCCAACTCAACTACGAACCCTCAATACGCTACAAGACGAGACGAAACGACACACTAGCGACGGGCATGGGCATGGACATGGGTACGGGCGCGTTTCTAGCATCTCTCGTCCTGTCCCTCCTCCCGGTCCTCCCCCTCTTCCACCTCACCGCGTTCCCCAATCTCCTCTTCTTCCTCGCCATGCCGGTCCTCATCTCGTTCGACCTATCACCGTTTATCGGGCCGGATGACCCTTGGTCCACCGAGTTTTGTCAGAGGTATATCCCCCCCCAAAAACAAAAATCGATCGTGGGTTTTGTATGCGTATACGTGTATTTGCATGCATGTACATGTGTACAATGGCTACATGGCGACGGTTAATGATGCGGTTGAGGTGATAGCTCTCTCAGGCGCCTACCTTTCCTTTTCGAGTGAAAGGCCTTGCGTCGTCGACATTGTCTTTTTGGGTCGATGGGCCCAGCAACCGGAGTGAGGAAATGGATATTCTTGCCTTGTCCACTTGGTACGAGGCTGTGGAAGGGGAACGGGCGAGGTACATTGCAGTGCGAGCCACATCAGGGGAAGGGCATTGGCAGGAGATTTAACGAATTGGTAATTTTGATTTGTGGCCTGTCAAACTCCCCCCGAACCCCTGACCGGACAGATGCTATCATCACGACATATGTGTTTTACGTTCCCGCCCGCCTCCCAGATACCCAGTAGATACGTTGGTAAATATGCCCCCTCGTCAAAAAAAAAAAAAGCCACAGTTTGCGACACTTGGTAGTCAGTATTATTTTATCACTCCCCCTCCTTCCCTTCCTCCTCTCCTCTCATCTCCTAGAAGCATCTTTTCACGTCCACACCGCCTGGGCCAGGCTGATGGTCGAGTCGTCAAAGTCGTAGTAGACGTAGGCGCTGCGCATGAAGGTGTCGCCGAAGCTGATGACGGACTGGGCCTGGGGGAGGAAGCCGAACAGACAGGTGCCGGACTCGCCGGGCACGGGGACGGCCAGCTCGGAAAAGGGCACCTGGATGGCCACGGCGGGGGTGTAGCCTTCGCCGCCGAAGCCGAAGCTGAAGAAGCCGGACGGCATCTCGCACGGCACGAGGTAGTTGCCGTTCGAGTCGGTGTAGACGGAGAAGTAGGTCGCCAGCTCGTTGAACAGGTCCACGGGCAGCACGCTCGTCGTGTACCCCGTGTCCAGGGCCACCGGGTACGAGAACCCGGACTGCGTCAGGTGCGTGGTGCTGCCGTCCGACGTCGTCGCCGACAGGTACGTCCACGCGACCTGCAGCCGCGGCGCCGAGTCCGTGTACGGGATCATGGGCAGCGTGACCAGCGACCCGGCGTACTTGGACCCGTCGACCGCGCCGAACAGGATGAACCCGCTCCCGGCCTCCAGGTCGTCGAGGTAGATGCTGTAGGACCGCCGGTCGATCAGGCCCTGCGCTGCCAGGTCGTCCAGCAGCTCCGGGTACTTGACCGTGCTGGCCTCGAGGCCCGCCAGCCCGATGCCCATGATCCCCCGCGTCGTGCCGGCCGCCGACGTGGCCACCGCGAACGTCACGCCCGTCACCGTCGCCGAGCCGAGTCCGACCGTGTCGTCGACGTAGTACCCCGACGCGCTCGTGCCGTCGAAATAGCTCGCCGAGAAGGCTCCCAGGTTCTCGTCGTAGATGTCGGTGCTCGATTCGCTGGGGTCAACTAGTCGCCCAAAATGTTAGCCCGAGGGGGTCTGGGTCTTGGACCGACAATGGTCTTGGTGTATTGCTTTTTGGAGGGAAACTTACATATTCCGCCCGTACATGCGCTGCACGACCCAGGCCCGTAGACCCAGATGTCGCTGCTCCCCGTGTCGATGCTCAGGGTGATTGTCTGGGCTGGCGTGCCGATATCCAGGTCGACCAGGTACGAGTAGTCGGCGTTTTGGAGCGTGGCCGATACCCAGCGACGCTGGAGGTCTCTCGTGACATGGCTCTTTCTCACAGGTAGACGTAGTGATGTCCCTCGTTCGGATTTAGTGGAAGACACAGGTGCGGCGAGGCAGCAGCATTGCGAAAGAAGGATGGCCGCGGCGGCGTAAAGCCAAGATCCTGTCCTCATGGTGTGTAAGTGAGTGTCGATGAGACGTATGACTTTGTTATGTGATATGATGTGAAACGAGTGTCAATGGTCGTCTGGTTACTTGCTGTACATGCATACATCCAACAGATTCGTAGTCCAAAGGCTGGGGTGTTGGCCCATTGTTATAGAAAGGCCGGCCTCTCATTTCGCCTTGCCAACACGAGCTACGGGTTTGGCCTGATATCCTCTATGCCTCTTTCTCTCTCTCTCAGCCCGCTGGTCGCCCAGCCTTTGGGGCAATGCGGCCGCGTGGTGGTGGTGGTCTACTAGAACACCTTGAACAACCGGATCGAAGCAACATGAGGCTGTGGGGGAAGAGAAAGGCGGAAACGTTGGAAACGCAGGGGCATCTGAGGCCTGGTAGCGGGATAACCTGCATTAGTGGCTTGCGGGCTGTGCAGGGCGCATTTGGTTGCATTGGGGCCGGGGCACAGTCACTGAGAGACTCAATGATTGGATGAGGATGGATAAAGGCTTCGAGGACAAGGGGGAGTTCTTGGTCGGTAAAAGGTGACAAGAGAGCTTTGCGGTGCTTGCTCAAAGTCTTGTATGTTGCTTGGTCTCTACTTACTTTGTAGAAATAGAAATGGAGATGCGGGACGGGGCGGTGCTGCCAAAGACAATGAATGTGACAACTTAGCTTGTAGCACAGTGCACAGTCAGTAACTTGTACCAGTACGAGGTACAGATCCGAGGACAGACAGACCGAGGCAAGCAAGCAAGCAAGTCACCAGGAAAGACGTTCTGGCCCCCATGAGAGAAACCTGATCAGACCTTTGATGATGTACTCGTTATGCTGGATGCTGTCACCTGCCCCTCCTCGACTAGGACTTGTCCGTCTCGCCGTCTCCTTGTAACGCAACGGCTCATCCATCTTTACTGTTCGATCAGGCTGCCAACTCTGCGAAAGCCGCCTCCAAGCCTGTGCAACCAATAATCAGACCACGCCTGTAGAGGCTTTGAGGCCAGGAAACTCTGCAACCGACCATGCCCTTGCAGGACTGACTAGACCGAACGAAGCTCATCTTTGCAACCGAACAGGGACCCCGCTGCTTGGCTTTTCATTCTCAGCCTCATTGTGATCAGGGGTGGCATGTCAAGCATGTCAAAGAGCTTCGTTCGCTCACCCCCAAACTGACCATGGTCTGCCTTGAGGGATGCTTGTTCCTGCATCAACCCGAATCCGAGATACAAATCCCTGGTAACAAAATATGTCGTGACACAGTCGTGGCACTGGGTCCAAAAAAAGACACTCTTCAGCCTGACTTACTGACTGACTGTGTCAAACGGCTCGGTTCCCCCAACAGAGGCATTAGTTACTTACAAAGGTACCCAACCACGCCAACCACTTGTGTTGGTGGTGCAGCTAACACCGAAACGACGCGAATACGAGAAGAAGTCACTTTTAGGCTTCGGCCTGCCCAGTCCAGATTCCATGTCTTGTGCATGCTTAGGCTTCTTGTCGCTCTTTAAACCCATCCCCCAAGACCCAAGGAGCCAAAGATGGTTTGGTGCAGTTTTTTAAGTCTTCAGAGGCTGAATCGTCCCCTCACATTCAGTGTGGGTTCTATCCTTGTCGAAAATGGTCTCCATCTACAACATTTGTAATGTGGTTAACAAATGCATCGATCGCTAAACCTGGCCAGGTTCAAAATCCATACTTTACAATAATGCGGCTACCACGCAACCCCCCAAACACCAACTTAACCAACCTAGTGAAATCCGGCGATTCTGTTTTTGGCGGACTCAGCCGAGTGCTTCAAGTAGCGGGTAGGAAAGAACAAGCGAGGGTTCTGGGTCCGACTTACCAATCCTAGGCCCGCGCTTCCATTTCTATCCGCCTCTGGTGTCTGCGTGGGTCCTGTGGGTGTTGCGCTGCTTGGTGTGGCCGAGGTAGACGCAGCTGCCGACGTGCTGGTCGTTGTGTACCCAATGTAATGGGTGCTAGAAGACGAGTGCGTTTGGGTGGTGGTGGTTACCGCATTTTTGCACGGTGCGAAATCAACAGATCCAGTGGCGATACTCGAGTACTCTGCGGGCGTGGCCGTGGAAAGGTAGGCGAGACAGCCTGCGAACATGCCGTCGTAAAGGTCAGGCTGATACGTGCCGTTGCTGTAGCACAGGCAGCTTGTCTGTCGGCTGAACGCCTCGGTCGAGAAGCCCGGCGTCGCGTTTTCGCACCCAAGCACAATCTCTTCAAAAGCGGAACACGCGTCCGCCCCGCTGATGCCGAGAGAGGGTGCCGCACTCGATGGTGCTGTGATGGTACTCGTGCCGGGGCTGTTGCTTGTCGCAGTCGACCCGATGGTCATGGTGATCTCGGAGGGGTCACTCTGCACCTCGAGAAGGCATTGCAACATCGCCGTGTAGCTGGCCAGGGCACAGCAATTGGCGATAAAGACATAGCCAGAGCATGACTCGCACATGGCAGCTATGCAGTCTGCAGAGTTTGTTTCGCAGACGTCCTGGAGCCCTTGATTGCTGCAGGTGTAGTTTTGTCGTTTGTCGAGAATGATGTCGAGTTCATGGTCGCTGATGTCGGCCGCTACACTGCCCCTGATCAAGATGGCGAGGGAATATGTCTGGAGGACTAACGAGAGTGAACGCAACATGTTGAGCGTCCTTACGCTGTGAAAGATGTGTATGTGTGCTTGTCCTTGACGAAGTCGTCATTGACGAAAGCCTAAGATATAAGATACACACACCCGGATATCTGGCTGGGGGACTGACAGAGAACCAATCTACCGGTGTCAGATCGGGACTGAAACCACTGTTGCACAAGTAAGTCCAGAACAGGCGACTCGAGCCATCAGGCTGCAATGCGAGTCACACACTAGTTTCCACCTCGATGAAAATATCTCACCCCAATATGGAAGTCCATGGCGCCACACGAGCACACTGCCATGCGGTTGGAGATCTAGAAGCTGTGGTGGTTGTCCACAAAGTCAATACAAAGTCCCCCCGAGTCCCAATCCACAGCGCGTGGCGGAGCGAGCCACTGCGAAGGCTTCCCAAACCGGCTAGTCTGTTCGTATTTGCCCAAAATGGGCTTGTTTCCTTCTATTTCATTGGTGGCACCGCTGGCTTCTGGGTCTCTGGCCCACTCCCTCACACCCTCACTCACTTGTGCACCACTCCAAAAGTCCCTTCTCCCTCGACTTTGCCAGCGAGTTTGTGTCGTCTTCTTCGCTGAGCTGGAATTGGAAGACAATGGTAGAACACTAGGAGAGTGGTATCACCGACGTCTTTCCGGCAGCTTCATGATTCATCCCAAGCATCATCGGCCTTTTTACCGTCGCTTTCTTCCCCCCATGAAGCTGTGGCTTGTCCAAGAGGCCTTCTTCTTCCTAACCTGTTCATCCGTTTTGAACATACCCCTCGTCAAGAATGTTTGAAGTTAATCTCACCGTCGGAGAAGTTGCGGGTCTTATCTCTGGGTGCATCTCACTTCGTAAGGCTCATACCCCCTGACAACTACCGCTGTTGCTCTGGTTTAACTAAAACCTCACAGTCCACATATTGATTCCCCTACTCTTTGCGTTTGTTTTGGTCGGCATCGTCCGCGACCGCTCCTTCGACGCCGTCACATGGTCCTCGATCAGCCATCTCCTCCAGAGTTCGTGGTGGCCGTTGCTGCTGCAGAGCGATGGCGCCGCGGGTAACTTTACGGGCAAAATGGTCCGCTGGCGCGTCTTTGGCATCTCCCTAACCGTGACTCTGGCGACCGTGTGTCTTGTCGTCGCAAACTTTCTCACCCCGAAGCCGCTCTTGGAGAAGATTAATCCGTCTCGTGGACTGCATGACGTCGAGTTCTTTTACGTCCCAGGTGTGTGAAGTTTGACGAATTCCCCTACCTTTTGTTGTGCGTCCGTGCTAATATGGTTTCATAGACCCCTCGTACTACGGCATGGCGACCCTGGACCGACAGGGCGTCAATAGACGGTGCGGCTGGCAGAAATGGATGGACTGCCCGCACTCCATCTACGACGACCCGGCGGTCAGGAACCAATACCCGAACCACACGGTGATCAACTCGACGATTCCCGACGTGACGCGAGATCTCTTTACCAGCGGGACCAAGATCGGCACAGTCGCCAACCTTCTCGACATCGAGTTCCGCGCCTACAACCTCGTCAACAACTGGTACGTGGACAACAACGCCAGCCGGGCGGTGGGACGTCTCGAGGTGCTCCCATCCATGATCCTCAACGAGGGCTATCACCTGGTGAACGGGCTGATCATCGACGCGTTCAGTGGCGGCGTCGGCATCCGCAACCACACCGTGCCCGGCGGGCTCGAGCTCGGAGCCACCTGGACGGAGGACATTCTCTGGATCGTCCCGGAGACGCGGTGCACCAACACGAACCTGAGCCTGCACTTCTCCGTCAACGCCAACGCCTCCAACTCCATGTCCGGCGACGACGGCTTTTTACGGGATGACGGCGGCTTCGCCGACATTCCCGCCTCGATCCCCTCGCCGCGCTGGAACGACGCCGACGACAAGTGGAAGGACGTCGGGCCCACGCCGCAGCTGAAGCGCAGCGCCGACATCCTCGCCTGGTGGAACAACCAGTTCGTCGCGCAGGTGCTCAACATCTCCACCTCCGAACGCGGGGACGTGTACGCGGGCCAATTCAACACGTTTGGCTACCTCAGCGAGCCCGGCGCCATCAAGATCAGTAGCGTGGACGGCATGTTCCTCGACGATATCTATTACAAGAGGCAGGCGACGCTGGAGTCCAAGTTTAAAGATTACGGTACGTACAGTACATCCATCTGTCAGTTTTCCTTTCCTTTTTCCCCCCAAGTTTACATGGTACCTCTGTCTACCTACCTCCCTGTCTACCTCCCTACCCACTGTACGTACATGCGCATGTATTATGATCTCGATCTATCCAGCTATATACCCAATAGACCAATCAGAGAGCGCGGGTACCTATGCTATTCTGTGCTATTCGCCATGCCATGACATGCTATGCTCCTCTATTCCACTCATCTGCCAGATTGACAACTATTAACCTTTTCGGATATTCCAGGAACCCGCTGCAGCGGCTACTACGACGACGACCCCAGCGTCCCCGCCAAAGCCTTCATGCAGTGCGGCTACCTGTACAGCATCCCGCAGCCAGAGAACGTCCTCGGGACCGGGCAATCCTGGCGCCCGGACCCGGGCTCCCCCTGGACGCAGAACCTGTACACGTGCGCCAGCGCCGTGGCCGCGACGGTCAAGGAGGTGACGTTCCGCGCGAACGGGAGCGTCGCACTCGACGCGTTGCAGGTCGTCGGGGTGCGGGACAAGAATTATACAGATTCCAAGAGTTTACCGCGGTGGGGAATCGAGAAGGTCGACCCGGCCGCGTACAAGGTCTGGGACGTGTACAGGTTCTGGGGCCTCGTGGATGAATCACACCAGGGGAACGAGGACGTCGACGTCCACCGCGCGGCAAAAATCTATCTCCCCGCGGCGGTGCGCGGCACGACCCTAGGGAACCACATGTACGACTCGTTCGCGGCGGGGGGGGTCTTCACCGCCGCGTGGAACAGCATCTACTCGTACGCGGCGGCGTTGGGTGATGTGAATGAGAATTCTATTCCAAAGTACGTCGTCCGTCCTCCCTTGGACGCGCGCATGGTTACCGCCTTCTTGCTTTTTTCCTTCCTCTCGTGTGCAAGGTGGAAGCAATATATATCTCGGACATATCCAAGACATATGACTGATGCATGCATGATTCCCTCCACCAACAGCTACAGCGGCAAATCCAACTACGGGCTGACGCTCAAATGGCGCCAGCTCATGTCCCAGTCGACCGGTGGCGCCGAGACGCTGATGAATCTGATTTGGACGGACCTGATCGGCTTCGCCATCGTGGGCACGCGGACGGGGTTTGAAGGGATGGGGTCCATGGCGTCGGTGACGGAGCACAACGCCGACGATTTCGCCAACGCGGTCGGACTGCGCCAGGCGCACCGGTACGAGCGGTCCATCGCGTACGAGGACCTGCGGTACGCGATCCCGGCGTTCGTGGTCGGCGCCGTCTTCGTCGTCACCCTGCTCGCGTCGCTGCTCATCTGCTGCGTCCAGCCCCGCGTCTGGGCCGCCCTCAACCACTACACCAAGCAGACCAGCATGGGTAGGGCCGTCACGCAGGTCATGCTGCGCGGTGGACCGAACGAGATCGCCCCCACGGCGAGCACGAAACGCTGGGCCAAACGGGCCAGATTGGTCGTCTTGCCGGTCCCGCCGCTGCCGCCACCTCTAGAATCACCGGAGGAGGGATCGCCGCACAAGAAGGCTGGTTCTACCTCGTCGTCTCCTCTTTCTTCGAGGTACAGCCTTGTCGAAGACGAGGCATTGAGCCGTCCAGGAAGAAGGACCACTCTGCCGTTGCCGGGATTCGCAATGATGAGATCCCCAAGGGACAACAACGCCGGTCTGCGGACCCAGGTCGCATACACGGCCATGGTAGAGCGAGTGGCTCATGATCACGGATGACCTGCCTGGGAAAACCACGCAGAGTCGAGTCTTGCGAGAGACTGTGACCGGTGGAAATCGCCGAAAAGGAAGAAGAGATTCATTCCTTTGGACAACAACGATTCTCCAACGTTTTCCTGAAGATCGACTTTGGTCAGAGTTGTCATCCTTTGGGCGGGAAGATGGAAGCGTGACAAGCGTCGTGTCTGATCAATAGGATACCTAGTAAAAGCGCCCGTTTGGGAACATCGTGATATGTATGTGTAATGAAACACATCAAGCACTCCAGAAGATTCAAACTACCATGTGAACAATTCCCTCAGTAGGTCCCATTTTGCAATATGTCCGATTCTCCTTCGCTGGGGTTGTATATCAAAGAGAGTGCTCAAAGTGTCGTGAAATCGTCCATGGTGGCCACCAATTCGCGGTATCGAATAGTGTAGCGATCATTGTCCAGCATGTCAAGGAGCAACTCCACCTGAGACACCTGTCCACACCGAAAAGTGGACTGTGCATATCAAGCACCAGATCCAGAAACCCTTACCTCCGGGTCTTCTTCTGGAGTGGCTGCTCCTCACCATCAGAGTCATGGCCACGTCCGTTGGACTCGAGCTGTACATCATCTGTCTGTGAGGGAGACGACTCTCTGGCCCGTTTTGCACCCAACACTGGCTGCTCGAGAGACGGATGATAGTCCGGGCTTTTCCCATATCGGGAGAGCTCCAGTTCCCTCAAGGTTACGATGTCCTCCTCGGTGAAGACGGGGGACTTCGAACCGTCGAATGACCGCCGCACAAGACTCTCGGCAACGTCTAGGAATGAGAATAATGTCTCGGCATCATCCTTTTGCTGACGGTTAGTTCGACAGGGCCTCCCTACACCTCTGCGCATGTCGGGATATAATGCCGAATTGTGTATAAAGTGGTGCCTAGCTAGGTCCAAAGGCCGAGTACCATGTAACACGAGCATTTTGACAATCTCTAGACATCTCGTGTAGTCAAGGTCCTCGATGTAGGGTATCGCCGTTAAGAAGGAGGCCCATATAGGAACACTAAGATACGGCGTACTAACAAGTTCGTCTAGATTGGCGCCGAGTCTCAGGAGGTCGCTCAAGATGCTGGGATCAGGCAATGTCCAGCATTCAGTGAGTGGTGTAAGAGCATAGTGAAGCAGAGGTCTCCCCTCTTTCTCTCGAACTTTTGCCTCTGTTAGTCGTGCCTTGACATACGACTTCCAACCAAGCTGTATGCTGAGTGAGATGGCATTGCTTCGGTGCTCCGACCAACTCCGAAATATTAGGTGGATAATCCCAGATTGGATGTTTAGGTGACTGTAGTCGTAGTTAGATGTTGCCATTTCAATCCCGTCGAACGGTTCCACCACCTTTTCAAATAGCACAAATGCAGCCTCCTCTTCATCTGGTCGCTCTATAATGTGCCGGAGAAATTTTTCTACGTCAAACAGCCCCCTACCAAAGGTCGCTCCATAACGGCCGAAGGTTCTGATATCGATGGCCATGAGGTTGCATTGGAACATGTGAGCATCGAATGGTGAGTCGGTGTGGCGGTGAAGCAGATCTCTTGCAGCACGACCAGCAAAGTAATCTCGTACTGTTCGATGCAGAAACTCGATGCGCGTTCCGGGGTTCATGGTTTGGCTGTAACCATAGTAGCCATTCTCGTCGGTGTTCGAACCAGTCTCTAACAACCCCATACATCTGCTCATCAGCATTCGCTCCAGCAACTCGAGGAGGTCACTCCCTTCTTGCGGATGAGTAAAGTCGACGTCGTAAAGTTGGGAATTCGCACCAAAGCACAAGTCTTCACTCTGATCCAGGAAATGGAGATGCATAAGACGAAATTGAAAGTCCGTAACACCACGGACGCCCACGGCGTCCTCGCTGCTGCAGGACAATGCTGTCTGGAGGATGATGGATGCATCTTTTCGATACGGCACTGGCACCGACTCAAATATGCGTTGGAAGTAGTCATCCAGGTCAAGGGGGATGCTCTCCAACTCTCTGAACAAATGCTTGCCGCGACCTCCGTCCCTCAGGACTCTCAGAAGATCACGCACAACTAAGTGCACCCACAGAAATACCCCTCTAGCACGACTTGTAATTTCTGTGGTTAGATTGTCAAGTAGCTGCGGCTCTCCGCGTAGTTGTCGCTGAAAGTGCAAGTTCTGGGCCAGCTTGCCATGGACATAGAGTCGTATGTCCTCTTTGGTCAGATCCTCGAGCCGGAGTTGCGGGCATTCCCGGAACCCATCTCGAAATATGTTATAGGGCCGGCTTGCGACACACGCCTTGACGTTCTGGTTTCGAGCGAGTCTGTGGATCAGATCCAGAGCTTTCTGCCGTTGGTCATCCGAACCGTTGTGTTCGTCTAGACCATCGATAAAGAGCAAAATCTGTTTGCTCCTTCCAAGGTGTTGTATAGTCCTACTTAGGACTTCAACCAACTCATTTTCTTCCCACACGTGAAGACGCGAATATCCACCTAAGCTTGCCTCCCATTTGCTGCCTGAAACCACTCGGTCTACAAGATCAAGATGTGGCGACAGCAGCTGGTGGATGAGTGTTCGAAGCAAGCCGGACATCGATTTTTCGTCGTTGGTTCCAGCATACCAAAAGTAAAACGAAGCCTTGAGAAAGTCGGCATCGTCACCCGATGCGGAACGAGACAACAACTCATTTGCGCATTCATCAAGTTCTCGTAACAGAGTGCTCTTTCCAGATCCGGGCTTTCCAGACACCCAGTATATAGGGTGCTTGCTCGAATGCAACCACTCAACGAAGTCGTCCCATACAATTCCTTGATTGTCCTTGTGCATGAATATCCACTGATATGTGTTAGTGAAGGCCCGACCTATGTTATTGCGTCTGTTGTTGATCTCTGGAAACCATAGGCTTTCCACGATCGAACGTCGAGCGGCCAGTTCGCTGTTCATTGTGGGAAGGAGCCGGTGCACCTCGTCCAGTAAAGCTTTGAGGTTATCATCCAACCGCTCCAGGCGTGTAAAGAGCCCCTTGATCTCATTTGCAAGATAGGTGCCGCTGCGTTCCAATGCATCTTCAACATCGAGAGATATGGTGGTATCGTCGATAGCTAGCGAGGAAAGGCTAGAATTCAGTTTGGCAATATCAGCTTTAATATCAGCAGACGCCTTGGTAGCCCTTAGAGCTTGGTCTGCGATAATACGCATTCCCTCGCTCATATTCTGGCGGTCCACGGCAGACTGGTCGTGGAGGTAAACCATGAGGGAGAGCATCAAGTTCGCCCTCGCATGATCCAGATTCCGCGATAAGGTGTCAATGTATGATTTTTCAGCGTGACTTTTCAATGCCAGTTTGACTACCATATTGAAATGGTTAGCATACGCTGTATTGGATAGCCAGAAAGTGGCCATGGTGCAGATCTTGAAATCAAGGATTCTAGTGTCAAGAGACTCACCACTTTTCCACAGGCTGTGCCTCCTATTGAGACCCAGCTTATCCAGCGTCGCTGTGAACTCCTGAGACACTTTCAAGCACTCGAGGTTTGCACGATGCAGACCACGGGCAGGTCCTGGCGGCAGCAATTGGGAGGCGCTGGACTCCATCGACGTCTGGAGATGGGCACTTGAGACCGACAGACGTTGCACGCAGTCTTTCAATGACTCAAAGTAATTGTTCCCGCCACCATTCGCGTAGTCGATGGTTTTGCGGACCAAGTCGATCCCAAGGCTGACGAACTGGAGGGCGTTGCCCGCGGCCGCGAAAGTCGTAAGAGGGTCGACCATCTCGAATTCTGCAGCCAACAACAATGGAAAGCAGAGTCTGTGATAGAGAAGTCTATCCTCCGCTGGCTGAGAAGAATTTCGAGAGCCAGGTTCGACAATATCAGGCTGGCGATAGGTGGGTATTTGGGTGGAAAGCCGGAGGATGTGTTGGCGGAGGCGAAGCAACCGAGCCGCCCAGCATCTGCAGGACGAATGCACAAAAGCCAGTTAGGCAGGGTAGAAGGCTGACTTGTTTGGATGCGAGTCAAAGTACGACAGGCTTGCTACAACCACCAAATGAGCAGGGGTGACAGCCTGATCCCGGCAAGGCGCATTCCTGGGGATGACTCTGCCGTTATCGTGCGGCGCATCCAGCCCAGGGTTGAAAGGCATGCTTCGCTTCTTCCATGCATGACACATATCACATTGCAAGCTACTCCGTCGAGCTATTCCGTGACGACGTGATCACGGTGGAAGACAAACAACAGCGTATTACTGCCAGATCAACCTGCACTTCCACCATTGCACCCCATATTCATCTATGCCAAACAGCCCGTGATCCTCGTTATCGCCGATGTTCTGAGAGTCAATTTCTGTGATCCGACGGCCCTATCAGGCTTTCAGGATCTTGAGATGCGCAGAAAGAATATGATGTCGGATTGTGTCGAGCTGAGGCTGGGTGAGGGAGGCTTGAAAGGACGGCCAAGGGAGCGCTCAAAGGTGGAGACGCGGGCTTGGGGTTCAGAGGGGCCCAGAGAGTCGCTGGAGGAGCTGTTGGCTGAGAATATGATTTGTCGACCGTATGGCAATGTTTGCATGGTGATGCGACTTCGCTGACAATGCGGAATGTGGTCCCATTGAAAAAGCGCAGTGTAGAGGCGACGTGGCCAATGGGTTAGCCAGTCTTTCAGGCAGCCGCGAATGAGGAAAAAGAAGTCGTAACTGATATAGACAGCTGTCGTCTACAAGTCCATAGGACTGAATCGAGATGCAACAGCCTCGGAGTGTTCAAAGGTGCGAAAAGCCAGTCACCAATTTTAAAAAACAGCCTCGCCACCGCAGCCTCGTCCCCCAGACCATCTGTTATTCATGACAACCAACCAATGCATAATTCTGAACAACAGTATATACACAACACTGTTGAAGCTGGGTCGCCTCCTTACTCACAAGACCACCTGAACACCCTCCCTCATGGTCTCAAGCGTCTTCTTTCCAATCCCCCTCAACTTGACCAGATCATTCCAGCTTCGGACAAAGACATCCTCGACCCCTTCACCCTCTTGCTCATTGAGGTAGTCCACGATCCCTTCGGCACGCCTTGCACCAAGCCCGTTTAATGTCTTGATTTTCATGATATCCCGGGTATTGATGACTTTCAGGAGGTATTGTGTTCGAGGCGTTACTGCAGCACTCGGCTCGATTGGACCTTGCTGCGTGAGGGGATCCGGTGATGATGCTCTTGCTCGGCGTTTCTGCGACTTTGCTTGTTTTCTCTGTCGTGGCCGAGAAGCTTCGTCTTGGTCGCTTTCGTGGTAGGCTGAGCCCTCGTTATCCTCATCCTGGTAGCTTTCATCGCCCTCATCATTGCCGCGGGACGTCTTCGGCTTTTCCGATCTGCTTGATAGATCCAGCCTCTCGTCTGAATCTCCCACTGTATCGCTCGACTCCTTTTTCGCTGCCAGCTTCTCTCTCAGCCGTTCAATCTTACCCTTCAACTTTTCGTTGTCGGGAAAATACGGCCTAGCCAGCTCATACATCTTCAGAGCGCTCCCAAACTCCCCGCGGGCTTGATGCTGCTTGGCCATGAACAGATAACTTAAGCCTTCCGCCCTCTCACCGTCTTGCCCTTCCAGCCTCTTCTCAATACTGTCCAGCCGCCGTTGAACTTCTTCAGATATGGACTTTTGTGGAGCTGGGTCGGGTGCGTTGAGAGCTCGGGCTGCAAGAATCTCGGAGACTTTCTTCTCCACCAGATTCTCGATCGAGGATTTATCCATACCCAGAGCTTGAGATTCTGGGGCACGCCGGATAAAGCTGGGTGTTGGGCGCGCGATTTTGGGCGGGCGAGCAGATGCCAGCAACGACGTCTCAGCCGTGCGTTTCAGTGGAGACGACTTCTGCGGCATGAGTTTGGCACCAATAGCCGTTTTGTTTTTGTCCGAGTAGACCGCAAAGGCCTTTGGTGGTTTGTCATTTTTCGCAGTTGTATCCCGATTTGCAGTGAGGTTTACATTGACGACATTGGTTAGAGGCCGAAGTGGTTGCCGCTGCATCGTCGGGCCGCCGACTGGTGCGCCTGGGACCTGGCGCGGAGGACCCTTAAAGATGGGTTCATTCTCCACCTCGCGAACCTCAATCTTCTTAGTCCGGTTTGCAAAGTTCAGGGAGCTGAGCGTGTCAAGATGGTAGGCCTTGACAGGCGCCAGGTTGAGGATCATGACTGTGAAGCCATTGTTTTGTCCCAGCGAGAGGATCCTGGTCATCTTGGATTCACGATACGGGATGCGCTGCTGTTTCTTGCTAATGGCTTCCACGCATTGCGCCAGGACAAACAAGGACTTGTTGATGCTCGCGGACTCGACCATTCTGTCCTTTCCATTGCCCGTTCTTCTATTGTCTTCCGAGCCCGCCAGGTCAATGGCAGAGGCTGTGCTAATTCTCGTTTCCGTCGGAGTTGTGATGGCCACCTTAACGCAAAGAATAGCATGTGATCGTGATGAATGGGCGTTGAGCTTGGTGGCACCAGTACTTCGATTGGCATTAGCCTTGTCGTACAAGACCTCGAAATCCTTCAAAGAGGCGCAAGGCATTTCGGTCAGACCAACGACCACCGTCTTTCCACCTTCAGCTTCTCTGATGGGCAGTCCAGTGGCCGTTCGCTTCTCGGGCGCCTCGAAAAGATCAAAGACGCGGTCGTTGTAGATCTCGTAGTAGCTCATGGACACTTCGACCGTGGTTTCTCCACTACTGCTCTTTTCAATCGCCCGACTCTTTCTGTAGATACTGCTAAGCAATCTCGGAATCATGCCACGGTCAGCCAGCGACTTTCCGCCACGCATCGTATGAGTCTTTCCTGTCCCCGTCGAGCCATAAGCGAAGATGGTGACATCGTAACCGAGGAGGAGGTGTTTGACTGTGGGTGCAACTGAGGCCACAGGAGTCAGTCCGGCGAATACCAGCTTTTGCGACCGGACGAGAAGCTTACCCTCCGCGTCGAATATCTCCTGCTGCGTTGCATCTTGCTCATAGACACTGTTGAACTGGAAACTGTACTCTTCGGCAAAGTTCTTGGGGTTGGGAATCTTGACAATCGTCGGCTTCCCATCCGGACCAGGGTGGCTGCTCACGATCTGGTCCCTTTCGATTTCGGTTTTCAGAAGTGGTCTAATACGGGCGACGACACGCACGCTCATCTTGAGCTTTGCAAATTATAGACGTCGAAGGATGAGGTTCTGTGGGTGCGAAATACAAGATCGTGGTCCGCAGCTGTGGTTGTAGGGCCGAGTAACTACAAGGACGACCATCTGGGTTGTTGCGGGGGCAACGCACTCAGCCTTGTCCAGCGCCCACATTTCCTCCTGCTACAGACTAGGAGGAACACAATAATTCGATATATCGTCACGACTGAGTTGGTTATCTACATTCATCACTCGCTATAAGCTCGCCAGTCAGCTTCAACATGCCAGTGAAGCCTTAGGAATCCCACCAGAGTTGCGGCAAGTCTGCAGACAGAGTGTCAGCCTCCCAAGCCATGCCGCAGAAGCACCCAGACATCTTCTTCCATGGATTGTGCTGCCAATCTCTAATCCTCTCAGATGCCCTATATTTGCTCGAAGTGTACAAGGTCATACTTTCCAGAAAGAGACGGGGAAGTGGCACCGGTTGTGCATGTCACAGCCTTCACGAGCAAAATGAGTTGTAATGTTGAGCAGGAAGAATCTTTGTACGAAGATCTCCTGTGTTATCCTCGAATAAGGTTGAGCATCTTCATGCTTCTGGTCGCAGACTTAGATCTGGTTCTCAGTGGCACCTAAATCCTTCAGCGGAGGGATGCTTAAGCAGCCACAAGTGCATGTAGTATATTGATCCTCCCCAGCCTGGGTGCTCGTTCCTCGCTTAGCAGCAGCCCTAGGCGCTGCGGATTTGCCTAGAGCAACCGGCAACCGGGCGAGTAAATAAGCATGCCTGCTCACGATCCTAGGCATCATCGCAGGCTGTGGGGAGACTTTAGCTTCAGCTTTTTGGCCTCGCTTGTCGGCCGATCCAAGGATGCTCACCGGGGCGACACCATTTTCCCCAACAACAACAACACACTGGATATACTTCCGGGCCGTTACAAAGGTAAGTCCCAATAGACGCAGCACAACGTTGGTAGTCCAACGGTGTTTTCTCAAGAGCTCGACCACCAGTTGCGACTGGGAGGAACTGCCCAACAGGCAACTTTGTAGAGATCGGAATAGCTCGAAGGATGAGGGGCATATCAATCCATGCCAGGTGTTTTCCCACTTGTGTCCGGGTGGAGATTCGTCGGCTCCTCGCCCAGAAACACATGCTAAACTGGTACGGAAGAGGTTGGTGGGTGTTTAGTCTGGTCGCGTCAGCCCACGTAGTACTCTGGAGATACATGTACTCGATCATGGGCCACCCCAGTCTCGAAACAATAGAAGCATCACCTTTCATAGTGCCCATGGGACACCATTGCGTTTTAAAGTGTCTCGTGCTGTGTCACACACATCGTGAAGTTCTTTGATACAAAGCCTGCATAGACATTGATCAACTCACCCTGGCGCCTATCTTCGACTCACCCAGCATGAATAGTTTTCAGGTCTACGAGCCCGGCGGCGGTTCGGGCACCTCGTCTCTGACGAAGCGGCAGGCAATTCTCGCTATACCCACAACATACCTCGGCCTCAACGCTGGCCCAAAACCCGGGACCGTCGCTGCCATCGTGCTGGGCTCAATCGGCGGGTTCCTGCTTATCATATACGTTGTTTGGGCGGCTCTCAATTACGGGAATGTGTTTGGTCTTCGGCGCGGAGTCGTGGAGGAAGAAGTCATTCGTCGGCGCGGGCCACGCAGCAGCAGCAGGCGAGAGGGGACTATCGTCGAGGAGACCATAGAGGTGGATCGGAGAAGTTCTGTCCGGCGACGAGGAGCATCATCTGTGCGGGACCCGGATGAGGTGAGTTTTCAATTCAACTCTTCTTCTGGGAGATACTAACTGACGGTGAAACAGGATGCCACCGTCGAGGAGTAACCAAAACGAGTCTGTCCGTTTGGAAAGTCTAGAGTATTACAGAGGAAGACTTGGGATTTCGCCGGCTTGCAAATATTCTAGGAGGAGTATATTACGGCTATCACTAGGGGATCAGTGCCATACTTGACAGATTCCCAGATTTGCCTGAGGCTTTCAGAGGGCTTAGGGATCGGCGTTGCTCGTTTGCATGTTCCAGGGCTTTGTGACGGACCGTGTGAGAAGTGCAAAAGTGCCTGTTCTCCAGAGTGACACTTGGGTGGGAGAAGGACAAGTCACCACATCACCATCTCCATGTGCTGTATGTACGCGTGCATATTGAGCCTAATCGCCTACGACATAAGGGAACGAATGGTTGGGAATCACGGGTGGATGGTTATTATTGTCAAGGTTGCAAACGCATGGTGCATGACTGCTATGGAAAGAGGGTGGGCGTTATGGGGGGCCACATGACTGTACAATTATGCCTGAAGAGTTGAGAATGAAGAATGAGGGACGGGGGACTTGTGTTTACAGAGATACGTGGGAGAATCAGGATCATTACCGAGTACGGAGTACCCAGTACCGAGAATGTACATGCCTAACATAGGTACAGTCCTGGGTGCCATCTCATCATCTCATCATCTTACTACTCGGTACATACTGGGGCCTCGTGCTTTGTGTGATGCCTTGTTTGTTTACCGAGTCTCATCCACCCGCCCTGGTCCGGTTGCCCCAAGCCACCCGCCGCCCGCAGTTTCTCGTCTCCACCGCATGCATCATCCACCAAACACCAAACACCAACATGCCCGCCGCGTCGTGGCCGATCCCCATTCACCGAGCTTGCTTAACGATGCTTCATGAACCACACGCTGCAGCCACGTCCTCCTGTGCTCGCTCGGGTACCTGCTCCGTCTTGCAGCCCAACAACTACTCGAACTGACGCACCCGAACTTACCAGCATATGCCTGCGACATCCTGCAACATTTTTAAGAGCGCGCCCACGGCCTCTATGGGGGACGGTCCTCGTCTGAAAACGTGTTGAAACCCGCCGACGATCAGAAGAAGAAAAAGCAAACCTGCTGCGTCGAAACGCACGCTTGAGCCCTACTACGCCGGCCCTGCGCAGATTCCTCGACTCCCACTCCAGTACCACAAATTCCCTTCGACGGGCGCACCTTATTCTGAGCGCAGCGTGGCCCGCGCTCGGCGCCCTTGCACGCCCTCCCCCGCCTCATCTCGCCCGGAAAGAAGATGGCGACAGAAGTCATTGTGCGCGAGTCGTCGCGCCGGCGGTATATCTGGCCCGAAGTACAACTGAATCTGTGGATATTCATCGTGTTGGCCGGGTCATCTACTGTGTTGGGCATCAATGCGTGGTTCATCGCCGTGCAGGATCAATTGCAGGTTGGAATTCCTTGGTATGCTTCCTATATACGCAAAGGTGCGTTGGATAACTGCTGACAGCCGGATTTCTCGGGTCTAAACAGGTTATTCCCCTTCGCCGTCATCTGCGGTTCCCTCACGATTGTCTTCCTCATCATCATCCTCATCCTCGCGGCACGCCGGTTACTCATCCCGGGCATCATCCTCCTGGGCAGCTTCGTGCTCTTCGTGCTATGGGTGACCACTCTAATAGAGACGGCCATTCAACTGTACGGCGACGGCAACGTCAACGGCAATTGTAACAACTTTGTCCAGAACCAAGAATATCACGGCGTCTCAATAGAGACGCTGGCGTGGCTCACGCAGAGCAACATCTGCGCGTGTTGGAAGGCCAGTTTTGCGTGGAGCATAATACTGGCCGTTTTGTTTCTGTGGATGATGATCCTGAGTTGGCAGGTGCAGAACTACGATTGAGGATGAGAGAAACGAAGACGGGCGGGGAGGATCAAGCCATGTCATTTTCCTTTGTGTGTGTGTTTGAAGCCTCTTATTATAATGCGCATGTGATGTGATGTTATGCGATGTGGTCTTGTGGGAATTTGGGACCAGGATGTTTCGATGCAATATATATGGGCGATTTTGGGATTTTTGTTGCGGGTTACGACATAAAAATGTACATGGCGCACTCCCTACCCGGGGACTGTTGTTTGTTCCTGGGTCTGGAATAACAAAATTCCAGACCTCGAATGGGAAAAGCATACAAGAAGCACGCAATTTTGTTCCTTTTCTTATTGGCTTTTGTTCTTCTTCTTGCTGTGATGGAAACGGAAGATTCTCGTCCACCATGGAGTATCTTGAGAGACCCGGGCCTTCGAGTCCCTGGATGATAAGGGGGGGAGAGAGAGAGAGAGAGTCCGAGATCTGATATGGGTTCGGGATCTGTCCTATCCTGTCCTGCCTTGTTGGCACCTTGGGCTTCGTGTGAGGAAGACCATGTCCATTCCTGGGAGGATTGAAAGTCTATGTAACATACATGAGTAGTCAATGTCGCATTGCATGCATGCTAGGTTACTAGGTATGTATGTAGGTATGGTATGTGTGTAGACAAGGAAGCCCGATTCCAATAGAGACTCCTTCTCCTCTTTTTCTTCCGTTCCCCTTGCCTGGCCCTCGAGTCTCTGGAAAATCTCGCGGGGGTGGCCATGGAACAGATGGAGCAAAAGGCCCATGAACCAGTCCATCACTCACTCACTCACACTTCCTTCATCAACTCTGCAATCCGCGCGTTCATAAACTCCGTGTCCGGAGGATTCAAGCCGCCGCCGGCGACATGGCCCCAGACACTCTCGATGACGGCCAGACGGCCGTGCTTGAGGTGTTTCATCTCAATCTCCGAGTCCTCGGGCGGGAAGTACTGGTCGGTGCGGCAGGGCATGAGAAGCACTCTAGCCTGGATGCTGGCGAGGGCGGCGCGGTAGAGGTCGTCGTCGGGGATCCTCCCGCCGAGTTCGCTGAGGAGTTTGTTGGTGCTGCTTCCTTCTGAAGGAATGACGGTCCCGACATCGCCAATCTGCCACATGCGCGCCAGCACGAGCAGGTCCTCGGCGTCCCAGCCCAGGTAGCCCTCCTCGCGCATGCGCATCCACTCCTCGACGCTGCTCGGGTGGCCCTCCATCTGGGTGAAGCGGCGCTCGCGGAACCACGCCGTGCTGGTCAACCAGGCGCCGTAGGCGCGGGCAAAGGCGCGAAGCCCGCGTTTTGGCACGACCTCCTTGAGGTTGACGCCGACGGCCTCGCCGCGGGCTATCTTGTCCTTCATGGCCTTCCAGGCGACGTAGTCGATGGAGCTGGTCAGCGCGGCGATGGGGCCCTCGAGGAAGGCATAGTTGTGCAGCGACGTCCGCGCCGCCGAGCAGATGACCACGATCCGCTTCACGATTTCCGGGTACATGACCGCCCAGTAGTACGCCTGCTGGCCGCCCATAGAGAAGCCCACGACAGCCTCGAGCGCCGACGCCCCCAAGTGCGCCGTCACCAGTGCGTGCTGCGCCCGCACTACGTCCTCGTACCGCAGCTCGCCCGTCTCTGGGAAGAAGGGCTTGTTGGACGGGCTCGCGCTCTCGCCGTTGCCCAGCATCGCCACCACCACCACGTGGTACTGCGCCAGCGCATCGTACGGGGCCGACGTAAACGTCAGGGTCGTGTTGATGAGGCCCGAATAGCACGTCGGGATCAGCACCACCCCGGCCGTCGAGGTCGGGTTGTAGCTCCGATACGCCACGCGGACGTCGTGCAGCGTTGTGCCGCTCGAGAAGGAGAGGTCGTCGATCGAGTAGAACTCGACGCCCGTTGCGTCGTAATTTGGCCCGTTCATTGTGGGATCGGTGGTGGGGGGAATTCAGGCGGGGGCTTCCTTGAGCCTGAATTGTCTTGAGAAATTGATATACAAGAAGCGAGTTCCCTAGCGCCTCTCTGGTCGACAACGGATATCAAGACTGAAGATCAGTCAAGCCACGAGCCACGAGCCCTGTCAAGTCTAGCACCACCCGCACGACTGAAATATGGCATAGAGGGGAAGAAGACAAGTTTGATGATGCAACACGACAAGAATCAACGGCGGGATCGACGCTCTTCTCCGCTTTTCATAGGCTATTGAGATGATAGAACCAGACAGAGAAAGACCACTTGGAGGATGGAGGAGGAGGATGATGATGATGATGGGGGGAAGCATCTCTGTTGAGTCCCTCATTCAAACCAGAAAAGGGTCATATCGTCGTGATCGCGAAGAAAGACGCCAAACCAATGCAACATCCAACCATCCATCCCTGATACAAACAGACAATGGTCACACTGTTAAACAACGCCATAAGAAGCCCATGTAGCTCGTACATCTCTCAAACCTCCAAAACACGCCTTATCGAACGCTGCCTCGATTGCTTGGTCCGGATCAACTTGAGTTCTTCACCGAGCAGTTTCGCATCCCTCCACTGTTCTTCCATGTTGCTCATGCGAATAGCGGCGATTACAGCGAACACACTGGCACGCAGCTTCTGCACTGGCTTCAGCTTGACCTCATACTTGCGTTTGTCAAGAGATACGCCCATTTCTCCCAGAATGTGGAGATCAACTTGATTGCTGTCGAACCTGTCAGTATACCAGACAATAAAACCGGACTGGAAAAGAGAACGTACCACTCGACCCTCACAGCCTCGCCCTGCTCGAGGAAGGCTTTGCTCCATGCCAGGTCCTTTCGTAGGCGTTCTTCCCGTCTGCATTTGGCTTTCAACCACATAATCTCTTTGATCAGGCCCTTCATCTCCTTTGCTCGAACCTCATCTCTGCTTGACTTGCCAGATGTGAGACGTTCAAGGATACCTTCATACTTGGTCTGCAGCGCTTCGAGCTCGTTCTCCACCGCTTCAGCTTTTTGGTTGGCCACGCTGCGCTCTTCCCGAAGACGTCGGAGTTGATGCTTCATCTCCCTCGCTTCATTATCGCGACTCGACAGTCGCATGGACAAGTCATTGGTTCCTTCCTGTTCTTCCCGCAGGCGTTTGAGTTGCGCCTTTAGATCATGGATCTGTCTATCACGTTTGCGAATGCTTGAAGAGAGGTGTTGTGCCTCACCATCCTTCTCCCGAAGATCATTGAGCTCCTCCTGCAGTTCATTGACCAGGTCATTCTGCTCTGCAATTTTGGCACTCAATGATTCCACCTCTGCAGTACGAGATTTGATCTGCGTCTGTAGCATGACCAGTTGATCGTCATCAGTAGAAGCTCGACGGGTGGCACGTTTCAACTCGCGATTCTCCGAGTTCAACACCTGAATTTCGGCTCGAATATCAACCAGCTCTTGTCGGAGCCTGGCAACTTCTTTCGAGTGTGATGGAGGGGGCGAGACTGATGGCGATTTGGCTTTGTATTGTGCAAGTTTGGCCTCATGCAGCTCGCGTTCGAGGTTGTTGACCTGCATCTTCAAGTCGCGGTTGTTTGCTTTCAGATCTGCTTCTCTTTTGGTGGCTGCCGTTTCGTTGTTTCTTGCTTCTACCAAGTCGTGTCTGAGACCAGACAGATCCCCAGCTTGAGAAGCCACCGTCTTCGAAGGGTTGTCGAGCATCTCCTCCAACTCTTTGATACGGGTCTCCAAACGAGCGACCTTGTTCTTTGCAGAAGTCAATTCTCGATCCCTGTTGTCTGCATTGAAAGCCTTCTGGTTCCGGAGAGAGTCTATTTCCGCATTCAAACGAGCCTCTTCATTGCCTGCTCGCTCAAGCTCGGCATTGATCTCATCTTCCAACGCTTGGTTAGCTTCATGGAGATTGTCGCGCTCCGTTGTCAATCGGGCAATGTCTTTCTCGAGCTTGACTTTGAGACGCTTCAGTTCTCGCTTTTCTTGATCCATGCCGAATGTTTCGTCATTCGACTTGGAAGCATTCTGAAGTTTGGACTCGAGAGCGTCACGTTCTTCCTCGGCCTTTTTGAGAGCCATGCGTGCGTCCTGTAGGTCGCTGTTGCGTTTTGCAAGCTCCTTCTGCAAGGACTGCCTCTCTTCCTGCATCTGCTGAATCTGGGCATCCGCATGGCTGGAGAATTTCTGCTGTTGTTTTTCCGCGAAGTTGTGCTCTTGCTCAATGTCTGCCTGGAGTACCTCGATCTCCTCCTCCAATTCAGCCACCTTTTCTCTCAACGCCGCTTGGTCCCTGATCGAGATACGCAGCTCTTCTTTGGCGTTGTTCAGCTCCAGTCTGTTTTCATCAGATGCTGTGCGTTTGTCGGCGAGATCTTGCTGGAGCTCTTCGATCTGTTTGAGAAGCACTTTTTCTTCTTGATGATGTCGCTGTTTCTCGCTTTCGAGCGCTGCTTGTAGCTTCATTTCACGGCCATTGATTGTTCCTTGCGCATCTTGGAATTTATCCACCGTGCGTTGAAGGCCGTTGGCTTTCTCTTCTGCCTTCTGCGACGCGGCTTCAAGCGTCCGTTTCTGTGCCTCCCATTCTTCTAGATCTGCTGCATGGTCTCGCTCTTTCGAATGCACTTCACGGTGCAACCCGTCGATTTGTTCGTTTAGAAGGTCGACCTCTTGCTTATGTTGCGATCTCACGATGTTTTCGTTCTGTGCCGAGTGTTGTCTTTCCTCGTCCAGAGCAAGTTCGAGGTCTCGGATTGATTTCTGCGCCTTGGAGAGGTCTTTCTGAAGTTCCGCGGATTCCTTGGTCAATGCATCATGTCGTGTTTGCAAGAGATCTTTCTCTTCAACTTTGACTTGTAAATCTTTCTCGACAGTCTCGAGTTGTTTGGCCATGCTGTTCAGTTTACGTTCGAATGTATCACGTTGTTGCTGAGATTGCTCAAGATCTTGCTGCAACTTTCGAAGTTCCGACCCTCCTTCGCGCTCCAACTCTCGAACTTTCTCGCGCAGTTGCCGCTCTGAGTCTGTCTTCTCTGCAAGTTCGACCTGCAAGGCATTGTGTCGTTCCCGCAAGTCTTCTAAATCGTCCTCGAGTTTGTTCGTTTTCTCTTCAAGCTGTCGACTCAGTCCTTTGGTTGTGAAGGACTTGTTGGCCATCTCATCGCGCAGCTCTTCTAGATCTTCTTCGGCTTTGCGTTTCTCTTCGAGAGCCTCTTCTTGGACTTCCTTTGCTTCTGATGCAGCTGCTTTTGCGCGTTCGAGGTCCTGCTTGAGGTCCTCAATTTCTTGTCGGGCAGACTCCAGCTCATCCTCAATTTCAGCGACATCATTTGATTCCTTGCTTGCCTTAGCCTTGAGAGCATCAATCTGGTCGTCTCTCTCATCAATCTTCCGATCCTTCTCTCGCAGTTCAGCTTGCAGGTCTTCAATCTCATCTTTGAGCTTCTCGACAGTTGATTTTCCTTGATCTTTCGCAGAATCTCTCTCGGTTTCTAATGCTTTGATCTGCTTGTCCTTTGCTTTGACCTCAGTTCGGAGGGTTTCGAGCTCGATGCGGACACTTTCGTCCACTTGTTTTCGTCTAATTCGTTCTTTGAATTCTTCGAGCTGTAATCGATAGACCTCCGCATCCTTCTCGGCCTGGGCAATATTCTTCTTGAACTTGTGTAATTCGCGCTGCATGGTGATCCTATTGACCTTCAAATCGGTATTCTCCTTCAACGCAGCTTGGTTGAATTCATTGCCTCGCTTTGACAGAGCCTCCTCCAAGAAATGTATCTTCATTTTCAGGCCAAAATTCTCCTTCTCAACCTTGTCAATGATGCTTTCTTGCTCGCGTAAGGTCATCATGTTTCCGTCATTCACAAGTCCGGCGGCATCTCGTCCTGGCAGTGGTACGAGAGGTGTACTTTGGGCACTGCTACTGATCTGTTGAGGCATGGGAGTGTTGTCCATTGCATTTCCAGCCGAACTTGAAGTGTGTTCGCTCGCAAACTGTGATATATCGCTGAGTCTTGGAGCCCCAGGTGTGTAGCCGCCTTTGAGGTAGGAAGGAGTCGCTTGAACACCGGGCTTCTTGCTTGAAAGGCGACGTGCCATGTTCTTCTTCGTGGCGCTTTGCATGAGAGGTGTAAACTCGGATCGACCTTGGTTGCCATTCGGTAGCAGGCGCAATGGATCTCGTAGTCCAGCTCGAGGGGTTCGGAGGTTGAGACCCTGAGATTTCGCATTTCGCATCTGGCTGATCAAGTCTCGGTTTTCTGGGGGTGCTGCAAAGGACTTCTCGGGCGAGATCTCTCCTAGACGATCGAGCCCATTGGTGATATATGAGGCGTCGGTCGCCTGCGGTGTGTTGATATAGTTCGCCATGACGGGCGGAGACAATTCAACACCCAATGAGACAGGCAGTCACCTCTAACTTCAATTGTGTAATATTAAGGCAAACAATTAACCATACTCTGCTGCTGTCTTTGGAGCAGTGATGCTTTTTACAACGCCCAAAGCATCTCGCGGTTGTTGCTTGTTGTTGTTTCGTCAAAAGAGGAATGGTCGGTGCTGCGGGGCTTGGCACCTGCAGGATGATCTCATTGGCGGGATCAGCGGGCAGCAAAGCATGAGCCCTTACGCACTGCACCCTACAAGTAGTTTCCCCTCGCCATCTGCGCAGTCCTTGTCAAACCTGCCTAATCATATTCTCCTGTAACGCCATTTGAGTATGCCTGCCACTGAGGAAGAGATTGCTTGGTTTCGCTCCACATTTCATCCCGTCCCGAGACCTGCCTTACCAGATGACTGCATCGAGTATTCCCTGTACATAACCTCGCCCTCACTGGACCCGAGCCATGACTCTGAATTGCGACTGCGGCTGCGGGAGGTACAGAAGTATGCAACAGACCTTCATCGACAGTACCTGAAAGATTATATCTGGCAGCGCCAAGGGTTCTCCCTTGAGCTGAATAAAGAGGATGGTGAGGTCTGTACGAATGGGACGGAGAAGTCGAGAATCAACTGACACTGGAGTAGGATTAAGTTTCTTGCGTGGACAGACCGAATATGGTGACTCTGTGGAAGACGAATGGGTCATAGTCTGGCTTCTGAGGGAGCTGACCAAAAAATTCAACGATCTATGGGTCAAAGTCAAAGACAGCGATGGCGAGTTCCTCCTCATCGAAGCCTCTGGGACTTTGCCCTCGTGGCTGGAGCCAGATGTCGCTGAGAACCGTGTCTGGATCCATGATGGGCAGTTGAAAATTATTAAACCGGCTAGCGCTTCAAGAAGTTCGAAGCGGACAGAGGAGAAGTTGTCGCTTTCGCAAGCCAGGGAAATCATCTTGAATGAGCCTAGGAGGTTGATGCACTCGATAAGCATGGAAGAGGAAGCATTCTTTCGGCTGCGCAATTATCCCTCTCAGATTTCAGAAAACATGCATCATGCGTTGATAACGATACCGCGGAAACTTGCATACTTACTTCATCAGAAGCCGGCCTACATTGCGCCGGCAGTAGAGGCATTCTACCTCAGAGATCCGATCGCGCTCAAACCTTTGCAAAACAAAGACAACAAGGGCAAGCTGGTCTTCGCCCCCGAAGATTTGGCCACAGTGAGCGTCAAATTTCCTCGTGTGGCATTCGCGCAAGTCAAGTCCCAAGAATTCCCGCCCCCTGCCGCCTTTGTCGATGCGATGCCATCAGGGACGGATTCAAAGGCGCATGTTCACGCTGAAATCGGGATGAAAGTCACATGTGGATTCGAAATACTGATCTCGGATTCTCAATACCAAGATCGACCAGCTGTGCGCGAAATGAAAATGCTCCTGGATGATCTGGATGCAGGGGATGAGGCCCTACCATCAGACTCTGACATAGCAACTTGGAGCAAGCAAGAGGATGATGAAAAGTGGCTCGACATCAGCTTCGATGATCTTGAGGATGAGCTCGGTGGGCGGAAAGGCCAATCAGGAGGAACAGGCAAGAAGACTGGCTTTGGTGACAAGGCGGCGCAAGAGAATCTACAGAGAATCGTTAAACAATTTGAGGAATTTTTGAATGACGACAAAGCCGGTCCAGACGGCGCGGGATTGTTTGGTGATGACAGCGATGATGACGAGCCCGACGATGATGATGAATCTGAGGACGACGAAGGCGAGGATAAAGAGGCCAGCTTTGGCGAAGACGAATTTAGCAAAATGATGCAGGAGATGATGGGCATGCCGCCAGAGGTCATGAGGGAGATCATGTCGGGAGAACTTGGCCCAGGGGCTCATGATCCGGCCCATCGATCCGCACTGAGGCCGCCTGCAACAGAGACAGGCTCTGCTCAAGCTTGGGACGGGACCAATGATGACGAGGCAGAAAGTGGCGCGGACTTGCACGCCTTCATGAAAGAGATGGAGGCAGAGCTTCGAGGGCACGGCGCCCTAGACCTCGGGTCCTCCTCATCTGCCACCAAGCAGAGAGCGATCACAAAGCCTACACTCAAAGCTGGGAAGCAGAAGGGGGACGAAGATGAAGTCTACGAGTTGTCCTCAGACGATGACATCGACAACGAAATCGACGTCAACCTGGCGAGGAACCTCTTGGAGAGTCTCAAGGCGCAGGCTGGCAACGCGGGACCTGGGGGCAATCTCATGGGACTGATGGGTTTGCGAATGCCAAAGGATGAGCCAGATGATAGCGATGACGATGACAATCAGGCTGGACCCAGCGGAACACAGGGCATGACGGGCGGTATCCCGCGGATTGAGGAGCTGAAGTAGACCGCAAGAATGGCTGCAAGACTTGAACCTGCAATAAATCCCGATCGCTACATCTCAATATCCATCCCTCCCTTCCACAACCCCGTAAGCACCACCGCCCGGTCCAAACATCTCCCTTACGTCGCGCACAATGTCTTCGGGACGTTCCCACGCCGCGAAGTGTCCCCCCTTGTCATGCTCCTTCTCAAACACGACCTCGCCGACGGTCCTCGTCCACGAACTCGGCAACACATTGATATCTCGCGGGAAATGGCTGATCCCGACCTTGACCCCGTTGGCCTGGTAAGCCCTGAGTTCGTCCAGGGTGAAGCGACGGCCCCAAGGGCCCGAACGGCCCATTTCGTAGTAGATCCGGCACGAGGCGGCGGGGCCGGCGGTGCTGAAGTAGTATATGCTCAGCCAGGTGCAGATTTCTTCGTCGGCTGTGAAAATGAGCACGAGGGCATCAGTCATTTCCATCGTCGTCAATGGGATTCGGGGGATGAATGAAGAGAAGAGGGGTGCGATTGAGGGTAAAACAATCATCGTGGAAACGGGCAAGGCTTACTCCAATGGTACGCGTCTGCCCAGTCGTGCAGTTTCTCGTAGATCCACGCCAGCAGAGCCACTGGACTGTCGGCCAGTGCGTAGCCTATCGTCTGCGGCTTCGTGGATTGGAGCAGGTTGTACCCGAACCCTTCTTTGTCAAACCATTCAGTGCGGGATACACCTTGTTGCTCTCTGTTGGAAAGCCGTCGAAAGAAGGAGGTCACGAAGAGGAGTGGATGCGTGAAGAGCGTAGGTCGAGTGCCCGCGTCCATGTTGAAGTGTGTGGCTTTGCAATGGCGTGGGTAGAGAGCCGAAAGAGCCCGAGTGATGTAGTAACCCCAATCACCTGCCTAGCAGTCAATTCCATGTCTGTTGCTCAAGCTTATGTAGATTCTATACAGTTGAACTTACCACCTTGAGTGACATATTGATCATATCCAAGCCTCTCCATCAGCTTATGCAACGTCTCTGCATGCTGCTCGACTGAAAATCCGCGTCTTCTCGTGCCTTCTGAAAATCCAAAGTTGGGCAGCGAAGGTGCGACGACATGGAACGACACTTGACCCTGGGTCTGGGTAGAGAGACCATCAATGATTTTGGTGACCTCCAGGAAATTCCCAGGCCATCCATGCACGAAGAGCAGTGGAATGGCTCCCTTGGCTAAACTTCTCTTGTGCATGAAATGGATATTCAGAGGCTCGTAGCCTTCGCACGCGATTGTGGTGACAAAATGAGGTAGTTTATTGAGCTGGTCCTCAGCTCTTCGCCAGCTGAACTCATGGCGCCAGTATCTTGTGAGTCGTTGGATGTCGGACAAAGGGACACCCATGTCCCATTCTGCAGAGTCCAGCTCATCTGGATATGTGGCACTGTCGAGCTTGGAATTAAGCTCCTGAATGCGGGAATCAGAGACGGTGATTTTGTAAGGCTGAATGGAAGACGACATATTCAGCAGACAGTTTTGTGGATGTTGACAATCAACTGAATTCGAACATTGTGAGGCTTGTTTGCTTTGGACTGACTTCGATGTTATGATGTCCTAGCTGGCGTTTTTATAGGCGAATTATCAGGCCATCCCTGATCTCTGTGATCGTCACGATGGCCTTGATTTCAACGTATTCTACCTTGTGATATACGCTACTCCATACAAGGGACTTACTCGGTTCCGCAATACGCACCCACTAGTCAGAGACACCGGAAAGGCTACCTGCTGTGGTCCTGCCGCCGCTCTGAATAGATGATGTAGAAGGTGTGATGTTTGCAAACATTCGCGATAGAGATCGAGGTGGGATAGGTTTCACAAATCACGCTTTGTCAGCTCGAGGTAGCAATGAACCGCGTATAAGGATCGTCCCTCTGATACCTTGTAGCGATCCCCGCAGGTAGCCCTGGAGTACAACGAGGCGATAAAGCGACGAGTCAGAGGGAAGAAGGCAATCTTGTGCGGGGACTTGCAAAAGTACATGGGGTGCTTGCTATTTGCGCCAGACAGGTCCTGTGATTCAACAACAAAGCCCTCAAGGGAGGATCAAGTGGCTGGACGAATTGCTGTACTAGATCAATGCATCGTCTATGATATCGGTGAGAAGCGCTGTACGTGAAACTGTGGGACAGTTGCTCGGCAGACTTTCCCCAGGTTGGTCGGAGGTCTGCTAAAATGAGTGACGCCTGACTGCGGCGTCACTTGCTCCCACTCGCAATTGCCCAACCCTCAACACGATGAGATGTACAACCACTTTTCTGCATCGCGCAATCTTGCGTCTGTGCTACTTGAATCTAGGCGAGTGCAATTCCCTTGCCGGACTGTCCGCTCAGAGTTCCGACAGTGTTAAGCCTGGTTAAGTGGCTCTGAATATACCCCACATGGATCGTCACCCCTCCATGGCTGGTCAATGAACTTGCACAAATGTCGGCTCTCAGGGTGAGCATGGGCTCACTGCACCCCCCTCGGAGTGTCCAGCAAATCACCAAAGCTGCTCAAGACTACGAATATGACGCTCAAATCCCTCTACGATACTGGCTGCGGTCTGCTCAAGCGATGCTGAAAGAGGTCGGTGGCTTCTTGTGACATCTCTGGGAAATGAACACTGACTTTTGCACAGGCAGAGGTATATATCCGCGAAGGTGACGAAGAGACGACGTACCTTCTCCTTTTCCGACATGCCCACCTTATTTTGTCGCAGTTGCCGGCTCACCCGCAAGCCAGGGACAAAGCGAATAAACTATTACTAAAACAGGCGGAGAAAGAGGTCAATGACAACTTCAAGGTCCTGGATTTGCTGAAACCCCGAATCAACGAGCGGTATGAGCGATACGTCAAGCTCATAAAGGAGAGGGAGGCCAGGCGGAGCGCGCAAGCCCACAACCAGTACACCACTGACCCTCCAAGTCCCCAGCCAGGGCAGGCACCTAGGACACAACAACTCCAGGCACACGAAAACAAAGAGCTAGCAGTCAGACTCTTGCAGAAGGAGATCTCTAGGAGAGCTGCAAGTCGACAGGCAACGCAAGCGTCTAGGAACGATGCAGAAGACCTGTCCCGAAGTCTGCAGGAAATTCGAGCCCGTGTCGAAGGGAGGTCAGGTCCCATTTTGCAGGGTACAGAGAGCCGGCTACCAGCGCCTGTCGGCAGCAACGTCACTTATCACTACCCGAGCATCCCTACACACCACAATCAACCGGTGCTGAGCTCTCCCTTACCACGTGTATTACCTCCTAGCATACAAAGAGATATTCCAGTCTCACCTCCAGCGTTACCACCGAAACCTGGCAACAATGTGGTGGCAGTGCCGCCTCGTCCGGGAAAAGAAATGGATCAACAGCCTGCAGCCAGATCACAAACACCCGAACCAGTGCATATTTTTGCTCCTGCAGCCTACCTCGAAAATGGAACGCCATTGCGGACTGTGTTCCTTCCGCCAACTCTGCGGACAACATTTCTGCGACTGGCTCACAAAAACACGTTGTCCAATCTGGAGACGTGTGGTTTCCTAGGTGGGACGCTGATCGCCAACGCCTTTTTCATCAGCCGGCTTATTATTCCTTCGCAAACGGCAACATCGGATACATGCGAGATGACCAATGAATCACAGCTCTTTGACTATGTGGACTCGGAGGACCTTATGATACTTGGCTGGATACACACCCATCCAACCCAGACGTGTTTTATGAGCAGTCGAGACTTGCATACACATGCGGGATATCAGATGATGCTAGCAGAGAGTGTGGCAATTGTGTGTGCTCCGAGCAAAGGAGATACAACCCACGGTGGAGACTGGGGAGTATATCGTCTAACCGACCCTCCTGGCAAGAAGACGATTCTCAGCTGCGAACAGCCAGGGATCTTCCACCCGCACGATGTTGATAATATCTACACTGACGCGCTCCGACCAGGACACGTCGTGGAGGCAAGAGGGATGGAATTCGAGGTGGTGGATCTTCGAGATAAGTGACCCTACCATCGGCGGATGGAGCTCAACCTGGCTCGCGAACTTGTGCCTAAATAGGTGGCCGTAGATGGGTCTATTATTTGAGCAAGCCAGGTATGGAAGATGGGATTATCACAATCGACAAACTGCACGAGCAGGGTGGCAAGGTGCTGATGCCAAATTGACCATATCTTCTTGGCCGGATATTGGCATGGATGCACGCCATCTGGAGAGCTGGATGATTGTCACGGAGATGAAGAAATGGATTTTTGTGCAGTGTTGGGCTGGAGGACGTCTTATCCGGAAGCCCATTTTATATGTTCCAGAAATACCAACTCGATTGCAAGCCATGGCGCAAAGGCTTCACGGGTACCACCGGATTCATATCCTAGCCAAGGCAGATTCTGCCTTGCACATGTCCATTTTCACTTTCTTCCACCTCCTGCAAACCATCGTTGTGCATTTTGGACATGGGTATGTGAACTCAGTTATCAAGCGAAATCAAGCCGCGGACAAGCCACCAAACGCCACCGCTCTGATGCTGCTTGGAAGAGACGCGCACCAGCACCTCAACAAATATTGTCATTGGCTGCCAATCGGATAAAGCTGATGACCGAGATACGACGCGCTCTCCTGGCAAAGAAGTTTGAAGCAGTCGAGGCGTCTCGTCGTGGTCCTAGTCCAAAGCCCCTCCTGAAAGCCTCCACGCCATTAAATGCGCCATACCCGAACGCCACTCAGCGACAGAGTGAACTGGGGCTCCCGGAAGTCCTAACTGCGAATTTGAGCAAATAAGAGTCAGCTTTGGTATGCAAGGCCATCCACACCAATGCAGGAACATGTGCGTCGCCTGGTGCCTCGGCAGCATCCATGGAAGTTCGTTTAAAAGAAGAGAAGGAAATACTCATCTTTCGATATCCCACTGGATCAAGCACTATCATGGTAGACACATTGTAGCAGATAATTCATCTCGGCCGACCAAAATAGAATTTGAAGCGTTCAAGACTCCAATCCACTTTGTCGAGATTCGAGATGAAGATACCAAGCTGCCAGAGAAGTCAAGATAACGTGGGCGAGGGTGTCTTTGGCAAGTGGCTTGCAGGGGATTGGACCTGGAAGTTGATGGTACCTGGCTAAGCTGAGCCGGGGGGAGCCACTCGCACCTAAAGGGGCTAGTAGTGGGGTTTCTCGGGGGCTTCACCATGCCTAACGCGTCGATAGGCGTTTGACAACCAATTTCCGAGGGGAGCCATTTTCTGCTGCCGCTGTTTCTTCTTTCCGCAGGGCCTTTCTTCAGCTTCCACAGTTGCTTGCCCCCCATTCTCTCTCCTGCCAATGCCCTTACGTGCTACCGAAGGCCCTTTTGTCATTTAGCCCGATATTGCCTAGAGGCCCAATTGAAACATCCAAGGCCGCTCCCTAGTGTCACGCAACGTCTCCTCTTTCATCTGGTCGCGTACTCGTAAGGCACCACAATTGCCCGTCGCCGGTCAGTGCTCCATCGACCTCGATTCCTTTCCCCTTCCAAGTCTTGTGACTCTTCCTCTCTCCAACCTGCACCAACCGCAGAACCAGACCACCACATTCCTTTCTCATCCGACACAACAACCTCATCACTTCGCCATCGAGGCAGCGTGCAACAGCACATTCTACACCGTCTAGACGCCTCGTCGCGTCTCAACTGTGTCCCCTTCTCACGCTCGCTCAACTTCAATTACTACTTTGATCGACTTCTCAGGGGCCCTCCGGTGTATCAAGTCTGAAACACAACTTGCATTCCCAGCCAAGCTCCCCTTTACGTTCCAGCGATTCGAACAAGACAGACCTCCTGAGAGAGCTGTAAACACCTCCGTCCTGCTCGACGCTTTGATGTATATTCGAAGACCTGGGTGCTGAAGGTTAACAAAAGAGCACGGGAGAGAAAAAATAGCAGTGCGGGTCACTGCTGTGAAGGAAAACAAAGAAATTCGTGTTGGCTGCGCCTTTCCAAGTGACTGGCCTTCACCTGGATTTGATCAGGTTACACGACAAGGCAACCACCTGACCGGTCTTTGAACGACTTCGACCTCACCGCTGACCATCTCGAATCTCTTCATTCTACACACGTCCCTATTGAGTCGAGCCGGAGAGGCACTCACCAGGTCTCGAGCCGCGTCATTTTTCAGAACTGCCTCATCCCAAGAACATTGAACGCTATGGCGAAATCACTCCTACAAGCTGTCGCTCTGACTTCGGTCCTCGTCCTGTTTACGTCCCCAGTATCAGCTCAGACGTCCACCTCCGCACCCAAAGCTATCACAACCCTAGGTTGCTACAGCCATCCAGACCCTTTGACTTCAGAGGGAGACTACACATTCCAAACATCAGGATATTGCCAAGGAGTATGTGTACAACTGGACAAACCAGTGATGGCCATAACTGGAGGATCGACCTGTTATTGTGGTGACGAACTCCCTGGTTTGGACTTGGAAGTTGACCCGGACAAATGCGACTCACCCTGCAATGGCTATTCTCAGCAGACTTGCGGTGGCATTGGTTACTGGCAGGTTTACCTTACTGGGTTGACTGCAGATGTCGAGACAGCTCCGAACAGTACCAGCAGTTCAAGCAGCTCAACCCCTACCCAGTCTGGTGGCTCGGGAACCTCCCAACCCGCAGTCGTCACCAAACCGGGCGAGACTATCGTCGTGACAGCTTCAGCAACGGCTAGTCCTGATAAATCATCCTCCGGCGGCACCAACAACAAAGTTGCCATCGCTGTTGGGGTTGTCGTCGGCGTTGTTGGTCTCTCTGCCATCATCGGAGGCGTCCTCTTGTTCTTGAGACGCAGGAGGAATCGAGAAATTGAAGAAGAGCACCGTCGTAATGCGGCCGTGAATTCGTTCGTCAGTTCAAGCAAATCAGACAAGTCGTCCACAGACCAGCGCCTTGATCCCTCAATCTACTCACATCGCCGACAAAGCATTGGCAGCATCGCTGATGAGCGAGACTTCTCGAGGAGGATATTACAGGTATGTCGGTTCGACTCTGGCAACAGCTAGGTAAAACAGCTAACGCTTCTTAGGTGCGAAATCCGGATCGAGAATCAAAGTCATCTGCTATGGCGTAGTAGAAAATGGCCGACGCTGTTCTCTCGCTGTGATACGAGGCAACGCGGATTGTACACAACGGCACGGGGATGAGAAAACTCGTTTGAAGACCAGCATACATCGTCACTCTGCTATGGGTCCTTTCGCCTTAACTTGAAATGGCTGGAAACTCAGACACTATCAATACTCGAATTACACGCCTACTGATGACCGAATACCACGATCCTAACACATTCGCCTTGACCACACCCACTCTTCCTGCATTTCAGCAATACCATTGAAATGATAACGATCCTTACCCGACAGCACCATCCAGTTTCTTACTCTCGTTTGCTGTTTATTTTAGATTCTAGACCCAGTTTCCAGTGGTCAATGGCATAGCTTTGGCGTCGGTGGTTTGTTTGAGTGCACTGAGGGAATGTTTCCTGCTTCTGGGGAGGGCAGGGGGAGATCGGAGACGGACGAGATTTGGGAGTCAGAAGGTGACTGCTCAAGACTAGCAGACCCGTGCTTGCATTACTATTGATGATGCCTGACAAGTGGCTGTGGCATGGTCGCGCGAGATGGAAAGGGTACCAAAGAGGTAACCCACCTACTAATATTTGCATGAGCAAGGCCGAAATACCTCAGTGTTTCGTCCCCAAAATCTTATCGCGAGCGTAATGTCTGATGGGAGGCAAGCATCGGAGGAAAGTGTGGACGAGAGAGACAGCCTTGCCAAAGGGATATCTCGTGGGAATGAGCAAGGAAGGATGGAGGAACCTGGGTCTGACCAACAAACGCTTGGGGAAATTTTGATCACACCGTGTTGTCACGAAGTCATGGCATGGCTCGAGGGGTCGAGCTGTGTGTAAGTGTAGATAGAGATTTTCCTGCCTTGTTTTTGTACCACTATCACCACCACCACCGCCATTACCACTGCTACCAACCAATTCATTTGCCCACCTATCGAGTACATGACCATCAGTCCGTGCCTCCATCTGTACCGAGTACATGTAGTGATTGGAATATGTGTTCTTGGGGTCCGAGCCAACGCCAGGTGCTGTACCATATCGTCCTGCTGGGCACTGCTGAGTATGTAGTTCAACGTCCATACAACCGTGTGACAATCAATCTACTCTACCGAGTACTCGAGCTCTTTCCATTCTGTGCTCTCTATCCTCTACTCCTGCCCTTCTACTCGAGCTCTGCTCTCAGTTAAGAGGTTCATTCTCGCATTCCCATTCCCATGCGTCTGCGCCTGCGTCGGTCTCGTCTCGTTCCAGTTTTTTCCTGTCTGGGCCGGTTCCCTCCTATCCGATGTCTGTTCTTTATTCATTCTTCTTTTCTTCCTGTATAAATTATCTTGAGCGATCTGCTTTCTCTCTTCTTCCCTCTTTTTTTGCTCCCAACAACAGCCAGATAGCCTGCATGTCTGGCAAACAGCCGCCGTAGCTCGCAATTATCCGATCGAGGTGCTGCGTGGGTTTCGCACAAAGGGATGGATGGCTTCTGGTAAGTGAGGGAAGGAGGGGGGAAAATGCAGTCGTGCCGATAGCTGCGAAAGCTCTGCGCTGTTGTAAGGTCGTATATCGTAGGTCGTCGTGTTTGGGCTGTTTTGTTCTGTTCGTTTCGAAGGGTAAATAGGTAGGTAGTCGTTGCTCGTAAGGCCGTTCAAAGCTGTCTTGTCTTTGGTCAATCTGACAGTCTCCTTTCGTCTTCTCATGTCCATCGAATAAATCTATACATACACCATAACTCCTCGCTTCTCTCTACTCCCTCATATTTGTCATTTCAGGTACTGCCCGCTGTGCCGCCCACGCCCACCGCCTTGAGAATATCGCTCACGCTCCAGCCAGGTCCACCCGGGACAACCTCTCGCCAGGTCTCGTCCGGCACACTGTCTTCAGCTGGCAGCAATGACCAATTCGGACTGGGTTTATCGGGGGAAAGCCACTTGAAGTCGTCGATCTGGTTCCATTGGTTTGGCACGGCCGAAGGATCTTCTTGAGAAGCGGAGATCAGGTCACTCTGTTCCAAGCCCAGTTAGCATTAAGTCTACCAATGGGGGACGGGGCAAAGTGTCGGCAGAGTACTCGACGTACGTGGAATTTTGGCAAGACAGCGAACCTTATGCCCTTGCAATCCTCGATGATCGGCCGGCTCGTGCAGTGCAAGTAGACATCCACCTTCTCACAGTCATGCATACGGAACTGGCGGCACTTGAGTACAAGCACGCTGTTCTTTACGCCTGTTATGTGCGCAGGGCCGGAAACTGAACCACAGAGGATCAGAGATGAGGAGATAGTGGTGATAGTTATGCTCGCAAAGGGTGCTGTGGCGGTTGTCGGTACAGATAGATCAACCACGCACCCATTGAGCTTTGACAGCGAACAAGGCGTTTGCGTGTTTGGGGCCGAAGAGGGCAGGATAACGTGTGTGTTGGATTGATTCGAGATTGAGGTCGATGTTGCTGTTGTGGACAGAGACGGGCGGTCACTCCCTTGGGCAGGGTCGGCGGGGGGTGACTGTGCTTTCGTTTCAGTGTTGATTGTGACGGCGTCTTTGTCTTGTGCAGCAGCTTCATCATGTTCCCCAGGTATCGACTCCTGTTCGTCTTGTGCTCTCTCATTGGCAGGGGTGTTGACATAACTAGGGGTATTGACAAACGAGGGATTCGAGGAAGGCGATAGATAGCCTGGTACATTGCGCCGTTTCTCTGCCGCAAGCTCTGCAGCATCGCTGAGTGACAAGGCGGAGGGAGATTTGGACTTGAAGGAGAACTTGGGTTTGGGAGCGTGGGATTTGCGTGTTTCATCCAGCTTCTCTTGCAGTGCCTTGATAGCCTCGCCATATGTTCTCTGGTCGTAAGGAGGAATGTATCCTGAGGCGTCCTTGACCTCGCCAGATAGTCGCGTGATGCCGGCGAGGCAATGGTCCATAGCATCGGAGCGCTCGCCGCCTATGAGCGCAGTCTCGGAGAGACGATCCATTTCATCCTGGAGAGCTGTCGCATGGTTCCTTTCGTCAGCCACGGTCTCTTTGGCAGCGTAGAGGACGCAATGTACCGGTTATTTCATGCTGGAAAAAGTTGAAGAAACGCTGTTGATGGGAGAGCTCGCCGAGAGGCTCGGCAACCTGGCGTGCTTGGTTTTGAGGCTCCATGGTGGTGGTTGAGGCCGATGCCAGGGGAATTGGCGAAGGAAATCAACAATGCGGTATGATTGACTTGGGGATCTGGAGATCTGCTAAATATGCTTTAATATAAGCCTGGCTTGTGGGCGAAGACAAGGGCTCTGGGGTTGAGATAGTGCGGTGCTGAGCCAGGAGCCATGACGAAACTCTTCGAATGTCCCTGTCACTGACCTGTGTCGTCTCGAGGGGTGAATGGAAGCTTTTAGCGGTGCGGGGGTGGCGCGATTGGGGGCCGAGAGGCACCTGGGCGGAGGCAGGGGTCCCTAAAGGTTGCCGAATCGGCCACCGATTGGGCGGTTCTTAGGCATCAGAAGCCATGTAGGGTTGACTGGGTGGTTGAAGGCTCCCCTACTCGTAGTTAAAATGAACCCCCCAAAGACCTGCAGCCAAGCAACCAATGACCTTCCAATGGTCTCCATTTCCCCATCTTTCTCAACCTGCGTCTGTTGCCATCATCGTTTCTCTCACTGCGATCCTACCTTTTCTTCTATTGCGTTCCTTGTTTCCGACCACTAAGGCCCCTGCTCCCACTCGCTTCCTTCTGCGCATGGTCCTACGCTCCTTTGCACGTTGCGCTTCAACAGTTGCCAAGAAGACTTTGAGCCGTGGCTCTAGTCGTAATGAAGTAACCAGCCAGCAACTATGTGGTAAGGCTGGTGACACCTGTGGTCCCTGCATCTTTGCTCACATTCTGTAGACGATATCCTCGATCGACTGCGTACCAGCCTTCCTGCTCCAAACACTTGCGACATTATCGACATCAACCCCGGACAAGGGATATGGTCCAAGAGCTTGCACCGTATCATTCAACCTAGACGCCATGTCCTTGTCGAGTCCAATCTGGAAAAATACGCGGACCATCTCCAACCCTTGTTGACGAGCCATAACTCAGCATATCGGCATTCGACCATTCTTGAGGACGTGTTTGACCCAAAAAAACAACTTTTGACTCAATATGAGGTCGAAAAAGCTGTTTCTGACGGGAAGCAGACCGAATACAACAGATGTTTGTTGATGACGGTCAATCTCTCTGGGGCAAAGGTCAGCATTGGGGGGTATATGGGATCACTGAGCAGAAAATTCTTCGATGAGCTCTATCTGTCGGTGCTTGCCAGTCCTCACAATGGCTTCTTTCGCTATGGTCTGATCCGGGTTTTGGCATGGATTCCTGATCACGAGAAAGATTCTTATATCCCCCGGACCGTGCACGCGCGCCACAAGCAGACCATCATGCTTGAAGCAACCACCGAGATTACCGAGGTAGCTAGTGCGTCAGGAGCAACAAAGTCAACCAGGTACAGGAAATGGCCTGATCTTGAGTTGGAAGAAATAGCGGTGATCAACGCCAGAGCCAAAGATTCGGGGTATAAGATGCCAAAGTCGAGGCTCGACGCGCCTCCACCGCGGGAGTTGCTCAGTATTGAGCCGACTCCTCGAAATTTGCGGAAAGCAGACTTCACCTCGGACGCAGAGTGGGTGCCCAGACTACTCGAATTAGACAGCCACATAAAGAAGAAGTATCCCCATTGGTATCGAAAATATGCTTTGGGACAGTCGATTCGCAAACTGGGCCTGAAGACGCCCCTTCAGAAAGAGTGGGGGGAGCTTCTCCGGCGGGCAAATACTACACACAAGACCCATATGAAAGCTGTCGAATTGGTCAACCAAGAAAGAAAATTGGTATCGGATTGGAAACTTGAGATATCCAATGCCCAGGGCAAACCCATCGATCCCGACACCGAGCTATCGCTTCAGAAGCGTGCTGAAACCATCAAGGAGAAGCTAAAGGCATTGAATCGGACGAACAGAATCTTTGCGGAAAAGGCCATCGACGACTGTAGAGCTTGGGATATGTCACCACCTATTCTAGCCTGGAATCGTCGGGAAGCTCACCCTTTGACCGTTTACAATGGCGAATTCGATGCTCCGAACCGCCAAATGGCTCTGCTGGACGTGATTCCACGAGGAGATTTAATGCTCAAAGTCAACACTTATGATAAGATGGTATGCTTCCGCTATATTGTCACAACCCTCTCTCTATACCTCTCCAGGAGTGTCGCTGAAGCGTTGAGGGCTCTGGTACATGAAGGGCTAGACGAGTTTGTCAAGACCATCCCAGGGATCCACGATCCCACCAAGGGAGGGTGGTACGATCTGACCACCTTGCGAGTGAGAGCCTTGCCAACGGACATGTTTGTGGAAATTGGGTTGGCTTATGAGAAGTGGCCGTTTCGCATGAGCACAGAGGCGATCCTCATGACGACAGCAGACCCAACAGCAGGGTATAGTGGCCAAGATGATGATATGAAATGATCCACCAAGTGGTGGTTGTATTAAATATTGTATAGTATATGCGAGTATGCCTCGCCTTGAGCAACAGCAGTGCCACCGCAGAAGAACGAGGCCTCTATCCGAACAGCTGGTCAAGAACATCGTTTGTAGTCATGACCGTGGCAAACTCGCCCTCCAGACTGGCGAGATGGACCTTTTGCACCGTCTCGGCATCAAACCCACCTTTGTTGAAGCAGGCGGTGGCATCGCTGAGGATGACGATCGTGCCATTTTCACCTCTTTCATCTTCCCGTCGCTCGCCCTGCCCGGGCCTCTTCTTGACCACACCCAGGTCCTTTGCCCACCGCACGCTCGTCGTCACGCAGTGGTCCGTCGCTATTCCAGCCACGACGAGCTGCTCGATACGCCCCCGCTCGAGGATCTCTTTCAGCTCGGCATTGCCGAACGCCGTGTTTGTCGATTTGGAGAGGACGTGTTCACGGGGGAGAGTGGCAGCTTCGCTCGACTCCATCGCCGTCACTGGCTCCGCGCACGGCATGAACTTTATCCCGTCCCTCTGTGTCGTGCCCGAGACGTGCAGCGGTGACAACGGATTCGTCGATTTGTGGTATACATGCACGATTTCCACCGCATAGGGCTCCCTTTCGGAGTCGTTATTGGCTCCCTCCTCGACGTTCCGTTCTCCGTTTGAGGCCGAATGCACAGGTGAGGGTGAAGTAGAATGATCTTCCACTTGTCCGTGCGACCTGCTTACTCGTACTCGTACTTGTACGCTGGAATTATATCCCCTGGCCGCGGCGAGCAGGGCCGAGACATTTTTCTCCAAATCCGGTGTCGAGCGCTCACTGCCAAAGTAGCCGTTGTGGGTGTTCAGGCCGCGTTGGATGTCGATCAAGAGGAGCGCGGTACGGGTTTCTGACGCCGGCGAGAGGTGGCGACGGGGTGGTGGTGATGTCGATTCGGTGGACGACATTGCCTTTTCCGTCTCGGTTCTTTACAATGGGATTGCGCTGTCCTTTGATGCGTGGGTGGGTGGTCTGGTGGCGCTATTAGTTGTAGGCGATATCGGTTTGGACCAGGCACCAGGTCAGAACTGCGTCTCTATAAAACGTCACTCGCTGTGCCGTTTTTTCTTCTTCAGGACCAGGTGAAGAGCGAGAGTAAGCTGATGCCGGCGTTAAAAGGTTCGCGCAAAGACCCGAGGAAAATAAAAACAAGAACAAAAACCCGAAATTGGGAACCATCTACATATCTATATCTCTATCTACATACCTAGGTACATGTGTCAGGCATCTAGTATGCGGAGGAACCAAGCACTCCCTTTCAAAATGGGCGTCTGCCTGCTAGAAGATCGTGCGATGCGTCCAATGAGACCGCAAGGAATTCGAGCACCGAATACGCTGGTAACAAGGCGCGAAAAGGCTGACGAGGCCGCCTGCGAGTCTGTACAGCTCTGGAAATGGTTGGATGAGAACTGGGTGGGGAAAGGGAGAGAGGAAAAGAAATGGGACCGGTGACCTTCTATGGCTTACAAATGGGAATGTACTGAAGGTGAAAGATGTTTAGAGGATGCTTAGATAGAGTAGGTATTGTAGATCGTGTAGAATGCTCGGTAGATACCTGCATATGATGGCACAAACGCAGCCTTGTGTGAGGCGGTGGGGGTCGATGAACCCAATTCGGCAATGCTGTAGCAGATTGGATGCAGTTGTTTGTCCTCGAACACTGGAAACAAAGAACCCTAGCCGCCTCTCTCTCGTTACCATCTCATAGGAACCACGAGAGCTCGCGCCGACATACATAGAAATCAATTGGGATAGGATGGAAACCCCCGATACCGAACATGGCAAAAGCCTCACGGCGCCTCCGTTTAGGGAGATGCGGCCGTAGGCACCCACAACTAGTCATTCGTCTTGATGACACGAGCTTGGAACAAGTTGGAGCTCTTCGTCGTGGCCAAGTGGCTGTCAGCAACGGCCTGGATCTTGTACAACTGGTGTTGGGAGCTGACCCTTGGAGGGATGCAACCATATACTCTGTCCGGGGCAGAAGGCACTTGCTAGCAGTAAAGAGCAAGTAAGAAGCCTCATCACCACCCTTGATTCCAGGTCGACAACGAATCAGAATATTCAAGACGGAATGCTCTGAATAGGTTCACATCAAGGGTTGGTCGACCAGGAGCAGGAGCGGTAGGAGCAGCAAAACTTGCCGGGTAGAACACCACCTTCGGGACGTTGGTGCCTCTAAAGGACAAGAGGCGTGTGTGGAATCTCCTCTCAAAGGGACGTTGCAGCAGTCCAAGTACTCCCAGATGACGAATGGAAGATGGGTAGACTCAGCATGCTTTCGGCCTTTAGCCGCGGCATTCTCCAGACACGGCTGCGAGGCAGTAATGCTTTATTGCGCTGTCTCTGTGTCTCTGAAACATCACGAAGCTCAAGACTAAATATATCAAACACAGTGTGCCGCACTGGTCAATCTGGACGAGCGCGGGTTTTTGTGTGCTGCAGAATGGTTCTCGATTCGAAATGTCAGACAAACCGCTAATTTTCCGCCGGTAGAAAATGAAGTTGCACCTCCAAAGTTTTGTGAGTGGCTGACGTGAGGCTTCGAGGAAAGACCACTGGCAGGCTGGCTTTGACAATCGCATTGGGTAACCATGAGTATGGGCTGGGTGGGCATCAAGTATATAAACTGAGCCCGACGCAGGACTCACCTCTGATGTCGCTAGCAAGCAAGCAAGCAATTCACTCTTTCTCTCACCAGCACTCGTTCCCATATTCGAGATCCCTCGAGAGCTCGCTGCCGCCATGTGGTTCTTCAAAAAGCTTCTCCCAGCACTGCTCCTCGTCCCAGCTTTGGGTCTCGCGTCACCCTTCCCCAACCCGGTTGCCGCGCCCCAGTCTTCGGAAGATACGGACCAGATCACCTGCTTTGAGTATGGGAGCGGACTGGTCACCGCCCAACAAGCCACCGACCTCGTCAACGAGTTCAACCGCATTGTCTGCCAATCCAACCCGAACGCACCCATCTCGCTCAACCCCTTGGAGGGAGTGTCAGTCGATGACCCATCGGGAACAATCATCTTCCAGAATACCTTGAATATGGTCGCCACACCACCCAGTTGTGGGGAGGTGGTCAGTGACTTCCAGAAGCTGTTGGATCAGTGTTTCACCGGGAGGGGCAGCTATGGTGGTGTCTTAATCGAGACTGCTGGCGGTGGAAGGACCTCGTACGTTATCAAGTCGCCATGAACCAGAGCAGATGAAGCATTGGAGGGTGAGGAAGCAGAGGTGTACGGTGATAAGGCAGACGATGGGTAGCCGGCGCCATAGATGCGAGACGTCAGATCTACAAATTCACCCTTCATCTCTGTCTGTTCCAGCTCTCCGAGGGTGCGGAGGCGAAAGTTGTTGAGTTTCAACATCGGACGTCTTTGAAAAAGTCTTTGAATTGATGGTTGGTGAGAATGACGGTCGTGAATCTAGTGTTCCACCTGATGGCATCTAGATCACAGCCAATATATCATGCTCGACATAAACAATGATTGAGTTGATAACAGCAACATGGTCTCAGCGTGTGATTTGAAATAACAGGTGTCTTCTTTCGCTTAGCAGAGGCTTGATGTGGCCCGTTGTTCGACCAGATATGAAAAGGTTCTTGCGGTACAAGCGATCTGACCGTGATGATGAGTGAGTGAGTGAGTAAAAGGTCCTGGAGGTCAAGGTAGAAGAGAAGGCGAGGTTAAGATACCATACCAATATTGCAATTCAAGGAAAAGGGTGATGCCGCTCTAAGACAACAGCACAAACTCGCCAAGGCTGTCCCTACTCTAAGAACGTGTATCACGCTGCTATTAGCTCATGATTCAGTCTCCATTGAATCGACGCGCCCTTTGAGGTACTCGATGTTCGTCACATCATAACCTCTTGAATATGTGCACCATGGCTTGCTTAAGTGCTAACACAGCGGTGTCCGATTGCTTCATTGGTGAACCCCGTGTCAAGCGTGTACAAGAGTGTGGTAAGATCTAACCTTGGACAAGCCAGTCTCCCAGTTCGTGGCCTCTCACACTTACAATGGATACACTACTTCGTTCAGTTGATCGTCCTGTCACGCAACAGCCTCTCGCACCTGTCCAGACTCGAACCTCAATTTCCCCTCGTTACCAATCCCAAAATCTAAGGGGTCGAGGCAAGCCATGACTGCAAATGGGTGATTGATTAGGCTGGAATGGGCTGGGCCAAGCCGGCCTGGACGCAGCCACAGAACAACAAGTGTCTACTCTCAGCCTCATCAACAGAAACTAGGCACCCCTAATTGCCCCTTGAGCAATGCCTGGCTTTGTCAAAACCTCGCCATGGATAACGATTTGTCTGGTCGAACAAAGATATTCCGCTCGCTCCTCCCGGAGCACGGCTCACGTTCTGGGTAAGAGCTGGATACGATAGACTGCGAGTGTTGTCTTATCCAAGCTCGTGGAAAGTATTGCGCACTTCTATTTGCCTCTTCACAATGTCTGGCCAGGGTCGCTTGAGGAACAGATACTCCTTGGGCCGTCTCCGAGAAAAATTCCACTGGCGGTCACGTCCACAGTCGGGTGACAATGTTGTAGAGAGGATGCCAAATGTGCCAACACCAATTGGCATAGATGGTAGCCAGGTTTCCAATGAGGGAAGCCTACAATCTTCGCAAGCTGATGATCATGCTCTTGATGTCTCCAATCAGGCCAGGTAGTTACAAGAATCGTGACAGGCATACGCGGCTCTGACACATATCAGCCCTAGACAAAACATCCGTCCCTCAACAGACGACCAAGTCCGAATCAACGTCTCTGGTCTTAAGAAACCTGGATGCGCTGATCTAACGAGCGAAGAAATCCTCATTGGCAAGAGTGAAGAAGTCTATCAACTCATTGAGATACTGAGGCGCCGAGGTATGTGAATGTACCGACTCGTTGACGAAAACCTGACGTGATCGACGCTGAAACCGACTGCCTCACAGGATATACCGATATCTGTGGCTTTCAAGGCGTGTCTTCCCGCTCCCCACCCGTAGGCCCAATCACCCGTCTCGACTGCGATCTCCCGGTTGAGGTCGTGACTGGGGAATCATGCTATTCACTCTCGAAAGGTCTGAAAATCAACGCGGACCAGACTCTTATCGATTTCTATGATCAATTCGTGTCTGGACCCCGCTGTTCAGCTCCGCCTATTTCGTCCACCGTTTGCTCGGACAGCATCCTCGTCCGAGATGCGAGAGATTGTGATGCTGCGAAGGGGCTGGAAATCAAGTTTCACCGAACTCTGCGAGCACCTGATGATGGCAAGATTTACCCACTGTCGACAGATTTCGGGCAGGTCAAAATGCTTCCCGTGGCAAGCTTGTCAACAAAACTACCGCCAGACACGAGCGCAGCGGGCGGGGCCTTGTTTCCACTCTATCAGCGGGAGGCGGTTGTGGTTCATTTCGACCGAACAATCTCAGGGTGGATGGATCCTGATGCCCCTGCGACTTTCGCCATCAGAGCATTTGAGGGACATATAAACTGTATTACCGGCCGCCCCGAGTCATTCGCCAAAAATACTTCTGTTCAGGATTATGTTGTCTTCCCCCTCCAACAACGTCTCGATGGCTGTGTATCTCAGTCCGGTGGGACCAACCAGTTTGTCTCCCTGCCACTGGGATCGAACAGCAGATCTCCATCGCAGGCTCCTACGAAAATCTTGCGATTCCAAGTGGCACCAAGGTATCCAGATGGCTGCAACTTCATCATGAGCGATAAAAAGTTTCCGGGGCTGGACATTCACGCAACTCCAAACCAACTAAGGCTCAATGTTGGAACATCAATCAAGATGGGTGGAAGTCTGCATTGCCAGCGGAGACTGAAGGAGACTGCCTACAGGACCGCCTCTCTGGAGCTTTTCAAGAACGAGGATCTATACCCCTTCCCCAAAGACCACTGTCGGCCTACGTATATCTGGGAGCTCAAAGGCCTGAATACGGGTAAAGACTCACGACAGCCAGAAGGAACTTGGTCTATTAGCTCCGTGGGAAGTCTTTTGCTGTCAGCTGACTGGCTATCCTTTGGTATTTCTGGAACCCCAAACACCACCATCCATATATCTCCATTCCACAATTTGCAAAGTTTCAGAGCTCGGATCAAATCTCGAATGCCGCAAGAAAGCCCGGCCTTCGATCATAACAAGCTCGCAATTGATGAGAACGTCCTTCTGGAAGACCCTGATACCTGTAGAATAGTCCAACACGGACTCCGCTCCAACAGCCATGCGGGGACCCTCACTCTGACCAAAGAAACAATTGAAACTCTGCAAAAGCAGGTTAACCTCTATGGCAAGAGCCGGCGGCCTTTGTCAAGATGGGATGTCGGCCTCATTGCTGGTGGAAGAGCAGGTATGGACGTCCACGCTGATGACAATCCAAAAGCTTGGAATTGGACCTGCTCTAGCCTAGTCACCGTCCATATCCTGAACCACCTCGCCTTTGAAGAAGTCACATCAATCGCGTGTCCGTCCACGCCAATAGAGCTATCCAGCTATCTTACCCACAAAATCCCTGTGTCCACCTTCAAGGAAGCTGGTGTGAGTCCTTCTATTGACAACACGCGTGTTATCCACGCCGGAATCGTTATGCAGAACGGGAGACAAGTGGCTTGCTTGCTCTGCGAGGAGAATTTTTGCGATACACTGTAGGTTGAGGCTTACACGGTACTAAATCTTCCTTTTCAGGCTCAGAACTAATCTCGTGTAGGCTGCCGGTTTGCAATCACGCATTCTGTGGGCAATGCATCCTTAATCGCACGGGCGACGGAACCTTGGTGACCTGTCCAGCATGCCGGAGAGAGAATACATCAAGTGTTCGCCTCTTCCCTCCAAATACAATACACGCAACCATCCGAGAATCGACATCCTCAAGCCTGGGCACAGAAGTTCGGAAAGCTTCAGAGTCTTCGAGAAACCGCTTAAGTACGAGAAACCCACCAGGGACCATCGAGACTCCTCCTACACTTCCCAGCAAGCCAACAGTGGCATATGAAGATGCCATGAAATCCGCGCTTGCTCAAACATCGGTATTCACCGACCTATGTGGAAAAGGAGCTGAGAATCGCGTGTTCCACTTGCTAGAGCGAGGTGCAAAGGTCAACGAACCACCAGCTGAAGAAGGCGGACGAACTCCACTTCAAGCAGCCGCTGAGGGCGGTCATCTGAAAATTGTTGAGATACTGCTAGCGCACGGTGCCGATGTCAATGGAGCTGCAGCTCCTTTCAAGGGCATATCTGCACTAGCTGCCGCAGCGGATCGAGGCCATGTGGCAGTGGTAAAGATGCTCCTTGCTCGTGGTGCGCACGTAAATGCCGTACTTCCAGGCTGGAGAGACTACTCATCAGCGCTCCAATATGCGTGCAAAGCAGGCCACACTGAGATAATCCGTTCTCTTTTAGAGGCTGGGGCCGAACCCAACAACAAGAAGTGGAAGAGTGCAAGTCCGCTATGCCTAGCTGCAGAACATGGCTTCCTGGAAGCAGTCCAATTGTTGCTCGAATACGGGGCAGAGGTTGACAATACAGCTTCTTTGGAGCTGGACCACGGTCGTCCACGGGGTACTACACCTCTTCACGAGGCTACCACAAAACAACACAAAGAAGTGGTGGACTTACTACTAAGACATGGCGCAGATCCTGCCATTGTCGATGCAGGGCAATCCTCGCCCTTACACATCGCCGCTGCGTTCGCCGACCAGGCTATCTTCCAGCTCCTCCTAGCAAGTCCGCGAATCTGCAAATTTGTCGAGATGAGGGACAAGTACAAGGCCGCATTAATGCAAACGATATGCAAGGACGGATCGTTCGACAGGATCAACCACTTTCTCGCAAGGGTGCCTGGCCCTCGCGACCACTTCTCTCTCAAATGCTGGGCGGTGTTTTTCTGCTGCGGATTTGGCTACACAAAAACTGTTGAAGAGTTGCTGGGTCTGAATCTGAGCCCCAACTTCAGTGTTTCCAGTGATGCGACTCGCCTCGTAGGTTACCAAGCGGAGACGTCGCTTGAGCATGCCATCCTCAAGGGACATACGGAGGTTGTTGAACTGCTGCTAAAGCGTGGTGCCATCGTATCTTCGTCCGGCGGGTTTAGACTCTCGAAGGAGAACCCAATCCTCACAGCAGCCTCTAAGGGCTTTCTCGACATTCTCAAGCTTCTACTGGCCAACGGAGTCTCCTTTGACCAGGCGCTACAGTCCGAAGCGATGCAGAAGGCTGCTAAGAACGGGCACACTGCTGTTGTCGAATTCATCATGAGCAGCCACCAGCACAGTGCAGACAAGTCGAAAATGAACAAAAGTCTGCACAAGGCTCTGGCAGGGAGTGACGCCCAAACCTCCCGCTTCCTTTTGGTGTCTGGCGCTGATGCGAACTGCGAACACGAGGGGAGGCGGCCCCTCCATCTGGCATGTTTCTCAGCTGAGATTGTGGAGCTTCTGCTTGCGCACGGAGCCGACGTTGGCGCGGAAGACGAGAAGAAGAACCTCCCTTTGCACAAAGCGGCGTTTGCTCGCAACAAGGTCGCCCCGCGGATTGTGCAGCTGCTGCTCGAGGCCGGGTCCGCGATCGACCAGAAGAACGCGACGCACGACACGCCGCTGATGAATGCGTGTACGGCCCAAAACGTCGAAGTGATCAAGGTGCTCGTTCTCGCCGGTGCGGACGCTCGCGCCACGGACGGCGAGGGCCGGACACCACTGCATCTGTGCTGTGCGCGAGACGGCGACCACAAAGCCGATCAGCACGAGGCTATCCGTCTGCTCGCCAGCCTGCTCTGGGTCGACGTGGACGCCGAGGACGACAAGGGCCGCACCCCTCTCGACCTGGCGGCGCAGTCGTTCCGGAGCCCCGTGGTGCGCACGCTCCTCGACGTCGGGGCCGATCCGGCACTCGTTGACCTGGAGCGCCTGCGTCACGGCATCGTGGTGGCGCACGAGCCCCGCGCCACAATCTACGAGTGCGAGGCCGTGTGGCAGATCCGCAAGGCCCGCGGCCAGACCAAGTCGCTGTACGGAGACGAGCTGCCCGTCGGATTCAAGCGCGTCCGCAGGCTGGACAGCACAGACAAGGGCGGGTCGATGAAGCAGGTCAGCGAGGACGGCACCGTCGACAGTTTTGTCTTTGACATGGCCGTCTTGAATGCCATTTCCTCGTTTCGGGACTTGTGAGCTGTCATTCACTAAAAGAGTCTGTATAGCTGTCACTTACGGAATGTAGGATGTAGAGTATGTCTATGCTTGTATATGTAGAAGGTAGCTACCCACCTAGTATGACACAACCGATGTACTTACATTGAGAAGTCACTGATTATTGATATCCTCTGTTATAAAGAACACGAGCCCTACTCCTAACAACTACTCTCAAGTCAGCTGTATGTGCATGTATATATGTATACACGTGTGTATGTCTGGATGTATATCAGACACAAACGAAAGCAGTTGTCCCCTAGTTACAGGAGAAGCAGCATCCAGAGGACAAACAAACATTCATCTGCCTCGCGCTCGCTCATCCTCACGCCTCCCCGTGCGTGCCCGCATGTCCTTGATCAAACCTGGAAGAAATGCGTAAACTCCTTCGCCAGCATCGCCGTCTCCTCGTCCATGGGTTTCACCGGCTTCCCCCTGTTGTCCGTCCGGCAGGGGAATGTCATGGCCATGGCGGCGCTCTCCAGGACCGACACGTAGATCCACACGTCCCGGGGAATCGGGTGGTCGAAGAGCAAAGCGGCCAGCTCGTCACCGTGCGTGATGGTGTGGGGGCGGCCTGCTTTCAGGAACGTTGCGAGACGCGCCTTTTCCGCCGCGGAGAGGTCTGTGCGGATGCTGACTTTGGGGGTGGGGGTTGGGGTGCGAGCTGGAACTGGAGATGGCGCGCTGCTACTGCTGCTGCTGCTGCTGCTGCCGCGTGAAGCCGTTGATGATTATGACAAGGGCTTGGATGGTCTCGAGGACGTCTTCTTAGGTTCTGGTGGTGATGACGGTGGTGGCACAAGGGGTCCCGACCGCTTGTACTCCTCGAGGGCCGATGTCAGAGTCTCCAGACCGGCCACCGAAGTGGCTCGGTGAACCAGATTCTCATCGGTAGAGTCGATCAGTTCGATTATGGTCTCCTCCATCAACCTGTCCACTATGCATCTCCGTATCATATCGCTATCGTCGCCGAGGACCATGATCCCCGTGTCGTCCCCAGTGTCGAGACCGTCCTTGGTCAGATCGTGTTTCTCGATGATGAATCTGGCCTCAGCTAGCCGGCGGAGGCGAATCCACTTGCGCGATGGCTGTTCGATAGGTCCGGTGGTCGTTGACGTGGGCGGTTGGTCCTGGGGACCTAATTTGATGGTTCTGTCGGTCATTTGTACACCTCGAGACTCTCTAAACTGCCCGTCTCTTTCGCCGAGTCTTGTTCGTAACTCGAACTGCCTCGGGGGCGGGGAATTGATAGTTGCGTGCGCTGTCGCTGTCGCCTCTCTCTCGTGAAAAGAGGTCTGTCCGACTCCCGGGGTCAGTGCCATGGTGGTAATGAGCTCGTTGAGCAGGTTGGGGGGAAACCGTCGCACTCGTCGATCTAGAGGTTTGACGAGGTGGATCTTTAGTTCCTCGCCATCGACCTGGACAGTGACTGCGTCCACGAACCCTTGCAGCATTTCCCCGACTGAGTACTCAAACTGTCGTGTCCGTAGCTCGTTGGCGAAGATTGCGGGATGTATACTCACAAAATCCCAGACGGCCTTGCTCATGCTTTTCCAGGGGTTCTCTTGGATGAGGAACCCGTCCGACCGGAAGAGATCGAGGAACGTCTGTCGGAGACCTTGCAGAATCAACACGAGCGCGGTATCGAGCCATGCCACGAGTTGTTCTTGAAAGCCGAGCTCCTTCCAGAACGACCTGATCAACGTCGTGTTCGACACCTCTCGATCTAGCCCCGTGTCCTTGAGGCTTGCCCCATGGAGCTCTAGAAGTTTGAGCACATCTCTTGCCTTTGGTCCACGACCTTCCCGCGCGATGCCCGTCGGCGTTTTCCCCTCGAGGTTCACGAGGCCCAGCTTGACGCCGGCATCTAAGAGCGCCCTGACCATTTCCAAGTTCTCGCATTGGACAGCAAGGTGTAAGGCCGTGTTCATGTGCACATCTTGGAGGTCTAGCAACCGGTGATCGCGGATCTGCTCGAGAAAGAACGCAACCAGCCTCCTAGCTGCAAGGGGTTGTCGAACCATCCGCTTGTCCTGGGCGAGGAGATGAAAGATGGACTGGCGAAGGCGCTGGTTGGCAATCAATTTGGCGCCTTCGTGGTCCGTCTGCTGCTCGAGAAGCCACTGAAAGCGTTCTAGCGGGATACTGTACCCTTGTTCGGCTAGCTGGCCTAGCAAGGTGAGCCCATCACGCACTTCATCCAGTCGAGCACCGTGCTTCACGAGTTCCGAGGCGATGTCGAGGTTTCCAGCCTTGAGGGCCAGAAACAGCGGCGTGTGCCACTCCCAGTCAGGCTGGTTGACGGAGAGTCCTCGGCGAATGAATTCCCTTACGAAGAATACATGGCATCCTGTCTCAGCGCAGAAGTGAAGGTAGTTGGACTTGTGTTGCACCATATCTGCAAGGATTTTGCTCCCTGCGACTTGTAGGTTCGCGGGCAAGAGTGGCGTCTCGACCATGGCGCCGTGCTTGAGGAGTTCCATAAAGATATGCTGCTGTCCCAGCTCCAACGCCACATGCAGGGCTGTGGTGCCACCAAATTGGAGTTCATTCTTTTCCATGTGCTCCGTCGCGCCGTTTTCAAGCAGCACTTTGGTCATCTGGTAGTTGCCGGTGCTAATGGTATTCTTGATGAAATTGTCTTCGCCGCCGTACCCGTACAGACTCTCACCAAAGCTTAGTAGTAAGACCAATGTCTCTTTTGCATTGTCCAGCCAGTGGTCCCCGTGGATCTGGAATAGAGCCAAGGGCGTAGCACCATTGATGGCAAAGTTGAACAACCGCAAGTTCGGGCCATGGTCTTGGTTTGGTTTGTACGGCTTCATCCGTGAATGTAGGAGCTGCATGATGGCGGTCAAATGGAGTTTTGTCGCCAGGCCCAATGCCGTGGCCCCGTCACGGTTCCGCAAATGCGGATCGGCTCCTAGGTCCAGCAGTGCGCGTACTGCGTGGATGTTTCGCTTTCCGATGGCTCGATGCAGTGGTGTGCCCGAGGTCATGGCAAGATCCGTGTTGAAGCCCTCAGCTACGATAGCTGCCCCAACAGTCAGGGCTGACAGTTGGCTCTTTTGCGAAAACAGCAGCTTCGCAGCCGGCAAGATCTGGTCATCGTCAAATGAGCTCAGCCAGTGCATCGGAGTTTCCTCATCCTCATTGCCAATGGTGGGATCTGCGCCGTTTTTGATGAGCTCCTGGACCGCCTCAAACGAACCACTGATGCAGGCCAACAGGAGAGGTGCGCAGCGCTCGGGGCACATCTGACTGTTGACATCCTCACCACGTTCTATCAGCTTTCGGATCGCCTGCGGAAGACCCTTTGCACTTGCAACGTGTAATGCAGAAATTCCCACACCGATTCTGGGCCCCGCCACGACCCATTCATCCAACTCGTCGAGCTTTAGGTGAATTCCGAACATGAGCTGCTCCTTGGACTCGGGGGATGCCATCATCCGGCCGTTGGTTTTTGAAGAATGGAGATCTGCACTAGTCCAAAGGGACAGAGCCTGTATACCACCCAGGCGTGAGGATCTCACTGTGCGCAATGCTGCCTCATAGTCATCTGGGCTGTACTCTCTTAACACCAGAAGCGCCGACAACGAGCCGAGACAAGCGGCTGAGAAGGCCCATTTCAAGGCCCTCGCAGGAGGCTTGCCTGATTTGATGGTGAGTTCGGTAGGAAAGTCGCCAATATCAATCGGTGATTCGAAGACGCCGTGGTATGGCTCGAGCTGGGCAACCACAGCCTGGGCGTGAGTCAAGCCTCTCCTCGCCGCCCGAACCATATGGTTATAGGCAAGGCCCAGGTTGTTGGTGCAAATGTGGTATTCTGCCACTGTCATGGAGGCAATGTTAGTTGGGCAAAACATGGCATCGTCCTCAACGAGGGGAGATGAGAGTTTTCCAAGGCCATCAAGGTCGCGAAGAAACTGTTGTCTGAGGCGAGGATGGTACATCTGAAGCTGATAGATAGCAATCTAGGTTTTCTTGTCAGTACGGCTCAGGCTAACATCAGGGAGGATTACTGACCGGCTGATAGAGCCTTACCCTATTCAGAGGCATTTTGCGGCGGAGGCCTGTGTAGAGACCACTGATATATATAGTGAGCTGCTTGATACAAAAGTCCAACAGGGAGAAGTACCTTTGTCCATGCATCCAAGGCAGAAGGGCCTTTGTCAAGTCCCTGTTTCGTGGTTCAGCGGTAAGACTATTATTGAACGCATTTTCCAGATCGCTAGAACCCCGTGGCTGGAACCTTCGGGCGAAGGACACTGCCACCGGGAGAACGAGATTTTGTTCCTTCCACGCCTGGACGTGACCATCTGTTCGTGTTTTTGAGGTTCGGGAAAGGGCTTCAAGTTGATCTCGGGAAGCAACAAAAGGGTTCTGACCGTCGAGGAATACTCGCCAAACAAGAAGACCCCAAGAGTAGATATCGGCTTTGAATGCATCTTGCCATGAGACGGTCTTGCCAACTTCGGGCGCAGTCCATGGACGAGTACCACTGGAGACTTGGGCGGTCGTCCTCTCGGCTCCCATGCGTATCTTCTTGTCGGTGCTGCCCGGAAAGTCCACGTCGAGTATGGCGAAACCAAAATCGCTAATCTTCGCGATGTACTTCTTCTTTGGGTCTGGGAAGACTAAGACATTTTCTGACTTGATATCGCCGTGTACAATATTAGAATCATGCACCGCCAGGAGCCCGGAGGCTACGTCTTGGGAGAGTGTTTCCTTCTGCCGGTAAGGAAGAGGGCCATGACTTTCTTGAAATTCGGCGAGATTGCCTATCGCAGTGTATTCTAGAATCAGATAAGGCCAGAGGCGATAATCATCGACGGAAGGAGAGATCTCCCAACCCAGTCCTAGAAGATCCACCACGTTGGGATGATGGCGGACAGGTGGATGTGTCAGACAAAGCAAGTCAGTGACGACACATCGAAAGCTTTCGCGGGTTTGAAATCCCGAGGGACGAATACGTTTGAGTGCGACTGGTGCTGGGTCAAGGCTCTGTGCTTTGGCGTCTCCAAGGACTGCTTTGTGGACAATGAAGGATGCCCCGTAACCAAGGTCAGACTGGATCTTGGGAAACTGGCCAGGATCCAGATGGTGATATTGCGTTCTGGCAGGGTCCCCCATCGAAAATCTGGAAGTCACAAGGAAAGGAAGCGACACTGCATCGGCTGTCTGGACGTCCGGGGACCTGGATGCTTCATCTCGAACAGTATTGACGGTGACAAGTGGGACGTTGGAGCCACTGACTTGCAGAAGCTCTGACCGATGGGGAGCAAGAGATGAGGCGCTTGTCAGCGAAGCCATGTACAATGATAGAGAACTGGAAGCTAGTGCTCCGCATCCACTCGGTAATGATACGCCTCATGCGTGGAAATATATGGAGAGAAAGCAGGAGAGCCGATTGTCTCCAGCTTGCGCCTTGAAGAGAATAGAGCAACCACTTTCATAGCACAAAAGAGCTCTTGACTGTCATCAAGAAGAGCCCGGCTGTCACTTACTTGGTCAGGGAGTCTTCAACGTGAGGCTGAAGTCTAGAGCAGTACTCGGTACTGCGAAGCCCCTTTGCCATGCATAGGGAGATGATAGTTTGTCCAGCCACATCACGCCCTTGTTCTGTACTTGTGCAGTATCCACGTGCACCAAGCAAAGGGTTCTGTCGACCAAGGAATAGACGAGTCCTTGGTCAAGGCTGGTCTCTGGCGGGGGACTTACCGGCCAATCAATCAAGGTTGAACGACAGTCTCTTTGCCCTCCTGTAAGTAAAGCAATCCAAATTGAGCAGGACTGGCAACAGATAGGGACAGCGATAGCGAATCCTGTGCAATACCAAGAACCTACCAATCCAAGCCAGGATGATAGCGTGACTTCATCTTGCTCAGCCGCAAAAAAAGGGGGCGAAACGTACTTCTTGATCGATGATAATAATTCTCGTATTCCACTGACTAGTTCGACGACCAATCTGCCGCCAAGTCTTAGGGAAAGAGGCTCAGAGCTCCTGCCTGATCCGGCAAGAGGGTGATGCCGCCCTTGCATCTCCCCCGGCCCTGTGCGGGAGTGACCCGCATCCGCGAGAGCCAAAATTCACAACCGTCAATGCTGATCCTCGAAGACGCCATAGTTTAGTGACTCATATTCATCTACGCGCATTTCATGGCTCAGCGAGAATTGGGTCCCCGGAGATGGGTGTAGATACACGATGTAGATACGTGCAAGCTCCCCGCGATACACACACGTGTCGACCAAACACGCCAAAAGGAAACCTCGAGATATAGAAAGGTGCCTATGGCCGATATGGATGCCAAAAGACAACTGCTTCAGGCTCTGGATGCCGACAAAGAGGCTCAGATTCGCATGCTCCAAGAATTCGTGCGGGCGCCGTCACCCAACCCGCCGGGCTCGACCGCGGCTGCTGCAGCAGTGCTCACTTCGTATCTCGAGTCTCAAGGGATTCCTTATGAGACCCTGACTCCGCAGGCCGATTGCCCTAATATCGTGAGCGACTTCCAGGGAGGTCGAGGAGAAGGCCCACGAGTCGTTCTCAACGGCCACATCGATGTATTTCCCGTGGGCGACGACACCCGTGGATGGTCCAGAGACCCCTGGTCCGGTGACGTCGAAGATGGCAAAATCTATGGTCGGGGTGTCGTCGACATGAAGTCAGGTACGGCATCACTGCTGATTGCGTATGCCAACCTTTATCATCGGCGCGAAATGCTGCGTGGCAGCGTCGCGTTCTGCGCCGTGTCAGATGAGGAAACCGGGGGCAAATGGGGCACCAGGTGGCTGCTCGAGCAGGATTGCCCACGCTGGGGAGGTGATTTGATGCTGAGTGCCGAGCCTTCTGGCCGTAGCATCCGTTTTGCTGAAAAAGGGACGTTGCGCCTGACGTGCACCGTCGAGACCAAGGGTGCTCATGGCGCCTTTACCAACATCAGCAAGGGTGCGGCTCGCACTTCAGCCTACTTTATCAAAGACGTCGTCGAGGACATCGAGAGCATGTCAGTCGACATGCCCAGGGAGGTATTGGAACAACTGGAGAAGCACGAGGTTCAAACGGTCGCCAACGAGATAATGGGAGCCGGCACACACACCATCCTCGGCCGCCCGACCGTCAACATCGGTACAATCAAAGGTGGTCTCAAGGTCAACATGATCCCGGACAGTTGTGTTTCCGAGTTCGACATCCGACTGCCTGCCGGTCTCACACGGGAGACGGTGCTCGAGCGCATGAGAAGCATCATTTCCAAGTACAAGGAAGCCAAGATTGATCTGTCCGTCCACGAGGCTCATAGCAACCCTTCTAGCTTTTCGCCACTAGATCACCCAATGGTCGCACTTCTGGCGAGGAACGCGCAGCTCGTAAGCCCGGAATCTGACCGACCTCCTCTGCCCATTCCGTCGATAGGAGCCACCGACTGCAAGCACTATCGCTACCGAGGAATCCCGGCCTACGTCTATGGATGCAGCCCCAAAACTAGTACGTTTTCCCTACTCCTGTCGTGTTACAGTTCTGATTCTGACGCGGAGCATTTACAGTGGCCCAGACGAACGAATTTACGACAATTGACGACTTTCTCCACGTAACAAAGGTTCATGCGGCGGCCACCTGGGACTTTCTGCAGTCCTGACCCAGTGGTCTAGGGGATCCTAACTTCTAGGACCCTTTCCTCCCCGGTATTGTACGGAAGGGAGGAATATAGAGTCTATCCAGCAACTCCAACACCTCAAATCTATCTTTCACCACTAGAAGCAAATTAAGGGATTAATTTGGGCAGCAGGCAAGTCAGATAGATATATCTCACAGCAACGACTGTTGGCTGTATGAAGCTTAGATCTTATCTATACCTAGTACCTAGACATCTCATGCCCTCCGCCCCGGAACCTCCCATTCTACCAAGTCCTACCGAGTTGATATGGACAGCCAACACTAGTGCGTGTTATTTTACATTAGCTGCAACTTCTCGTCGGAACCTACAGCCCCAATCAGACACATTAGATCTTGGACGTCGACTTGAACGACCTGAATATTCTGAGGTGAGAAGAGGCTGAGTGACGAGGCTGAATGACGAGGTGGGAGGGTATTAAAGCGGCGGGGGTTCTGGGGTGAGTCCCATATCACGCCAAGGGCCTGGACTGTTCACAATCGACGCCCTGCGAGGCGTTTCCCGTCATCCTCGACGCTAGCAAAAGCCACAGGATGTTCTAGGCTGACAGATAGAGACTACTAGGTTATTCGTGCAGGGACATACGTACCGAGACGAGGCGTCAATCAGAAGATGGAGGCAGCCTGATCCATCTTACAGCCGTCGGGAACATATGAGGCAACTCGCTTCACTCCACGTTCCCGATAGACTTTGTAGAGTATTTCGCTATTACATCGAACCGTGCAAGAGCTCTCCCGCAGGCAAGCTACTGACCGAATCTGCAGGAATACGAACTTTGAACCTGGACACTAATTGAAGGCGCATCGCGGCACGCCTGCTAGCATGGACCCTGCTAGCCTAGCCCTCAGCATTTTAACGTCGTATCGCCTGTGCACCGAAGGTTACAAAGTCATTGTCTCCATGAGGCATGCGTCGACCAGTGCCATTCGCATCCAATGCAAGTGCGAGATCGAAGAGGCGCGATTTCTGCTCTGGGGAAAGAGTTGGGGACTGGTCGACGACTTGAGTGTCTTTCGATCAACCCCCAACGTCCAGCTCAAGCTAGTCAAGGAGCCGGTTGCCATTTCGCAGTTAGTGGCCAAGATCCTCTCCGAAATCGAAAACATTCTCGGCAACGCTACCGGCCTGAAGAAGAAGTATGGCTTGTCCGACCTTCTTCGGACGGAAACGGCCAACGAAGAGGATGCCAGCGAGGAACCAGCGCTGGAGCCAAATTATACTGGTAGCATGAGCCTGAAGAAGAGGATCAGCTGGTCCACACGCGACAAGTCCTCATTTGAAGAGTTGGTAGCCGACCTGCGGGAGCTCAACAATGGCCTTTACTCGCTGGTGCCCATAAGGTCTCAGTCGCTTCTGACCGAGGCCTTGAATGCAGAAATCCTACCAGCGAAAGATCAGCCTCGAGATCTGGAGATACTGAAGGAAGTCTCGGAGCAGGCAGATCCCCAACTGAGTGACGCCGTGGAATTGAAACTCCTGGGACTCAAGGCAAACTCTTGCGAGACGACCTGGAATGCTAATGCATCTGTGAAATTATCCAAGGCCGGGTTCAGATTCCAAACTCCAGATGGATTATCAGAGCATAGCGACAACCTCGCCAGCAGCTCCATGTCGTACGCATCCTTCACACCCAAAGGAGCTGACACAGGAGTTCCAGTGCTGATAGAGTGGAAACCTTATGACCCCCGCGCAACCGGATCTCGGGCCTTTGTTATTGCGCTGCGTGCAGAAGGACTCTGTCGGCTGCTTGAAAAGTTCTCTGCCACATCTCTAAGCGTCCCCTCGTGTCTGGGATTCTTCGACGATGTCGACGGTGGCAGGTTCGGGTTCACGTTCCCGCTTCCTCAAACCCCTCTTTACGGAGGTCTCCTGCAACCTGCCAATTTGAATGACTTGATTTCCGGTCAGCCTGCCTTACCTCCGCTTGAGGACCGCTTCAAGCTGGCGTCTACTCTAGCCCGCACTCTGTTCGCCTTCCACTGTTCGGAATGGTTGCACAAGGATTTCTCATCGCACAACATCTTACTGGGCACGTTACCTGGAAATAACTCAAGCGCAGATCTCACACAACCCTTTGTTGTCGGATTCACATACTCCAGGCCGGAAGACCACGAAGGCGTGTCTTCAGAGATCCGCCAGACACAATCCCTTAAGCATCTGTTGTACCAGCATCCATCTCTTCTGCTCCACTCCACACCAGTTGCACCGAGATACTGTAAAGCATTCGACTTGTGGAGCCTTGGGTGCGTGCTCCTGGAAATTGGCCTCTGGAGACGCCTGAAAGACCTGTGGAAGCCAAAATATGCAGAGAACCCGACTACATGGACTGACAGACTGAGGAACGTTTGGGTGGGTGAACTTAGAGGTCGATGCGGTGGGCAATACGAGCATGTAGTTACGCGTTGTTTGTCCGCAAGCGAGCAAGACTTTGAGTCCTCTGGGCTCTTCTGGGAAATCATTGGAAAGCTGGAGGAATTGCGAGTATAGGGTCGATGTGGAGTTAGGTTCACCTCGTATAAGACACTAGATGAGCAGAGGTAGGAATATACTCACATCCAGACTCTGATGGCAAAGGAAGCGGCGTGCTTGAGCAGGCATCTTCGAGTGACAGGTCTCGATTCATGAAGACGTGTTCTGTAGGCGTTCAATCACGTGGCCGCGTTCCTGTTCCCAGTGGCTCCCAGTGGATTCAAAGCCCGCCAAGTGACCTCATCAACAACACGCCCACCACCGCCGCAAAACCACCGCGTCGCACGAACGTATCCACCACCCACCTTGTTGTGCGATGTGCCCTACTCTCCGACGCTCTATATTAATGTTGTCGGCTGAGGCCTGTGTTTGACAACCCTGCGCAACAACAATATACCGCTGCCTCTGCAGCTCACCCTCACGGCGCCGTCAAGCCATGCCTCGCGCTCCTCTCCGCCGCCGTCAGCTTTACCGGAACGGCCCAAACCTACGCGGCGCAAAACAGATCAACAACAGCACTGCTAAACTGGAACTAGAGAAGAAGTTGGCGCACAAACCAATCGGCCCTCGACCGACCGACAGCGATGATAGCGATAAGCTCGTTGTCAAAGGCAATGGGAGGAGAGGGAGAAATGTCCCAAGGCAGGAGATTTACGCTTCTGGCGCAGTGGCTGCTGGTGACAAGCCGGGAAACTATCCTACCCGGGCGCAAAGGAGGAAGAATATGACCAAGACGACTAAGGAGATCATTGGGATCGATCAACGGGAGACGCGAAAAAAGGCGGGATCCGTCCCTGTCAGCAAAGAGCTACATCAGCCCGTGTCTGGACGTCCCACCATGAATGGCATCTCCAAAAATGTTGCAGCTACGAATCAGGTACCTCCCACGGCTATGTCGCCAGCTACGAAACCCCCTGGCTCTGTTTTGCGGGCCACACATGCGACTTCGAACAGAGAAGATTCCATTCTCGGTACGTTGAAACCCAGGCGAAGGCAGCCTAGCATTCTGCAAGACTTGGACCAGGATTCGTCGAGTTTTGACCTTGGAGACGGAGATGACTTTCTCCCCGATGACGAGTCTACACCGTTTGGTGCTTCAAAACTATCGACCAAACCTACAACACCCGCTTCAGCGTCACCCGCACCGCTGCCTTCATCACGGAAACGAAAATTTGGCCACCCCAATCCTCTTGAGCCCGCCGTGATCGAGTCGGCGCAAAGGCCAGCCACATCACCCTTAGAAGTTATGCATACATTGGAAGCTACCCCCGAACCCTCTCTTCCAGCAGTACCGCTATCCGTGCTGCGTGAATCAGGACGAAAGCAGCGCGAGAGTGTTCGCGACGAAGACGACATCATGGCGCTCCCCCAGAGCAGTTCCTCGCCAGCGCCATCTCCTGCACGCAGAATACATTCGGCATCTAGAAAACGAGGAAAGAATCCTGCGACCCTCGCACCTGTCATGACCACAGCGGAGCTCCAGACTCACATGATGCCCACCAAGAAACGAAGGACGCAGCGGGAGCGGAAACAGCGCCGCGAACAGTTTGATATTCCGGCCGATATCGAACCTTCAGATTCCGACGCTTCCGAGGAGGACGTGTCGAATTTCCTCCCCTCGAAGACGAGGTATAAAACACGACAGAAAGGACCTTCGACCAGGGCAGGTCTAACGCAGACCAAAGCGAAATCTGGGAAAGCTAGAAAGCAGGACAACGCTGCTACGTCGTCAAAATCAAGGTCAAAATCAAGTACGAACCTTCTCATCACTACCACTTCACCTATATTGAGGCCATCTACTTCGAATCGCGAAACTAAGTCTCCATCACAGCGTTCTACAAACAAATCATCGAGTATCAACGCGGAATCTCAGGTAGGACTATCGAAGCAGTATGGTGGCTCCCTCCGCAAAGGTCGAGGAACGACCCAGACGCACGACAAGGAAAACCATTATTCTCATCCAGATAATGAGCCTAGTCATGTTCGAGGCGACGACACGAATACCCTAGGCGAAACGGAAGAGGTACCCTCAGATGCAGGTGGGGAGGGTCAGAGCAATCCAAGACCGGTTGGAAAAAGCAAGTGGGCAGAGATAGACGCTTGGGATATGGATTTTGAGGACGTTGAAGTTACGACTGGATCGGGAAGTAGCTCGCCGACACGGAGGTGACAAGCAAGGCCACTTGAACTCGACTGCAGACGTGACTTCAGGATAGCAGTGTCCAACAGCATGGTACGTTGAACGAACTAATGAACGGGGTCATCTGCGTGAGTCTTTCACAATTCTATGAACACATTTCCCACGAGCTCTCAGTCTAATGCCAATGAAACTGGGTCCTGCATGAAGCATGTTGAAAAGTTCCAGTATTTTCGTTTCCACAGTCTGTTGGTTTGTCAAGAACATGGTTCATTTATCGCATGAACAGTCCTCCTTAGCCAATGCATGCATAGCTCTGTATTTGTAGTCATGATATCATACACTGGCGAAGGCTTCAGTTGGAAAGGTATCGACAAGGCTGTAATGCCAAGACGTGACGAGGCTGATGGAGAGTCACTGCGTCCCGCACTTATGGGGTAGTCAACCCACCAAAGCAAGCCATGCTTCAGCCTGCATCCCATTTACTGTCTCGTTCAGTCCACACTGTACTTGGTACAGTCTCCTCGGGTTTCAGTCTACGTTAATTCCCAGCCTGAAACACCGGAGAGTTGCTGTAACTCTATCTTCCACAACCAAGTCACAGTCGGCCGCGTTGAGACCGCTCTGCACCCTCGCACATGGCAGATCCGTGAACGAACTTGCGCAGCCAGATTCCGGCATCGATCGCTGGTCATGGACAAACTCCTAGCGGAGAGCAGTGCTCTCGTCTCAATCTCTCTGCCGCAAGAAGAAGATCGCTTTGACAAAGCTGCAAAGGCGCTGGTGAACAAATTGAGCAAGCTTTCTGCGCAGGATATCGCACCCGCGAAAGATGATCTTGATGTATGTCATTGCAAGCAAGCCTGACACAGAGTTTGACCAGATAACAGGCACTCTCACCCTTTGCACACACCATTCTGTACACCTATGTCCTTGTCGCAGGCATCGAAACATCTGTAGCCAGTGGAAAGGCGGCGCCAAAACAACTACCATCCACCGCCCTACCTGAAGGTGCCTTCTGGCCTTACATCACTCAGCTTCTCCTCGAATTCGACCCGATCCAAGCACGATATTGCGGTGCCCAAATACTGCGGCTTGTCGATTGTGTCGCGGTAGGCGCAGAGCAGACCGCTAATTACGTCCCTGCTATCCAACTGCTGCACCATGTCATTCTCCGACTCGACAGCACCTCATCTACCCTGACATCCACACACCGCACCTTTCTCCGCCTCTGTCTGCTGTCGCAAGCATATGCCGAAGCCGTTCGTATCCTCGACCTTCCGATCTATCACATTCCTCCCTCCAAGCACGATTTCCGCATACATCGATGTCTCTGCTCGAATTCGGATCAGCCATGGACCTTTTTGAGTCCGGTGACAGGTCTGAGTCAACCAATCACAAGTCGGACATATCTCGAATACTATCTGATGGGTGGCATGTGTTACATGGCGTTGAGGAGATACAAGGAGGCTATGTTTTTTCTCGAAGTTGTCCTCACAGCACCAACAACTCAGAATGTTGCCAGCGCTATTATGGTGGAGGCCTATAAGAAATGGCTGTTTGTCGGTCTCTTGCGGACCGGCAGCACTCCCCCAGTACCAAAATCTGTTGGTCAGAATGCAATCCGGCATATTCGGGCGCTTGCCAGACCGTACGAAGCTGTCGCCGACGTTTTCAAGGGATCCAACGTCGAATTGTTGCGTGCGGAAATTGAGGCGGGCAATCATATTTGGCAGGACGATGGAAACTATGGCCTCGCGGTCGAGGTCTTTGAGGCATTCCGAAAGTTTGCTGTCCAGAGACTCAGCAGAACGTTTGCGGCGCTCTCCATAGCGGAAGTCGCCAAACGGACGTCGCCAGATCCGTCAAATCTCACCGAGACGAAAGCATATATTGACACATTGATCGTGACTGGCGAACTCAGTGCGGTGGTCACCAGGAGTGAAAGCGGCACCGAGATTCTACGGTTCCTACCGACGTCAGCATCCACACAACCCGAAGCACAAGTTGAGTCGGCACTTGTCGCCCAGACGCGAGAGCTACAAGTCCTCCTCAAACACGTTCAAGACACGGAACATCGACTGGAAATCTCCAAAGAATACATTGACTTCCTGAAGAAGCTCAAGAAGATGAGAGATGACAAGGGAGGCAAGGGGAGTGGGAGGAGAGCAGCGGATGACGACGTTGATGAGGACGTGATGGAGGAAATCTAGCATTGCATCTGGGACCCAGGACTCCCATATCATTGATTGGGCTGTGTTCTGACGCTCGCCACGACTCGACGTCAGTAGATTGTGGACGGCCACGAGGGCCCGAGCGAGTTGATATCTCCGGCAACTTTGAGACAGAGACTGGGTTTGCAAGCGATCATCGCATGTCCTGGAAGATGGATCTCATGCGCAAGCACTTCTGAGCGACAGTCTGTGTCTCGTGAAAGTAGTTCATCAGGTAACACATAATATATCCCTCTATGATTGTCTGAGCGATTTCAGATTGCGGAGCCAGTGCCTGAGGACTGAGCGAGGCTGCATCACCCTTTTTCCGCCGAGAATGGCCGTCTCCATCACATCAAACAGCGTCTTCTTCCTCCCAAATGGTGTCGCACTCTATGGATGTGGAGTTCTGTATAAGGCCAGTGCTTCCATCAAGAGACGACATGTCCGAACCCGCCCAGGTCTTTATCAATCCGAGATTAGCATTGTAATATGTATCAGCGACCCGCAACCTCGGCGAATATTGTTTGTACATGTACGTTTTTTTGTCCCCGACCAGGCAGACACCCGGGAGTGCCAGGGTAAATGGGCGGATGAATTGAAGACAGAGGTGGGAACATGTATGAGTGTGTAATAGTAATTGATATGTACCCAGTACCTTATGTAGTAATAGGCTAATTACTCCATGAGGTGTTTTTTTGTCCCGGTCCCTTTTTCAATCCTGTATCTCCGCGCTGGCTGGCTGGGAAGATTGGGCGGGTACATACATATTCGGATACCAATATTGATTTTATCTCTCTTCTCGGTATTGTTTTGGCCATTTAGATTCGTCTTTTGTGGTCGGAGGACTGTATTTACCGTCCCTCGCGTCGTATAGATAGACGGTGTGATTGACTATACCTACCTCTATACCTAGTATCCAAGAGACGAGGAAAACGACAAACGCCTGCGAGTCTCTGCAACGATGCCGACGTACATCATAACGGGCGCGAACAGAGGTCTGGGTCTCGAGTTCGTGCGCCAACTCTCCGCGGACAACGACGACAACAACATCATCGCCGCGGTGCGGAGCTTACAAGGCGAGCTGGACGATCTCAAACAACTCGCTTCCCGGTCCGGCTCCGGCGCGAAGAGCAAAGTCCACATCCTCGAATGCGACACGGGCGACGTCGCGTCGATCCAGGCCTTTGGTGACGCCGTCAGGGCCACCCTCGCCGGCAAGCCCGTCGACTACCTCGTCAACAACGCCGGCATCAACGCCACCCCCGAGGAGACCAGTCTGGACATGACGGCCGAGAGTCTGCGGAGGCATATCGACGTCAACGTCGTGGGGCCGGCGGAGACGGTGAAGGCGCTGTTGCCGTGTCTGCGCGAGGGCAGCGCGGTGATGAACATGAGTAGTGGGTTGGGGAGTTGCGGGAAGAAACTGTAAGGTCATTTCTTTGTGCTGTTCTCCTTTGGTCTGGTCTGCTTTGCTCTGCTTGTGTTGTGTCGTGTTGTGCTGTTGTGTCTGTCTCCCATCTATCCTTTCCCCTTTCCTTTCCTTTCCTTTCCGCCTCCCCTTTTAGAGACCATTGATCGTCCCGAGAAAGCAAGATCTGGAGAGAGAAAAATCAAATACTCAACGATATCCACACGTGCGTGTGGTGTTATCTACAGACCGAAATGCACGACGTACTCCATCTCCAAGGCCGCCCTGAACATGTTGACGGTGCATCAGAGCGAGCAGCTGAAGGACCGCGGCATCAAAGTCATTTGCATGGATCCCGGTACGTTTCCCCCTTATTCCCCTTCATTCCCCATCCTTTTCTTAAAAATCGACACCCTTGATAAAGAGAGACGTATGTGCTTGGCCTTTCGAGGGATATATCACACATTGACCGAAGAGACTTTACATATACCTACGACCACAGCTGACAAAACTCCCCTCCTTGGGGACATTCTTCTATCCAGGCTGGGTCAAGACACGAATGGGCGGCGAAGGCGCAATTCTCGAACCCGACGTCAGCATTTCAGTGAGTTTGTACATATCTCGTACCCGGTACTCCCTTTTTCTCACTTCTGTCGACACTAACGGCGGTTGGTAAAACAGGGAATGCTCAAGACCCTGCACACCCTAAAGGACTCGGACTCGGGCAAGTTCTACACGTACACGGGGGATTTGGTGCCGTGGTAGGGGTAGGGGTAGTGTAAATGTAGAGATATAGACCACGGCTGAGGAGAGGGAAGGTGGGTGGGGGAGCGTTGAGATACAACATACATGCCGGAAACGAGCATTTTCGGGCGCGGAGAATGGTAGATATATATAGAGACTTATATATGGATATAGAGACAGAGACAGTTCGACACGAAGTGCAGTATCCGATAAGATAACGTAGTATGTTTAGTCAATTTAGGCAATTGGGCTGGCCTGGGCTACCTCGTATCAAGCATAAAGGACAAAGAGAACATCGGTATTGCAATATACGAAATATTTTTGTCCGTAGGTACATATTCGTATTAACCTGGGATGATAGCGACAGACAATAAACTTGCTGCTGATCTCGCCTACCCTTCCCTTGATAGTCTGTGCGCAGAGCGTCGCTTATCGGTTTGCGGCTCATTGCTGGCTCCTCAAAAGCCCAGCCAGACCATCCGAACTGGCGACGCTCTGCGCTTCATCTCCAAATAGGCCTGCAGAGGCCCAAATCCAACCGCTGAGAGGAGTGAGGCAGTACACACCAAACGGCAAACCTGGAACTAATCTAATAGATGGACTGAATCAGCCTTTCAATTTGGAAACCGACCTATACTCCTGCCGTTTGTTTGCGAAGAACGAAGGGTATCCGCCTATTGACACAGTTTGATCCTGCCCTCGTCTGCTTCTCCTGCAGGCATTTTCCACTATCCACCCAGTCTCCTCAAGCCGTCGCACTCGCACCGGTATCGGTTGTCGCAGTGACTCGCTCAATTTCAATCTTTGGCATGCCCGCCGAGGCGGAACCCAAGTCTGTCACCTTGGCCTTGGGGTCTAGGAAAAGACACAGTTAATTACATTACTCAAACATCTTTGGAAGATGGACCTACTTTTCTTGTAATAGTCGCCAATGGCGCTCTTGATAGCATCCTCTGCGAGCATCGAACAGTGTAGTTTGACGGGCGGCAGACACAGTTCCTTTGCAATCTCTGTGTTGCGGATCTTTCCTGCCTGTTCTAGTGTCATGCCGCGTACCAGCTCGGTGAGGTACGATGAGGAGGCGATCGCCGAACCGCACCCGAAGGTCTTGAACTTGACGTCGCTGATTGTCTGCGTGTTGGGATCGACCTTGATTTGCAGTTTCATCACATCGCCACAAGCGGGCGCTCCGACGAGGCCTGCATAATGATGAATCGGTCAGCCTGTGTTGTGGACAAAATGGAGTTTCGACCGAAGCTCGCTCTTTTCCATACAATGGCCGAGCTCCGGAACGTGCACAAATCTTCTTTCAATCAACCTACCTGTTCCAACATCCACCGCAGATTTATCCATCGAGCCAACATTTCTTGGATTTGAATAATGATCAAGGACCTTCTCGTGATAGCTTCGTCGCTGCTGCGAGACGGCGGCGGGTCTGAGTGGTGATGAGGAGGCGATACTCGGTCGGACAACGGAGGTTTGGACCGAGGTGCGCATTGCGCGCGGGATGGTAAGGAGAGCTCTTCGTGACATGGCGGCTGCTGATTATTGGTATGTGTGGTGTGTTTGGTCGTCGGGTGCTGTAGATTGTAGGATCAGACGTGGAAGAAAGAGTGTGTAGGTTGTTGAATGAGTCTGAAGTAATATCGAGAGGTGCTGCGTCAAAAAGTAATTGACGAAAGTTGTCGAACCCTTCGATGGCAAAGGAGGGGGTATCGATTGGCTCTCATTGGCTGTGTTGCACGTGACTTGTGCGCTAATCCTTTTTTAGGGATGACGTCGCTCCATCTCGGTCGACTTTTCCGTGTTACGACTGGCGTGGAGGGACATCGAATCAAGTAATTGCGAGCGACAAACCACGACGCGCCTAAAACGAGATCCGCGTTAACCTTGGACAAGATGGAGACAACTCGGAAGAACAGACCATCCTCGTCCAAGACGCCCAAGAAGGACCACCTCAAGAATCCCTCTCATCCGTACACCTTTGAACACCTTCACAACGCGTACATCACCTCTCTGTCACACGGCAGCAATATGCCCCTCCCGTCCAAGAAGAGAAAGTCCGCAATCAACGACGACAGTGACGTGGATGTATCCACCACCAAACGTGGGAAAGGTGCATCGGGAAGTGCTTTCGTACCGTCCTCAAAACCGCAGGTGGACTCGGATGGGAATTCATACTGGGAAATCTCAAAGGCGAGGCGGTTGACCCTGTCCGAGTTCAAGGGCAAGAAATTGGTCAACATCAGAGAGTATTATGAGAAGGACAAGGAATGGCTGCCAGGAAAGAAGGTATACATGCCGTGCATATATGGTACATGTGAGAGTGCTGACCCGTGATTTCAGGGCATCTCAATGAGCATTGAGCAATATTCGGCCTTCGTCCAGATTATGCCTCAAATCGAAAACGTACTCAAGTCACAAGGCGAAAAGGTGCCTCGGCCAAATTACGACGGAAATGCCCCTACTGCGGACGACGGAAGCAATCCAGAAGATGCGGAGGAAGATGAAGAGATGGACAGGAAGCCTAATATCGAAGCTACTAGTGACGAAGACGAGTGAGAGTATCACCTGATAGCACACTCGGCTGCACAGACACCCCTTTCAATGGGTGGAGTAGCGAGTGGTCGATGATGAGCTTCAATTAGCAAGCGCAGTCCAAGAAACCACCGAAAGATCAGGCATGTCGACATTTGTACATGAACAAAGTCTGTGGTATGTATTGATCGGCCCTTGCGAGGTGTCTAGCTGACATGACAGATGTGGGCTGAAGCATTCTGGCTTCTGGTAAAGGACACAATCAAGAGCTGGACTCCCATTCCGCCAGTCGGGATGCAAGGCTTCCCTTCTTCCAATGCTTCTCATAGTCCTCTCTCAGCTGGACTTGGGATTCTGCACCCGCCTTGCCATAACCACCGCCACCAGGTGTCATCTAGAGGAAGAATCAGTCAGCTTGTGCCTCCGAAACTCTTCGCGGGATTGGAACAAATATGACTTACCACAATGATCCTCTCGCCAGGCTGCATGCTAGCAGTGTTCTTGGCTCCGAGGTTGATATACCTCTCCACATACTCATTGTCGTCTCCAGATTCTCGTCTCTTCCCTTCATGCTCACCTCCTAAGCCTTTGGTCTCCCCTTTTTTGATCTTCCTTACCCAGATATTCTTACCGCATTGAGCATCACCTCCTCCGTGCAATCCGTATGGCCTGTACACTCTCCGCTCACTCAAGATGCTGACTTGCACAGGGATACGGAACTCGATGTCGCGAATCACACCATCTCCACCTTTGTGTTGACCCACACCACCACTGCCAGCCCTGAGACTGAACTCCCGCAAGATCACAGGGTATCTGCGCTCAAAGACCTCCGCATCTGTAATCCTAGTGTTTGTCATGTGCGTGTGCACACCACTTGTTCCCTCCCAGTCCTTACCCGCGCCACTTCCACCCGCAATAGTTTCGTAGTATCCGAACCCCTTCTGCTCGGTCCCACCCTTCATATTCCCACCAAAGCCAAATGTCAGGTTGTTGCAGTCTCCTTGGCTCGCTGCACAGGCCTCGAAGCACTTGAACACCACATCCGTGACACGCTGGCTGGTCAAGACGTTGCCGCCCACCACGGCGGCCTTCTCGCTCGGAGAGAGGAAACAACCCGGCGGGATGCGTACTTCCACAGGCTTGAGACACCCCTGGTTCAAAGGGATGTCCTGGTCAATCAGACATCTCAGGCAGTAAATGATGGCCGAGTACGTCACCGCTTCGGGCGCGTTGATGTTGCCGTATACTTCTGGACCGGTGCCTTCAAAGTCAAACAGGGCCTCTCCCTTGTCGGGGTCGATCTTGATCTTCAGGCATATGGGGCTGCCGTCATCCATGTAGTCTATTGCCTGAAGCTGCTGGCCTTCGAACCTCTTGTGCACTTCCTTCAACAACTCCCGCACCGACCGCTCGGCGTTGTCCTGGATGTTCTGCATGTAGAACTGCACGACCTCCTCGCCGTAGTCCTCGATCAGAGCGCTGATCAGGTTGATGCCCTTCCGGTTGGCGGCGATCTGGGCCTTGAGGTCGTTGATGTTGTCCGCCAGGCACCGCGTGCCGCTGCATTCGGGATACTGGGCGGGCTCGTCGTACAGCAGCTCGGTGATGCGCTTCTCGTCGAATTTGCCCTCCGACACGAGCTTTTCCGACTTGATGGCCGCGCCTTCTTGGTACAGCTCGCGCGAGTGCGGGGGCATGCTGCCGGGCAAGATGCCGCCAATGTCGGCGTGGTGGGCGCGCGAGGCGACGTAGAAGATAATCTTGTCGCCGGAAAAGGCGGGCGTCACGACCGTGATGTCCGGGAGATGCGTGCCCCCGTACTCCGGGTGGTTGGACACGATGACATCCCCGCGCTTCAGTTTGCCCTTCCAGATCTCGGCCTGCGTGCGCACGCACGTCGACATGCTGCCCAGGTGGACGGGCAGGTGCGGGGCGTTGGCGACGAGACCGCCCTCGGCGTCGAAGAGTGCGCAAGAATAGTCCAGCCGTTCCTTGACGTTGGTGCTCACAGACGTCTTTTGCAGCGCCCGGCCCATCTGTTCCGCGATGGCCATGAAGCGGTGCGCGAAGATGGACAGCAGGATCGGGTCGACTTCCTTGGTGTTGACCTTTTTCACCGTCCCCTCGTCGCCGATGTTGATCACCACGTGTGTCTCGATGATCAGGGCCGACGCCTTCGGGTCGATGATGATGGTCTGCGTCCCGTCCGCGATGATGGCGGGACCCGGGATACGCGTGCCCACATCGAGGTCTTCCAGTCGGTAGATCTTTGTGGGAACACGGCCCCCTTCGAAGTAGACCTCCGACGTCGTGTAGGCCTTGTCCTCGGCCACGTCCTTGGGGCTGATCTCCTTGAGTTGCTGGTCTGCCGTCTTGGACATGCCCCGGAAGGACTTTCCTATCCCGCGCACGCGCACGTCGTCCACGATGATGTCCCTGTCGGGGAGGGTGAAGCCGAATTCCTGCTCGTGCTGGCGGACGAATGCAGCGCCAAAGGCCCAGTCGTCGCCGTCGTAGAGTTCCTTTGCTTCGTCCGCGCTTGGCTTGAGCACCATCAACGCGGATTCGGTGCCGCGATAGCGCATGTTGAGGTACTCTTCATACTCGATCGAGTCGTCGGAGAAGCCCTGGTCCTTTAAGCGCTTGCGGGAACGTTCTTTGAGTTCGTTCATCTTTGCCTTTAGATCATCTCGGGCGGAACCCTTTTTCATATCCCAGACGTGGGACTCGGGAACTTGGTTTTCGTCCACGACGTCGGCAAGTGCCATTCCGTAGGCGGACAGGACAGACGAGTATCGGTGGACGAGGATTTGGCTGATCCCCAAGGATTCAGCGATTGCCACAGCATGTTGACCTCCCGCACCGCCAAATGTCGCGAGTCGATGTTGTGAGGTATCGTGCCCTCGGGCCTCAGTTAAGGATCGAATCGGCCTCGTCATGGTCTCATTGGCGATCTTGATGAAGCCGTACGCGACCTCGTCGGCCGACATGCTCTTATCCGTCTTGCTGTTGATCTCCTTTGTGAGCTCTTCGAAGAGCTTCTTGCTGGCTTCGGGGTCGAGTCCCTCGTCTTCATTTTTGCCGAAGATCTTGGGGAAGAAGTCCGGGAGCAGTCGACCAAGGAAGAGGTTTGCATCCGTCACGGTGAGCGGACCGCCCTTTCTGTAGCATGCTGGCCCAGGGTGTGCACCGGCAGACTCCGGTCCAACGACAAACAAGCCATTTCTGAAGAATAACCGGGACCCGCCCCCTGCGGCCACAGTGTTTATGTCCAGCTGGGGGGATTGGATGGTGACTCCGGCGGTGGTGGTCTCGAAGACGTGCTCGTATCTCCCGGCACCATATCGACTGACATCTGTGCTCGTCCCGCCCATGTCGAATCCGATGACAGGGGTTTTGGTCTCGGGGTCATATGAGGTCAATGCATAACCAACAACACCGCCTGCCGGACCGGACAGAATTGCTCGCAAGCCAGAGAACTGATCCACATCCACGAGACCACCGTCGGACTGCATGAATTCACACCTTGCGCCTCTATCGCCTTCTTCCTTCTTGACGCTCTCCGAGCCCAATCCGCCCTCAAAGCCGGCCTGGAAGCCAGAAATGTATTTCCTGATGGCTGGCGTGAGGTAGGCATCTGCACAGGCCGATGTCGCCCGAGGAACCAACTTGATCATGGGCATGAGTTCGTGACTGAGACTTACGTGCTCGAAACCAGTCTCACGGGCAAGCTTGCCGACCAATGCTTCATGATCGGGAAACGTGTACCCGTGCATCAAGCACACCGCAATGCTTCGGAAGCCTTCGTCGAAAAGTTCCTTAAGTTGACCCTTGATTCTATCCTCCTCGGGCCTTCGTAGTATCCTGACGGCCTCCCCCGACAGACCTTGGACCAGCTCGCTGGTTTTGTAGTTCTCGTGACTAATTTCCGCTTTCGTCTTGTGCCGTGTAGGATCTTCGGCGTAGTCTTCCAGCGTCACTCTTTCATCCACCTCGACGACTTTCTGATATAGGACGTCTGGTCTTCGAATGGCCAGATCGAAGATCTTCGGGCGAGACTGGTTCCCAATCTCCAAGCAGTCTTTAAATCCCTTGGTCACGACCATGGCCATCTTCTCCCCTTTACGCTCCAGCAATGCATTGGTAGCGACGGTCGTGCCCATGCGGATGCTCTCTATCTTACTCGTGTCGAGTGCTTCGCCTCGGGGAATCTCTCGACCCGTGAACTTCGACATGAGCCTTCGAATCCCTTCCAGGGGCGCATCGTCGTAGTTCGAAGGGTCCTCCGACAGAAGTTTGATGATAATATCATCTTCCATGCGCCCCGTGCCTGGGTTCCCAACGCAGTCCGTGAACGTCCCTCCTCGCTGTGCCAGGTCAGATTCAGATACCCTGAAGACGAACGGTGGAGACCTGGTAAACTCACGTCGATGGCAATGCGGATGCCTCTTTCTGCGCCCCCAGCGTCCCCCATTGTGAAGACCTTGATCGAGTTGAAGATGGGGTTTGAAGTCGACGTTCAGCCAAAGAAATGTCCTGTTGTGAGAAGCCGGAACCCAGTCCGGAGAGTCACGCCAGAGCCTCAGATGGTTCTCATAGGAGAAGTCCGTGTCGATGGATCGTCTGCATTCACCTTGCCTGATAACCCGAGGAGGTCGAAGGACAGATTAACTTGCAAATGAAGACAACGCCCAGGGTGGAAGTATACACCTTTAAAGTCGAATCATATAGTTATACCACAATCCTTGTCTGGCATCATGGTACAATGGAAAAAGCAGTGGGCGGTTTCGTCATAGCAATTTGTCACTTTGGCGTTTTTCAGATAAAAGTCTCACCGTACTAATTACGGCAGAGAATATAAGCGCGAGATGCATAAATCGCAGAGATGTCCGAACGCTTCTGTGCGAATGCGATGGACATACAGCCCAAGTGAAGAATTGTCATCCAACAACCATTTCCCATGAATATACTTGTACACACCTCTTGCCGGCCGTGTATCCCGAACAGATCCTCGCCAATTCAAAAGGACGAGCCAAAGCCAGTTCGCCTTCCCTTTCATACGCCGCATTGATCTTCGTCTCAAAAAAAAGTCGCTCATTTCCGTGTTTGAGCACTCGCCTTGTGGGCGGCACGTTGGATAGTCTCCCTGTCTTTCCCACGAGATCATGAATCGGAGCTCGAGTCTCTATCCTTGCTACTCCCAGATGCTCTCTGAAAGCCTCGTTCGCCACCCTTTGTTATACAGTGCTTGACAACCCACGGATGTCGGAGTACATCATCAAGTGGAATTCGCTTCTCGGGGTCAAGGACCAAGAGCTATAATACGTTGTTAGCAACTTTCCAGGAATGCTCCAAGACATGTGGGATCAACTCACTCGCATGATGAGGTCCTTGGCTTCAGGACTGACAAAGCTGGGAACCGTCATGTCGCATCGTGCAATCCTTCGCTGTGTCATGATCGTCGTGTCCTCAAAGGGCGCTTCTCCAACCAGGAACTCATACGTCAAAACACCTAAGCTCCATAGATCGACCTTTTCATTGTAGAAATTGTCGGAGCTTCCAGGCTTAAGCATCTCCGGAGGCAGGTAATCTAATGTGCCGCACATTGTTTGTCTTCGGTTGTTTGGAGCGTGCACTGACCAGCCGAAGTCTGAAATCTTGATCTCTCCATGGATGCCGACCAGAATGTTTTCGGGCTTGATGTCTCTGTGCATGACATGCTTTTTGTGCAGATACTTGAGGGCGGCGGCCATCTGAGCAATGTATTGTGCGGCTTTCCACTCCGGGAATCGACCTTCTTTTCGGAGATGCTTATACAGCTCTCCCTTGCCCGCGAATTCGAGGATGAGGAACACTCGCTTGCTGTCGTGAAAATGACCAAAGAGTCTCAGAATATTCGGATGTCTGAGGTTTGACTGAATCTCGATTTCTCTTCGAACTTGCTTCTCCACCTTGCCTTGTTGCAGCTCGGATTTGTGAAGGACCTTGAGAGCGCACACGAACCCTGATGACCTTTCTCGTGCGAGATATACTCGGCCGAACTTTCCCTTACCGAGCGGTTTTCCGATCTCAAACATCCCAAGGTGGAATTGTTTGGGTGCTTGTGGCTGGTCAAAGAAGAATTTGGGGGCGGATCTATTGCGTATGGAGTCATCGCTCTCACCAGATTCTCGGGCAGCCTGGAGGGCTACCCGCACTGGCGAAGGTGGATGGGTCGGGACAGTTGTTGTGGTTGTTATTGTTGCGATTGAGGCAGTGTTCTGTTTCGATTCTGTGGTGACTTGGAGAGGATACTTGACAAGATTTGTCCGGGATTGAGTTGAGGAAACGGTTGGTAATACTCCCGGACCAGCGCTCTATTGCGACAGAGTTAGGACACAGTGTGCGAAAGCAGGGAGGATTATCAAACTAGCAACTTACCTTTGATTTGAGCATTGTTGTCGTGGGTGCCTCATTTTCGTCGTTGACACTGAGGTGTTCGAAGCGAGATTCCAATGTCTTGGTGGCCATTTTGACGAGGAGTACGGGCAGCGAGAGATGAGGGAACAGACAAACAGGGACGATATTGCAGTCTCCAAGATGAATATAGCTGGGCGCAGTTGAGTAGTAACAACAGTCGGTGGTTTTCGGCGACTCGGTCATCTATCGCAGTCGGACAAGTCTTGGCATAAACACTGATCGTCGGTCGGGGCAACCACCCACGCCACCCCTCAGCATGCGGCGTTACACCCTCCCTTGCTTCGCTTCCCCACGTTGCGCCAGGCCGGCACCAAAGACCTTGCGATTTCGTCTTTCACATCTCGTTCGACACCGAATACCAAGTCCCATTTACCATTCTGACATCCGTATCGTTCCAAGGGTCCTCTGGCAGACCCCCAGGTGACGTCGGAATTGACGCACCATGGCGGTCAACGGTCATCGGCCACCAGATGGCTTCAACACAACCTTCCCCTCGCCCACTGCTGCTCCACCGCGGTCGTTCTCAATCGAAGGCTTCCGCATCACTACCCAGAAATTGCCCATCTTGAAGGCCAGACCTATCGAAGAGATGACAAATAAGCTGGGAATCGCTCCGCCGGAGATGATTTTTGGTGACAATTTTGTGGCGATTGAACATGCGCCTTCGCACTGGGGGATCAAATTCGATGCCTTTGGGGCGTTAGACCGGGTTGACAAGACCGGGGAGAGGCGGCTGAAGGTCGCCTACTCCCGAGAATGGCAACAGAGCAGAGAAGACACGCATGACATCAAAGAAGTCATCAAACCATTCGATTGGTCCTATACCACTGACTATAAAGGTGATCTTGCGCCTGGGAGCCCAGAATTTCAGGCCGCAACTGAAGCCATCCCTTTCGAGCTATTAAAGCGACCAGATCCGATTCTGTTCTTCGATGATGTGATCTTGTATGAGGATGAGCTTGCCGACAATGGCATTGCCATGCTTTCATGCAAGATCCGCGTTATGCCTGCGCGATTACTTCTCCTCTGTCGGTTCTTCATGAGGCTGGACAATGTGTTGGTCAGGCTACGTGATACGAGACTTTACATCGACTTTGGGAAGAAGGAGGCAATCAGAGAATACATCGCAAAGGAGGAAGCATATGATAAGGTGCGCGATGACTTGGCGAGCAGGAGAGATGATGTCACTGCTGTGTTACGAGATGCCAATCAAATGGCGGATATCTTGCCCGTCGTTGAAAAAACTATTGAACGAGTCGAACTGGGGACGTGAAACAGCTGCTGGACTGGGAGTCGAACAACTACTGGGACGATCCCCAGTGTGCAATCGAAAAAGCAGGGTCTGGCTGCCAAAGTAGCCCTGATCCTTAGTCCATACCAAGGAACGTCAGTTTGGCCGTCTATGCAGGACACTCGAAGTGCCTCCTATGGAAAGAGACAAGATCCGTTAAAGCCACGCTGTGGTGACCACTGTTCCTCTGGTTTGGGGAATGCTCTTTAGCAACGTGATCGCAACCCGGTATTCGGCAAGTCAAGACAAAAGGGTGTTGTACGTCAAAGTGGAACCGCATCTTGTGGTGCCGGCGACGAAGGGTATTAAATGTCTGATGGTGTGCTTGATATCACACACTAGCAGGAGGCCGTGACGGGGGGTGCGGTTTACTACTTAGGGGGACGACGAAGGCCAGCGCCAGGATGTCGAGTTTGCCAGGCATAAAGGACCTGCTTTTCCAGCTTTCTATGCAAGGCTACAGGTACCGCCACACTGCACCATACGATCTGCAGTACTGAGTACAAGTACTCGGTAGTCATACTCAATCCCACCAGCTACCTTTTGTCTGGGATGAAACCCGAGTGCCCTTTCTCAGGGTCATCACATCCATCGTCTTTGTTTTTGTGTGATAGTCTAGACTGTTCTTCTTGTCCTCCTTCTGGAACGTCTTGATTTCAAGGCTATCAAAGTGTAAGACAAAAAGTAAGACGAAAGAGGACGTGAATCACCGGCCGGATCAATTTTGCGGGGATCGAGGCTTCGAGATTGCCTTTGGCGAATTGATGACTTCAGAAACGCGCTGGAAACGCGTGTTGAAGAAAACCTTAAAAGTAGGGACATCAACCCCCAAAACGTGCGGCCATCTCGGAGTCCGAGGTCATCGAACCGTGCATAAGATAGCTCAATTTCCTCAGATCAGAATACGAGGGGGTTTGATTGCCCCAGATCGTCAACATGACATGAAATACGAGAGCGTCTAGTAATCTGACCACCAAGGCTGTGTTGGTGGGTGGGCACCCTGCATGCGGCACGAGGAGGAAGACAGTTCATATGGAGCCCACGAGAGTTTCGTTTCTTTCCACCCCAACGTGTTTACATATGCATCACAACCCTGACCTACTCGTAGGGTCGTGAGTAGAGACAAGTCTTGCGACTTGCCAGCCAGCCCCCTTGCAGCCTCGCGACGAGACTCTCTTCAACGAGTCAGTTAGGAATGGTACAGCCACTGTGAGTGTCTGATGTTTCGAAGAGGTCTTCCATCTTGCTCGTGAGTGTCAGAGATGATTCGGCTTAGATCTTCTGGCCCAAGTTGGCTAGTCGAACTACATACGCCTGGATTCATTACCGAAGCCTCTTAAAGACGGATATGGGAGTTGATGGATCTCTCCATATTCATTTAGGTTGAGGAGCGTCATGTCTGAATGACGCGCTGTCAGTTGTTTATATTGCTTAACTTCACTTCCTGCGCTTATGTAGTCGTGAATTGGCAAACAGTTGCACCCGATATAAGTTAGTACTTCCCGTCCCCCGTCTGAAATACGAGTAGGTAGGCTCATAATATACCTAGTTGATGGGTTGGGGGCCAGACTAGGCCTCTGGACGCGTTTGCTCTGAGTGATGCTCGGCGACTCGGCTGAAGGCTCAATCACGGCTCAGGTTCATGCGGCCTTCGCTTACCCTCTGCCTAGAAAATGTCACCAGATGTGGGTGGATGCTGAGGATCTCCTTTCCGGGAGATGCTATTAACACGAGCACACCCTTTTGAACTCCAGCTCGAACCATCCGAGTGACGTGGATGAAGCCAATTTCCGCCTCCCCAAAAGGGAAAAACGTCGGCCTTGCATCCAGCCAATGACATGGCGTACTTCTCAGCCTTCTCGCGCCCCTTACCCATTCCTCGCTTATTCTCTCCAGAACCACCCTCCACCTGTCAAGCCAGCGATCTTTTAGCATGAAGCCACAAGTTCCGCAGCAGGCAGATGACGCCGGCTCGCCCTCTGGGGCCCGGCCTTTCAGGCAAGTCTCGCAAACCCCCAGTGCACATGAGATTTTGACAAGGTTGTGCCCTGAAATTTCGTCAACACCACGAGGCACCTCTTTTTCCGACTCAAGTCTCGCCCTATCCCCCCTGCCTTCGCGACTCTCTTCTGAAACTTGGACCAACGCTTGTATGACCTTTGCAGCGACATGGGCACCATGATAAATCACCAGAGAGTGTTTCGTTTGCTGGCCTTGAACATTTTCCTGTGCTTCTGCATTGCATCGCCTTCGGTGCCCATTGCGACCGATCCTATTCTCTCGACTGAAACGATACCGACAGTTATACCTTCTTTGGTGACGATTTACTCGATCGTTCCCGCTACCGACGCGGTACCAGACACTGTGACGACAATCACCACTACGATCGATGGCCAAACGACCACAATCATATCGACTGGTGTTATAGCTGGCTCGAGCACAAGCACGATTATTTCTACCATCTCTCTGACCACAAGTCAAGTAGTCGTCAATACTGTCGGCTACTCGACGATTCTCGGACCAGATCCGACGCCAGCGGTAAGCTCCTACCATTCTATGTGATGCGCGACTGCATTGCGCTTGCAATAGCGGCACTATATGTCGTTAACAACCTTCTCATTGTTGAACTCTCCACGTTCACTTTGCCATAGCTAGAGGCTGACCACAACACAATTAGACGACTGCTCCTGTTGTAGCACCAACCACGGCTGCACCAACCCCAGAAACACCGATATTGACCACGTCATCTCCATTAGGAGAGGTTCCCATCAGTTCAAATTCCGAAATCACCAGCGCGGTATCGACCTCGAGTTCCATCTCTGCGACATCATCTTCGACAGCAAGCTCATCATCGAGTTCACCGCTCTCATCGGCAACTGGTAGCGGTCTTTCGTCACAAACCTCGCATTCTTCATCTACATCTAAAGGACTGTCTACCGGTGCTAAAGCTGGAATCGGTGTCGGCGTCGCCCTGGGAGTCATTCTGCTAGCTCTTCTGTCGTTCTTTCTGGGCCAGCGCTACTCACGCCGTCGCAACGACAATGCCAGGAACATCGCTAGTCTTAATGGCGCCAACGAAAAGGACATATTCCTCGCTGGTCGTCCTTATGAAGCCTCTGGCCCAAGGCTTGATGCTCTTGCCGGCGGCAAGTCGTATGACATGCCGGGCTCAGACTCAGTCAAAAACTACGCGAACAACTCGGATTTATCGGCTTTGCCACCTGTTGGAAAAGGAGACGAGCTCATGTATGTGGGTGTTCCTGCGCACATGTCGGGCTCCAAGCGTTGGAGTATGAAGGAATTTGTGAAATGATGCGTGAGTTGTTTGCACGACGAAGCATCTATTGATGAATAACTCCTTCATGCTTTGCCCGGTAATGGGGTCTTGCTTCGGGGAGAAACTGGCCAATCAATAGGCGACGTCGAACTCGGGATTTCTACCGACATCCAATAAGATCTTTCCGCCTCTTGGACCAACCCAAGCCTTGTCCTTCCAGACATCCAGACGACGGCTGCACCACTATTCACCTGTCAAGTCTTCGATCGCAGACATGCCACTCCGGAAAATACGGACAATACTGCTTCTGACAGCTACACACACATGTGTCAGGGTTGAGCCGAATTCTGGATTTATTCATGAGGCAGCGACGCCGTTCGTCCAGGTGGGATATCCCCATCCCACCTACTACCGAGGCTAGTGATTTCTGCACCGAGAAGCTAAATCAGACAAAACGAAGAAGATTGTCGGCCACTAGGTGTCGATGTCCGTCGGCACGGAGCACTCCGAAGAAGAGGGCAGCGTGGCCCAGAGCATTTGGCAGTTCATTGATGCTGTTCTGTTTAACATCTTATGCATAGTTGAAGCCTATTTGTTTGTTTGAGTTTGGGGTATCTATCTCTACGACGTACATGGAAATGGCACAACAGTACATGGGAGCGAGGGCGTTCCGGGAAAACAAGGGAAACAAGGCAATACTGCATCTTGGGGGCAGAATCGTGGGGAGTAATACCCCAGTCGCTGCCAGAGAATACCGTCATGACTAGTGTTTAATGCATAATAGCCCATTCTCTTCTGATGTTGATGCCTGATGCGTGGTTCTGCTCGCTTCGGATCAATCTCATTCCCAAAAAGGATTAGCTTGCCAAGTTGATATCACGTGTGGTGAGCTAGCGACAAAATTGGACGATCACCTTCCGCAACGTCCAACTTTTACCTTTTTCACTATCCTTCCAAACGACTTACGTATTCAGAAATCCGCGCTCCTTGATCGTCGCTGACCCCTTGGAATCGCATCTGACACATCTCTACAAGTATATCGGCTTTATCGCGGCGGAGGGTTGAAAGATGCCGGCCCTGTTGGAGGACCCTGAATCCCCTGTAATCTATCGGGCCTCTGGACAGGGTCCGTACCCGACCCCCGACAATCCGCAAATACCTTCGTCGATTTTCCCCAGGCCTGTCACGCTTCGAGACCGTGTGACTGTTGCGACGCTGATTCCATTCTTTTCGCCCGATGCCGTTCCAAAGAGACTGCTGGCATATTTGTCAGAACAGCTCAACAAGGAAATCGAGGGTGGCGACACGTACCCCATGCTCAATCCGCTGCCCCTGGAAACCTTTGGGCCCTATTGGTTTGGTAATTTTGGTACTGTCATGGTCCTTGGTGACATTGGAGGCATTGAAGCCGTAAACGACATGGATCGCGATGGCGTTGACTGGAACAAAAAGTGCCTGGGCAGCTTTTACATCAAGCCCAACTATCCTGGTCGGAGCAGTCATGTCTGCAATGGTGGGTTCTTAGTCACTCCGGCAGCTCGTAACAAAGGCGTCGGAAAGTCAATGGGACAATGCTATCTCGATTGGGCCCCTCAGCTGGTAGGTTTTCGGCGGTACGAGCCCAGATAGGGCATATCAAGCTGATGTTCTCCCAGGGATATACCTATTCGGTGTTCAACTTGGTGTACGAAACCAATACTGCTTCAACCAAGATATGGGACTCGCTTGGCTTCAAGAGGATTGGCAGAGTGCCCGGCTGTGGCATATTAAAATCCTCCGAGGAACCCGTTGATGCAATCATCTATGGCAAGGACCTGAAAGCAGAGGGCGAGAACGACATATCAGAGGAACGCTTTGATAAAATACGATACTATCTAAGACACCAACTCTACCCGCAGGGGGCCGACAGATCGGAGAAAAGCCGGCTAAGGAGTGCCGCTACTCACTACAAACTGGTCGCCGACGGAGATGGAGGCCCAGAGAGGTTGTTTTTGAAGGATAAAGAGGTTATCTCCGACCCTCAAGCACAATACGACATCGCCAAGAAAATTCATCTCCAGGTGCATGCAGGCATCAACAAGACCACCGCCATGATAGCGACTCAGTATCATTGGATCCGGATCAAAGAAACTGTGAGTCACGTGATCAAGAACTGTCCCGAGTGCAAAGATGTCAATAAACCGCCCATAATACGCTCGGAGAATCGACCTGGCCGGAGCAAGACAATTGACGAGGTTCCCCCTGGTCTATCGTCTCTGCAGACAGGAGCAGCCCCAACGGCACCAGCAACAACGGCGCCACCCGCACCGCCAGTGCAGCCCGGACAGCCCACACAAATCATAGGCGAGGTGCAAACCGTGCCACCGCAGGACCATGAAATCGCGCCGAATCACATAGCCGATCACATTCCTGATCACAGTTTCGCGTCGATACAGCAACCCATGGATCTGTCCAACGACCATGATCACCTTGTCAATGACCCAGATGGCCATCTTCATGCGTATGACGAGATGGCCATCGACCCGCAGATCATGGAACAGATACAAGCTCAACTTGATGCCGACTACGATCCTAACAACCATACATATGTCACCCCCGGATTACCCACCTTCACGGATACTTCTCATCTGCAATCTCCCCACGATCCGCGCGATTTCAATCACGCACCCTCTGATCATCATTTCATTCGGGATCCCAATCAACCAATCCTGGGACACGACCATGTTATGGACGAAGGCGGCGCGGGCGCAGGATTGAATAGTATGCAGCCCATGCAACACGTATTACAAATGGACTATATGAATCCGCAGGATGAGCAGCAATACAAGCTTGAGGAACAATTCAAACTTGAGCGGTAAGGGGCGGGAATGGCGTTTTGGTTTGGTCATGTCTTGATGAGAAACGCATGCGGTTGATAGAAACAAGTCCTGTCTCGATCCAGGCATGTTATTATGGGAACGAGTTCGATGACAATGTATATAGGTGGAGTACAGTCTCGAAGGATGGCAAGGACACATTCAGCAATGAGGCTGATGCAAATGGATTTTTTGGCCATAGATTAGGGTGACGATAGACAAAAAGCCCGACGGTAGATGACAGCTCGTTCCAAAGGGGTCTGAGTCTCTTGACGAATCCGGGATGAATCCGGTATGAACGTAACAAATGTCCTGTAGTTACCTGCATTCAAAATTTGCTGGACTGACTGAGTTGTCGCGTCGGCCATTGGGGCATGTGAGGAATATAATTACTGTCTGACAAGGATGTTTAACCAGATTGTCTGCAGATATGCACATACACGTGACACATACCCACCAGTACGTCATGGAATCCGCTTGTCAGACGAAAAGAATTCTATCTCTCAAAATCCATTAACTCGCCGCCATTTCACCTAAATTCTCAGACCAAACTCATCCTCATAACGAGACCTTACCATGGATAGTGGCAGGATCAACAGGAGGCCCTCAAGGCCACCTCCTCGACTAAGAACCAAGACTGGCTGCCACACGTGTAGGGTAAGTCACCCTCGACCTGGCTTCTCTTGTCCTTCTCCTCTCTAGCAATCACCTTTTGAAGCCAACCCATCCTCTCTCCCTGATGCACCAATTGATTATGGTTGAATTTCACTACGTCAAACTCATCCGATGCGAGCAGATAAGACGGAAAAAATGCGATGAAGCACACCCGATCTGTAATGCGTGCAGGAGACTCAATCTCGATTGCGCATATTCGGATCCTTCAAGTCCTACGACGGCGTCGCAAACCTCTCCTATCTCGTCCCCGGACATTCGAAGCGATACGGCCAGAGACTCCCCGTCATATGCATCAACAACGGTCCCGACGCTTCAGAGGAGTTTGAGTCATATGCCCAAGGGACTGAGGACTGAACGTGACTGGAACGTGTTCAACTATTGTTCGACGCAGTACATCAGGCTGCTAACCTCGCCTGAAGCTACTTCGAACTTTCGGGATGCCTCCGTTGTATTTGCAATTGGCTTTGAAGAGCCCTGGGTGATGCATTCTGCACTGGCCCCGGCGGCGCTGCATGCCTCCTTTGCTTCCTTGCTCCCCAAGGAGGATGCGATGCTGTACGCCCAGAGTGGTCTCCAAGGGCTCCAACAGGCTCTCCAGCCAACAGCGGGACGAGCCCCTCCTGAAGATGCATACCTTGGAGCTTCGCTATTCCTCGGCATTTTTGAGGAAGGTGACTGCCCTACGCATTCATGGTTCTCTGATACTAATGTCAACTAGGACTTCTACTGCTCGTCGTTCAGTGCGAGCCTGACACATTATCGCGCCATAGCCAGGATTCTCGAAGATCGGGTTCCAAAAATCCCCCGTCTTGACATTGGCCAGTTGTCAACCTTCCATTCGACTATTCTTGACTCGGTCCTGTATCATTTCTCTACGAGGTTGATATTCGAGAAGGACATTGGCCCTATCTGTGGTTCGTTTCCCTGTCAGACCGTCTTCAAGTACATCGAAGCATTGGAGGCAACAAAGAACGACAGACGCACCGAACCATTCATCCTGCCTGTACTCGGTCGGACGCCGCCAGCGCTATTTGTTCAGATATACCAGATTACGTGGTTAAGCAGGCAGATACCTTTCTGTCGCAATGAGCTCCATGAGCTAGCTTCGCAGTGCCAGACCGAGCTGGACGCCCTCACGACACACTATCCGGTGATGCTTCCTGACGAGGTGCCATCTCTAGAGTCCGCGGTCACGATCAATGTCAGGAACTCCGAGATCGCGGCGAAGCTCTATTACATAGCGGCAACAATCTTCGCCGCCAAAGTTCTCAATCCAGAGGGTCTAAATAACCAGTCCCCACAGATCCAGGCTCATATTTCCAGAGGTGCGACATTGTTGGATAAGTACGACGCAAATCTACCCTGTGGGCAATTCATCTGTTGGCCTCTGCTTGTCCTCGGTTGTGCAGCATGTCCAACGACCGCATCTGAGGCGCAACAAACTCACCCCAGCAATATTCAGGCTCTCAATCGACTAGAACTGCGATGTCTCATTCAAGAGAAACTTGTGCAGATCTGGCATGTCTCATATTCAGGCTACGTCCAGCGCACCTTGGGCGCTTTGAAGAGGATATGGCAACTTCCCAGCATACTAATAAACGTCTCGACTAACACATATACTGAGAGCGAAGAGGTTACATTCGACGGACTTTGTGCACTCATCCAAAAAGAAGGTCTAGGAGCAGGCCTATTGTCTGCAGAGAATGGCTAATTTGTTAGTCTCCAGCCATTTCGAAGACACCACCTGAAGTATTACTCTTCCGAGAATGTCAGCGGAGACATTTCTCAATGATACGAGCTGCACTGATACACTCCTCGTCGCGCATACGGCTTGTGAATATTTGGATTGAGCACGGGGCACCATCCTGCATCTGTGGATCATCTAGACGACTGCGTCAGCGAATAAGTGTGGTGGGAATGTTTTTCCACTTACAATGCGGGCCGGCCTGTCCTGGCTGGATCTGGAGAGGCTCAGGGTCCAGTTGCTGCGACGCTTTCGAGAATGGAAGTACACAGGCCGGGTACTGGACATGTCAGCAGGGACCTCGTGGCTGAGACTGCGGAGAAGACTTACATCGAGCACGTTGACAAAAGCGGAGTACGCTGGCCATCCATATGTGTCGTGAGGAACTGCTGTGTTCTGGGCAGCAGGGCTAATAACGACATCCAGTTTCTCTTCCGACCATATCTTACGCCAGTCTTCGCACAGCTCCTGACGCTTGACACTCAAAGCTGCATACTTCTTCAGCTTATCCAAGTTGCCAATATCACGAAGAAACTTGTAGCTTCCAAAATTGGCTGGTCGATGGCCCGCAGCTACAGAAGGAACCGGTGGCTCTCCGCTCGCAAGGATATGTCCTCGCGGAGTGTCTGTCTCGAGACTGAATAGCTCACATGCTAGCTCAGTGGCATCAGCCACGTGGCCTTGCTCTGCACTCAGCTGAATCACCTGATGGCCTTGGCCTTTCAGTCTATTGACAGCCTCTGCAAGTGCTCGCTTCACTGGTGGATGGAGCGGATAAAGGGGGTCTTCAGCCAGGACTCCGATCCTGAGCTTCGTCTCAGCCTTTTGCTCAAGCTGACGCCATGGCACGTCGATGGCGGTCGAGTCAAGTGTGGCAGGCACTGAGTCTATGACTGATTTGGTCAAAACCTCCAAGGCTTCAAAATCATTCGCAAGAGGTCCTGCACAGGCGAGTATGGGCTTCCACCCAGGCAACCCGGGTGTCGCTTGACCCCCATATGGAATCCGCGAAGATGTTGGTTTGAAGCCATAGGTACCGCAGCACAACGCTGGAATGCGTATTGAACCAGCGACATCAGTTCCAATACCGAGCGGCGACCCTCGAAAGGCAACCAAAGCACCTTCTCCTCCGCTGGAACCTCCGGCGTTTAGTGCCGTGTTCTGTGGGTTCAAAGCTCGGCCAAAGATATTGTTATCAGAGTCTGCCGTCATCAGGGTTTGAGGGATATTGGTTTTCACATAGAGTACAGCTCCCAGATTGAGGAGAATGTCGACAAGTGGAGAGTTCTCTTTGGATTTCTTCCCAAGAAACGAGACAAACCCGATTGAAGCCTCAGTGCCAACTGTCTGGAAGGAATCCTTGACGCTGATGGGAAGGCCGTGCAAGGGCCCAAGCACCTTCCCTTCGCTCCGGCATTGGTCGACATACTTTGCCCGCTGGAGTGCGCTGTCGAAGAAGGTCTCGGTCAGACACGAGGTCAGTTGTTGCGCTATTGCAGCCCTCTTCGAAAATGCCGTTGTAACTTCGACAGAAGTGAACTCTCCCGAGGCCAGCTTGGCCAGCAATTGCGGCACCGTGTAGTCTTCGGTGATTGATATCTCACGCTCGGACAAGATCCCCGACTTCCTGACTATGTCCATGCTGAGGAGTCTGTTTAAATTCTTCTCCAGCGGAAAAGCCAGCAACTTGGAGATATCAGAAGGAAGCTGCCATTCTCGCGGAATGGCTTCCAGACACTGCTGTCGCTTTTGAGCGACCTTACTCTGCCAATCCGACAAGGGAGCAGTATTCTGTTCGCTCATGGCGCCGATTGAGCCCATCTCGTCGACTTGATATTGGTTCCGGTGTCTTTGGTCCTGTTTCTGCACGAGATATTAGCAGTCACTTCAGAGTCTTGCTTCAGCGTCTGCTGTGTCTATTCTGTGTGGTAAGAAAGTCTTCCTAATCTCCTGAATGATCGGCACCGAGGACGATAGGACGGATTGACTTCAGGCGCAACGCTCTTTTCCGTCTTTGACCCTGCCTGATACAAAATATGGGGACCAATCAAGTATCTTTGCGCCCTCCAATCATCGGATTTTGCGCCACGTTTGGGGGTTGATACCCCGGGCTTTACACTTCCTCCTCATCCGCCACTATTTGCCAGATAGCCAGGCACGGCAGAGCAAGCTCTCGACCCAGACTGCGATTAGTCAGACTTACCCTCAGTGACTTTGATAGATTATTGAGGCGGAGACCGCAAACGCCTCTAAACGGCCTCAGTGACGAATTCTACCACGTGTGTGAGATCTTTATTTACTCGGCTAAGTCGTACCCCAGTGAGACTTGCTGGATAGCCAGGTACAAGAGCTCCAAACGGACCTACCTGAGTACTTCATTATCTTACCTTCTCGCCTTGTCTGAAAGTTACTGGTTTTGATTCCACGAACTACCGAGATGGCGGAACCAACTATACTATCCCTTTTGCACAGATTGGCCCAAAGGTTGGACCGTGACCCTGGAACGCCAGTCGAGAAGCCTACCGAGGCCTTCTGGCAAGAGCCTCGTCATTCTTTTGCCGACCAACAATCAGGGGCGTTACCCAAGGAATCCGATGTCGTTATCATCGGTTCTGGTATTGCTGGTATAAGCATCGCACAGCATTTACTCCGCTTGCAGCCCTCACAGTACATTACTATGCTTGAGGCCAGGTCGGCAATATCGGGAGCAACAGGCCGGAATGGTGGGCATATCAAAGCCGTTCCATGGGCCGACTATTACGCTCTCAAGCAAGTGCTCGGTAAAGAAAGCGCAATGAAGATCACGAAATTCCGGCTTGCCCATCTGGATGCTTTTGTCAACGAAGCCACTGCACTTGGTGAAGCCGGCAAAGTTGGCTTGGTGCGACGGGTGGAGGGAATAAGCGCGGTTTTCGACAAAGAAAGTTGGGAGTCGGCAAAGGTCAAGCTGGAAGCATGGCTTGAAGACTTTCCAGAACATCGTGAGAATTGGAGTGTGCATGAGGGAGATGAGGAGCTCAAGGTACTAGGAACTCCCCCGGATGATTTTCTCTTGCTCACCTAGTTCAAAGACATTTGGCATTGTCAATGCCTACGGGTGCATAAAAGGCCCTTCGGGAGCAGCATGGCCCTATCGGTTTCTTGGTTGTGTACTGTCAAAGCTGCTTGCGACTGGCCAGGTGAGCCTCGAAACGCACACTATTGCAGAAGAAGTTCGACGGAGTCAATTCCAAAATCACCCTTATGAGGTGCGCACATCACGCGGCATCATATCAGCAAAGCACGTCATTCACTGCACAAATGCGTACGCTGCGCATCTGCTCCCCTACCTGAAAGGCAAACTCTGGCCCCTCAGAGGGCAGATGACCGTTCAGTCGGTACCTGCCGAGTTTCCACGATTTGGAGCTTCGAGATCCTGGAGCACAATCTGGGCAACAGGTTTTGACTACATTACTCAATCTCCTGGCGAAGATGGCTCTTTATACCTCGGAGGAGGGCTTCTCCAAGGTGGCCCGGAAAGAGATGAAGACTTTGGAAACGCCGACGACGGCCAGCTGAGTGCGCAATGCCTAGAGCATCTAGAGACAGTTCCGTCGAGAGCGTTCGCCCACGGGTCAGGGGTAAAGATAGATAAGAAATGGACGGGGATCATGGGATTCACGGGAGATGGGTTGCCTCTAGTTGACCGCGTTCGAGAATTCATGTCTGGCCGCCCAGACTGTAGTCCCCAAAATGGTGGTGAGTGGATCGCGGCAGGATGGGATGGATACGGCATGGTTCACTGCTGGCTCGCTGGCAAGGCTCTCGCACATATTGTAATGGGACGCGAGGACGAAGTTTTTGAGTGGTTTCCGAGAGAAGAGTTTGGATGCGGCAAGGAGAGGCTCGACAAGATGAGCCCCGAAGGTGCTCTCAAACGGTTTCTTGGGCTGCTGGAGACATAGAGCCCGTCGAGAAGGCTCTAGGAAACCATATCTCGATCAATACGCTCGACAGACACCACGATAGTTCATCTATCATATCTATACCTCCGAAAGAGGCAAGCCCAAGCAGCTCAATCTCGACCACGAACCTTGGACCAAGCCACTTATCGGCGCAAAGGGTTTTGATTCGACACGTCGAAGCGGCTTTCAGCGTCAAGCCTGACGGACATCAGCTATACTACCATTTGCAGAACGATCTACGCTTCTCCGCACATTAAGAGAGGCCGCTAACCTAGACCTAGTCGAGTCGGTGGCAATTGTCCGGAGGAACGGTCAATTGATAAGGGACTTGTGCTGTCATGGGGGTGGCTAATCCGAGAGGTCTACTAAAGGAATGGACGTCCTCGTGCCACAAGTCCATCGATATCTCAAGTGCTTCGATCAGAACACCTCGCTGGCATCACAGGCAGTTGACAATACCGACGACATGACCTACGAAAGACTCCCTCCGGGGACGCAGAGGATCGAGGACCGAACAGGACAGAAGATCCTGCTGGCTCCTCAGCCAAATGCGGATCCCAATCAGCCATTGGTGAGTGTCTGTGTCTGCTTCATGGTCGAATACTTCCTTAACTGTGCGACAGAACTGGTCCGCCTTCCGCAAGTCTGTGCATATGATCATCCTATGCTTTTATGCCTTGATGGTGTTTGCCATGTGAGTCTCATTGGCCCCCAACCATGAAGTCTTTTGCGTGGGCTAATGCCTTTACTCCTCAGCCTCTGCGTCTCGGTGCCCCTCTGGCAAGACTTCAACACCGAGCTTGGGATGAGTTATGCCGTTCTGAACGACGGGTACGCCACAAACATGGCGACCCTATCCGTTGGATGCATCATCTTTGTGCCCATTGCCCTTCGAATCGGTCGAAGGCCAGTCTACATAATCACCGCGTTGGTCATGCTTGGTGCTGCTGTGTGGCAAGGAAAGATGTATACTGTCGGAGACATGATTGGGGCCAATGCCATTTCTGGTCTTGCTGGTGCTGTCAATGAAGCCATCTTCCAGGTCACGGTACGTCCTCTTCCGATCTCCATTGCAATCTGGAGATGAATACTAGTCGTGGTCACCCTTACTGACATTGGCTCCCCCAGGTATCGGACCTCTTCTTCGTGCATCAGCGTGGCACCATGAACGGCATTTACCTCGTCGTGGTGCTCGTCGGTAACTACCTGGGCCCGGTCGCCGCTGGCTATGTCGCCGTGTCTCAGCAGTGGAGATGGGTCTTTTGGTATTGCACCATCTTCATGGGCGTGGTGACTCTGGCTATGATTTTCTTTCTGGAAGAGACCAAATACACGCCACCGGTGTTGACTGGTCGGGAAATTGTCATCGCCACCTCCATTGAACAGGAGGACAGCCTCACCAAAGTGCGCAGCACCAGCAAGGGCGGCAACACTCATGGGTCTATTTCTGTCGACGCCACCGAAGCCGCCAACAACGAACGTCGCCGTCTTGTCGACATCGACACCTCGATCCCCATGAACTCGTACTGGAAACGTTACTCGCTGTGGTCACTGGACAAACAAGCATCCACGGAGCAGCGCAGCCTGTGGATGCACTTCTATCAACCTTTCCACATCTTGATCACGTTTCCCGCAGTCATGTTCACCGCGCTGCAGTACGGCTTCTCTATTGCCATGCTGGCGATTCTGGCGGTGACGCAGGCGTCGCTGTATCCATTCCCGCCGTACAATTTCACCCCGATCGGAATTGGTAACATGAATTTGCCGCCGGCCATTGGAGCCCTTCTCGGTGCTCTCTTTGGCGGCCCTCTCAACGACTACTTCATCCTGCAGGTTGCCAAACGGCGAGGTGGTATCTACGAACCCGAGACCCGACTTTGGCTGTTCTTGGTGCCAGGATTCTGCATGCCTATTGGACTGTTCATGTACGGCTTGACCATCGCCAAGGTAAGAATTCCCACTCAAATACATTCGATGTGGATGAAGCTGATGTGCTTTCGTGAAGGGAATGGCGTGGCCCATCAACGCTGTCGGGGCTGGGTTCATTGGTGCCGCCATCGGGGGATGCGGTGACATCTCTCTGACATACTGTCAGGACTGCTATCAATATGTAAGTCGAGCAGGGCCCACCACATTGTTTTCGAAGGCTCTCTTTTTCTTTGATAGAAAGATTGTTACTAAACTCTCTCGGCAGATACTCGGAGACGCTCTGACATCCGTGGTCTTTGTGCGCAACATCATTTCCACCGCCCTCGTCTTTGCGATCACGCCCTGGATGACCAATATGTAAGTTACTCATTCGCGTCATCCCTTGCAGCAGATAGTTATACATGGTGCTAACAACAAAAATACAGGGGGGTATACAACATGTTTGTCCTGCTGGGTTGTCTTAGCATTGCTGTGGTATTGACCTGCGTCCCGCTCATTATCTGGGGACGCAAATGGAGAGCCCACTTCGCAGGGCGGTATGAATATTTTGCTGCGAAGCAGTACTGATCACATTAGCTGAGCTGGTATGGAGATGGTCGAGTGGCAATGTTGACCGTAATGAGAGGATCACGCATTCCCATTGTGCCGTTGTACGAGGTGCAAGGAAGGGTTTTTCGAAAAGCTAGCTAAAAAGCAACCATTCTAGTAAAGTCCGGTAGAAAAGAAACTGCTGTGACAAGATGAAAGTGCTCAACTAAGATGGGCTTGTAGGCATCTTCTTCTACAAAGTCGAGATATGCCCACCTGATGCCTGGACTCTGACCGTCCATTGGAGCGACTGCACCAACATCTTCCAGGTGAGGGGGAAATTCTCGAAAAGAGCGCTGTGTAGCAGAGGCACGTAATGAGATACGAGGTACCAGCCAATATCGCCAACTCCCTGCCACATAATTTCCGAGTCTATTGTCTGATTTGAGCGGATAAGGCTGAACCCCCGTGGCACGTGACGGCCTGACTTTTTCAGCCCGCTTGGGTGGCTCCCAGGCTCCTCATTGTTTCCCTCGTCTCGTAGCGGGGAAAATGATCGCATGATTCACTTACTCGGTATTTGTACCATGTTATCCAAAGTGTCTGGCTTTAGCGAGCGAGAGATGGACTGCAATGCACCCTTCCTCAATACCAGGGAGGGAAGCGAGACTATCGCCAGGGTTGTCCTCGCACAGCTTCCCACCAGGCAATTTCCACCCATGGCCTCGCCTAGGTCTGCAGCACTCGTTCCTCCTCCTCCTCGTACCGATATCCGAGACTATTTCTGCAGCCCTTGAAAAGGTGGCACAGGCCCCTGTTTGTGTCCGGGAACACAGGCAGGACAGCAGAGAGCGTGGGTATCCAATGTTTTTTGACAGCAATAAGGCTGAGGGAAGAGCCCGGGCCAGCCAGAGGCGGCGATGAGAAACCCGACCGGTTCCCTGTGTAACCAGGTAGGCTGTTGGACCTTTTCTTCTGCTTTTCTTTCACCGCTTGGTATCCAACGAGAAGGAATCAGGGTCGGAGAACCGACGTAGAAAGATTTGGTTGAGGCTGGACAAGAAAGAAAAAGAAGAAACTCGTCTCGTCGCCTTCATTCCCCCCCAAAGTATCAAGCTGCAGGTCACCGCCAAACAACTCGGCCAATGCAAGCCTCGCCCAGACCGCGCCGATCTCGTATAGAATTGGCCTGTACGGGGGACAGAAGAGGATTTGGCCCTTGTTGATCCGGCACGAGGCCAAGTGTGTCCCCAGAACCCGAGGCCCTGAGCCCTTCGAGCAACCATCGTTCTCTTCGACAGTTTGTTTTTTCTTTCCCTTTACAATCGGGTCCAAACGCCACGATAAGATCACGTCTCGTCTGCACTCCTGGGGGCTTCTGTGTGTGTGTGTCTTGGACACCTCTCCCTTATGATGGCGACGCTGGCTTCTTCACTTCTCCTGCTGCTTGCTCTGTTGACGGTGCAGACGGTGGCCCAGGCTCCTGTAGACCCGCTCCGAAATTTCTGTCGGAGGTATGGCCATCAGACTGCGGTGATTGACCGCAAACTCTACATTGACGGTGGCTGGCTCTATGCCAATCCCATCTCGCAGAATCCCATAGCCACAATGAGTATTGCCGAACCTCCTCCCCTCGTCGGATGTCATGAAGTTTCCGTGCTGACAATGGTCCGCAGATGAAGGCCTACTGTTCTGCGACCTGGACCAGACATATCAAGACATGCCGCCGGAGTATGCCAACTTGACAAAGAACTCGTCGGTCCCGGACGTGGCTGGAGGCACATTGTGGCAAGATGAGGTCAACAAGGTCTTCTGGTTGTACGGTGGCGAGTTCTCGGCGGCGCCGTCGGCGTTCCAGCTCTGGGGTTACGACGTGGTCTTGAACCAGTGGAATCTGTCATCGCCCCATGTGGGATCGACCGCGTCGATACAGAGGGTGTCGTGGGGAGCCGGCGTGGCCAGCAGCGAGATCGGCATGGGCTTCTACTACGGCGGCTATCTCAACAACCTGACCACTCCGCTGTGGACGGGACCGCCCCTGGCAACGAGCAACCTGATCATCTACGACATGGACCAGAACAGCCTCACCAACAACACTGGCTACGACAACATCGGCAGGGCCGAGGGCATCATGGTGTACATCCCCGCCTCCATGTCCGGTCTGCTTGTGTATTTCGGGGGAGTCACCTTCCCGTATGGCAACGAAACTGAGGTCCCGGTAAGTGAGAGGCCTTCGTGCTATGCAAACGGCCGCACAGATGACATGATGGCCGAGAGAGATGGAATCGATATCTGACACTTCTCGTCCCAGGCACCCATGAACACCATCATGATCTACGATATTTCAGATGGCAAGTAAAACCCCAAGAATCCCCCCGGCACGCCAGCACCCCCCCAGCTGGCTCAGAGGCTCATTCATGTTTCTTCTCTCAACAGCCAAGTGGTATACCCAGACAGCCACGGGGACCGTCCCAGAGATGCGACGCAAATTCTGTGGCGGCGCAACTTGGGCGGATGACCAGTCTTCCTACAACATGTGAGTGTCTTTGCTCGCCGCATATACCAGATTGCTGACTCTCTCTTGCCGGTCAGTTACCTGTATGGTGGATTTGGGTTTGGAGAGAACACGACCGTACGCATAAGATATACTCCCTTCCTTCTTCCTTCTAGCTTGCGTTTGATGTTTTCCTCCCTCCCTCCATCTCTAAAATTCCTGTCCAGGGCTTCGACGACGTCTACATCCTGACAATGCCGACTTTCGAATGGATCAAATGGTATCCCGACAGCCCGGGCCCAGGGTCACCGCACGGCATGCTCACCTGCAATGTGATTGACCGCGGCCAGATGATAGTCATGGGCGGAAACTTCACCAACACGACTGCGTGTGACGTGCCCGCCATCCAGGGTCAGCATAACCTGAATCTGGGCCAGTACGACAGCACCAACGCCAAATGGTACCCTTACCTGCCGAACCTGACGGATTACTTTGTGCCCCCAGCGATCCTGCAAGTTGCGGGTGGAACGTAAGTTGTCTTTTTCTCTGTCGTCGTCTTCGACACCTTTACCCCTGTGAGGGAGGGCGCGGTAAACTAGCCATATGAAGAGAGACTGATCTTTTATTGGGCCTTGGTGGAGAACAGACCTGAAGGCGGAGCTATCAAGAAAGCACCAGTGTCTGGCTGGGACGACGACCGCTTGTCAGTTTATTTCAGCGAGAAAGCCGTCGTCGCCGCACGTACGCCGACGCGTGCCCTTCCCGCAGCGACCACGACGCCTCCGGCACCTAAGCCACCCCCCTCGCACCCGCCGGGCAACAAGACCGACACTGGAGCGATCGTGGGCGGCGCCGTCGGAGGCACTGCTGGCCTGGTATTGGTGATTGCGCTCGCGTGGTGCTGCCTACGACGGCGCAAGAATAGGAAGAGCAATGCGCAGAGCGATAATAACCCCAACAACACCGCGGCGTCCACAGCGGCGACGACACCCATCCCCGGCGCTGCGCAGCCATTCAGTCCCACCTCGCCGCAGCAGCACGGGTACGTGATGAACGAGAAATACTCGACCACGGCGGTGGGCTCGCCGGGCTCGACGACCAGTCGCGTCGGCTCGCCGAGCGACCAGCTGCACTCGTCGTCGCAGTACAGCACACCGCCGCCTCTGCCTCCTCCTGCACCTGTACCTCCCCAGCAACTCCCCAGCAACTCCCCAGCCACCCAGAATTTCCGAACTACTACTACGCCGCTACAGCTCCGATCCCCGCACCCCAGCAGTATTACCCCGTGGTCATCCCGGGCCAGTCGCACCAGCAATACCAACCTCACCACCACCAACACCAGCAACAACACCAAGGGTACTCATCACCATATCCTATCCCCATGCACGGCGCGCAAACAGCTCAGGGGATGACCCCGATACCGTTCTACCCGCCTCCGCCTCCGCCACCTCCAGATCCAACTCGCACGCAGTCCCACGAGATGCCCACCGTGCGCAGCCCGGAGATTGTCCAGGTCCACCAGCCGAAGCCGCTGAGGCCTGAGGAAGGGTTGGAATAGGTCACGAGTCACGGGTAGTACGAGTAGGACTCGGCAGTACGAGGTACAAGTAGTAGTAATAGGGACTCGGTATCGAGGGACTGACTCTCTCTTCTCCTTCTTGATATACCTCCCTCATTTCCCCCCCCAACCCCAAAGATAGAATATCAAGAATGGAGGCAGGGAGGATTGTGATATTTCTTTGGATGCCGAGGGGCTGTCTTTTAGGGGGAGTTATATAGCTATCTGCCCATGGGTGATACATGTCTTGCTGTCTACCTACCATCTACCTATACTCCTCCACCCTCCCATTCGATATCCAGTCCTTAGTTCAATCCCTGCAGTCCTGGAGTTGCCTCGGTCGGTTAGGTAACAACGAGGAGGACACATGTACAGGTACAGGTTCCAATATATGATGCAGGCAATTGGAGGCGGAGAGGGACATTACCAAACTGTCGCGTTGGGTCTGGTGTATGCAGTAATAATAGTGAAATGAAGCATCCAGAATTGGTAGTGAGAGGGGGACGTTAGAAACAAATGCTCCACCGTACAAAACTGCGCATCTGGGCATGAATGCTCCGTCAGACATGAAATTCAAAAAGTTCCTCCACAAAACGTCTTTGGAGGGGTGGGAAGTGCGCAATACCACGAAACTCCGTCAAGACAAGTTCTGTGAGACCAAGATGGCAGCAGCTTTCGGCGGGCAAACGCCCACGATCATCGTCCTCAAGGAAGGTTAGTAAAAAAAAGTTCCCCTTTCCCCTTGCTCAATCACTCGCTTGTACCGTATTTCCATTCGTTCCACACTTGTTCTGTTCTGTTACTCACACCACCCGTGCGTGGCATTTCCACAGGCACCGACGCATCCCAAGGCAAGCCGCAGGTGATTTCCAACATCAACGCCTGTCTCGCGGTGCAAAACACCATCAAAAGCACCCTGGGCCCCTACGGGGGCGACCTGCTCCTCGTCGATGCGAACGGAAAGCAGACCATCACCAATGACGGCGCCACGGTCATGCGCCTGCTCGACATCGTGCACCCGGCTGCCAGGATCTTGACGGACATCGCGCGGAGTCAGGATGCAGAGGTCGGCGACGGGACAACCTCGGTCGTGGTGCTGGCGGGGGAGATACTCAAGGAGGTCAAAGAGTTGGTCGAGCAGGGTGTGTCGACGCAGACGATCGTCAAGGGTCTGAGGAGGGCGAGTGCGATGGCCATCAACAAGATCAAGGAGATTGCCGTGAGCGTCGACGACGGCGCAAATAGGAGGGAGACGCTCCGAAAACTGGCCGCCACGGCCATGAGCAGTAAACTCATTCATCGGAATTCGGGCTTCTTTACCAAGAGTGAGGGCTACCCCCAACACAATCACTTGCAGTATTTGTGGGCTCTAAACTAACGAAACACCATTCTAGTGGTTGTCGATGCCGTCCTAAGCCTCGACCAAGACGACCTCAACGAGAAACTCATCGGCATCAAGAAAATCACCGGCGGCGCACTGGAAGACTCTCTGTTCGTCGACGGTGTGGCCTTCAAAAAGACCTTTTCCTACGCCGGCTTCGAACAACAACCCAAATCCTTCAAGAACCCGAAAATCGTGTGTCTGAACGTCGAGCTCGAGCTCAAGGCAGAAAAGGACAACGCAGAGGTGCGCATTGACCAGGTTTCGGAGTACCAAGCGATAGTGGACGCCGAGTGGCAGATTATATATGACAAGATGGAGGCACTGTACAAGACGGGCGCGAAGGTGGTCTTGTCGAAGCTGCCTATCGGGGATCTGGCCACGCAGTATTTTGCCGATAGGGACATATTCTGCGCAGGACGTGTCGCCCCCGACGATCTAGAGCGTGTATGTCAGGCCACAGGAGCTGTCACACAGAGCACCTGCAGCGACATCCTGCCCGCTCATTTGGGGACGTGTGGGTTGTTTGAAGAGCGCCAGATTGGTGGCGAACGGTATAACCTCTTCAGCCGCTGTCCGGAAGCCAAGACATGCACGTTGATTCTGAGAGGTGGCGCCGAGCAGTTCATCGCCGAGGTTGAGCGGTCGCTACACGACGCCATCATGATTGTCAAGCGCGCTCTGAAGAACCACACCATCGTGGCCGGCGGCGGCGCCACTGAGATGGAGATTTCGGGGTACCTGCACAGATTTGCCGACAAGAACGTGCCGCACAAGCAACAGGCGGTGGTGAAGGCATTCGCCAAGGCCCTAGAGTGCATACCGCGCCAACTGTGCGACAATGCAGGTTTCGACGCCACCGACATCCTCAACCGACTGCGTGTCGAACACCGAAAAGGAAACACCTGGGCAGGCGTGGACTTTGACCACGAAGGCGTACGGAACAACATGGACGCCTTTGTCTGGGAACCCGCGCTAGTCAAAGTCAACGCCGTCTCGGCCGCCGTGGAGGCAGCATGCCTGATCCTGAGTGTCGACGAGACGATCAAGAACGAGGAGAGTCAGGCTCCCCAAGCTCCGGCGCGAGGTTTGCCGCCGGGTGCCGCCCAGCGAGCATTAAGAGGAAGAGGAAGAGGCATGCCGAGAAGGTGACCGAATCCTCCGTGTCTAGGCTATGGCTATGGCTGGCTGCATTCGACAGGAGTTTACAGTTTCATCGGGTCTCTCCATCAAGCAGGCAGGTAGGCAGGCATTTGCAGGAACGGTCCATGCATGCATACAGACCCGCGGCGAAGAAGACATGACTACTACTACCTATGAGGAATGAAAAATAAAAGGAGTCTAGGCATGATACCAACTAAAATCCGACTTCTCTCGACAACTGGGCACGATGGATTGCCATCACCAAACAATTTTCAAGATCAAGACATGCATCATCTGGCTGATGGGAGTCTCAGTCTGTCTACCTGACCTATCTCAGTATTGGCAGCGGCATGCATGCATGTGTTGCTTCTTCCCAGCACAGCACAGGACAGCACGACGGAAACACATCCCGAAAACCAAGTGTTGCAAACAAAGCCTGAGATACATATGTGACTGGCCTCGACAGACCGGAGCTCAGCACGTTTGTTTAGCGAAAAGCATTGATTCCAAAACATGTCATGCCTATGGGCGATTGATGTATCATGGCATAGAATAGTTGGGTACCTGAAGAGAGAGTTCGCAAAGGCGCGCAGCATAACGGATAGTGATCTAGCGATGAATGGCCGCCTCAAGATCACATACACACGTGGTAGAACGTAATACCCAGGGGTTGATACCTCGAGATCGCGATATGAACAGAGTAGATTACCTTCTACCCACCCTGCCATCTTGCGCGGACGAGGCGCCAGAAAGATTGATCCGCTACTATGGAGGGACTTCAATAAGCGAAGTATAAGGGGTCTCCTGTACTCGGTACTTTTGTCCCTTCATCGTATCGGCAGCCTCTCCCCTTTGATCCACTTGGCTGGTGACACGAAAGGTTTTGCCGTTGCCCTAATCTCGCAACAGGTCCATCCCTCAACAGCATCGTTGGATTCGAGAGAAAGGTAATCTTACCTCGTACTTGGATTGTACACCCTCACGTGTGGACGGAACTAGATCTCTCACCAGCCACAAATTGAACTTTGCACAGGATCAAGCTGTGGCTAAGCGTTTGTGATCTTCGCGGGGATGCCGATCCCATCGAGGTTTTGGTCTCGTCTCTCGTGACCTTTTGAGGCTGGCAGTGCCCGAACAAGAACCCGAGTAGACTGGCATTGGTAAAGTTAGGATTGGATACCGCCTCATTGGGCGGTTCCTTTGAACCGGGTGCACCAAATTGTGCGGAGATATGATCGGTGAAGGCTGCAGCTTCCCAATGCAGGCGCACTGCATCTGTTCCGTGCTGGCGTTGGACGATCAGAGAAAACGGTCAAAGCCTGATTGAGGTGGGAACTCGTATTGCAGCTCACAGAGGTTCCATGATTGATGGGAGCTGCAGAGAAGCTGACCGCAGACCCTTCAGCCCTGGGCTGTATAGCCAATCATGGAAAAGTGTACAACAGATCACCATTTGTGGCGGGCTGATCTTGAACGGCAAGAAAAGACCTTTGAGCTGTCGTCGACAACGACTTTCCCTCATGCATTCACTAATGCTGCATCTGCGTAGGCCTCGTGGGAAGGGATGTTCGCCACGTGGACCACTATTCGAACTCGACCAAGAGTCTCTTTCTGGCATTTGAAAGGTGGTGCAATGTACAGATGACGCTCGAATGGATGACAGCAAATGTAGTCACGCTGAGCGTACTGGTCACCATGTTTCTCAACTCTAGCAAGAATAGCACATTGTTTTGAGGCATTGCGTATCGCCAGGCCTCAAGCCTGGGGTGCTTGTAAGGTCATCGTGGGCCATTGAAACTCCCTGGACATACTGATTTGATGTTGCCAGCTGCAGGGGCCCAGGGATAACTTTCGGCGCATGCAGGTTGTTTCAGGAATCATTCACGTTCGTGTGGACAACGCCTGCTCGATCGGGTGGCTGATGCTAACTGGTACTAGGTGGAAAGGTGGTTGGCGTGGGCTGGACTCGTCGAATTCGCACCCTGGCCAAAGGCCTAAATCCCCACCAACCGAAGTGGCAGAGATGGTCAGTGAGCCGGATTCAGAGGAGGCAAAGGGAAAGGGACCGGAGCCGAAACATTCGTCAGCTACCTAGAGCACTTGTAGTTCGGGCAGCTTCTGGCGCTGATGACAATTGAACAGAGAAACATGGAGAATAGAGAGCAGAGCATCGGTGGCAGTGGATGCGCAGGCAGGGCGCGTAACCTGGTCGAACCTTCGAGCTCATTAACCACAAGTCCACACTGCCACTGCGCATCTTCAGCTGACTTGATCCAGCATCCACCTTTGACTTTTACATCAACAAATATCTTGTTCAGTATCCGTCAGCTCTCGTTGACCCTGGTGACCCTCCCTCGCGTGTTCGACTCGGCTAATACGAACACACACACGTCAACCCCCCGTGCCCCCCGCTCCACCTTTCGATAGACTAAGGACGAGTCCCCGACCACCGGACCGTGGCCCAAGTCGATCGTGAACCTCAAATTCGTCTGACAAACCGCCCCAAGCATCTGCTTCTCGATTGTCGACAGTATCCTTCCCCTACAAAGTCACCTTTCAGACCACGATCGGCATTCATACGACGACTGATCATTCTCGCCATCTCACTTATCCAGCGGTAGCAGCCATGTCCTACTATCCTGGCTCTGGCGGCTACGGTGCGCAACAGCATGGTGGTTACGGCTACCCTCAGCAATCACACTCACCACAACCATATCCCCCCCAAGGCTACCCTCAAGGATATCCTCCTCAGTCACACTCTCCTCAGCCATATCCTCCCCAAGGGTACGGAGCCCCTGGTGGTTATGGTCAACCTCCGCCGCAGGTAGCGCCTTACGGCTACAACAATCCTCCTCCACAGCAAGGCGGATATGGTGGGTATGGATCTCCTCCTCCCCCAAATGGCTATGCAGGTATGTCTTGCCCGTACTCTCACGGGAAATCACATTGCTTACCAGGTCCAGGTGCTCCTCGACCAGGTGTGCCTTCTTATGCCAGTAATTCCTACCCGCAAGGCAACCACCAAGCCCCTCCTCCACCACCCACAGCACCACAACAATTCGGTCACGGAGCCCCCGCTGGCTATAGCTTCCAGTATTCCAACTGCACAGGAAAACGCAAGGCACTGCTGATAGGCATCAATTACTTTGGTCAGAGGGGTCAACTCCGAGGATGCATCAACGATGTCAAGAACATGTCGACCTATTTGAACCAGAACTTTGGCTATGCCAGAGAAGACATGGTGATATTGACCGACGACCAGCAGAACCCAATGTCACAGCCCACAAAAGCAAACATACTCCGAGCTATGCACTGGTTGGTCAAAGATGCACGACCCAATGACTCTCTGTTCTTCCACTATAGCGGCCATGGTGGTCAGACACCCGATCTGGACGGAGACGAAGAAGACGGCTACGACGAGGTCATCTATCCTGTCGATTTCCGGACGGCAGGTCATATAGTGGACGATGAGATGCATCGTATCATGGTCAAGCCATTACAACCTGGCGTCCGGCTCACCGCCATTTTCGACTCATGTCACTCCGGATCTGCCCTCGATCTTCCATATATCTACTCGACTCAAGGTGTCCTCAAAGAACCCAACTTGGCCAAGGAAGCTGGCCAGGGCCTATTGTCGATTGTTTCGTCATATGCTCGTGGCGACTTGAGCGGCATGGCCTCGTCAGCGATGGGGCTTTTCAAAAAGGCTACCTCTGGAAATGCCGTGTATGAACGAAACAAGCAGACGAAAACTAGTCCTGCGGACGTGATCATGTGGTCTGGCAGCAAAGATACCCAGACTAGCCAGGACGCCAACATTGGAGGTGAAGCCACTGGCGCCATGAGCTGGGCTTTTGTCACTTCGTTGAAGAAGAATCCCCACCAGAGCTACGTGCAACTGCTGAACAGCATCCGAGACGAACTGGCTACAAAATATACGCAGAAGCCTCAGTTGAGTTGTTCACACCCACTCAGTAAGTCTACATTTACCAATGCTCTGTTTTACAATTTACTCTTTACTAACTGTGTGTTTCTATAGACACCGACCTCCTCTATGTGATGTAAACGGACGATATTGATACCCGGGGACTCTAAGAAGTCCTTGCTGATTTCCATCATTCAGTCGGCGGCCGAAACGCGATAGGGCGCCCTTCTTGTACAGCACGGCATGGATTCGTTGGGATGGTTTGGACAGTTTTAACGAGGCTGGAAAGATGCCCAGTGACTTGGTGCCCCTGAATTTTGCCTGGGCCTGCAAATGATATAGGGAAATGAAAAGTTGCAGTTCCACCGTCTATTGACGTGAAGCCCCGTGTACCATTGCCTCGCTATGGTCGTATTCGCATATGATGCAGTCAAAGACCCTGGAGATCGATCGACGGCCGTCACAGCCGGGAGCACTCAGCGATCTACAGTTGAGATGACCCAAGCCCTGTTGCTGTGCCTTGTGCCTGTATTGTAGTTGGCAATGATGTGCCCCTGAGTATTCCCTGGATAAAGGGCATCCGAGGCATCTCCCGCACTCGTAAGTTGGCTAGTCACGGCTAGTCCATCTCTAAGCTCCCGTCAGGCGTCCTCCCGTGCCTCCCCTCGCCTGGATGCCTTCTAGAAAACCTGCACGTGCCCGCAGTCACCCAGACCAGAGCATCCGATGATACAATCCAGTGCAATGTGGAGCCTCCACCACAACATTGCGCAGTCGCTCGACATCCATTCAAACTGCGCTCTCGACACTTTGGACACTTGCGCCGCGATTTCCAAGGTCTTGGTCTTCTTGGTATATATCTAGGTCCATCTCTTCGAAGTCATTTATAGTACAACAGTGCGTTACTCACCATGACACGCACTGACACCACTTCTCTGCCGCCATGAAGCCCGATGTTCCTCCTTCCTACGAAAGCGCAGTCAGTCGCGAAGCATGGTCTATTATCGCGCCCTGGATTTCCTCGAGCGACCTGTGCTCGGCATGTCTGGTGTCGCGGAAATGGTACGCTATCTTTGTGCCATTCCTCTGGGGCGACCCTGCTTCCCACTTTGGCATTGAGAATGATGCCGTCTACGTCGCTCTCACCCGCTTCAAGAGGAGCTTACGAAAAGCAAGATTGAGTGTCAGAAGCCTCACTCATACGCTGCATCTTCCGCCTGCTCTGAGCGAGATCTATGGTGGTCCAAATCCCACCTGGTTGCGCGACGTCCTCGAATTCCTTCCCAACCTCCAAAGCCTCATTGTCACGAAGCTACCCTTCTTTGATCACCACAGCCTCAATGCTTTGAGATTTCCAAGCGCGGGCAGAAGATTGTCGAACGAAGAAGCAGAGATATTTCCCACATACGGACTGAAACTGTTACTGGCCTCCAGCGAGCCGAACACTACGTCTTCCTCCCTGGCGAATGCGCTGCCGAGATTTCCCAGTTTAGTTTACCTCGATCTGTCCTACACGTCACCCGCACGGGATGCTGCAGTTCTAATAGCGCTATCATACCTGCCAGATCTTCAGGTCTTGAAGTTGCGGGGCGTTGGGCTTAAAGATGGAGAGGCCGAGGTCCTGGCCAATGCGATCGGGATTCGCGTTCGTTTGCTCGATCTTCGGGACAACCTCTTGACCGACATGGCCGTGCGATCATTGATGCAAGCATGTTTTCTGTCCCCAGACGCCGCACAATCAAGACACCTCAATGTTGAAGATTGGCCGGTCGGTATGGCTCCGGGGCCGGACTTTTTCAGTCTGGACACCCTTCGGAGCGAAGAACTCGATCATGAGTTGCTCAAGCAATTGACCAAACCACTCACGGGAAGACTAGCCTTTGAAGACATTCCTCACCGAGGCTTGACCCATCTCTACATTTCAGGAAATCGCTTGTCTGTCGAGGGCTTATCAAGTCTCCTGAAGTCGGAACGCCTCCACATTCTGGATGGCGGTTCAGTTGACACGGTCAAGACTATCGCGCGGACTCAATCGCTTTCTTCGCCTACAGGCTATATTGATGAAGTCCGCTTCCCAGGCGCAGAGAAGCTTATCCCGGTGCTGGCAAGGTCTGCCAGCAAGAATTTGACCTACCTACGTGTTGACCATACATTAGTCACTGCAAAGTTCGATCCCGGCCCGACAGTGGTCAAACCAAAAGCCTCGTCGGTCGAACTTGCAGGGTCTGAGCCACTGGCTGCAGAGCTTCCGTCTCGCGAGAGACAGATAGTCGAGGCCCCGGCCCCAGCCCATTACGCAGTGGAGATGCCAGTTCCGGATCAGATTTTCGAATTGGATGCCACTCCAGCACCACCACGGGCAGAACTGATCGGCGATGTGATATATTTTGCCCTTAGCCCTCCAATTGGAGAGAAGCCTGAGGCAGCCAGCCCTATTGTTGAAACTCACAGTCCGATCAGAGGCGAAGGTCCTTATGCTCCAGAGGTCGTCAATGGTGCAGGGGACGATGCCGAGAACGAAGATCGTGCGACGGTGGTTGATTCCGAGATTTCTGACGAGACCGGAACACACAGCACAACGAAATCAATCCTTTCCCCAGTGTCTCCTATGACGCCTCACCCTAACACCATGACCTTTCAACCTCTGGTCCTGCCGTCTACCCCGAAGACCAAGGCTGCATCAACGTCCACTCCTATCAAGACAGGGGACGCTCACCCACCGCCCGCGGTAGCTCCGCCGTCACAACCGAATACCTCTCTCTCCACAACTCCTGCTGCATTGCATCACCGCCAGGCTCGGATAGAAGCACTCTTGGCGAAGAGGCCTCCGGGATTGTCATCCAAAATGACCCATACAGGATCAGATATCCCCAAAATCACAGTGCAGAATCTGACCAGTCTCCATCCCGCTGTGCTCCCCAATCTGAGAACGTTGATCCTTACCGATGTGCCTACAACAGTGCCAAAATCCTCTCCGGTCGTTCCTGCAATTAAGGCTTTCATCTCTGCTTGCGCCGACGAAGCTGCTCTTGCCCGCCTCCTCGCGCGGACGGATTATTCTCTCCCACCCGGTCGGGCGCGCCATATCGCCGAATTGGAACATGCACGGTCGCTCTTCGCCCTCCGCACAATCATCCTCGAAATGGAGGAACCCACCAATCCGGTAGCGGGCGAGCAGCGAAGGTGGCAGCATTCTCGTCAGCGTATTAGCATGAGTAAATCCTCAACAGGGGACAGGGATAGTGAGAACCTTTGGTCGGCCGCTGAAAACGACTTTAGCTTCTTTGGAGAAGAAGGGGAAGAACAGGACGAGTGCGGGATCTACCAGCATGACCCGGAGAAATACTTCCCTACTGCACATTTTGACGACAAAATTCTGCTGGGCCCCGAAGACAACCCGCCGGAAAGTGGCTCGAGCAGTCCACACGGTAGTCTCCATGGGTATGGGACGTTGTCCCCATTCATGATGAACTATGGCGGTTCTACTGGGACATTACGAAGCCCGAGGAACCTGCCCTTGGGTCGGAATCGCAGAAGCTCGAATGAATCTCAGCGAAATGGCACCGTGCGGAGTTTCTTGAACGAGATGCAAGGTGCCCCAGTGTCACCCAAGTTTATGAATGGCAGATTGCGTCCACCGTCGAGAGATTCGATGCTTCCGCCGACTTCCAACCCCGTGCAGCCACCAGAAGAGGAGAAAGTGGATGTCATCGCCGAAGTCGCGGCGTGGCGAAAAGAGCGAAAGAAGGCCTACGAAGACGAATTGGCGCGATATCGGATGACTCGTGGAGGTGGTGGCGCGGGAAGATCGAATAGTATGACCAGCCAAAGCAATGGACATGGACAATCGTCATCTGCACCGAGAGGTTACGGATATGGCTTTGACCACGGAGCTGGGCCAGGATCACTCGCGTACGCACATACCCACACAAATGGCAATTCAGCGGTCAACCAAGGAAGCCACACTCCGTCTGGTAGCTCAACTCATGGTGAGATTAATGACCTCGACATGAAATTTGTTGAAGGACACTGGAAGGGCGAGATCAAGGTGATTAGAAATGCGACGCCAAAGGGCCGAACAGGAGTGGTGGACATGTATGGCAACTATTTTGAGAAGGGATATCTGTATCCCTGAGGACGATGACAGCAATGAGCCGCCGACGTGAGCGTGAGCGTTCTGGTACAGTTCGATGGCGATTTCACCTGGCGTTGCAGTTTTTGATGGGGATACGACAATGAACTTGTACGAGCGTGGGCGTTTCGGTGTTTCTTGACAATGTCTGTCTTATAACGTCGAGTCTATGTATGATTTATGTATGTCACATGTATATCACTAGATCACTAGATCACCAGATTTTCTCTCCGTTGGGAGTATCATGCCCAACAAACCCAACCCAACAATCGAACGATGAACGAGTACCAAAATGTCTCTAGAGTCTCGTAAGATGGACTCAACTCGACTCGACTCGACTCGACTGGTTAGGTGAGGTGAGGTGAGGTGAGTCGAGGTGAGATGACAGATTGCAACATAGTATAGTATAGTATAGCGCAGCGTAGCATAATGCAGCATAGTATAGTGTAGTGTAGTGTAATGCAGCATTCCCCCCACGAAGACTCTGGAATTCCACCAAGGAGACAGATACGGGATTGTATGCATACCATACATACTATGCATCCTATGCCTGGGTATAACAGCAGCAACAACCACTTCTCCCAAGAAAGAAAAAAGAAACTCCGTAGGTCGATCGATTATATCTTCTCTACCTATGTAGTAGTAGTTGTAGCTAGGAAGTTGACTAGGCACCTGGGCTTGCGAGTACAGACAGATCCGGTACCTATGTACCTCTGTACCTCTGTAGGGAGGGACCGACAGTTACTAGATAGAAGGAGATAGGTCCACAGTCACGTATGTAGACGTACAGCTCTCGATAACGTACACACTCACATGCAGCCATCCATCCGTCCACCAACCCATAACTCCAAGGCTCAACTCGATGTATCGTGGTATCATCTTGCTTAGACGGGAAAAAAGACAAGACACATGGCATAGCATAGCATGGCATGAAAAAGACGCCTGTATCTCGCCGCGATATGCAGAAGAACACTCTGCTCGAAAATGCCGCCGCCGCCCTCCCACCCAACCAACCCCCCTTTGTAAGATCCCTTTTGCTCCGTACCATGCGAGGGAGGATATCCTCCCTAAGAATTCATTCCCCGTTGTCTGGGCGCAAATCACGCACCAGAGAATCAGTGCCGGGACTCTTTTGTCCCGGCTCGGCCGTCGTGATGGGTATCATAAGGTTTGAGGCCAATTCGTATTCATCAAATCTCCATCTCCAGTGTACGTTACCCGGTCGTTGATTTTTCATCATACCGGGCTTCCCGCACAGTTGTCAGTCTGTCAACTCACGCTAGACGACAACCTGTCGCTGTGCCGTCTCAGTGACGGCCATGGGCACAGCACATTGCGGGTTCAGCTTCTTCAAAGTCATATTGGTAGTGGCGAACAACTTGTTCTTGTCCTTTTCTCTGGTGGTCTTTCTGGCTTGCGATGTGGCAAGGTCAACATCTGATTTGCAATCCTCGCTTGCATGGCCTTTCCCCTCCATCGAGATTGGCTCGACTGTCCCTTGCTGCTGTGACTGTTGCAGAGGCCAGGTCTTGCTAGAGCTCATCTGATAAAGCTGTGGTGTTGGTGTCGTATCTTGGTCTCTTAGCCTTTCGAGATGACTCCTGTCAGACTTTTGCGAGTCAGAGAGACCCACACTGGTACCGTGTCCGTGGTCTCTGGCCTGGACAACATCGGCTTTGCTGAAACGGGGTAACTCTTCACTCGTAGAGTGATAGACCATGGGATTTTCGGCCAGTGGTGGTCCACCAAAGCGCTCACCCAGGCAGCGCAGGATGGCGACAAAATATTGGTGCAGGAAAGTAAAGATGTTTTCGTCGCCTACGATCTCTGCTAAGCTACGCGGTGTAGCTTGCCCAACACGCCGCGGGTGGCCGTCTGGGTCAACCGACCGAGCCGTCAAGAAGGAAGACACAGGAGTGTAATTCCTGGCAGTCGATTTACCACTGACGTCCAGGGACTCGGCCTCTTTTTCTTCTTTGCACCGTTGCTGCTGAGCTGCTGCTTCAATGCCCTTGGCCATCCGGGCGAACGATTCCCAAAGCATGGGACAAGCCTGAAAGGCGCGACTGGCGTCTTTCCCTGCTAGGGCGAGGAAAGCGTAGGCCCGCCGTCGACCCCGGGCTTTGAGATCAGTGAGTCGGAAGACATATGCAATGGTATAGCCCGTGTTCGAATCACCGAAGCAGAGAGGGCCGTCTGACATGCCTCGTGGGAGGAGTTCACACGACAAAGTTCGAATCACCGAAGCACGTAGTTGCGCATAGCTCTCACGGTCGGCGGGAGATTTGGCGGTGAGGTATGTTAACGTGTGATCGTGGCAATCATCGGATCGATGAGACTGTGGATGCGATGTCGTATGGAACGAGTCAGATGACGTGACCGATGAGCCGTAGGACGAGGGTTTGGACTCGTCGGAGATATTAAAACTGCTATTCCTTCTCTTCCTCTCTCGTAGACATACAAATTCCCTTGAGCGAAGCACTGGTGCCCCTGTGTTGACTGGATTTTGATGATCCGCCCTCTTGCTACCAGGTGCGCCGGCAGGGAGCCTTTCCGCTACTGACTTGGGAATGGAGAAACTGCAGCTGGCACAGGTATCGTCTTGATTGCGACCATAGCGCCACTGTGACGAGAGCGTCCGCGTCTGGTCAACTGTCTGAAAGAGGGGGTGCTTCTCGATGGTAGGGCTTTCAGGTTCTGTTTCCGAGTCGATCGCGGTGGATGCGCCAGAAATGTCGGTAGGCCAGGTGGAATTCGTGTCGGTTTTTCTCAGTGTCGCCGGTGTCTGCAGGGCTTGTGAGGATTCAAGGGAGGAATTCTGGACCTGGGTGGTAAGTGATTCGGTGGATGAAGACGCTCTCAGAGGAGGCGACGGTGGAAGGCATAGTGCACATTCCAGCGGAAGGACTTGTGTACAGAGAACGGATTTGGGGCCATGCGCCTCGCAGAAATGGGTGAGTGCGAGAGTGAAGTCCATGGTGTTCTTCTCGTCCTCTCTTTTGTCTCTTTTTCTCTCAACCTATCCACAAACTCTGCTACAGTCTGAGGAGGTGGACGTTGCACATGTTTCGGTTTGTCAGGCGGACGCAGCGGGCTGAGGCGGGGCCAGCCATGAGTGCCTGTGTTTATAAGGGTAGCAGTCGAGTGTCTTGGGTGAGGATTCACTTCAGCTCGGCAGTCAAGTCGAAGCGTGAATCGCAACGAGGTGAAGATGACGATCAAAGGGGAGGGTAAGAGCTCGTGTGCTCGATCGAAGGAAGGGAGCGAAGCCTAGGAAACGTAACAAGTCAACTGGAACCGCGGGTCCGGAACATGTGGAGATTGGCGTCGTTGGTTGCGGGAAAATCAGAGATCTCGATGAAGATGGTCTGAGGGTGCGAGGGAGAACAATACTTGTACAGAACAATGGCGCTGTCCACGGCCAACAAGACAAGAAGTTGTACAAGTAGTTTACTTTTCAGTGGTCTCATTCACCTTTGTCACGGGTGTTGAACAAGTTGAGGCAGTGATGATGGTCTGGCCTTTTTGGAGGGCTTGGAGGGCCTTTTTCTGGCGCAGACCGCCACTTGTTCCACTTGTTCGATGGATTCTTAGGCATTCGGCCGCATCCAATCAGGCCTGGCTCGATGACTGAAGTCTCTTGCGATCGAGGCAATTGTGGGCGACGCTCGCCGCGAGTAATAATCTTCTCGCCCATTTGCCCAACCCTTCTCGGCTTCTCTGACTTGCATCCGCCTGCAGTCTAGTGTACCGTTTGCGCCACTGCTCATGCGAGAGAGTTACCAACTAGTACCCGGTCGCGCCAGTATTCGTTCTGCTGATGCTGGCTTGGCTAAGTCGAACTGCTGCCGATAGCCGTCTGCTCAGAAACGACTGGCACCCAACTGGATGCCCCTTGCGCAGTTATTTTGTTTGGCTGTCGGTCTTCTTTCTGTAATACAACTCCCTCTGCGCCCAATCTGGCTTGAATCTTCCATCTGTGGTTGCTTTTGGCACCACGAGGGCTACACGGCGATCTTGTTCCTGGATCTCATGCACCTGCAGTTCGCCTGCTGTAATAAGAGTGATCTTCCTTTTGGGGATGTCGATCTCCTGCACAAGAGCGAGCCCCAAACACCGAGAACACTCTGCCAGAAACGGAAAGGAACTTTCCAGTTCACCTTGCTGCTGCCAGAGCGGGAGATCTTCCTCCGTCCGATATATTCCGTTTCGTTGGCTATGCTGATTACTTGCACCGATTTCGCTGACATCACATGTTGCATTTGCAGCAGCGGGGGTTCTGAGTGCCAATACAGCAACAATACTTCCTTCCAGCGCATCATAAGTGTCCTCAGGTGCGACATGGCCTCCAAGCAGGATGATTGCCGAGATATTTGCGGCAATGCCCCCGTATGTCAGGGCCAGAGACTGAGATGCCGTTACTAAAACCGGAGTGTCGTCCCAGTATGGGCGGTCGAAAGGTGTGTCTCTCACATGGAAGGATGATTGCATCTGAAGGTCGTGCTCCCGGACCGGAGATATTTTGTCAAAGACCTGAGCCGGAAACTGGTGGATGCGACAACTTCCCATCTCTGCGAGAAGTTTCCACGGCTCCAAATGGGGTGATCCTGGACTGGAGTCCAGACAAACAATATCAGACGGAGACAGCATCTTCCAAAGCTTGGTCGCCATGGTATTGTTGATGCCATTCAGCCACTTTCCGCATGTAACAAGGACTGGTGCACCCTCAAATTCGCTGCGACACTTTTGTTCAACATCAAGTAAATCCAAGATGCGATCAATGTGCCAGTTGGCCAGATCTCTTGATTCTACGTCACCAAGGAAATGTTTTGCCAACACCCGGTTGGATCCTTCTCCATACGCGGGCAGGATGTTGGCGAACGGGGGGCCAAAAACGGGGCTCGCAATATGCACTAGACTGATCATTCCTGGAGGCGCAAACTCTGGCATATTCGTGTCTAGGTCCAACAGGATGACGCCTTTCTGGTAGGTATTATCTGTTCGGGCGGACCTTTTGGTGAGGAGGCGATTGAGAATACACCGCGTCAAGGTCGAAAGCCCCGATGAACGTTTGCCGTATATTAGAACTCTTCGTGGCGTGATTGTGTCAGGAGCGGAAAAGTCTGTCAACAGTGATTTCCAGCAGGTGGTGTCCAGCTCCTTCAGACGCCTTGGAGCCTTCGGATCTTGTTCAAAAGAGTGGCCCAGCACGTAGAAAGATGACACCTCGGGGTTGACGCCAAACGGAGTCCACATTCCCCGGAGTCCGACGTAAGGAAGATCCCTGACCCCGTCATCGAGAGAATCAAGTTGAATTTCGGCACTCGAGCTCAGAGCTTCAATCAGAGGAAGTGCATGAGTCGCGGGAGCATAGATGCGATAAGTAACCGTCGTAGCAGTAAGAAGCGCGCCGTAGAGGGAAATAGTTCCTTGCTTGACCCACAACGTGTATGCTCCCAATACAACACATTTCTGGGGAAGTCAGTATAACTTCGCCATGTTCGCTTTGGTCATACCTGGCGTCGGGAGAGTTTGATCTTGACTGATCGCTCAGTCAACTGCTCAATTTCTCGAGTCGAGCTAAACTGCACTGCAGAAGCTTCAACAAGCGTTGCAAACTGGTTTGAACTCTGGGTTCCTTCATTCTCAGACGAGCTGGCACTCTCCACGGGCGGAACAATAGATGCAGCCTCACTCAGAATGGACTTTGATGCTGATGCAGGAGCGACTTCGCGGGAACTCGATGCAGTCTCCTGCACATCGCGCAAGAGCCGCCGTCTTGCGACTGCGCTTAGTTTTCCACCATCTGTTCCGCTGTCAGCACCTTTGAGCTACCGTAAAAGAGATTTTGACGTACTAGCTGGCATAAAATGAAGTTATGGAGAGCACAGAATCACCCACTCGCAGCTGCACACAAAGTCGCTGGGTGAAAACCCTCAGACAGGCTATACCATAGATGGATTAGCTCCGGCTGTTCCCGTCTAAGGTTATTTGCTGCTTGCAGATCCACCTCTTCAAATTTCTCCAACTTTTTTTATTTCACTTTGATCAACACTCTGCCTATACAAGGCTTTGCATACGAAAATCCCCAGACATGGGCAAAACTTCCCCGGTCGCGCGGGAAAGTGCCCTCAGCGAAGCGAGAATCTATGATTCGAGCGACGAGGCTGAAGGCAGACCTGCTTCGAAGCGGAAAACTCCAAATTCAAAGTCGAGATCATCTCAATCGGAGACTCTGAATGGTACCAAGGCTTCGTCGTTGAAACACAGTCGGGAGGTGTTGCCTTCGAATGCCTCATCTTCCACAACAGCGTCAGATAACGAGACCGATGAAGGAGAAGAAGAATCGGGCGACGAAGAACGAGAAAGAGTAGAAGACGAGGATGAGGAGGGTGAATCAGACCAGGAGTCAGCGTCAAGTTCGAGCTCTTCATCCAGCCGAAAAAGAACATCTCCGGGACCCCCAGAGACACCGTCAAACAAGAGGGTCAAACCGACCACAAAACACAAAGTCAGCATTCCTCCCAAGCCCTTCAGACCTCCTAAAGGCTACGAACCGCTCACGTGGTCGGCATCGGACTATGCATCCGACATGGATCTCTTCGACGATTTGTCCAATAAACAAATTTGGCACATCTCTGTACCCAGTTCAGTCTCCATCGACTCAATCAAAGAGCTCGACATCGAGGCAGTGCTGAGAGGACAACCGATCCTGAGTCGGAATGGCGTCGATTATGGCATGAACCCTCTGCCGCCCAAGGACGAAGTCATCCTCCTGCCTCGCGGCACCGGCGGGAAGTACAAGCTGTGCTCCGGGAAGATTGAAAGGAGCTTCCACATGCGGGAGGTCGATACGACAAAGTCCAAATCCCAGCCAGAGGCAGGGACGCCGGTGGTCTTCACAGCAACCCAGACTGGCGCACCTAAACAAATCCGAAAACAGCCCGAAGGACTCAAGATGCGCTATGTGCCTTATGGAGTCTTTCCGTCGCAAGGGGATGAGCCAGAAGATGTGGAGATGCGTGATACATTGCAGCTTCCACCCGACGTTGACCACCAGGCACCTTCTTCCCCGGCACAGTCTAGAAAAGCACGACAGAAACAGGCCAATGGAGAAGCAGGCAACGAAAAGAGTCCGGAGAAGAAGCTGCGGGGTGCAGTCACGCCAGCCTCGAGCGAAAAGAAGAAGAAAAAGAAGCGGAAGCTGGTTGATGGATAGGTTCTGTAGAGGGAGTGGGCGAGATGGCCCGGTTGATAGATTTCCCTTGGCTGGTGCTGATGGATGATGGATGGGATTGCGATGTTTGTACTTGGGTATAGCACATGAGCACATGAGCACATGAGCTAACTATTTTCAAAGCGGGCGTAGTGATAATATGCTCCACCGTACTTATACCCTGGCGTGCCTGGACCAACCGGGTGACAGACCCTGGCAACTTTTTCCCAAAATGTGGCATGAATACACTTTTTCGCGGGGAAGTATCACACGCAGAAAAGAAAGAAAAAAGGTGCTCCCGTGTCCCTCCATATTTTGCAGTCCGCGATTCTCTCTCTCTTCCTCTGTTCCTTGTTTTCTTCAATTGTCTGGCACTCCTCTGCTAGGCACTACCTCTGAATCACTGCGGTCTTCACCAGCATTGACTTGTAACAACTCCAGCAATCATGGGTTCCGCACCTACGAGCAGCTATGCTCTCTCCCAGACTCATCGAGAGGTAAGTTTGAGAGGGCAACTCTCCTGTGGTTCTGTCAATGCTACTACCCCATTCCTGTCAATGGAGAGGACTTAACCTTGCTGACTGGAGATTGTTTCTTGCGGCTGTATAGATGCTCGAGAAGTCCCTCGTCGACTCGGATCCGGAGATCGCAGAGATCATGGTACGTCGTTCCCTCGCTCTATCTCAGCACCTACCAAGACCTCTCCCTACAATCACATGCGTATATACATGTATAACATGCTCACACAATGCTGTATGCACAGAAAAAAGAAATCAAGCGTCAACGCGAGTCCATCATCCTCATTGCCTCGGAGAACGTCACCTCCCGGGCTGTCTTCGACGCCCTCGGCTCCCCCATGTCCAATAAGTACAGCGAAGGCTACCCCGGCGCGCGTTACTATGGCGGCAACCAGTTCATCGATGCCATCGAACTCACGTGTCAAAGCCGGGCCTTGAAGGCCTTCCATTTAGACCCGGAGAAGTGGGGCGTCAACGTACAGTGCTTGAGCGGCAGCCCCGCAAACCTGCAAGTATACCAGGCGCTGATGAGGCCTCATGATCGGTTGATGGGGTTGGATCTGCCGCATGGAGGACATCTGAGTCACGGGTACCAGACGGCGCAGAGGAAGTAAGCAAGAACATGCCCAGACATACGTCGTTGATGTTGGGATGGTGTATTAACAAAGACCCAGGATCTCCGCAGTTTCGACCTACTTCGAGACCTTCCCATACCGAGTCAACCTCGAGACTGGCATCATCGATTATGACCGCCTCGAAGAGAATGCGCTTATGTATCGCCCCAAGTGTATCGTCGCAGGAACCTCCGCATACTGCCGTCTGATCGACTATGCCCGCATGAGACAAATCGCAGACAAAGTCGGCGCGTATCTGATCGTGGACATGGCACACATCTCTGGATTGATCGCCGCAGGTGTCATCCCAAGCCCCTTCGAACACGCCGACGTCGTCACCACGACCACCCACAAATCCCTGCGTGGTCCCCGAGGAGCGATGATCTTCTACCGCAAGGGTGTGCGCAGCACAGACCCCAAGACCGGGAAACAAACCCTCTACGACCTCGAGGGCCCCATCAATTTCTCCGTCTTCCCTGGTCACCAGGGTGGCCCGCACAACCACACAATCACCGCGTTGGCAGTCGCTCTGAAGCAAGCGGCAACGCCTGAGTTCCGCGCGTATCAGGAGCAGGTGATCAAGAACGCCAAAGCGCTGGAAGTTGAGTTCAAGGAGCTGGGCTACAAACTTGTTGCAGACGGGACAGACTCACACATGGTCCTTCTGGATCTCCGACCCCAGTCTCTGGACGGCGCGAGAGTCGAGGCCGTGTTGGAGCAGATCAACATTGCATGCAACAAGAACAGCATCCCCGGAGACAAGTCGGCGTTGACCCCTTGTGGCATCCGCATTGGTGCACCAGCCATGACCTCGCGCGGGTTCGGCGAGGAAGACTTCAAGAAGGTGGCCAGGTACATTGACGCGAGCATCAAGCTGTGCAAGAAGGTCCAGGGAGAACTGCCCAAGGAGGCCAACAAGCTGAAAGACTTCAAGGAGAAGGTGAGCAGCGAAAGCGTCGACGAGATCTTGAAGCTGAGGGCCGAGATCGCCGAGTGGGCCTCGAGTTTCCCCTTGCCGGTGTAAACTCTCCTCTTTCCTGGGAAGAAAAAATGCACAGGCGTCATGATGTGATGTGAATTGGCGTTCCCTTTTTTCCTGGCGGTGTATCTCTGGCCGCAAATGCGTGCGGTCATGATGGTGTGACTCTCAAGACTTTTCAACGACTGTGGGAAACTTTTATGGGCTGGTGAGAAAGAAAAGAGCCTGGAATCTGTATCTTCAACGATACCTACCTAGTTAACCTAAGTGCCGTCTTTGAATTTGGAGGTTGACTTGCAGTCGATCAATCAATCAATATCAAGAAATCAAGGTCGTAGAAACTCGGCTCGGTTGCAATAGCATATCGTTGCATGGCGTGTTAGCCAGATGATAGCATATGATATGAGCACAAGCACAAACGCGTCCGTGTGACGAGATAACGAGTATAAATGACTGAAAATCGAGTGTTCTGTCATCCTTCAGATCTCTCAAGAGTGCTTCGTATTTCATTCTCGTCTGTTCACCCCTCCCTGGCAGTTTTGGTGCCCGTTATATCTCTTGAGCTTGTTCGTCTTCTCCTTCTTCTTTCATGGATTCTGCCTGTACGTCCTGTCCTACGGGGCAGTGTAGACAGTCCGAGTCTGTCCTTTACCGGGACAATCTCGTTCTCGTCCCGCCTTTTTGCGCAGGGAAATCGGCATTCTCCTGGTGCGAATGCTTTTTCCGCGGGTGTCAAGGCCCTTTTCAGTCGATACCTGGATGGTACAGACGTAGGTAGTTGAGTAGGTAGTCTGGGAGGGATGCAGAGAGCCAAAGGGGGGAGGTTGTTTAGTTGTGGTTGTAGCTGGGGTCATTCGAGCCGGCTTCGCACTTGTGAATTTAGTCCCTGCCCTCATGGCTCATTCCCACAGTGTTTGTCTTTTTTTGTCTTCTCTTTCCTATCCATCATCATGCTCATCCTCCTCCTTCTGCGACACCAGCACCTCCATCCTCAATCCCTCCCTGCGCCCCCGGATCCGTCATCTCAACATCCCGCACTTGTTCGGTGCCCGCCTCGGCAGCAACCTCTCCCAAACGAAGGAGCCGCCCTTTGAGCCCCTTGATCATACGCTCTAGCCGGCGGATCTCGTCTTCCTGTTCGGCCACCGTGCGGTCCACGTCCGGCAGCGCGGTCACCGCCGCGCGAGCCTTGGCCAGGCGCTGTTTCAGCGGGTAAACCTGCGCGGGGAGGTCTTTGAGGTCAAGGGGCGGCGCGCCGTAGAATAGTGTTGTTGCTGCTGCTCCTGTTGTTGTTGTCGTCGTCGTTGGCGCTGTTGCAGCTGCGCCCGCACCGGGAAGGGGAGGAGGTGGCAGCGCCTGGCTTTGCTGCGACGGTGTCGTCGACGGGGGGTTTTGAGACGCCTGTTGCCCCTGCTGTGATGATGATATTGACAAAGACACCGAAAGTGGCTGTTGTGTTTGGTTGGCGGTGCTTTGTTGGTGGCCGTTCGTCTGAGCTTGTGTCTGTGCCTCTGTGAGGGGCCGCAGATGCTGTCGCTCTGGGTTCAGCAGGTCCAGCCGCACCAGAAGAAGCCAGATGTCAGGGAGGAACGCGAACGTCGAGGGCGAAGGGAACGGTGGGATGTCAGGGTGCGCTGTGGGCGTTGCGGGTGTCGTCGCGGTGGTGGTCGACGCAGAAGGCATGATTAGTTTTGTTTCCCAGTCCACTCTGGGTGCTGTGTCTGCTATTGCTGTGTGTTGGTGGTTCCCGTCTCTTCAGACACCCGGCCCCGCTGTTCAAGTAAAGTAAAGAGAACAAAGGGATAGGCGCACAAGGAGCCACAGTCTGCGATGACAGATGAGAAGAGAAGCTTCAATTGAGATGGCCCTCTCATCCTTCACCAAGCGGAGAAATTTGGGGGGGGAAGAATAACGCGCTTTGCTTCGGGACGAAAATCCATTGATTTAGCGCAGCCTTGTCCCGCGCGGATGGAATGCGGGGGGATTTCAACGAGGCTGCGTGTGTGGCACGGGTGCACGGCTTGACGGGGCAAGATCTCAGATCTCTTGGGTTCGGGTACCTACCTACCTACCTACCTACTCGGCGAGCTAGGTACCGTTCTCGCCGTCCCGTTGTACCTAGAAATACAAGGAATACGATTATATGTAGGTATTCCAGTTTACAGTAGGTACCTACCTAGGTACATATGTAGGTACTCGTCCGTGCCTTGAAAACCTTCCGCCGTCTTTCTTCTGAAGAAAATCACCTTTCTACCTTCCTACCTTCCTCTCTCCCGCCTCCCTTTTCGGTCCATCAAGGTCGGATTATTCACTCAAAAGTACCTGACATCGAGCTACGTACTGGTCAAATCAAGACGTGCCGTCATCAAATTTATTTTCCTCTCACCCACTTCTACCTTCTCCCAAAAAGAAGCTTGGACAACCATGGCGACGAAACAGCGCATGGTCAAACTCACGCTCTACGCGCGACGCAAGAGCCACCTCTCCGAGGACGAGTTCCAGAAGTACTGGACCGAGACGCACAGGGGCCTGGCGGTGGATTGGTTGGCAAAGTATGGTATCGTCAAGTACACACAGGTCAGTTTGCTCCCTGTTCGAAGTATTTATTGGAAGGCTGTTGAGAGAGATGGCGGTGCCATGTACACCCCTTCTGCCTCTCTTGCCGTTCTCGTGGGGGTTACATCAGCCAGCTTCAAAGACTGCCACCACACGCTGCTAGGACGCATGTGATTACGAAATACCTTTCAAACAGTCTGCTCACTCTCGCATCGGACAGTACCACACGCCTTCGGAGCTCATTTCGTCCGCCATAGCAGGGTTTCCGGCGCTCCAGGGCGTAAAGAAACTCACCTTTGACGGCATCGGCGAGTTTCTCATGCCCGACGTGTCGTGCTTCCACAAGGCCCGCGAGGACCTGTACTACGCCGAGGTCATTGCGCCGGACGAGGACAAGTTGTTTGACTGGAACACGGCAGAGTGGACCATCGGCTGGGAAGAGGTGTACATCAAGGACGGGAAGGTCGTGGACATGCCCTTTGGTGATGCTGGTGAGGTGTTCAAGTCCTGATTGAATATTGTGGTGGGCGCGACAGGGTGGGATTCATCAACCCCCCTTCTGGGATCACCAGCAGGAGCAGCGCCAACACACCGCTTCAATCCTTTTTCCCGTATTTGGCGCCTGGCAGGCACTAGATTCATAGATCGTTGAAACCAATGCATGTCTTTTCACCGAGTCCCTTGTCCGCAACGGCCCATGCCCACGCCCTCCCCGCCTCTCCCGTATACAGAGCGACAAGCTGGTCGTCTCGCCCGGCGTCCCCCAACCACCCGAAATCGCCCTCGAGGGCTTCGGTGGACATGCACGCCAGGAAATGCCGAAACTGCGTGTCGTCGTCCAGGGCCAGCGCATTGCCCGCTATGCCATGACACAGACACGGCTGTTTGGTGAGCAGGCCCCTCTCCCAAATGTCTTCCTGGGCGGCTTTGATCGCCGAGTCGATCTTCCCCTTGAGGATGGGGAAATGCGGCCGGAGAGATCTCAGGGCCAGGACGACGCCCGGTCCGCCGTGGCAGAACTGGACCAGTCTGTCGGACCCGGGGGGTAAAGAGGACGGGAAGTTCCCGCTGGGGAGTTGCGTCTCGAGGAGGGACGAGAGGAGATGCTCGACAGCCTGGACACACGGCGGAGACGAGAGGACCATCTGGCACAGGATGCCGAACGCGCCGTGCGCGGCGCCGAGGTACGCCTTGCCGTGCCACGTCCAGGGCTGTTTCGAGGCCAGGATCCGCCGCACGGTCTTGTCGATGGTGGCCTCGAGCAGGTCCCTCGCCCTTGAGCCCTCCTCACCAAAGCCAGAGCGCGCTAGGCGCAAGTAATAAAGATATCCCGCGCGGCCGTACAGCCACTCGTCGGACCCGCCCGCGCCATTGATGACACTCTCATAGGCACACAGTTCCTGGGCGAGGCTGGGATCCTCCTCCATCGCCGCCCGGATGGCAAGCTGTGCAAGGACTTCGTTCCCGATCCCACAGTGACTCGAATCGACAGCTTCACGGCGATTGGCGGACTGAGCCCCCAGGTCCAGATATGCCTGAACCCAGTCCAGAAGTGATTGGCCCTTGAAGGTGAGGTCCGGGTAGATTTGAGAGAGGCGGTAGAACAAGTACGCCACAGATGTGGGGCCATAGTAGAGGCCGTGGAAGGTCCAGCCGGTCGAGCATGTCTGGACGGGAGGATTGTGGGTGTTGATGCGCGTGAGGGAGGCGAGGAGTTCTTGGTGGGCGTCGCACACGTGATGAGAGAGCGATTTGTCGTTTGGAAAGTGTCGACTTGACGAGCTCATCTTTTGGACTGGGGATCTAAGGTCTCTCTCTCTCTCTCTCTCTTTCTCTCTCTCTCTCTCTCTTTCTCTCTCTCTCTCTCTCTTTCTCTCTCTCTAGTAGAGGGATTATAGCCACGCTCTTGCTATGATGTTGGGGAATTGTGAGGACTTGAAAGGACAACGTTGACTGAACGCGAGAGGCACAAACTGGGGATACGTGCCTTACATCATCATCTTGACGCCCTTGTCTTGTCCGCTGTCCGCAGCTGCGCCTCCAACACAATCCATTCTCTTGCTCGTCCACATCGTCCTATATAGACCCTGCGTACGTCTACATGTTCTCAATGACGGATCGACGGCAACAGATGGGCGATTTCCACATCAAGGATCTTTTCGAATCACATGCCCAACAGGCGAGATACACCAAGACATACACATTTATAAAAGGGGGAAGCAGGATAAGCCTTCACCATTTATTTGGACAGACACTCGATACATTTTTGCCCTCCCGTTGTCTCAATCTCACGGAGGTGTCGATGCTTGATTCAAAGGCAGCCTTCGCCATCTCACCCGAATCATACGGTCCTCACCCTCGAACTTGGCGGGATCGTCCAAGCTCAACTCCAGGTATTTGCCATCGCTCTCGTCGACAAATCTCATGATCCTCCTCTGGATGTCACCGACCAGATACGGCAGGTTCGAGTACCTCATGTTGTGCTTCAAAATCGGCCGTCCTTTGGCGTCACCGCGTTCGTCCAGATAGAACGCACCCGTATATGCGACATAGTTTCGTCCAACGGCCGCCCAGTCGGCATCTGAGCCGGTCTTGCGCCCTGCCCACTCTCCAAAGGGCTTCTGTCCTGGCGTCTGGAGTTGGGCCGACATGTAGCCATCGGGGGTGTACATGATGATGCCCTTTGCATCCTGGCCCATTGGATAGACTCTGTTTGATTCATCATGGGGCAGGTAGGCGTAGTATTCAATCAACTCCCATGCGCCAATCAATTGAGAGCGGATAGAGCCTGGATCGCCGGCTGCCATGGTTGCTTTCGCCGTTAGAGTTTTTGGTCGAGGTCGATATAGAAGGGATCTCAACAAAGACCAAGCTGGTTCGCGACAATATCTACCCAGCTCCCCAATGTCAGCTGGTGGGAAGCCTTGATTCTCCGCGAACAGATGATAACCGAAGCTCGGTTGCTCCCCGCCTTTGCTGAATAAATAGTTCTCATTTTCATCCACGGCCGGTATATGCAAATCAAAGATGTTTCAGGATAGCCGAACGCGCCGAGGAAAGCCTCAGAATTCCCCCGCGCTACTGTACGAGTCGTCAGGGATGTACCTGGTAAAGAATCCCAAATCAGGCAATTACTGCCTTGGTTACAATATGCCGTGCGTCGGTTTGAGGGATTGCAGATGGGAAGGAGGAGTACCCTCGCTTGTTGAAGGCGAGGCTTGTAGGGGTGGACAACTTAAGACCGATCTCTTCTATACACAAGTCTAGACAGAAGGCGCTTCACAATACTGACTCTGTAAGATTTGCGCCGAAGAGCTTATAACAGACATGACAGAGGTCAAGATCACCGACGATGACATTGGTAAGCTCAAAGCCAGGGATAGCCGGAAGCCCAAAATGTCAGCAGATCAAGGGAAACTGACTCGTCCTGTTGTGTAGGGGACAAATTGCGGGGGAAATCTGCGATCGTGACAGGCGGTTCTTCAGGTCAGTCTCTCGTCGACATGGTCCAAAGGTATGATCAGTTGTGCTGACTCTCGCGACCAGGTATCGGCCAAGGTATGCGACATTTCATCCTCCAGCGCAGGTCAGCATTATGGCGCCAGACAAGCCACAGGAAACCCTCTCTCTTTTGTCATAGTGTGAAAGGTTGACAAGAGGCTGGGAATGCCTGTACTAGAAGTCACGTGGACTCTCTTGGCATCTTTTCGACCCTCCGTTCCTCGAGGTGATAAGAACACTGATTCCAGGGACATAGGTATCGTGCATTACTTGACCAGATGTGGCGTCAAAGTCTTGATCGGCGATGTGCAGCCACCGACTCAGCCTATCGATGGTCCAGTGTACCAAAAGACGGACGCTGGAAGCTGGGACGATCTGCTTGCCCTGTTCAAAAAGGCTCAGCAATTGTTTGGTCGAATCGATATAGTCGTACCCAACGCTGGCTTTGGTGACCGCGGCGACTACAAATTCAAGCAGGACGCCAATGGTGATCCCATCAAGCCCGAGTTTGACTGTCTTAGAGTCACTCTGATCGGCCAGATGTATACCGTGAAGTTGGCGCTGCATTATATGCGATACCAAGATCCCCAGGGCGGAGTCATCGTGTCGACAGTGTCTCGGAGTGGCTATGATTGTCAATCAATCCCTGTGTATGCTACCGCGAAGCATGGGATGCTGGGCTTGATGCGTGGACTGAGAAATCACACGCCAGCTTGGAACGTCCGCGTGAATTCGATCGCCCCCCATATCACCGACACCGCAGCGACGAGAAGCGTGGAATGGTTGATTCCAAAGCTCAAGGAGGTCGGCATTCCTGTGAGCACGGTCGAGGAAACAGCCAGGGCAGCCGCATTCTTGGCTGCAAATGAAGCATATAACGGCTGTACCATTAGCATCATGGGAAGTGAATACCGTGAGTTGGAGAGTGGCGTGGAGAGACACAAGCGAGATATCATGGGAAATGACCCGAGATTCGACCCGAATCCTGAACAGCAGGCGGTGCTGGGTAAGACTTCCCTTCGCTGAGTTTCGAGTATATGCCCCTGACTGCCGATCTAGAAACAATATTTCCGCCAGCCTCGACGTGGTAGAGGTTTGTGAGAAGGCCGCGCTGGACACTCACTGTGTAGCATGGAATTGGAGGGCGGTCAACCACGGGTCGAGCTGTGGGAACCCGAAAGTCACATCGTGTGCAGATTTGCAACCCAAGACTCTCCTGGTTTCGACCGGCGAGAAGCTCGTGGTGGATATTCGTGCCTCTCAGATAATACAGATATGGCTCTCGCCTCGGAATCGAGTGTTTGGACCCCAGTAGTACCTGCCCAACGCTTTGTCCTTTTTCCTGGTCGGAGGCTCTTTGATCGCCTCCACATCCTGGTCGAACAGGTTCATGATCTTGGTTAGCCCGACTCGTTTGTACCTGATCCCGTGGTCCCCATCGGTGGCCTGGATGAGAAGGCAGTTCAGATGCCGGTCATCTTGAGAGACTGGTAAACAAAAGACTTGTGCATTGGGGCCGAATACCGAGGGTTCACTGGCAGGACTGTCCAGATATACGATGGACTGAGAGTCGCCAATAGGCTGGCCCTTCTGCATCAAACGCCAGCTGAATCGGTTTCGTGGATACTCCGGCTCAGCAGGCCGTTGCTTGCGAGCGTGGAATCCCATGGTGACAAAGTGCACCGGGCTTAGAAGAGTGGATGCGAAGAGCAATGTCAAGATCAGTCTGTGCTGTTGCCAGGAGAGTGTTCTTAGGGTCACCATCGTCAGTAATATCGATATGCTGACCACAGTGACAGCGAGGAGCGCGGTACTCGGAGTATACCATTGCCACTGTACATATCAGTAAAGCACGCCCGGGAAGGTTGGTGGACGACAACTTACCATAGACTTGCGTATCGAGGTCAACGAGCTCTGATCCTGCTCTGCATCTGTCAACTCGATCCTCCTCAACACGCCTTTGAGAACAAGATAGCCGTCAGTGAGAATGCCAAACATGTCATCCTCGGTGCGATAGGTTAGCCTGACTACCTGGACTTCCACCAGGATGCCCTTGTCTGTTGTCTCTGGAAAGGTGACACCACGAGAAGTTTCGACTGAGGCCCATGAGAAGGTGGGAGCACGATATTGCCGTGGTCGAGTGTTCGGCAGTGGCTGCGCCGTCTTTCCTTCTTCCTCGCCGTCGTTGACATACCACAGTAACTGGCTTGCCAGGTAATTCTGCCACATGCCGGCGAGATATTGGTCCTCACTTCCATCCAGTCTCAAGATCCTTGTCATCATTCTCGCAATGCCGGACAATGCTATAAGTCGGTCTCTCTCGTCGCTCAGTTCCATCTTGGTGTACACCTCGACCATCCGTTTCCAGACTTCGTAAAGGTACAGCTTCGGATCAATGGCCTCCACCATCCATTTTAAGCCTTTGCTACGTGACGAACTGTGCAACGCCGCCAGTCTCAGCTCACGGAGCCGCCTGCCGACTTCCCGATCCATAGCCTTCAAGCGGGCCTGGTCGATGAGCTGACCCGCCCTCATCTGAAGATGGGGGAGGCCTTCTGGACGGCATTCGGCTCTGTCGAGTTCGCGACATTCAAACGCAATTTGATCTTTACACCAATGCAACACCCTTGGTGCCAGAAGTCGTTCCTGGAAAACCCAAGATCGCCGATTGACTGGTGCATTGTCGACATATTGATCCCAGAATGACAGATCGGAAATGGTACACTCAACTACCTTCTGTCCATCTCCTGAGAGGTCTTGTGTTCGAAGGCTCACTGTGTCGAACCATTTCCGATCGGGGTCCCTGCGGTTGAATAGACCTTCAGAGCCATCGATGGCTGCAGTGGCGGAGATGTTGCAATGGCTGAAAGCATATACCTTGTCCATCTGCGAACTTTCATGGAGCCAATCTTGTTCGTCCCCCTGGATGATACAGAGAGCATCGATCCATATCCACCGCACACCTAACTCTCGTGCGAATTGCATTGCGTGCTGGAACGTTGTGGGGAGGTTCTCTGACGGTATTGCAGTTTGCAAGTCGGCTCTATTCATATGTCGGAGTTTGGGGATTGTCATATGCCCCCATCGATGGCTCAAAGTAACATATCTCCCTTCAAAGAGTGGTTGGCCGTCCTTCTTCTCGGCGTCCTTTTGTGACACCAGCCGTACGATTTCCATCTCAGCTTCCGGCATAGCTCGCAGATCTATTAATCGTGTCGGGTACCATTGTATACTTGAAGCGGTCTGACATTTAGCATGGGTTCTTGCGCATACATCGATCCAATCTCTGGCCAGGTCGAAGACCTCTGGATCCGATGTACTTGCGCTTCTGGGAGTTGTTTGAAGATGGCTGGGCATATCGGCGTCTTTGATCCACGTCAACAATCTCTGTAGAGGGACTGCAGCAATGGCAACATACCATTCTGTTTTAAGACGAAGCTTGCGACTGTCGTCTTGGTCTGTTCAAGCTTGATGTCCAGACGATAGACACCATTATAGCGAGGAAATCGTTGCAACAACGCACAGAGGAACCAGCTCCTCTCGGGACCGACGGGAGGGTTGATATGGAGATCTCTCAGTTTCTCGTCGATGACACGGCAGAGATAGCATTCTGCATCCTCGGCGGCTGCCTTGACGTTTTCTGCCGTTTCATGGTGCCAGAAACTCAGGGCCAGTTGTGAGCCAGAATCCCGGCGGCCCTTGTGTCCGTACAACATATCATGGCACACCTTACAGACCATTGTGAAGAATCCAGAGGAATTCGAGATGGCATGGTTCAGGCAGAGAGGGGAGCATTTGGAACCAGGTGAAAGGACGTCCAAGTAGATGTATGAGGCTCTCCAGCCTTAGAATGTCCGGACGTCTGTCTGAAACAAGCATGGTTGAAGGAGCATGGCCCCGGGGCCCAAAACGCTTTGGGTTGTGCCAAACGCTCACCCCTCGTCCACCGTTGGTCCACTCATTCCCGGGCAGTTAGCTGTAATTGGTACTGGTCGTCCAGATTGAAGTACAAGTGACTAGGTATGCAGCCTGGTCTCGGTAAAAGGGGGCCGATTCAGCTGAGGACCCATGGCACCCTTGACAGCAAATAGCAACAGAACCAGGCCCCCCAGTGCCTAGAAGCCGTTTCAACAGTAGCGCCACTCGTATGCATAGCACCAACCGTCGACGAACACCCAGACTCTCCAAGGGGGGCTGCGGCGCGCTTCGTATCTCCGGGACTTGCCGCTGGATTGTTGCTCGTGTTGAGAATGTGAGCAGAAACAATGCCAATCAATGTTGCACAGTCCATTCGCCAATGTCTATTTGACTGCCTGCCACTGGCTTTGACCTATTTTTCGCAACTCTTGGTAGGCAGCAGTTGAGCCTGATCAGATTTGGGGGACCCTTGAAAGGCTGCAGAGAAATATATGCATATCTTTGCATTCTCGCAGGTGATGTTGAGGTATTGACCAGCGGTTTATAAGTACCTGTGGCGCGTAGAGCAGAAACATATTCTTAGCCATCATGCCCTCGTTCATCCTACCCAAGGTCTCTCCGAGCGTCGAGGTGACAATCCCGACGAACGTCACCCAGGACGAGCTGCTCGCGTTTCGTCCCTTTAAGGACTGGCTCGCAACACTGCAGAAATCCATCAAGTTGCAAAAGTCCGAGGCTACACATGCCTTTTACGATAAGAAGGACCCCTATCAATTACGTTCGATCAATGTCCATTCGGTGGAATGGTTCGGGCCTCGCATCGGCTTTATCTTGATGGAGACAGTGGTGCAGAATGCCGCCGATCCACGACCATTGCCTGGCATCGTCTTCTTACGCGGTGGCAGCGTGGCCATCCTCATGATTGTCCGGCCAGAAGGGGACAGCGACGACAGATTTGTCGTCATGACGCAACAGCCCCGGATACCCGCTGGGAGTCTTACTTTCTATGAGATCCCGGCTGGGATGATTGACGAGTCGGGTACCTTTGTGGGCGCTGCGGCGACCGAGATCCGCGAGGAGACAGGCTGGAAAGTACCACAGGGGGAGCTCGTCGACATGACGGAGATGGCGCTGAGAAACTCCACAGGTATTGAAAGCCACTTGCAAAAGGCAATGTATCCCAGCCCTGGAGGGTGTGACGAGTTTATCGCCCTGTTCTTGTGGGAGAGGACCATGTCGCACAAGGAACTTGCGGAACTGAGAGGCAAATTGACTGGGAACCCCAAAGAAAGAGAAAAGATCAAGGTGAAGCTGGTCGAGTACAAAGAGCTGTGGAGAGAAGGAGCGAGAGATGCGAAGACGCTTTGTGCATGGGCGCTGTACGAGGGATTGACCAGGGATGGGATCTTGAAGTGAGGATGACGGCCGTTTGGTCCTCAAAGAGCGAGCTTGCTGACGACTGCTGACCATTTGCGAGAAACTCTTGAGCGTCTTGGGAACCAGGTTTCATGTGCATAGACGTGGCTGCTATCAGGTATCTTTTCTTGTTGCCACACCAAGTTCTGCCAAAACCTGTGCGGGTCCCAGCTTTTGCCATTGCTCCAGCTGTTGTGTATTCGTCGTCCAGACCATGCCCATCATACCGGCAGCGTTGGCACTCGCTCCTTGCACTGCCACTCTCCGCCGGGGCACAACCATCATCCACCTTTTCGTAAGCATCATGTTGTGAGGGAAGTAGTCGAGAGTGTCCCTGGAACAGCTTTGCCAGGCCGTGTACGCCTCGTTGCGTAGCCTCTCGTATACTGGAAGCAAGGAGTCTAGTGTGCTCTCTGCTGCAGGCTGGAGAGGTTGGATGAAGTATCTGAACGGAATGTTCTCGGGATTGAGTGCCTCCAGGTCGGGAAACAGCGTCAAGCCGTCCGAGCAAGGAATCACCTGCATGTGTTTGTGGAGTCTGCTGCAACCGGCCTCGTTCCCGCAGTTGAACATGATAAAATGCTCATGGCTCAATTGGTTTAGAACAACCCATGCGGCTGAGAGATCTGTCTTGTCGAGATTCTCCGTCTGTCGCCTGAACGAATCGAGGGTCAAGATCAGGTACTGTGGTCGAAAGACGGCGAAACGGTTCAGAACCAGAAGATGCGTCCCATGGACCTTGGTCACAATGAGGGCTGGGTCTGCGTCGACGAGGTCGCTCCCAGGCCCATATTTAGGGAGCTGGTCAAAGGCGGCATTGTTGGTTGCATCGGCCGTCGCAGGTTTCGATGCCAACGATGGACAGATGCGGAACTCGAACTTCAGGCCGTCGTCAGTCCGTGCATTGGATTAGCGAAACAAAAAAGGACAATGTATCTCACATCGAACCCTTGATCCCTAGTTGTGAAGACTGTCTCGGGGCCATAAAGAATGATCTGCCGAGCAACCAAGTCGTCGAACGCGCCAACCACCTGCTTCTCATCGAACAACATCGTCAGGGAGACTTCTGGGTTTCGTCAAAGCTGCGAGTCTGCATATGCGGCACGATTACGAGGCTTTGAGAGTAGGACTGAGCCGTGTACACTGTATCGGTAACAACAGAATCATCGAGCCAAGTTGAGAGATTCGTGGCAGGGTGTCTGACCTGCGCTCATTCACGTAAGACGGTGGCAACTCTGGTTGGTAGAAGGGGATTTCTCTTCGGACACACCGCCACTCTATCATTCATCTACACCATTAGTCTTGTCACATCATGAACGATCAGCCGTCTCGTTGCAACCGGGTCTTCCTTTGCTGCCTTGACGGATTATTTCACTTTATCCTTGAACTCGGCTGCTCATACAAGAGGTCCGGGTATTCCTGCAAGAAAGAGGCAAAGACGAAGTCACTTGATGGCACTCAATTGCCTCTGTTGGCCAGGGTTTTCCATGAGACTGGTTATCTATGGCTACACGCCTTCTCCAACCTGTATCTTTCCACAATCTTGCCATGCAGAATGCTTTGAAGAAGATACTTACCGGCCTCTAATTCCACAGAACGAAGGCGAAGAACAAGCACGGAGACCGTCCAGATGCCCAACCCTCTATTCTCGCGGTTGCCCTGTTCTGCAGACACCCTCCTCGATGATCCTTTCAATCAGCTTACCGCCGCAATGCTAACAGACCCGGAAGAGTGACTTGAGCCTCTTCATACATGGGCTCGAGTGGGAGGCCCTTCCTCACTAGGAAGAGACACTGTGAAAGTAGCTTTTGGGCTAGCTCCTTGATACGGCTATCCAGATGAACAATATCCTCGATGTCAACCTCAGGCAGGACCAACGACCGGGTTTCAAAGGACCTCATGGCACTCTTCATCATCTGCACGTCATCAGCCCGAAGTTCCTCGCCATTAAAAATCTTCTCTCGAACAGGAGCCAGGTCGTCCCTCATGTCCAGCAATGCTGCTGTCGGCATCTGGCTCAGGAGGAGGGAAGAGTACTTGTGGCTGCCAGAAGAGATGGCTGAGGTGGAGAAGCTCTTTCGTGAGTCTCCTGCGTGGGCGACTGAGGACATGAACTGCCACGAAGGAACCTCGTCCTCCTCGAGAAAGATGAGCGTTTCATTCTCAGCATGTGAAGCGTAATCGAAGGTTATGGTGGCGCGATATGGGGCATCGAATATCTCGTGGCAGAAGGGACCATAGAGCCATGGTTTCTCGGTGATGCGATCCCGCGCCTTCAACAGCTGCCTCTTAGCGTCTTCGCTGGTGTCCTTGATCAGAAACTGGATCACACTGTCTCTGTCGCTTGCCTCGTCAAACAAATCTGCGAACTTGTACAGCGGTGATCGAAAGACTGCCTCCGGAAGATGCTTTGATAGCAGATGAAGGGCTTCAGAAAGGTCTTGAGCAGCCTGTTTTGCAATTGAAGAACGTTCAACATAGTCGTCATCCACATCCCAATGACCTCCTGCTTCAATGTGGTTCCAAAGTTGTACAAGGTGTTCTATTGTTTGGTCTCGATGGAGAGGGTCGACCTCGGTCCTCAAATACCTGCCGTAATCTCGGCTTAGGGTCGGTTCGTCGTAATAGAGGATCTGATGGGCATTCGCCGGATCATCGAAATAGTCGTCCATCTGCGCAATGTGATCGTCGCTGACCGATTCAAAAATGTATAGCTTGGCCCTCGTCTCACGACATCGTTGTAACTTGCGAGGGCCGTCTTGGAGGTTGGCGGATAAGATTGGGAACACATGGCGGATGTAGACTTCATCCAACTGATCGCGCTCGCCTTGAAACAATATCTCATCCACAAAGACCGTGGAGTTGGTGATCGTATTCGGAGGGACAACCATGCCATCTGCAAACAAAATAGATCGGTGCAGGAGGGCTCTCATATAATTTTCGGGAGGGACACCAAACCGATTCATTTTTGAATTGACGTTGTCCATCGAAGGGCTGAACGCGACGCACTTTGCACTCCGTTGCATGGCGCTGGCCTTCGTTGGTCTGGATCCGCTTGACGCTTGACGCTCGTGGAGAATAGAGGCCAGGAGGTCCTCAATCAGATGGCGACTCTCGTAGTTCCCGACGACCCAAGCAATCCCGCTTGATATGCGCAGCGCTCTGGCAGCTTCTTCCATCTTGCCTCCACAGAGCATCGCCAACCCGCTCAGGGCACTCACCACCCATGTCTGGGCGTGATGGCGAGGAGGCACCTGAAGCAAAGCTGCCTCTTCTAGTTCCACATGGTGCAACTGCAGCTCCTTGAGACCTTCGTTCAGCCTTTGACAAAATCCCTGCTTCGCTTCAAGCATGGATGGGCTTTCGTTTCTGAGGACGTGGCTTAACGTCTCCCATACTTCGGAGCAGCTCTTTGCTGGTCGGACCTTATTCTTCTGTCAGTATGATCCCGTGGACAATACATACCGGAGGACTTGCCTGATGTCCTTCTGTCTGGAGGTTCATATTTTGCAGAATTCGGTTCCAGTCCTGTCTCGGCGACGTTCCCCCATTGAGTGTTTGCAAAAATCTCGGGTTAGCTCTTTCTCCACTCCTCTCCTCAAACAGAGTAACCAAGTCGATCAGGAGCAGTTTACACCAGTGAGGTCCCAGGTCTTCGGCCCATGATTTGATCTTCTGCTCAAAGCGAGGGAACTTGCTTTCGCCAGAATGTCTTTCTCCGAGAAAATATCCACTAAGAAGGCAAAATCCAACAGGCGAATCCTCTGCAAGGTCCATGCTCAGGGTGAGGCCTTCAATTGACGATTCACACGAGCTCTTGGGGAATATGAGCCACACAATTGAGGCTTGCCTCTTGTTTGATAGGAAGCGAAGATAATCGAGGTTGTCATTCATATCACTTCCGCTGAAGCCGGCAACCAGCCATACCGTTCGTTTGAGAAGAATATCGAGCACATCGGTCGCAAAAGAAGGTAGGCCTTGGGCACGCTGTAATCGAGTGTCGATACAGCTGACTGGATCATAGCACGAACCGTGGATCTTGAAGAGGAAGGTTATTTTGCCACTCCCCAGCTGCGGCATGAGAGATCGTATGAAGGCAAAGGCTTTTGCCCCGTTCACAATCAGAACCAGTTTTCGGTCCAAGGTCGTCAGTGGTAAACGGTCTGAAATCTCCCTGCCGTCCACGTGAGGATCCCCAACGACCTGGTAGAAGAGCGATGTCTTGCTTTCGATAGCCTTCTCCAGGTAGTTGTCAAAGTTCGTGGTCATGACGGCCGCAACTTGGCCAGTGGAAAGAAGTTCAGCAGCCCAAGTATGTATCTTGTTACATGCGAACATTCCATTGTCTTGCTTCTCAGCCTGAAAGGCATCCAACACTTGCAAATACTGCTGGCCTAGGCGTCTCGAGATAACTTCGGTAACCATATAGTTCGGTACGGTTCTTTTTAGTCGGTCGAAATAGCCCAAGATCCCCTCGGACACTTGTAAAAATAACATCAGCTGGCCATTCCCGGCTAGTCATACTCAATACACACCTGTATCAGGCTGAATGTCTGTCACAGCGACCTTCATCGCTGACGTCCATAACAGTTCCACAAAGTCATTCCACATGGGTAATTGCGCTGGCTTAAACGTGGAAATAGCAGCACCCAGGAATAATGTGGCTCGTCCTTTCGCCTTCTCGGTGAAGGAGTCGATGCGCGGAGCCGCTTCCACCAAATTGTGACTTTTGAAATCCCCTCGAGCCTCATGCGGGAACTCCATCAACCCGCTCGTCGCTGCTCGCTCCAGCAGCGTATGGTTTGCCATCATCGCTGCTTTGATGAGCTGAGTTCAATATTTGGTGGTGAGGCCTTTGGTTGATAGTCGTTGGTAGATCAAGGACAGCGTTGATTGAGAGCGAGTGCTTTTCAACCCCTCCACCTATACCATTAGTTACGTTCTGACAGGGCGGCCACCCTGTTATAATCGAGGACTGTCAGCTCCCTCGCGTGTGGCCAGTATTCTGTGTCAGAGTGCGCCACCTAATCTTCGACTCGTGTTGCTGGCCGCAGGTGAGGCTCTACAGCATATGCAACACGCTAGCAAGAGCCCCTTTGATAGGCATCAGGCCAGGGTTTGGTCTCCTGGAAACCTTGGCGAGGTTGTTAAACAGTTGCCTAGACTCTGCAGCCTCAGGTGATGTAGTGTGACACGAGTCTCAATAAAGGGTCCGCATAGGTTTGGCTGAGTCGACCCGACACAAAGAGATGCATGAATTTGCGATCCAGCCGAACAGAACAAATAACTGTTGAGAGATGTTTGGACAGACTCTAGCCAACCATGATTTAACAATATGGCGAGGCAATTGCCATGGCCGTCGGGCTTGTCTTTGTTCGCCTACCTGGTTCTGGACCTACGCATCCGAGCTTCAGCGTATCGACAACGAATCGAATGGCTCACACCGGGGCGTGGGCATGTGCGTGGTGTCCCGAGAAGTCATGTAAGGGGACAATCACAGGGTGCCGCTGCATGTTTCTAATCCCGAAGAGAGGATTTCGGGTCGGGATAGATGAGGCTCTGAAGTGAAAGACGGAGAGGAGGAGCTCATTGATTTTGTCATGGGGGAGAGTTGGGAGTGAAATTCGCAGGCACATGATGTGTTTGCAGAGAGAAAATACTGGCACTGACGATGGCCACACCGAGGCCAAGACTACCTAGATATTTCTACCTACGATCGTCGAGTAGGGGCAGTACTGGTGTACTCGTAGCAGCTTAGGTGGAGCATTTAAGCCTGAAACCCACCCACTTGGTCCGGGACTTCCCTAGCCACACAAGGGTCTAGGCACCTAAATCAGCCCTAACGTGCCCCGAGCTCCCCCAGGCTCTCAGTAAAGATGTCGACGCCAATGAACTACCTTTCTGCCTACCTCCTCGTGGTAGGAAATTTTCCTCCGCCTTACTACTCTCAATCGACATCCTGGTCTGTCCTATCAATCCCATCTCCTCGTATATCCCTGCTATTCCCCATGCCACCATCCCTTCGGAAAGCATGCCACTCCTGCACAATCGCAAAGCGCCGTTGCGTGCCTCAACTCCCACAATGCACCAGATGTGCCGAGAAAGGACTGCGCTGCACCTACGACTTGGAACCTGTGACCAATCTCGAGATAGCTAGCTCTTGTCCACCGCAAACGACCGCGCAAAGCCCTTGGGAGCCACTACCTCCGATCATCTTCGATTCCGTCGCTTCGGCCCACAAAGCTGCCGTGCATTCCTTCACCCCCTACAGACAAGAGATGCTCCCGGTGATGGCAAACCAGGAGACGCTCATGATGGTTGTCGAGCGTTACCTGCGATTTATCCCCTTGCTCACGTTTCAGCAAAGAACCACTCCCTACATCCACAGCCAGCTGCTGTTGGCCAGTAAGCGGACTTTTGCAAGTGTGGTTCTCCTAGATATCCATGGCTCTGAGGCCTCACCAGGTCTCAATGTTGCCTTTTTGAAAAGAATGCAACAGCATCTACTTTCTCTCAAAGCCGAACAGCTGACATTCACTGAGTTCCTGCCCGCATTTCACAGGCTGGCGGCTGTCGTGCTCTCCTTTGTTCTGAACTTAGACCGACTACCGCCGATCCTGCTTGATCTCTGGGCAACATGGACAAAGCATTTCCACACGATACTTCCACGAACGCTCAGTAGCGACTTGTCGGCATGGCAAGCCTGGTGTACCGCTGAGAGCGCCCGCAGAACCTTTCTATATATCCTTCTTGTTGAGGGAATAGTGGAAACAAGCCAGAAGGGATATTGCCACTACCGCCCTATGGTGGAATCTCTGCCCCTCGATGTAAGGACAGGTCTCTGGGAGGCAGAAACGGAAGAAGAGTGGCAAGCTGCCGTGGCTATCTATGGCGGCGTAGAGTCAGAATTGATGTCATGGGCCGAGTTCATTGGAAGTGGCGGCCCAGAGCCTCGTCAAGGTTATGACGGGATGCTCCAGCGGGTGCTTCTTATGATTCACTTTGGTAAGGCCGCTGCTGACCTCCAGTGGCCCACCCAAGGCACACTGGTCTTATGCAACTGAGAAGACACCTTGCTTCATCACATCTCGGTGTGAAAAGGCCAACGTTCTCCACGGCCTTGTGGCGCAACAAGGTACGTGGAATCTCTCCTGAAATACCCGAGTGGAAACTAATACTATTCACGTTAGACGAAGGTCGTGCTCCACCCCCATCGTGGGTCGGAAATCGTACTACAGTCTTCGATGCAAGTACGTCTTGGGAAGAGTAGGGAAAAGTACCGGGTCTGACTCTCGAGATACTTTGTACAGAATAACGACATCCCTCTTCATTAGAGCGATGGTTCTCTTGTCTGACGGAGTATTTTCTTCGGCTCCTTCTCCACTTGTGGGTGATAGCAACCCTCCCATCTCCAGCAGTCGCTGGACGAGGTCAAACTACACCAGAGGTATATAAAAGGGAGAAGTGGGCGATGGCCACTCCTACTGAACACCAACCTTGTTGCTGCGAACTCATTCATCTAAACATTGAAACATGGAATACAACCAAGACCTTCCCAAGGGCCGGACCTTGTAAGTTCCCCAAGGAATATCAGCTCACCTGTAGAGCCGGATTGTCATTACTTGGATGTTAACAATATCTCTGCGGACGCGTAGGGAACCAGTATATTGCTGGGGCCACAAAGCTCTCCCACCACAGCGCGGCGTGGTCACATATGCAGTCTCACCGAACCGGCTCAGCCCGTTGGCGAACTCCTTGCACAGCGCTGTGTTTAACACATACCGTCGATCAAAGAAACAGGTGTTATACTGGGTGCCGCCCTTTGTTGTTGCTTATCTGTTGATGGACTGGGCCAATCGACGGTATGTTAAGTCGAGTCCCTGTACCATTTCTCTAGACGGTCGGGCAGGCCGTGACACCCTTTCACCAAGAATAGAAAGGAGGAAACCCGGACAGCCCTGCTCTCTCTGCCCTTTCTTCCTTTCTTGGCACGATGCGCTATCCATCGCACTTACATACCTGCTGACAAGGACTCGCTGAGATAGGAACGCGCACCTCAATTCCAAAGCTGGCAGGGCAGAGGCAGCCAAGGGGGACTGAACAAGGGGGGGACAATCTGCATTTCAGAGAAAGGAGCATAGGAGACGGAACTCTGGTCCATTCCTGTCGAATCCGCTGCGATACTTTTAGGTAGTTGTGGCGGGCTGGGCTGGGCTGGGCTGGGCTGGTACGACACAGTTGGATTGATTGTTTACCGCTCCATTCGGGACTGTCAACCAACGCGAGCGCGAAAGAGAGGGAGAGAGAGGGAGCGACCGAGTATTGCAGAAAGCCGAATCAAATCACCTTTCGTGAGGACTGTCTATGTACCTAGGGTATTGTACCTAGGGCACAAGGTATCTATGTAATATGTACCGTCCGTGCGTCCGTCCTCCGCAGTCTGTGCAGTGTCATGCAAGGCGCAATCATAACACACTTGTGCTCACCCACACCACTCATACTCATGCCAAAGTCCAAGATTTGTTTGAATACATGTTCCGGAGAGGCAGAAGTCATATGTAGCTCGTGGTGTGGTGCTCGTCGGTTGTTCTCGTGTGTCCGTGAGGGATGAATGACGAGATGATGGTCCTTTTCTATAGATACTGCTTTCCTTTTTCTCTTCGTTAAAGCAAGATCGAAACTTCCTTTGCATTTTCACGTTTCTGGCTCTTTGGCCCTACCATAAAAGTAGACTCGACGATGCCCTCCAAATTGTTACACCATGATATACAACTCATCTCTCGGTAAGCCATCCTCTTTCAAGTTCGGATAATAGGGCACCATTGCATCTGCGCTGTGCACATATGCATCGTTGTATAACCTCCAGTACGGCGTGCGAACTTTCCTCGCTGGATGGAACAGTCCTGCCCACACATAGTTCATCACAATGCCGGTACCAACCGCCATTCTTATTGCCTCAATGGCCTCGATGATCCGATCAATGACGTGCGGTGACGTCTCGAATAGGTTGGGGTAGAGAAGGTTCAGGAGATGGACCATTGCGTCTTCACACCCAAGACCCATAACACCAAGCGCAACGTGTTTGACCACACTAGCTGCGGTTTGTCGGTGGACTTGATCCCGGTCAATGAGTGCATCCTCCAATAAAGGCGTAACGGCGTAGACATAGTCCTTGGCCATTTCACCAATATATTCGAATAGAAAACTCAGCGATTTCAACACGCCGTTCTGCACGTTGAGTTCGGGAACGCGGTACTCGTTCATCAATGCCGGCAAGACAGTGAAAGGTGCGCATGTTTCGGCGACAATACCAATAGCCACCGCAGTACAAACGCGAGATTGCCGCTCTTGAACACGTAGATTGTTGAGAAGGGTCGCGAGAACATCCTGTGGACCGATAGCTTTGGCAATAAACCCGAAAGTGTTGTTGGCAGCTCGACGAATTCCCTTCTTGTGTGCCTTCAGCATATCCAAAAGCTCAAAGCATATACGCATCCACTCTCTGGCATTGACGGATTCAGGACCTCGATCCGCAATACGTCCAACAAGATCAATCGTGTTCTCCTGGACTTTTTCGTGGCGATTACGCAGGATGGGAGTTAGACGCGGCAAAAGGTCCTTGATCGGTGGTTGCATCTGGTTGATTCCCACCACGGTGACAATGGATCGGAGTGCGCCCAGAATAGATCCCAAGACTTCGGGATACTCTTCCCCAAGGTACTCATAGAGGACGACACCGAGCTTGCCCATCAGAGCATCTTCACCACATTGTTTCATAACCATCGCGATACGCGAAATGAGATCCGCAGCTTGCTGGCGGACCGTAGCAGATTTATTGTTCAATCGCCAGAGGATTGTGCTGACGATTTGTGGGAGGTAAGGTTTACATCGTGTCCCTAGGGCGTTGACGACTGTACCGAAGCCGTTAAGCATGACAATATCCTCAATGCTCTGCTCTTGGAAGGCGTGGAGGATGCCGTCCACGAGCCGTTCTTCAAGTCGTTCACCGATATCCGCAGCGCCTAGGGAAGCGATAACTTTCTCGATAGTTTCCACAGTCATTTTGCGGTAGGCCTCGCTCTCATCTTTCAGATTGTTCACAATTCGCTCGACAATCTCACTGACGCCAACTTTCTGACCAAGGTCAACCGTGGTTTCGACAACCTGACGGTAATTTCTCTTATCAAGTGCCATTCGTCGGACCCAGAAACTCTTGAAGAAGTCTTGTAACACATGTTCCTTAAGGTACGCAGCAGTCACGCCGTCGGTGCTTGCGCATTGGGAAACAACTTTCAGTACCACCTTCTTCATTTCTTCGTCCGGAGAGGCGAATTCTCGAAGCAGAATTTCCATAATCTGGCTGGTGTAGTAGTTGGCGTACTCTTCGTCCATGAGAGGGATAATATAGCCCACAGCTTTCAAGAAGCCGGCAAGCCCTTTACCACGTTGCTTTCGGGCACCAGTCCAAAGAGGATTGAGGATATCATCGAAGCTCTCAATGCCATATGGATTGGCAGCCTCGGCCAGCGCAGCAATTGCCAGAGAAGTAACGGTCCTCACCTTAGCTTGCTCGTCACTTAGGTTGTCGGCGATGCAATCGACCAAGCCTTTCAAATGAGGCAATACAGCGCAACCCATCAAAATAGGGATTTGCTGCACGATCTTGACGCCTGTGTGTCGGGCTTGCCACGACTTCTTGCTCCGACAGACAGCACGTAAGAAGGGAAGAAGTGCCGGAATCCCCAAGGCTGAAGCCACGACAGCGAACGCCCTAGCTGTAGTGTTACGGACATATTCATCCACATGGTCGATATCTGGCCGCATTGTACTGATCATATGAGCCAGGCCAGCAGCTTTGGCCAAGTTGGAGATGATTTCCCGCCCTTCAACACGAGCGTAGTAGTCCTGATCAATGAGGAGAGGCTCAATCACGACCAAGATCTTATGTACATAGGGTCTGATCAGATCATCGAGTTTGTAGAGAACACGGTCGATGACCTTAACGAGCAGATGGCGTTCCTGATCTTCCAAAGACTTTTCCATCAATAATGGCAAAATCTGGTTAAATAGAGGGCCGGCTCCAAATTGACGCGCGTTGTCGGTCAACTGTCGGAGCGCAGTCTTACGCATCGGCGGAGTGCCATTCTTGACTTTGAGCAACAGGCGCATGATTTTTCTCTCTTTCAATTCATCGACTGACAGGGCATTTTCATCTGCGCCATCGACGAGCTTGCCGAAATAAGTCATATCCTCAGCTTTGAAGAACTGGAGGTCACCCACGCCGGGGATTTCTGTGGGTAATTGCTTGCCCAGCATCCTTGGATTCTCCGGCTCTTGCATCATGAAACCCCCTATGCCAGCCGAACCGCTCGCCGTGGCAGGCGTTGCGGCCACTTTTCTGGCGACAGGTCGTATCGGAGCATATCCAGGAGGTGGTTCGAGAATGGTGTAACCCTCTGAAGGCAGCATCATGTCGAGCTCTTCGTCTGACCAAGGAGCATTTCGTCCAGTGATATCGGTGCCAAAGCTAACCTGTGTCATTTGTGAAGGATGCATTGGAGTGGCCAGGCCGGCATTACCAACGGGGGTTGCCGATGTAAGTGCAGGCGCTTGATCCCATCTAGAGCGTTTTGTTGGTACTGGCGCCCCATCCGGGGCCGGGGCTTGATCCCACCTCGAGCGCTTCTTCGTGTCTCCGCCGTCAGGAGCGGGAGTGGCTTCAGAAGATACATCCCACCTCTTCTTCCGCTTGCGTCCCGTTGCTTCAACAGTAGATCCAGCGTCTGCATTCTCCTTATCTGCTTCTTCCTTGAGCGTTGGTCTGTGTTCGGCAGTGTCACCATTTGACTGTTTCTCGGCAATGAGTTTCTTAACTCGTTCTTCCTCGCGCTCCAGGTCCTGCAGTTGCATGACCTCGCGGTAAGTCGCACCATCCGTGACGCCAGCATGCTTGTTTGCAGCAAAGGGATCGGCTCGGGTTGGCGTTAAAGGACCACGATCAAATCTTCTCTTCTGGTAATCAGTTTCACGATCTGCTATTCTGGCAGATTTCTCACGCCCAAGTAAGATATCCTCTTCTTCCACACCATTTCCAGTGGCGAATTCGTTCATTTGGTCCTTTGTCGCTGTATATTGTCCGACGAGTCTCCGACTGCTATCTGCGTCGGGCATCTCGTCATCTTCGCCGTCGGCGGGGAGGGACGTATGGTATCCGGCAAACTTGTCGGCGCCATTGCGGTCGTAGAGAACGGTATCAAAACTTTCAGTCAAAGACGCCTTGGTGGATGAGTCAGTGCGTTGAGTCGATGGATCGAAGGTCTTTGAACCTTTCTTGCTGGCTGCTTGAGCATTGCGCTCTGCCTGCAGGCGCCGCACAGTATCGAAGTCGGCTTGAAGTGATGTTAGCTGGTCATTCGGACTTGATCCCACTGAATACTTACCGTCCGACATATTGCGCGCCGTAGTCACCTCGATAAAGATTTAGCAAGCAGAGACAAAAATGAAAGAATGTACTAAGAGGTGTTGATTCGTGAGATGGTCGTCTCCGCAGGCACTTGCGAGAGGCGAAGAACAGTAGCGAAGTCTAATTTGTCACCATCTTTGTCTAGATAGTCATGTGACCATGTTTGGTCTTGGCGCTTTCTTGGAACTTCCCCAGCTTGAGAACAAACATCGATCTTCAAGCTCCAATCTCTACGTTGGGTTTCAGCTACGAATATTCGTTAATTGGAGCCCACATTGACTGTTACATTTCACTGAATGCTTGTCTCGGCTTATGTGAACCTCGTATGGATTCTGCAGTACCCGAGACTTGGCAATGAACCGCATGGGATCAGACTCCAGTAGCGCAGATAGAGAATGGTGTTGCCTTGCGCTCAACAGGATAGGGGAGGTTGATACAGGCGATGGTGGTGGCCATGAAAAGATTTTCCTGCCCCAAAGAGGCATGCTCCGAAGCCTAGAATGGCCAGGCTCCAGCAGTCACGGGCGGCCAGGGTTTAGTTAAACTAATGCCTGCAGCAGAAGTAATAATCCTAAGCACCCGCTAACTGAAGGAAATGCATGCACCCACTGGGCACCCTACCCCACACTGGGCCCTCTGGAAACGGCCTGCACCTCCTTTCCCCTTCCCACTGTGCCACTGTGCCACTTCCTCCCACACCACCACTCTCAATCCCACCACCAGCTGCACGACTTGACCATTCTCACACTGCCAAATCACCTGGGCCTGTAGATTTTCTCCTGATGATCTCCCAATCGCTACAATTCGGCGCTGGGCAATACCACACACATCTCTGACCTGGACGTCGTATCACATCGTTCCTGCATAAGGCTTTTCACTTTGCAATTCTACCCCCGGCACCTCGACTCTCTCTATTTGAATGCCTCCGATGTTTCATCTCCCCAGCCGTTTGTTCGTCTCGTTGACCTCCGGGTAACGTCGTATTCAGTGTCCTGTTTGATCGCATGAGAATTTGGCAATTACTGAACCTGGGCTTTGTCGCTGTTGTATCTAGTCCCACCACTTCGAATCGTCCGAGTTGGATCTGGACCCAATGCGACGCTGGCAAGCTCATTAATTGAGTCTCAAATCCTCCTCTCTGAAGAGCCACACACTCACTTCCTCTTGTCGAGTTCTCCGTGCCAATGCCAGGTTGCTCAGTCCACGGTCTGGCAGGCGACCGTCGAAGGAAATTGAAGCAACAGACTGGTGCGCGCAGTCCGCACCCGGGTCTTGATATATAATAGTGGCAGTGGTGATTGGGACTCGGCCTGACATCATTGTCCGATTGGCGAGGAGGCTCGTCAGGTTTCTAGACGATGAAACCGAATGATCGGGAAGACATGGCAAACGTGGTGACCCAGACAAGGTCCAGATCACAACTGATTCAACGGAGATCCAGTCGCCAGGCTTCGTCCCGGGATAGGCATGGCAAAATATTTGAAGAGACAGAACACCCTACTATTCGCGCTGTGACACCAGATTATATTACGCCTCGCGCCGAATCTTTCGATGCCAGTCAATTCCACTCGCCGGTGCTGCAGCCAACACGCACGCGGCATTCACAAAGGAGGAGAGAAACATCCGCATCTGCGTCGAATACTGAGGAAGAGAGCACGATTGAGCGAAGAAGGCGGAGGGCACAGACAAGAACAAGTACAAACGATGAAAACCCCGTGGATATCTCGCCTGGGTCCTTTATCACCAAAACTCGGAAGAGGCTTGGATCCATAGCCACGGGTCTTCCCATCCTCCCTCCTGATGAGGCTCACGGATCAATTGGGTTCCCTTCAGTGGTACAGAGTCCCGAGCTCTTGGACCAACAGGGTCCACCGAAGACTCCGCGCCGACCATTTTCCCCAAATGATACCTTTGGCGCCAGCGCAAGCAGTCTTCGGTCTCCCAAATTGCTTGATATCGACTCGGGCAAAATTCTCCATCTCATGAAAACTACCTGTGGACGAATGCATGGCATCCTTTTCTTTAGGCCACTGCATACAACGGCATGGGCTTCTGGCTATTGTGCTATCAATGTCGCGCCTGGCAGTCTGGTATGCCAAACTAAAGGCGAGATCAATCAATCTAAGGTACTGATAGCAGATCTGCGGGGATGCACTGTCAGGACTCACTACGACCATGAATCTCAAAGTACCTATCTCAGTGTTTTGGTTGCATCGTCAGGAACGGGTTATCAGCTTCGACCCCCAGTGCCTGAAACATTTGACTCATGGCTTGCAGCATTGTTGTGTTGGCAGCCGTTAAGACCGAAGGGAATACACAACAAGATGACCAAACCTCAACCAGTTGGAATCGCTGAGAAAAAGGCAGTGTCGCAAAGGCGACTTTCTGATCTCACTAATCCAAAGGCCACGGCTATCGTCAAAGTGGGAAAGATGCTACTGTGGGATGGACCACTCCCCTCGGGATCTCAGCTTGAATCTTCACCAGGTAGCCTTGGTCGGTCGATGACAGAAGAAAACTACCTCTGGCGTAGAGTAAGCTGCGCTCTCCACGAAAATGGCACCTTTCGCCTTCTCAGCGAGATCGACAGTCAGGTTCTCTCGGTGACATTATTGCCACAACTTTCGCGCTGTGCAATTCAGCGACTGGACGAAAGTGTGCTGCGGATGCCACACTGTATTGCGATTTACCCTCATTATCGTGTCCAAACCCCTGCTGTCGGGCTTTCGAGACCCATGGTCTTGTGCTTAGAATCCAATGTCGCACTCGAAGCCTGGTTTGTCTTACTACGAGCTCTGACGGTGCCGGAGTTATATGGCCCAGAACAATTGTCTCCCGAGGACGCACAGGCTTTGTCGTACCCATCTCAACACAGCAACAACGTCTCTACGCAGGGCATGTTTCGGATAGAGCGATCTCTTTCGATCAAAATAACCGAGGCAAAGTTTACCCAGCGGTCGGCTCCAATGGATACCTATGAATACAACAAGGGAAAGGGGAAATCTGCAAAAGTTGAGCAGAGCAAAGAAGGGGTATACGCGGAGATCATGCTGGGCAAGGACTTGCGGGCCCGGACCTCAACCAAGCAGACGATTTCTTCGGCCTTTTGGGCGGAAGAGTTCAATTTACCAGACATTCCCGCAGCTTTGTCCAAGATTACCATCGCAGTCAAGCTCGGAAATCCTGCAGAGAAAGAATGGACGATGGTCGCTGATAGCCTCTACGATATCTCGGCGGATGCTGGCTACCTTTCCGGCCTCGGCGGCTTGGAGATCTCGTCCCACGATCCGATCTATGGGAGGGTGGACGTCTCGATCGATGAATTGGAACGTAGTGGCACTATCGACAAGTGGTGGCCTTTGTTGGACAACAGCGATCGTTCCGTTGGCACGCTTCTGGCTCGATTTACGCTGGACGAGACGGTTATTCTGATGGAGTCCGAGTACGAAGAATTTGCCACTCTTTTGCAAAACTACACGAATGGCTTGACAACACAAATCGCTCATCTCCTGGGACCCGATCTTCGACAATTGTCGGACATCCTTCTGGACATATTCCAGGCGTCGGGCACTGCCACTGACTGGATTAACAACCTTGTGGAGGAAGAAATTGACGGCATCTACAAAGATACACCCCCAATGCGAATGCGCTTCAGTGGCCGCATCCACTCCAATGATTCGTACGAGTCGGCCGAGCAGAGAGAAATGCTAGTCCGTGACCTCAGTCGATCAGCTACAATGGAGGCCAATTTACTTTTCCGGGGCAATTCCCTCGTCACCAAGGCACTAGATGCTCACATGCGCAGACTGGGAAGAGACTATATGGAGGATGTCTTGGGTGAAAAATTGCGCAAGATCATCGAAAAAGATCCTGACTGCGAAGTCGATCCCAGCAGAGTCCGGTCGCCAGATCAGCTCGACAGGAACTGGGCCAACTTGTTGTTTCTCACCAGTGAAATTTGGAAGTCGATCTATGCCTCCGCGGCTCAGTGTCCAATGGATTTGCGCGTCGTTTTCCGCCACGTCCGGTCTTGTGCAGAGGACCGATATGGCTCTTTTATTCGGACGGTCAAGTACACGAGCGTCTCCGGTTTTCTGTTCCTTCGTTTCTTTTGTCCTGCAATTTTGAATCCGAAACTCTTCGGCTTAATCCAGGGTAAGCTTTACTGGTCATCCTTCTCGGCTTATGCTAATATTGTCTAGATTTGCCCCCTGACCGCACGAAGAGGACTTTTACATTGATTGCAAAATCACTCAATGTTCTTGCAAACTTGGCACGATTCGGCACCAAAGAGCCTTGGATGGAACCCATGAACAAGTTTTTGGCGGCGTCAACGAATCAGTTCAGAGCCTACATCGACGAGATATGTTCCGTCAGCTCCTCCCAGATTGCTTCGGCTAAACTTGAGCCTCAATATGCTGCGCCAAATCAGATACGAGGCCGACTTCCAGCCCTGTCCCGCGAGGGCCTCCCCAGCCTTCCATTCCTTCTGGACCATGCAAAGCTGATGGCACAGCTCATCGACCTCTGGGTTACGCATGCTCCTGAAAACATTAGCGAAGCAACTGACGACGAGGCTGTGCAAGCATTTCATGCGGTGTGCGTGAGGCTTTCGCAAAGAAGCAAAGAATGCCTGAAGGCTGCGGAGCAAGCTGAACGGCCCGACGAAAGGTCGGAACATACCTGGCAACGGCTTGTATCAGACCAGCAAAATCCTATGGCGCCTAACAATACTTTCGAAGTGACCTTACGAAGATCACAGAGGGACAATGAGATCACGGCTCTTCCCCAAACGGCAGACACCGTGGCAGATGTAGAATACAAGAATATTGAACTCTCTCCAACTGTTGGAGAAGGCGATACGACACCATCTAGCTCAACATCAGCGTGGGAAAGACGGATTCCCTACCCTCAACGGGCAGCAGAGACCCGAACAATGACAGACTCGACGAATTCATCAACTGATGCAGTTGATATGGTTGAAGATGCTCGGCGGCCAATGTCCAGCAGCCGCGATGGTCCGGCCAAAAGCCGGTTGTTTGAATTAATGAGTTCTTCTTCACGGCGGAGAGGAAAAACTGGGGATCGCAGTTACGTGGACGACGACGGGCACGAGCTTTGACGACAGATGCAGCAGGATTTTATGATCTTTTTGACGTCGCTAGATACCAAACCATGTACAAGAAACAATGATCTTTTAGTACCAGTGCAATTGGCATTGCCAGCTGCTGTTAGTTGACAACTGATCCTTCATCCAAGAAGCTACAAAAGGAGGGAAACTCTCCGTTCTTTTGATATAAGCTGGGAGGTAATGGTTAGGGCAGCAACGGCGACCTCATGTCTGCAACCTAACATTTCTCGCTCACTAGCGTTCTAGCTCAAAGTTGGAGTGGCAGAATGGTACAGTATTACGACCAGACAAAGAATCCAGACGAAGAGCGGAGAGCATTTCAGGAGTCGATGTCTCACTTCAAGAGAGTTTGAACGCGGCCGATCGCATGTCAGTCAATGCAAAGAAACCTTAGTTGAGACACCTCAGACTAACCTCTCCCTAGCTGCTAGCCTTCCCGCCACAATGTCCAACCAATCCAAGATCCTCGGGAACCAGAGCATCTGTTCCTGTCTCTTCCACCAGGCAGCACCGCGACTACCACCACCGATCGGTTCGTCGCCTTTTTCCTTTTCCTTGGCCTTTTCCCTCGCCATCTCCAGGGCCCTTTCCTCTTCAATCCCTCCTAGGACCGAGTATGTCCCCTCGTCCATCTCGACTCCACCCCTCTCCATCTCTGAGAGCAACTCATCCAACTCCCTCAAGGAACTGCGCGTCAGCCAGACCAGGGACATCAACGAGTTGTAGAACTGGGGACTGGCGCCGAGCACGTACGACGTGGTGCCTAGAGAGCGGATCCGCGGCAGGAGGAGCAGTGCGTAGGGCGACGAGGGATAGAAGTTCATGTACAACCTGAGGGCGAGGAGGATGGAGGCCGGGTACGTGTGCTGGAGGATGGCGAGCTGGGCGGGAGAAGGTGTCGACGAGTTTTCATTCGTGGTTTCTTCCGTGCCACGGGTGCCAGAGATAGAAGAGGAAAGCCGTAGCTCTCTTTCCGCGGCTTCGATCATTTGGCGAGGATCGTCCGACTTTCCTCGCGAGAATGTAAACTTTCGCAGGCCCCCGTATCTCGGCGTCTCCTCCTTGCCAGTCCGTGGTCGATGAGAACTTGGCTGTAAGTCCGTGGCTATGGAAAAGATCCGAGACTCGCAAACCTCCCACATGGCGATGTCGCCTCTCTTGGCCTTCGAATATGCTGCGTCCTGAAGAGCTCGGGATATAGAGTGCATGTGGTCACGAACGGCCTGTTGGATGGATTCTTCGAGTTGGCTGAACGGGTGAGACGGAATGGCGGTCTCGGCGAGTGATTGTTCCAGGATATCTCCTTGTCGTAGCTCGGGAATAGGGCCTTCCTCTGGGACTGGTGGTGCTGAATGTATGTCGACTTGTGCCGTCGAGTATTCTGTCATTTCGGCAGTGGTTGTTGCCTCCCTTTGAATTGAAGTGGAGAGACTTTCTCCGCAGTCAGTTTTGGCGTCTCGACCTATCTGGTCTCCTAACTCTGGGTCATATTGTTCTGTTGGCGGTTGTTGGTCGGGTCGCTCTGTCCGGGCTACCTGATGCACGCCATCGCCATCGAGCTTGGGGGCAAGGTTAGACCCAACCCCCTGTGAGTGATGACCACGCAGAGAAGAGGTGAATATCTTGAGTATATTCTCAATGTCGGTGTCGGCGGCTTCGGCATAACGTGAGCGTCGCTTGGGAGATGCCGGTTCGGTTTGTTTAGGGGCAAACCGCAGTATCGTCTCAAAGGCCCTCCGCTCGCTCGCGGTGATGGTAGAACTGATCGTTGTTTCGGCGTTCTTGGAGGTAGATCTAGGCGCTATGGGAGACCAAGAGACGCTTCGGGCTTTGGCCTTGAGGAACGACTCCTCGTCCGGGGAAAGGGGAGGGTTGCCATCTTCGACGGCATCTGAACCCGCCTGAGACGACGCAAATCGCGAACGAGAGCGACAAGCTCTGTTTGAGACGCGCAAGATGGTCCTGGTGTGGTACAAGAACGGTAATTCAATGCGAGTTGCCATATTCTAGACTCCAGTGACGAGAAAAGATATATAGAAGAGCATGGCTGGCAGCCCTGGGAAGCGGGAGAAATTCCATATCACGTGCCTGTAGGAAGGTTTGGCGGGACGCGCCCCACTAAGCCAGTTACAGATCTTGGCAGATTTGCTCATCCTCGGAGCCTGACAACGACGTGCCACTCTGACTCCTGACCCAAGCACGCCAGCCAGGCACTCCAGGCCAGGCTGAATCTTCTCTCTCCGCCCTTTCTTAACCGTAACTGCGCGCCCGCGCCCCACCACGCAACTAGTGACCAAGAGACACTTGCTCTGCCCACCGACCGTGATCCCTCATTGATAAAGACCATATCTACCGCCTTACCTCTACGTCGCTTCTCTGCCGTCTCCTACCACGATTACAAATTCTGAATCTCGTTGTCGCCATTTCCTCCCACACCACTCGATCCCACTCCATCACACGCTCCGCTCTGACGTACACGTTATCGTCCTGCATCACCCCCACGCTGGTCGGCCGAACACGTGGAGAGTGTGCTTTCGTCCCGAGTCTGCGCGGTCCAGGTGCCGCATGACTTGTGGCACAACTCGCGATCACACAGCATACCAATCCCCCCGGGGTAGCCTGACCACGTCTTCAGTGCACAGGAACCCTTCCACGCTTCTACCTGCGCTGGGCACACACACTACACCCTCTGTGACCTGTACACATCATGAGCACTGCCCTCCCTCGATTGACTTCAGAACCCCCTGCGGCCTGGAATGAGCATGATCAGTACGGAACCATGAATCGAGGACATTCAAAGAGCACCCCTCAACACCCTGCGTCTATGATGCACGGACCGAGCAGACAGCGCAATGGCTTCGGCGGCGGCAACGGTGAGAAGGCTGTTCCAGTACCAGGGTCAACGCCATTTGGAAATGGCGCGGACAGAAAGAGCAGTGTTTCACAGGGCCAGCCGTTATTTGATATGGCCAGAAGTCCTCCGACCACGTCAAGCAAGAGTGAATATGTTTGTTCCCGAAAGAATACACGTATGCTGACACGTCGCAAGATACCAAACACGTCCCATGTAAATTCTTCCGTCAAGGTGCATGTCAGGCGGGGAATGCATGCCCTTTTTCTCATTCCCTCGATCCCATGACCCAGCAAGCGCCTTGCAAATATTTTATGAAGGTACGAGTGTCTACAGAAGTCATCATAGGTCAGAATCTAACATGTACAGGGTAATTGCAAGTTTGGCGCCAAATGTGCACTTGCCCACTATCTCCCTGACGGACGACGAGTCAATCGAGCAGACCTCGATGCCGGCTTCGCCATGGCAGGACGGAATTTCAACTACGCAAATCGAACTGAACAGGCATCATTCCCAAGTCAAGATCCGAGCGCGGGAGATTCCATGCTCAATCAACCGCCTTTCGGCCCAGACTACTTTCAGGGTCAAGCTTTTCCATTGATGGACAGTGACGAAACAGACGCATTTCAGGACCGGTACAACCAATATCAACCACCCTCGGCCCTCGATTCAGGTCTCAACTCACCTCCGACATCTCAGTTTGGTTCCCCTCCCAATGACTACCAATTTCCCAAATCACCAGTCGAAAACCTTAGGACAGCTCTTAATGCACCTCTACCACAATCATTTGACGCTAATGGAGTTTCCCACATAGCGAAGTACGGACCTCTAGGTCAATCTGTCCCAGACAAGTTTGGCATGCGATCTCCGGCCTCTTCTTCGCTGTCTAGACAACTTGGAAGTCCACCAGAATCGATCGTCAATGTCCGAAACGCCAATCTAGGGTCCAATTTGAGAAATGTGTCACCTCTAGGCCTTTCGCCGCAGAATGCAGAAGAGTCCATTGGCCAGAGAATTATGCATTCCCAACGAACCGTCAAAACGAGAGGACTGTCGGCGAGTGTTCCGCGCTCACATCTTCCTTATGAGTGGGAGGAAGGAATGGGGGCAGAGACAGACCTGCTTCCTAACAGTTTGCACGATGAATTACTTACTCCACAGGAGAAGATGCGCCGCACTTCAAGGGCGGATCAAGAGCACGGCTCCAAGGATCATGTGCATGCCCTAGCGATCCCAAGTGGAACTTCTAGCAAAGTTGGATCCCCACCAGCAGGAAGTCCTTCCAGATTCAGTGCTCTGTGGGCTGAACAAAGGGAGAAAAAGGCAGCCGAAAGCATCGGCCCGTCCAGCTTTGGCCATGTTGGGTCACCTCTTCGTGGCTCGTGGATGCCGAACGAATCGTCAACTCCGAACGTACAAATATCTGGTATATCTCAAGCGATGGCTCGGATGCAGCTCAATCGAGTTGACTCTGGCGAATTGAATGGATTGAGAGTGCAGCCGAGTGGTCTCAGACATTCATCGGCGCCTATTGGACGATTTGATCGCGGGATTTCCAGCCCAGGTCTGAGTTCTAAGAAGATCGATGAGGAGGTCGAAGGAGTATTCTTCCCAATGGACGGCGACGACAAGACACCGAACTGGTCAGGTCAGTCACCTCGACTGGTGCCTCTGCGCGACAGAAGTAATGGTGATTTGACAGGACAGAAAAGGGAGATTGCCGGACTTGATGAGACCGGGCTGAAGTCAATATGGGCTTTTCGCTCGTGAGAGGTTTCTGGGGAATAACGACGGATGGCAAAACACGTTGTCACACATAATAACGAAGTACGACCGGCGTTCAAAATTGTACAGAATGGTCGATATCACCGGGACTCCGCATTCAAGTGACGAAGGCATGAAATCCAAAACTGACGCATACATACACACATTCCACGGCGTTTTCAACGAAAGATGAAACCGGAACCAGGGCATCGAGAGAGAGGCACGAGAGAAATGATGGGGGCTACAGATACCTCTTGCTTGTTTTGAAGTCTTGCTTATATGGAGTGCCATAGAGACAATGTTGCCAGAGTTGAATACGAGATGATTTACTGCTGTAATCTCCAAGTGTGTTATACCTGATATAGAAAGCTGCAGAAGGCTGAGGCGGAGTGTAAAGCTGAGGTCTCTAACAGGCCTGATTGGGTCGGGATACCTTCCGCGTACACGTTTGTGTTAGGTTCTTGCATTGAACTTTTTGGAGTGTTACACAGGTCTCCGCCAGGTCTCCGACGACCGTTGACTATTCTAGCTGAAGACTGTATCCCTTCCTCCTACCCCCGTTGTTCCAAGGCATGTTGAGTAGTGGCTCGCGGTGGCGGCTATGCTCAACATGCATTGGACCTTTGCTGCGCACGGTAGCTAGAACTACTCCCCCTCGTCTTCCAGTCCGCTTCCAGCGTTCACGTACGTTAACATGTCTTTCCATATTGCGAGCGAGATCGCTGCACCTTTCGGATGTCTAAGTGACTGACTTCTCTCCCAGAATCGACGTTACCTCTTGTGAATGGGCCGGAATTATCGCCGGTTCTTCTCCAGCGCGCAAGGACTGTCGCCGCCGAACACCAGCAGCTGGCCGCGGCCAATGCGGAGAATTATGATGTAGCCGTCGCGAAGAGGATCGGGGAGTTGGGCCCCGTCTCCACGGCGTTGAAGGAGTGGGATGATGCACAGAATGTAAATATACCCTTTCATCACGGTCGGATGTCGCAGATCTATATATTGACAATGTATTGGGGATTAGTCTCTCGAAGAACTCAACGCTCTCCTGCATGACCCTTCTTCCGACGCTGAGCTTCGTTCTCTCGCAGAGACAGACATCCAAGCCACTACTGCGTCTTTGCAGCTGCTGGCCTCAAATCTGAAGAGGTCGCTCATCCCGCCTCATCCCTTCGCTTCCATGCCTTGTCTGATCGAAATCCACCCGGGCGCAGGGGGCTCCGAGGCTTCCCTATTCGCCCAGTCCCTGTTGAACATGTACACCGACTTCTGTGCGCGAAAGAGATGGCCCGTAACACTGGCGAGCTATTCACCAGATGATTCGACTCACGAGGCGGGATTGACGGACGCGCTACTGGAAGTCAATCATCCCGGATCATACGATGTATTGAGGACAGAGGCCGGAGTCCATCGCGTGCAGCGTGTCCCCGCGACGGAGAAGAAAGGTCGCACACACACCAGTGCGGTCTCGGTGCTTGTGCTGCCCAACCTGCCAGACTCATCGGCCAATGCGGAGGGCTTGAATTACGACGACCCGAACTCGGACTACTACATCTCGCCGGCGGAGGTGAGATCGGAGACGATGCGCGCGAGAGGCGCGGGCGGCCAGCATGTCAACAAAACCGACTCGGCCGTGCGACTGACCCATCTGCCAACGGGGACCGTCGTGGCGATGCAAGACTCGCGCTCCCAGCACAAAAACCGCGAAAAGGCCTGGGCGGTGTTGCGGGCCAAGCTTGCCCAAATGCGCCGCGAGCAGCGCGAGGCCGAGATCATCAACATGCGCCGCGCGGCCATGGGCGGCGTCGCCCGCACGGGCAGAGAGGACAAGATCCGCACGTACAACTTTTCCCAGAACCGGGTCACCGACCACAGATGTGGCGTCGAGAGTAGCGACCTGGACGGCGTGCTGGGCGGCGGCCAGAGCTTGGAGACGGTCATGAACAGTGTCCGCGAGTGGATGGACGAAGAAGAGGTTCGGGGCTTGGTGGCCGAGGAGGAGATGAAGATGAAGGGCAAGGAGAGACAACAGCGATAGCACAATGAAAAAAAAACATAGCTTGGTGGAAAATGGGCATCTTGGTGACGCTTTCTCCTGTTTGTTTTCTTCTTCTGGCAGCTACTGCCACTTGACGCCATGCTACCTACATGCATACAGCAGGAGACGCTTTGCTGGCCCATCCCAGTAAGTAAAAGCACATGTGTGAGCTCTTCAATCCCTGCAGCCCCTGTTCATCAACCAGCTAGCTAGCGACCTAGCTAGTTGTGCTTGGTTCGCAGCTCAAAAAAAGGGGGGTCCCGTTCCAGTCCCTCAAAACCTGTCATCACTCAATGCCATGCCATGTCATGCTCGTGGGTATCATCCCTTTTTTTTTCTTCTGCTTCTCTCTCGAATGCACGTCACTTTTTCCTTGCTTTTGCTTTGGTACTCTGCCCTCAGCTCAATGTTGTCTGCCAACAGCTTCTCCGTCACTCATGCTTCTGTTCACTGTTCTTCGCTTCCTCGGATCGAGCTCTTCGAGCTCCTTCATGTGACGACATTTTGCGTCCCTTTTTGCAGCTGGCGGGCAGTTCAGACTGCTGGGTTGGAACGGACTATTACTCCGTAAAACATTGTTGTCGATTGTCTTGATCTTCTTGTCGTTTTGTTTGATCCAGCTATTCAACAGAAATTCTCTTTGCGCGCATTGATTCCATCAGTGTCCGTTCATTTCGCTACAGCAGCACTCAACACCTGTGTGCGGAAGAATGCGCCCTTCGTCTTCTCAATGACCTGTTGGTAAACACTTTGTGGGGGGTGGTTCATGACTACTGTTCCAGCCTGGTAATCGATTTTAGCGTCAACTTTTGTGTCGCGGATGAGGTTAACAATCCATTTCTCGCCTTCACTGGGGGAAAGTCCAAGACGGGTAGAGAGGTCCCTGGGCCACGGGAGTCAGTATTTGAGTTGGTGCAAAGACGTGGTCACTCACTGGATATCGATTCTCTGGTGGATCTTGCAATAGCTTTCCGAGATGAGATGTCGGGCACTCTCCATGAAAGCATCTGTTGAGCTCCCCAAGAAGAAATCTCCTCTCAAGATTGCCTCAGCTTCCGACAACTTTTTCTGTGCACCTTCGAAATCGAAGTCGACATATAGGGCCTTGACAAATTCCGTCACGGGGTCCTGATATTCGTAGACTTCCTGCTTAACCACTCTGACAAGATCCTTCAGTTGTTTCTGGTAGTTGTGAGAGTTGTTCATGCGGGCGCGGTTGGTGATGACTGCTGCTGTGAGGTAACGCAGGATCCAGGGACAAACAGTTTGGATAGAAGAGATGTATGGTGGGGAGAAGAACATTTCGGTCAACTTTTCGCGGGCGGGTTCGTAGTTGAAGAAGGGGAAAAGAGCATAGTGCACAAGGGCTTCACGAGCGGTAAGTTGTGCGCGGGGGCTGTTGAACAGACGTGTCTCAATGTGTTCCTTGACCTTTTCCACTTCTTCAAGGGCGTTTTCCCATTCTTCTCCCAGAATTTCACAGACCAGCTTGCCCCACGTGGCCTTGACCACTTTTTCATTGTCGGTGGAGAGGACACGGAAGCGGTAGAGCAAGTCAGCGGCTTCCGGGTAAAGACCGCACTGGTAACGGAATCTGCCAAAATCATAGAGGTTGTCTACCATCTGCTGCGTAACTCCGTGTTGCTCTTCAAGAAATTTCAGGTTGGCGACTTTGTCACTTCGGAGTTGAGATGTAACTGACTCGTCGTTCAGCAAATTGGTCAGGTGCGCAGATTCCTCCTGGTACTTTGCCAGTTGATTCAACACTTCCTCTCTTTTCTTCGCGTAGTCTGCAGGAGTCGCGTCTGTCTTGTGAATTTCCTTGTAGAGATTGCCGACGTAGTCGATCATGTTCGTGTCACTGAGGAGGTTGAATATGGCCTGTTTGAGGTCATCGTAACGCTCTTGTGAGATATCTTCTGACCCCAGCTTGTGTTCAAGTAAGGGAAAGATGAGATGTCGGTCCATGTGCTGAATGAGTTTCGCCAAAAAGGCATATTCGCCGGTTGGGTCCTCGAGGTGCGCCATCGTGAATCTGGGTCGCGGTTCGTACCCTATGTAAAGGGCGTCGTTGAATTCTACCACAATTTCCAAATTCTCGGGCGTTAGGAGGTCTGTTGAAGGCGGAGGAGAAGGAGGCGGAGTCGGCGGGAGTGAGATGCAGAAGATATATCCAGGTATATCTTGATTGTCTTCGTGCTCAGGATGGCCCTTTGGGAGATTGTGGACCTGTGAGAACATTTTGAATATTGGTGGTGCGCCTGTGAAATTGAATCGAGCGGCGTCACGCTAATCCAAAAGGCGTTAGCTTTAAATGGGGAAAGAAAAAGCGGCGTCAATGCCAAGACAGTTCAACATTAGTCTTGGCGTTGACAGCCTTGCACCTCACATGTGCATCACGTCCAATGTCCTCGCCTCAATAATTTGCTTCCAAGGTGCACAGCGCTTCCCAATTGTTTGCGCTATCGGACATGACGATGAAGCCCCCTTCAACTCTACTTCTACGGGCCATGCTCCATCCACAAAAGCCTCTGTGTCAGGTCAGGTGGAAGTCAGAATGGATGCCCAGGGAGAAGTACGCAAAAATCACCACTCTGGACAAGCTACATCGAAGACAAAAAGCAGCCATCCGGAAAGAAAGTATGTCATTGCAGCAGGAGAGTCGTCTTGAAACTTTCCCTGTCTGAACACTCACTAACATAATTCGCAACCAACAGGACAGGACAGCGAAAATCGAGCTGCCAAAATGTATCCAACCCCAACTTCTTCAGCGACTCACTCGCAGTTACAACAACCACAGCAGCAGGAACAGGAGCAACGGCAAATGCCTCCCCAACATCCGTATTCCCTCAAGAGTCAAATCCAGAACCATAATCTAACACCCACCCTCTCCCCACTTCCGTACCTAGTCGTGCGCACCCCATCCAAAAACCTCCCAATCTACCAAACCTCCAAATCTGGCGGCTCCAAACACATCACCACGATCCGCAAAATCAAGGGCGATTTACAGGGGCTAGCAAACGCTGTGCGCACCGCTTTGGGGTTGGAAGAATACATCACCGACGTGCGGGGACGGAAGAAGCCCAACGTTGTGATCAACTGGACGACGAGGCATGTGGTTGTGAGGGGTTGGAGAGGTCCAGAGATCAAGCGGTGGGCAGAAGCAAATGGGTTTTGAAACAAGCCATGGGTGAAGAGCACAAAATGGCCACGGTGACAAGTGTCCGGGGCCATATGGCCATGCGAGCACCATACGATGTCTCATGTTCCGGAACGCGACGGCGGCGACGATGGTGCAAGGGGGGAACAACCAACTGGCCTCGCCGAGCCTCTGCACCTGACACCGCATCCCATGGCCCTGGGAGTTCAAATATGGCGCAATGAGCTCTATCAGGCACTGATGGGACAACAGCAAGCAATCGCAAGAACCAAAAGTCTATTTTGCGATCTACTCTACATTGACGGGGGATGCATGAAAGGGAACCCTGATCTTGAGAGATATCAAGTTCCCGAAGAGTGAAGCAGAAAATTGCTGGCATGTATTTATGCGTGTATCACTAACAAAATCAATTGTTTCATGCTTGGTGGTTTAGATTTCCTTCTCGCCAGTGTCACAAACGTATACAGCTCAACCCAGGCGCGGTACGAGATTATAGAAGTAGCAGCCTAAAAGGCAATGCCTTTTTTCCTTTGCCTTGCTCTAAGCTCAAGTCAAACAGCTTCTTTAATAGAATCAAGTTGAAGACTAAGTACACATATTTTGTGCCGTTCCATCTCTTTTTGGAGAGGAGTAGGCATCTCTTCAGTACCCAACCATTGTAACTATCATTTGGAGGTACAAAAAGGCCCTCAAGTCGAGCCCAAAGGAAGTTCGCGTCATAGCACATCTTGTTCTTGTCCTCCAAATCTTATTTGCACATGCTCAATGAATGCAATAGGGTATGCTCAAAATCCCGGACATCGGCCCAATGGCGCGCATGCCATCCAATGCTCATTGCGCTAATCCTCTAAACCAGCATAAACACAAAGTTGTCGCAGAATGCCGGGATCAATATCTTTCTGTATCATTGCTCCCAGCAAGGACTCTTTGCTCGGCATAATGCCCAACGGTACGATTGTAGAGCCGCTTTCGTCAGTTCTTCGAGCTTTTTGCACCAGAGTCTTCAATACGGCGATAGCACGATTTGCGATTGCCCCATAGCCATTGGCGTCGGGTTCAAAGGCGTTATTTCGGCTATTTGGTGGTGGGTGTCTGGGAGCGGTCTGAGTCGACCGGTCCGCACTCAGTAAACCAACCAACCGTAGAAGATTGCCTGCAAAACCATCGTCTGACTCTAGCCATGAGCGCGCCAATGGATGATCTGAGCCCGGAGCAAGACCCGCCAAGATCTCTGCAGCTAACATTCCCTGCAGGAGGAAAGGTTTCCGTGCTTCGATGAGTGTCCTAGTATGGCTTGAGTTTGCTGGTATTGAAGAAATAGCGAGTCCAAATGCCCTCGTCAATAGCTCGTACGGAGGGCTCGAGTGCGCATCGGTAGCGAAGATGGCCTTGTAGTATGTCCGATTCGGTTCGTCTCGCGCCAGAAGCTTGGCGAGGCTATCGACAGCGGAAGGCATATATTTGTGTAGAGCGGGCGTGTATGGGACGAAAGAGACCTTGGTAGCAGAGCTTGAGGTAGGTGGTGGGGTGGGTGCGAACGCAAGAAGGAAATGCAGGACACAAAGGGCTTCTTCCTTCCCAGGAAGCTGAAGCAAGGTCGACAAGTTACTAAAGTAGATGACCGCGTCTTTCATGAAATCCAGAGTGTTTCTGTTGTGTCGCAGGAACATTTCCGTGGTGCCAAGATATCGAATCACTGTGCTCAGTAACTTGACAACCTCAGGTTGACCCAGTGGGAGGAAGTTGGCTTCGTAGAAGGAAAAATTGCGTAACAGGGTGGTGATACAAATCAGGCGATCCGCGGCTCTTTCAAGATCATAGGCGACCGTTCCAAACTCGGGGGCATCCTGCAAAGACTCGTTCTCGATGCGACAGGCCCGGACGAGATCTTCGTATGAGGTGAGGAACATTTCGTCCGAGACTTCGGTGGCGTGTTCGCTGAGGAAAGCGACCTGGTCCTGAGCACAGTCCAGTAGGGTGTCAACAAGATCATCGCATTCGCTCAATGCCAGTGGCAACGCAGATTCCATTGAAAGGGTAACAAGCGTGTCCAGTGCTACCCGGGTTTCTGCGTGCATTCCTGACTTGATAGCCATCGTCAAAGCATGGATGTCAATTACACCCAACTCTCGGATAGAGGGCACAAAGGGTTTGGATTCCGCAATATGTTGGCCGATGATGAACATTTCTTCCACGTTGACTGGCCCATGGAATCTGCTGGGAGGGAGAACATCAGGCTTGAAAGGATCTTCAATCGGCTTTGATAAAGGCTTGCTCGTGTCCGGTTCGGGTTCTGGGATCTTTCCCCCACTCGTCTGAGGTCGCTTCTGGGGCGTTTGACCCTGTACCTGGCTCTGGATTGCAGCAATCTGTTGAGGATCGAACTGTCGTGATGCGCTCGATCGGTGTTGAACAGCCGAAGTAAGATCTTGTGGCGCTTGAGCGTGTGGAGGTTGCATAAATCCATTTGCGGTAGGGTGCTGCGGCGGTTGGGCGACTGGTGTGTTGGCAGACGCACTTCTCTGGTGGGTAGGGTCTTGAGGTTGATCGCGCGGAGGTGACATTTGAGTTGGGGGTTGTATCGCCGCTTGGGCTGCCATCTTTTGCTTCTGCTGCGACAGCTGCCATGCAGCTTCATACGGGGCTAGATTGTTCATCCAGTACGCCTGGAGCTCTTGAGCTGCTTGCATCTGTTGTGGCGGGGGAAAGCCAAACTGGTGCGCAACCGCAGCCCACTGGTTTAGTTTCGAAATCCTTTGTGAGCCTCCGTTTTTCACCACAGCTGCGTATAGCCGCAACAAGGGCAGTTGCCGACCGCATATCACCGGATTCAGATCAACCTGGCGGTTACGTGCGGCCATGAATTGTTGCAGACCCCTTATGAAATCTTCGGGATTGTTTGGCCTGGCAGGGTGAAATGCCGCTGACGCTCCTTGCGGTAACTGTGGGTTGGTACCCGGTTGGTTAGGATTGGCTGGCGTACCGTTCATGCCACGGCCTTGAGCTTGTACTTGGGCCTGCATTTGACGCGCTTGGGCCTGGAGATGCATTTGATAGTTTCTCTGAGCTGCAGCCATAGTTGGGTGTTGCGCCGCAATGTTCATTTGGGGGTTCATCCCGACCGGTGGCATCCCGTTGTTCATATTCTGACCGAACTGAGGTTGACTGAACCCTGGCGCAAAAACGCCATTTGGCATGAAGTTTTGAGGATTGTCATGGGGCGTGCCAACGCGACTCGCATGGTCTGAAGGAGCGGGAGAAGCGTGAGGAGGACCATGTTGAGGAGAAAACGGACTGGGAGACGTCGTCGCGACGCGTTGATTGCCCTGGGTTGAGGCGAAATGGCTCAGCTGTTGTATGGTAGGAGATGGAGAGGCATTAGATGCAGCTTGGAGATGCCCAAACGGTGTGGGAGCATTTGAAATGGCCGGTACACCGTTGGCTTGAGGATTGAACCCGGTAAAGGGGACTTGTCCTGGAGTCTGTGATCGCGAACCAGGCAAGCCGCCAGGCGCCTGGCGCGGTGAGGTGACCAAGCTATCTTCTCTTGCTCTTTTGGAAGGTATCACCGGGTTCGTCTGGTAGATGGGGTTGTGAAAGGCGGGTGAGGTGGTTCGGGCGGCGCCATTGAGGAATGCGGGATTCTGAAATTGGGCGGGATTTATCGTCTGAGGAGGTTGCAGGAAAGACATGCCAGCATCCATTGGGCCTCCAAAGCCAACATGATTGTTTGGATTCGAGGAGGTGTCGGTCAGCCAAGGGTTCATGGCTCGAATGAGGTTCGGTCATCCATTGGCTATAGCAACGAGAGTCATCAGCCTTGGTCCAACAGTGCGCGCAGCCATCGTGCAGGTGGACACATCCGATTCAGAATCAATGTCGCTCATCAGGGCCCGATATCTCGTGATGGGCAGGGTGGGCGATGGTTGCGCGTTGACGCAAGAACATGGATGGTGTCGATGGGGGCAGGAGAGGTGAATGAGACGCGTCACAGGGGGATGCGAAGGTCAATATCGGGTCGTCATGGGTAAAGTGATACGAGCCAAGTGAAGGGGCAACAAGCAAGCTTAGAAGACATCGGATAGGGCTACTTACCTGACTGGCAATGTTTGAGCGGAATCGTCACAGGCGTAAAGGTATGCGAACCGATCGGAAAGTCGAGATTGGGACGATTTTCCTGAGGGCTGGAGGACGGCCGAAAAGGGTTTAGCCCCGGCGGCGTGTGACAACTGAGAAACTGGGAACTGCTGAGAGAAGAAGGTTAGCCACGCTTTGGAGGGCAGGCCAGAGTGACTGGCAATGAGGATCATGGAGAGGGTCCCACTCAGGTCTATTGGGCCGTGCGACACGATCTCAGGTGCATGTTTGATGGAAGGTAACAGGCGCTAGTGATGGATCTGTGGGCGGATGGCTTTGGGGAAAGGGAAGGAAGGCGAGAGGATGGATGATGTGGTGGGCGAGCCATGTGCTGGTGTTCAATTCCGGCTGCTGCGAACCGGCCGGCAGAGGGAAGAACAAGACAAGCCCACTATGTTTTTTGCGAAGTGCAAGGGGGAATCGGCAGAGGGGCAGGCAAAAAAGGTTTCATGGGGCATCATAAGAAAAGGGACGAGAGGCTTACCGTGTGGATGTGATTAGATGGATGGGTAGCGATTTGGATTTCCTTTCCCAAGGGTTGATGATACGTGGTGGTTTCGTACACTGCAGGGAACAGAAAAGAGAACAATCACCACGAGACAAGGCGGGGTGGGAGACGATCCGCCAAAGGGATGACAAGCGATGGCCAGAGAGACTGAGCTGACAACTGGGTTGAAAGGGAATGGTAATTGATGAAACACAAAACACCAAATGCCTGGAACCGGGGGATAAACTGGTCAACAGGACAGGCACCGTAAAGGTTGGAATCGGGGGCAGGTCGAAAAAAAATGGGAGCCTAAAGAAAGCGCTTGGGAAGGGGGACAGGACACAACCCAGAATGGCGAGAGGCAGACCAGAGGCAACTTAGAGGCGACAAAGTGACAAGAGTTGACAAGAGCACCAGCTGGAGAGAGCTGAGACTTTGGCGCAGGCAGGGAGCGTGGTGGGCAAAAAGTGGGCAGTCCGGTGCCACTCGGCTTTTCTTGGGGCAACGCGCAAAGGCCGGGCGAGGGGGCCTGGCCGCTAACTGGCCATCCGTGAATCCTCATTGGCCTTGGGGTGAATGCAGGGTTTTCCGGTGTGCGAAAAGAATAGCAACCAGCCATCCCAGTTTTTGCTCCTCTCTTGCCCGCTTCTGTCACGCTGCGCTCGCTCACTGTGCCCCCATTTGCCGACGACTGCAGAAACTTGGGAATTCAGATGCCGCCCTATTGTCGTTTCAAGAAGGATACTCTGCGGGTGAGTTTTGGGTGTCCCTTGAAGACATCAGTCTGACCATCGCAGGGTGTCTTTTTTCTCCCACAACTCATCTCTCCCCCCTGGGTGTTGCGGACTTGGACAAAACACGGGTTTTCGAAATGCAGCAGAAACCAAATTGGGGCCGCACCAAGCTCGTTTTCGGCTTAGGCCATGCTCCAAGTGCCTTGGTGTGCGATCACGAACCTAATCATCCCCCATCACGCTGAGCAAAGACGGCTCCGCTTCCCATGACAGCCACATTTGGAGCGACGAAGTGCCATGTGCTCTCCCACTGGGATGTGTATGTATGTCTCTCTGTGTTCACAAGTGTGTACTCAGTAAGCACATACAAAGCGTTTCATAAAAGCTTTGTGTGTAGGGGGATTGACAAGAGAAAATGGCGGTGACAAACAAGAGGCCGGATATCGAACTCGAGTCGGCGGTCAGTCATTTATATGCCCTTTTCCCGTCAACAAGGTCATTCTTAAGCAGAAAACGCTCTTCAGACTGTGCTGGCTGGAGGATGTCTAGGCTGTTCTTGTCATCCCGTGTGATGATAGATCAAAGCGGAGAGAGCGTAGAGCCCATCTGGAGGGTTGTAGAGAAAATGTCGTCGTGGACATGGTCCAGTAGAACAACGAAAGGGGGGCATCTTCAGGGTCAGATTTGGGAGAAGAGGAAATCTGGTTATGGGAAGAGAAGAAGAAAAGAAAAATATCGAACAGGTAGCAGAATTCCACGGCTTACATAGTCGGATAGTGCCTCATTTCTGCTCAACCAGCTCAACCAGCTCATTGCTCATGCGCAAGCGGCCAGATATCGTCTGATTGGCAGATCCGCAAGTCTAGGTTCCTCGTTGCGGACAGGCTGAGTCCTTGTCGACACAAACCTTCGAATCGTGTCACACGCCAAACACTGTCTCAAGCGAACCTGGCGGGTTCTTTCATATTGCCAGAACCAATGCAATCCAGCTCACTCACCCCGGTCCTGGATAGTTAGGCACATATCGTGCATGGTGCTGCGTGGCCCTCTATCTATTAGCTGCACGGGTCGCTCCTCCTTTCGGCTATGGACCGATGTGCTGCCAAAACTCTCAGCACCGCATGATACACTGTTGTCGGAGTGCTACCAGGCCCAACGCATCGCGGAAATGGCTTCCAATTTCTCAAAAGTGTGGCATAATTCGAGTCCTCCAGACTCCTCGAATACTCTTGTCTAATTCAACCATGGAGATCCCTGGTCGGCGTGTCCCAAGGGCGCAGGGGAGCCGGGGGGGAAAGGAATTAGATCAACGGCGCGGGATCTTCCTTTTCGCAGCTATCCCTAAACCGACCGATCCAAAAAGCCGGGTCCGCATGCTTCCAGACAGAAACTGGCACCATCAAGTCACTTTACCAAGCTCTTTTCCATCCAGAGATAGTCAATTTCACCAGCATGTTGGACATGCAGATAGCAAAGGCTTATGCCCTCTAATTGTAGGGAGGGTTTGCCGAGTTCAGGCAAGAGGAAAGGAAGGCTGTCACCACTGTTGAGCCGTAAAGGGGCCGACAAAACTGGTAGACAATTGCCAGCGTGCCTACCATAGCTAGGCAGCCCGAAGGCTTACAGGATTACCGGTCCATCAGATAAGAGGACCTGCTGAGAGGCCAGCTGGTCGAAAAGTGCGGCTTGTGCAATGCTGCGTGGTCATTCGAGACGTCAAAGACCGAGGGCGGGCGAATCTGGCGACGGATATTCAGATTATCCGATCCTGAATGCATCCTAGTCCAATATAGGACTAGTTCAATATCTCAAGCGGCGCGTCCCTGTGGCCGCCTTCAAGTTAGAACTTCAACTTGGGGTTCGTTCTACCAAGCCTGCGACCAACCCTCCTATCTTCCATTTGCTTTGGATTCTTCGTCGAGACTCTCGTAGTTCTCAAGTGACTTCAGCTATTCCCTCTACCTCCGTCTAAATAGGCTCCTCGACCTAGGAATCACCATGGGCGACGTCCTTGTTGACAATCCCGCAAACACTGTGCCGCCTCACAAGAAACCACCCATTTCAGATTCCATCCCGGATATCGATTCTTTGGAAGGAGCTGGTACAGATGGGGGTGACGAATACTCCACATTGAAGAGGTTGCAAAGACATTTAGAGTAGGGATTCAGGCACTTGTCCGTGGTTACGCCACAGCTGACTATCCCAGATACATCAAGCTACAGGAAGAATATATCAAGGATGAACAGAGGTAGGCTAAATATCGTTGACAGGCCGATGCGCTTGCTAACTTTCTTCATAGATCGCTAAAGCGCGAGCTGGTACGAGCGCAAGAGGAGATCAAGCGTATACAGAGCGTCCCCCTAGTCATTGGCCAGTTCATGGAAGCTATCGATCAGAAGTAGGAGTGTATCTCTTTCACGCATGTTCGGCCCGCTAATAGAATATAGCACCGGAATTGTCCAATCTTCTACCGGCTCCAACTATGTCGTCCGCATCCTTTCGACCCTCGACCGCGAAAAGCTTAAGCCGTCCTCCTCCGTCGCCCTCCACCGTCATTCCAATTCTCTTGTTGACATCCTACCTCCGGAAGCCGATTCTTCGATTGCGATGCTTGGAGCTGACGAGAAACCTGATGTGACGTATGCGGATGTGGGTGGTCTCGATATGCAAAAGCAGGAAATCCGCGAAGCAGTGGAACTACCACTGACACACTTTGATCTCTACAAACAAATTGGCATTGACCCGCCACGAGGAGTGCTGCTCTACGGCCCTCCGGGGACTGGGAAGACTATGTTGGTCAAGGCTGTTGCCAACAGCACGACTGCCAGCTTCATTCGGGTTGTCGGCTCCGAATTCGTTCAGAAATACCTGGGTGAAGGGCCTCGCATGGTTCGAGATGTCTTCCGGATGGCGCGAGAGAATTCACCTGCTATCATTTTCATTGACGAGATCGATGCCATTGCTACCAAGCGTTTTGACGCCCAGACGGGAGCGGATCGAGAGGTTCAGCGCATTCTTCTGGAACTCCTCAATCAGATGGACGGCTTCGACCAGACAAGCAATGTCAAGGTCATCATGGCTACAAATCGAGCCGACACCCTAGACCCTGCCTTACTCCGACCAGGTCGTTTAGATCGGAAAATCGAGTTTCCATCCCTGCGAGATCGCCGAGAACGGCGGTTGATATTCAGTACAATTGCCAGCAAGATGTCATTGTCACCAGAGGTTGACCTGGATTCGTTAATTGTCAGGAACGATCCGCTGTCAGGAGCCATTATTGCGGCGATTATGCAAGAAGCCGGATTGAGGGCAGTTCGCAAGAATCGGTACAACATCATCCAAGCTGATTTGGAGGACGCATATTCTAGCCAGGTCAAGGGAGCACAGGAGGCAGACAAGTTTGATTTCTACAGATAAAATGGGACACATTGGGTCAGGGCGGTCATGTACTTTGGGCTTGGGACAACTCGATCCGGGACAAGGCTGGAGTGCATTGCATTGGTGTGTCTCGGTTCGACAAGCGCAAGCTAGATATCGCGGCATAAATTACATGCTCCAACAAAAGGGATCTATCCTAATAGGATCGTTGCTTAGCTCGAGCGACCCACGGTGATTGCGAACAGTCTATTACTAATACTCGGTACAAGTCCATGTGCATGCCCTGCAAGTACATTTTGTACATGTTTTCTTGTGAGAATATGTAACAACGCACGTGATATAATGCCGTTCAACGGCATTATATCACGTGATGAGTGAGGTTCTCTTGTACTACAGCGAAGTATCGCGTCTACCTACTGTCCAAGTACAAGTACTCGTAATACCTGATCGTAGGGAGAATATCAACACCACTCCTTGCTGTTGGAGTTGGATTCTTTATGCTGGTTCAGGGGTACAGACCAGTTGTCGAGGTGTTAGGAAGTAACATCCGGGAGAGGTGAATACAGAGAACCTTGGAAAAGCGGTATATCCTCGCTACTATGCAATTTAATCCCCTCCAAGCAGAAGATCCATGCAAATGGGGGAGCGTGGCGTGCTTGCAGATGCACTTCGATGCACCAAAACACGCTTTATGGTGGTGGTAAGGAAGAATATTGACAAGGGTGGCGTGGTGGGGTGGAATGAGTCCATACCCAACATAGACTAACCCAATGTACGTGCTGGGGCAATTTTCATCGACGATTGCGTCAGGATTGCGAGTCAAAAAGAAAAAGTGAACCGACACCCACAAGTCGCCAAGTAACAGGACAACCACAATAGGCTGGGGGTGGTCCTCGAAGTGGTCCTCCCCTGCCCCCCATTATTGTCTATTCTTTGCCTTTCCAACTATGAGTTATTCTCACCACCCCCGAGAGCCTAATGACCCAGAGAATCCTTCTTACAGGGGGTAATTTGGGGGGGAATGTACTCGTAGACGGTTTTGTCCCAGTCGGTGAACTCCCTCTGAAAGCTTCTTCTTTACCGTCTGTTCTTCTACTTGTAGGTACTCGGTACAAAGTCAACTTGGCCTCTAGTGTCTACATCTGCGTGCTGAGGTCATTGACATCTCTTTTTCACCCTCTTTCCAAACTTTCCCATCATCCTCTCCGATTCTCCTCTCTTGTGTTCCAGTTTGAGCCTCTTGAAACAAAAACCCACCACCCAAACTCGGTTATCAATCAAAAAGCGTCACAACAATACTTTTCGATACTTTTTCTCGGGGCCATTGTAACCTCCCTAGGGCTCCCTGTATTCGCTCGATTTGTCGATCACGGGACTTTGATCCTCTTGTGTTGGGTCTTTTATCGGTTGTATCACCAAGGCCGCAACAACACGTCATCACTCTCCTCTCCTCCTCTTCCTCTTCTGAAACCCGCCTTCGACCCCCGATTCTGGCTGCGCCCTCGATCGCCCCTTCGTGTCGCCAATCTCACAAACCAAAATCGTCTGATATCCCAGATTTCGACTGGGTGTCAATCCGTGGAGAAGGGACTCGCTTGTAAAAGAAGGCATTGGGAGGTGTATGACTCGTCCCGTAAGTCGATGGGTGACAATTTCCCAGTCTTTGTGCAGGTCCGGAGGCAATTCCCGCCCGGCTGCGATCGAGTACTGGGGACTGGGCGGGTCGATATGAGTGGCGAGCAAAAGCGAAGCTCTGAATTCTGATGGGCTCCCTGGCTGGCGATCGCCATCCACTGCCGACTTCCCTGCTGACACGTCTCTGATTCGCAGGCTCCCTGGTTAAACCCACCCTTACGCAGGCCGCTCGGACAAAGCCAACCCTGCTCCCTCAGGCTCGCCCCCCCAAGCCTGCACTCCCTCGTCTGCCCTACCTCTAAAATATATGAGGCGCCAACGCCTTCCCAGCTCTATCGACGTCACTTCTGCAACGGCTGACGTTGTTTCCTCATCTACGTATTGCTTCATCCCATCCCGACAATATGGCGAGTGCCGCAGTCGCAACTCAACCGTCACAACAACACCTTGGGGCTGGCCCAACTTCTCGTACGTCGTCGCCTATGGACAATAAGAAAGCCACAGCGAAACAAGAAGGTTAGTCCATCTCGCCGCCCCCTATTTGTAAAAATTTCTTTCATCCTCGCCCGCCCACACCCTCATCGCCGCGACATGATCATCATCAACCGCATGATGACGATTGTTTCATGCATCAATACAGCGCCGCCAGCCGCATTCTAGGGATTAATGCTGACCACTGTGACGCATGAATAGCATCCAAGGCATCCCCGTCGCAGGCTAAATCCTCGCTTCCAGGTACGCGTCGGCACGCGCCCATTGATTTGCGAAAAAAATGTCAAGGAAAAAGAAAAAACCCATTGCTAATGCGCCAATGTAGAACCACAATCCACCTCGCTGGCCGAAGAACAAAAGCCCGTCGTTCAAGCATCAGAACCCCTTGCGCCGCCGCCGCGACCCGCGCCCACCACTCAAGCAGAGACGCCCGACTACTTCTCGGCCCTTCACAACAACGGGAGCAGCATCGTTCAAGAATTCAATCCTTTCGAACAATCATTTGGAGCACCCTCGACAGAGACGCCCGGCAAGAATCTGCTGCCTCCAGTCGCGGCCCTCACCTCTCCTGCCATCCCTGGCACCAGTTCAACCGGAGGATACAACTGGCAAAGCTCTCTTCGGTCGGGGCCGCTGAGCCCTGCAATGTTGGCTGGACCACAGCAAGGTGACTACTTTGACAGTATCGGTCGTGGCTTCCCAACGCCAAACGAGTCATCCCTTCGGACTGGCCTGACTCCGGGCGGTGGCGGGTCTATGTTCCCGGTCCCCAGCCCAAACTCACAAGCGCTCTTTAACTCTTTGCAAAGTGGCGGGGCCACTCCTGGTACCCTTGACTTTCATCGCACAGCCATCAACGCTGCTGCACGGAACAAGAACAACCAGTTTGCCAACACTTCCAACCCACAAGATACAGCCACCAGCACTATGGACTCTGTGCACGACGCCACCGATGCTGCCAATGGCCTGTTTATGCTCGCGAAAGGAGGCCAAGCTAATAATCAATTCGCGGTACCAAACCCGACATCCGTTCCAACTGCCCCAGACCAGAAACGGAACAGCAGTGACACGGGTGAGAGCGTTGAGAGCCCCCAGGAATCTAAGCCTACCACCCGTGGTGGCCGCGGTAAGAAGGCCGTGAAAGCAGAAGCGGCCGGCAATCGAAGGAAATCTGAAGCAAGTGCTAAGGGAAGCAATAAACGTGCCAAGGGCAATTCTGGGGCCGCCAACGTCGATCCTGCCCTTGACCCTCACGAGGAGGAAGACGACGAAGATGATGACAACAGTGATGATGGTGAAGAACACGGCAAAGCCACGACAACGACCAGTAACGGTAGCAGCAAAAAGATGACCGATGAAGAGAAGCGGAGGAATTTCCTTGAGCGCAATCGGTAAGTTCCATCAAAATCCTCGCTTCTTGTCTCACGCACTAAACCTGTGGTAGTGTTGCTGCCCTCAAATGTCGCCAGAGAAAGAAACAATGGCTGGCTAATCTCCAAGCCAAGGTGGAAATGTACTCTGCCGAAAATGACAGCCTCAACACCCAAGTTGCTCAGCTCCATGACGAAATTCGAAATCTACGTACCCTTCTGATGGGCCATAAAGATTGTCCCGTCGGGCACGCCCAGGGTATTGGGCAATTTTTGAGTGGTATGCAAGACCCTAACGCATTCGGCAACCAACATGTCAACCCCTACGGGATGGGCTTGCCAAATGGCGCACCTCTACAACCTGGCATGCAGCGAACGTGACCCCGGCACACGTAGCAGTGCATTGCCAGGCGCGGAGGAACAAGTTACATTATTTTGCAAGACTAATATTACTCGTCATGAACATTCGACCATATTTATGCTTGCAGGGGCTTAACAGTGTGAGTACAGAGGCGTCGTTCACTTTCTGGGCGTAGGGAAGGTCTGGCCATCATGCAACAGGCTAGGGTTTCGATGATTTTGTCGCATCTTGCTCACGATGCGCTGTTGACTTTTCTTACTTTGTACATAAAATCGCCGGAGAATTGGGGCGGGAAGGGGTTTCTGTACAGCACCAGGCAAAAGAATAGCAACGGCGGTCTGAAAATTCTTGGTGCGGCCCATGGAGAGCAGTTTCTTTTTACCCTTTTGTCTCTTTGCTGATGCGTTATGCGAGAACATACACACACGCGCACATGTGGCTATGTGGGAGGGGGCAGATGGATATGATGAAACTCCATGGCACAACGAAATGGGGAGGGGAAGGGTTCAAGCGTTGTCAAGCGGTTCCTCTGCCGGTGTCCTTTTCTCTCCTACCAGAGAGGGAGGGAGGAACAACACGCGCAAGGGAACAAAGAGCTGACTTACTGGACTACCTGGATTCTGGTGCAGAACGCGTACCTAGATACGGATAACATTGTAGGCTAGTTTGTTGAAAAAGGAAATGCTGAATTGATCAAGCGTCACTTTGATTGTTCATATTTTTTTTATCCCTAGGAGTAAGGAGTTATTGGTCTTGTATTGTGCAAGCCTCTAGGTATGACACCGCCAGAGACTCGAGGCTTGGGCTTGGGTTTACCTCTATCGAACGGAACAGTGTGCCACATGCAACTTTTGCTCGTCTTCTCATCATCTCATAATTTGGGAATGATGAAAAAGTCCGAGTGCGCAATCATACAATTGTCATCCGCAAGCACTGGTTGTGAGGGCGGGTTTCCACGTCATATCCCGGCGGGAGGCTTTGGAACATGGGGGTCGACAAAGGAGAAAGAGGGGAGGACGGAACTACAGTAGTTATACATGTATGGGTCAATCTGCTTGTTGCCACACACAAGGACATGGAACTGTGCACACTGCTGGAGAGACAGCGGCGGGAAAGAGCACGGTGTTGTAGCTAACCAAAACCACCCTGCCATCAATGATCGACTGGCATTCCACTGCCGTGAGAGAAATCAGGGTAGTCTCGAGCGACAAGTTGACGGATCAGATAACAGGGGAAGAAAGGGGAGGAGAAGGAGAAGACCAAGGCTAGACAGCAAGAACCAACCTTGCGCTTGTGGATTCCTCTTGGGTCGCCTTCAACCCTCAGGCTGGCAATCGAATGTGCATCGAATATAAGTTGACCAAACATTGTCACTGACTAGGGTTACGGGAATAATATTCCATTTCATACCTCGCGACTGGCGAGACGAAGCCCCACATATCAAGGCTTTGCTCTGTTCAAGATCATGTTTATACTCGGCGATTCCTACCCTGAGTACCTACGCTATCTAGCCCTGGGAGTTCGAATTAGATTAGTAGTAGGTACAAAGTTATGGGGTCGCTTTCCTGCAGCGTCTTGATCTGGCTGTTCTAGAAGAGAAATAAGCTTATTTTGAAGATTATGCTAATCAGCGCAAATGACTTCAAGTAGGAGTGCCGTTTCCCTGCTCATCACAACTAATTAGTGCCTTAAGCAGGTCCGAAAGATCCGTTCACATGAAACCAATCTTTTCAGTACCAATGGACTTTCTTCATCATAGATTTCTTGTATTTTTGGTGATCTCGCAAAGCCTCGCCACGCCAGCCGTCGCCTCGCAAGGCTTCGTTCGGCGAGGTTGTCAAATACAGTTAGGTTGAAGGATGACTGCTTCTATAGTTGGGCCGTTTTCGACGATCTAATTACCCGACATTTCCTCCCGTCCCGCGAGGGTGACCTCCTCGACCAACCTCTGGGCCGTCTCCCTCGTGGTGGAAATATTCACGACGGCTCGGAAAAACGCACCCTTCTTGACCTCGTGGCCCAACGCCGGCGCGTAGTCGACCATGAAGCCTCTCGAGACCAGAGAGCGAGTGATTCGGCTTGTTACCGCCGAGTTGCGCTTGCCGACATTTTCGGCCTCGTGGCTTTTGCTGCCGTCGACGACCCGGCTGTCGTTGCTCAGGTCGTGGACCATTTTGCCCCCTGGGGCAAAGTAGAAACACACCTGTAGACATGGTGGAGGGTTCGTGCTCACAAGTAGCAGGTCGGGACTCTGGTCCACAAGGTCGGCCAGGTAACAAGCAACCGAATAGGCATCCTCGATCTTGGACGAGTACCCCAGTGTCCCGTAGTATTGCCAGGAGAGGAAGAGCTTCAGACTGTCTCCCCGACGTCCGCACTGGAGGGTGAGGTCGGCGAGGTCGTTGGGCGGGGTCCAATCGTCGTCCAGCGACTGTGTTTGGTCGTGGCCGTTCAGTCCCGACTGCTCCGGCCCGCTGTGGTCCTCGTCGTGGAACAAGTATCCCGCCCGCAGAGTATTCGCCGCATGGGCATTCTTGAGATCTTTGAGCAGGAGAAAGCTGCACGTCACTGGGACGCCTAGCATTTTGTGCGGATTGATGGCGATGCTGTCGGCAAGCTCACATCCCTGTAACCGTGTCTGACGCAGGCGGTCGGAAAAGATAAAGCTTCCACCCCAGGCACCGTCGATGTGCATCCACAGCCCGTGTTTCCTGGCAATCCCCGCGACGTCGCTAAAGGGATCAAATGATCCCAGAACCGTTGTTCCGGCAGTGGCGTTGACGTAGAATGGGGTTTTCCCTTTCCCCTTCTCCCGCACGATCAGGGACTCAAAAGCCGCCGGGTCCATCTCTCCAGACACCGGGTCAACAGGAACAGAGATGACGCTTTCGGAACCAAATCCACATTGTTGGGCTGCCTTTTCAATGCTATAATGCCCGTGCTCAGAGGTGAACATCACCAACTCTCTTCCTCCGGCGTGGTTCCCGAACAGCTTCGTTTCCGGATACAGCGTGTTCCGCGCAATAACGATACTGGTCATGTTGCTCGCGCTTCCGCCCTGAACGTTGATCCCTCCGGCTCTTGGGCCCGTGAAGCCGAACATTGCCGCTAGAGCTTTCGTGGTATAAGTCTCGACGAGGGAAAGGACAGGAGAAACCTGGTACACATGCAAATTTGTGTTGAGGACGCTGAGAATCAATTCTGCCGCTATCCCAGGAGGCAAGGGGGCGGAGTAGAGTTTGTCAAGAAACCCAGGAGCAGAGGTATTGACGCTGTATTTCAATATCGAAGACAGAGAACTAACCAGTCCATGTTGGCCCGTACCCCGAGAAGGCAGGGACAGGGTACCGTCGGAGGTCAAGATGGAGAGCAAATCTGAAGGAGAATGTGACTCAACAAGAGGGGATATAGGTACAGCTCGGTGCAGTTGGTGGGCTTTGCGCTCAGAGTCGGCTTGTCGAACAAAGGGGATGAGCTGGTCCAGGACAGACGCCAGGAGGGTTTGCAACTCATCAGCTCGAGACGCAAAAGAGTCATTGGCGCTGTCATGGTTTATGCCATTGGACTTTTGTGAAATAGGGTCACTGGGCCGTGCATTGTTTGAGGTCAGGCCGTTGACGCTGCTTTTTAACGAATGGTCAGACATGCTCACCAACCTTGTATCAACATAAACGTTCCAGGGGTGAGCTTGGGTGCACAGACAGTCAAAGCCCAAAAAATCATATAGGGGATATGAACAGCCAACGAAGAAAGGAAATCTATGTTGTCTAGTCCCAATAACCGGTTTGCCGAGACGAAGCCTGCAGAAAAAAACTGCAATTGAGCCGCCAGGGGAAAATTCTGCTGAGCCTCGCTTGTGGTGTCTGACGGTGCGGTTTTCCGAATGACGCAATTCTGGTGGAGACGAGGCTGAGGGCCAAGGGATCCTGCAGAAATAGATGCCGGCTTTTCGCGAACGTCGTTGACCTCTGTCCATCTTCTCATCCCCTCTCTATTCCCTCAGGCTCTCAAGGCGTTGGTTCGAACCACGGGGGTAGCGTTCGCGGAGCTCGCAGGAGTACGGCTATTCTTGGCGTTGTGTGACTTCAACTTCTGAGAATGCCGTTCTCGCGCGAGCTCGATCGCCGTTTTCTTCTTCTCTGGCACCGATGCCTCCTTCGACGGCGCAGCCAATGTGCTGTGACTCTGGTGGTGGCCCTTGGCAAGACTGCGCCACTCACCAGGCCGTCGATGGTACAAGTCCATCGCCCAGTTCTTCCAAACGTTTCGGCCAAAGGGTGACTCTCGAAGTTGGGTTTCATTGCTGGAGAGTTCTCCGGCGAGTCGCTCTTTCATGAAATGAAGCCCGTCAGTGGCTGACCAGAGGGTATCAGCCACGTAAGAGCCAACAAGGTTTTGCGCTAGTTCGCCGATGTGTCCGTAGAAACGAGGGACAAATTCTCGTCTAAATTGCATGTTGGATTCTGTCGGAGACAAGGCAGATTGTACAACGCGCGAGGAAGCTGGATCCCGTGACATCGCCATCAGCACTTTGACATCCAGTGCCAGCATGCTGTTCTGCACTAGGGTGCAGGTTTTCGAAGTTTTGAGCATTGTCTGGGCCAAGAGAGAGCCATGGACATCAGTCTTTGTGGTTGACGTCTCTGCGCCTTTCTTCCCGTCGCGGTCTTTGGGGTGTTCTCCAGCCTCGACCGCTTGGAAGCCGAGAAGCATAGGTAGGAATTCGTTTCCGTCAGCGGTGTATTCGGACCTAATCACATCCGATACGTCCTGTAAATCCACACCTCGCAAAGCACATCGTTCAATCAGGACTCTGATTAGGCCGGTCCTCCGCCGCGAAATGAGGATTGGCAGCTCTGCTAAAATCAACTTCTTAGCTTCATCGAGGTCGTCTTTCCCCAGCCGTTCAAGAATCCTCATGGCGACATAACTTGCTGTGTCATTTTTTGAAATGCTGCCCAGACGTGGCTTCAGAACATTCTTGTAAAGCTTTTTGAATGTTTTGCCAGGGAGTTGCTTGACCAGAATCTCGACCAAATGTGAGCCGGTCGGATCATAAATTAGTCCAGATATGAATTTGGCGCTCTCAGACTCCTCCTCTAGCTCTTCGTCTGGCAACAATCTTTGAAAGACCGAGTTCTCCTCTGCTGTCTTGTTCTTGCCGGACGTTGAGAGTTCCACACGTAGGAGCAACTGTAAGACAGGATTGCCAGTCGGGTGTGTAGCTAATGCTCTCAGATAGGTCGTGTCCAACGCTGAAATTGCACTCTTGATTAACTTGTCAAGGGCGTTGCGGAAGCTTTTCGGTACGACCCGTTTGCTCTCAGATGCTCCGGTGTCTTTCTCGGCTGGTGCGTCCAGCTTTTCCTTTTTTTTACTCGCAACCATCGCTTTAAGCGAATCATCCTCTAACGATAGGCCCGAGAGGATGAGGAATAACACTCGGATGGTATGGGAAGCGAACCTGTCAGTGAGTAGAAAACCCATGTTTGGTTCGAGCTCCTCTGCAGCACCGAGAAACAGGCCTTCCATGGACATCAAGCCAGTCTCGTCGGCTTTATCGACCTGAGGCTCCCGTTCCACATGCTTCGCCACCTCCAGAAGAAGTGTCTCACAACAATGACTTCCAAATCGATGACGGACAAGATAGGTCAGGTTTCCAAGAAATTTGCTAAAAAGATGTCGCAACTGTTCAGGAGTTGACAACTTGATGATCTTCTCCAGATACCTTGAACAAGATTGACTAGACGCCACCTTCATTTCTTTGCCTTCAGTCTCTCTGTGCACTGCCTCGAGAAAAGTGGCACGATCTTCTGGGGATTCGAAATCGTTTGCGACGATTTTCGTGTTTACGTTGGCGTAATACTCTTGTTCTTCGGGGGTCAGGAGTCCGTGAAACTCGGTTTCTTCTAGCGGCTCCTGTATTCCTTGCGGCCGCTCGATATTGAAGCCGATGTAGTCATCCCCAGCATCACCCTCCACCACAGCTTCACCTGGGATTTCTTCGTCACGGGTATCTTCGATTTTGAGGCGCTTTGCAGATCTCTTTCCCTCTTTCTCCTGCTGCCACCTTCCCCGCTTTTTGACCTCGCGAGGCATTTTGAAGAGGCCCAACCGGTGTTGAGCAACGCTAGTGCTTGGGAGGGACTATTGGGCAACAAAGGACAGGTATGGAGGTGAAAACGCGAGGACAGGTTGAGAAGTCTGGAAGTACAAGGGAAAAATTAAGCCGCCAAGGCCGCTCCGCAAATCCACCAATCAAACCATATTTGGAGCAATTGCCCGCAGCCTTCAACGGCGCTTCAGCCTTGTCGTTGCGAGGCCAACGAGGCTGTACAAGTTTAAGACTCCTTTCATGGTGCGCAGCTACCGACTTCTGATTCGTCTCACACTGAACAATTTGCATCTTGAGGGTAAAAATGCCTGCTACATTCGTGTCACTGCACATATGCTATCGCCAGTGAGCACCGCAGCCGTGCGGTCTTGTTCCCCGAAACCCCTTTGTCTTTGTGCATCCCACATATCTGTCCGCTTTCGATCTCACCATCCTCAGTAGAGAGCTGAGTTGCCTTGAGATATATTGTTCGGGATGACACGGCGTGAGCGACAACACCGGAAAGTGTGGAGGGAGCTTTGCGTCCTACCAAGCATACACTGAGAACTCCCGGATGGACACATCCCACAGACAGAGTGTGGACGTCTGCTGCAGTCGCAGTCAGTCTTAAATGCAATGTCGACGGTCAATCGTGATTCCGGTAGTGAGTGGGTATTGAGTAGTATGCAGCATGCAAAGATGCTGTTGTTTTGTCAAAAACTGTCTCGGTGGTTCCCCCGTGCACCAAAGAATGTGTTCATTGTTTTCTTCAGCCTGCGCCCTGTTCCTGTGCGACCATTTGTATCTTTTGTTGGAGCTGCATCAGTTCGATCCTCGTCTTCTCGCTTCCCTCCTGCAGCTCCTTGATCCTGGCTTCCCGCCTGGTTATTTCCTTGTTGATGAAGTCGAGCCGACCGTCGACCGCATTTACAGCCTCCGTCTTGTCCTGCTTCAGCAGTACTGGGCCAACCAGCTTGTAGATGCCCGCATCATCGGATAAGGACGTGAACTCTTTCTGGACAGCCTTGTTTTCTTGCTGTTGCGCCTCGAGTTTTTGACGTGCTTCCACTGCGGTTTGTAGATCTATAGCTCAAAAGTTAGAACATCGGAAGAGGCGTGTCTGGGGCATTCTATATCCGACCGTCTTGGAATTTTTGCAGAGCTTCGGACAAAGCCTGCAGCTTGTTTCTGTCTTCTTCCATGGCGTGCCGGTCTCGAAGCGAATCTGATTGCGACGAGAAGATTTGTAACAGATTTGTACGTGCCTGGAATGGGAAACCGTATTAGCGCGCAGGGCGATTCGCGGGGCAAATGCCGGTGCGCCATCTCCATCTCCATTTCCATCCCACCTTCACCTTTGCTGCTTTTGTCACGACTCTACGCCCTTCTTACCCTGGCGTTCAGGCGACTCTGAGACTCGACTCCTAGACCTTGGTATAGCTGTGCAGAACCGGGGCACCGAACCCTCTCATTCGTCTCAATTGCTGCCTGAGGGCCGTCATCAATAAGACCTCGCCGCTTGTTTACCCCGACTGCATCTGCTCGAGATACCTCCATAACCACGCCTATTCGACGTTTTGCTCCTATTTTGTCCCGATATCTAGCTTCAAAGCTTCGCTACCCGGCATGTCTAACACCGACTTTCTCGGCCGCGCAATCGACACGGTTAAAAAAGCCATTGAGCTTGACACCGCCGGTTCCTACGAACAAGCCTACCAACAGTACTATGCCGCCCTCGAACTCTTCATGCTGGCCCTGAAATGGGAAAAGAATCCAAAGTCAAAGGAAATGATCCGTGCAAAGGCGGGCGAATACATGGATCGAGCAGAGAAACTCAAAGCGCACATCCAGACCAACGACTCGTCTAATCGCAAAAAGCCCGCTGCCATGGGAGTAAATGGAAAAGCGGTCAACGGCGCCGGGAAAGGAGAAGCGGGAGACAAGGACGAAGAAGATGCCGACTCAAAGAAACTCCGTGGACAATTAATGGGGGCGATCCTGACAGACAAACCGAATGTCAAATGGGAGGACGTCGCCGGCCTAGAGGGCGCAAAGGAAGCACTGAAGGAGGCTGTCATCCTACCTATCAAATTTCCCCATCTATTCCAGGGCAAACGGCAACCTTGGAAAGGCATATTACTCTACGGGCCTCCCGGTACGGGTAAATCATACCTTGCAAAAGCCGTGGCAACAGAGGCAAATAGCACATTCTTCAGCGTGAGTTCGTCGGATTTGGTGAGTAAATGGATGGGTGAGTCGGAACGGCTGGTCAAGCAACTCTTCAACATGGCAAGAGAAAACAAGCCGGCAATCATCTTTATCGACGAGGTTGATGCCCTGTGTGGACCTCGAGGCGAAGGCGAATCCGAAGCGTCAAGACGTATCAAAACGGAGCTTCTCGTGCAGATGGACGGTGTGGGAAAGGATTCCCGTGGTGTCCTGATTCTCGGCGCTACAAATATCCCCTGGCAGTTAGATGCTGCCATCCGCCGACGTTTCCAACGAAGAGTGCATATATCTTTACCGGACAAACCGGCACGGATGCGGATGTTTGAGCTCGCCGTCGGAGATACGAAATGCGAGATGACACAGGCGGACTACAAGACGTTGGCAGACTTAAGTGAAGGCTATTCAGGGAGTGATATAAGCATTGCAGTGCAAGATGCATTGATGCAGCCCGTGAGGAAGATCCAAACAGCCACACATTACAAAAAGGTAAGTTCGACCACCTTCCCAAGCCCTTGTTCGTTTCTGCACTCCAAGACCAGCTGCTAATCAATGCCGATGGCGGAAACTAGGTCGTGGTTGACGGCGTTGAGAAACTTACGCCGTGTTCCCCTGGCGACCCTGGCGCAATGGAGATGACCTGGGTGGACGTCGAGTCGGAAAAACTCCTCGAACCTCCGTTAACCGTGAAGGATTTCATCCGCGCAATAAAAGCGAGCAGGCCGACTGTATCTGCAGAGGACTTGAAGAGGAACGCCGAATGGACGGCCGAATTTGGAAGCGAGGGCGCATAGCGCGCCATGCGAACGACGGAAGAATGAAGAGATAGAACTTTTGTATGGGAGGGAAGTACGAAGACGACGATTAGCAAATGTCATTTTGGCCGGTTTTGGGGACTTGGGAAAGAAAGGGACGAGCAAAGGGGCGTTTTTTCCAGGTCTTGTTTGCAGGTGAGGGCTGTGCTCCACGTGCTGGCCATGTTCCTCGGAGCGCAAGTGAGCAAGTGAGCGGTACTGAATACAACATGCAACATGAATCGGATGTTATTGGACGATCAATGTCTCGTATAAACAAACCAACTCTGTCTGGACAAATACCATACCCCATGCATGTCTGGCCGTCACAACAACAGCCGTGAAAAAAAGCCTTGGAAAAATGACATGGCGTGGCTTTGCCAGCCTTGCCAGCCTCGAGCAAGCCTTCTTCACCTGTCTGCATTCCGGAGGAGTTGGAAGAGATGGCAGGGGAAAAGAAAGCGAAAAACAGGACCAGAAAAAGAGTCCAAGATCGCGTGATGGCAGAGATATCTGTCGTTGCGGATGGGAGAACATTCGATTCGATGCAGGACCGTTGAATGGTACGGTTTCCTTGTCTGAAGGGTCTTGTTCGTCCTTTGCCTCTGTGTTGGTTGTCTGTATGTGTATCTATCACCGTCGTCCAACCCACGCATAGTCCCTCCTCATACATACCTACATACCTTGGCGCTCTCGCACTCGCACCCGTATATCCTTATATCAAGGACGTTCCAGCACCGATTCCACTCCACTGGCTGGGGACTCATTCCTTCATTCATCTTTGTCAAAGGAGCCCAAGGCAAACAGATAGCTATGGTATGCATATACTTACCAGTCGTGTATTTCTGACGAAAGGGTGAGGCATCATCCTCTATCCATCTATCCATCCATCTATCTATCCATCTATCTATCCATCTATCTATCCATCTCTCCATCCACCCGTCCATCCTAACCACAACAGTCCTCTCCTCACCAAGGCGTTGTATGTATTTTGACAAACAGTGTAAATGTATAAATTCATCTCTTCTCTTCTCTATCTATCTATATCTCTAACGTAACTGGCGGCGAATCATGTACGGATATTGCAGTGGTTGCGGTCAGGAAAAATCGACACTGCACAACTGAACTGAGAGCCCCGGCCGGGTCTTAACAAGTCACAAAGATCAGATGCTGAGTCAATTATCACCAAATTTCCTTTTTCTCTCTCTCTCTAAAAAAAGTGTCCAGCCCAAACCATCTTCCTTCCCTTCGTGCATAACACTCTACCCTAATCATTATATTCCATCTCCCCGCCCATTCTTCGTTGCGAGTCGCGAGCGCGCACAATCAAGTTTCGTGAATCATATCGCCTTTTGGTACGAGATCCCATGCCCTCGTCGGCAGCAGCACCGGCAGACTGCGAGTCCATGTCCGTGGCGATCTCGTTTGCTTTTCGTTTAGCCACCCGAGGCCGCATGACCAGAGACTTAAAAGGGCCAGACCCACTTCCTGATCTCTTCTGGGTCGATACCCTCGTTGAACGCTGCCGTGCGATACTTGATCTGTGAGCTCAGCAGCTTCTCTCTGGCACTGGCACCCTTGTTGCCCAGCTCAGGCATCCTGTCGAGTGCTTCAATGGCGAGACTGAAGCGATCGGTGCGGTTGCGGATGGCGAGCTCGAGAGGAGTGTCAATGTTACCCTTCTCGTTGTAGCCGCGCACGTGGAGGTTGGCTTGGCTGGGTCGCTGGGCCGTCAGACGGTGAATGAGCCAGGGGTATGAGTGGAAGTTGAAGATGACGGGCCTGTTGGGCGTGAAGATGGCCTCAAATTCTCGTTGGGACATGCCATGAGGGTGGTCGTGCTCGGGGATCAGCTTGAACAGATCCACCACATTGACAAAACGAATCTTGAGCTCCGGAATGTACTCTCGGAGCAACGCCGTCGCGGCCAGTGATTCCATGGTCGGGACGTCGCCGCAAGATGCCATGACGACGTCGGGCTCTTGCCCTTGGTCGTTGGAGGCCCAGTCCCAGATGCCGGCACCCTTGGTGCAGTGCTCGATGGCTGCGTCCATGTCGAGATATTGCAAGTGATTCTGCTTGTCGGCAACAATGACGTTGACGTAGTTGCTGCTTCGGAAGCAATGGTCCATCACCGACAGGAGACAGTTTCCATCAGGTGGCAAATAGATGCGGACAACCTCTGGGGACTTGTTGCAGACGACGTCCAGGAATCCGGGATCTTGATGGGTGAAGCCGTTGTGGTCTTGCCGCCAGACGGTGGCCGTCAACAGGATATTGAGAGAGGCAATCTTAGCACGCCATTCGACCTCGAGGCACTTCTCAATCCACTTGCAGTGCTGGTTGACCATCGAGTCGATGATGTGAATGAATGGCTCGTAGCTGTTGAGCAATCCATGGCGCCCAGACAGGAGGTAGCCTTCGAGCCAACCTTCGACGGTATGTTCACTGAGCATCTCCATGACACGACCGTTGAAAGCCAGATTGCCACCATCTTCATCTTCTTCAAAGTATTCGCCCATCCACACTTTCTTACCGGCCTCGTAGACTCCGCCAAGCTTGTTGGACTCGGTTTCATCTGGACCAAAAAGACGGAAGTTGTGTGGGTTCTTTGCAATGATGTCTCGCAGGAAGACGGCCATGTTCGACATGCTGGGTGCTTCGGTTATACCTCCTTTCTCGCAGGCCAGCTTGTACTCACGGAAGTCGGGCATGAGCAGCGGCTTCTTCAAGATACCACCATTGGCGACAGGGTTGGCACTCATCCGCCGGTTACCCTCCGGAACCAGCTTCTTCAGAGTTGGGACCAGTTTTCCTTCCTTACCAAAATACTGCTCGGGGGTGTAGCTCTTCATCCACTGTTCAAGGAGTTTCAGGTGCTCGGAGCTAGACGCGACATCTGGCAGGGGGATTTGATGGGCTCGCCAGAAGCCTTCAAGGTAGTGTCCATCCACGGTTCGTGGGCCAGTCCAGCCTTTCGGGCTTCGAAGGACGATCATGGGCCACAGAGGTCGGAACGCCTTTCCTGATTCGCGTGCCTTCTTCTGGTGGGCTCGAATCTCCACGACACACTTCTCCAAGGTGGCAGCCATGGCCTGGTGCATGCTCAAGGGATCACTGCCTTCGACGAAGTACGGAGTCCAGCCGTAGCCGATGAACAGCGCCTCCAGCTCTCGGTGGCTGATACGGGCGAGCACAGTGGGGTTGTTGATCTTGTAGCCATTGAGATGGAGAACAGGGAGAACAGCACCGTCGGTGATGGGATTGAGGAATTTGGTGCTATGCCAGCTGGTAGCCAACGGACCAGTCTCGGACTCACCATCACCGACCATGGTCAGAGCGATCAGATTCGGGTGGTCGAAAACGGTGCCAAAGGCATGTGAAACACTGTAGCCCAGCTCACCTGGCCAGTATGTCAGCTGCTGCGGGCAATGAGATTGTGGTTTGGGTCAACTCACCTCCTTCGTGCAAACTCCCAGGCGTCTCAGGGGTAGCATGGCTACCGATGCCCCCGGGAAAGGAAAACTGCTTGAAGAATTTCCGCATGCCTTCTTCATCTTCGGATTTATCCGGGTAAACTTCGCTATAGACACCCTCCAGATAGGCCTGAGAGATCACCGCGGGGGCTCCGTGTCCGGGGCCGGAGATGAAGATAACATCGAGATCATACTTTTTGATAAGGCGATTCATGTGGACATAGGTGAAAACTTGACCAGCATCGGACCCCCAGTGCCCGAGGAGCCTGGCTTTCAAGTCTTCGACCTTGAGTGGCTCTTTGAGCAGGGCATTCTTCTTGAGATAAAGCATGCCAAGGCAGAGATAAAGACTGGCTCGCATATAGTCATCATGGAGCTTCAGCTCGTCGCTGCCGAGAGGCTCACCCTTGACGGTCGAGCGGGCTGTGCCAAAGGGCGAGATGCTCTCGACAGAGACATCCGTGGAAGACATGATGGAGGGAGGGGAAGAGACGGAAGAAGACGGTGGCCGATTCTGCGTGGGAAATCTATGAGGAAGGAAACGCAGGTAAAGGAAAGGTGTGCGGGCGGTGACAAGACGAAGATGAGGGTGTGAAGAGAGGAGAGAGAGCTCGAGGTGACGACAGCCGGAAGTGAAGGAAGGTTTATATAGCTGTAGTCAGTGATGATCACATCTTCAGCCTACAGATGCTACGTATCATACAAGAAACCCGGGCGTAACGGACAGCGGCAGGCACCGTGGATTCATCCATTGCTAATCTAAGCGGCGGCGGTCGAGGAGCATTGTGATGGGGATGAGCGACATGTTTTTACCATTCTCGCTTTCTTGTCCTCTCGCCTCCAGTTATGCACCAAGTCGGTTGCATCAGAGTGCATTCAATGCGAGCTGCTCAATCCCTGCACGTGTCCGAACAAGGTTACAAGTGGGTGTGTGGGAAGCGGTATGAGTGATCCGAAGCATATGCTTGGAAGGGGGAGCTGCACCGTGAGCAAAGCTGACTGTTCCTCCTCTTTTCCCATTGCCCAGCTGGATGGATGGATTCAAGGAAAAGGTTCAAGGCGATGGGCGTAGACGCGATCAAAGACTGGCGGAGCTACCTGACATAGCCAATGCAAGGAGGACAAGGATGTCAGGATACGAGAGGACGTTTGAGTGAGGACTGTGGGAGGAGCTTCTGGAGGAGGGAGGGGCAGCTTGGACGAATGACGGTGCCTCAAAGCGGCCCTTTTGCAGTTTTGGAAACAAGGTCACCACAGAAGCTGGCAGGGGAATATGCCGCTGACATGATCTGATCGTAAGGGATTGGCCAAGAAACATAAAGATCGCAACATCAGGAGATGGGATAAACTTCAACTGGCGCAACATGTGAGGATGCTGTTCGATACAGAGGGCTTTCGCGGCCTCAAAATGTTTTTCGGGTGGTGTGAGGCGCAAATACATCACCGCCCGCTTCGGGTATAGCGGTATTTATGGTGCTCCATCCCTGCATACCCAGTCCGCGTGGTGCTCGGCTGTCCGGATTCTCATGCTCGGTAGTCACTCCTACTGCATTTAGTGTCTTGACCACCGATTGACTTTTGGTCAATTCCTGAATTGCCCATGTTCTGGATTCTTGTCCAGATAACGGCGAGATCTACGAGAGGATCAAAGGACAACTAACACACTGGGGAGCTGGCCGACGGATTGCACTTTTGCGCTGCCATGTGCTACACGGGGAAAAAAGACCGACAAGGCTAAAATACCGCAGCTCGAGTAGGGTCGATGCGAGGCGGGGACAACACCTCTGTATCAACTCTCTCGCAGTTCCCAACGTTCCAGTGAGTGAAACAGGACAAGTATACAGTTGCCAAATTAAAGCTCAATCCCACCCTGCTATCTCTTCAACTCTGTCTCCTGACCCCCAGGATCATGCGCAGCGCAGTGGAAGCGAGGTCTGTATCCCGTACTGACAAAACAGTTCTCTTTCCATCCAAGACTCGTTGCTTGAACATGTGGACGTTACCTCGAGGCTTGGATCTTGTTGTTCAGGATCTATCCGCTCCCAAAGTTCAACAAACACTAAACCTCGTTATGCAAGATTGCCGGGACCTGCGTCGATCAGGTCTTTAACGAAAGTATCCGGGTCTGATCCGACACCATCAAGAGGTGCTGTGCATGTGGCGGATACAGCCGTGCGATCACATCTGATCCGTTCCTGTGCCGTACGGGCGATCGAGGCAGGGGTCACTTTACCGAGGGGATTCTGGTGTCTGGAAGAGGGGTTTCCATCTTGAAGTGGAAACGACAAATCGTCGTGCTGTGCTGGCAAGAGCCGATGGAAAATGACTGCTTTTCTATTGGCCGGGTCGAGACGCTGGGTCTCGTGCTTGACGGGTTGACCTTGGCCTATTCCTAAGAGGCGAACATGTGAGCATTTCTCCTTCGGACGTGACCCTGGCCGCTAGCGAGCTTCTTCAGCGTTGGAGGCTTGCAGCTTACCCCTGGTCAAATAGCTGCGGGTGATATAGCTCACCTGTTTGCCACGGTCTGGGCGATTGTGAGGGAGAGGTCCATCTCTAGTAGCTTGTCTCTCCTCCACCTTTGGGAAAAAGAGCATGTCAGTTGTTCGGTGAGTGGTGACAGCGACGAGACGCGGGCAGTGCCATGGATCTTTCAAAGGTTCAGGACCGGTAGGTTTCATTTCTTGTTCTTCTCTTGTTGTTGGCGGTATTGGTAACTTGGGAGATGAGTGCCTTGTCTGGCGCAGGCTGAGTATGAGGATGATTTTGTTCCCACGGCTGCGTCACTTTCTCGAGGTTTGATGACGAGGTCGTCAATGCCTGGTGGCAGCTGTGAACGCCTGTTGTGTACCTACTAGGCACACCTGACAAGTTCAGTTCTGGACCACCCAGTGAACTATCGACCCAGCTTTTGTTTCCGTCTGGCACCTCTTTGGCATTTCTCCTTGGAACCTGCCAGCTCAATGACTTGCAGCCAACACTTACTCAGAGCTGGAGACATAATGGCTCAGCTGCCCTTGACAATATGTATGGACAGCCCTTATCTGATCAAGATGAGTGACGCGCTGGTGAGGTTGAGGTTTCTTCACACTTCACCCTCCACCCTCGACAGACTGCGGTCAATATTGCGTGTCGTTGGCATCTTCATCAAGCGACGAGGCATTCATTGTCCGCATCGTCGTCTCCGAGCCCTCGGAAGGCGACGTTATCCAATATCGAAGCTCAGCATACAAGATAGATAGTGTCTTTTGTTGAGAGAGTCAATGGCACTTGCATATCTCTCTTGCCTGTTCCGGAGATGGTGTTGGGATCTGCGGGGTTGATTTGCTCGGCGGACTTGAGCACCGCTTTGCGCAGTTGCGCAGTTATCAATTGCCAACTCAATTTGGTCCATCCCATCAATCATTTACTGCAATTCAGTCCATGAACCCCTCGACTCCAAGGCTCTCCTCGTGTCCCTCCGGCTCTCTCTTGCCTTTCTCGTCTTATCACAAACACACGCCACGAATGCCTGACAGGCGCCTCGCCGCGTCCACTCCTGTGTCTTACTCATGCTATAGGTATAAAGCCATCCATCTTCACCCTCCCTCACCAAGGTAATCGTTCGTTCTTCATCTCTGTCCTCGTGCTCGTTCTCTCCCCTTGTATCTTCTTGTCTTGTGCGAGTCGATTCTCACTACTTTCACCATGGCTACCACCACAACCACCACCACCACCCTCACCCAAGTTCTCTCCTCCGACCCCCCTGCTTCCGAGCCTCAGTACTATGGAAAGCTGCGTTACATTCCTGAGGGTCAAACCCCCACCCCGTCTCCTCACAACTTCCATCTCCCTGCTATGGCTGAGTTTGGTGACGTCCGACTGCAACCTCTTATCGACATGCGGCCAGTCCCAACCATCGCGGAACTGCCAAAGGCGAAGGAGGGCGCCGCTCAGCTTGATACCCACGGTTTCACTGCCCTACGTCACCCCACAACCATGAATGCGCCCCCTTATAGCCGCGCGAGCTGGAGTGACCCCAAACTCCTCAAGGAACTCTACGTGCCCGAGACGGAGGAGATGGTCAAACAAGTCACCGGCGCAAAGACCGTCATCACTGAAGCTCTTCTATTGCGCAGCGCCATCTGGTCCGAAGCGGACGCTCTCGCTACACATGCAGGCCATGGGGACCAAAAGGAAGAACAGCAGCCGCCAGAGAAGTCGCAGGAGGAGAAGGAACTCGAACTCGGCTTCCCCCAGTTCATTGGTTTCTCCAAGCAACACGGTGGTGCCAGTCCTGCCCCCAAAGTCCATCTGGACTATGCCCCCAATGGTGCGCGGATGCATTTGAGGAAGTATCACCCCACCATGACGGCCACTGCGCAGCCCATCATCGATGCAGAGGAGAAATTGCTGGCACAAGGCAAATCGTTGAGAGAGGAGTACGCCGAATCCGGTCTGGGACCTCGCTGGGCACTGTACTCCATCTGGCGGCCCTTGAAGCGTGTCCGCCGTGATCCCCTCGCCCTGGGCGATGCGCGTACCTTCCTCGAGAGCGACTACGTCCCCGTCATTGTGAAGACACCCAACCTCGGCATCTCCCCAGACTCAAAGGAAACACACGACACAGAATCATACCTTGCCCACTGGTCGTCGGGACAGAAATGGTACTTTATCAGCCAGCAAGAGCCTGAGGAGGTCTTGGTCATTAGCCTTTTCGATAGCAATCGCGACAAGGAGACCGTCGCCGCCGGCGGAACCCTGCATTCCAGCGTTGATCTGCCCGGAACCGAGAATGAAGAGCCGAGGGAGAGCCTGGAGCTCCGATGTCTCGCCATATGGTAAGGTGTGTGTCATAGGTGCCGAGATGGACGGGGGTTGGCATATATGATATCCCTGGAAGCTACGTGGATGGTGGAGTTATGGGGACGATGGGGAACTGCGGCTGTGCAGGACGGCTATATGGAACATTTGGACGTGTCTGCCCACCTGGATTCCCTGGTTATATATGTATGTAGGGTGCGATAGAGCCATGTAGTCTTTTGATAAGGTCCGAGACCTTTTTGATAGTTTCGTTTGCTTCTTTTTTTGGGTCTGAGCGTGTGTCACTTTGTGACACCTGTCTGCAGGTACACCCACCCATCTGTGAGCTACTAATAATTGGCCTATTAAAGCGCTGTGCACCCAGCGCTACTATACATGGATCCTTCGTCGCCGCCGTGGTATAGGTAGTCCTCTTCTGAGACTGCCTTGACTGCCCATGCAGTCTCTAGTCCAAAACGGGTGGAAGGATGAACCGACCAACCGAATCAACCACTCACGGCCCACCAAGCGACTGCGAGTGTCTGCTACCGGCATACCTACCAGCCAGCCATGGCGCGGCGGCGCGGCGTGGCGTGTGCATGCACGATCTCCCCTTCTCGGGGAGGAAGGATCCTCCATCCCTATTTCCACAAGGGCTTGTAGGTCAAGCCTTTGGATTAGATATAATTGTGTAGTTGTTATTGTTTGAGAGCTATGCCGATCGAGTTGAGGTACTGACATTTCTTTCTGACGGAGGCGCTGACCTCGGCCATGCCCGTCGTGTCGGCCGTGTCGAAGAACATTCGCAGCCAGTCTGTTGTTGCTGCGGCGGCACCATCACCGCCCTCCTCATCGGAGAGGGTAAATTCTTGCCATGTCGGGGCTCCCTGAAGCCTGAACGGGTTCGGGTCCAGCGTGCGGATGAAGCTGATCCAGTAGCTCTGCATCAACTGGACGATCCACGCGTTGGGACCACCACGACGATAGCTCGGCGGGCTCGCGCCGTTGGTGTTCTCGGGACCCCAGATGGCGGATAGCTCGACCGTGTGCGGCACCCCCAGGCCCTGGCGGACCTGCGAGGCGTCCTGCACGTTGTACCAGTAGTTCCAGTTTCCCGACACGCCGTAGCGCGCGTAGCTCGCCGCGATGAACAGGTTCGGGCACATGTACCTCATGTCGCCGTAGGCGTTGGAGACTTGGCGCCACCAGGAGCCCGAGTTGGGGAATTGCGGGCCATTGTTGGGATAGAGCTCGTCGATGCGCTGCAGCTGGTCGGCCGTCAGGTCCGGGAACTGGTCGTGCAAGAACGTGTTGGACTGGGCCAGGCTGGATGTCCCCCGCGGGGTGAAGACTGTCCCGCCGTTGGTGTCGTCGCCAAACAGCACGGGGATCCGCAGGAACTTGCCGCTGTCAAAGGCAGCGTAGGTGTAGTTTCGAATCATTTCGTCGTCAATGACGGGATTCCACATATAGAGAGGCGGGTTTCTGGCTCCCGGATACGGCAGATTGTGGTTTTGGGCCTGGAACTCTGCCGTTGTCTTTGAGCGGAGACACGACACAGTGGTGTCCTTGCCAGTTGAACCCTGACTCGTGGTGCGAGATGTGCAGCCCAGACTCTCCACCAAGTGGTCATATTGGTACTGACTTTCCTCGACAGTCAATATGGGCGCGAAACTGACGGATTCGGCGGCTGCGGCGACAAATAACCCGTCATTTCGCCCGCCATATGCTGTCAAATGGTAGGCGATGGATGCAGCGCCGGCGGAATCTCCCCCAAGAACAACATGCTTTGGATCTCCGCCGAAATGAGTAATGTACTTTTGCACCCAATCGAGCGCTTTGCGCTGGTCTAATAAACCGTTGTTCAAGGTGGCAGATGGTGATTCTTGAATCTCACGACTGGCAAGGAACCCATACGGTCCCACGCGATAGTTAAAGGTCACAACGATCATCCCATGCCCGGATACGGAGACCAGGCCGCTGCCATTGTAATTTGCATTTGAGTTGAAGTTGAAACCACCCCCTTGGATGAAGAAGTAGACGGGCAGTTTCGAGGTGTTGGTTGCCTGAGTCGGAGCATAGACGTCCAGGAAGAGACAGTCTTCGGACAAGCTTGGGTCACGAGGATTGTTGCCCGTCCCAAAGCAGATGTCACCGTGCTGAGGTTATGGTCAGCGATGTCTGAGCTTTGAACAATTGAGTGGGATTGGAAGTCACCTTATTAGCCTGCTGAGTGCCATGGACGATGGGCGGGTCTTGGGGCGCTGCGAATCTCAAAGGTCCCGTTGGGGCTGCGGCATATCGCATCCCAAGCCATTGAGTGATGCCATTTGCGAGAGCCCTGCCTTTATAAGAGGCGTAGTCAAGGTGGACTAACTCATTGGTAGCTAACACTGTCGAGACACAACACAACAGGAGAATTGGGAGCATCGTCGACTTCAAGTGTAGAGCTCCAAGCTGTGGATGCGCGCGTCTGCGAGCTGGCGATAATGATCATCGAGCCACACCTCTGGAGCACCAGTGAGAGTTCATCCTGGCCAACTTTTTATTTAAATATCCAGTCTTCAATAAATTCCGCAACCTCTTCTTCTTCCGTGAGTCAGCCACGGCTTGAATACTGGTGCTTACAACAGAGATAATTCGTGACGCGACGACGCGAGGCGCAGTGCATAATAGGATAATCAACCATGGTTTGGGAGGGTCTTTTCAAAGGCGGTAACAGAGACCTTGCTGGCCCAAAAAGCTTCCGTGGGTGAGCAACGTGGTAAGAATGTATGTAGCAAAGGTACTCGGTACTGCAAGGGGTAGTCGGGTGTTTCGGTTTCACGCGGCGATTCCCCGGCTTCGTCCCAGTCCCACCCAAGTCCCGCGTCATCAGCGGCCGCAGGCAATGCGTCACCATCAGGCTAGAGAGGCCGAGTGCAGCGGGATAAGTCCGCGACAGGTTGATAGCACTGGTGACAGTTGTATAGCAGCTTAGAAATGTCCTCCCCAGCAACGTCTTTTTGGGATAACAGCTGTGTCGATTCGAGAAAGCGCAAGGATGGCTGGAGTGGTCTCAATAAGATACAGCATCGGCAATTCCCGCTTTGACGACGTCCCAGTTGATTCCCCCGATTTCATCACCCTTCAGCCTGCCCAGCACATTTGGGTCGCTAGTTGACCTGCCCATAACGATTCTCCTGGCCACGAGCGAGTCCTTTGCGCCCGGCAGCTTGGAAGCTGCGCCGTCCAGTATGCAACGCTCGAACCAGACCTCCTCCTGCACGGTCAATGGCAGCCCAACCAGAAGCGTTGCCCGCTCCGACCGAGCACGACCAGGGCTGTCCTGAAGTACGGCCACCACCAGCTTCTCAAACAGTATTTGATGTTTTGTCTCGTCTTGTCTCTGTGCGAAATAATACGCTTCCACCAGGTTGTTACTTATGATCAAATCATAATATGCCTCGAGAACTGCCGGATCTTCCAGTGGTGGAGACATAGCAATGTAATAGGCCATTGCTAAGGGAGGCTCGCATTTTGGATGTCGCAGGAGGGTAAGGAGGATCTCGTCGGTGAAGGTCGGGGTCAGGGAGGGGTCTGTGAGGTGTTCGAGGGCACGAGAGAACTGAGCGTGGTCGAGTTCCCACAACCCGGCCACCAGAAGCTGCCATCTTTGAGGGAGATATGTTCTTCGGGCAAAGTTCGAGTCGGCATTGGGCAACTGGCGACAGTCTCGGAGCAGGTAGTAGAGAAGGGCAAGTTTCTGTTCATCGGGAGCGGTCGACTGAACAATCTTGGACCACAAATTGCGCAGATCCTGGTTGGATCGAGGTGGATAGTTATTCCTTGCAGCTGATAATTGATCAGTAACTCTGACAAATGTTGATGCAAAGTGAAGGCCTCACGTCTTGTAAGGCCAATGGTCTTCCAGATGCGGTCAAAGAATAGCTGGTCACCGAATTCCTTGCGGTGTTTGAGGATACTCTCAACCGTTCGGGTGTCATAAGCATAGTCGGTCTTTGGCTGAAAGACTGCGTCAAAGTCGTGCCAGTCGAGCATCTTGGACGGTCGGCAGCAGGTTCCGCTGGGGGATCTGTTGTCTAATCCGAGGTGAGTTGAGTTGATTAGTTTCCGAAGACTTCACTTTCGCTTCATGTGTTGCATGTGAATCGCGAATCGCGTCTGGCATCAACATTCTTCTCCGCACCGATCACGTGACTGCCATCGTGGCCTGGCCCAATTCTCTCAAACTCAGACAGAAGCGACAAACTCAATCCTCATCCTTTACCCCAAATGCTTCGTCGACACTTCCGCGGTTGTCTCGCTATCAGCGGAGCGTTGGGACACCGAGTCGGGAACCCCGCGCAGTTGCATAATGCCAATTGATCCACACGCTCAAAGAGTCTTCGTAAATACAAAAGAGGCAATGACCCGAGGTGAGATCCGTTCACCCAGTTTGTTTTCTTCATAGCTATATAAAGAGGTTTGCTTTGCCTGTCCTTTCGTGTGTCTCACATCAGCGTCCAAACAAACCACCTTGAGTTTGTATTGTCGTCAAAACATCACAATGGGCTCCGAGCGCTACCCCGTCCGACACAAAGGCATCTACCACAATCTGCCCACTTTCGACCCGTCTATCAAGGACCTCACGGCGATTGTCACTGGTGCCAATGGCATTTCGGGCTTCCATACGATGCGGGTGCTGCTTGATAGCCCCGAGCGCTGGAGCAAGGTCTACGCTTTGTCACGCCGCCCACCACCCAAGGAAATGATGGCTCTGCTTCCAGAATCCCAACGTTCGCGAGTCCAACATGTGGCAGTCGATTTCCTGGAGGATCCGAAAAAGATCGCTGATGCCATGACCTCAGCTGGTGTCAAAGCCGACTACGTCTTCTTCTACTCGTACCTGCAGCCAAAGCCCCCGCCAGGAAGTGGCCCTTGGTCCAATGCCGATGAACTGGTCAAAGTGAACAGCGCGCTACTTGACAACTTCCTTCAGGCTCTCACCCTCAGTAAGATCATTCCCAAGCGCTTTTTGCTGCAAACGGGGGCCAAAAACTACGGTGTTCATGTTGGTCGAGCCCGCACTCCAGCTATCGAGTCCGACCCGCAACCGGCGCACCTGCAACCGAACTTCTACTACCCGCAAGAGAAATTGCTCTTCGAGTTTTGTAAAGCCAACAATACCGCGTGGAATGTTGTCCGTCCAGCTTGGATCCTGGGCGCCGTCAACAACGCCCAAATGAATGCCCTCCATCCGTTCGCTCTTTATGCCGCCGTACAAGCGCAAAAGGGTGAACCTTTATATTTCCCGGGAGACTGGGACACTTGGCAATTTGAGTATCATCATTCCTCTGCTATGCTCACAGGCTATTTATCCGAGTGGGCGGTATTGGAGGACAAGTGCAAGAATGAGGCCTTTAACTCCCAGGACACCGGACCTGTGTCCTTTGACCGCTTCTACGAGGAGTTGGCACGATGGTTCGGCGCTGAGAAGGGCGTCCATCCCCCGGAAGAGGATTTGACCAAATTCCATGAGATCAAGGGCACCGGCGGGAAACAGTCTCCCATGGGGTGAGTGCGAATCCTCTAATCTGTGCCATATGTGGCAGATCAAGGTAGCTAATCCAGTCACAGATACGGCCCTGCTCCAACATTTCGCATCCTGTTCTCACTTGTCGACTGGGCTTCGCAGCCTGAAAACAAGGAGGCCTGGCAGCAGCTCATGAAGGCGTCCGGCGGTCAACTGACCGATAACCCTTTCAACGATCCTCAGGCGAGCTTTGAATTCGGCGATGCGGCCTTGAGCAAATTTGGTAGTTTGTGCATGAACAAGGCGAGGCGATTGGGCTGGACTGGCTTTGTCGACACGATTGAGGCTCTCTTTGAGATGTATTACGAGATGGGCCACTTGGGAATGGTACCTAGGATGAAAGTGGATAAAGCAAAGCCTTTGGTGTAAAGAGGCTCATGCGTTGGGATTCAGTAGCGGCCTTTGCAGGACGATATCTTTCATCCAATAGAAGCCACATTGGTCAACAGAGACACTTCTGCGTGATAATGGCCAAGTTGTTGTACACACCGAGAGAAGACGAGCACGAATAAGGCACACCACGTCGTACCACACAAGTGCAGGCTCGGTCGTCTACACCATCCACCATCCACCACATCCATCATCCATCTGGCTTCCTTCACCGCAATGTCACAGGACAGGACAGGACATGCAGGCCTGGATCCACCTCGTACCCAACCATCTGTTCACCGATCCCTCAACCCTTGTCCGTCTCTTCCCACAAGCACCATGCTTCTTCCCAGCCGCAACACGAAAGGCAGGGCCAACTGCCGTCCACCTGAGTCCATCCCGTCATCCCTCCCCAAAAGTCAGCAAGCATAGCCGAAAGAAAGCGTCCCGGGTAATTGTGGTGCGCTGAATTCGACTTCCTAGTCTGTTTCTTATTCGACATGCATCAGTGGATACGAAGAGGAGGAAACATCTGGCCAGGCCAATCGCCTGGACATGCTGAAAGGCAAAGGATTACGGGATCCGATCTTTTTCCCTGCTTTAGTCGGTTATCTGGGACAACAAATCTAGTGCTGCCCAAGGGTTTCTCGGATTGGACTGAACGTGGCAGAAGAAACTTCGGCGCTTCGAGTTCCCAGGGCGCATCTGCAGCTACTTACGAGGTACTCGGTACTTGTACGTGGAGGTTTTGTGTGAGGCTGGGATACGGGCCTATCACGCCTCGTCCCCCGTCCTCATCCCCAGCATCCTTGTTCCTCTGCGCCTCTGCTATTCGACAGCAAAAGAACATCTTCCCCAATTTGACATGTCAGTCCGTCATCATGTGCATGGCGGAAAAAGGATCCAGAAACGCAGCTGACCCCATTGCACTGGCCAGGTATAGTCAACCTGCACCACCGACGCGAGTGGCACTACTGCAGCACCAATCAAGGGGGCCAACCATGCGGGAGTGAAAGTGCCATAGCAGCATGGCGCTCAAGACCACAATGTCGGTGCAAAAGAGATGGGAAAGAGGAAGAATGCAAAAATACAGGACATGCCCATCCTTTTCGACGCCGCCGTTTGGCGTCTCTTCCTCCTTCTCCCGTCTTCCCTATCAACATGTTATCCAGTTTCCGGCTCGATGCCATCAATAGCAGCGCGACCAATATTCGCCATGTTCCTCCACTCGCGTTGCCCTTCTCGCGCGCTCCACCGCCCTACAGCAGCTGCACCAGGTTAGGCAAACAGACAGCGGTGCACCACCTATCGGAGACTATGGTAAGCAAGGCTCCCCCTTCCCCTGGGTGCCCCCCTTCCCCGTGGAGGCGCAGAACCTATTACTGAAGAGGGGTCTACCAAGGAGGAATTGTATCGATCCAGTCTGGCTCGCCTTCAGCTGGAGCTGGGATTGCCCGACCACGTCGCGAAGCATCTTGACGCAGCGATCAAAGAGCTGATTGTCTCACCGGTGACGCAAGATGGAGCACACTCCGTGTTGAACTACGGGATCGACTTCGAGGCTGTTGCCAGCAAGGTGGAGAGCTGCCCTGACTTTCGACCTTATTTCGAGAGAACGCGGTCCCACAGCTGGGTGACGTGCTTGAACAATGCTCTCTACTTCTGGGCCCACGCAGTTTGTGGGATCCCCGAGCTCTGGAAAAGAGAGACTCCCGCGAGCCAGAGATCATCAGTCAGCCAGGTGCACGAATTTCCCCACGATCCGGAATCCACCGTTGAAAGTACACCATCGTCTGCTACTCTCACATCTCTTTCTGCTGGCAGTAGTAGGGAGGACTCTCCCGGTCACCCCAACGATGTCTATATGGCTCCTCCAGGCAGCACCAGCCACCTGGCTGGGGAGCTCTGGATGAGGGTATACCCGGGCAAATATGTCAACTACATCGAGATCCGCGCCATCAGCGGCGTTCAGGAGGTGGTGTTGAGCGGGCGGATGCAGGACCTGTTTCGCGTGCGCTGTCCGCCGGGTCTCACCAAGTACGGGTACGACTACGTGCTGCCGCACTGTCGACGATTCCTGGAGAAGCACCGGGGCGCGCCGCCCAACGCCGAGGTCGAGCTCTTCTACTACGTCAAGATGCCGACCATGGCGAGCCCGATCCGCATCGCCATCTGGGACAACGGGTCGTGCGAAATGGCTTACGACAGCTGGCTGCGCCTTAAGAACTCGCGAATCCCGTTTCTGCTCTTCCTGGACGACCAGAAGCACACACGCCCGTCGCTGAAGCTCCTCTTGCCTCCCATCTCGCCGCGCAAGCTACTCGAGAGCTCGCCAGACTCGGTGACACGAGGCGGCTACCGCCACCAGTCCGAGGGTTTATGACATTGTTCTGAAGCCGTGGCATCCATCAGCTGCCGATATCCGGTTGTTACGCCTTCAGAGACACATCAAAACCTCCAGACTTGAAACCCAACCTGGGAAGGGGGAGGCCACTCAATAAAATCTGGCAACTAGAAGACAAGTCTGCCCCGACCAAAGGCCGACAGAATTGTAATGAGACCAAGAGACCAAGAGACCAAGACGAACACGAAACGGAAAGAGCACATGATTGATTGACATTGGTTGTTATTGATGACTGTATTATGAATACACGATGATGCATATGCACAGCACAGACCACCGCGTTCTCGGCCGAACACGTTCGTCCATTTTCTCTCCTCTGCAGGTCGCGCTAACACCCTGCATGAAGCACACAGCCTTTTGTTTTCTGCAATGGCAACCAATCTGCCAGTGACGGGGACTCGACCCCAGACAATTGCTCTGCATTTCATGTGGCTCAATGAGCCGCAATCCCTCCTTGGCACAATAAGAGGCCAGGGCTCTGGGAGCTTGAGAGGCTTCGCCACGAATATTGGTCAATTCGAGGCTCACCGGTCACCTCAGCCCACGTCGCAATTGAGCCCCGTCTTTGCGCCCAGTCATGGCAAGGCAGATAGGAGGTGAGAATAGCACGTTTATAAATATGAGCCTCAATGGCCCACATTCGCGGGTGCCCGCTGGGATGTTTCTACGTCCATGCCACCAGAGAGCGAGCACCAGCACAAAGAGCACATACGACTGAATTGAAAAATCCATGGCAGAGGCTGTTGTCGGGCTCGCAGGAAGCGTCGTCACGCTTGGCAGCTGCATAGCGGCTCTGAAAGGATTTTCAGATGTTTGCAGAAATGCCAGGAAAACGTTGGGAATATACCAGACAACGCTCAAGAGTATAAAGATGGTGAGATAAGATCACTCGGTGGCTCACACCCTGTTCTAACCACCTGTCTCCTCAGTCAATTGATCTCTTGGACTCCCTGACGTCGCGGACCGGACTGAAATCTCTTTTGACCATGACGGTAGACGGCAAAGAAGTGAAACTTGTCGAGTTCTTTTCAAGCAATATGAATATTGTACTCGAGGATCTGAAGAAACTGATCAACAACTTCACAGCGGCACAACGATCGACAGACCTCGGGTACATTCGAAGAGTGATTGCGACGTTCAGGAAAGGTCGCCGTGCCTTGAGCCTTTTCGTGAACGAGGCTCATATCAAGAACCTGATCCAAGCAGCAAAGAATTTCGAATCATCGTTGCAATTGGGGCTATCAATAGTACTATGTGCGCAACACGACATCAGGTGAGTTTGAATATCTATGTGGAATCCCTCATCAAAAGCCCAATGGCTGACCAGTGTTGAAGCCACACCGATATGCAACTCTTTGCCCAGACTGTTGAACAGACCATACAGAGATACATTGTCTCGTTTCACGAGCGGCAGAGCGATTGCCAACGCCCTACGACCGAGGCAGTATTTCTTAGGGAGTCTCCCGAGGTTGGTAAAGACGAAAGACAACCAGAACTTTGATGTTGACGCATTCCAGGATACATTACCAGAGGCTGATGCAAGCATCTCAATAGAGACCGAAGTTGAACTACAAGATGGATCAGAAGCAGATCTACATGTCGGCCAACAAGCAGGATCCAGCGTAAGACCTGGTGCTCAAGAGATTGAGGAAGACTCGGGTTCACAACAAAACGTTGTCATCATCCACAACAACGGAGCCGTCGACATGGTTAACCACTTTCACCGCCGGAGCCAAGCTGCAATTCATGAAAATGTCGACTCTTCACTTCACCATGGATCTGGAGAGACACCAGACAACGTTCTAGACGAGACTAACGGTCAGTCCGGAGCCGAGGATTATGTTTTTTCAGATTCGGAAGAGTCGACAGTGTCAACAGACAACAATACTTTTTTTGGACGTTCGCGTACCATGATCCACGATAGCACGCTACTCAATATTCGACGACAAGGAACTGTTTTCATTGACCGAGCTGTCGCCATAGCAGAGTGCAGATCACATGGATCGGAAGGCTTCCATTTCTGCGCGAAGACCATGATGCTGGACGAAGATGGCGCACCAACCCTTATTCTCAAAGCGCCGTGCCAAATCAACCAAGACTGCGAACATTGTTCCGTGCATACCATGATAGCTGTTGATCTCCATCAAGATTTGCCCCTTGCACTTCAAGTTCTTCTAGAGCAGCAAAGGCCACTACACACTTCTGATGACAGCACCACTTCAGATGGGGATTACCTCGAATGTACCGTTGTTCGCAGTACAGCCAGACCAGAATCACACACCTTGGTGTTTCAGGAGGGGATCTATGGAGAGCAGTATGCAGTGCGGACAACTTTCACGCTCTCTTCCAGTCCCCAGGTTTCCGAAATTGATTCAAGTGGTACCAACCGGGATGCCAACAGTAATATTGACAATGATACTGAGAGCACTGTAACGAATGATACGACCACGAACGGTCTCTCTCCATCAGAGACCGAATCAATCTACGGCGAGGGAGAAGATGATACCAGCATCGACGGCGGTGTGGACGGTGACGAACTTGAACAGACGGCCGGAACCGACAACGACGTCGGCGAGAACGAGGATAGATCCATGTTTTCTGATTTCAGCAGCATGCCGTGCTTCTTTTGCGCAAAGGATGCTCTTCGACCTAGACTCAACGGTCTGGGAGTTCAATCTCTCCTGGTCTTCGAAAACAGATCCTTCGGCTACGCCTGCCATCGATGCAACAACAGGACGTGGGTATCTGGTGCGAAATTCGGACTGTCGGTGCCCGGCGCCGCGTGGGAATGGTGGACTTGAATATTGAAGGGTGACTAGTCGACTTGTTGCTGGGCGGGCGAGCTGGCTGGCTGGCTGGCTGGCTGGCCACCCCCTGCTCCTCAAAGAAAAATCCAACCGAACATGTGGAATTGGGGTGCGCAGCCGCAATACAAAAAATAGCTCTTTTCCGGTGTTATCATGTATCGAACTATACCATGTCATTGTAATTGTCATCGTCGTCGCTATCCATTCCCGGCCCATTTCATAATAAGTAAATACAAGGTACGGAGTATTTCATGAGTATTTCCCGAGTTGGGCTGGGCTGGGCGCTGCTGTCGTGTCTCCTTTCCCATCTCCCGTTACCCGTGATGGATAGTAGTCCTCTCTTCTCTCTCTCTGTCTCTCTCTCTCTGTCTCTCTCTCTGTCTCTCTCTCTGTCTCTCTCTCTGTCTCTCTCTCTGTCTCTCTCTCTGTCTCTCTCTCTCTCTCTGTCTCGCTACCTACCTCGTACTCATAGCCTAGGAAACAGAAAACAGAAACACCGCACGTGGGGAATATGGGAGTTAATCAAGGACCTTGCTACCTACTCCGTACACAGGTAGGTAGATAGTGGCCTCGTCATACGTGGGCGGACATCGTACTCTGTCCAATCTCAAAGGATATACTCATACAAAGTACGTACCGAGTATGTCTATATCTAGTCAAACTCTCCCGATCAAGTCCAAGTGCAATCAATCTCTTTGTTTAGAATACGGATCTTTGGTCCCTTCTTTCTTTGTACTCGAGTATACTCATACAATAAAAAGGCAGGCGCCAACATGTCAACGCCGCTAGGATGCTCCTGTTATGCACTCCTTGAAAATGCCCCCCCTTCAATGCTTTGCAAGTCTTTCGCAGCTCTAATAGCCATGCCATAACCTGAAAGATGACAGTTTTTGGTCAAAATCGGCCATGATTCCAAGCGCGCAAGATGCTGTTGACGGTCGGTTGATGCAAGAAAAAAGATTCAGTTTCATGTCTCATCACATGGTGACCCTCTCAGAGTGTGTGTCCTTCCTCCATCCTCTCCTTTCCCTGACTGTACTCGGCCAAGTTCTAGCCCTTAGCATACTCGCGGGTCCACCAATCTCGGTCCCAATATCCGCTCTCAAGCTTCATATCGCTCATCTCGAGCCTCCCTCTTCTGTCTTGGCTCGCATGCGGATTGAGATGTTGATGGTCTCCCGCTGGCTGTTCGCCTCCATTCACCGCTGCATTTTCCTGGCCCGAGTGTAGTCACTCGTAGCCAGCTCCTCTTTGCCAGGGACTGGCATTGTTTTGCTGTCGGAACCCTTGCTGTGGAGGATATCCGCCTTGCGCGGAACGAGGAGGTGCCCCGTAGCCACCACTGGCAACACTGCTCACGCTTCGATCGTACGACGGCTGCGAGGAGGTTGTGTTTGGTCTCCCACCGTACCCGTAGTCACCACCCGCGTTGTAACCTTGGTTGTACATTTGTCGCTGTTCATACGACTGTGGGGGACCACGTCGTCCTGGCTGGTCGCTGGGATACATTGGCGTGTTGAAGTCTTGCTGGGGTTGGGCAGCATGATTTTGAGACATAGGTCGTTGTGTCACCTCAGATTGATGCTTCAGCGATTCGCTCGAGAAGGAAGCATCATCATCGTAACCTTTGTCGTTATTATATGTTGTCTGCCCATCTCCTCTGGCCGTGGCTCCAAGCGCGTCCAACTCGGTCGTCAGCGCGGCTTGAGACTTGATGAAGCTTCCTCGATCGTCACGCATCGGCTGATATCTGACTTCGGGGTTCTTGGATGCAATAGCATAGATCGAGGCAATAAGCACCAGGATCAACAGCACAGCCGCAAATACCACGTTGTAGAAGGCAAAGATAACGCCCATGACGCCCGAAACCATCTCGGGCTGTCCGAATGCGTTCGAAAAGACGAGGAGGAAGATAGCGTTGAGGAAGTTGACCGCAGCAATGGAGATGTTGAAGATGTTAGTTTTCTTGTCCATAAATGGCCGAAGGACGCTGATGGCGATGAGTGCCACGGCCTCGACAATAACCAAACCCACGGCTTGAGCCACAGGTGATTTCTGCGCAAACGCGATGAAGATGGCCTTGATCAGAATGTAGCCCAAAAGGGGCACCACAAAGTAGTATGCAGTGGCGCGATACTGCACGTAGAGAAATCCCCACTTGTTGAGGCACTCGGGGTCAGAATAGAGGATGTAGGCTGGGTTCTTGTGCATGGCGACCGACTTCTTCGCCAGTTGAATGACCTTGAAAGACGCCCACCCCAAGGCGACTGCCATGGAGATGAAAACGACCAAAGCCAACACAACCTCAGCCGCCGAATCTCGTTCGACCAATTCCCACAAGCAGAGAACAGACATCTGCACGAAACCGAGTAGAACCTAAAATGCACTTGTTAGCGACCCTTTATAGTCTCACATTAGAAGATGTGTACTCACCAATCGGAAAAGAATACCCTTGATGACAATTTTCCAGCCATTTCGGAACTCGAGGAATTTATCAGTCTTCATCCAACCGGCCTTGGCACAGCCGTCAAGAATGGCCTTGGTAAGGGCGACCAAGACTGCAACTAAGAATAGGATGAAGACGAAAAATATCAGACCGGTCATGAAGATGTTGGTCTGTTCGATTCCAGCCCTAAAACCGACTCTATCGATTCCACGAACGACTTTGACGTTCGCCACGGTAGTGGTGGTTGCGGAGCTTTGGCGTTTGGCCAAGTAGCGCATGTTCTGGGCTGCGAAAGTGGTGATGACATCCAGCGACCGTTTGATAGCGCGTTTCTGCACTTGGACCGAAAATGTGCTGAGGGTGGAAAGGTAGGTAGTCGGGGTTCCGCCGGTCGCACGCTGATACCACGTTGCAATCGACTGAAGAAATCCTACCCGAATAATACCCATACTCCACTGGAAGTTTTGTGTCCAAGATTGCACTATCGGAGGCATTGTGACCGAAGTCATCCCAATGACGGCTTGTGCCTGAAAGAAACCAAAGAGTGATATCGCGTTCGCAGCAACATGAGCAGCTGTGTTGGGATGCCCGAGACCCGACGTGAGACCGGCAGCAACAAGCCCCAGACCGGCAATAACGGCCGTGGCCCAGCCCACAGCTGGATGGTACACGCTTTTGGTGTTGGAGAGATCGGCTTCCATACAAGCAATCACCGCACCCGTGTCGAGGGAGGTGACATAAACACGAACCACACCGTCCAGATCTGGCACGCTGTATGCGATTCCCGGAACTTGTTTAGAAACATCCTTGGGAACATCGATGTTGGTCTCGATATCGATTTGACCTGTTTGCATGGGACAGAAGCCCGCCAGATTCATGGAGCACGGGTCGAGAGTCTCGTTGACGATGGTAAATCCATAAGCAATCACTTCCAACTGCGCCGTAACATTTCCTACAATGGACGAGACACCATTAATGTTGAGGCTGATACTGCTGTTGGACGGGGTGTAAGCAACGTTGAACAGGGTTGCCGTGAAGTTGGAGCCGCTCTTGCAAGAATTCAGCGAGTTTGACTCGATGATGTTTTCCGCGAGGGCGAGAGGTGATAATGAAATGGCCGCGAAGGCCGAGAGGAGGTAGGAGAGCGAAGTTTGAGGTCGCATTTTGGGATGAAAACGTCGCAGTTGGCGTCTGCGACTGGACGCGGTCGTTCTAAGGAGAAAGAATGGTGGTTGCAAGAGATTCCAGGGCGCCAACCAGGGCGAACTCCTCCTCAGCAGTCGATGATCAGGTAATGTAGTAAGAAATTATGTTTTATTCTTCGAAGGTGAATTCGATGATGGCAGGAAACAGTTTATTCGAGGAGGGTGGTCAGTTGTGTCATTGGGATCTGCAAGGGAGGTTGGGTGGAAAAAAACCGGGAATTGGAATGAGTGGAAAAGAGCGAGAGTTCGTCGTTGTCGTTTGTCGTTTGTCGTCGTCGCCGTTTCAATTATTCCAGTGACAAAGAAAATGTCAAAGAAAAAGATTGAAGGCGCAATTTGGTGTCGAGTACTGTACGGGGAGGGGAATGTCGAGGGTGAATAGCGAGCGTGTGTGGATGGGTGTTGGTGAAGAAGTGAGAGTTTGAGTGGTGACGAAGGTTGGAACAGGATGAGCTGCAAGATTTGACACGCAGCAAAGTTGAACAGGAGATGCTCAGACGCTCAGATGCTCCGCTGGAACCGCGTGGAGCTCTGCAACCTCAACGGGCCCCGGGGCCCAGGCACTGAACTTGTAACCGGAGTTGATCGGGTTGGTGGAATCTGCGGCACTACGGTACTCCGCTTTGTACTGAGTACCTGCCCAGGTGGTTACGTGTCTGTTTATGGGTAGCAGTGTCTTGGTTTGGGGGAGGACGGAGGATGAATTTGGCTGCGACGGAAGAAGACGATAGGGCAGTTGGGTGTGAAAAATTGGGGAGAGAACGGGAGGTTTGGGGAGGAGGAGGCGCAGGCAAACAGGGGGGCAGGGAGCAGGGAGGGGGGGTCAAGGGGCTAGCCGAAAAGACAAGGAGAGCGCAGACAAAGGAGACACCTGGAGATGCCAGATCCTTGCCAAGCATGCCAAGCAGCCCCAATGGTATGGGCGCTAAGCGGAATTGGGATCATGGCCCCTGACCTATCCACCAACCACCGGCATCCAGTGATCTTCCTTGGCTTGCGCGTGAGGAGGCGCAGCAGCTCGTGGTCAAATGGTCCAAAGGAAATTGAAATTGCCCAAACACCATAAGCACCACTCAGACCAAACAACAAAAGCTCGGTACGGACGGGACATCTTTGACAAGGCTGATTCCCTCTTTGCTTGCGGTTTGTACCAGTTGAACTGATTGTTATTCTCACTATCCCCCACAGATTGGATCAACTCCTCCTAATCTCTCGACTCCCACATGACTAACCAGGACTAGTTAGTCCATATAAGCGACGTCATCGTGTCTCGCATTCGGTTCTCGGCTTTGCCGCCTTCCGCAATTGGAAACATACCAACAGCGCTTCATCTTCCCCCTCGTTACATGTCGCGTTTCATCACCACCATTATTGTCATCTTCAGCTCCCCTTTCTCCTGCAAACTCTCCTACAACTACAAGGTACCTCGTGCAGGATATGCACCTGAAGAAATGATAGATCGCTCTCGACCCTCTTTGTAGCCAACTTGTCCGGGTCCAAGACCAAATGCAGCACATACCAGGTATCTGTGGTTTCTGCGACGACGGATAGGCCCTTCCTATGCCCCAAACCCGTGAAGCATGCAGCCCTTGTCCCCCCATTTAGTGCGCCGAAGATATTTGTTCGCTATAACAAGTTCGCTGTCCAAGCATTTCTCAGCTTCCATCATCTCACAAACTGTAACAAGCAAGCTCTAGTCAATTCAATCATTTTTCGTGCAACCATGTTCGAAGTCCAACGTCCGAAGGCAGCGGCTGCTGAGGCTGCTGAAGCTGCTGTTGGTGGGCTGGAGGATGTTGTTGGTGAGCTGGAGGCTGTTGTTGTGCCAGCGTCTCAAGTTCTTTGCGATCGCGAACCCGTTTGCGTTGCACAAGATCCCCCCTCACCATGCGTAGGTATTTCGTGGCTTGGTCGATCAGCTCCCGACTTTCGATGCTTTCCTTGAGCGTCTGTAACATAGTCATAACCTGGTCCTCATTGTTGAGATGCGGGCACGTTCGAGAATGCCCCAGATGCGCTATCCCGCACAGCCCGCAATGTTCAACACCTGCCAACTTCAACCGACACCAGCCCATGGGATGTTGCTCATTGCACGCAGAGCAATGATGCACCACCGGCATCTGTTGCACCGGTCCACGGTCAAAAGTCACGTCCTCATTGAAGTGTGGTGCTGGTCCCAAGGGAACGCGTACTCGCCGGAATGGTCGTGCTGCAAATATCTCTATATCAGCATCGGCGACTTTGCGGACTGGATTGGAACCTCCTACCTTGAACCTTTCGTCGTGAATGTGCCGTCGAGTCTGTCTCTGTGACTTCTTCATCCTCAGATGGATTCTGAGGGGCTCTGTAGTCAGGATCGCCCGCCTTGACGCCGCGATTGACCTTGCTCGAACGAGGTTCTCCTTTCTCGCCGTCGTCGAGACTATAGTCGACGTTCTAAACACGTTAGTGCCGGACAATTGAATTCCTCAACTGGCTTTCTTACCTGTCGCTTCCGCTTGCCGCGCCCCAAAGCCTGAGCTTTCATGGCTTGCTCCTCGGCAAACTGTCGTTCGCGTTCCTGCAATATCTTATCCCAAATTCCCGGGTTAGGGGTGCTCTGACCAGTGACGTCTAGCAAATCCTCTTCCAATGTAGATTTGTCGTTGGCCCAGATTCGAGCGAAGCTAAATTGTGATTCGGCCGATTTGCCTTCGTCGATCTTTGTGTCCTCGACCTGCGTCCGGTCAAGAAGCCGATCGATTGATGCCGAGTCGTAAATAATGTCATCAGCACTGGAGTCCTCCTGGAATAGAGCCTCAGCACCGTACCGAAGAATCGACTCCAGATCCTCGCCTGCATCGTCTTCCTTGTCCATTCGCTCGATGAGCACATGATCTAGTGCCATCTTTTTTCGACCAATCTGGATAATCTTCTCTTCAACGCTGCCTCGAGTCATGAGTTGGAAGACAAGAACTTTGTTCTTCTGACCGATGCGGTGGGCTCGGGAAAGTGCTTGGATGTCCTGGTGCGGGTTGAAATCTGGATCGAGAATGATGACCGTGTCGGCAGTGGCGAGATTGATTCCAACTCCACCGGCTCGCGTCGACAACAGAAAGGCAAAGTACGGTGAGTCTGGTGCATTGAATTCGTCAATTCGTTTTTGTTTCTCAGCGGCAGAAATTTGTCCGTCAAGCCGGCGATGTTGCATCCCGAGTCCGTCAAGAAAGTCTTCCAGAACATCCAGATTGTCAAGAAACTGGGAGAACAAGAGGACCCGATGCCCACGCTCTTGTAGTTTGGGGAGCATAACGGTGAGCAACTGCAACTTGGAGGACGCTTCGACCAAGTTGCGATACGACACCGCGCTATCGACTGCTCGCTCCTCAATCTCACGGCTGTAAACAAAAGGGTGGCACAGACACTTGCGCAGCTGCATGAGAATGTTGTTCAGGCCATATCTTTCCTTGTGAGGGATATTGCTGTCCCGGGCAAAAATCGACCTCATTAGCTGCGGGTTTTTGGCCAAAATAGACTTGTAGACTTTTTTCTGGACGGTTGACATGCTGACGGGCACAATAATCTGTGCCATGGGAGGGAGGAATGTCAACACCTGTGCCTTGGTACGTCGAAGAAAGAACTTTCGGAGCATGGCGTGGAGTTCAGGAACGTTGTCCTGGGTAAGATTGGCATATTTGGCTTCAAGGTCAGCGGCACTGACGCTCCTGTCGAGGAACTGCAGAAGGTTGAACAGCTCCCGAGCATTGTTCTGAAGGGGTGTTCCAGTCAACAAGACTTTGAACGGGAAGCGGAATTTTGAGAGGAGTTCGTATATCTGCGTCCGATCGCTCTTCAACCGCTGTCCTTCGTCAACAACCAGGGCTTGCCAGGGGACCTTAATCAAACTTTTCCGAGTCTTCTCTTCCACGATTGACTCGTAAGACGTCACCACGATGTGGGCTTTGATGTCTTTGACCTCGTTGGCCCTCTTCTTCGGTGGCCCATGAGCGTCTTCTTCCTTGTCTTTGGGAAATAATTCGTAATCGTGCGTCAGCTGCCTGGCCGCTGATGACCCGTAATATGTGACCACTCTGAGAGAAGGCGCCCATTTCTGTATCTCGCGGCGCCAATTTGGACATGTCGAGTTTGGAACTACCACAAGAAAAGGCCAGCATTTGTGATCCTGGACCAGTGTAGCGAAGAAAGCGACAAGCTGAATGGTCTTGCCCAGCCCCATTTCATCCGCCAGAATGGCATTTTGGTTGGTGAACCACTGATAGAGGAGCCAATTCAGACCCTCCAATTGGTAACGCATCAACTCTCCACCAGTCACGATGCTTGGCTGCGTCTTCTTGATCAGGTTGGTCTCGAAGTCCAAAGTTCGAATCTGCGTCAGGTGGCGCTTTAGTGTTGTCTGAGGCGGTATCGACAAATGAAGCTTCATCACATAGTCCTCGTATGCCGCTTTGAAATCATTCCATCGTTCCGTGTCGGCATAGACAGGTGGCTTCTCCCAAATAGCATCCTCATAGCCGAGACCCTTGTATTTGACAAAAGCCAAGTCAACCTCCTTGACACGCGCGAGGTCGATCTCCCTGGTACTGTTGCGGACGACACTCGAGTAGCGCACGTCGAAAACGATGTCTACCCGGAACACCTCCTCTGGAATCGCATCGGCTGTGGTCATCTTTGGCAGCTGGTTCTCTGCTTTCTTGGTGAAAGCTGTGCGCATGGGTCCCACCGAAACACCCCAGACCCAGTCTCCTGGCATCCATGTAGTCCGAAAATAAGATAGTTTTCGCCATTTGATCAGGTACTCCTTGTCACTTTCCGGTATTTCAGTGACAATAGTTCCTGGGACGTATGTTTCAAGGTCGACCGGCCGCCACGCCACAAGAGCGTCAATCTGATGTTGATTCTCAATACAATCTTTGCAAACCCACGAACGATGGTAGTGTTCAAAGCGTTTCTGGGCCAGCTGCGTCTCATCCACCACATCCTCTTCTTCATCGTCAAGGGAATGTGCTGTCTTACGCTTGGGAAGATGATGCATATGCCACGCACGCGCACAGTACGAGCATCTGAACATCACATGCGTGATATTGTTAATAAGCCTGGATTCGACAATGGTGATTGGATCTTTCCCTCCATTCTCTTCTCGTTGTAGTTGCTCTTGACGAGTCGTCAGACGACCACGAAACGGTTTCGATAATTCTCCCAGTTCATGGCAGCCTGAGCAACGCCCCTGATGGGGGGCCGATTGGTCTTTTTCGTGAGCGAGCCCAATACAGCGCCTACATTGCAAGACGAACAGATCTTCACCCACCTTTGTGACCAGGTGATCTCTGGTGCCACGAAATCCAAGGCAGACCTTGTGGTAGCAGTTGGTGCAGCCCTGACAGAAGACCAAGGGTCCCTTAGCATTGTCATCGCCTTTAAAGTAGCACGTGTCACATTCTTGCCGATGTCTTCTCCTGAAAGGGTCATTTTCGGGAACCCGATTGAAGTGTTCCTTCGTGCTGACGACCTTTGGGCCCGCCTTTTCTTCTTCGTAGCTTGAGATCTCATCTTCTTGACGTTCTCGCATGCTGCGTTTTGGTCTGGTCTTTGTTCGCTCAGATCGACGTGTGGCCTTGAGCATTTCTGAGTCCGAAGACGAGTCACGTCTTGGTCCGGACCTGCGCACCAGACGCGCAATCCCTCTTGTAGATGATCTTTTAGATCGCTGTGTGGAGGCACGTGCTCTCCCACCTCGTCTTGTTGTATGAGTGTCAGTGTCATCTTCAAGGTCGACGAGTTCTTCTTTGAGATATGCTGACTTTCGTAGCTTGCTGAGCCTTGCCGAACGTCTGCCCTTCCCAAAGTCTTCGTCCGAGAGGCTTTCATCGTCCGCCTCGGACAGGTCTCTACCCTCATCCTCTCCGGAGGCCTCACTTTCGTGTGCTCCTTTACGGCGGCGCTTGGACTCAGGTTCCTCTTCCGACTCTGACAGAGGTATTGTCGTCCAGTCCACCATGCTGGGATCTTTCCGCGAAGTTCGCCTAGCTCTGCTCAACGCAACACTAGCTTCGAACTCTTGCAATGCACCGTAGCCGTTGTCAAGGTCTCGAAGTTCTCGCGCAGAGACCTTTCGGGGCCCGCATGTCAGCGGGCGGTAGGTTGACAAGTGACAAGGGGCGGTAAAAAATAGATCGGATTTCGATGTGTATGTGAGGAAAGCAGACGTGAGAGGGGACAGGAGAGAAGAGCGAGGGAGTAGCAGGTGGGAGCAGGAATATCTAGAGGTTGCATGATATCAAACTCCATGGAGAGGGCACATACAGTATCTTGCTCTCCACTTTCGAGCTCAACAACATAGGTCTTGTTTTCATTCTCAGACAATATCCTGGCCACAGAGAAATGTCCTGGCAGGTATTTGTACATTTCCTTCTCGTGGTCTGATAGTTTGGGCACCTCGATATAGAAATGCTTCTGGAATAGGCTAACTGACAGACTGTCGCCATTCTCATTCTCTGGATCCGAGGCTGACTGTTCCGAAGAAACATGTCTGCCAAAGTCCTTCTGATGTGCGTTCACCTCGTCGTGCAAAATATCCCCAACTTCGCTAGGTTCATCTGAGAGAGACGGGTCTGCTGGTAGCCTCAGCGCGTCCACTTGCTGATCAGGAGCATCTTCATCGGATCCTTCCCCCCTGGTCGGTCTCTCCGGCGGTTTGCGAGTCCGGCTGGTAAGACCTGTACCCTTCATGTTCGACTGTGGCCAGTCGTAGGGTGGAAGACGATTCGGTGAGGGGCATTCGTCGAGTCTGTTGAGGTCAGCGACTGGAAAGGTGATCAAACGGGACGTGCTGTGAAGTTCTCGAGGCGGCAGAGGCTCTCGGAGAGCCACGTGTCGCACATAGATCTGGATTCTACAGGGAAGTGAGAGTGTGCTAGGGAAATCGCAGTTGTAGACAAATCAGATTGCGCTCGAAAGTGAGAGCCTCGCGGTGAGAAGTGAACGCGCTCCGCGTCGCCTGCGACTAACGACAATTTTATTTCTCCAACTTCAACAGAATTCAATTCCCCTTCACTTTGTCCGCAACTTGACTTACAGTAGTCTTTCCGTCATCGACCGAGTCGTGAATGCTACAATTCACTCGCTATGTCCTCCGCTTTCCCCGTGCCATTAAATCCGTCTCCACCCATGGGCCTCAACCTGCACGCTGCATTTCATTGACTGGCGCAATTGAAAAGGGAATTCGGAGGGGTCAGCAAAGCAGGAACAACCTACAAAACCATTATGCAAAGCCCACTGCAGAGCCTCAGCAAGACCAGGATCATCTGTCGGACTCTTTGGACATAGAAGGAGAGGATGGGCAGAAAAAGGAGGTCATCATACCAGGCGAAGAAAGACGGAGAGGCCAGAAAAGACGCAAGGGTCCCAGGACTGTACAGCCAGGACAGGATGTGAAAGGCACGAGATCGGCGCGCTCTGACAGGAGCGTTTCAGCTTCGATCCCCTACACGACAGCGGGATCGGAATTTCTGTACGGGACATTTTCCGTCTTGTCTGCTCTCACAGCTCGGCGACGGAAGCTCTACAAGCTCTACAGGCTGCTCCCTCCAGGCTATGACAAACAGACGAAGAGGGCCAAAGCACTCCTGCCCAAAGAGTCTTTGGAGCAGATCCAAACTCACAAAAAAATTCAAAGCCTTGCTGAAAAGGTCGGGATAGACGTTACGCCAGTTCAAGGACCTCGCTGGCAAGGTGTCTTCGCCAAAGCGTCGGGTGGGCGACCACATAACGGCTGGATCCTGGAGGCCTCTCCAATTCCGAAACTGCCTGTGACTAGCTTGTCATCGGTACCTCAACCGTCTGACTCGATTGCTGTCACAGTCGGTTGGGCATCTGAAGAGGATCGAGAGATCAACACCGTTTTCGGTGCGTCTGGAAGCAAAGCCACAATCCCATCTGTTCGACCCCGGAATCGGTATCCTTTCATGCTCTTGCTTGATTGTATCACGGACACCGGCAACTTCGGTGCTATCGTTAGGTCGGCTTGGTTTTTGGGGGTCGACGCGATCCTCATCCTTGAGCACGGGACTGCACCCATATCAACCAACAGTGTCAAGGCTTCTGCCGGAGCCTTTGAGTACATGCCCATTCTTCATATCAAGAACGAAAGAGAGTTCATCAGAGACACGCGGAAAAATGGATGGAAGTTCTTCGCTGCCGATGCACCGGAAGCTGATGGGGGAATGATGCGGCGGATCATGCAACAAAAGGGACAGAAAGCTTTGGGGGTGGCAGGCTCGTTATCGAAACATCCTTGCGTCCTGGTTCTCGGTAATGAAGAGACTGGCATTCGACAGTTTATGCGGACAATGGTGGATGGTGTTGCAGGGATTCCGAATGCCAGACCTGAAGTGGGAGATATTGACAGCCTCAACGTCAGTGTGGCTGCCGCTTTGCTTACCCAAAAGTTCTTTGACACAGCTCATCCCGAGCTTGATACAGGTCGTCAACGCCACTCGGATTAACCTCGTCGTTGACGAACTCCACCTCCTCAGCAAGCCACTCCAGGGGAACTATGGATGTACATCTCCCGGTGGCCACATCTGATCCTGCTCTCAGTGTCCCGAGCAGTCTGTCGTCCTTGGAAATGGCATCTTGTGCTTCACCACTCCACTCTTGTCTCGAATCAGCAGCACTTTGAGCCAGTTCGGCGGCATCATTTGACAAGTGCCCTCTGCATGCCCAGGCAGATACCAGGGAAGTTTGAGAACTTGCACGAATGTGGCCGACTGATCCACCGTAATGCCATGCGGTAACGCAACTCGCTCTCCAGTGGCACTTTTCACGCTCGGGGTTCAAATGCTTCCACCAGCAGTTTTCATTGTTCATGTTTTGCTCCTTCGGGAATATTCATTACGTTTGCGAACACAAGGCGCCCCTGCTGGGAAGGGGCCAGCATGGACATCTCTGGAACGACATATCCACATATATAAACATTCATATCATCGTTTCCCTGGCCCAATTTTTGTCTTGTCTTCTCTTTTCGCCTCAAACGCCTCATGCAGCACGGGGGTTGGTGTCTTCCCGCGTTCCTGCTTCTGGAGCAGGTTTGATCAGCATCATATCTCGGCTGTTCCATTTGCTCCGTGATATGCAAGCCCGCCATGGGCATGGACATCTGTCTCTAGCGTGGCGTTGTTCCTGTCAGTTTCATCTCTCTCATCCTTCAGCTTTTGAACAGCATCGACGATTTTCCTCCTGCGCTCCGCTATCGCTCTCATTGCATCCCTCAGGATATTCTCCAAGTGGGTGTGAGCAGGTTGTTGTCTATTTCTCCTGAATAAGCCTGCGAATGCTGCCGCGGCTGCTTCACCATTGCCGAATCTTCTCGGCACCGGGTTCCATTGCTGCAATTCCGCCCCATTCACAACCCCGTCATTACATCTAGTTCTCAAAGTTCCCTGCTCTGCCATCAGTGCTTCTAAGAACGTGGCTTCAAAGGCCGCTGGATATTCAGCACGGTTGAAGTCCTGAGTGCCCGCGAACGGTCTTCTCAAGTCCAACCCCTGTTGTGTCAAGCGTGCATGAAGTCTCAAGCCCAAACTTAACAGTTGTTTGTCGCCACAGTACGCCAGCTCCTGCATCACACGCGAGAAGGTGAGATACATGAACTCGACCAAGGATCTTCGCTCGCCTTCAAGCGGTCAGCGGACGTCTCTGGTGATCAGGCAATGTGAAAGGGGATTAAGGGACCACTAACGACTGATGGTACTTCGCAGCGGTTCTATTTCGCAGGCGAATTCGACTTTGGAATTCCACACCACAGCATCAATATATTCCACGAGCATCTGATCAAGATCCTCACCCAGGACGAACGCGATGATGGTGAGATATGCCGCATCATTTACGGCGGGCTCGAAGTCGTTGCTCAATACTGACTCGCTGATACTCCGTTTCAATGCCTGCCAGTCTGCTTGATCACAACGGTACGTCCAGATGGTGATGCAGATTTGGGTTATCCACTTCAAGAAGCCGTCTTGGTGCTGATTCTTTGGAGCGTGATTCTCCGTCGTCAAATGATTGATGACATACTTGAGAGAGCCAGCGGTCATGCCACTGTCTGTGCTGGGGAGTAATTGGGAAGGGTCTTCTAGGATGATGCGGCGGTGAAGAATTGGATAAGTACTGAGGTCGTCCAGCCCTCCCACGGTTCCCGTTCGAAGGTCTTGTACGAGGTTGATGAGGTCTTGCACATTTTGTGGATCATTCCCGTCCCAGGCGGTTAAGTCCTCCTCGAACAGTGGAAGCTCTCCCATGGCCCATCTTTGCCTTTCGAAGCTATACTTTTCTCGTCGCTGGGTGTGAGCAGGGTGACGGCTCCCCGAATTCATCTTTATAAACAAAGATCGTCTCGGAAAGCTAACGACATACAGGTATCTACATGCACCTGTCACCAGATGGCACGAGATAAGAATGATGAGCGCGTCAGAGGCCGGGCGAGATGCTTAATGAATGCGGATGGTATCAGCCACCAAAGTGCTGGCGCGAGCAGGGGAGGCACACTCTGGTAAGGAAAGCCGTTTCGCAACCTTGCCATTGGTTCTGACGTGGGATTAGAACCGCCTATATTATTGGTGGCTGGACCAGAACTAGCAGGAAAGGGAGGGTGTGTGAGGAAGCTGTAAGGCAACGAAAGTGCCAGGCAGACGGTTCCTTTCTAAAAGCCTCGCCGCTGACAGCCACACTGGTGTTGACACCGGCAAGTGTCCCACAAGGCTAGTTTCTCCGAGAGACATTTTCTTGAGGCTTGGGGAGGGATCGACCGCTCTGCTCACTCAGAGACAAGGAAAACGGCTTGCCCTGGGACTCACACCAAGGCGCACACCATTGATGGAGGCGAAGTCCTGACCTGGTCACAAAAGGCTGGCCGCCGCCCCTCTCAGCATACAGCCCAATAACACGAGCCGAACAGGCAGCCACGCAGCAATCCGGGATCACACAGATTGACACTGGCGACCTATCGCTAAGCCAGTACGAATAGGGGACAATTGGCATTATCAGCCCAAAGGCTGGATTCTCCTCGCCGAGAAGTGCTTGCAGCCGAACTCATATATGAGCCACCTGTCCCAGGTTTGCTATCACCTGAACAGGCATCCTCACTTATTACTTACCGATCCGACGAGCAGAGTAAGATATGGCAACTGAAGAGGTCTTTACTTTTGGCCCGGTGCCAGCTACCCTTCGACCGAATGCGACGGTGACATACGAGGAGTTGAAATTACAACCAGAGCGCTACTTTCAGGAAAGTTCTCTGCATGGCAAGCTGACTTGTCACGGCCTCATTTTCTAACTTACCTATAGGGAGCTGATATCGGTTTTATGATAGTGGCAGCTGCTCAAGTCTACTTCATGATCCCTGGGCTGTGCCTCCATTTCTCTGGTGTTTCGAAACGTGACTTTACGCTCACCTTGGTCCGTCTCCCACTGATTACCACGGGTGTGGTCGGATGCGTGGTAAGTATTGAGTGTACCCATTCCCCTGTGACATCAACGTTGTGTCTGACGGTAGATAGTGGTATCTGTGGGGATACGCTCTTGCATTCTCTCCCGCAACATATAACTCGGCTGATCTGCAGGGTGTCTCCTGGTATGGCGGAGATACAAGAGCAAATGCATATATTGACGTTACCGCCCGACCCGTTGGTATACAAGGTCCTTCTCCATTGGTTCTGTCGGGACCAAAGATTCCAGAGATGGTCTATGTCTTCTATCAGGGCATGTTTGCATGCTTCACGTGAGTCTCTCTTGGACGATTTGCTGAATCAGTCGTTAACGCTGGTCGGCAGAGCAAGCCTGGTGTCGGCCGGAGCGGCTGGCAAGACTCGTGTCGGTCGATACGTTCTTTTCATTACCTTGTGGACAACTCTTGTTTATTGTCCCGTTGCCCGGTGGACGTGGCATCCTCTCGGCTGGTCCAAACTCAGGGGAGCAATGGACTTTGCTGGTGGTACCGCTGTGCACGTCTGTTCTGGTTCCTCAGTCGCTGCTCTTGCCACCATTTCACAATTCGAAGCCGCAAATTGGCACACGACGCTCGTCCTTCGAAGACAGACTTTTGAGATCGATCTGAAGACGTGGAAAGTCTGGAAATGGCTATCTGTGAGAAATCGCAGTGCCCGCAGCGAAGTCGAATTGAGAACGAATTTCCCCGAGACAGAACACGCCGTCAATGGACACGCTCGAGGGCCACGGCCACAAACTCCTCCAGAGAGGCCGGCAGCCAGCCTGGACCGCGAAACTTCGAGTTTGCCTTATAGCATCAACCACATGGTATTGGGCACTTGTTTGCTTTGGGTCGGATGGTTTGGCTTCAACGGCGGTTCGGCCCTTGGGGCGAACCTTCGTGCCGTGTCAGCTTGCTTAGCAACACAGGCTGCTGCCAGTGCAGGAGGCACAATTGGATTACTCTTTCACTGGGGGTTGGGCTGGCTTGATAAGAGGGTATCGACTGAACCAGACACCTTGATCCATATTCCGTCAATTCAGGAGTTCTGTGACGGTGTGATTGCTGGGCTGGTGGCCATTACTCCCGCTGCCGGATACGTGAGTCGCCTTGAGCTCCTGGTTTTTCCTGAGGAGCTACCCGGACATTGACTGACTTGTTGCAGGTACCTGTCAAATATGCCCCCGTCTTTGGCGTCGTCGGTGCCATTGTCTGCAAGATTCTGAGGATGATCATGTATAGCGTCTTGCCGGCAGATAAATTGGCTATCTTTGCCGTCCACGCTGGTGGTGGAATCATTGGAATGCTACTTACAGCCTTCTTTGTAGAGTAAGTCACTGCAAACAAAGTACAGAGATTTGTTCTCATCGCTGACGCTGGCCCTTGCAGTGATGAAACTACCGGTCTTGACGGGTATTCGAGGCTGGTTGACAAAACAATGGGTGCTAGGTTCCGGTCAGTCTGCGTACAAACCGGTGCTCGGCTGAGTGCATACTGACCTGTTTATAGAGACCAGGCACTGGACGTAACCGCTTGTCTTTTCTACTCATTCACGATGACCTTCGCGATCTGGATGGTCCTGAAGCTTGTGGAGGTCTTGTGCGGCGCCACAACTCCTCCATCCACCGACCGGTTTGACCATTACCCAGACACTTATGAAGCTCGCCCTCAGTTCAAGCGAAGAAGGTCCTCCGACCACGTGGTGTGAGGCTGGTGTCTGAAGGAGCGAAACATCGAGACCCGAGCCTCGAGAGCCGTCCGAGCTCGGTGCTTACCAACTGTATGATCGTTGTGAGACCTCAAGACGAGTGGTAAGGAAAAGAGTCAGGTATCTCGACCAGGCGACGGAAGTAATAATAGTGACAATGCGCAAATATCTAAACTTTGAGTCCCCAGGGCGAGACACGTTTTCTAGGGGCGTTTCCAAAGCGAAGGCAAGGGGGGTCGGGAACAGGGCCAGACCATGTGCTGCTCGCCTGTATTGTTTTATCAGCCTCAGAAAGGGTCAGAGTCCCACGGACTATTCTGGATCTGTGCTAGCGACGTGATGGGGGAATGTGATACGACTGGATACGGACGAACTCAACCCCTGGACACGACACCGCCTTTCTATCTCGACTGCCACTATTGCTCGCCTCTCAGGCTGGATAAGAATTTTCCAAGCCCGGGACTTGACACGGATTCCCTGTTCTTTGTCTGAGCAAGCAAGGGATAGGGCAACCTTTTTCTCTGCAAGATGATGGAGGAGGCGCCTAGCACATGAACCATCGCGATACCGACTATTCTCTCGCCCGTCACGACCAAAGTTCCTTCCAAAGAGCCCTGATCAAATCGGGAGTTGTTCAGCCAGCCACCAGAAGCCTAGCCGCCAGAGTCAATCGACAAAATACCGCCCGAGCATTTTGCTGGTTCGCGACCCCGTCCTACGGCTCGTATTCTCCCTTGGCAGCGGCGCAAGTGGATGGGCTTCTTTGTTGCCTTTCAGCCTGATGAGTCGACGCAAATGATGCTGATGAGGGTTTGGAAGTGAGCCTGTGGGCGGTGCCCTGTGCCTCACTACAGAGGCTGTGGTTGAGGTCATGGGTGTTCTCTTGAGGATCCCATGGAAGAGTACCGTGTACTCCTACTCACTGTGGGAAGGGGTAGGACTGCCTCTACTATACGGAACTCTGGCCATACAAGCTTCCCTCCCACAAAGCTTAGAGAGTGGCTTCTAACTCTACAAGCCAAGTGAGTAACTTGGACGTCCATCATGGTAAGTTCCCCCGACATCCACCAACCCAGCAATACTCCAGACGTTCAGGTTGAGGTAACAACCCCCCTTCAATTCCAGGATGTCACTTCAGGATGCAAGTGCCATTGCGGCAAACTGATCCCCTGGAAATGGGCTGCTCGATGCTCTAGGACCAGACAATGTCCCGACTATTACTCGCTCCACTGCCACAAGGACGACTGCAATCTCAAGGAATGCCGGTTCCACGGCCACTGCTGGGATGGCCACCTCCCCAAGAGCTCCAAGCTGGCAGCCTTGCACGTTCCGGTCGGATTGACAGTACAACATCTCCTAGTCAGGGACATCATTCACTCCGAAGATCAGACAGAGACGCTGAGGCAGCTCCACGAACAGAATGCCGCCACGCGATGGTTCAACATCCGCCATCGCAACTCCCAACCAGTTCTGTACGTCTACGATCGATTTGGTCCCCTGTGTGAGCCGATGGGCTCCGATCCGACAACATCGTCAACTGCAGCAATGTTTCCCACTTTTGTCTCATTCATCGGCAAGTCCGGGGTGGGCAAGTCCACGTTGGTGAGGGCGATGCTCTTGTTAGGGAATCTCAACGTCCAACAGGTCCAAGACGACGACATTTACAACCTCTCCACGAACCAAAGCCGGGTGGACACCATCATGGCTGCCATATCTTCGCAGCAGGAAATGCCAGTCACCCGGTCGGGCCACGTCGACCACGCCGCAGACCCAACTACGCTGGGCGTCCATCTCTACAAGGACGAAAGGGGCTCGAGCTCGAGCTCGAGCTCCCGCTCATCCACAGACGCTACTGATGGCTTCACCTTGTTTGCCGACTGCGAGGGGTTCTTTGCTGGGGCGGCCCAAACAAATGCCGAACGGTTCACCGCAGATCAATGCAACAGGGCCAGAACGGCCATGCCGACGACCACCAATAATAACAACAACCACAAGATCGCCAATGAAGACGCCACAGAGGCCAATGTCCTGTACAAGGCGCCCGTGACGGCAGCCAGCTACGCGCGGCACGGCCAGCAAGGCGCCGAACTGTTCTACGCACGATTCCTCTACGCCGTCAGCGACGTCGTCGTCTTCGTCACCAACGAGGACCAAAACATCACGCTGCTGCTCGTCAACGCACTCGAGTGGGCCGCCACCGCCGTCATGCACTCGGTCAACTACCCGTCGCGCAAGACGCTCATCATCGTCCGCAACGGCGCCCTCGGTCACAGCCGCCAGTTCGTGGACAACGAGCTGCTGGAGCGGCTCTACTTGGACCGCCAGGCCTTTCTGTGGAAGTCTTCGTCCATCCTGCAGGACTTTGTCGACGACTACAACAGCCGGCAAGATGGGTTCAGCAAGCACATTTACCGGAACCGTGACCTCTACGACGCCCTGTACGACAAGATCATTTGCTGCTGCATCCCCCACGTCAACGACATTGATGAACGCGGCGACGAAACCATGTTCTCCCAATATCTGAAGCTGCGAACCCAGATCGACGAGGCCTCGCAGCGGGCGATCAGCATGCGGTCCAAAGGTTGGATGAAGTACAACGTCTCGTCCCTCTCGCAGGTCCTCTTTTCGGCCTTTGAACACTTTCGCACCAATGACGGGGCTTTCAATTTCAACGAAGTCTCCCGCATCAGCAAGCCCAATCCGCAGTCGTTCTCCGATCACGTCGCCAATTTCTTGCGGCTGGCACTCGAGTCTTCACCATCGGGCACGGCGCGGACAATGATACCGGATATCATCGCGTTGAGCTTTGTTGTTTGGGCTATGAGGAGTCTCATCCATGGTAAGAGAACATGTTTCCCTTCCAGTTATTTTTTGCTGTGCCTGTTACCAGTTGGCGTCCCTTGGCTGAAATGCTGCTGTAGTGGTGGACCCAGCACACCTCTTCGACCGGTTTAGCGACAGTGACAAGGAGGAATTCTCCCTGGCACAACGCTGTCACAGCGCCCTGCAAGAGTACCAAGAAAAGTACCAACAGTGCGGGTACAAGTTCTCAGAGAACGACTTTTGCACCAACGGCCCGGGTAGTGCCCACCAACGTCTCCATCTGTCGATGTCTAAAAAGAGAGTGGATGGGGAATTCACACCGAGACATCACTTGGACACCAACTTGGTGAGCGCGATTCGAGCTCGATTCTTGGTCCACTATGAAAGCGTGGTGAGTGACGACGGGACCGGGCACCGGTCGATGACGAAGCCCGCGCCAGGCAGGATCAGGAGAGTTCGACAGGCCGTCATGCAAAAGTACAATGGGCAATGGACTCGGATGACCAGCAACATCACCTGTCTGGCTTGTCTGCAGGCGGTGCCGGAGAATGTCCTGCACTGTGGCCACGGATACTGCGTCCAATGTGTCCGCGAGCTGGGCCGGCCGTCGGAGAGCTTCGAATCGGCATGGACATTCGAGGTCTGCCCACTCTGCAGTGCGCGCATGGGCGACAACTATTCCCATTTGATCAGAGAAAGACCGCGGTGCGCCGGCGTGCGCATTCTGACCCTGGACGGCGGCGGCATCAGGGGCATCATCGAACTTGCCATTATCCAGGAGATGGAGAAGAGACTGGGCCTGCCGATTCCCTTCCGCGACTATTTCGATCTTGTCGTCGGAACCAGCACAGGTAAAGTAGTCGTCGTTCTAGAGAAAGACACTATGAAGAAATACTGATCGTCTGGACAGGTGGAATCATCGCACTGGCACTGACAATGGGGGATCGAGATGCCAACACCCAGACCAGCCTGATGACGGACGCCTTCAAGTCGTTTGCATCCTCGACCTTTGCCCACCCGCGAGCGGGCAGCCTCCTGACGAAGATCGGCCTGGGCCACTTTGTCACGAGCGTGGTCATGTCCTTTGGCCTGTACCAGGCCCTGTTTGACTCGACACCGCTGGAGACGGGGCTCAAGAAGTTCTTCGGCACGCAGACAAGTCTCTTCGGGTCAGCGCGCACTCGCCATCATCAGTGCTCGACCCGCGTCGCCGTGGTTGCGACCAAAGAATTCGGAAAGCGAGCACACCTGATCACGAGCTACAACCGACCGACTCTGGGACCGGGCAGCGATTTTGAGCGCGAAGACGACGAGAGCAAAGGGATGCGGATCTGGGAAGCCGGACTGGCCACGGCGGCGGCGCCGTTCTATCTGGCTCCGTTCAAGAAGGCCGAGACGGGGATCCTGTACTTTGACGGGGCGTTGCACATGAACTGCCCGGCGCCGGGGGCCGTCGAGGAGATCAGGAAGCTGTGGCCGGAGCCGCACAGCCCGTCGCTCGACGTGCTCGTCTCGGTCGGCACGGGCATCCAGGAGTCCGAGGTCAAGATCCCGCGGGCGATCCGCATCGGCGGCTTCGAGGAGATCTGCCGCACGTTCCACAGCAAGCTGGACTCGGAGAACCAGTGGCAGGAGTTCATCGCGAGCGGCGCGACCGACGGCATCCGCGACCGCCTGCACCGCCTCAACCCGCCCATCGACGAGCAGCTGCAGAAGGTGACGCTGTGGCAGTGGAACAAGATGGCCAAGCTGGAGGACATGGTGCAGCGACAGATGCGCGAGCCCGAGTGGCGCGCCCGCCTTGACAACGCCGCCAACGCCCTGCTGGCCAGTCTGTTCTACTTTGAGCCGGACGGCGATGCGCCTTGTTCGTCATCGTCATCGACAAACAACCTCACACCCACGGGCACACGGCACGTCAACAATAGTCACAACAACAACAATAATAACAACAACATCAACCCCGAAATCCAAGGCACGATCCGCTCGCGCCTCCGCCACGGCAGCGCCGAGCTCGCGCGCCTTCTAACCCGCGTCACGGGCTTCTTCTACACCACGCTCTCCATGTCGCGCAGCAGCCCGTGGTCGCTGCTGCAGCACGACCCGTGGACCGAGATCGCGGCCTTCGCGGCCGTCAAGGACGCCGTCATCCAGTCGGGCCAGCGGTTCCGCGTCCCCGTCCGCCTCGACGAGCCGTCCGAGACGAAGCTGTTGGTCCTGGCCGTGCGTCTGCACGACTGCTCTGCCCCGCTGCCCATCAGCGGCTTTCCGACCCTGCTGCACGAGTTGCACCGCAGGGCCAGGTCGTGGGATTAGTGTGACCCGTCTATCCTGCATGTACCGCAACGTCAGGTCGTGAGATTAACATAATCATGGATGGATGTACTGAGTACTGAGTACATGTGGCTAGTTTGACTCTTGAGTTTTGGCGACTCTACATCGCGTCGTGTCGTGTCGTGTCGTGTCGTGTCGTGTTGTGTCGTGTCGAGCCGGTGATGGGAAGGAAGAAGCGCTTTCGAATGGAAAGAAAACAGAGTGGTTGGCTGACTTTGGTCACATACCGAGTACATGTGAATGAAAACGTAGTTGATTGATCAAATCGAAAACAAAGGATAAGAGAGAGAGAGAGAGAGAGAGATTTCGCAAGAGAGGAAACATTCTCTGACAAAGATATCAACTCGAGCCTCAATCCCCAGCCAGACTCGAGGTGAATATACATGACATGACGTGACATGTAGAACTATCCGAGTATGGATCGAGCATGTGCCATCTACACGGAACATGGGCTTGTCGCGTAGCATACCGTATAAAATGTCCGCATACCGCATACCGCATACTTATGGACTGCGCGTACTCGTACAAAGTAAGTAAATAAGCAAGTATGTGATGTGATCGGTCTGACTTCAGAAAGATAAGAAGAAAGATAATGTGTTTGTATGATCAATTGCTCCTTGCTCTTCGTAAGTGCTTTGATGAATCATACATACATCAACCGACAGCCGATTGTGGTGCAAGGCCAGGCAAGGCATGCATTTCCGACCGACCAGGTTTCGCCATGTTGTGACTATGAACATTCCATTCCTCTCTAATGCATTCATGCATGTCCCTCCAATCCATCGTCCGTCCCTTGTCGACACCGGTGCCCCCCTGCCCAACTTAACCAATGTATGTGAGAGAGTCGGTGGTAATGTTTTTTGTTGTGTCCTGTACTGATTTGCACCCGCAGTGCAAGAAAATGCTTGGTTGATGCTGAACCATGTCGAGAAATCTATTTACCCATAAACGCCAATTTCCTGGTTGAGTCGCTATGTCCAGTCCGCTAGTTTTGGATCCTTTTAGAAAACATAATGTCGATTCTCCTATCCCTTTTGTCGCATTTCGCAAGGAGATATTACACATCCAATCGTCCGCTTCATTCGTGTCCGTCAAAACATTCTTCAATTTCGTCGAGTGTACATGTTTCTTAGTCCTGTTGACAATATTAGCGTATGTTTTCAGAAAGATCTCGGGACTGTGCAAAAATACCTCATCGGTCAGGCGGTCCAGCAATTGAATGCTCAATATCATGACCAACAGCCCAAGCGTGACCACGACAAGCAATCCAAAGCCGAACCAACCAAGCACCATTGCGGCCGTGCCGACTCCCGATTTGACACTTCCATTCCCCAAGTCCTGCGCTACCGTGCTTGCTGCTACAGCCGCGGTGTGTTGCCACATCACGCTGACCAGCACAAACACCGACGAAATAAATATCGTTGCGAGCGCCACCTGTGACACTGCTCTTGAAGGAAACGGTCGGACTTCGTGTTCTGATCCATCCGGTCCTGTCGACGTGTGCCAGCCAGGGAAAGTCGCCAGCAGCAAAAATGTGAGGAACGCCAGTACAATGGCAATGATGAGCAGGTAGGGGAACACAATGGCGTTCTTGAACGTGCTGGCTACCCAGATGAGATTCAATGGGTCTTGATCAATCGACACCAGGTCGGCCAGTGCGGTCGAGTTTTGATTGCACATCCATGCTCCTCCATCAACTCGGATGCAAATGCCAAAGTATCCTACGCGGACATTCAGGTCGGCATTTCCAACAATATTTGCTATCGCAGTGGTGACAGAAGGGTCGACTTGTACTGTGCTGAAAACAGGAGGGTATTTCTGATAATATAATGAGATGAGGTAGATGTCGGGGATGAGCGGAGAGGTTGAGGAGCAGCCTGCTAGCAGGAGTGCTGTGAGAGAAACCAAGTCAGCATTCCGAGAGAAACAAAGCAACAGTAGAGGACGAAATACTCACATAATAGGATGATTGCAATGGCTATGAAGATCATGAGGACATGATGGTAGCCTATGAAGGGCACAAATCTTCTCCACCCTGTTCTAAAGCGTAGAGCCATTGTGCCGTCTTCTCAGGATCCGGTACGTCCACAGGGGATTTTGTGTCTGTGTGTGTGTCGCCGTCCGTACGGACGGAAGTCGATGTTGAAACTCAGCACGAGCACAGGTTTTGGCACTTGGCCGGGTTCGAGTCGTGGTCAAGGTGAGTCTCGATCGGAGGGTCAGCGATGCTGATGTTCAGTCGTAGTGGTCGAAGGTATTAAGCTGGTTTGTTCTGAGAGACAGAATGGTTAGCTGCCTGAGTTTCTTGTGGCAGAGGAAGAACAGATGTAAAGGAAGAGGAAGGAAGAGAGGAGAGAGAGGCGTAGCTTGTTCTAGTCCTGGAGAAATTTGGAGCCTGCAGTGGTCATGGCTGTGATTGGATCTCAGTATGCTGCCATAACTGAAATCCGTGAGGTTGGGTTGTCTAGTACTGGAGAGTGAGTGAATTCTTAGAAATTAATGTGGTGGCAGGAAAAAGCGCAGGTGTAACAAAATGTGGCAGGGCCGGGACTTGAGTGACGAGGCTAGCATCTGTTTTTGTTTTCCCCTTTTGGGTTTAGCTTACCGCCAACCTTATGCTTATTTTTCCTGCCTCGCAGCCTTATGACGTAGCCTTGTTGCCGTTCCGCCTCGGTCTTGGTCTCTTCTTATATCCGTCCCCGGCTCGCTGTCAAGTTGGATCAAACTCCCTTATTGTTTTCTGTCCATCCTTATTATGTACCAAAAGAACTCAGTCATTACATATCCAGTCCAATGCATGGAGGAGGTCTATCATGATCATTCAGTGTTACTGCCCATGGGTTTCTTTTTAACCAATAATACTCGAGGGCATTCTAGTAGCTCATCGTTTCTGCCCAACGCCTCGCCTCATCTCCAGTAGCCAATCCGAACCCTCCACATCGCAATGCAACGCATCCCTGGAAACACAGTAGACGCCAGACAGAATACCCCTAAAACTAAGCAACAAACCATTCATGCCGGTACAAATGCAAATGAACTGAGATCAAACTTGGGCTTCTGTGCCGGTGAGCCCATCTCCGACTTTTCATCTTCGCTGTTTGGTATTATTGCGTCCTCACTACCGCGGCCCTCATGTCGCCAAACAGCTGTGAGAACACATTCATTCCTCCCTTCCGTAGATGTATCATCCCGCTTGACCACAGCCGAAGATGATGCTCCACAGGAACCTTGCTTGTTCAGCGACCTCATGGCTGACTGCTGCACCTCGATTGGTTGATATCCAAAGGTCTTTGGTAGATCCGCTTCCCGACGCGACTGGATCTCTTTGGCACTCGGAGGCTCGCTAGTTATAGCCACCTGGCTCTCTGGTGGAAAACAAGGCGACTGCTTCCTCGATTTCGCAGAGAACAGCGGCCTTGCGAGAGTATTCCAGCCTTCTCGGGGTTGAAACGCAAAGGTCTTCATCAATGACTCATTTTGCTTCTGGATGTGGTATTCGAGTAAATCCTCAAAGGCATCGGGATCATCATCTTTGTTGATCTCCTTGATCTCCCTTACAGCCGCAGTGCCGTCTCTCCGAACCGTGTCTGATCTCGAAGGCTGCTTTGGAGATGCAGCTGTAGGCGAAGACTGTGGTACGGACTCCTGTGATTCTGGGTCTGGAGATGAACAGCGCACGTCCGGTTGCACCAAGACGGTCGCCGTGTCGCCTTTGGCTGGACTTGCCGCTTGCTGGACTTGAGGCTCAACCAATTCTCCAACACAATGGTCGGAAAAGACGTCAAATTTAGACTTGGCATTTCTCTTGTTCTTGCGAATCTTCGAGGCCAAGGGACTGGCCTCTTCGCCCTTGGCGGCGAAAAATGGACTTTGTTTCACATCTGGTGTTGTGGATGGGTCCATTGTGTCTGAGCACAGTCGTTGTCTCTTGACTGACTGAAAGGTTGACATTGTCGAAGCTCTTGCCAGGAAGGCTGTGCGGTCTGTTGCACTAGTAAGCGGTGCTGGTGTTGTGGCACTTTGCCTCAAAGCAGGAGCAGAAGAAACCAGTCTTGGTTCCCAAGACGCATTCCGGTTCCGTTGCAGTAGTCGCTGCTGTGACGGAGAAGGGGTCAGGCTGTTGGGATCTAACTCAGCAAGCGGTTGTCGGTGAGGCTTGAAAAATGTCTCGATCGATTTCTTCGGCTTCAGCTCGGGTGCGGACGCATAGCTCTGGCTCCTGCGCTCTCCAAGCGCGGGGCGAACCAAGGGTTTGCCGCTAAGCTTCAGAGGTTTCTTCGAGAATGGGTCGAGGTCTCCGCAGGCGACACCAAGTGCTGTGGTAGCCTCCACGTGAGGGCCCAGATATGGCATATCCGACTCAGTCATTCCGGGATCAAGTTCGTTCAGAAACACCATTTTTTGTCCGACCGGACAGAAGACGCGGTGGTGGAGAAAGGTCAATTCTGCCTGGCGGAATTGCTCCAGGTAGCCGCTCGGCACAATCAGCTTCCCTTCCAGTTGGACCATCCGAAGGATCTTCTCGATGTCGGTATACTTGCGAACCAGGCCGTGGGCCGTCTTTAAACCCAGTTTTCCAATGTTTGGCAAATAGTCGCAGCCGCTGAGGATCGCCATCCGTCGGAACATCGTGTCTGTCCAACCTGCAAGCGAGATATCTTTGCACATGGGGAAGTCCGACCGTTCGATCTCAAGCAACTCGCCGTATTGATTCAGCTTCGTCAATAACCGTCGGGCACCAAAAACTAGCATGTCCGAGTCCTCGGCCAGAATCCCATTAATGATACCCTTGTGTTCCAGGTAGACCAACTGTGCATCGGCTTCGTATGGCGCAACGATATATGGGACATTGAGCTTCTTCAGTTCCTCGATCAATTGTCGAGCCATAAGAGGGGTGACATCGATGGCTTTCTGAAGTTCTTGATGCGCTTGTGTGGTTTTCCCGGCCTTGTGCAAATCTAACCCCAATGCCCTGCTTTCCTCTCTTTTCTTGCGCCTTGCCGCATTTGTTGCCGCCTTGCTGGGCAGATTATCCCCGTCAAAGACCAGGTAAGGAGTGACACCGAAGTCAAGAAGCATCCGAACTCGGCTCAACACGAAGTCTATGTGGATAGTAGTCGGCTTGTCGAGAGCAAGGGCGAACGCACAGCCCACCACACCTCGATGTAGCCAGCCATAGGCGTCAACCCCAATAGTTTGCCCAGAGAACTTTTTGAGGGTGCAATGCTTTTGGATGGACTTGAGCACAGGCAGCAGGCCTAATATTGTTAGTATGGCATGCGACATGAGGTCAATTGACTTGCCTTTGATGCCCATCTTTATGCGGACACCAGGCTCACCGCCTGTTTATGGGAGATACAGGTGACTCAAAGTGGGAAGGGGGAAGGATAATGCTGCGGCCGTTGTAGGAGATGAGCAGCAATATAGGTGTAAATGGACAGCCCACAGCCATGGGTGTTTTGTTGACACTCGATCTTTGCTGTTGTACGAGTTACATTGCGTGCATACATTCAACTGGTGAGGCAAGCGCCCACCCAACCACGCGCTACGAGTTGGACCGACGCGTCTGGAGCCTTACGAGCCTCACCGGCGCGGGCCGACGTTTTGCCGATCTCCCACCAATTTTTCTGCCAGTGGTCCCCGTGCACAAACTCATCCCATAGTAGAAGCCAGTCAATCTCACAAGGCTTGGAAAGAATTGTTTCTGTATCGTCATACTACGCCCGACATGGCTCGCTCTCTGAATAAAGTCCAGAAACAAATATCCAAAAAGCGAGGAGGAAAACCGAATGCCCTACATGAGAATAGTCGGGATGCAAAGCGTCTCCGACGAGCAGGTGCAAGGGAGGAGAAACTGGCTCGGCTGATGGATGCAGCAGTGAAGGCAAATCAAATATATGGTAGGGCTTTATACAACATTGACATGCTTATGTGCTGAGTTGTGATCACCGCAGTCGACCGGGTGGCATGGTTCAAGTCAGCCCTGCAAGGATCCACAGGGGCCTTGACAGACGAAGAAATGCAACTACTTACGCAGAGGTATGTAAGTCATGTGAATTCGAGGACAAGGGCTCATGGCAGACACCAGCTTTATCGACCGCGAGGATGAAGAACTGGCTGAAGCCAAGCAACAGCGTCGACCTGGAAGACCGCCTACGAAGCTGGAAGAGAAAATCACCCAGCGAAAAGAGACTGAAGAGCGTGAGTTTCGTGCGGGGCTTTGGGTCCCCGAGCTTCGAAACGATGAAAGCCGCGAGAAGGTTGAGAGATGGGCTGGCGAATGGGGCGGGTTGAACACGCTGGATTTCGTCCGTGTTGTGAAGTCGGGTGGCATTAGGCCGTCAAGCTTCCCTCCCAAAGCCCTGTCGTGATTTGAGGAACGTCCTCTGTATGGTCATATCAACCAAGTCGTCCGAGGCTGTTTCTCTTTCCCCGTTTGAGGGTATTTCAGGGTCTCGACCAGCAACACCCCTTTGTCAGAGCACGGGTGCCATCGAATCAGTTATATCAACATTCGCCTCTTGTGCAATAAGCACATAGACAACCACTCGCCACGAGCGCAAATCGATATGTCTCTGCGAGAGTTCAGAATCCTCGACACGGGAAGAATGCACACAGCAAAACTCTCGGATCATGGCACTACCACTCCGACAAGACCGCGGAGGGTTTTGGTTTAGTTGGTGACCGACACTTCGATTTATCGATGAGCGGAATCGCCGCGTCACCGAGAGAAGAAATTGTCCCTGAGACAAGAAGATCCTTGGGGATTCGTGCCAGCAACGCGAGATGTCTGCTGGGCTGAATCTAAGGAATTTTGATCGGTACGCAGAACACGAGAGGCACGAAGGTTATCATGGAAACACCTTCGACACCTCCAAACTGAATATAATGGGCTGGGATTGATTTCCTGGATACTATTCGCCTAGAGCGCAGACCAGCTGCTGCCGATGCTTATTGAGATGCTCTACAGTTGAAGTTTGAGACACCAAGCATAGAAAGGTCGAAGTGTTGCCGTCTCCTTTCCCGTCACCTGACTCGTAAAAAGGGGTCTATCATGTGATGACATGACTCGCGTCCAAAATTTATTGGAAACTTTCTCGAACTGCTTCATCTCTGCGTTTGTCCATTTTCCTGGTCCAGAAATTTTCCCCCTTCTACTTCCTGTTCAATTCTAGAATTCTCTTGCACCTTTCTGTTCTCAACATGTTGTCACTGCGGTTACTCAGCCGGGCACTGCCCAAGAACGTCCTGCGTCAACCGGCAATCCGGTCCGTGTCGTCCATAACGAGATTCGCAACTCGTCGGCCGCAATGGCAATCGGCTATGAAGCCATCATATCCCGCATTCTCAACTTCTGTTGCCCGAAGAGAACCTGCAGGCCAATGTCAGTAGATGCAACTATGGCTTGAGTTCTGGCTAATGCAGGTTACAGCGGATGAGGCCCTCGTCGCAAAACTGAACAATGAACGCATGCTTGAGCTCCAATCACAGAGCGATGACAGACAGGCCGCCATCAATGAATTCCTCGAGAATAGCCCCTTCAAGGTCCAAGACAAACCTGGCTCGCACGAGATTGTCCTGACCCGAGACTTTGGCAACGAGAAGTGAGGATCTTGGTCAATACGTTACATGCTGATGCTAACAACCACAAGAATCAAGATTCAATTGAGTGTCTCTGACCTCTCCGAATACCCGGCCGAAGACGAATTCGACGCCCTAGATGAAGATGGTGCTCTTTCTGACGAACCCGACTTCGAGGTTCGAAAACGAGGCATCAATCAACCCGGTGGAAGAGGAGGAAAGGTCGATGTTATGCCGGAGGATAGCATTGCCCCGGTTGACAGAGCCGAAGGAGGAGAAGAAGTCGACGACGTGGCAAATGTCACGCCTGCATACCCTGCTCATATGACCATCACAATCACTAAGCCCGGCAACAAGGCCATTGAAATCCGGGCTGTAGCTCAGGACGGCACCATCGAGATCGAAAACGTCTGCTTCTTCCCCAAAGACTCGCTGCTCGAGGCACAGAGTACCAAAGACGCTTCAGAAGCGCGCAGCCTGTATGCAGGCCCGCCTGTTGAGGATCTCGATCCCGAACTCCAGCAGATGCTCCACCAGTATCTGGAAGAGAGAGGGATTGACGAGGAACTGGCCAGCTTCCTTCCAGAGTACCTCGATTACAAGGAGCAGAAGGAATATGTCAAATGGCTCGAAGGTGAGTTGATATACCCGGGTAAATTTGCGGCGGTGCTAACCTCTGAATAGATCTCGAGAACTTTGTCAAAGAATGAAGCTCCCTACCCGGGCTGTGTTTCTATTATTGGGAATTGCTTCCTGCCCGTTTCAGTAGATCCTCCACTTTGAGCAACATCTGTCATGTCCAAAAAAGGTGTACTATATGTTCAGGGACGACCCTGGACCAACAATGAAATAATTTCGATACCCAGTTGACGTGTTGGTCAACCACATTGAATTTTTATGGTTCAGCTTCAACCACAAGTAGATTCGGTGGCGAGTACGGTTGATTTGTTCATCTTTGTGACTCGTGGGAAAGTAATAGCTAATAGTTGGGAGTTGGCATAAGTCTCACTGAATAATGTCCCAGTACTAATTGGTGAACCTCACTCCGTGGGGTGTGGCGCGTTCCGCGGCTCACGCTTGAGCAAATGTTTGGTCTGAATGGGTCGACACGGATGGTTACCGAGAGTTTGCACAACAGTTCCCTCCATGGACAAGACTACGTACTCGTACACGTCAGCTTTGGCTGCTTAGTTTGCAACTATCTCTAACTCTCTCTGTTCACCCGCACCCTGAGACAGGTCACACAGCCGGCAGATGCCTTGTTGCGCTTCTCGTATCCGGCCTTCGTATACCTGGACATTCTCCGTATCCTACATCGTATTCGACTCCACCGACAATCACCTGCCTCGATTTCTCCTACCCCTCACGCTTCGGACTGGTGCTGACACCTCCCAGCCAGCATGGCTTGATTCCTTGCCGAAATCCTCCTTCAGTCGGTGTAATCGATGAGCCCGAGTCCATCGACCATCCAATAACGACCAAATGCCTCCAAAATGAGTCTGAACAACGCGGGGGCTGGAACCATTCATGGACGCCTGATGCTCAATGTGGCCGGGGGCTCTAGAACCCCCCGGGCAAACCCAGCTGTTACATCATCCTTACAGGCTCAAATGTGATCGATTCTGGGCATGACCCGCCTAACTAGACTCCTCCCCCGAGTTCACATTCATGGAAATGGGGTAGGTGGAGAAAGATGCACACATCTGATAGGAACAATGCCAGACCAGAAGTACACATTAGGGAGATCCCTGTCAATCAGAACTGTACGAGATGTCACGATGTATACGGTGACCTAGGCTCAAGGTTTCAAGTATCACGGACCTGCATCCCCTTCCAGTACTACTACGCGAAACTACATTGTCCACCAGACCTTTAAATCCCTGACATCTCGACGCTGTAGTTTCCCTCAACTATCACTTGAGCAACTTGCCTGCAACCAAGCGCTCCGGCATTTATCGCCTCGTCTTCGGATCAGCCCAGCATGAACCACTACCTGAACTTGGGCCTCGGCTTCATCGGGGTGTCGATCGTCTACTTCTTAGTCGCTTCTTTCCTTGCAAAGCGCTACCATGCTAGAAAAGCCAAAGAGCTTGGATGTCAACCAGCCTGGGAGCGCCCTTATCGGTGGCCGTTGGGCATTGACTTGGTCTGGGAGATTGTTCAGGCAGACAAGAACAACATTGTTCCCAGTTACTTCCTCGACGTCTACAACAACAGGACTGGCAAAAAATCAACATGGCAACAAAATATGCTGGGAACCATGGGCTACGTGACATCGGATCCCAAAAATATCCAGGCAATACTTGCTACTCAATTCAATGAGTTTGAGCTTGGAGAAGTGCGACGTGGCAATTTCTTCCCCATGTTGGGCAATGGCATCTTCACCACTGACGGCAAAGCATGGTGAGTAGACACTCGCCCTCAAGGCTATGCAGCGTACACCCCTGTTGATACAATCAAAGGGAACATTCTCGGACTCTTCTCCGCCCTCAGTTTGCTCGCCAACAGGTCGCCGACTTACAATTGGAAGAAATCCACGTCCAAGACATGTTTAGGCATCTGACCACCACGAACGGGTGGACTGCTCAAGTCGACTTGGTCCCGCTTTTCTTTCGTCTGACGCTCGACTCTGCCACCGAGTTTCTCTTTGGCCAAAGTGTGGACTCACAACTCACCGCTTTGCCTGGCTACACGCAAAAGGCCCGGAAACCTGGTGAACTGGACTGGACGGCATTTGCTTCCTGCTTTGATGGCGGCACCAATGCTCTCGGCGTCCGCGGTAGATTGGCAGAGCTGTATTGGCTATACAGCCCTAAGCACTTTTATGACAAATGCAACGAGGTCCACAGGTTTGCTGACTACTATGTCAATCTTGCATTGACTACCGACCTGTCGTCGTTGAGTGAGCACCACCTGGAAAAGGGCCAAAAGAAGGAGAAGTACATCTTCTTAAAGGAACTTGTGCAACAAACACGGGACCCTATCGAGCTTCGGAGCCAATTGCTAAACATTCTTTTGGCCGGTCGCGATACAACAGCGGGTCTACTTGGCTTCACCTTTTACTCGTTAGTCAGACATCCCGACGCCTTCAAGAAATTACGTGAGATCATATTAGAGGATTTCGGCACCTACGAAGATCCCAAGTCGATTACCTTCGAAACACTCAAGGCTTGCTCGTATCTACAAAACGTCCTGTCCGAAACACTTCGACTCTATGCCACTGTGCCCTTCAATAGTCGCCGGTCAAATCGGGACACAACCCTCCCTCGCGGCGGAGGTCCGGACGGTAATTCGCCAATCTATGTGCGAAAGGGGACAGAGGTGAACTACTCGGTTCACATTATGCATCATCGGGAAGATATCTGGGGACCTGATGTGGAAGAATTCAAGCCCGAGAGATGGGTTGGACGGCGACCGGGCTGGGAATTCCTTCCGTTCAACGGCGGCCCTCGAATTTGTCTTGGACAACAATTTGCGCTGACGGAAGCCGGCTACGTTATTGTCCGCATGCTGCAGAAGTTTGACGTTATCGAGACTTACGAGACTGATCCAATCACGCGCTTTTCCTACGGACTCACCACTGCACCCTTGCGCCTTCCCGTCCGTTTCCATGAAGCATCAGCGAATTGAAGAGGATTTGAAGTGCATCATACTGTTATAATGGATTGGAACGCGGCTGCCTTCCACGAGGCAGTGTATCGGCCAGCATCTGAAACAAAGTTTTATTGCAGTTCTCGCCTCTCGCTCGCACTCTCTTTGCAATACTTCATCAAGTATCCTTCAGTGTCCAGATACAAAGACCGTATTCATCCTCTATCTTTCGATCTATTCAAGCCTTCATCCACACTACGCTGTCATGACCTTGATTTCAGGCGCGCTTCTTCTCATTGCTTTCAATATATTGTACCCAACCGCACCTGTCTATTCTCTGCCTGTTCACCCGCTGACTCGCGATGAGAGCTTCTCCCTCCCTCGAATCGCGGTTAGTGGAGCCCCCAACATGGGGACAGGTGTACCATCAATTCTCTTACTCGAAACTGAACGAGGCCGTCGCTGTGCTTTAAACGGCGAAACGCCCTGTGAAGCAGGCATCTTGACCACTACACCCGGACGGTCACATCAACCCAAGCTCCCAGGTACTGGTATAGTGTTTTCTCCTCGAGACTCTATTCCGCCGGGCTGGGAGAAAGGGGCCTTGACTACGAGGTACATTGCAATGGCATCAGCATGTGGTTCTTTCTTAGTCGGGCTCCTTCGCATGTTGTACAATGAGCGGAAGGAAACGGCTTGGTGGTTTCTGAGACATCGAAAAGAAACGGCGCATGCTCCAGAAGAACAGAACCATCACAGTAGCACAAGTATGAACAACACAGACCAGGTCAACTGAGTTAGAAGGATGTTTCCAAACTTCCCAGGATCTGGACCATGGAAGCACTGGACCATCTACCGTCACTTAGTCGACACTACCAAGCTCAGCATTGTCACCTTCAACTCTGCCACACGCAGTGATCCCTGTGGATGCCGACATCAATGGTGATGAGGGAACCACCCACCAGACACAGGACGGCTCCCTCATACAGGTGGAGTGGGTAAGAAGGTGAGCTATCGCTCTCGCCATCTTCGCCATCTATCATGCCCCTGGTTGTCTATTGGTCGATACTCCGCACTAGCCGTGGGCACACAAGATAAGCCAGCACGTGCTAAGCGATGACGTTCGAGGAACCCATGGATTGTGACGTCGCTATGGGATAGAGAGCAAACCACAGAACACAAAGCTGGACCTACCACTCTTAACTACGTACATTGTAGTATTGCTTGCGTGGGATCATCGATCGATAGTCCTGTAGATAGATAGCCACCTCGCTTTGTGGATAGGTGGATGGATAGGGATACCCGTTCGAGCCACGCCAATCCAAATGAATTCTCACACTAGGTACAAAATACGTCCCCCATTACGTTCGATGGTCTGAAGGGGCCAGAAGCAGGTTTTTGTGAGTGGCTAAGAGTCTGGACCCAGACACACTTGCAGAAGAATAGGTCTCATATTCCCGTATTCCCATATTTCTTTCACCGTGGCTCCCCAGTCTCAAGCTTGTGCAACAACCTACCTCGTACATTCCACCAACAGTCCCCAAAAGCAGTGTCCTCAGGCAGCAACAGTACAGCGCCACCGAGCATGTCCTACTCGTACCCGACGATCCTCATCCTCTCGGTGACGGGCATCTTCACATTCCTCACCGTCGTGGCCGCGACCGTCTACTTTGCGGGCTACGCCGACGACGTCGCCGAATGGTGGGCCAAGCGGTATTACAAGGCCAAGGCCGTCGCCGAGGTCAAGCTGATGGAGAACGTGGGCGAGGACAAGGTCCAGGGGTTGGTCAAAGGTTAGTTTTGTAGCTACTCTTTTCTCAGAATCTTTACCAGTTCTCAAGTGGAAGGGGGTGTTCTTGTTGGTAACTAGCTAATGTGGCTGTGTACCCGACGAAATAGACTCGCTGAAGAAGAACCCCGTCATGGGCAAAGACGAACTCGACCAGGTCTCGGGCGGTCTGGGCCAGGAGGCCGTCAACGAGGGTCTCGGCGGTGTCAGTGGCAAGCTGGGCGGGTTGGGGAAGTTGTGAGGAGCCATATCGGACGCTCTCCCGATCGATGCGATCTGTCTTCTTGGGGGTCTGTGGACGGGCTCAGCTTGTCGGGTGCGGTTGTGGAACCAGAGCAGGTTGATATCTTGCATTGCGCAACAGGTGCTCAAATAAAGACTTGCTGAGAAGCGTGGGCGTGTTGTGATGGACATGGATGGTGTCGTCCGTAAGTGTCCTCACTGTGTTTGATGGAGAACCTAAGTAATGTACGAGGTAGATAGATAGCAATGAAAGAAGTCAAAGCCAATGGGTTTGAAAGCTCACGTGACAGCAAGCACGTGAATAATATCACGTGACCGGTGATCAGGACATCCCGTCTATATGTGATAGCGCCGCTCGCAGCTTGGCATGTTCTGCCATAGGGGCTTTTGGGTGTCAAAAGCGCTATTTAGCTCAGGGGCCCCCTGCTCTATGACAATATGGCACCAGTTGATGGCGGCTTCGCCAAACTGAGTTTCAAAGCTATTCAGGTCGGAATTCCGGAACAGCCTAGACATGAGCATTTCCGGCGCGGAAATGCCTTACCAAGTCGTGGCTGTACAACTCTTTAAAATGACCGATATGCTGGTGAATACCGAGGTAGGCCACTGAACGTTGAGGCAATGGTAAGTCCATGTCTTGTTGTTCAGAGCAACCTTGGCTGAATGGAATCCCGGCTCAACCTGTTCAAAAGCTGCTCATATTTCTGCAACAAGCTGCATTTTATTGTACTGCAGCAACACGAGGTTGATTGAAACATTTCCTGCTAGCATCGCCGCCTCGAGTTTCCAGTCAGAATGAATCTACCGTTCATTTGGGCCACGGCCAGTCTTTCCGTACGTCTCTCACCTGCTTCCAGTGAGAAATTTGAAATTCAGAGCCAAATCTTGCAGCTCATCATCGTCGTGATCGGGAGACTGATCTATAATGCGTTCTTTCATCCACTCAGTGCATATCCCGGACCTAAGCTCTGGGCAGCCTCAAGACTGCCATGGTTTTGGTCAACGACGCACGGGAGGATTTATAAAGATCTAACAAGTCTTCACATGAAATATGGTCCCGTGGTGAGAATTGCGCCGAAAGAATTGTCATATGCGTCAGGTGAGGCATGGAAGTCAATGTAAGATCGATCCCATTATTTCATCCATTATATCCCTTGCCAAAGACGCTGATGTCCTTGGATAGATACGGTCATCGACCTGTTGAGATGCCCAAGGATCTCCGTGGTGCGGGTCTGCTCCCTACCTTTGCTGAAGGTGATTCCCTCACTCATGCAAATCGGGAATCACATCAGCGCATGAGGCGAGCCATGTCCCACGCCTTCTCCGAGAAGGCCCTTCGCGAACAAGAAGAAATTATTCAGTCCTATGTCGATCTCTTGATGAGCAAACTGGAAAACATCTGCCAAAGAGAACCGCAAGACCTTGTCAAGTGGTTCAATTGGACGACATTTGACATCATGGGCGATCTTGCGTTCGGCGAACCGTTTCATGGCCTCGCAACCGGTGGATACCATGAATGGGTGACACTCATCTTCAACGGGGTCAAGGTCTACCCGTGGCTGCAGGCTGTGGTTTACTACAAGCTGCTTAGGCTCAGTCGGTGGTTAGTTCCACAAAAGTATTCCCAGGCGAAAAAAGACGCAGATGCGTTGGCTTATCAGAAGGTTGAGCAGCGGGTTGCTCGCACGAATATCGACCGAAAGGATTTTCTCTGGTATATCCTGCGCCACAACGACCCTAAACTCGGCTTGACCATGCCCGAGATACAAGAAAACGCCGTGATCTTGATCATTGCAGGAAGCGAGACTACTGCAACTTTTTTGTCAGGTCTCATGTATCTCCTCCTCAGTAACCCAAAGGTTTACAAACGTTTGGTTGATGAAGTGCGGACGAGCTACACATCTTACGATGATATCACCATGGTCAAGTCGCAGAGTCTCGTCTATCTTGACGCCGTGATCCACGAGGGTTTTCGGATCTATCCCCCTGCACCTGCAACTACGCCCCGCATTGTTCCTGGTAAGGGCGAGAACATCCTAGGACAGTGGGTACCCGGAGACACGACCGTTGGCGTGGCACCTTACGCTGCCAGCCATGATCCCAGGAACTTCTTCCGCCCAGAAGACTTCCTGCCCGAACGCTGGCTGTCTGCGGACAAGCATGCTGATGGTGATGTTGCGGCTGACAAGTTCAGTGGAGACGACAGAGCAGCAATGCAACCCTTCTCCTTTGGGCCGCGGAATTGTATCGGAATGAAGTAAGTGCTCCTACAACTTCGATGACAGTTGTCGATCGTGGATTTACGACTGACTCGGGCTTCTAGTATGGCATACTCCGAAATACGTCTGATTGTATCCAAGCTCCTGTGGAGGTTTGATCTCAAACTTGCAGCTTGCCATCAAGGAGGCAACTGGCTCGACCAGGAGATGTACACTCTCTGGGAGAAGCCCCCTCTCATGGTAGAACTAGTGCCTGCATGTGGGAGTGAGTGAGCGATCGTGGATGGTCACGAATTGGGCCCCACTCAAGTCTGACTGAACCCACCAGATGATGTTATCCACCTCATTGTGGTTCGTCCGACTAATTATATAGTACGAAAATGATATATGCAGAGTCACATGACCCTTTGGGCGCTTCCTTCCCTATTGGGATAGGTTGCTCACCTACTTCTACAAGTACCATACCTAATGGAACCTCTCCCCTCCCTCTCTGACACGATAAAGACGCCATTGAGGCAGTTTGTTCGTTCTACCTCCCGCGTCGCTCCGATGTCAGCAATATAATGTCCGCGCCATCTCCTACGCTCAATCCTTAGCGAAACAAGCGAGGAGTCATGCACGGTCTGCATAGATTCGATGAGCATGATCTCCAACCAAAGTGCCTCAGGTGGAGTCAAAAAATCAGACCTTGGGGGTGAGGACGGGCTTCGACACCATCCTTGCCTATAGGCAGGTCAAGACGCAAGTCTGGGTAAACAATAGGCGCCGAGCCGCCTCCCTCATACCAGTGTTCGACCAGCAAATGTCCGCAACATTTGAGTGTCGGTGTAACGACTCGTGCTATAACACAAAACGAAATAGGCTTCCATTCACCACTTCATTTCCTGGGGCCCCGTATGGAGAGCATGTTCTATACGAATCTTGGCTTTGTCCGGTGGCAGATGGCGTCTCGAATAGGGCACCTGTTATCTCCATTCCGCTCTCTGGTCGAGCTGCTCCTACAAAGAGGGTGCCGTTGTATGATTATCACGACTCGCGTTGATACGAACCCACCAAGCCTTGTATTCAATATACCGGCCATTGTGAAAACCCATATTAGTCGCTGTCACAGCCGAGCTGAAGATCAGGAGATCTACCAACTGTTCCAACTTCGCTTGAGCACGAACCCTGCCATCTCCGCGAATCACTGAACGACCAAAACCAAGCAGTCTGCCTCTGCTCTTCAACAATCACAAGCATGCAAGCATCTCCTGCATCTATCGAGGGAGAGAATGTGAAGATGCAAGTCGCCGCAGACCATGTCGACCTTCCACCAGATGCTTCCGAAGACAGCAATGTCAGCCTCTGGAGAGAACTGCGGGCGATTAAGTGGAAGAAATGGCTCGTCATCATCTCGCTGGGCTTCATCTACAACATGGGCATCAGCATCTATCTTTGTGTCTCTCCGATCATTGGAATTATCAACGCCGACATAGGCCCCGACCCTGCGTACAGCTGGCTCCCTACGTGCTGGACCGTGGCAACCGGCGTCGGCTTGATCGTTGCTGGTACACTCTCCGATGTTCTCGGACGAAGATGGTTCGTCATTGGAACAGGAGTTTTGGGGGTTGCAGGTGGTATCTGTGGAGCATTGGCTCAGAACATTCCCACTGGTAAGAATCAAGTGCTTGCAACCTGCATCTGGTTCTAAAGACGGTGGCTCATTCCTTGATAGCACTGGCTTCCCTAACCGTACTTGGCCTGAATCACGCAGGAGCAATGAACACTCTTGCAGCAATCGCTGAGATCGTTCCCACTCGTCTGCGTGGCATTATCCTCGGCGCCGTCAATGCGGGCATCTTGGTCTGGGCAACATGCGGATCTCTGATCGGACATGAGGTCGCTGTCCACACAGCCCCAGGATGGAGAACCTTGTTTTGGATTATTGTGGCTGCAAATGGCCTCGCAACTCTGCTTGTGGCTATAAACTACTTTCCGGCGAAGCCACTTGCTGCAGGAATGAAGACTCGACGTCAACTACTAAAAGAGTTCGACTATGTCGGCCTCGCCCTGGCTACCGTAAGTCTCATCTTCCTGGCGTCGAAAGGTCTGCCACTCTTGCTCATGTCTGATTAGGCTGGACCAACCTTGTTCTTCGTTGGCATCAAGTACGTTCCGACTTATGGAGCGAAGAGCGGATACTTTCTGGGACCTTTCCTTGCGGGTATCGCTCTCATGGTTTGTTTGGGATTCCACCAGGCCTTCTATGCTTCGAATCCTATAATGAAACGTTTCCTTTTTCGACGCGTTCGCGAGTTTACCCTCATCCTGGTCGTTGCGGCAGTGGGTGGAATGCTCTTCTACTCTATTGTCGCCTTTTTTTCGACGTATCTTCGTGTCATGTTCCATGGAGACAACACAAGAGCAATTGGGGTCGACTATATGCCATTTGGCGCCGGAACAAATGTAGGAGGGGTGTCGTCTGCGTTGCTACTCCCTATTATCGCTCCCATCATTGGGACCAGGCTCCACCTCGCGATTGGAGTCACGCTCCAGGTTATCTTTATTCCACTGATGTGTCTCCCAGCTGCAAACTCGAGGGCCATGGCATTGGCCTTTTCCTTCTTCGCTGGGACAGGTTAGTCACTACTACACAGAGCCTAACATTCATTTATGTACGCTGACCGTCTCCAGGTATCGGCTGGGTCGAGCTGCTCACAATTCTTCTAATCCGGCTGGCAACCCCGGACGAGTGGATCGGAGTTGCAACTGGGCTCCTGGGAATGATGCGGTCTATTGGGGGATCTGCTGGATCCGCGGTCTATACAACCGTCCTCAACAGCAGGAGCGCAGATCTCATTCCCGAGTATGTGAGCTCAGCTGCGCTCGAAGCAGGGCTTCCAGCAGGGTCTTTACGACAACTACTAGGGATCTTGACCGGGGTCGTCACCGGCGAAAGCATTACTGACGTACCGGGTATTACCCCCAGCATTATCCAAGCGTCGACAAGGGCCTTGCACAAAGCATGGAGGGAGGCATTCCAGTATGTCTGGCTTACAAGTATTCCGTTCGGCGTGATTGCTCTTGGTTGCGCGATCATGACCAAAGATGTAAGTTGGCTCAGAAGTATTTATGGCTTTGGTGTGGTTGAGCTAACGTGGGTTCAACCAGCTGACTTACCGACTCTCCCACAAAACGGCCCAACACCTTCGATCTGAAGAGGTTGCAGAATCTTCAGGAGACTTGGAGAAGGACGCAGTACATAAAGGCCCTCACTAAGGCTGCACAGAAGCTACCGACTCAACCCCGAAGGGGAGGGCTCCGGCTTGCCTAATCCTGCACTCGAGACGAAAAACTACGATATCTGTCTAGGAAAACCAGAGCAAGTTCCGTGATTTGAATACCAGAAAGTACATCTTACTTGGCCGCAGCAAAGATAGGAGAACGCAAGCAAGTAAGCGAATATAGAGGAGAGAACAGGCAGGGGAAGACCCATAGCTTCAAGCAAGTGAGCGAACTGGTTTTACTACTTCCATTTCCACTTCAAGTTGGTTACGGCGGTCTGTGATGCCAACCAAGTTCTCCAGAACAATCTAGTTCTACGAGATCGTTCGCCTCCAGTGCAACAGTCAGGTCCTCACCATCGATCGTGTGGTCTCGGTGAATCAAAGAAGGCATCTGCCTCAATGCATGTTTGAGACGACGCTGTGGACTTATGTTCCGAGGCAAGATTTCGAGGTATGGTCAATCTTAGCCTATCAACTGGCAATGAGCCGAAATTATTCTTCCAGCATGTATCTACATCGATACCAGAGGACACACCGCCACTGCCCATTGCTCCTCTCAACAGTGTGGATGACAACGAACTCGCTCTGCTCTGCTTCTGCGGCCAGCCCATCCAGAGAGATTGTCACTTTTTACAGAAGCTCGACGAAGCTGAGGACGAAAGTACCGTGGTCGGAGTTATACATGGGCCGCAGCACGTGCCAGTTTCTCATCCTTCTTATGATGGAGCGTGGTAGAGACCTCATCTGTCATCAATGCATCGGTGTTGGGCAGGAAGAGGGTGGTGATAATGCCGATGCCGGTGAAAGCGATCGTGGAGAGAAATACAGTCCGGTAGGCATCCGCATTGGCTGATCGATATGCCCGGATTCCAGCGTCGATGATCGAAGTCGTCACGCCGGGGATGTCGGCAAGAGACTGTCCCGACGCCAAATTGCCGATGAAGGCTGCGACACTGCTGGCTGGTAGTCCCGCTGAGACAAGCGCTGGGGGCACTTGGTCCGGAATGGTCGCGCTCAGACGGGCTGAGAGGACGACAGTGTAGATGGTGGTGGCAACTGTTGTAATGGTAAAGCGGATCGAACCTCCAAATCCACACCCGGCGCCCATCTGCTGCTGATCCTTCAAGGCCAGGGTGGTGATGGTGAGAGAGAGGCCCTCGACGTACCCGGCCAAGAAGCAACTGAAGCTCAGGAGCACCGTTGCTCTAGTGCTGGAATCGGGATCGCTGGTGGCCATGCCTACAAAAGAACAAAAGTCAGCAACAAACCCATCGTCAAGTGGCCAGCCAACGGAAGGTATATATACTCACAACCGAGGAGCACACCGGCTAACGTCAGTGTGACGATACATTGCAGCTTGATTCCCCCCACAGGTTTTGCGACGATGCCAGAGACAATCTCCCCACTGACCCAGCATGCTCCGACGATGGAGGCTCTCAGTCCGTCGGTGATCAGATCTCCAGAGGGATACACGATGGCCACCATCGATGGCCAGACGATTGTAAGGGCATAGTAAAGGCTGGCGCCGATGCCAGATGTCACCACGGCCGCCGTCCAAGGTCCCGAGGCCAGAAGGGTCATCGGAACCAGAGGCTCCTCGAGTCGCGCAAACAGCTCCCACAGGGCAAACACGATCAGCGAAACACCCCCCACAATGATGGTTGCGAGGACGTGTGCTGACTTCCAAGGGTGAACCGCTCCTCCCCAGGAAAGGCCCAACAAGAAACACAAAAGGCCGCCGGCAAACAGGGCCGTGCCAATGTAGTCGAATTTCAACAGGTATTCTCGCCGTGTCTTGTCGCGGTGCTTCATTTCAAACGTTGGGGGACGATAGAAGGCCACCCAGCAGAACAAGGCCGCGGCCTGGATGGCAATGACGATGTAAAATGTCGAACGCCAACCGCCGGGAGTGTGAAGAATGCACGAATTGGCAATGGCCGGCGCAAATGCCCCGCCGGGGATCATGAAGACATACATGATGGCGTTGCCCAGGAAGCGATACTTCTGAGGAATCAGTTCGGCCGTGACGTAGAAGTACGAGACTTGAGTCGAGGCCGCCAGCCCGACGAGCGTCATGCCGGCGATGAGGGCCCCAACTGTCGGGGCAGTGGCACAGACGATGCTTCCCACCACCCCGAGCACTGCTCCGCCGATGAAGGTGTGACGACGGCCAAAGATGTCGGTGAAGCGGCCCACGATGGTGAGACCAACGGCGATCATCAGTGTGTACACAATCGCCACCCAGGAGATGTTGGAGCTGGGACCGATGTCCTCGTTGATGACACCGAGGATCGGGGCTGCCAACGCAAAGCTGGATATTGCGGCAAGGAGGCCAATGCCCACCGCAGCCATGGACCCTAGGAAGAGAGAGCTTCGAAAGTATCCTGGTGGAAGATCGCTCAGCTGCGCCGATATAGGAGGTATGTCCACGTGGTCCTCCATCTCGACCACGGCTTCTTTCGACATGGTTTCCCCAGCCATGGTGGGTGGTTCAACGAAGACGGGAGGGGAGATGAGGTGTCTGTCGTAAAGATAGAGAAGAGGTGACTTGGTTTTTCCCCCAGATCAAGTCGTTTTCTGATGTTCGACCGGGAGAAGAAACAGACGAGCTTTTTTCTTTCTTCCTCTTTCTACAGAACTTATCTTTTTAATGCCAATTTCCATTCCGGGGAATTCCTTGCGTTGTTGTTTGAAAGGGCGGAGAATTGTGGGGTTGGCGAGTCCGGAATCCCTTGGGCTGCCAATTCCGTAGTACCGGGTGTATAGCAGGTGCTGGTTATAAGAGTGACCCAACCAGGTCATGGAGGGGGTGGAACGTTTCTCAGAAGAGGAAGATAATTAACAAGTCTGTCGCCATCGTGGTGCTACTTGGATTCCGGACGGGGGTATCGAACAAAGAACGAGAACATTCGAAAAGAAATGGCCACTTCCGATCTGTGGACCGCAGTTGTGACTGGGGGCGCGTCGGGCATAGGCGCAGCCACTTCTAAGAAACTCGCCAGCCGGGGCATCAATGTCCTGATTGCCGATGTCCAGGATGACCTGGGGGAGAAGTTGGCCGAAGAGATCAAAGCCACGTTCAAGGTCGACGCCCTGTTCCTCCATGTGGACGTGTCCAAGGAAGAGGATGTGGTGGCAATGGTCAAGGCCGTCGTCGACAGATGGGGTCGGCTCGACTATGCTGCCAACATTGCTGGCTTTTGTCGGGGGGACAGGGACGATGAGGTCGGTGTCTCGACCCAGGATGTGGACAGGTATGTTTGTATACATGGCCTCCTTCAAGTAGCAGCTCGATCTCAGACGGGCCTGAGTCGCTGAGCCGTGTTAACGCGCCCAAACAGCCATTTTGCAGTCAACCAACGTGGAGTATGGCTGTGTCAGAAGTTCGAGGCCGCTCAAATGTTGAAGCAGTCTCCGAGAGGGGTTGAGATATTCCCAGCACCCTCTCTACCCATCAAGCCTCAGCGAGGGGCGATTGTCAATATCGGTTCCACCACGGCCGTGACGGGCATGGGCTTTGCTGCGTATGCGCCGACAAAGGCAGCGGTCCTGGAGATCACGAGGAACGGGGCCTTCTTCTACGGCCCACAAGGCATCCGGTGCAATGCTGTCTGCCCCGGAGCAACAGTCACACCGTTGGCGCTGAGCAACATGCACGACAGCGTCAAGAGCGACCCCGACTATAAGCATGAGGGAAACAGATACACCGAACCCATCGCGCTCAAAGTCATGGCGTGCCCTGAAGAGCAGGCCTCGGTCATCAGCTTCTTGCTCAGTCCGGAGAGTAGCCATATCACGGGCCAGACCATCATGGTTGACGGTGGTTTCAGCCATATACACTTGTAGTCATCCTCCCAGCCACTAAGGCAGGCAATGATTGAACCAAAGGTCTAGCCTTCGGCCACAGGATCCAAGATCTCACTCTGTATTCGGTAGTCCGGAACTACATTGGGAACAGAAAGGAACGAGTCCCACTTTTCTGAATAATGCATGGCCACATGGCTGACGGTATCATCGCCCACGTGTACGAGATGTTGTGCATCCGAACCGAAGCGACAACGTGCCAGGGACATCCCTCCTCGTGCTCTCCCATTGGCGAATCAGACTCCGCTTTTGTTTCTAACACCCCATGGGTCAGTCGATAGTTCCCCACGGGACAGCCTGGGAAAGTCGATCGGTTTGCAATTCCGGACGATATATCACAATTCCGGGAGGGTCGAGTATAAATCGACAACCCCAAGCTCGTGATCAATGAAAGTCGAGGGGATAACCAACTACAAACATTTCGTGAAGCTGAAACCCCCTCTGTCAAGTCCTGAACTTATCTTTTGCAGCTTCTGGTCATGGCTGACGCCGACCAAACCCATCACCACAAGGTCGAAGGCCTGTTGCGTTCTGCCCCGAGTGACGAACAGCTCCGGGAGCATGTGATCACGGATCCCAACCAAGAGGTCTCCCGGCTGTCGATCCGGGTCTTATTGTCCATTTCATCCATCAGCTTCATCTTCTCGACCTCTCTCGGGACATTCTTGTGCCTTGTCCCCGTGCTGGGTAACATCAATGAGGACCTCGGCCCGGATCCGTCCTTCACCTGGATCGCGTCGTCGTGGACCGTTGCAACCGGCGTGGGACTGATTTGTGCCGGGTCGCTGTCAGACATATTCGGGCGCCGCTGGTTTACGATCGGAACCGGGGTTCTTGGGGTGGTCGCGTCCATCCTGGGACTGACGTCGCATTCCATCGGGCAAAGTAAGACATCTCGTCGCGTTCGAAAATGGAGAGATCAAAATCTAAAAAGCCATCCCTAGTGATTGCGACCATGACATTGTTTGGCTTGAATCAGGCCGGGGCAGTGAATGGCTTCGCCAGTGTTTCCGAGCTGGTCCCAACCAAATACCGCGGTCCGGTGGTTGGTATCATGAACTTGACCGCTCTTCCGTTCGATCTCTGTGGCTCACTGATCGCCCGTTCGATGATCTTGAACACGGGACCGGGGTGGAAATCGGTCTTCTGGATGGCTCTCGCAGCCAACATTGCTGGAACGGTCGCTTGCGCCGTCACATACTTTCCCGCGAAGCCGTTGGCTGCCTCTGCCAGCAAAGGGTCCATGATCCGGGACTTCGACTATGTTGGACTCGGTGGAATCATTGTAGGCCTTTGACCCGACAGGAATCTGCCATAGTATCGAGTCTGACAACGAACTACAGGTCGGCCCGACACTTGTCCTGCTGGGAGTCATCTGGGTCCCCCAGTACGGAGCCACAAGTGCACATTTCCTTGCGCCGTTCCTCATCGGCGTCGTAACTCTTGTCGCTCTGGGGTTCTACGAAGCCTACATTCCCAAGGCCCCTTTACTACATCCCTTCCTGTTCAAACGCGTTCGCACCTTCACCATGATCTTGGTGGTGTCGTTTGTCGGCGGCATGATGTTTTACGCTCTTCAAGCCAATTGGCCGACCTTCCTGACCATCATGTACACCGGAGACGACTTGCTCCAGGCTGGAGTATACCAGACCATCATGGGAGCTTCGACACTCGCTGCAGGGGCGGGATCGGCTGTACTACTTCCTTGGATCGGACCAAAACTCGGCACGACCGCGCTCCTCTCCATTGGCGTTGTGTTCGAAGTCATTTTTATTCCCTTGATGAGCATTGCTGGTCCACATAACAAGGCTGCTGCACTGACGTTTTCGTTCTTCGCTGGAGTTGGTAAGAATGCCATCTGGAAACGCGGAGCTTGTCACACAATACTAACACGAACAAAGGCATTGGGATAACTACCACGTTACCGATCGTTTTTATCTCGCTATGTACACCGGACGAGTGGATCGGATTCGCCACAGCATCGATGGGCTTGTCCAGATACATTGGAGGCTCGGCAGGCACTGCCATTTACACCACTGCGCTTACAAGTAAAGCGTCGGTTTATATCCCCCAAATGGTGACGGCAGCAGCTACACAGGCTGGACTTCCCCTCGACTCCGTTCCGCTGCTATTGGGCCTCCTCACTGGAGCGACTCCTGGTCAGACCCTCGCTTCAATCCCTGGGATCACAACGGAGATATTCCAACTGGCGTATTCAGCTTTCCAGGATGCCTACCAGCATGCCTTCCGCTACGTTTTCTATACCAGTATACCTTTTGGTATCGTGGCACTCGCCGCCGCTCTGGCGACCAAGGATGTAAGTTCTATCCCAGATGATCCATTGACCTGAGAGTGTATACACATGATCTGACAATGGTTGACAGCTGTCCTCTCACTTGACAATGAAAGTGGCCCAACGACTCGTCACCGATGTCAAAGCCGAGGACGCAACTGTGATGAAAAACGCCGAGCATGGCCCATCTGACCACGAGATCGAAATGGTCGAGTCTACGACTCCGAAAGCTTAGATTTCCTTCCTTCTGGAGAAATTAAATGAGGTTTGAGAAGGTTGGATTTTGTAAAAAGAAAATGAACCCCAGGATTGGCTTTCTTCCGACCCAATAATTCGGCATTACTATTTTGTCTAATAACTTGCCATGTCACATACGCACTGAGATCTCTCAGATCAAGGGAAGAGAATCTCTTCCCACTGTATGGTATCTGGTTCAAACCGTAAGATGGACGGCGGGCTCGTGAGAAACATATCTCCGCAAACAGTCCTCTGTCAACCTCTGGATCGTGCTTTTGTGAAATCATCCAGTGTCGGTCGAGCGACCTCCTATATCCACTATATTGGAGTACTTGAGCTCGACACACGACGTAGAGTCCAAGTCTGACTAACTGGAGGATCTCTCTGGGGTGACATCCTGAGGATCGTGAACCCCAGATCCAAGTTCAACTCTGAGAACCGAGACAATTCCAGGCTATCCACCGAGTCTCTTCAGGAAAAGCACATCGAAGCTACAACTCAGGAGCTCGATGACATTTCCCCAAGGGTCCTGGACAAAGAAGGCCTGCTCCCCCTCCGCCGGCTCGACAAGGACGCCGACATTCTTCCCGCCGCTCTCGATCGCCCTCCGTGCCGTCTCCTCCACATTCGCCACGGTGAAGCAGAAATGAAAGACGCCCCCTCTCGTGTACGTGTCGGGACACCAGTCGACGCGCCGCTCGGGGCCGTTGTACTTGGGCCGGACGAACTCGAAGATCTCCAGCCCCACGCCGTTGGCGGAGGTCAGGATTGCGAGTTTGACTTGTTCGAATTCTTCTCCGTAGACTGTTTTCAAAGCGATGAGTCAGTACGGTTCGCAGCAGAGTCCTCCGCCTAACCCGAAAGAAAAAAGGGGGGCTGAAGTTACATACTAGACGAGATGACCGGGCCTGTTGGACTGTTCTTGTTCACTTCCATCACGCTGCCAATCATGGTGAATCCAAACACGCTCGTGTACCAATCGACTGCCGCGCCAATGTCAGGTACAGACAAGGCGAGATGGTTGACGTTGAGGGTCGGCTTTGGTGGCATTTTGGCCTCGCGGGTTTTGGTGAGTTTGTTGGTTCAAGGGCTTGAGTTGGTAGAGAGCGCTGGCCGAAGAGCCTTTTTTCATGACTTTTATGTGATACGCGGTATACCTTTCCTCGTACCGACTACATATACATGATTGCCCATTGCCAATCTACGCAATTACAAATGACGACTCGTCAAACTCGATTCTCGCCAAGACACGTCGAAGAGAGCCTTGAAGTCTAGTCGTGGGCGTGGGTATATATGCTCGCAAGCCCCGAAAATCGGTATGACAGCGTGCCCGACGGGAGCCCTCTCGCGCTGAAACTAATTCTCCAATGGACCTCCAAAGAGTGCCTGGGGATACGGCACCGTCCTGACATGGCCATAAGCACGATTTTGAGGGACATCGTTGTAGCTCAGATGACCTGAAATATCCTCTGGCTGTGCTTGGTTGTCAAGCATGAGGAGATTATAGGGAAACCCTCGGTCAAAGGCGGCGACACTTTCGATCTCTTCGATGTCGTGCCGGCCGAGGCTCACGGACAAGGCCTCGATGTTTTGCTTGAGTTGTTCGGGCGTCCGCGCACCCACCACGGGGAAGACGTAGGGAGTCTTGTGCATAACATACGCCAGAGCGATGTCGGTGAGGCGCGCTTGTTTGCGCTGTGCGATCGCCTCAAGAGCCTCCGACACTCGGAGTTCGGCCTCTGATCCAGGATAGAGCCGGCCCCGGACAGATCCCGCCTCTCTCTCCTCCTTGGTCTTGAATTTCCCCCCTTCCATGACACCCCATGGGCCGATTGCCATGCCTTCGGCTCTGCACATCGGGATTATCTCTCGCTCGAGGTCTCGGCAAGCGGCCGACCATCGTCCTTGGTAGATGACAAAGGGCCTCAGGTTGTGGCACCTTGCGTACTCGTTTGCTCTTGCCACGATCCTAGATCTTCCGTCAGCGGCTGCGCGGCTGGCAGAGTATTTCACCCGACCGCGTCATCAAAGATAATGTACTGACCAGGCCGGCGTGGCAGATATTCCCAAGTACAGGACTTTGCCCTGGGCCACGACGTCGTTGAGAGCGTGCATAATCTCGGGGATGCTTGCCGCATAGTCCCACCAATGCACGTAGAGGATGTCGACAAAGTCGGTCTGGAGCTTTCGCAGCGACGCATCCAACGAATGCCGGAGATTCTTGGCGTTGAGTCCCCCGAAATTGGTCTGTATCACGTCCCCCTTGAGGTGTTTCTTCCAACCGGTGCCGTACTTGGTGGAGATGACCATCTCGTCTCGATTGCCCCGGGCAGCCATCCATTCTCCAACGAAGGCCTCCGACTCACCGTCCTGGTAGTCGCTGGCCGTGTCGATAAAATTTCCCCCACTGGGTAAGGCAGTATGTGAGCGTCATGAAAGGCCACGGCCATTGTGGTAGAAAACATACTGCTCGTAAAAACAGTCGAGGATTTCAAATGCTACTGTTTTGTTGACCGCACCCATAAAGTACTTTGGGAATTGTCAGCTTCGCTCTATCTCGACTGAGGTTGCAGTTTTCCATATACTTTCCACGCCTCGCCAAGGTTCATTGCGCCTGTGGAGGGATCTCAGAATACCGTCTTCTCTACTTTGTTGGATTGAGCTCGCACCTAGACACAAAGGGCTGACTTTGAGACTGGCAGCAGGTGCCAACTGTCGGTGGTATCCCAGCAAGCTATGTGGCTGAGGCTGGTCGAACATTCTCTTGGCCGCCTCTGGATTGTCTCGAGACATCTTTGCTGCAATACTTGAGAGAGGGTAATGATTCTAGTACTTTGCTTGCCTTGAACTCATGAGTTTGACGGTGTAAATTACGTCTTTTTAAGAGTTATTCTGGGGGTGGCTTTTGCGGGGGATATCGTGACCAACGACTCGTATCTTGGACACGTTAGTGCTCGAACATCATTGAAGCCGCCGAATGGCTATGAGGAGGAGCGTCGGCGACGGTACCCTCGTCAAGCTTCGATGGCAGCTATAGACAAGAGGACCAGCACGAGCCTCACTCCAAATCCGACTCCGACTCGATGGGTTCTTAGAGATGGGATTCGAGTCGTGATTCGACTCCTCCATTGAAGTAGCCTAGTCAGAAGTAGGCTGGAGCCCACTACGTCGGCTAAGCTACTCATAGATTAGGCTCGCACGTGGCTCAGAAAAATCCACTACCCACGTGATCGCATAGCTCTCTCGTCTAACCTTCTGGGTATAGTGGCCAAGAGGGGGGGCCACCTTCCACATAAAGCTAGGCACTAGGGAGGTACACGAGCTGGGTCTTGATTAGATAAGCGAGTCAAGGAGTCGAATCCTGGCCAAAGCTGGAGACTGTAGGGTCAACGATGTCGCGGCGAACGACACCTTTTTCACCTGCCAATCTGGATGTTGCAGTACAGGCTTTATGTGGCCTGAAGAGAAACTGAAAATTCAGATGATGCTAGGTTCAAGAAAGAATGACTTGCTCACAGCCCGCACAGTCACTGCTCAGCATCATATTCTGGCTCTCGTCACAGCTAAACCAGAACCGCCACGCACATCATGGTATCTGATCCAGAAGTTCCCAACATGGGGGACGTCGAAACCCGCCTCTTCATCAACAACGAGTTTGTCGAGGCAAAGGACGGCAAAACTTTCCCCGTCATCAACCCAGCGACCGAGGAGGTCTTCCAATATGTCTCCGAGGCGTCGGCGGCGGACGTGGACCTCGCTGTGAGTGCAGCTGAGGCGGCATTCCCAGCATGGGCAGCACTGGGCGGCTTTCAACGCGCGGCGTATTTCTACAAGCTCGCGGACCTGGTGGAACAGAGCAATTCCAAGCTCGCTCTCATCGAAGCATCGAGCATGGGCCGACCAGTGGGAACTTATAGTAAGTAAACCCTCTTCTGCTGCGTTGCCGCTCGCCTGTCTAGTGCTGACATGGGAATAAAGCCGAGGGTCTCGCCTCGGCGAGGTTCTTGAGATACATGGCTGGCAAAGCCACGGATGTTCAGGGGACGTCGTCGACCCAGACCCCTGGATTTCTGAACCTAACTCTCAGAGAACCGTATGGCATTTGCGCTGCCATCACCCCGTGGAACGCTCCAGTGACGATGCTGATATTCAAAATGGCACCTGCACTAATTGCCGGCAATACCTTGGTGGTCAAGTCATCCGAAAAGGCGCCACTCACCAGCTTCTACGTCGCCAGTCTTGCACGGGCTGCAGGGTTCCCTCCCGGAGTTCTCAACGTTCTGAGTGGCTTTGGCACGCCTTGTGGAGCCGCATTGGCGTCGCACATGAAGATCCGCAAAATCTCCTTTACAGGCTCCGTCCGTACAGGAAAGGCGATCAAGGAAGCGGCCGCCAAATCCAATCTCAAAAAGGTCACTCTAGAACTAGGAGGGAAGAGCCCCCTGGTCATTTTTGAGGACGCTGACTTGGATAAAGCCGCCGAAGCGGCGGCCAAGTCGATTCTCCTAAACTCGGGACAGGCTTGCATAGCTAGTACTCGTGTCTACGTTGCAAAGTCAGCAATGGAAGCTTTCTGCCAGAAATTCGTTCAATCATTAAAAGACCTCGGAGCGAATCCACCCTCGGGCAACGATCCTAGAGTCTCGGGAACACGGAGGGGTCCACAAGCTACTCAGTCTCAGTTCGAGTCGATTTTGTCCTACATCAAAGAAGCTGAGCAGTCAGGGTATGGGATTATAGCCGGAGGCAAAAGGGAAGGTCAACGAGGGTTTTTCATCGAGCCGACCATCATCTACGAACCCGACGAACAAAGCCGGGTGATGAGAGAAGAGATATTTGGGCCGGTCGCATGCGTCAAAAGTTTTGAAACAGAAGAAGACGTCATCAGGCGAGCCAACGATAGCGAGTTCGGCCTCTATGCGAGTGTTTATACAAAGGACATATCTCGCGCGCTGAGGGTTGGGAGGGCATTTGAGTCCGGAACCGTCGGGATCAACAGTACCAGCCCTATGATGACCCACGACATGCCTTTTGGCGGAGTGAAGCAAAGCGGAGAAGGGAGGGAGCTTGGAAAAACCGCCGTGGACGACTGGACACAACTGAAAACAATGTACATAGCAATGTAAAGTTGAAGTGCCTGTCTCTGTAGAACGGTGCAACATTTGTCCAGCTCGCGTTTCCCTCCTTTCAATCAGCAGAGAAATGCTCTCTCAGAAACTCCTCGACCGTAGTTGGTTTGAACTCTGGCAGGAGACGGTTCCAGGTTGGCGACATGTCGACACAGCCTCGAGAGGCAGCTAAAAGCCAATTGGTGGCTAATTGTCTGCTCATTACTTCGACCTTTTCCGGCGGTATTGAGGAGTGGATGATGCGAGGGATCCACGGACTTTCCAACTTCCCGAGCTCGACGTCCTCCCGAGGAATTGAGTATGTTTGGAAGGGTTTTCCTAACGTCATTGTCAGTACGTCTCTGTGCAGGGCAGGGTAGAGCAGGGCAGAGCGCGCAAACAGGCTCTTTACATACCTCGGATTTTCTCTCCCAATTTGACGAGATCTCGGATGGTGGTCCTCGAGCCCTGAATATGGCCAACGGGCGGCCAGGGCTGTTCATATTCGACGGCGAGGGCGACCACTCTGGCCAGATCCTGGACGGTGGTGAAGACAACGCATGGCTCCTCGGCCTCGAGGGCCAGGGCCTTGCAGTTTTGAATGTCGATAGGAATCGGCGAGGGGTGAAGATGCTTCGCCGACGGTTTGGGGAAGCTCAGGTAGTTCATGAACATGCCGGGCTGGAAGAGACAGTACTCGAGGACGGTCCCCCGAGCGTTGAGGTGCTCCAGATACTGTCGTATCTCGTCCTTGTACTTGAAAAGCTCGATGCCGGAGTAATTGCCCCTGTGAGCGCCTTCTTAGCCACAAAAAGCTCTGTGTACACGATACATTCTCAGGAAAGGAACTTTACCAGACCCATTCGCTCGGCGCAAATCTCTTGACCTTGGCCAACACGCATGCGTTGATAAGAGCCTTTTGCACCCGGTTCTCATAGTCCAGCACAAAGCTCAAGACAACGTCGACGCCTTTCAGGTTGAGCACTAATTCGTCCGTGTCGAGGTAGTCCACCTCCACGACCCTATAATTGGGGCCGGTGCCTGTGCCATCCTGGTCGTCGTCATTCTTAGACGTCCGACCAGCTGCTTTGTGAGCCGATTTCCTCGTGAAGACGGTGACCCTGGCGTTTCCTCTCTCCAGCAGAGCATCCGATATCTCCTTTCCCACACCTGAATATATCTGTTAGTAGGACATATATGTGAGCAATAGCTTCAGAAATTGACAGGGCCGACTCGCCTCCTCGTCCCCCTGCGAGCACAACATTGAGCATTTTCAATTGTTCTGGATTTTGTCGGGTTGATCGGAGAGATTGAGAACTTGAAGCTCCTCTAGTCGCTTTTGAATAGGTTGTATGAATTCCAAGATGCACCACAGCCTCCCCCATGTCGTAGGTAACGACTGGTCTGGAACTTGTGCTTGTGTACCAAGAAATTATTCATTTCATTCTATCATCTCTCTATTAGATTCGTGTTCGTGCTAGTAAATCCACAGAAGGCTATGCCAGAGACTCTGTAAGGCTCGAACCAAGAGAAAAAGAAATCTTCGTTCTCGGGAAATTCTACAAGTTACCATCAAGAAAATATAAATTAATTCGACGAGTAAAAGTCTTTTAGTTTCTCAATTCCATCAAAACCCCGCGATGGCAACAATTCATGCTCCAGAAACATCATTCCAGGGAACAGAGACATTCTCTCTCCACTTCCACATAATCTCGGCCGTCATATCGGGCATAGACTTGCCAGAGAACCACATCAGCTCTGGCTTTGGACTCTTGTCCGGAAACTTGATGTCGTAATGCGTCAGGGTATAAATCAGGAGCACCTTGATCTCGTTGACGGCGAAAAATCGACCTGGGCACGCGTGTCTCCCGTGACTGTGTCGCAAAATGTCAGCTTAAGAAATAAGTTCTTTACACAATGTGTCCAATTATATGTCATACCCGAAATAGGTAAATTGAGGTGTCGTTTGGACCATCGAGTGTAGCGTCTCCTGGCCTTTCTCGAGCCGCCTCTTCTGGAATCTCCACGGATCAAATTCCAGGGCGTCAGGACCCCAGATTTCCGTATCGAAGTTGGCCGCTGACGACGGAGTAATCATGTATGTTCCTTTGGGGACGACGGTGCCGTCGCTGAGTGTATAGTCCTTCATTGCGATTCGGTCCATCGTGCCTGTATTGGAGATTAGTTCCGATACTACTATCAGCCCTGGAGTTACACCGGCAATCGTACCCGCTTGGAAGGGATGAAACCTCGCACTCTCCTTGATGAAGCTGTCCAGTTTCATTGCTTTGGTCAGACCCTGCTTCTTCCACACGCCATCCTCGGAGGCGAACACGTTGTTGATCTCTTCACGGAGTTCGTCGTGAACCTCGGGATGCTGGGCGAGGTCGTAGAGTGCATTGAGGTAGGTGACACTGCTGGTATGCACCGCCGCGGTGAGGATGTGAACGAGTCTCATCATGATATCGTTGAGGTCGTGCAGCCTCTCCGGAGGGGTGATGTCGAGAACCCACTGGACTGTTCAAATCGTCAACACACTTGTCCGCCCTCGACATTCAGGTGGCATAATAGAAACTCACCAGTATCGGCTGGCTTTGTCCTTTCAAACTCTTCATACGTGCCTTCTCTTTTTGCCTTCTCCATTGCTGCGATACGAGACCGTAGCAGGGGATAGAGATGTTTCCTCGCCTGCGTCTGTTGCGAGTACATGCCCGTCTTGAGGTATAAGGCCAGGCGTTTCGTCCATGGCGGATAATGGCGGATCATGTTGGCACCAGCAAAGAACGTGTCGCTGTACTCGATGGCGAGTTTCAGAAACTCCTTGTTCCTGGCGAGATCTGCGCCGAACAAAAGGCGGTTTGCTGTTCGAGTCACGATGTTGAAAGAGACGGGGAACATGACCATTGATTTCCATTCTGTTCAAAAAGGTTTAAGCCTGTATCCTATTCGACGGCACAGAATATGGGGAACAAAATACCCTTTGGTTCCCCTATCAAGTCGTGGAATGCCCCGAAACATTCGTCGACAATGGCAGGAAGCCCAGGCCCTGTGTCACTTGGGGTTAGTCCATCTTGAAGAGATGAGTCGGAGCAACGTACCCAGGCTCTGAGTCAATTGTTTGCTGACGACGTTGAAGTGATATTGATCGTATTCCAAGTTCTTGTGCATTGTATAACGCGTTTGCACCAATTCGTTGTTGGCTGGCAAGTTCCACAGCTCCGTGTCTTTGGCTGAGCGAACCTCCTCGATGTATCTAGGATGGTAGACAAACTGAAATCCCTCGGGGGTTCTCATGAGCCAATTCTGGCCTTTCTTGGTGTACTAAATGTGATGCAGTGGATCAGTTTTGCCCTATGATCGCTGTCAAGGTCGGTCTGAATCTCACCTTCTCGTAACCCAGGCAGATGACCTCGTGTCCGTTCTTGACATAAAGCCGCGCATCTTCTAGCTCGCCCGCCTTCCCAGGTAGATTTGATATTCGCAGCCATGGAGCGTCGGGTACGCGTTGTGCAGAACGATGGAGAATACGAGATAGACTGTATATGATGATGGCAATGATGAAGCCGAATAGATAGAGCGGCACTTGACGCGAGAGCGCTATGGTTTGCGAGAATGCAGACATGACGGCCATTGTTTGAGAATGAGAGACCCCGCTTTGACGACACTTGGATTGAACAGAAGCAGGTCAGCCTCAGACCCCTTCTCCCATTAATACTGGCCATAGACATGAAGTGACGCCGTTCAATAGTTGGCGACCGTCAAAACAAACGACTCGATTGAAACGACATTCCTATCCCGTGGGGGACGATGGCATACGACCGGGGAAAATGGGGGACTTCCATCGAAACGACACGGTGTGACCCGTTCAGAATGTCAGACCACGTCTATTGTGCCATGGGATCTGCTCGTGGAACGACAGAAACACAAAGTTTCCTCATGCACTTCATGGCTGGTGTATTGAAGTAGCGTATGACTTTTATGCTTTCGAGCTGTCTAGATGAATGTGTATCTCAACTGTTTGGAGATACAATTACATATCCTATCATCTCGCTCTGAAGTGGCATGTAACATCTTCTATGCTATCCTGGGTTGTATAGTCTGAATATCATTTATGCCTTGACGATTTCAAATCCTTTCCAACCATCGAGGGTCTCCCGACATTGTGGTTCGTACTGAGCAATGCCATTCGTGTAGGTGAGCATTTGGATCTTTTTCCCAGGGACTAAGTTGAAAAAGAAACGTCAGAACGGGCGTCAAAGGGATGGACGAGAAAGTCCCAAAACTTACTGTTGCCACCTGTCCACCAGGAATTCGTCAAGGGGAACAATGTCTTCATGCTCATGTCGTGAATCATTTGTCCCCACGCATCCTGTGCTTCCTGCGTCGGCTCTATCGTTTCGATACCTTCCTTCTCCAGCTTGTCAATGGCATCGACCACCCAGTCCACCTGGCATTCTAGGATTGTCGGCCCATTGGAAAGCGCAGTCGGGGCTGTAAGCATTCGAGGATCAGGACAGAGTACCGGAATTGAGGAGGAACGGAGTGCAACACTTACCCTGTGGACTGTAGACCATAAAGCAGTTGGGGAAACCCCGGACCATCATGCCTAGATACGTATTGATACCATCCTTGGACCATATGTTTTTAATATCCACCCCGTGTTTGTCACACAAGCCCATGTTTGAAACCCTAATAACGCTGTCAGCTGAAAGAAGAGCATCCCTCATTAAACAGGAGAACTTACGAGCCAGTGAAGCTCTCAAAGCCCGTGGCCAGGATGACGATGTCAAAATCTTTCTCAGTCCCATCGGCAAAGGCGATTCCTGTGGGAGTAAACGTTTTGATAGGATTGGTGTTGAGATCCACAATGTCGACATGGTCCTGATCCAGCATTTCGTAATAGTCGATCTCCAAGGGGCATCGCTTGGTCAAAATAGGGTAGGGGGGCTCGAGAGGGGCCATCAAATCCCTCTTCACGGGGTTCGACATGCGAGCTCGAGTTTTCTTGGCCCAAAAATCGTATGCAATTCGATTTGCTTTCTGGTCGAAATATATCTCCTTGTAATTGGAAGCTCCAAACGAAAAGGACCCACACTTCCAGAGCTCTTCGTAGTATTGCTCTCGTTCGGCGTCCGAGACATCGAAGATTGAGGCATCGGGAGGCCCCCTGGGTAAGCCGCCCGCAGATTTCCGGCCGGCCTTGAAGAGCACGTCGTAGTAAGGCTTCATGCCGTCCTGCTCCGCCTCGCTGATAGGGCGGTTCCGGATGGGCAGGCACAGGCTGGGACGCCGCATCAACATCGACAGGTGACTTGCTTTCTTGGTCAACTCTTGCACAATCTGGATGCTCGTCGCCCCGGCACCGACCACGACCACCCTCTTCCCAGTCACGTCTAGGTCCTCTGGCCAAAATCCGGAATGGTGCACTTCTCCCTTGTATTGGTCGAAACCTGGAAACTCGGGATAGTGCCGGCGCTGGAGGAGTCCTGTACAGAGGAAGAGATATTTGCACACAGTTGTGTGGCCGGCCTCGGTTTTGACGGTCCACCGATGCTCCTTGTCGTCCCAGGTACAAGAGTTCACCCTCGCGTTGAACACCACGTCCTTACGGATATCCAGTACCTTATCGACATGGGCGAAATAGTTGCGGATTTCTGTGTGGCTAGGAAAGCGCTCGGTGAAATTCCAATCCTTCCAGACTTCGGGAAGACTGAGTTGGTAGTATGGCCATTCCGAATCAACACGGGCTCCTGGATAGCGATTCCAGTACCATACACCGCCAAAGTCGCCTCCCATTTCGAACGCCTTGACCTTGTAGCCTAGTTTGCGCAGTCGATGAAGTCCGTACATGCCACTGAAACCGGCACCCACGATCACGACGTCGCAATGTTGGACTTCGCCATTTGCGACCCCATTGGAGTCCGAGTGGACTCCATTCGGTTCGCCGTTCACCATGGTGTTGTCTGCGTTGAGAGTCTTTGAGGTGTTGTCAAGAGTTGATTTCAAACTGAGGGCATAATCTTGCGACAGATAGATCGAGTTTATCAAAGGTTTCCAGTTTAGAGAATTGCGGAAGGTGAAAGGCCCCAGATATTTGATCCGTCGGCCGACAAGACCGCCGCATAACTCACCGATCGTAGAGAACGACAAACGACAAATTTTGCATTGCTATCGGATCACGAGATAATCCTTTGTATGGCCGCCTTTTGTAAAGTCTCGTGATAGTAAGTGTCTCGAAGTTATTGTTTTACAAGTTCGAATCATGATATGATTCTGTGCTCAAGGGGGGACAGTAAAGTTGTACGCGTGCACGTTTCTCGGATGCTTTTTTCTGAGGGGATACCATTCATCTATGGTCTGAAAAGGTGGTTTGGTGATCTACAAGGCTATTGAATAGCGAATGAAGCAATACGTCTATCCATGTGTACTATATATCTGCCCGCTCCAGGAAAGCAACGGGTATGTCTATTTGCTTGGCGCGAATGTACTCTACCAGGTTTTTTCCGAGACAATCCAGTCCAGCTCCAGCATTGTAACCCCGATCCAGATGATCCCGTAGCAGAAAGTGAACAGCCCTCAGACCGGGTATCTCGAACCTATCAATCGGCTTGCCTTTGTAGTCATCGGCGAGGAGCTCCACCAACTTTGCCACTGAGAATGTCGACCGAAGCCAGTCCCATTCGTCTTGGTGCCGGACAAAGAGGCCCAAGTTGGCGTCAGATGACTTGTCTCCTGAACGTCCGAGAACGACGCGTCCGAGAGGCGCCCGGAGAGTCGGACCCCAGTGGTCTGCTGTCAAGGGATCTGCCGTGTCGTAAGAGTTTTGCTGTACAGGGTACGATCGAGTGAAATCTGGAGCTGGAATGTCAACAACGGTGCCGTCTGGTAAATGGACCATTTCTTTGACCAGTGCTTGGTCAATAAGAGTGACCCAATATTCGTAGTACGGCTTGGCTGTGCCTTGTCGAGGATCGTTTGTTGGTGTCAAACCCGGACATCCTTGGAGGATGTTCATTTTACACCAGGTCAAAAACTTGTCCGGACCTAGCAGGCTTTCATCCTGACTCTGTGCGAATATACGCATGTCGACTGTGGCGGCATCTTGTGTTCGAGCGTTGGGGTTTGGCTCGCCGATGACCTGGAATTTCAGGAGAGAGAATTGCTTCTGCACGGCGGGTCCCATTGCTGCAAGGGTTTGCTGCTTCACCATCTCGGCTTTTTCAGCGATATCGAGGCCGGTCAGGTATACATGGTATTCGGCTCGGTACCCGCCAAACGCTGTGATGCCTGCTTTGGTTGTCGGTGGCGGCGGTAACCCTTCAATCCCGGTGACACGCACTCTGTTTGGACCAATTTGCTCCAATTGCATGTTCTCCAGGTTGGCGACCACCGACGAGTTATAGTACAGAGGACCTTGAATCTCGTACAAGAGTTGGGAGCTGACCGTGTCGATCGACACTTCTCCGTCTCTCCCAGGTTCCATGGTAATTTCGATGCCACCTTTGTGATCGATGTGAGCAATCGGAAACCCCAGGTCGACAGCGGTGCCCTTCCATTTTTTGAAGCCCGAATAGCAGCCACCAGTGACATAGGTGCTGCACTCAATCAAGTGGCCTGCAACAAGACTCGAGGCAAGCTCTTGGATATTGTCCCGGGTCCAGTTGTGCCACCACATGGCTGCTCCGATACAGGGAGAGGAGTCGGCCACTCTCCCACAGATGACAATGTCACAATCCTTCAGGGCACGGGCCACTCCAAACGCTCCCAGATAGCACTGAGCGCTAATGGGGTCAAACATCCACTCCTCAATGTCTCTGCCCGTGGTAATGTTGGTCAACTTGGCCGTTTTCGAGTGAACCAAATCGAGAACAGCCTCGCTCACATCGTCACCCTCGATCCAGCCAACCTTCAGATCTAAGCCTTGGTGCTGTATCCTCTCTTTCAATGCTTCGGCCAGGCCGTGAGGGTTGCTGCCGCCCGCGTTACAGACGACCTTGGTCCCGTTTTGCGCCAGATACTTCAAGGCTGGCTCAATCTTGGTCAAAAAGTTGGAATGATAGCCCTCGCGAGACTGTCCGAGGGCGTTCACATTCTGGAGCGTCTTCTTGAGCTGCCATCTCTTCAGTCCATTGACCGTCATATCAGCCTCGGACATCCAATCCCCCGTTATAACGTCAATCTCAGGGATCTGAGAAAGGTCCAAGAGAGCACGAGCTCGGTCGACCGTTCCTAGAAAATGGGATGTCAACAAACATTCATCGTAGATTCGTCCGTAAACATACCGCCTGAGCATCCGGCAATGACGACGGGCCGAGATGGATATGTGTGGCCATTCAAATCGCCATCTGAACCCACGCCGTTGCAGTGGCCGTTGGCTTCTCCATTGACGTGACGATAAACTCCTGGCATCCTAGCGTTCGTTCTGACTCCAGATACAACTCTCAATACAACAGGCCGTGGGCAAAGGCACCTAACCCTAAGGAAAAATGGCAAAGGACAAGGACGGTAGAGACAGGCCGAGGAATCAAGCGGTAAGTATTAGGAGCACCCAGTTGAGAAGCCAGGTCCGATGTTCGAAAAGGCCTTCTTGCAACAGCCTTTGGCCATTGCCGATATTTGCACATCATATTCCATCTACTCCTTCTCCCTCAGTCCTTTCCGGTTCCGTGCGGCGAGGTGGAATCGCCCACGAAGGTCATGTCCTGGCAACATGCACCAACCCAAAGCACATGCCGTCCGTAATGGAATCTTGAGGGGCCAAGGGGTAAATTGACCTCCTCCTCCATATAGCTGTCCGGAACTGGAGCGGGTACCACATCTGCGAAGCCAGGTCAAAGTGGCCTGCGAACTGAGAGCCGCGTCTAGACCTGGAAATGTGAACGTACGATTCCGGCGGAATTCCCCTGAAATTCTGGAATTCTGGAATTGTCTGCCCACCCTTTCCGCTAACCTCGGCCAGTCTGCCCGCTCAAAAAACCATCCCCCACCATGCCTTGGCAGGCCTTTGCTTGGAACTGGAAATAGTGAGCCAACAGAGTGAAAAAGAGAGTGTCTTAGGAGACCATGGCACGGCCGGCGGAGGATCTATAGTATGTGGAAACAAATGCTATAGTGGATCTGCCAAGCCTCTTCTCCACCAATAGCGACGTGGACGACGTCGACCACGCCCGGCCCGATTATTCCGGGTCTATTCTTCTGTCTATCCTTCTCCGCAGGGAGCTTCCCCAGAGTTCCAGCTTCCCGCTTGTGACCATCCCACACAAACCGCAATTTGCCACCACTACTACCTGGGAGGTTTGTACCCTTGCGCTTCTTCCCATCCATTTTCAGGTTCCTGCCTTTTGGATAGACGACTTGAACCTTTTTAGCTGGACTCAGCAACTCGAATGTGAGCCTGGAGGGAGAGTCCTCATGGCTCGACCTCGCGCGACTCCCTCGCCGCATGCCAAGGATGGTGAGTCGGGATCGAAATCAGGATGGAAGGACAAGTTGACGGCCCAACAACTGAGTCGAAAGAGGGCAGCAGACCGACAACTGGTGCGGGAGAATCGAAGCAAAGCCCGCCAGACCATCGCTGCCTTGCAGGAGCGTCTGGACCTGCTCAGCACCCAGCAGTCTGACAAGATTGTGGCAGAGCTGCTCAAGGAAAACAGGAACCTCGAGGCCGAAAAGGAGACCCTCCGTAGTAAATTACAGTCTATTTGCTCTGCGCTGGGCCTCAGCCGGGAAGAATCGTCGTCCTTGCTTCAACAGTCCTCCCACGGCAGCACAACCGAGGGAATCACGTCTCGAGAGGGGCCAACCGTTGAGCAGCCAGAGAATGAGATCCAACATGCCATCGTTGACTCAGGCCGTTCCGTCCCTTTCTACACAGAAGGCCAGACGTTACAAGTGGATTCAATTGAGGACGCGCGGTCGCAGTGCGATGCTTCTTTCGATCTGACCACCGAGCTGGATTCACGTATGGCTGTTCCAGACTCACCCTCGCCATTTCCCGGTATCTGGGCCGCCTTAGGGCGACTAGGTTCCAGATCAAACTTGTTGGATGATGACTTTCTCGAAGCAATTATGATTTGGAGATCCAAAACTGGCCATTCTGGCGGCGGCGTCTTTAGCGTCGCAAATGCCCTTTTCCACATTGCTCGGCCCCCAGGCCTCATGTCCCAACAGCGACTGCGGAGCCTTGCCCGAACTCCAAACATACTCTATCTGCTGGTCCAGGACCTTGAGTCGTCTGAGCCATCTTCGAACCCGGCCCTCGAAAGCATGGTCCCAACCAGGTACCCCGACAGCGACGACGACGACGACAGTCTGACTATCATGAGGAGAGAACTCGCTATTGCTGCCTATGAAGCCATCAGGTGCTGGACATACAAGTCGAGGCTGGGAAGAATAGTAATGTTTTGGGTACTGTATCGAATTTTGACGGTGAGTCGGGCCCCATGCCGCCGCTGCTCAAGCCAGTGTGAGAGACTGAGTCAAATCCTACTTTCAGTTGTTGGTGTTTCCTACCCCTAGAAACTTGGCCCAATGCCCGGCCTGGTACCGGCCTTTGTCACCTCAAATGTGGTGCCCACACCCATCCTTTATCGACTTTATACCTTGGTAAGACACTGCTAGCCTCCCTCAAAAGCTTCTCCATATTCATCTGCTCACTTGTTTATTCCCAATTCATAGGCCCGGGATCAGAACCCACCTGATGCGAGACTGGAAAAGCTACCAGAGCCGGAATCTATACAGCTCCTTCGTCGAACATTTCGACGTTCAGATTCCAACAGACGCCAAGCGACAAGAAGTGCTACAAGTCGACTCCAACGGTTGCGACATCAGGTTGATGCCGTCCACAGAACGGTGGCTCCATGATATAAATTGCCTGAGAATGGGAGATGAATTCGCCGTCGACTTCCCAGAGCTCACCGAGTTAATCCGTCCGACTTCAGGAACAGAGGATCCCCTTGGGTCCCGCAACTCCTATGCTGACACACGCGTGGCTGTGGGCACCTTACCACCGGTGAACACTGCACAACTGTCGATTCGAGCAAACACCCCGACGGCGTTCTCAGTAACGTCATCTGTCGAGGCTGTAATATGCAGCGTTGGTGCCGCAGGCGCCCAGGAAGCTGCTGTCGACAGCTCCACGAACACAACGTATCTGGACGACTCTTTTGACAGAGCCTTTTCATTTGCAGAAATGCAGCCGCCGCTCCCACTAGGACTCACTGGGGTCCAGCAGCAACCCGTGAGCCAGGCCGAGACGATTGCTTCCGAAGTCGACTCTGCATCGTCCATTGCGACAACGGCACCCCTACCAGTGATATCTGAGTTGGGTAGATCCTCGGTATCGGACTCAGCGTCTACCAAGGAAACCCAGCACGACAACATGGCGTGGGATCCATTTGTCTCAGCGTCGCCCGCCGATCGGACGTATCGACTTGACCCGTCGCTGTCAGAATGGGGAGCGATGAGCTCCTGGTCAGCGACCGAGGACGATTCTCTCTTCGGCTCTTCAAGTCTGTGGTTCCCAGCTTGGCCCAGTGCTTGAAGCTGCTATATCGTGGAGTTGAACCCGAGCTACGAATAGTCCTGCAACTCTTTGAAAATCTTGTCTATTTGAACAATATCCAAAGTTTGGGTGGGGATCATCACAGGGCAGGTACAAGTATACCTTTGGTGAATGGACCATCCACAAGGAATAATTTATCAATCTATGCGGCTGGCTGTAGCTTTGTTGACGCAGCTAGAGCATCTGCCTAGCTCTTATATCATACAAAATTGATCGTCTTTCTCCGTTCTAACTGTCCGTGCCGTTCTGTTCGGCAGTTCCGTTCTGGCTCTCCGCGCCATTCTGGCCCTGGTGAAAGGACGGGGGCGACAGCACGCTGTACTCTGGATGCACCGGCTTGGGACGATTGACCGTCTGTTTCTGCTCCAGGTAGTCCGTGGCACAGGTCTTGTTCTTCTGAGCCACCGTCATGCCGTTGCCCATCCAGCCCAGGACGTTCTCTTCGATCTCGGGCATCACCTCGTAGTCGAAATCTTCCCATCTCGGATTGAGCAGGGTTTTGCGCGAGTGGACGCCCGAACCTGGCCAGTTTGCTGTTTCAGGCCTCGGGTCAGTATACAACGCGGTCTGAGAGTGTGGGAACAAGGAAAAAAAGAACCGGGGTATGTGGGTGGTTGTGGCGGTAAGACTTACCTACGACTCGTCCGTCGACTGTTCCTCGTTTGAACCACGAGTTGCACTGGTGATAGGATGTTAGCTTAATAATGACAATGCGCTGACACGAGAGGAGGGAGAACACTGCTTACAGGTTGAGTAAAGACCGTCTTTGCAAAGAACTTGTCGACATGGCGGCTGAATGCCTTGTTCGCCGATGGCCTTATTGCGAAAAGTCAGTTCATGTAATCCAAACTCCCACAAGTCGAGAAAACTGAGAAAGGGGAAAGCGAATGGCAGTACATACTTGACGACCATGGACTTGTAGTATTCCCTTTGGAGTTTCTGGATCGCGGCCGTGGCGTAATCGCAGACCCATTCCAGCATGAGCATGGTACTGCCGGTCATGGGACCCCCGTTTGGCCCAAAGTAGATGAACATGTTGGGCATTTTGGGGGGACACATTGACATGTAGGCCTCGGGGATGGGGTTCCAGACATCGTAAAGATCGCATCCACCCTGGCCGAAGAACTTTGGTCCTGATTGACGGGACCTGCTCTATATCAGCAATAGAAGACAGAGAGGGGGGAAAACAGCACCCTTACACATCAAAGCCTGTTGCACAAATAATGATCTCGACCTCTCGAGTGCGTCCGTCGATAGTCTCGATGCTGTTTTCGTGGATCTGTTTGATCGGCGTGCTCACATAGTCTACGTTAGGCTGGCAGATTGCCTCGAGATATCCCGGGCCGGGAGTCAGCCTCCTACACCCAGGTGCCCAGTCAGGCATCAGAGCTTCTAGGATGTCGGGTCGTGACGCCAGCTTTTCACGCATGTGCCTGATGCTCATCTCGTGGAACTTCCGTTGCTCGGGTGTTCCGTAAAAGGCCGCCAGGGGCGCTTGCATGATGTCGTTCTCGATCTTGTGCCTAAACTTAAGATATTCTTCGGGAGAGCGTTTGAACAGCTCCAGTTCCTCCTTGCTGTGCTTGACTGCCGGGACCACCTCTGTTAGAGCAAGGACAAGAAAAGGTAAAATCTAGCTAGAAATCAAACTCACAGTTCCCAGTGTCGGCCTTCCTTCTCGCCAGCTCGTCGCCACCGATCCCCGTCGGCGAGATCCAGTTCTTCCCTTTCATGTAGTGATCGACCCGGTTGACTATGGGTTGGATTTCGGGTAGGATTTGGATACCAGTCGACCCGGCTCCGATCAAGGCGACATTCTTGCCTTTTAGGTCCAGTGAAGTATCCCACTTGGCCGTGTGGACTTTGGTGCCCTTGAACTTGTCGAGACCTGGTATCTTGGGCCAGTCCCATTTATTCAACAGACCCATTCCAAGCATGATCACGTCTGCCTGATCGGTCACCGTCTAACAGGGAGAATCTCCAGTGAGTTCGGCGCGGACACGAAAGAGATGTTCGTGAGAAACTCACCTTTCCCGTGTCGACTTGTCGAAAGGTCACCTCCCATTTCCCTGGGAGTTCCAGCCACTTGGCCTCTACCAGTTCGTGATTGAACTTGCAAAAGCGATAGACATCGTATCTTTTGGCTAGATTGACCATGTAATTTTGGATCTCTGCACCGCTGGCGTAGAATTCGCTCCATTGCGAGTTGGATTCAAATGTGAGCTGATACCCGGGACTTGGGATATCACATCTGACTCCGGGATATCTGGAGAAATATGATCCAGCTGTTTCAGCGGTTTTCCCTGTGAACATGTGCCCTAGGTGAGGTCCTTCTTACCTATTCTCATACCACGTACCGCCAACATCGGCGTTCTTGTCGTAAATGACCAATTCGAGGTTTTCAATCTGTTGCGGGAGTCGAATCCCAGTGAGGATCCCAGAAATCCCAGCTCCTATGCAGATGACCTTCATCGGCCGCGCCTCGTCGATTTCATGGTCATAGATCATGCTGCTCCACGTCCGCGGAGGTACCGTGCTCTCAGGCATGATGATGTGTAAAGTGGGCGTTCTACTGTTTCAGAACCAGAACCAGGAGAGATGTTGGTAACACGGCCTTGTCAGAGAACGCTTGAGTGAAATGTAGAGTGATTGAAACGAGTGCCGGACAAGAGTAGAAATACGCATCGTCGGTAGAAAAGGTGTTATGTGCCCGGATGCCAGGCTACTATAGATTATCGGCGTCTGTGTCGAGTGTCTCGAACCGAAGACGGTTCCACTCGTCTCCATATCTCCCAAATGAGTAGGTAAGAGAACGACTCGTCCCCGACGACCTCACAATGAAGTGAAGAAAACTTGTGCCGTTGTGGCGCCACAGATCAGCAGACCCCGCGACTCCTTTCTGTTCGCATCTAGTATTCGTCCAGCCAGTCTTCGGTCTCATGTGATTGGGAAGTCAATTATGGCTACCCGTTGTCTCGGAACCCAAGAACAGACATGCTCGTCTTTGGCTTTTGGTTGATGAGCATTCCGTGTCTCATACTCCCGAGGTCATCTTCAATGCTGCACGGATCTACATTGTTCACAGTTCAAAACGAGCGTCTACATATTTTGCCTTCCTATACCCATCCGCGGAAAATCAAAAGCTCGACGCAAACATAATCATCACTGTCAACGAAAATGTCACAAGCACTCAGACCCAGACCTCCGTTTGGGAGCCTCCCTCTCCGTACAGGTGATCCACCGTTTTCGGCCTGGGGTCTCTACGGGGACGACGACCAGCTTGGGGCTTTGAATCTGCTCACTGCCGAGAATACTCTGGCTGCTGCCAAAAGCGAGATTCGCACGGGCGTCCGTCTGTCTCTGGACCCGCCAATCGATGTGCTCCTTGTCCCAGGCTCTGAGCGCTCCAAATTCAAGCAGACAATTTATCGTCGCGGAGGACGACCGGTACATGATGACATCGTAGAGTTCAACACCCAGGTGAGAGTGGCTTCATGTCCTAGGAGTGCATCTGGGCCGCCTTTTAACTGACTGGCGCAATTCTGGAGTATTGCAGATAGGTGCCCAATGGGATGGCTTCAGACACGTATCTTACATCAAATTGGCAAAGTTTTATAATGGAACATCTGTCGACGACATTTCCGGTCCCAACGCCCACCCTACTGTCCTTGGAACAGACGGTGAGTCTGGAATCTCAAGCAGTCAACAATACGTTTCCTGGTCTCTGACAACAGTGGAAACAGCATGGGTGAGGAACGGGGCCATCGCTGGGCGTGGAGTCTTGCTTGACTACTATTCCTGGTCTCAGGCTCAGGGCAAACAGTATGATTTGATCGGCGACACTGCCGACCACGCAATCCCCGTGGAAGAGCTGCAAGCGTGTGCAGCCGCACAAGGCGTCGAGATCCGGCAGGGTGATCTCCTGTTTGTCCGTTCGGGGTTCTGGGTGGGATACAACGCTCTGTCGGATGCGGAAAAGATCGCATGGAGCAATCAAAAGTCCCCGATCTGGGTAGGTGTTGAAACTTCGGCCAAGATGGCGAAGTGGCTGTGGGATAGCGGCATTGTGGCAGGAGCAGGCGATGCTCCGGGATGGGAGCGGATACCCAACTACAACTCGCCCCCAGAGGCTGGGCTCCAAGGCTGGTCGTTGCATGAGATCATGTTGTCAGGCTGGGGAATGCCTATCGGTGAGTCACTGCAGCGTTGCGATAATCGATCAAAGACACTGCGGATGAGAATAAAAGCTGACGCGCGATTCAAAAGGAGAAATGTTCGATCTCGAGGCATTGAGCGAGGAATGCAAGAGGCAGGGTCGATGGAGCTTTTTCGTCACCTCGGCTCCGCTACATGTGAGAGGAGGAGTGGGAAGTCCTCCCAACATAATTGCAATCTTCTAGAGTAGCAAAAATGATATCTTAGGGGTCTTTGACCGCATTTCCGTTCGGCAGTGCTGAGCTTCCAAAGGCAGCCAGCGGTGAATTGAGCTGGCTGAAAGCAAATTGCACAAACTCGTTGTCTGCATTGTCCGCAAACGAAGACCGGTCAAAGTGCAGTAGATCGTCGAGGTCAAAGTCGAAACTGGGTTGAAACACCGGGACTGGCGCCGGGGTTGAAGAAGCCAACTGATGATCCGGCATCACCAGCCCCGTAGCATCGGCCGGTACATCGTTGGAAGAAGAATTCCCATTCTCCGCCATAGTTTGCGTTGTTGCCTTGATAACTTTCTGTAGGCGCTTGAAGAGACGCCGCCCCAGGGTGAACCCGGGAGCGATGTCCTCCAGGAGCTGGACAGCCTTGAGAAAACCCCCACCCGCTTTTGACAGCGTTGGCCGGTCAGCCTTCTTGGCCAGAATGACCGAAGTCAGCGTGAAGATGACCCCAGAGAGGAACGAGACGGTCGGGAACCGTCCAGAGTTTTTCCTGAACTCGGAGAAATGGTACTGATGCATGGCTTCGACCGAAGCCAGAGCAATGTCCACGCATAGGGCCGCCACCTGCACGCTTCTCTTGGACCCCAGGAGGTCACTGCGCCGTAATAACAGCCGTAAATGATTAGATCGCTGTCATATTAAACGTCAGCCACCAAGAAACATCTGTAGCCCTTGGTCAGGACACACGCGGAGATAAGACGCACCAGGTGAAGCACAATTGCCTGTCGCACAATATAATGAGGATACTGCAGCTGGACTGCGACTTTGAGAAAGTCGGAGGACCACCGGAGGTGGACTGGGAGTTCTTCGATCAACAAGAGGATGCGCGCGTCGGTGACGGCAATCAATTCAGCTGTCGGAGAGCGAGAGTTGACCCCGAACATGGCATCCCACATATCGGAGCAGACCTTGGCCCATTTGATGGTCGCCAGCTGGTACGTGATGGGAGAAAACCCTCCCTCTCCAACGCCAACGCTGACTCCTTCAACGGTTGAATCGCTCGGCAGCTCCACCGCAATGTCCTGGTCGCTCATCTGGTACGGCGCACCACACTGGTGCGAGATGTTCCTCTCGAGGCAATAGACACACCAGAAAATTCGCTGTCTCATGTGAACCTCGAATGGCGAGAGGCCGGTCCATGAGCTTTGATTGTGCAGGCCCGTTTGAAAACAAAGTCGGACCGCCGTGCCGATCTCGTCGTAGGCCCAGTCGTTTCGCTCAATGTATAAGAGGTACGAGGCCTTCAGAATGAGACACTGTATGGTCGTGAGGTTTCCTTTGCCGCTCTTGATGACATGGTTCAAGAGGTGCTCTGCCTTGGTAAACTCGTACCAGCCGGGAATGATGTCGTCTTCCGGACAAAACTCGTCGACATTCTTGACTACGGCCAGAATCAGATTGACCAGCGCAATGAACTGGATACGCTCTAGTGTCACTTCTTGAACGTTGCCGGCGAATCGCTGGAAATCTTGCTCGAAGGCCTTGGAATCCAAGCAAGGGTCTGAACAATGGTTCACATGATATTAGTTGAATTCGCAACCTCACACATGTCGCATCGGCGGGTTGCTACACTTACAGTGGGGATTCATGAGAGAGAAGTACAGGTCCAAAGTTTCTCTCACCGGGCCTAGACCAGAATGCCTGACTTGGGCGTCCCAGATTCGCAGTTCCCGAATATAACAGTCAGTCATGGTGGAGCAGAAAGCCATCCAACAATCTTCCTGGACTAATTTATCCTCATTCCCGCCACTATCAGCGGGCTCTTTCATGGTGTTGAGGGGATTGAGGATACTAGGGCCGCCTGGAAAGACGGCCTTGGAGACACTGCTTGGGTTGTACGTGTTCAAGATCTCGCCCGAGTCCGGAGTCATGGTGAGATTCAAACTCGAACGGGCATTGTCTTGAGAGGCCGTGGTTTGCCGCAAGCTTCTGATTTCATCGGACAGCATCTGCAGTTTGTTGAGTACGTCGGCTTTCCATGAGCTTTCCTCGTCCGTTTCCTTTGTGCTGTTGCTCGCGGCAGCGCATCCGGCCGCCGAGAATTGGTCCTCTGCGACATCCTCGGGCTTGTTGCTCGCCTGGACAGTCGTCGTTCGACGTCTCGAATCAGGCAAGTACTCGCAGGTCAAGTGTCCGATGGAACACTGGCTACAAGGTCGCTTTCCCGAGCACTGGGGAGTGAATTAAACAAGTCAGCATCTCGCGCCATGCTCCGCGCGCCACAGATTTACCCACCCTAACTTTTCGCTTTTTGCATTCAGAGCTGATGGAATTATCGTCAGTGAACAATTTGCAGCGTGTTGAGATTAACCTCACCATGCACTGGTCACATAGGGCTTGCGCTTCTGGCCGGTGACGGGGGTGGATGCTGAGGCCTGTTCGTTAGCTGCTGCCTCTGTGACAGGAGCTGACTCGTCCATGAAGGTATCGCGGTCCACCATTTCCGGGATTTGTTAGTAGAACAAAAAGACTCGACAATGGAAGTGTGATTGAGCATACACATGGTGGAAAAACTGCTCTGAAATCTGGGGTCGACGAGGGATCCGACCCCGCAGGAATTCTTGAGTCACGTGGGCGTCCAAGTGTCGTATCCCAGTTGTCGTAAATGCCTAATGAGGAAACCTTCCATGTCTGTGTGGGTCGGTGTGGGTCCTCGCACCCTGAACTGGAAAGATCGCGCCTTGCCGATCTACCCGTCATGGTGCTGTGGGCAAATGACTTGAAAGCTTCAGAGGCCTGAAAAAATAGAGCATACACATATAGTCTCTGACCCAAATAGTTGGTGGAAGGGATTCAGCAGCCGAAACTTCAATCACTAGAACGATTCGAACCCGGCATCATGACGACTGAAGATATTCCAAAGACGCACAAAGGTATTGAAAGAGTCCATGTTGAGCCATTTTACGACTAGGATCTGACTCGCTCAGCCGTCATCTACTCAAATCCTGGTACTCTGGCCACTGAAGTAATTGATGTCGAAACACCAGAGCCTCAACGGGGAGAGATCCTCATCAAACTGTACGCCTCTTACGCCCTCAGCCCCAGAGGAAGTTGATGTCCCGTTGTGTGGTAATCTAATAAAAGTCAAAGCCTTTACTCCGGTGTCTGCCACACGGACTTTGCCTTCATCATGAATTCTTATGGACATATGCCGGAGCCGACGCCGCAAGGTCAGGTTTGTTTTGCCCCGAACCGGCAGTCCTGAGGAGCTCCGCTGATGTCGAGTGCTTACCATTTAGATTGGAGGACATGAGGGCGTTGGATATGTCGTCAGGCTGGGTGACGGAGTGACAGAGGTCCAGTTGGGTGACCGCGTTGGAGTGAAATGGATCACGTCGGCCTGTCTGATCTGCTCCGAGTGCCTCGCTGGGTTCGACAATCGTTGTAAGAAGCGCAAGGTCGCAGGGTATAAAACGCCCGGTACATTTCAACAATATATCATCAGCGATCCCCGATATGTCACTCCCATTCCCGAGGGACTCTCTTCTGAGGCAGCTGCCCCTCTCCTCTGTGGCGGAGTGACCGTGTGGTCTGCTCTATTATACAGTGAGTGTAAGCTGGGCGACTGGCTTCTAGTATCCGGCGCCGGAGGGGGCCTCGGTCATCTGGCCGTCCAGTATGCAAAGGCATTCAATCTGAGGGTCATCGCCGTCGACCACGGCTCGAAGGCGGACTTTTGCAAGTCCCTCGGGGCAGATGTCTTTCTTGACTTTACCCAATTCAACTCGGCAGACCTTGCTACCAGAGTCAAGGAGGTCACCGATGGAGGATGTCATGCCGTTATGGTTTGCAATGCCAGCTCCAGAGCGTACGATCAGGCGCTCGATTTCCTCCGGTATGCGGGAACGCTGGTCTGCGTGGGAATCCCGGAAGTCGACCCTCACCCCATGCCAAATGCTGCCCCCTTCAAGATCATCGGGAATCTCTGGAAAATAAAAGGTGCGTGATCGTGTCTCCTCTCTCTTTTCTGCTGCTCTCCAGACTGATGAACCATTCACCTCAGGCGCTGTGACCGGAAACAGAATTATGGCGATTGATTGCCTGCAACCGGCAGCCCATGGTCATGTTCGCCCGGCCATAAGGATAGAGCCGATGAATAAACTCACAGAAGTCTGCTGCAACTGAATGATTTGTCCATCGAGTCTTTTGGCTGACTCGACTACAGGTTTTTGAAGATCTCCATGCTGGCAAGATTCAGGGTCGTGTTGTTCTCGATCTGACTCGGCTCTCTTGAGGCCAAGTGTACAAATAAAGTCAACAGATGAAACTCTTTCCACAGTGCTTCCAGGCCATGTCAGGGAGTACTTCGAAGCGTGGTTTAGTCATAGAATGCGAAAAAGTGCTCATTTTCCGTGCATCTTCTGTTGTATCCATCCCATATGGAAGTGAACAGTCAGGCAGGACGACCAGCACTTCAAACCCAAGTCAGGTCGCGTTATACGACTCGTATGATGTTAAACCTTGGTCGTAGTGTATTATTAAACGCTGTCTTAGGGGCGTGTTGCACAGGACTCCCCTGTCATCCGGCACGTTCTGACATTGAAGCACGATTGAAAATGGTGGATGTCTCTTCGGTTCTGAGAATGCTGATTTGGGGAGTCGTCGCAGTAATGTGCATTCCCAAGATCGAGAATTGATTGGTGACAGCTAACGAACAAAACTCCAGATCTTTGTCGCTGTCGTTGGCAAAGCAGTCTATAATGTCTACTTCCATCCCCTTCGCCATTATCCAGGGCCCAAGTTGTGGGCCGCGTCTAGGCTGCCCTGGATATGGACTGCGATAAGCGGCGAGATACACAATAAGATCTCGGATCTCCATCAAGCATACGGCCCTGTCGTCAGAACGGCCCCGAATGAGCTGTCGTACATCAGCGACAACGCGTGGAAGCAAATGTAAGTGTTTCACCATCATCAAGATCTGAGGTTTCTTCCGGACCAACCTGTGCGCAAGCTACGGCCATCGACCAGTGGAAATGCCCAAGGATCTCAAAGGTCCAGGACTTCTTCCAACGTTCAAGAATACCGAATCTATCGTGACTGCGTCGTCGGGCAACCACCCTCGAATGAGACGGCTGATATCCCATGCATTCTCCGAGAAAGCGATCAGGGAACAGGAGGACTTGGTCCAGAACTTCATTGACCAAATGATTTCACGACTCACCGATAAGTGTAAAGAGGGGCGACAAGATATGACGTCCTGGTTCAACTGGTGTACATTCGACATCACGGGCGACCTGGCCTTTGGCGAACCATTCGGGTGCCTCCAAGAGACTCAATATCATGAGTGGGTGAAACAGATCTTTCAGGGGGTGAAGGTGTATCCCTGGATGCAGGCCATCGTCTATTACGGACTGCTTCCTGTCGCTAAGCTCCTTGCGCCCAAGGAACAACAAAGGGCCAAAGAGGAAGCCGACGCCAAAGCCTACGCGAAGCTCGACAGGCGGATCGCCCGAAAGGACCAAATCCAACGAAAGGACTTTATGAACTACATCCTCCGGGAGAACAAGCAAGGGTCCGCAGGCATGACCATGCCGGAAATCCAGGAGACGGCCGTCATTCTGATCATCGCGGGCAGCGAGACCACCGCCACGCTCCTCTCGGGGCTTCTGTATTTTGTCCTCCGCCATCAATCTGTCTACCAGCGAATGGTGCGAGAAGTCAGAAGTACGTTCACGAGCTACGAGAACATCACCATGGTGACGACCAACGGGCTCAAATATATGCCAGCCGTGGTCGAGGAAGCATTCAGGCTCTATCCTCCCTCACCCAACGCCTTTCCCCGGTTGGTGCCGGGAAAGGGGGAAGCAATCGAGGGCCGCTGGGTTGCGGGGGGCATGACAGTAGGAGTCCATCCTTTTGCGGCATCGAGGCACCCGGACAACTTTTATCGCCCGCTTGATTTCCTACCTGAGCGCTGGCTGGCTCCCCACCTACTAGAGAAGGACGACGTACCCGCCGAGATGTTTGCCAGAGATAAGAAGAATGTCTCGCAACCTTTCTCATTCGGTCCTCGCAATTGCATTGGCAAAAGGTCAGTACCGTACACTTTCTATCCTACGCATCCTCTTTCATGCTGATAAGCCTCCAGCCTAGCATACGCCGAGATCCGCGTGATTCTGTCCAAGCTACTGTGGACTTTCGACTTGGCTTTGGCTCCCGAGTCTGACAATGACGACTGGGCAAGAATTCAGAAGACATACATGCTCTGGGAGAAGCCCGCTTTGATGGTCAATCTGACGCCAGTCAAATAGTCCTTCTTGTATGCCCAGTAGATGAATGTCATTTACTGGTGAGTATATCATCTGTGGGGATATCCCATGCTTGGCCGGGGCGGAAGAGGAAAGGTCGCTTGTAACGAGTCGCTCATGGACCTTTCATTTTGTCCAACACCAGCAATTCCGAGAATTCTGGTCATATATGGAGAACATTATTAATGTCGTAAAGTCCAAAGCCCGCCCACCCCTGCACTCAGGCAGTAAGAAAAGAACAGTATCGATGCCTTTTACCATCGAAACCTTAGTTTGTTCAATTCGAGTTTCACGCCCTCCATAAGATCAAAAACATGACATACAAAATAGTCACGCTATATCACCCTAGCCATCGGGTGCCCAGTCTGGAGAAGGCCGACACGTTCTTCCGTGAGGTGTTTGGCATCGAGAGCGTCTGGCGAAACAAGCTCTTTACGAAGCCAGACCCGAAATACCCGACATTTCCAACCGACTACTGCATTTTCACGTCCATTGCCGATGTCTTCTTCGACTGCATAGATCCCAAAAAGTACGTGATTGACGGGGAGCAGAGATATGAGGATGTCGAGGAGCCTCACCTCAACGGTCTGGGCTGGGGCGTCGAAGGCATCGACGAGATATACGCCCGGCTGAACGAGATGGGTGTGCGTTCGACCGATCAAGCCAACCGGCTCGCCGACCCCAAGGAATGTCCCGTGGCTGTTTTCAAACCATCAAAGCTTTTCTTCACGGTTGCAGAGGATAGTGGGCTTCGCTACGAGTACTATCCAGCTTCGAGCATGGGTACCTACGACATCCGCCGGGACCCTTCATGGAAGCTGAATCCCCAGGTCGGAAAGGGCCCTTTGGGAATCCAGTTTTGCTCCCACCACACGATCTTGACCGCGAATCTAAGCCGGGCCATTCGGTTGTTCGTGGACCTCATGGGTGGGAAGCAGATCCACGAGGCCAAAGGCACGCTTCGAGGGACCGACAGCATCTTCATCCAGCTGGCCGACGCGGTCTACGAGTTCGCCGTCCCCATTCCCGGAGTCGACTCGTACGCGTCGAGAGACTTCGAAGCAAGACAAAACACAGCCGAGGATGTCTACCACGCCTTGACGTGGAAAGTCAAAGATCTGGGCGCCACTGAGACCCATCTTCGGAGTAAAGGGGTGAAGCTCATCGCCAAGGATGATTCAATGCTAGTGGTGGACCCCAAAGATGGGCTAGGAATTCCCTGGGGCTTTGTAGCTGATGTCTTGCCCGGGGATGATAGGTATATCTCAGAGTTACAAGAAAACTAAGCCAGAGTAGTTGGTTCTCTCTCTCTCTTGAGATATCGCTCACTCGCTCTCTTGTCGTGGTTGAAGTTTTCGTATCGATTGCCAATTCCGAAGAACAGTCTCTCGGTCGGTGGGGCGGATGGATGGGCTCGCACGTATTGGTCCTGTTCTGTCTCGTGAAACGACTCCCTAATTATGACACCGCTGTTCAAGCTTGCCTAAACGCAAGCAGCACCGTCTTTCTTGACAATGGTGTTCGGGACTTTTGTCTTCGTATAGGATCCACTTACCCCAGGGAGTTTGGAGGGGTGTCTCCCCACGAGTTCATGGGAGATACCACGACTCGTTCAGTCGTCTTGACCGACGATATGGGGTTGCTAAGATGTCGTCGTCACGACTGTACGATCAAGGAATTTGGTCTCCTGACACTCATAAAATAGCCAAGGGAACCCAGGTCAAAGGATGAACTGAAGTGAGCATACATACACCAAGCAGACACCCACATACCATTTCGCACCTCCTCAAACATGTCGGGCGTCACACACAGCCGCACCTCTCAGGTGATCAACCTCCCTATCGAGAAGGTGTGGGAGTTCGTCACGGTGCCCACCAACTGGATCAAGCTGCAACTGGGGACCTGGAAGGTTCACGGGCCCGGGGGCGAGGACGACCTCGAATCGGTGTCTCGCACTATGCAACCGGGCGAGCACTTTCTCGAGTACATGCACATGCCGGGCCGGTTCGACCTGGTGGGCGACTGGGTCGTGACTGTGTGCGAGAAGCCGCACAAATGGGGATTCAAGTCGGTGCACTGGCACGGCCCGCCCATGCCCACAGACATCGAGGCCACCTACACGCTCGAGAAGATCGACGACAACACGACCCGCTGGTCGAGACACCGGATCAACACCGTCCGCCCCGGCAAGGAGAACAGCGTCGACTTCCTCGCCGACAAGAGCGACCTCGAGGAGGAGTACCAAGCCGTCACCAAATCGTTCCTCGAACAAGGTGTGCCAAATACGAAGCCGTACAATCCCACCCCACCCCATGGACCTGGGTGGTTGGAGACTCTTCCAGTGGATGCTTGAACACTCACTCAGCAGCAGGTGGCCAGGCAGGCAGGCGGCCGAGAGAGTAAGATCAGGTGGAGGTTGGAATCGTGCTAGGAAAGTGCCCTCGACCAGAGGCTATGACGACCCTATCAATACACTGTGTATCTACACTCTTTGCCTCTTGTTAAGGGTTTTACATTTATCATTCACGACTAAAATGCAAGCGACAGTCCGCGATTTTCGTCGTTGTCTGCCTCTTTGACGGGAAAGACCGGATCAACCATGAGTATCTGGGATCGCGGTCCGTATTGGATTAGTGTGTGATACAGCCGGAAGTCTGAGGTAGGAATTCCAGAGTTCCAAGACCTCGTCCTACCAGTCCAATGACAGTCCAGTCACCGAGGTGCCAGTTGTTGCAAGGTCTTCATTACCCCTTCCCCCCTTTCTGGCCCGTCTATTCAATTGGGGCCGGTAGTCGTTCGAGGTACAGAGCAAGAGTTTTCCAGCTGACACGACATTTACTTGTGTCCTTGCCTACCCATCCTTTACTGGCATCTGACGCCCACTTCGTAGCATCTAGCCGAGTCAATACGGGATATTGGTTTACAATTGTGCATTTTGAACCTGTGCTGCTTGTATCCACTTGGCGTTTTCTCGCTCTACCATCTGTATCATCTCCGGAGACTCGGTGACTACGTCGATCCAATGCCTGTCGGGGATTTCCTTTCCCCTCTGAACACCCGGACGAGCCCGCATTCTCTTCTCCCACCGAGCCAGGTTCGGAAACTGACTGAGGTCGACGCCGGCCCAAAAGGCCGCTGTGATCCAACCCCAGTGCGCAATGTCGGCAATGGTGCATTTCCCTCCCACCAAGTAATCTCTCGTTGCAAGATGCTTGTCGAGCACACGATAGAGACGGCGAGTCTCGGTGATATAGCGTGACGTCGAGTATTCCATCTTTACCGGGTTGTAGCGAAGAAAGTGGACGGCCTGTCCCTGTATTGGACCGACCCCGGCGTTTTGAAAGAAGAGCCAGTTGCCAGTCTCGTAGTATTCTGGGGTACCTCGCGGAAAAGAAATGCTAGAGAATCATCTCGTCAACTTTATGGCATACGGGATGTGTTGGCCACGGTACAGATCAACTTACCGGTGCTCCTGGTCGTAGCGGTCTGTTAGATATTGCATGATACTCCCCGACTCAAACAGTTTGATCGTGGAGCCGTCCGGAAGCTGATCGACCAGTGCAGGTATTCGTCCATTTGGATTGATTTCAGTGAACCAAGGCTCCTTCTGCTCGCCTTTGGACACATTGACCTTGCGAACTTGATACTTTAATCTGGAGGGTTTCAGTCATTTGGGCCCGGGGACGCTGATTGACTGTTGAACATGAGACTTACCCGAGCTCTTCGAGAGTTATGCTCACTTTGTTGCAGTCCGGAGTGTTCAAGGTATAGACTATCATGTCACGGGACTCCATGGTGCTCGCAGTGCATGTGTATAGTAACGGTGACCGGATCCAGCCTTGGTTTGTTAGGCGAAGGGCTGCGGCCATCAAAGCAAGGTGGTGGTTTTTCTAATGACGGTGAAGACAAGCACTCGGAAACCCAAGTGTCGGAACGAACGACAACCAGTTGTTGTTTGTAGGATGAACGCCATCTTGACGAGTCAACAAGCCTTCTTAGTGGTTATTAGGATTATAACGCGAGGTGGGTGAACAAAGGAGTGGGCAGCAGAATCACAGGTGAGTACAACTTATAGAACCTATGAAGGTCGGTCATTCCAGTCATACATGTTCAGCAATTCGCTATTCCTACGCAGGATACTCTGCTCACCCCCTCCCCCCCCCTCCCCAAAACATTATGGTGCCGCTGCTGGCTTCACGAAGCCTCCTCGAACAGTCCCGATCGATGCGGTCGGTCTCTGTTCACAAAGATCGTCAAACTTGCCCACCATCTCCTTGTAGTATGGTTGTGCCATATGAAAATCCAACGTGTCTTGACCTGTGTATCTATTTCCCCCGTTAGCTCATATCATATCACGAAGGGTTTGGCAATGGGTAGTACCTTTCGATGATAACGACTTGGTCAATACCGTCCAGACTCTTCGCCTCCAGGATAGAGTATATCAGAGTGCCGGGCTCCTGCTCCTTGGCCTTTTCAGCAACTGACGAGAGGAGGTCGATCAACTGCCCATTTCATATCATCAAGTCAGTTTCATCAGACACATAAAACCAAGAGAAGCTGGTGCACTCAGCCGATAAACATTTGTAGGACACATCTTACCTCTCCAGACTTCCCTGGCTTGGGCAAAAACGTTGCAACGATGTCAAGAGTCGCTGAAGACATGGTGTACCTCTTCGTAGTGGGACAGAGACACCAGAGAAAAGTAATGACCTACGCATGTTTCTCTGGTCGGATCTAAATAAAACTCTCGCGATCCGTATTTGAGCATGTCGTAAACACATGACCACTCCTGCGTCAATCAGAATCTATAGACCAGAAGCCCAGGAAAGATGACACCTTGTTCTGCAGTCGTGGTGGACGACACAGAAGTAGGCTTACTTCGGAATATCAGTTCTTACGATGAGGGAGAAACAATCTTGCCTTAGAAGGCCAAAGCAGCGAGAGCAGGCTCGCCGGGGTCTTCTCATGGTCTAGTTTTTTAGTATGTACGTGTGTGGGAGGCTTCCAATCTGACCAGTAGAAACATTTGCGGCTTCTCGAGTGCATCAGTCACGCTCACCCCAGTATCTTTGGTGATGCCATTGTTCCCTGCAACGGCAGTCATTAGCTCGAGCGATGTTTTCACGAATTTGGGCAAACTCACAAAGTCAGCAAATTGCCGTCGACATCACCAAAGAAGAACCACTGTGAGTCACCCCAGTTCAGAGCACCTGTTACCATGTTAGTCTACCGCACAAGAATCGAAAAGTATTTCTTCCACAGCACAGCCTGTCTTACCTCGCTGCTCCTCAATGTAGATTTTGTATCCTCTTTCCTTGGCCGTTCGCTGTGCGGCTTCAAAGCTCGGGGTTTTCATGCAATACCTTGCGATTCCTGTCCGTTGATTCGTCAGAGAAGGACTAATAAGCGAATGATATGGAAACCCTCTAACCTTTCTGAAACCACGTTGGGTTGAGCCCTGGGTCTTTCAGTCCCCCTATCCAGTCATCAGCTCTCTGATTAGATCCAAATGCAAGCCTGATTTGCTTCCACTGCCAAAGAAACGGGTCTGGGACTTACTTCCACTGTCGTTATACTCCAGCAGTTCCAGGTGCATGTGACTCGGATCTCTTGGGCTGCGAAGGAAATGGCAATCGGTCCACATGTTTTCGTGGTGCGAGAAAGTTTTCATCTGATTCATGAAGACGTCTCTCCCTCCGATTCCCCTGTTGAATTGATCGTCGTGGTGGATGTTTCTGAAATCGACTCCGTGGTCGTGATCCATACCTGTTGTGCTACATCAGTCCCTGCCTTGCTCACAGCGAGTCGTTTTGTGGGAAATCGGGCCCATACCGAATGCTTGATACCACTTGGTCGTTTCCTGGAAATTGACACAGTTCATCATGAAATGCAGGAAACTTCGATGATGAGGCAGAGCCGGCTGTGCCTTGGCGATCAAGGGATTGTTGGCGATCGAGACGAGCTCGACAAACGTCCCCTCAGGGTCGTGAACCAGGGCCGAGGTCGTCTCTCCCCATTTGCGTTGGATCTTGATGGGCTGCTGCAAGACCTTGGTGTTTGGAAACTCCTTCAGGATCCGGGCCAGCTCCTTGTCGACGTCGTCGAAGACGAGTGTCAGACCCCGCGAACCAATCTGGTTGAACTTTTGCGGCCACTGGGATTTGGTGTCGAGATTCTTCCAACTGTAGAACCAGACGTGCATGTATGGATCAGTCGGTAGCTTGACAGCGACGGCGGCCTCCAGATCATCGCGGGCAACACCGCGGGCAGCAAACCAGCTGTCTGGGAGTTGATACCCGTCTGCCAGTTCCGCACCCTCTGTATGTAGCATAGACAAGTCAGCCTTTTCATTGAGCCACAAATGTCGCAGGGGGGATAGATCAGACCATCAACGACATAATCGATATTCCCATAAAGGTTCAATTGTTTTTGCAAATCCGACACATTCTGCTGCACTGCAAGCAAAGCAATCAGGTTCCCTGGAGCCACCGTCATTTTTTCCCTTCAAACTCGAAAGTTGTTTGGTTTGCTTCAATTTTCTTTCGGAGTTGCAAAATGCTAGAATATAATGACCGCCTACCAAGCACTAAGCGCATAAGTAACCAGAGGTTTTGCCTGTTTTTTAACCATTGCCGTTACTGGGCCATGGTCGTATCGCAAGTGTCGTAAATTGTACTGAAAACGAATAGTCTCCACCAACCTGGGTACATGCATCTTCTTCCTGGAGAAACCCTGTCGTTCCGTACAGAGACACGACCATCCAACCGTTGAATCTCTGTTGGCCATGTAAACTACTACTACCCCTCAAACTTGATCGTTTTATGGGGGAACCAGTCCTCACAACGTCAGAACACCATCCCACCAAAGTCCAAACTGTGTAGGCTCTTCAATATATCATAAATCCACCGAGAGGGTAGTCATGTCATGTTTTGAAACTTGGACATAATATCTGCAGCAGGGATTACTTTCTGCGCACCTACTGCTTGTTGGCTGAGCGCTTGCTCGGTACTCGATACAGGGCTATGAGAACTATGCGCAAGCCCCACGCTGGAGAAAGTCTGGGGGGAGCGTCATGTAAGGCAAGGGGAGCGGTCTCCAGCCAGTCGCTTGAGTCTCCACACTCTCTCGGTCACACACACACACGCTCCTCATAATTGGTCACAGAGTTTAGTATGTAAGAAACATTCCTCTTCAGAAACCTGAACCAATTACCTCGTACGTAAATCAGACTCTTCCACTACTGTCCGCACGCTACTTCTTCTACATATCTACCCGTGTCCAGAGGAGGTAACGTGCATCTTCCGGAAAATCCTGATACAATCAGGCATTCTGACCCAACCAAGATGGTCGAGAAAGTACCCATGAATCGCCGTGTCCGATCCGAAGCTCAATTGGAGCGGAAACGTCAACTTGATCGATGGCATATGCGCACAAAGCGACAAACGGAGCAGAGAAGATCAGAGGCCTTGAAACAACTTGTCCACAGCCTCCGGGCCAGAGTGGCCGAGCTTGAGAGGAAGCCAGCCAGCCGAGTTTTTTGTGACGAGGAAGCGGAGCCTCTGGGTGCCAACAATTCCCAAGCGCCTTCACCTTCAGATTTTGTCCGAGCAACAACCCGACACCGTGGTCCGTGCGAAGAAGCGGCCGGCACAATAATCACCACTGTGTTCCCAGGCTCCAGCGTAAATGGAGAGGCACCCCAATACACAACAGCCTACCCCGCGAGCGGTGGTGAGCCACTGATCGACAAACCTGGCAAGCGTTCTCATGATGACGAGCTCGCCTCGGCTGCTCTGATTGTATTATCTCAAATGGCTCGTGGTGCTGTACCAAACTCGGCCGCAAGCAGCCCCGAGTCGACATGGAGGACACGTGTGAGTGGACACGCCGCTCCAGCTGAGCTGCACTGTAGCTTTGCCATTCCACCCTCATCCTCGCAGCTGGCGGGGGCCCTTGTGGCGGACACGTTTTGCTCGTTGTGCTCCGTTGAGCACCCGGCGGGCCGAGGCTGCTTCTATTCATTCATCTCGCGAGCACTGTGGACGGCGCATGTCGACCTCTTCCGACATCAGCCATCAGATGCACAGATGATGCAGCTCCCTCGCATGCCCACCATCGACAACTTCTTTCTCCGCAACCCCGAGAGGCATCCGCTTGTGGAGATTCTCAACGTGACTTGTGACGAGTTTCGCTGTCCGAATGACGCTGACAACGTCGCAATCTACCTCGTCATGTATCGGCTATTGCGAGTAAGTCTCTTTTCAACGAGGTGGACATGATATGCTGCATATCATAACTGACGATCTGAAACCCTTAGTGGAGGGTATACCCAGTCGCCCGTTCTTACGAGGATGTACCAGCGTTCTACCGCCCAACAAAAGCCCAGGAGTGCGTGCCACACCCGGTGTCGATCGACTTTCTTGCCTTTCCCGAACTTCGGGACATACTAACCAAGCACCCTGCTCTCTACTTGGAGAACCACACACAGTTCGACCGCGATTTTACCGAGTCCGTCACCGTCCAGTGGCCTCGGCTTGAGCCAGTCTTTATCACAGACGAGCAGGGTAATGCGGTACGGCTCACCGACGAGTTCGAGAGCCATATCTTTGATTATGACAATTGGGCCATGAGGGACCGTTGGTTCGATGCCTATCCACAGTATGGCCACGCCGTTAACAGATGCAAACGGAAGGGAATGTAACAAGCGATGCTTCCATTAGCGTGAGTGAGGAGGGATGTTGTCAGTAGTATCTCTCATAATAACTTTCGCCGTAAACAACAGCGTCTGTAAGCGCTGGAGATCTCTTGATACTGAGGTGTTTGAGTCTCTTCTGTTAAGCGGTTGTATGTACCAAGCAAACGAGGTACGAAGTACGCCTCATAAGACTGCGGCTGGTGTAACACGCGTGTGGGTACCAACCGCAGCTGCGTCTCTCGAGGAAACTTATGCGGGACAAGCTTTCAACTCCACGTCCAAATGTCTCTCCCAAAACCCCTATCAGACTGAGACAACTTTCGACTCACCGCCTTGCTACCTCTCCCTGGATGAATACCCTCGTAACCCTTTGATCGATACCGACACCAGAGGTACGACGGATCCATGACCACCGAAACAAACCCCAAGGACCGCCTATGGTCACGGCGAGAGATTGAGGGCCTGATAGCGCAAGGGAGGAAGATCATAATTCTCGATGGCCAGGTGATCAAGGCTGATGCGTGGCTCTCCTTTCACCCTGGTGGCGACAAGCCGATATTGCATATGGTTGGAAGAGATGGCACCGATGAGATCCGTGCACTACATTCCCCAGAGGCACAGGCGCACATGCAAAAGTTCGTGATCGGGAGGATTCAGGGGAGATGGACCAACTTCCTGCCTCCGATACAGGGTGGACATTTCAGACCATATATCAAGGATCAGGATGGCAAAGAGGTGGAGGTGGAGGAGGAGTCAGATGTACAAACCGACGGTGCTCTCAGTTCTTGCAGTGACAGCACTGCACCTCCATCCCCCATCTTCGATCCGGTCGATATTCGAGAACGAGGGGCCTCATCGTCCACCACCTCTTTGTCTGAACGTGAGCGGTCTAACCCCAGCGACGACCCAATTCAGACGAAGCTGGCAGCCGAAAAATACTCAGATATACTGAAGTATCCACCATTAGATCCCAGCTCACAGGATCGAATCGTCGCGAAGTACCGAGAGACCAACGCTCAAATACGGGCAGCTGGTCTTTACGAATGTCCTTACGGCGCCTATGGGGTTGAATGCTGCAGATATGTCCTTCTCTTCTCATCGTCTCTCCTCGCACTCCATTACTCCTACTACGCCCTCTCTGGGGCCCTTCTCGGCCTTTTCTGGCACCAGCTGGTGTTCACCGCCCACGATGCCGGACATATGGGTATAACACACAACTTCCACATCGATACGTGTATCGGAATCTTTATCGCCGACTTCCTGGGTGGCCTGTCCATCGGCTGGTGGAAACGCAATCACAACGTCCACCACATTGTCACCAATTCACCTGAACACGACCCGGACATCGAGCACATGCCTTTCTTCGCCATCTCGACCCGATTTTTCTCATCCTTACGTTCCACTTACTACGAACGCATCATGCAGTTTGACAGCATTGCCAAACTGGCCATAGCGAAACAGCACTGGTTGTACTACCCAATCCTCCTGCTGGGTCGCTTCAATCTCTACCGCCTCTCTTGGGAGTATCTCTTTTTGGGCCAGGCGCCTAAGAAGGGACCTGCATGGTGGCATCGCTACCTTGAGATCTTCGGGCAGTTTGTCTTCTGGGCTTGGTTCGGCTACGGAATTGTGTATCGCTCCATCCCCACTGCATGGGATCGCTTCGTGTTTGTCATGATCAGCCATATGATCACGGCACCGCTCCACGTACAAATCACCCTTTCTCACTTTGCCATGTCCACCACCGACATGGGTGTGCAGGAGTCCTTCCCGCAGAAGATGCTTCGAACCACCATGGATGTCGACTGTCCTCCGTGGCTTGACTTTGTCCACGGCGGCCTCCAATTCCAAGCCATCCACCACTTATACCCGAGGATACCAAGACATAATCTCCGAAAGGCACAGGTATATGTACGGGAATTCTGCAAAGACACAGGCCTTCCATATGCCATCTACGGTTTCACGAAGGGAAACATGGAGGTTCTCAGCCGGTTGGAGGAGGTGGCCAAGCAAGTCAGAGTTTTTGAGGAGTGCAGAAAAGTGTGCGCGAAGGAAGTGGTCGAGGGAACGGGCCACGTCCACTCCGATTGAGGGGAGAATTTCGTGCTTTGACCGGAAAGGATGTGCCTGCTATGTTGAAAGCTCGATGTGCTTTGGGCGAGAAAGAGGACATTCACGACGAATTGACCGACTGATTGGATATGAGATGACTATTCGTACATAGATCACGATCAAGAAAAGACAAAGATGTATATAGCCGGCGAGGTTACTCTTTTTATGGGATGTAAAGGGCGTCTAGACAGCTTTTGATTCTGAGATAATAATAACGAGACCATGAGTGAATTCCTCAAGAAAAAAAAGGAAGATTTAAGCAATGACTTGTTCAAGAATGGGTTTCTCCGGCTGCTCGATTCCACAGACATCATATCTGAGAGCGTAATAACAAAGTACCTTGTACGATATAGCACAATTAAACATTCCTTCATTCAATTACTGTAGCTCGACACCAGCCCCTGTAATGCGGAACTCGAACGCGCTTCCCCCAATGGCTTTGGTGGCGCTCTCGCCGCCCTCCTTCCCTACCGGCCCCTGCGCTGTCGGCGCTGGCGCTACGAGTGGCGCCGAACCACTACTGGGGACGAGAGTCGCGAGGAACCGGCCCTTGCGTACCGCGTCGAGTCGCTTCTCCCGGTCCCTCAAGCACTCCTCCATGCCCATCTGGGCGGGGAACTGCGCGATGGGCAGCCTCGCGAGGGAGAGTGAGAGCGTGGCGTACGACGTCCAGGGGGAGACGAAGCGCGTGTCTGAACCTGAAGGCGCGAGGGTCGTGGGACCGGATGTGGTCGTCTCGTATGGCGGGCGCGTCGAGGACGAGGGAAATGGAGGAGTCGAAACAGTCGAAACAGTGCTGAAGGCGACGGCACATCCGAACTTCTCTTGCAGGGTCTTGAGGATTTCAATCGTCTGCGCGGCCCTTGACGGTGGCGGCCCGCCGCCCCGCAACCCCGTCCCTGGAGACTCGAGCTTCGCCATGGCCTGGTCGGACCGGTCTTGCCAGTAAAACGCGGTGGCAGAGTCAATCACGATCAGGCTCAGAGGGCGATGCATCGAGTGATGCCGGGATCCGTCAAAGAGGTATGCATGCAGAGAGGAGAGGGTGGAAATGAGCTGAGTCGACGACTGGGGTCGGAAAACGTGGATGTGATCGAGAGAGGACCGGATGACTTGTTGGATCCCTGAGTTTGTCAAGGTAGAGTCGGTTTCTTTGCTGGCCTTAGACTGGTGATTCTGGATATAGTGCAACATGATCTGCGCCAGCCGTGCAGCGGAAAAGCGGCCGTCGGCATCGATGTATACGATTGTCGACTCCTTGCCGCCCAGATCTCTCGGAAGGACTGATATCGCGCAGAGATAGGAGAGCAAAGAGGTCTTCCCAGACGCGGACGAGACACTCGTGAGCTCGACCGTTGCAGGTTTGGGTTTCTCTGCAGATGCTCGTGGCTGAGGTCTGAGACGAGAGGTCTCGACGTTGTCCGAGTCTTCTTCCTCGTTACTTCTGTCATCATCGCTGCCATAGACCACAGATGTCGCTGCTGGCGAGGACAACCATTCCCGACGACGGGTGTTTGCTAGTGTTTCTGGATAGCGGAGTGATTCAAGGAGAGTGTCCAGTTGTGGAACTCCTAGAATGGCTCTGGGCTGTGGCTCGACCGTCCATCTGAGCTCTGCCAGGAACTAGGATTTGAACCCAAAATACAATGTGTTAGATACCCTTTAACCTAGACGTGTGTGCCATTTGCAACCATTGAGGATGGTGTTGAGGAGACATGGAACAAGGCTGCAGATGACATGGTGGTGCAGGGGAAGGTGGCGCGCGGAAATTGTAGACATTAATTAATTACCTGCTCAAGAGTCTCTTCCTGCACCCCCTGGAGGAGGCGAGCTCCATATTGTTCCGCCGACATGATGCCGCCGCCATGGCATACACCACCGCGTGGTGAATAATAATCCGTTCGTCGTTCTTCGCTCTGGTAACGGACGGTTGGAAAGGGGATTGATTGATTATTTGAAGAGCAACAACAAAGGAGAAAGTCAGGAAGGAAAAAAAAAAAAAAATGGCGCCGCCCGAACATCCATTCCCCGTCTCCGAGCTCGACCAGCACGTCCGCTCGCTCACGGTCAACTACAAGGAAAAATCGCGCAAACTGCCCCAGGACTTTGATCTCAAGCGGGATTGCGAGTTGATGGAACTCGTCCAGTATAGCTGTACCACGCCCAAGCAACAGTATGAGAGGGCACTCGCAAACGGCACCGGGACGGCCAGGATCGAGTGCTACCCCATCGTGAGGTTGTTTAGGAAGTACGTGCCTCTCTCAGTTCTCGATTTCACGAAGGTGCTAACGGCCCATCTACCAAAGATGCGTCAAAGGTGGAAAGGTGTTTCACGTCGAGACGACAGCCTGGGAAGGTCAACTTGCTTGGAAACCACCTGCAAATCCGCCTCCCACAGGCCCCATCAACGACAATGATCAAGGAAAGCCTACTGCAGACGATTCATCAGGAAATGTGATTACATCCTATTGGAATTCGTGGAGGTCCAAAAAGTGAAGCCTTTTGATCTGCCTGGGGTATCATATGCAAATTTATCCCATCCAAAGTCAAGACCAACCAAACGCCAGCGCTGCCACAGCCTTTAGAGTGCTGGAATCAAAGCTGCATGGCCACATCACCACCCTGCAGACCTGAGCCGCTCCGCTTTTCAGGAAGAGAACTGTTAGCCGGTCCCCTTTTTGTCATCAGTTCTTCCGGCATTCGATACGATTTCTCGCAATTGACAATCGGTCCCAGCTCAAATCCACCACGCTCCTTGGCCAGCAAGTCGCGCAGGGTTTCTTCAAAAACTGCCTCCTCTGACAAATCAACTCCGGTCTTCCACCTCTTACGGCGAATGATCACTGGAGGTTTCTGCTTGGAAGACATAATTTCCGTCTCGAGCGGATGAGCAGCATCCAATTTAACGGCCCCTGCCAGCTTGCGCAGTGCCTGCTCACCGAGTTTCCCTTCGTGAGTCGCCAGTTCTCTGATTTTCCTACTATCAGACTGTCGATCTGGGTAGACAGGCGTATCCCTATAAGTATGTGCAGAAGGCAGCTCAGGCAACCCCTTGGTCGTGAATGAGAATCTCTTCAGCTCGCCGTGGCCGTCCAAGCCGGGGCCGAGAAATGATGCTGGGAGTTCGACGAGGTTGTGGAATTCATCTTCAGGAGGTGGCGTTGGCAACAAAGGAGGGTTGATTGAGGGTTGCGTCTCGTATGGGGCGAGTTGATCGTCGGGCCGAGGAATATCGAGAACATCTATGGCGGTCTCGAAATCCGTCGCGATGGGATAGGTTCGCCGGGCAGCGAGCATGGAGCGTCGGACCTTCGAAAGGAATCTGAGCATGACTGCCAGCACAGTCAGCATACACGCAGTGCTACAGCCGTAGAGCAACCTACATTCGTCCATCGCTGCCGCTAAGGACTCCAGAGCCACTGACTCAATCATCGGATATGATATGCCTTGTTTCTGCGCCTCTTCTTCACATATTGTCTTTATACACAGCACTAATAAATCGTCAACCACCTCTTGCGCCAGCAATGCTGGTTCCGGGGTGGGCATGGACTGCAGTTTGTGTCGCAGGACATGATGGTGGTGATATGGGATCTTCTTCTTCGGAGAGGTGGTTGACATTGGCTTGCACGTTCAGGACAAGCTCCTTGGATATAATCGCAGCGAAAGATTACGCGAATTTCCGTGACCTCAGTTCCGCATCGCCTTTGCCTGCAATGGAACTCGCTCTTCTGACATGGGGTCGCGCAAGGCAGGGAAGTTGACAAGCGTTGATGCCTAAAAAAGAAGGTTAACCGACGAGGCTGAAAATTACATAAGGTGCCAAGGCTGCTTTGCAACCCTTGACCTCAATTGGACTGCGGATCTTGAAGGAGCTTCACCAAGCTACTGGTATCAGACCACCACCAGGCTTAGCTACTCTCTGCCTCTCTTCCCCTTTCACTCGTCTTGAAATCTCACCTTCACCTCGAATACCTCTCAACGTCGAGGCCTAGCAGCGTTTAGACGAACAGAGCTCGAGCAGAGCCAGATCAGAACAATGGCGATCAAACCGATTACAGGAGTGCGTTTCTTCTCTCTCCCCCACCGCGCCCAAAATGTTTCGTTTCAACAGCGAATGGGGATAATGTTGAAGGGTGCTTGGTTTTCACGAGAAGCCTCAAAGCTGACACGCGGTGATTTCTACAGATGCTTCGACGAGGCCTCGTTTTGGATATCAGCATTGCCATGGGTATGATCGACCCTTCGAGCTTCTCATCCAGTCTGCCACGATAACCATTGAATTTTTCCTTCTTGCGTCTGAAAGAGATGGGGTCCTGGGGAATCTTCTGAGCTCTTCCTTTTCCGTCGCTGCCGGCTCATTGGAAACGTGTGGATGGGCCGGAATCAAGACGAAAAATCTACACCAACACACCATAGAAAGAGCATGTTGCTGATCAACTGTGATGAATCTAGGTCTCGGCACAACATTCGGCTACCTATGGTGGTACGGCTACCACCTACCCCGCGTACGAGCACGAGACAACTTCTACGCAAGACTCGAAGATCAGCGGGCGAGGGAGGCTGGCTTCAAATAAACGCATTGGACATGTCGGGTGTTCGACGTTGCTTTTGTTCTGTGCTAAGATAAGACGTGGAAGACTGCATTATCGACGACCGGTCAATTTCCCTGACAAGCAGATTCTGTTCTGTGGCAGCGACGTCAGAGAGACGGGGATGTGGACAGGGCATTGACGCAGTCGGGAGTGAGCAATTCGACAATGGAGAGGGAAGTGCAAAAAGCTTGAAGGCGGCTCTGTACATATCAAACGCCTGCCAATGGAAAGATTCGAAAACTTCACTATTGTGACAACCAACATGGTTCTATGGATTTGCGCTATGCTTTATGCTGTTTCGATTTCGACCGTAAGAAAACATATCTCGTTCTTCCAATGATGGTTCGCTGTACTCTTTTCATTCCGAGCATATCATGACACACAAGACAAGTTTTTTTGGCCTGGATTCGTTCCCACTCACATTTACTCACTTTCTCTTCTTCTCCTTCCTGACCGCCCTCTCCCAAGTGTCTTCAAAAACGCATTCCTTTTTCTTCAAAGTTCCCGTCTTACTCGCGAGATCGGTACCAAGGTTCAGATACCGCACCACCTCGACGCTCCCGGTGCCCACGCCCATGGTCTTACCGACAATGACACTTTCGCTGACGCCTTCAATCCGATCGACCTTGCCCGCAGCACCGGCGTCGAAGACGTGGTCTGCCGTCTTTTCGAAACTGGCCAGCTGCAACACCGAGTCACGCATCTTGGCGAGCCCGAAACGTGTGATGCCCAGAACCTCGCCTTTGTATGTCATCACGTCTGCCAACAGATACATGTGGCGCGGGTCGATGGACAGACCCTTTGTGACTTCCTGGATCTCGGTGATGATTTTGGAGCGCGCGGCTTCGATCCCGAGGACCTGGAGAGTTTCCATGACGGAATTGGTCTCAGTGTGATAGGGGTCGACACCTTCAGTGTTCATGCAGTAGCGAAGACCGTAGCCTTCAACCATGACCTTGTGCATCTGGACAGGTGCAGTGTCTTTTTGCGGCACAGATTGAGGAACTATGGATGGCGTAGGCTCTTCGAGTTTGACTTTGGAGGACGAGGCTTTGGAGGAAGCAGCTGTTGTTTCACCTGAGCCCTCCGTTTTGACCTTGGGGTCGGTGCTGGAATGTGCTTGCTCGGTCTTCATTCCCTGCGTCGTCAAAGACCTGCGCATAGCCTTGATTTCATCTGATCTTGGATCGTCTTCTGCCATGACCACTGCGCGAGTTGCTTGAGGATGGCCGAGGACATGCACGTTTGGCAATATGCGTCGCAAGGTCTGAAGACGAATGAGACGTTCACTCTGACCTTCTTCGTCAATCTTGGCTGCAGATCCTCTCTTCGCAGACTTGATCGCAGATTCTGTAGAGATTCTGAGCTCATCTTTGCTGCGAAGCTGGATCCTTAATTTGGCAGATTTCAGCTGTCGATGCTTCTGGATGGCAACCACAATGTCCTCCAATGTGAGATCCAAGCCCAGCTCGGTAATGGTGTCCAATGAGATTTGGAGGTCGATACAACTTGGTCGGTCGAGAAAGTGGCGGATTTCTATGTAAGATGTCACGTCTGCTAGGAATAGACTTTCGATTCGGCCTTTGACGATACGAGCAAGACCTTCGGGGATTGACAGATCTCTTCTTCGTTCCAACCGGCAAGTGATGACTGGCGTACTGATCTCCTTCGAAGCGTTGATGATTTCCTTGATTCGAGGAACACCTGCTGTCAAACTCATGCCAGCAACACCGGCAAAGTGAAAGGTTTTCAGAGTCATCTGGGTCCCCGGTTCTCCTATGGATTGTGCACCGACGGCACCGACGGCGTGACCGGGTTCAACACGTGCTCGCTCATACTTCTCCAAGCACAGGTTCACAAAGGCCAGTAGCGTCTTCTTCGATAGCTTGCACGTGAGTTCAAAGCGGTCTTTTGTGGACGGGGGCGGCTTCATCAGTGCACGGTCGTCATTGGGCATGGCCTTTTGGCTCTTGGGATCTCTTGATGTGGCAGGAATTGCTCCTTTCCTGCCTGAACGTCGTTTCGGAGCTGGTGCTTCCTCGTCCACCTCGTCCAGCTCCGCTTCAGCCTTCCGCTTTCCCTTGGAGCTCGGCACGGAGGGTGGCAATGCAAATTGCTGTTTCTTCGCTCTGGCCTCATTGAAGGCGTGGCACTTTGCCATGACAAAGTCATGTATCGACTGCAGAAATGCTCGATTGCTCTCGTTTTGGTCAACCAATCTGTCGTCATCGATATCATAGAGAAGCTCAGCACTGTTGAGGCCAACCCTTGTCAGCAGACCTCTCTTAGCCGACAAGATCTCTTCCATGACACCGAAAATTTCGGTATCCTGTAGACCTTGGTCATTCAGATCAAACGTCGTCGCCTCAACATGAGCGTAGGTGCGGTCGAAATCAACTGGTTTAGCACTTGCCTCCATATCGACAGGATCGAGATCATCATCACCGAAACGAAACTGTACGATGTTTGAAGCCGAGTTGCGGACTGTACGATCGTAGTTGGTGGAGAGATCTTCGAGAGATTTCATCAGTCGCCTCGACATGTAACCCGTCTCTGCTGTCTTGACAGCAGTGTCCACGAGACCAACTCGACCACCCACTGCGTGAAACAAGAATTCATAAGGGAGGAGCCCGCTGAAAAAGCTGTTTGAAACGAAGCCTTTTGAGGGAGGCGACCGTTCATGTTTCAGGAAATGAGGCAATGTTCGGTCCTGGAAACCATCGGCAACACGCTTTCCCTCGATATCCTGTTGCCCAAGAAGAGCTGCCATTTGAGCCACATTGATGTTCGAGCCTTTGGAGCCAGACACGGCCATGACCATTGGCGTGTTATTCTTGCTGAGCTGAGAGGTCAAAATTCCCGCAATATTGGTTCGAACCGTACTCAACACTCGAATCTGCTCTGCCTCGAGGGTGCCTGCATCGTCCAGACCCGCCTTTCGTTTCAGCTTCCCTGCCTTTGACTCGCGAACAAAAGAGCTACACTCGTCAAATACTTTGGCTATCATCTCAGCCTTCTCCTTGACGAGCTTCTCGGGCGGAGTGACATCACTAATGCCAACAGTGAAACCTTGATTGCCCAACCATCTAGCGCAGAGTTTGGACAAGCGATTCATGCCCTGAGCAGCGGCGTCAGGCCCGAAGTCGCGGTAGAGAATATAGAAGATTGAGTTCTTCTTTCCGGAGCCGACAGTTGACTTGTCCATCCTACCACAAAGTACCTCTGAATTGCGAACGCATAAGAAACTATCGTCTTGGAGATCTCGGTGTAGGCCAGAGTGATACTGATTGTGGTCTCGGCAGGCGGCGTCAAGGTTCACTCTCACATTGGAGTCCTTGTTTGGACGCATCAAGACGCTGAACACCTGCTTGCCAGTCCAGAGTGTCTGGGGTTTGATGATTGCAGGTGGAGGAAGATCAAATTTTGTTTCGGGCTCCAGCATCCCACAGCACATTGTCACAAAAGTCTTCTTGTCGAAGAACTGGTCCAGGCTGCTCAGGAGGAACGAGGCGGTGATGAAGTCCTGAATGGCCGAGATAATTGGTTCGCCATTTTTAGGTGTCACAATATTATGCTTGACACCCATCAATAGCATTGCTTCTGTGCGGGCTTCTTCAGTCTGTGGGACGTGGAGGTTCATTTCATCTCCATCGAAATCAGCATTATAAGGGTTGCAGACACATTCGTTCAATCGAAAGGTCCGATGGGGTCGAACTTTGACGAAATGGCTCAGAATACTGAGTTTGTGAAGTGAAGGCTGGCGGTTGAACAGAACCACATCTCCGTCTTCAAGATGGCGTTCGACGATATCACCCTCCTTCAGATGACTCGCTGTGAGCTGATTGTTATACTTCAGAGAGTTTTTGAACCCTTCCTTCTTGATCACATGGTTTGCTCCTGGCCAGACATCGGGCCCATTGCGTACTCGTTGTCGTAGTTTTTCGATGTTGAGCTCGTTGACCACTTCCGGGTATGTCATGTTCTTTGCCACCAGGATGGGTACGGCGACTTCGTCAATTCGCAAGTTGGGGTCAGGGGAAATGACAGTTCGCGCAGAGAAATCGACACGTTTTCCAGAAAGATTGCCCCGAAAGCGTCCTTGCTTGCCTTTGAGACGTTGCACGAACCCTCGAATCTGTTTGCCAAATTCACCTTTGGCTAGACCTGGTACGTCACTGTTGATATACATGGCCAATTGAAGGGACAAATAATCCCAGTGTTCCATGATTTGCGAGGTGGGTAAGCCCTTCTCCAGAGTTTCACGCAACGCATCATTAGCAGCGACAATGTCCCCGAGCTTAGCGGTGATATCGTCTTCTGTGCTTGAAGCCTCTTGCCCTACTGACGGTCGGATACATGCAGGAGGGGCAGGGACGTACGTCCAGAGGAAAGCTTCCGGTCTCGCGGAAAAGAGTCCAAGTAGTTCACGATCGGCACGTCGAATCCGTTTGAACAGACGGAGGGTTCGAAGAGGCGTCAAATCGTCCATGGCTTTCTTGAGATGCTTCTCGAGTTCCGAGTTGGTAAGCTTTGCCGTCTCGAACGATTTGTCAAAGGCCACCTTTTCCGGGGGCGGCACTTTTTTCGCGGAAGTGGAGGCATTGTAGGATTTGAACTTGTCGTGAGTTATCTTGAGAGAATGTGTCGTTGCTTTCCGAACCAAGCCATTGATAGCACCGCACTCGAAACACACTTTGGTCTTTTTGCATTGGTCTGCAACCCGTCTGACAATAGAAGTCTGTTTCAAGCTATCATTTTGCGATCGGCGGATGGCGCTCAGGAACTTGCGACGGTCGGCTTCGGAAAGGAGAATGCAGGAACAGTCCTGGAAAAGTCAGTATTTGGTGGCGGTGTTTTTGAAAGCAGTGCGTGCCTTGCATATGCTCTGTAAGATCTGTATAACTTTTCTGAAGTACCCGACGTGGTAGACGGGAAGGACCAGTCGAACATGTCCAAAATGTCCGTTGCACTCTTGCAGATGTTTTCCGCAGGTTTCGCATGAGTTCTGCTTGGACGAGACACCCATACGCCTATCGAGTGGCCCATACTCAGCGATCGCGCGAGTTCCATCTGAGCGTGTCTTGTCGAGGTCGAACAAGCGTCGGTCCACAAGTTCGACCGCAGACTGGTTGATGATGTCTTGATCCGATCTAGAGACATTAGAATCGCCCTTCCGGTTGTATCGTGACAGGTTGACCCACAGTACACCAAACTGAAGTTCCTTGATCACTTTCGGATTGTCATTTATCACTTGCTCTTTTCCCAACACCATGTCCTGTACCTGTGTGGCTGCAGCCATCTTGCCTTCACTATCACCGCAAGGAACGAGGTTGGGAGGCGGAACACGAAGGAGGGTCGGTCATTGGCGCGAGTGCTGGTTATCGGCTTGACATATGAGGCCCAGTCGAATGCGACAGAAGCATTAGTGTTCGCTTGCGTGCAGTGTCTGTTGCGGCGTGATTCATATCTTTCTCGAGGCGTAGAGAAACTATGGTGGGCGACCGCAAAAAGTTCTCCAACTTCACCCCCACTCTACGTTTGTAAGGCTGAACGGCCTCGCCCCTCCAGGCCAATCATAATCAATCAAAGTCGATTACACGCGATGCATCCAGCAGATGTAATCAGGTGTTCAGTGTGCTTCTAGTTCAAATTCATATTCATGCGCTGCGGCCTATCATAAAATCCATCACTTCCAGGAGACCCGTCGAACTCCATGCCTTTAAGAGACCTGACACTCTCAATCCGCCAATCGATAGCTGACCATGGTATCTACTTTGTGGTTGGTAGTGCTGAAACTGCGTAGTTGGACTTTCTCTGCGTTCCTAATCTCTTTTGCGTCGCTGTCTCCCCATTCGATGGGGACATCCGAGTCCGCATCAGCGTAGACTAACACGTTGAAGGTGCAATTCCCATCCAGCACAGGCAAAAATGTGATTGACGCTGTGATTTGGCGAAAGATGGCCTGTATCTCCTCTTGTATCTGAGTCTCGGTCTTCTCGGGTTCTGTCTCTTCTGTCGCAGCTTCACTGTTCCCTTGTTAGACTTGCTCTGGATCTCGTTTGGTGTAGCTTACTCCGGGTTTGTGTTCTCCTTGTCCGCTGCCTTTTTGGAGGGCCGTTGTTTCGAAGACTTTCCTAGAAGCTGAACGTCGAACTGCCACCTCTCAACGTGTTCTCCCGTCTCCTTGCTTGTGATGACGACCACCAGCTTCGAGATCTTGCCCCCAATCATCCATTTGTTCAGTTGTGACATGATCTTCTTAATGTATGCCTTGACCTGATCGTCCGAAGATACGAGCATGTTGAGTCCATACTTCTTAACACTGTGATGGTCAGCGGATATTTTACCCACTTGTTCAATGCGACTCACGGGGTGAAATCTTCTGCAGGATATACACCTCTCTGAAATCTGCAATGCATTACTATTTCATCCACTTATAGTCTGCTGAGATGGCTCACAGTATTGTGTTTATTGAGTATTCGAACTGCTTTTCTCAGTCTCCGGCGCGTGTGAGGTCAGGCGGGGTGCACTTACGAACTCTGCCACTGTCTTCGATGACCCTGTGAATCCATTAGTACATTATTGTCACTGATGTCAATGAGAGCATACCTTTGAGCGCAACCTTGTGTAATTGCGACTTGTCTTTCTTCTCGACCGCCATCTTGCTCATGTTGGCTGTTCAGTGCAGAGTAAAGTGTGTTGGGCGAAAATTGGAGTGGTTTTGGTATTGATGTTGATTGTTGGCAGGGCAATAATCGGCCACAGTCCAAGTCTCTTGTGCCTTTTGCCCTCTGCCCTCACAAGTTTTTTCCGAAGCGCATTCAGGGTCAATGTCCGTCACCACCCTAATGTTCTGACCCATGCGACCATGGCTGCAGATCTTTGCACGGCGAAGAGCTGCGTTAAGCACCACTTCTGCCTCAATCTGGCGTAAATCTCTGTCGCGGTCCTTCGCGACCTCTGCCTTCCGATGCGCACCAAACCAAACCCCTCCCAGCGACCTCGAAACTCGAATCGCAGCCATCCCTATTGAACGATACCGTAACTTCTGCATTGTCGCGCATGTTGACCATGGCAAGAGCACACTGAGCGACAGACTTCTGGAGCTGACTGGTACCATCCAGCCAGGCTCCAACAAGCAAGTTCTTGACAAGCTAGACGTCGAAAAAGAACGCGGCATCACCGTCAAAGCGCAAACATGTTCCATGATCTACAACTACAAAGGGGAGGATTTCCTTCTTCATCTTGTGGATACTCCTGGCCATGTTGATTTCCGCGCAGAGGTTTCACGAAGTTATGCCAGTTGTGGAGGGGCTCTGTTGCTGGTGGACGCCAGTCAAGGCGTTCAAGCCCAGACTGTCGCCAATTTCTATCTGGCCTTCGCACAGGGCTTGTCATTGATCCCGATCATCAACAAGGTCGATCTGCCTCACGCCGACCCTCCGAGAGCATTGGAACAGATGCATGATGCATTTGAATTGGATCCCGATTCGGCCGTTCTAGTGTCAGCAAAGACCGGGTTAAACGTGGAGAATATCCTCCCAGCTGTGATTGAGAGAATCCCAGCGTAGGTAACAAGCCGCTCTCTCTGTCTTAATGCTTGCTGACGGTACCAGCCCTGTTGGTGATCACACGAAGCCACTACGACTATTTCTAGTAGACTCCTGGTATTCGAGCTACAAGGGCGTTATTCTATTGGTGCGGATATTTGATGGCGAACTTCGTGCAGGAGACCAGATCATTTCTTTCGCGACAGGCCTAAAATATACTGTGGGCGAAGTGGGCATCATGTATCCGGATCAAACGCCTCAAAGGGTCCTTCGGGCTGGTCAAGTCGGATACGTCTACTTCAATCCCTCGATGAGAAAGAGTAGCGAAGCCAAGATCGGAGATACGTACACAAAGGTCGGATTTCAAAACCAAGTCAAACCACTGCCGGGCTTCGAAGAACCCAAACCCATGGTCTTTGTCGCGGCATTCCCTGTGGACCAAGGCGAATTCGAACATCTCGAAGATAGCATCAACCATCTTTTGCTGAACGACAGAAGTGTCACTATCCAAAAAGAGTCGTCATTGGCACTTGGGGCCGGTTTTCGTCTGGGCTTCTTGGGCACACTACATTGCTCAGTCTTTGAGGACCGACTCCGACAGGAACATGGGGCAAGCATCATTATCACTCCACCCACTGTGCCATTCAAAGTGCTGTACAAGAACGGCAAAGAGGAAGTTATCACGAATCCAGCTGAGTTTCCTGACAGTGAGGAAACGCGCAGGAATGTGGCAGAGCTTCGTGAACCCTATGTTCTAGCAACTCTAACATTTCCCGAGGAATACCTAGGAAAAGTGATGGAACTCTGTGAGGCTAACCGGGGTGAACAAAAGTCCATGGAATACTTCACGTCCTCTCAAGTCATTCTCAAATACGAAATGCCTCTGGCACACCTCGTCGACGACTTCTTTGGAAAATTGAAGTCGGCAACCAAAGGTTATGCTACCCTCGATTACGAAGAAGCTGAGTGGCGTGTCAGCAACATTGTCAAACTCCAGCTCCTGGTCAACAAAGAACCTGTCGATGCCATCTCCCGCGTCATGCATCAATCGCAGGTGAGGCACGTTGGGAAACAATGGGTGGAGAAGTTTAAGGAACACGTCGACCGCCAAATGTTCGAGGTGATCATTCAAGCTGCAGTCGGTCGACAAGTCATTGCCAGGGAAACGTTGAAACCATTCAGGAAGGATGTCACAGCAAAGCTACACGCTGCAGATAAGACGAGGAGGATGAAGTTGTTGGAAAAACAAAAGGAGGGAAGAAAGAAGCTTAAGGCTGTGGGCAACGTGGTTATTGAGCACTCAGCGTTCCAAGCATTTCTGGCGAAGTAAGGGGGCAAACAAAAGGTGAACATGTCGAGTATACGATCATCTTGAACAAAGCTATCTACCTCTTTGTCTATCTTCCCCCGTCTATGACTATAAGTCCAAAACACTCCGATCATCCTGCTGGCCAAGGGTTCCAAAACGACCAACCACCAGTGACTCTGATTCCGGACGGAGATCGGCCGTCGCGTTGGCTGCATGTGCACGGGGATAGAGACCCTCCTGAGTTGGGGAAAGATGAACGGATACACCTAGATAGACAAAAGGTCCAGACGTCCATGAGACGGTTTGTTACACTTCTTGTCCTTCGATGTCTTGAGGTGGTAAAGCTCCCTTGTGACTATCTATCTCAGGCTAAATCATTCATTGAGGTTTATTTAGCGCAGGGTCGCGTCCCAACCACTCGAGTTGGTCCAGTAGGCCTTTCTGGTCACATAATATAATTCCGCTCAACGGCATTATATCACGTGCCTGGTATATCGGCGTGGTTGTTTATCGTTGGCAGAAATGGAACAAGGTTTATCCGTACTGCCACGAGCAAGCGACGATGCTTGGCACTCGCCGCGCCATTTCCTCTTTCGTCAGTGTCAACATAGACAAACAACCAGCTTCCTCAATTGAAGAGTCAGGCTTTCGAATACTTCACGAGAAGCAGTCCAGGATGTCGGCTGAATCGCCAGCTCGGCCGACGCGCCGCGCTGCGCGCAAAAATGTTATAGTGGAAGAGTCAGACGACGAGTTGAGCCTCATCAAAGAGGATGACGATGAGGAGTTTACGCCCGCGCCGAAGCGAAGCCCGCGCAGGTCTACGAGAAGACAGACAACTGCCAGCGTCGATGCATCACCCAAGAAGTCGGCGCGCTCACGCAAGTTCAAGACCGGCGAGGGCATTGAACCCTCGCAGATATTCGACCCAGAAGAGGCCATGCCGGCCAGTGACCCTACCTCTCCAACAAAGGCTTCATCACCACGAAAACGAAAGAGTGCCGTTCCTCGAAAAAGCCGGAGGTCCTCTGTCGTACCACCTCTACCTGACTTATCCCCTCCCGATACCGCGACCCTTGCTGCGCCAGAGATCTCGGCTGGAACGCCTCTGAAAGACATCACCAGCCAGGCGTTGAACAAAAATGTGCCGCAGGAGGCCTATCAAGAGTCGCCCAAACCAATAAGAAAGGCAGATCCAATGATAGAGAAACCAATGGACATTGTTATACGGGCAAGAGCACAGGCCGTTCCCATTGCAGAAGAGCCAACCGGAACCAAGTCTAGGATGGTCATTCGACAGCTAGTCATGACCAACTTCAAAAGCTATGCCGGAAGGCAAGTCGTTGGACCCTTCCATGCTTCATTCTCTGCGGTCGTGGGGCCCAACGGCTCTGGGAAATCCAACGTCATTGACTCTCTGCTCTTCGTCTTCGGCTTCAGGGCAAGCAAGATGAGACAGGGCAAAATCTCGGCGCTGATTCACAACTCTGCACACCACCAAGATCTTGATTTCTGCGAGGTTGAGGTCTACTTTCAAGAGATCATTGATCTCCCCGGAGGGAAGCACGAAATAGTGCCAGACTCGGAACTTGTGGTCTCCAGGAAAGCGTTCAAGAACAACACAAGCAACTATTACTTGAACGGCAGGACAACGAATTTTACGACAGTGACGACATTGCTCAAGGACAAGGGTATCGACCTAGACCACAAACGATTCTTGATCTTACAGGGCGAGGTCGAGTCCATTGCGCAGATGAAGCCCAAGGCTGCAAACGAACACGACGATGGGCTGCTGGAGTATCTCGAGGACATCATTGGAACCTCGAAGTACAAGACACCCATTGAAGAAGCAGCTGTCGAGCTTGAAAGCCTCAATGAAATCTGCGTTGAGAAGCAGGGTCGCGTCCAGCATGTCGAAAAAGAAAAGAATAGCCTCGAAGATAAGAAAAACAAAGCTCTGACATTTATCCGCGACGAAAACGAACTGGCAGAAAAACAGTCAGCCCTCTACCAAATCTACATTGCTGAATGTGAAGACAACAACAAAGTCACGGAAGAGGCAATACAGCAAATTCAAGAGCAGCTCAATGCCGAGTTGGAGAAGCATGCTGGTAATGAGGATGCCATTAGAGAACTCGAAAGTGCGTACCACAAAGCGGTCAAACAGTATGAACGAATCGAGAAGCAAGTCCAAGATCTGAACAAAGAATTAGCTAAACTTGACAAGGAAGGTGTCAAGTTTGATGAAAAGCGCAAATTTATTGGGGGCAAACAGAAGAAAGCAGAGAAGACCGCTACTTCCAGCCGCTTGGCTGCATCTGAAGCCCAAAGTCTTGTCGAAAGACACACTAGTGATGTCCAACGCAAAGGTACAGAGGTTCTCGAACTTGAGAAAGAGATGGAGCAAGAAGAGAAAAAGCTAGCTGCCATCAGGGATGATCTCAAGGGGAAGACCCAAGGCTTGTCTGATCAGATTGCCGCGAAGCAAAAGTCGTTGGAGCCGTGGAACGCCAAAATCAACCAAAAACAGTCTGCTATCGCTGTTGCACAATCCGAACTCGACATCCTCCAAGAGAAAGCTAACAGCGGTCAGAAATCAATAGACCAAGCCAATGAAAGAATTGCGGGCATTGAGACGAACAAGACCACGAAGCTCGAAGAAATTGAGCAACGAAAATACGAAAAGGCCCGATTGGAGAAGGATATTAGGAAAATCCAAGATGCTCTACAGAAGCTCGCCGCTAGTGAGCCCGAGGTTCGATCACAGATATCGTCGGCACGGCAGAAGGCTGATGAGGCACGTGCTAGCCTCGCAACCAGCCAGAATCAAAGCAATGTGCTCAAGGGCTTGTTACGGCTCAGGGATTCAGGTCGCATTGATGGCTTCCACGGTCGCCTCGGCAATCTAGGTACGATCGATGAAAAGTTCGACGTTGCCATTTCCACAGCCTGTCCCTCATTGGAGAACATGGTTGTTGACAATGTCGAAGTTGGCCAGTTGTGTATCGAATACCTCCGGAAGAACAACTTGGGACGCGCAAACTTCATTCTTCTCGACAAACTTGCTCAGCGCGATCTGTCTCCTATAAAAACTCCCGAGAACGTACCTCGACTCTTTGATCTCATCAAGCTCAAGCATGAACGATTTGCCCCAGCCTTCTACAGCGTCATGCAGAATACTCTTGTTGCACAAGATCTCGAACAGGCAAATCGAATTGCTTACGGTGCCAAACGATGGCGGGTAGTCACTCTTGATGGTCAATTGATCGACGTCTCCGGGACTATGAGTGGTGGTGGAACTCGTGTCGAACGTGGTGCCATGTCATCCAAGTTGTCTTCGGACACCACCAAAGAGCAGGTTCAGAAGCTTGAAAACGAACGAGATCAACTAGAAAAGCAGTTCGAGGCTTTTCAGACGAGACAAAGAGAACTCGAGGCAAGCCTCAGAGAGAAGCAAGAAGAGATTCCACGTCTGGAAACCGCTATTCAGAAGACCAATCTCGAAGTAGAGACCTGCACCAGGAATATTGCAGACGCACAAAGACGAATCCAAGATCTCCTCACCGAGTTGGCTAGTACTTCAGTCGACGACACTCAGATCATCCGTCTCCAAACGCACATTGAATCGATGAACAGGGAGCTTGAACAATTACACTCCGAGACGGCCAGTGTGGAGGCGGAGATCCAAGCTCTGCAGGACAGGATCATGGAGGTTGGTGGCATTCAGCTCCGAACTCAGAAGGCTCGAGTCGATGGCCTTAAAGAAAGAATTGAGATGTTAAATGATGACATATCCAACGCGGAAGTGGCCAAGACGAAGAACGAGAAGCTCAAGACCAAGAATGAAAAGACCAAATTGGACGCAGAGAAGGAACTTGAATCTCTATCGAAAGACCTTGAACAGCTGGAACAGGATATCGAGAGACACAAATCTGCTGCTGCGGAGCTGCGAGGCCAGGTGGATCAAGCTGAAGAACAACAGACCAGGATGAAGGACGAACTTGGAGATTTGAAGAAGAATCTTGATGCGCAAACATCCGAATTGAACTCGACGAGAGCTGTTGAAATTGAGATGAAAAATAAGCTTGAGGAAAACAACAAGGTCCTGGCGGACAATCAAAAGAAGAATCGTTACTGGACAGAAAAGTTGTCCAAACTAACGTTACATGATACCACCGACCTGGAAGCGATGTCCTCAGATCAAGACCAGCAAAGGCTTGAGAGGCCGGCGGATGAAGAGGACATGCCGGACGCACCTCCCGAAGCAGATCCGGACGCCATGGACGTTGATGAAGAACCACATGAGGAGGAGCAAAATGCCCCTCCCACCCCAGCAAGCAGGCAGCTGCAGATATTCACCCGCGATGAGCTCCTTGACAAAAACAAAGACCATCTTGTCGCTTCAATTGCGGCTCTCGAAGAGAAGGTTTCTAATGCTTCAAGCATTGATTTGAGCGTTATCGCTGAATATCGGCGTCGATGTCAAGAAGTGGCTTCCCGAACAAGTGATCTCAAGAGTGCGGTGAAGACTAGGGATGCGGCCAAAACACGACTGACTGATCTTCGCAACCTCCGCCTTACCCAGTTCATGACAGGCTTCACCACCATCTCTTCGCATCTGAAGTCTATGTACCAGCTCATCACGCTCGGAGGCAACGCCGAGCTCGAACTGGTGGACAGTCTTGATCCATTTTCCGAAGGCATCCTGTTTTCTGTCATGCCTCCCAAGAAAAGCTGGAAGAACATTGGTAATTTGTCTGGTGGCGAAAAGACATTGAGTTCACTCGCCCTGGTATTTGCACTACATGTGTACCGGCCGACTCCGTTGTACGTGATGGACGAAATTGATGCGGCTCTGGATTTCCGAAACGTAAGTTATATACCCGGCTTGCTTATTGATGGGTGTCTCGAATGCTAACTGATAATCTTGCAGGTGTCGATCGTGGCAGGCTACATCAAAGAACGAACCAAAAACGCACAGTTTATCGTCATCTCCTTGCGAAACAACATGTTCGAACTCGCGGAACGCCTAGTGGGCATCTACAAGGTCAACCACATGACGAAGAGCGTCACAGTGGAAAATAGAGACTATTTGGCTATAGGAAGCCGAAGACAGGGGCAGCCGACCAGTGGACCACCAGGACAATTGCGGTGATCAGCATCTTGATAGTAATGGGAATGAAGTGACTGACCATGTCAAAAGGCGCGCCTTGGATGGACGATTTTCATGACCTTTTATTTGCTATGACTTTTGGATCTTTCACGTTTGGTTGATGCGTTACTATTCTCGTTTTGCACAGTTGGCATACCAAGAACGAAGCTGAGCGTTCAAGTATATCAATGCACTGGTACTCTGTACAGGGAGGCAGAAGAGGTGAATCTTACTTTTACTGCGTGCTTGTTGTCATTCTTGTAGGAAACCAGGAAACCAAGAACTGTTCTTCTTGACCATGGCATTCCGCCTTTATGTGCAGACATCTCAGCCTCGTTGCGGCAGTAGACAGCCTGTTTGGCCTGTTTGGCAACTTTACTCATTGTGATGGAGACAGGCGTGACAATTTCGAACGTGTTTGTTCTCGAGACGCCTTTATTGATGTTCACTGTTATACATTCCAAACGAATCAAAGCAAACCACAACCTTCCAGGTTCTCCCAGGTGTCATTTCATCCCATTTTGATGCCCGAATCCTCAGTCCGTAGCGCAGTCTCCGGCGCGAACGCAGTCAAAGTAAAGCGTCAGATGTTCCATTCACAATTTCGTTGCATTCATTTCCCTCCACATCCTGGCGGCAGGGACTTCAAACACAAAATCCCACCAGAGAAATCTCTCCATGAGCCTTTTGAATCCGTCCCAATCCAACTGTCGATCGTCGACCAAGCCTCGCAGTTGCTGCAAATACCATGCCCGAGACTTGGTGAATGTGGCCCCGATCGTTCCCATGAAGACAACCCACATGACCAGTTCTCCGTAGCTGGTCGATTTCCAAAAGGGGCGCAGACTAGGAGTCTCCAAGGTGATACGAAGTTGACGGGAGAGGCGAGGTTTGACGCCGCTGTTGTAGGGGAGAGGCAGGATCACCATCTCGCAGAAAATCAAACCCGCAAGTCTACAGATCTCGTAAAGGACTTCGAAGGCGCCCGTGTCCGTCTCTTCTGCCGGAGTCAGACTCGAGAATCCGTGCTGGGTCTTGTTCCTCGCGTCCACGAGATCGGCTAAGGAGGGTCGACCTTCCGCGCCTCGGTGATACTGGTCTAGGGCTATGGTGATGTTACAGGCTTCGAGGTACAGCCGATGTACTCTGATGTCGATGGCTGCCAGCACCGCCAACCCGGAGCCCAGGACCTTTGAGAGCCCCTCCGCATGCTGATCTGGTGTCCACTTACCCTTGGCGACCAGATCCTGGGGCCCGTGGATCCAAGGGTAAAGCGGACGGCTGGTCCTCAGAGCAGCCACATAGATGTCGACACTAACCCGTCGTCAACCAAATGCGAGTCCGGACGGTCTCTCGAATACTTACACCTCGATCATGTAGGCCAGAGCACTATTTTCCATTAGTGTTCGAAGGGGGCAAAACCAAACGTGGATACTTGGATTTCCCATCTCGGGTAGTGGGTGACTTCTTGGGAGACTTACTATGAACTCAGCCCCTGCAGTCCTCCTTTGCGTCGGATGAGCATATGTACGGCTTGAAGATGCGTATCGTTCAACTTGACCCTTCCAACCGGTTGGGCCTGTGCGAGCGGCGACTTTGGATGTACCTCCTCTCCAGGTGACTCGTTGACATCACCTGACGAGGTGACGAGATTCAGGATTGCCATGACCAGTTCATCTGACGGCTCCGACAATCCACTGTTGATCAGCTGGAGCTCTTCCCGGATGAGCTTGATAGCCGTCATCTGGTGCTCCAGTCGCTTGAGGGAGAGATACTTGGCTACCCCTTCATCCTGGCAGAGGCTCAATGCCGCCCCGGCAGCGCCCATGACCTGGCAGTGGAAAAGAAATGGATATTGCACCGCGGCTTGTCTCCAGGATTTCTTCGTCGCCGCTAGCTGCTTGTCCTCGGCCTGGACCATCTTTGGCCAGACAACTTCGTAGGCTGTGTTGGGGGTAGTCAGTACAGCAGTCCTGAAAGCGCTCCTAGTTGATAGCCTCAGTGTGGGAGGTGTTGTGAGGTCGTACTGGCTGTGTGAATGGCATTCGCAGGTTGACTCACCATGCTCAAGAACTTCAAGCATTCGACACGGTAGTTGACTGCCTTCGTACGAAGCGAAGGGGTCCTGTTTACCCTGTCCAACAATCATTCCCAAGAAATTCTGGTCTTGGGCCCCGCCCGCGAGAGAAAAGCGCCTGTGGGAGACGGCATTGTGGTCTGGATCCCGCACGAATGAACGGCGAGATATAGCGCCACCGCCGTGTGTTTCGATCCAGCGCGATAAAGCATTGCTGTCGGTTGTCGTTATGGGCGATACACGGTGACAACAACTGCAATCGAAGGTCTCTCCCTCCTCAACTTCTCCCTCGTGGACATCTCTCTTCTTCTGTCTGGCTCTGTTGTGGGTGATGCGCGCGGCGTGCGATCGTGCGGCTGAGTTTCGCAACTCGCGGGCGCGACGAGATTCTGTGCCCGGCGCGGGCTTTACGAGGAGGAACTGAATTTCTACCATGACTTTGTGACTTGGATATGAAAGGTATCGAATTGAGGAGTCCGAGGAAGTAGTTTCTGTTTCATCACTCTTCCGTCTCTTTGCCCCTCTCCTCCCTCGAGCCCAAATGTTCAAGCCCGTATATATCCTACTGCACAACCTTGGCCGTCCGGCTCGTTCTGGTCAGCCCTGCCGAATCCCAAACAAGGTTTTTGGAGGGTCAAACAGCAAATGCGGGAATACAAGGCACGCTAAGACCACAATGGTGCTGGGAGGAGTAGTGCAGATTCCCTTCCTTGCTAGCCATGCGAGTATCAGCGGGACGCCCTTGTCGGCGGCGGGGAAAAGGGCAACCACCAACCCTCCCAAGCTTCGAGCTGACAACCTTACCATGCCGTGGTCGGTAAAAGGGTTCACCTGTCTTATGTAAGGAGGGCGCAGGACAGGGGCGTCATTGGGGGGATTCGAGAAAACGGCCGAGACGGGGCCAAGAAAGCTCGCTTGGGCCAAAGCCATTCAGACGCATGGGTTAGTGACACCACTGGCACAACTGGCGACTCAATCTGTGTGCTTAGATAAGTGTGCATGGAACAGCCACCAGAGCTGATCGCAGAGCGGGATGTGAAGGGGGCAAGGCGACTGAATGGAGCCTTGGAGCTTCGTAATGGTGGCGGTTCCAAGAATGAAACGGACGCCACTGTCGTCTGAACCATGTATCCGACACCGAGCATAACCTAGGTTTTACTACGAGCACAGAGAATGCATTTTCTTTTATTATATATATATATATATCGTTATACCTCGATCGATGCAGCACACCACAGAGGATATTGGACCTATCTACCAACACAACATTATCTACCAGATACTCTAGCTAAGACACACTTTACTTTTATCTCCAAATAATGAAAATACACACCAAATACATATACTTGGGGCTCTCTTGTCCACTAGAATGTCGGAACCCGGCACCCCTCCCAACGTGCCCCAAATGATGCAGGGTCTACTAATTACTGTCCCTCACCTCCCATGCAGAACTCTGTACCGAGTAATATTATGTCCAGACCTTGCGGGATCCGGCCGATTAGTAATAATGTTTGAAAAATCTGCTGCCGAATCGGGAAGTTCTAACTAGCCTGAAAGGGTAGGAGTTGGAAGGCGCCAACTCGGTCTGCGGGTACATGAGTACATACTAAAGGTACGAGGAATAAGTACCAAGGACCAAGTAACGTGCAAGGTTGGTGCTAGTGCGCACTGTAGGTAGGTAGTAAAGAGTGGATTGGGTAGGTACCCAAGGTAGGTTTATCATGTATGTACGGTCAGGTGCGAAATCGGGTGTCCTATTTAGCTGGTAGATAGGGCTCTCGGCGGATAAAATGCGACCCTTCCCGTGGAGCCATTCAGGCAGGGCGGTTGGACTTTCACAGGGAGGGTTGGCTTTCGAACTCACGCATGTCCCTTGCTGCATAGACCACCATCGTCTTGACACTCGAGGCTGTCGCACGGGCCATGTAATATTGCCCAAGCTCAAGTACCGTACCGTACCATCTGACGTTCAGCCACTTTTGTATTGTCTCAATCTGACCTTGTGCTCGACGAGGTATAAGATCTCTCGGTGACATCAAGTGGACCATCAATTCCGAGATCCTCAGCCAAGGACAAATCCCAATTTTATAGTGGACCGACCCACTGTCTATTCTCTCCTCGGCTTCCTCCTGCCTTAGGACCGTGCAAGGGTGAGGCAGTTCTAGAATCAAACTTTGATAAAATCCCAAACGTGGCCGCGGGATACTCCTTTGTTGATTGTCACTAACGTCTCCACCTCCTTCACCCTCTTAACCCCCACAGCCCAGAGGTTCTCCCAACGGGTCACTAGCAAGACATACCCTCCCTCTGGTCTCGGACGGACGACAAAACTCTCCCATGCCTTGTGTTCCCCAGCCGAACAGCGTATTGCGTCGCCATTGTAGCCTAGCCACTTGCCGGAGGCTTCGTTCTTAAAGCCGAGCCAGCCTTCTCGATCTGCGCACTTCCAGCGTATAGAGCTTCGGTCATTCTGATGGGCTAGCACAACATTCCCGTCAAGCAGCGAGAGGAAGCGTCCGCATGAGGTGGAGCGGATGACATAGGTGGATCCGGGCCAAGGGGCGGAGGGGACGCTTAGATCGACATTGTCAGATGCGTAGAGGTTATCAACAGTAGTTTCAGAGGGTGTTGCGCCAGAATAGGCGGTTGAATCATCGGGTCTCGGGATCCGGGGTCAATTTTGTTCATAACCATAATGTTGGTAGCTTGGATACCTCGATCTAGATGACACAGTTAACTCTGCGCAAGATCCAGTACTGTATCATTTATGTAAGGGTATGAGTAAGAAGTATCATGCACCGAGATGTCAATGATCGCATTCCGCCAAGGCGGTCCGCCGCGTCTCTTTCCCCCGCGTTTCGGGAGGAGGGGGTGTCGTCGCCAACGCAGTCAAGATCCACGCACCAATCAGTGATCACCGTCGACTGTCGTCTTAGATGGCCGTCTGCTCCCGGCACTGCGCTCCCAAAACTCTCCTAAAACTGTTTTCAAGAAACCTGTCTCCCGAGACCGCCCTACTTTTGCAGACGTTTCCCAAAACTGGTTCCAATTGCGAAGCTGCGGCAGCGCGAAAAGCTCCGCTACCGAAATGTCCCAACCAGAAGTGGGCCTGTCTTCGGTTGAGCCCTTCCAGATCCTTTTTGCGCCAACGTACCCCGTAACTTGAGATCCTTCCCGAGCGGCGTCACCACTTTCGCACATCACTATACCAAGTATGCACTAGACATGCATATCAGGGGAAGTTCAAAAACTACTATTTTTTTTTCTCTCTGAGGCTGTATCCTACTTTCATTTATTTATTTACTTTTTCTGTTCCACTTTTCCCATCTTGTCTTGAAGATAATGTGAGCATTTCCTCGAACCAGTCCAGAAATGACGGGCCAAGGGTGTCTGGTACCTGCCCACCGAGCGCGTCATATACCGCTCAGACGCGATTTGTTTCCCTCTCTCAAATCATTTCGCTGCGGGTCTTGTTTGAATTCAAGCTCAACCCCAGAGCCACTTCAACAATGTATGTATCTTCGCAAAACGGATCCGGATGACTGGCGTGGCTTGGTGTCTTGGAATCAGTGTGGGAAGCCTGAAAGGGGGGTCCTCAAGGTATTCCGTCGACCTTCTCAACGGCCGTATGCTTCTCGTGGTCCTTCAAGTACGCGACCGGGTCCAGCTCCGCTTGCCTTGCCGCGTCCTCGATGTGAATCGCCACGGGATCTCCAAACAGCTCCTCGACTTCTTCGAGCGTCTTGTTGGCCGTTTCGGGGAAGCTGTTGAACTCGAATGTTAGTCCCATCCAAGAAGATCGGGAATCTCGCCAGCATAGAAAGGGACTCGAAAATGAAAAAAAGGGAGAGAAGGTCAAGAAACACTTACTACCAGTAAAAGACCACGGCGAATATGGCCGTGCAGATGACAAAAATCATAAAGTACTTCCAGCTGATGTGCTCGATGGCCATGGGCGTGACCTGGACGAGGAGGATGACAAAGGCGCTCCCCCAGGCGGTGATGAAGCCGCCGAGGGCCGCGCGGACGGGCGTCGGCAGGATCTCCGGGATGTAGGTGAAGGTGAAGCTGTTGAAGATGACAGAGTAGCCGACGAGGAAGAGGAACATGGCGACGACGGCCAAAATCCCGTACGTCTTGTTGAGGTTGTCGCTCTTTTCGAAGCTGGCCCAGAAGGCCGAGAGGAGGATCGACGACGGGATGATGATGGCCAACGAGACCAGCATGACCCGCCGCCGACCCCAGCGGTCAAAGTACCACGCGCCGGGGATGTTGGAGCAGACGCCCACGGTGCCCCAGATGCCCACGAGCACCAGGGGCAGTTTCCCCCCGACGCCGAGGCTGCCGTACACGATGACCTGGTAGTTCTGGAGCGGGATGACGCCCGTCAACTGCTGGCCCGTCACGAGGATGAAGGCGATGTACAGCCTCTTGCGGTACGACGGCCGCTTGAGGACCGTCAGCGGGTTGACCTTTTGCTCGGCCTCGAGCCGCAGCTGCGCGCGGATCTGGTTGAACTCGCCCATGAAGAACGTGTCGTCGTCCGACGTCTGGTGCATCCGCCGCAGGATCACGAGCGCCTCCTCGTCCCGGCCCTTCATGATCAGCCACCGCGGACTCTCGGGCATCCAGATGGCTCCGACGAGCATGATCAGCGGCGGGAGGACCTGGAGTCCGAAGAACACGCGCCAGGCCGCGTCGCTCTCGATGTACGAGAATCCAAGACCCTAAAGAGGCAGATATTAGGAAAGGTGGGATCATCTGGTGAGGTCGGAATTTACCATCCATTCTGTAATGGCATATGCTAGGGAGATGTTAATCCTGTGTTTGTCCGCCCATCAGCTATTTGTCCTCTGCAATTTTCTTCTCAACGATCGTCAAAACGTACGCGTATAAGCCACCGATCCGTCCTCGAACGTGCGGTGGGGCAATCTCGGATGCTATCAGACCACATAAGTGAGTGATTCAAGGCAGTCCAAAAAAGGGATTCAATGGGGGAGATCCATGAGAGAAGATGCGGTGCGAGGCGGACGAACCGTACGTAGGGCAGACAGCATAGACCAGCCCTCCGGCAAATCCACCAATACCACGCCCGACCAACAACACGGGAAGACTCTGTGCGCCCGCCTGCATGGCATTGCCGCCCAGCGCGATCACGCTCGCCACGATGATGGTCCGGAGTCTTCCGATCTTGTTGGGCACGTAGAGCATGGCCAGGCCACCCAGGAAGAGGCCAGCATAGTAGATAGACCCGAGGACGCCGAGGAGGGTTGCGTCGAAGCCAAAATAGGTGATGAACTGGCAACCACCAATGCCAAAGATCTTTGTTAGCTGGAGAACATTGACAGTCGCATCAAGAGGGAAAAGTCCTTGAAGGAGAGGCAACGCACACGAGGGTATCCGATGACGGACGTCGTCAGGCCGGAGTCATAGCCATAGAAGAAGGCCCCGAAGGTGAGGTAGATGATGCACAAAAGGCCATAATCGTTCATGGTTGGAGTAGACTCTGAATCGTAGAGACTGGAAGGACTGTGCTTGTATGCCAATAAGGCTTGTAGGTCAACAGGAGGTTGTTGACTCTCGAAGATTGGGGGGAAGACATGCCATGTCTTTATGAGTTTCTTCTGTTTCGCGATATAGGTGCAGTACCCGCTTTGTGATATCCCCAAGATGCTCTCCAGAAAAGCGGAGAAGCCGGGGAAGCGTGTGTATCAATCGGTAACTGGCGAGAAGGCAATGAGTAGCCGACTGGCACTATAGCGGCCCGACAGGTGAGGCTGGCCGGTATCCCAATGGGGATCTGGGCTCCCTCGGTCAAGGTGGACCGGTTTGGGTCGATCATGGTACTTGAAGCGGCAATCCCTCGGCAAAGGGCCAGATCAGGAAAGAACATAGACGGCTATCTCACGACGTGTCGAACTTGGTAGTGATATCTCAGATGGGCTTTGATGTAAATTACTGAGGGTTTGTTAAGCGTGAATCGAAGAAATGCCATGCGGAGTAGACGAGCTGAGTGGGGCATGACGGGGAAGGGCCGATGTCTGCAGTGGGCCAATCAGGTATCAATCTACAGCAGCGCTAAGCCGAAACAGGACTTTGTGGAGCAGTTTATCACCATATTTTCGGTTTACATGTACTCTTCAATGCCAAAGTCACATCAACTATTCATGCACTTCAACACTTACTGGACTACTACTTTCTATAGATGCGTCCATCACTTTTCCTCCTCAAGATAAGTCACCTCTAACCCCTCGAAGCGGTCGTCAGCTCTCCACTTCCTGGTCAACTCAAAGAACGCCGGCGAGCCACCGCCGTAGATGACGTTCCTCCGAGTCTTCAAGTCGTCAAAGTCGCCTTCGTTGTTGTAGTAGCCGGGGGTGCAGTCCTCGAGAAACTTCCGGCGCGGTTCCGCCAGCTCGACGCAGAGCTGGACCCACGCGTTCTCGGCCTCGGCGGTGGGCTCGAGGGTGCGGACGTTCCTCTCACAGGCACGTCGGACAACGTAGGCGAAATGCCTGGCTTGCTCGGCGGTCGCGTGGAGGAAGTTTGGCGACACGGCCGCCTGGACGCTGTTGACGAAGAAGCAATTGGGGAACCCGCGACTGGTCCAGCCATGGAACGTCTGGAATCCATCCTTCCACTTCTCGGTCGTCGTGATCCCGTCTCGCCCGTAGATCTCCATTCCGGTCCGCTGGGCCCAATCGGTCGCCAATTCGAACCCGGTCGCATAGATCAGACAGTCAATCTCATAGACGATGCCGTTCGCCATGACGCCCTCGGGCGTGATTTGGTCGATGCCTTTGCCTTTCGTGTCAACCAGCTTCACATTCGGCCGGTTGAACGTCTGGAGGTACTGGTCGTGAAAACACGGCCTCTTGCACATCTGGTTGTACCACGGCTTGAGGGCTTCGGCCGTCTGCTTGTCCTCCACGATACTGTCGACGCGGGCGCGGATGGACTCCATTTTCCGATAGTCGGCCAGTTGCATCTTGGCGGCGATCTGAGCCGGGTCCACGGTGGCAGATTCATTGTCGCTTTTGCGAGGCCAGAGGTTTCTCAAGATGTCCGTCCATCCGTCGGCGACCAGGTCTTCCTCAACGTACCCGCCAGCAATAACGGTGTCGAAGTTGTCCATTCGCGCTTGGTGCCATCCTTTGGGGAGCGACCTCGCCCACTCGGGGTCTGTCGGACGATTGTTTCGGACGTCGATACTGGATGGCGTACGCTGAAACACATAAAGCTGCTTAGCTGCTGCGCCAACGTGAGGGACAATTTGCACCGCCGTCGCGCCAGTGCCGATGATCCCAACCCGTTTATCAGCCAACTTGGATAGATCTCCACGATTATGGCCTCCGGTATAGTCATAGTCCCAGCGGGATGAGTGGAAAAAGTGACCTTTGAAAGAGTCTATGCCTGGGACGCCTGGCAACTTTGGTCTGTGGAGAGGTCCCGCTGCCGGAATGATGAACCGAGTAGAGATGATATCCGCCCGGTTAGTTTCGACGTCCCAGCGAGTCGTCGCCTCGTTCCACTGAAGCTTTAGAGTCTCGGTTTGAAAGATGGTTTTGTCGTACAAGCCGTAATGGGCCCCGATCCGGTGGGCGTGGTCGAGCAACTCAGACGCATGGGTATATTTCTCCGAGGGCACGTAGTTGGTCTCCTCAAGTAGTGGCATGTACACATAAGCTTCGATATCACACTGTGCTCCGGGATATCGGTTCCAGTACCTGATAATGTTCAGCCAAGCTACAAGAACGGAGACTACTGGAGAAGCCATACCATGTACCGCCGAAATCACCGCCTTTCTCGATAATGCGGAAATTCGTGACGCCTTGCTCCAGGAGTCGCACCGCGCACATGAGACCGCCGAAACCTCCGCCGATGATGATCACATCTGTGTCCAATTGGATCGGATCACGAGTGAAGCCAGGCTGGACATACGGGTCGTCGAGGAACTTTTCGGCCGCTTTGCTCGCCGGCTGGATGATGGTGTACTGATTGATACCGCCGTTCTGGAGTCGCTTGTCGCGCTCTTCCTGATACTTTCGTCTGAGTGCCTCAAAGTCTAATTCGACCTTCTCAGGCTCTGTCAGGCTGCGATGCTCGAGAGCGGCCGCGCTTTGCGGGTTGACGGATTGCTGGACGGCGACGGCCATAGCGGTAGGATTTTGTAGTTATATCACACTCACAATCACAATCACCGTGAAGACGGTTACCAATGTGGCTGTAAGACTTGCTATTATGTCCCTTATCTATACATACCTCATCATTCGGATACTTGTTGCATCGATGGTACCTGGGAGATATGTCCTCGGTTTCCTATTCGGGTTGAGTCCCTCGGATCATCTACACACATGACCGTCTGTCCGGGCTTGGCTTGGTCTTCACCAAGAGTGTTCAAGATTCCAAGGCAAAAGCTTCGGGCAGTAAGAGAAGGCCGAGGGTGCGTATCCTGACCGACGAGACTCGTACGCGGCGATGGAAGAGAAGCCGCCGAGCATTCGACGTGTAACCCGATCGGCAGCAGTGACAAAGGCCAAGTCTCAAAGGTCTGAGGAGTAACCCGTGAGTCAAAGTTCACTACGAGGCGCAGAGTCGACTTCCGCCAAGTTGCACGCTGGAGGACCAACATCCCGGCACCAGTGTCACCATCACAACACAGGGGCAGAGCAAGACGAGAGGGGTTTAATGCACGTCTGCTGGGAGCGCGGCAAAGTAATGAGCCAATGAGTAATCTCGCTCAAACTGAATATAAAGGAGTAAGGTAAACAAGGCGCGTGGGTGCAGCACACTTGCGTTCAGAGAATAGAACCAGTCAGCCAATTCTAGATTCCAGAATATGCATAGTGAAGAATTATCAAGATATCTCCCTTCGTGTCAGGCTCTGTATTCAACGCGGCTTCATTCATCGAATCTTACAGCTCCTCAAGCTTACTTCGATACACATCACTACGCTCCCCATGTGATTCGACTCTCCGATTGCCTCTGCCTCTGCCTCCAAAGCAGCCCTCTGTCTACTTCATTTTCACACCGCACCACCATTAATCGGAATCGTCTGTCCGTTGATGTAACTCGAGTCCTCACCCAGGAGGAAGGCAATGACCTTTGCAATTTCCGAGGGCTGTGCGAAGCGTCCTGCCGGGGGTGGCTTGATGTCTTCGTCAAAGTCCTTTTTCCTCTGGGCGAACCATATCTTGACACCTTCGGTCTCGGTCACCGCTGTGCATGGATGTTAGTTTATATATATATGCGCGTGCATGCGTGCGTGGATGTGTATATTGGACGAAAAATAGAATCAGGAGCACTTACACGGCGCGACGGCATTGATCCGTATCCCGAGCGGGGCAAAATCCTTGCTCCACGCCTTGACGAGCCCGACACTGGCGTGCTTCGTCGCCGTGTACACAGCCAGACTGTTGTGGCCGAAAAGCCCCGACATGCTGGCGACGTTGACGATGGTGCCCCTGGTTCCCCACGGCCCCTTTGGTTCCTGCTTCTCCATGATCCGCAGGGCCTGCGTGCCATAGTTCCACGTGCCGCGCATATTCACGTCGACGATCTTGTCAAACGTCTCGTCGGTCGCGATCGGTCCCTCGGCGGGGCCTATGCCTGCGTTGTTCACGAGGCAGTCGAGCCGGCCGCCGGCCTTCGCCACGACTTCGTCCAGGAACTTGACACAGGCGTCCCGGCTGGCCACGTCGACGCCTCCGTAGAAAAATACTTTCTTGGCCTGAACCAAGGACTCGAGCTTCGCGGGAACATTCTGTGTCAACTCGGCAATCCACACCGTGGCTCCTCGACTACACAGCTCGACCGTCGTGGCGAGTCCAATACCAGATCCACCTCCCGTGATGGCGACGTTGTATCCTTCAAGAGAGGCCATGGTTCAGCTATGGCTGTGAAGAAAGCAATACTCAGAAAAGATGTCGTTGATCGCGGTACTCCGTCGAAAACGGCTAAAACGCCGCTTCAAACCCATGTTGATATTTAACATGGTCAAGTGACGTCCCAGGATGGAAGCTTGATAGCCTCGGTAAATGGATGCTACATTGGGAACAGGTTTCCCCTTTGCGGTTTCTTCGACACCGAGGTGGATGTCCAAGTGGAGAGCAGAACAAACAAAATTGGTAATAGAGGGATGATCGACCCGTCCCGTAATCTTCTTGCCGAGAGTAAAGTTGGTAAGAGTGGTTACCGTAGTCGTCGACCGCGACCTGGAGCCCGTTCATTGGTCCAGATACCCGATTAGGCAGCTCTATCATCATATAACCGGTTTTAGTTTAGCGTAGCCTTTTACTCTCTCTGAGTTGGGTCAACAAGGCTTCTCATACCCGGTATATCACTTCACGTCCTTTTGGATCCATTCATATCTTCAAATGAGAAACTCCACGTCGCATGTGTGTAGGGAAGACAGATACGTTGGACTTGAAGTGGTTCAAGGACTTGTGACAAAACCCGACGTAAATGGATAGAACACCTCTGTTTTTGACACGCAGCTTCGAGTTTGATGTCGTTGTCCTCGCTGGTGGTAGACCTAAGCCAGCTATTTGACTAAGGTGATGTCAACGATTTGTCCAGGCACTAATCACCCAGACATTTCCTGCACACCATAATTCCTACACACCAGTCCTCCGCGTTCAACGCAGCTCATTTCACCTTCTCCAAGCGGCCCATTGAATGTCTGTGTTCAATCCACTCTTTGACCGTCCGGACCCTCTGACCCGTGACACAGCTTATCGGCGGCTCCTTTCTTTGTATTTCCTTCCCGTCCTCCCCTTGAATCCCCTGCAGCACCTCGAGCAGTGTATCGATGTTCGGATGGCAGAAATACGCCATGGAGAACCTCTCTTTACCCTGGTCCTCCGGCAGCGGGGACCGCGTGACACGGTGGAGCGTGGATTTCATAAGTCCACCTGAAAAGAACGTCATTGTCTCGCCGATGTTGATGAGCACAGCCCCTGCAATGACCGGGGCGTCGAGCCATATCTCGTCATCCTTAATAGGACCCGTATATTTCGGCGGTCGTATCTGGAGACCACCGACGAGGTTCTGGAAGAGAATTGTAATCACCCCTTGATCTGTATGAGACCCCAAACGAACTTTGGCCGTGTCACTGGGTGGAAGCGCAGGGTAGTGGATGAGCCGGAGAGTGGTCATGGATGGGCTTTCATGTTGATGGATCTGCGGAAGGCGGTCAGCCGACAGTCCTAAACCGACCCCGAGGCAGGAGAGCAACGGGACGGCAATCTTCTCATGCACCTCTCCCATAAATGCTTGGATCTCAGGGTTAAATTTCTTCAGGGATGGTGGCATTGGCTGGTCATAAGACGCCTGCTTCCGTATCACGAAGACTTCCTTCTCATCCACGGCCGAAACACGCTCTTTCGCACCGTGCTCGTTGAAATATCCTTCCGTGCCGGTCTTCGCGTCGTACCCGGCATTGACAATGCTGCTCCACGGCGTCGAGGATTTTTCCTCGCGAGGGGTGGTCTTGAAGAAGGTCGCACTAATGTCAAACATGCGATCAATGTTTGATTGCGGTAAGCCGTGGTTTCTGAGGTAGAGAAAGCCCCATGTCGCGGAGACCTGCTTGATCTCCCGCGCAAGGGAAGGTAGATCGGTAGAATACCGTGAGAAGTCGATAATGGGAATCGTATCGGGTGACGGAGATATCATTGTCGCCGCGCTTTGCAAGGGGTTATATGTAGGAATGCGCTGTGTGCAGAGTGAAGGATAAGTGCGAGAATGTCGTTTTGTTCTTTCTTTCCACCATCCGACTTTGTTGAAAGAGAGAAGGTCATGATAAGGGGATGCCTTGAATGGCTCGATTACCAGTAGCAGGGTTCCCCGATTCACCGGTAGGTGATAACAACAATGACTACCTCCGTCAAGCCAATAATGATAATCTGATGAGCGCGTGTCGGTCAATCGCATAGGTTGATCGCCCAGTGTCCTCGCATACCATTGTGACCTAGTCAAGCGAAGTTAGCGAGAGACAGTCGGTCTTATCCGTCTTCAGGGAAGCAGGCCGGGTATGAGCGCCGGCTTCTCTGGATCAAGATGAGACTCACTCCCCAGTGACTGCCCATGCGATTCTTTGGACCCTCTCATTCACTGCTGTAAATGTTTGGCATCCCGCAGAGATAAGCCCTGATGAGGCAGGGGTAACATGGTTAGTGGCTGTAATGTCTGTAAAACCACCCTCATGTTGGACCGCCTTTCCCACTGACATGCTAGGACTGGGGGCAATACTTCTGCTGAAAGCTCCACTGGTTGGTTGATCTGATCGCACATCTCCTGCGGAGAACATTCTCATGATTTCGAGCCTGGCGAATGCTTTCAAATATAGATGTCGGGGTTGTCGACGAACTACCCGTCGCCCACCATGAACAGAGGGGATGGCACTGTTGATTGTGTCTAGTTCGCGCCAAAGTTCGTGAGGTCCAACTGCTCCAACTTGCCTCTCGCAACCTCAAATCTAATATCTTGAATTCTCCGAGGTAAGCCATTGTTTCTGACGAAAGTGCTCCTTGTGCAAAATGCGGAGTCTCAGGAGAATCCAATGAGACGGATCGATTCGTGCCCTTTTCTTGCGCCCAGTTCCGAGCAACACCTTGAAATGTGCAGTAGGGCTAAAGTGATGCAACTGACGAGGGAGACCCACATAGCATGTATACCTCGAGTTCAGGTAAGGTCTCCACGGAACCAGAGTATTCTTGCACGTAGCAGCTGTTCCTTCATACGGTGAGCTGGAAGGCACGGCTCCCATGGGTTTGGCAACACTCGTCTGAGGTGCTTTGCATTCAGGAAAGACGCCTAGCGTTCACAGGTCGCCATCTGACAGCTGAGAAGCTCATGACATGGACCGCCAGAACCTGTCAAATATTCTGCTGAAACAGACACCCATCTGTAGCCCCTCGAGAAAGAACATGTCCAGAAACCCACCAGAGGCCCCAGATCGGTCCTCCCCCGCGTTTCCGACACCTCAATCTTGCCTCCTGGACGGCCTTCCCCAAACTTCATCAACGTCCTTCTTCCCTTTGGTCTCTGGCACATACCAACCCACAAACACAAAGGAAATTGCCGCAATGGCTGCAAACACAAAGTATACTACCCCCTTTCCCAATCTCTCATTCACCATTGGAAAGAACTGAGCGACCACAAATGTCGAGATCCAATTTGCTGCCAGCGCCCATGATTGGGTTGCGCCAACCGCTTCTGGACTCACCAGTTCTGAAGCGAGTATGAAAGGTATGGGCCCCAGACCAAAAGCAAAGCTGGCAACAAACAGAAGCACGGACACTGCGGAAAGAATCGGAATAGCGCTGCGGATCCCTATGGCAAGCAGGACAGATGAGACACCCATACCGGCAATTGAGGTGAGGATGCATGGCTTGCGTCCCAGCACATCTGCAAGGGGGGCGAAGCCTGTAGTGGCCACAATATTGAGTATGCTCACAAAGATATTGAGCAGGGCGGAATTGGAGGCAAGTAAGTCCGCGAGTAGAGACACGCCGTACATGATGATGCTGTTGATTCCACAAAGCTGCTGTGCCAGCATAACCACAACGACCGCAAGAATTGCGCGGTTATTGGTCGGGTCTCGGAGCACCGCGAGGATTCCCATTGGCTCTGGAGCATTGCCTCTCAAAGGCAAATTGCTGTCCAGAGGCGACTCATGGTCGGGATTCGCAAGTAGTGTTCGTTCTTCTTCTGTTCGAGGGTCAGACATTAACAAAGAACATATCCCGGATCACGAACCGTGTCCCTCGTCAACATCCGCCAAACCCCAACCTTCTACTTCCTCCTCAATGTCGGCTTTCTGGCCCCGGATACGTCGCAGATTGTTGTTCGCTTGTCTTGGTTCTCCATGGCTAGCCTGCCACTTGGGACTCTCCACGGAGAAAACCAGCCCTGCAAACTGCAACACACCGATCATGCCTGCAATCGCGAGGATAACTCGCCACATTTGGCCATGGCTCAGGAAATAACCCAGAAGCTGAGTGGTGAAGATACCCATGTTCGTCATTATTTGCGTAAAGGCACCGAAGAAGCCCTTTTCCTTGGGTGGAGCAATCTCGGAAATATAGATGGGTACCACAACAACGGAGACGCCTGCTCCTAGACCCGAAATGAAGCGGCCCGTCGAAAGAGCACCAATGTTAGGAGCGAGTGCCTCGGCGAGAGGACCCAGCGCTAGGAACAAGGTATTGATACGCATCGTATGCAGACGGCCATACCGTGCGGACAAAGGGCCGGCTGCGAGAGCACCGATTAGGCCACCCAATGTGAAAATGGACGACACAAGCCCGAGTTGGGTTGAGTTCATGGGTATGCATTGTGGTAGTCCACCCAATGCTGCTGATGGGCCCTCCTTGGATCTGATGGATTTGGCGGCACAGGTAATGACCTCTTGAGGGGCATTTAGTTCGGCCTGAAAAGTGGGTTCAGCAGAGTGTAGATTTTGATAGTCAAAGATAGAAGACATACCAAGTGATAACCAAAGAGTAGAGGTCCTAGAGTTGCGACTAGAAGCAGATAGACGAAATACGGGGTGAGCTCCTGAGACCAGGATCTCAGTTTCGAGACGAAGCCCATATCTGAGTTCAGTTCGTGAGTCTCTGTTGGTGTGATGGTGTCCGATCCAGGGGATCCGTTATTTGGCCACTGCCTCTTGATCCTAGAGGCTTCCGTTGGTGAAGAATCAGGATGGACGAATATGAGCACGACGACGGTTCGTTGACTGGGGAAATGACTTTGGCGGCAGCAACTTACAAGTTGCACGAGTGGATGCCACCGTCTCACGCATTTCTTGGCATACACGTGACTCTGACCAACGCGTCAAGGCTTAAAGTGGTTTACACGTCCACAGCCACGTCTCACGCGTTTCTATGTCTCTACGAAGTACTCGGTACCCAACTTGCATAGACTCCATTGTCCTCGATGAGCTAGCAACCTGGAGGCCTGCAAGTATCATCTCTTCATCATTGAGTAATTGTGGCTGCCTAAGTTGGATTATGCATATCGTCTTAGGTGTTGTTCTAACAGCTTCTCATCTTCATGCTTCTGAAATCCTGTCCTGTCAGCGCATGAGACAGCATCCTGGTCCCGTGGTCCGTCATTCGATCGCTAAGCAAGGGTATCCTAGGTATTCTCACTCCTTATGCTCTCTCCGCCGATATTCCCTGTGCTCCGCAAACCAGCACGTCCTGCTGCTGCAAATGCCGTCACTGTCATGAAGTCGTATACATCCGCCAGAAAAGCGGGCAAGAAATGAGACAGAAATTCAAGCAGCGCCGCCCCACTAAGAGTCAGTCAGGACCGTTGCGCAGCCTTAGCACTCAGACTTACTAGTTGAGCCACCAAGTCACTAGCCACGTCGAGATAGGGATAAGGGCTGGATATCTCCTTTTCCACGTTCTTGTAGCGCTTGCTGACCGGTTTCCAGTAGCCTTCGCCGCTCATTTCATCAAGCCGATCAGAGCTGGTGTGACTGATGTTTCCGAACCCGCTGGTGGGTCTGCTGTTCGTTGGGCTCGTCACTGTGCTGCTGCTGGTGGGTGTCTTATTCCTCTCTCGCTCCTTTTTCAAATCGTGCCAAATCACATTCTGGTATCCGTCGCATTTAAAATCCACAACAAACGTTCCCTGCTCTAAGGTATACAATTGAATGTCGATGAACACCCAAACTCCGATGTGCTCGCTTGGGATTTTCTTGTTGAGTGCTGAAAGACTGTCGGGCCTGCTCATGGACACTTGTCCTGGTCCTGTAAATGCATCCTGGCTGTGAAGGGCCGGCTCACCTCCCGTATTTTGCCGGGAGGGATGTCCACTGCTCGCTGGTGACCTCGCATTTGCTTGGCTTCCGTTTGGAGAACTCATACCGAGCGCCTGTTTGACATCCTCCGAGGCATAGCCCAGTTGCTCAATATGTCTCTTGAGCTGGGTCTGTGCTTCTGCGGGTAGGCTAACCGCTGAACTGTGGGCTGAGAGAGATGGCGCTTCACCAGGCATCAGTAATCCCTTTTTCAAGATTCTCGCGCGAATGTTGAAAGGATCTCGGGGGATGTAGTAGTCCTCGCCCACAAATGAGAATCGCTGTTGCATGATCTCGTGGCGTTGGCCAGGTTCTAGGTCGGGTGGAGGCGGAGGGATACCATCCTTCTCGTCATCACCGTCGGGCATCGACTCAGGCCGCAGCCACGGATTAACTTCCCATTCAGCGCCTTGTGCCTTGAGAGCAGCATACAAGCACTTCATGGCTTCCCAAGGTTGGTTTCGACTGCGGATGCCAAATTGCCAGCGTCTAGGCTTGGTTTTGGTAGCGGGTGGGCGTTTTTCGTCGGTTGGCAAAGTCGTCATACCTTCGGGTCGGCTTTTCGGTTCTCGCAATGAATTCAGAGCCGTCACAGAGCGCGAGTGTGGTTTTAAAGCCCTTGATGTGGCCTCCTGTTCTTCCTTGGATCGATAAATGGGATTCCCCTGTTCATCCTTAATTTCTTCGGGGATGGGGCTTTCGGCTTCGTCCTTCTGATCTTGGCCTTGTGTCGGATGGAGAATCATGTCGGGATCTTCACCATGAGCCTTTGCCTTTTCGCGGATCTGAAGGAGCTCTTCATGAACATGAGGTAGTGATGTGTTCAGGACGCGAACATTTGAGATCCTAGGCTTCTCTTCTTCTCTCAGGGAAGATGGAGTTTCAGATAGTGACCGACTAGCTCGGTGCGCATCCGTGCGACTTGGAGTGAGAGGCTTGACATCGATATCCTGAAACCGTCGTGGCGAGCCGGGGAAGTTGGGATAGTTTGGTTCGACTGGGGGCGAAGAAGCCATGAACGACTCCAGCTCTGGGTTCTCTGTGCGGTATTGGGGAGTGCTGATCATTAACTGGTTTTCTCTGACTATGAGATATGCGTCTTTGATCGCACTAGGCTCGTCTTTGCTCAAAGCATCCTTCACATCCTCCTTCGCATAACCCATGGTACGACCAAGCTTGCCAACGACTTGCTCGTGAATTTTCTCAACCACGTCAAGTGGTTTTCCCGGAGCAAGCTGACGAGGGTCGATGGCTTTGGTGGGATCGACTCCGGTATCTAGAAATTCTTCCACGGGATCAACCAAATAAGCAGGAAGGTCTTTCATAAACCATTCGTCTTGTCTGATTTCGGGTATGGTGATGCGATGAACCGGATGCACTTGCAAACATCGCTTGATGAGGTTTACCGCGCCTGGCGGAGTTTGTGATGGAATGTGAAATGTCCCGGCCTGAATCTTCTTGAACAGTGCAGGGATGAACTCGTCATCGAACGGGAGCCTGCCAACGAGGAAGACGTAGAGAATGACACCGCAACTCCAGACATCGACTTCAGGACCAGCATAGAGCTTTCCACCGATGACTTCAGGGGCAGCATAGTTTGGGCTTCCGCAACTCGTCTTCAAGAAATTGCCATCTGTCATGATATTACTCAGACCAAAGTCGGCGATTTTCACATTCATGTTCTTGTCAAGGAGAAGGTTCTCCGGTTTGAGGTCTCGATGGACAATTTTGTGACGATGACAATACTCGACAGCACAGATGATTTGTTGAAACAGCTTCCGGGCCTTTGCTTCGCCCAGCCGACCATGCTTCACGATGTAATCGAACAACTCCATGGGAACATATTCAAGCACCATGTAGATGTCTGTCTTGGTTGTTATGACGGTGTAGAGCTTGATGATGTGTGGGTGCCGCAGGAGTTGCAAGTATTGGATCTCCCTCTCTATCCGCCCTGCCATGTCCCGACTGATTAATTTGCGTCGACTGATAGTCTTCATTGCAACCTCTTGACCTGTAACCTTGTGTCTCGCAAGCTTGACTTTGCCAAACGATCCTTCACCAATGTTGCGCACGAAGGCATACTGGTGTAGTCGTTGCATTGCCCGGGCAGTGCCTGGAGACTCTGCCATCGGCGTCTGGCTCAAGCCAGACCGTGCCGGCGGGGAGAGAACAGTAGGAAGGGACGGCCTGGAGCGGCTGGAGTTGGATTGCGGGAGGGAAATGGAGAGTTCATCATCGTTGATTGCCGACGACATTGTGGAGGTTGGGTAACCGCGTGCAGAGGCACACTCTGCGTACCGTGAAGGCTGCGGGATGAATGTCTAGAACCTCTCAGGTGGATATGACTACACAGATAGGTGTCACCAGTAGTCACTGAATTGGTGGTTGGGCATCTCCAAGGGACGAATCAGTCGAATGCGCAGTGGTGGGTAATCCTGCGCCTATGAAAGGCAGCAAGACTGGGGTGAAGTTTCTGTGGGTAACGCAGGCTGGAACCAACAAAGGCCGAAGAGATGTTGAGAATAAGGTAAATGGCGAGCAGTACGGGGCTGTTCGTAGCTACTTGCGGATGATAGTTGACGGGTTCAGCGAAATGAGTAGGTGATCGTGTGGGATGTGAGAGTTGAAGGTTGAGGCGAAACGGACGAGGGGGACTTGAGGATTCACGTGCTGCTATGGCGGGCAGCCCATCCGCTCGTGCCGCTTAAGTTACCAGAGTCAGTAAAACTCCCTTTTCGCGGGGTTAGAAATCCACTAATTCGGTGGGAGTCACTTAGTGCACGATGACAGCCTTGCAGCGACTTGAGGATGGCGAGAAACTGTATTTAGCCCTATCGCTCTGTTCATTCACCAGCTCGTAGTACCGGATCCTAGCCTATTGAAAAATGTCCTGTTTTCCCGTACCCATGAAACGAAACGGAATGAGATGACATGGATCAGAAGACAATTCCGCCATGCGATGTCTCGGATCGGCAGCCTGTTCACATACAATCCGATCCTCTCATCTCTCGTAAATTCCCGTGCAATGATCTTGAGTTCTGCTGGCATCCATCATCGAATGTTTCACCCACATACTACGCAGTTGATTGCGTTCACAGCTATCTTCTCATTCAGGTTTCTTCCCAAATCTTCATATGAATGCTGGCAGATCGATAGAATCAATCAGGGCTTCTTTCGTGATATCGTTTGGCGTCCATATGTCTTCTCCCCCAGAGTAAAAGAACCAGTACTCTGCCGTGTATTCTTCTTCTGCCATGAGGCGTTGGCTGTCACAAACAGGTGGAGCGCCTCCCGCGACCTCAACTCGGTAGATGTCCCAGTCCCCCTTCGGGCTCACCGAGTGTGCCCATCTGCTGTTGCTACCCGGATTATCTGGCGCAAGCACGGATTCGTATGGAAGGGCTTCGAATGTTGCAATATCGAAAAGAGTGATGATGGCTGTATCGTTGACAGTTCCGATGGTTCCCATGCATTCCAGAGTGGAGTTCCTCAGCTGCTCATAGTCGAAGTCATGCAGTTTGGCAGGTAGAGCATGAAATGCCGCCTCATTCGGAAGGTTTTGGATGAGTGGAGCTGCATCATAAAGCTGCGTGGATTGAGATTGAAACTTGGCGGGCTCGCTTGGTCCATTACCTGCGCACAGATACATGTAGAGGCCGCGTGCGATTGCAAGGTATTGGAGAGGTTTGCCGGGAGCCGGGGGTGATAATGAATCCGTGCCTAGAGCTGTGAGTGAGTGTCGCCTCGGTGCAGCTTGATTGATCTCACAAGCTTTGTTAGGATCGCAGGTTTTGCTGCCCTGCAGAGGCACTGACCAGCTTGCAGCAGCTGAGGCGTTAATGGGAGGGACATAATCGAGGTCACTGCGGCGGTCGAAACGACGGGCAGAGTTCGAATCTTTGACGAAGCCCAGGAGAAATATGGCTGCCAACCACAGGATTGAGGTGACCGCGACCATAACGCCACGGCTGGTTGGAAAGAATGGCCAGAGACGGGAAGCTGCCGTGCTGACCAATATCTGCTACCTTGTTGAATCGATAAAACGAATGACTATTTGCTGAACGAGTGACTGGGCGGAGAGAGGGAAGAAAGATGATGGCGTCAAAGAGAGGCGAGTCTTAGGCTGCAGGAGCGACTCCAGATAAGACCTCAGCGCATTTCTCTCGCCAAGAGAACAGGTAGGGTACTAAGAGAAAAGTGAGTGAAGTAAAATGCTTTGCTCCATCTTCCTTGTGAGGTTGCTCAAAGGTGAATGCGGGCAATCTGTACCAATACCCACAGAGACAGCACGTGCGCTGGAAGCGAAGACTGGAGCGAAGGACCTGCGAAGCTTAGCATGAATGGTAGGCAACGTAGCAACATTCTGCTGCCCTTTTCGAAGCCATCAAACAGGAGTGGTTAGAAGGATGAGTGGACTGAATTGTATACCTATCAACAAAGCCCTCGATGGTACAGCGCATCACTCTTTTGTTCGAAATATCGCCATACACTTCACAAGACATTTCATGCACATATCCCCAGCGCCTAGCTCACAATCAATCAATTAATCAAGGTTAGTAGTACAAATCAAATCGAGGCTTGCAATTGAGGCTGCTCAATGCAGGGTTTGCCACAGAAGCGAGAGAGCTGGTTTCAGTGTCCATCTGCCCCCAACACTTCCATCCGATCTCTTCTCATTCCTTCGAGGACGGCCACAATGCCACCATTCCGCAATCTCTCCAGCACGACGTTCATTCCTTCTTTTCCATTTGCCAGGGCTGACTTGGTTCGTTTCACTCCAATCAGCTCGATGGTCCGCTGAATACCAGCTGTCGACCACGAAGCAAACAGTCCTTGTTTTGGAGATTCTTCCTCGACATTGGCAGTGTGCTCTTGTTTTTTCCTGCCCAATAACTTGTGTTGGCCCAGGTGTGATACGAATGTCACAACTGTTTTGCAGGTGGTGGTCTCTCTGGGTTTCTGTGGTTGGAGATCATCGCCCGACCGACTGGAAGACGCAATATCCGATAGACGCTGCCGTTTATAGGTCTGACGTTCGATAACGCTCAAGATGCCCGTCCACTCCATGTTCTTGGACTCGGTTTCCATCCATCCTTCGTTGATGTCAATGGTACTCTTCTCTAGGACATAGCTCTGACTAGCGCCACCTGGGCCGGCAAGGCCGCGAGGGAGGAATTTAAGGATGCCGGCGGGTACTTTTGATTTTTTGAGATGTAGTCGTACAGTATGAAGTCGGCTTGTCTCAGGGTCGATGTAACGATCAATTACATCCGAGCTGAGAACATGCCTGGAATAAGGATTCGGATAGCGCAGGAAATATGCTAGAGTGACGGCGGGGAAAGTGTAGTCGTAATTAAAGGAGTGTTCGTAGAATTTCATCCTGGCATGAAGACATCGACCTAAAGCAACGGCTGATGGTTAGGGCGGAAGATGAGAATGCAAAGGAGAAGGCAAGTTTTTTTTGGAAACCCTCACGCGAGCTCAAAAGCCCAATTGCCACTTTCGGCGGAAAAGAAGAGGAGAGAATGGCTTGGCCGGCAGGTCATGGAGGACGGAGAGCCATATCCGACGGCGGCATGTCATTGGCCTATTGCCTTTCACGGTACCCATTGGTCCCATTGGCAATTGGGTTGCCCGCCAGCCCGCAGACAACGGTGAATTTCTGAAGACTCACGCCAGTCACAAATGCGCAGGCAGATTGTTTGTGACTGCTAATTATTCCTTTTGAGGCGCCCTCGCAAACATTCCTCCCCTCCTTTCTGCTGTTAGTACCTCGCCTCTTCCTCATATTCTTCCTTCTCCCACATCCTGCCCTTTTGTCTCCGCCCCTCCATCGCACACAGTCACCCCTCGAACCCCTCGCTCGCCATGACAGAACAAAAGATCACTCCCTTCGAAGTATCCGGCGGGGTGGACGAGTCCGGCCAAATAAAGCCGGTCGACTACGACAAGTTGATTCGCGACTTCGGTGCCACGCCAATTTCGCCCGCATTACTCGAGAGATTCGAAAAGGCAACTGGCCGAAAACCCCACAGATTCATGCGCCGTGGAATAGTGATATCCCACCGCGATCTCGAAAAAATCCTGACCAAGTATGAGAAGGGTGAAAGATTCTACCTCTACACTGGGAGGGGGCCGAGTAGCGACAGCATGCACGTCGGGCACAGCGTCCCTTTTGAATTCACGCGCTGGCTACAAGAAGTCTTCGACTGCCCCCTCGTGATCCAGTTGACAGACGACGAAAAGTTCATGCACTCCAAAACCATCAGCATGGACGATGCAACTCGATACGCGAGAGAAAATGCCAAAGACATCATTGCGCTGGGCTTCGACCCGAAAAAGACGTTCATTTTCTCGGATTTTGAGTATATGGGAGGTGCATTCTATCGCAATGTTTGCTTTGCAGCGAAACATGTCACGCTCAACCAGATAAAAGGAGCATTTGGGTTCAATGACAGCAACAATATCGGTGAATTCCATTTCCCCGCCACACAGTCTGCACCTTCGTTCGCAACGAGTTTCCCACATGTTTTTGGCACCGATGCAAAAAGTGTGCCACGGATCCTGTGCCTAATCCCGTGCGCAATTGACCAAGATCCCTACTTCCGTGTCTGTCGAGATATAGCGGAGAAGATGAAATATGAGAAACCATGCCTCATCCACTCTCGCTTTCTTCCAGCGTTACAAGGTGAAGGGACAAAGATGTCTGCCAGCGTCGATTCGTCTGCGATATTCTTGACCGATACACCTAATGCGATCAAGAAGAAGATCAACCGCTTTGCATTCTCCGGTGGGCAGGATACTGCAGAGAAACAACGGGAGCTGGGTGGAAGAACGGACGTCGACGTGCCATACAAGTACCTCACCTTTTTCTTGGAAGACGATGACGAATTGGCGCGGATCAAGGAACAGTACGAGAAGGGCGAGATGATGACCGGAGAGCTCAAAGCACTCTGCATCAAGGAGTTACAGCAGTACGTGGGCGATTTTCAGGAAAGGCGGAAACAGGTGAGCGACGAGGTGGTTCATGACTTTTTCAGCAGAAAGGGGTTGCTATTTAGAGGTGTCCCAGCGGACCAGAAGACGGTAACAACGGGTGCAGCGACGGATAAAGGCGCAGCCAAAGAGAACGGGCCAAAGAAAGAGCTTCCGGTGCGGTGAGCCTGCAAAGAACCCCCGGAAAAGCAGGTAGAAAAGACCTTGACGAATTTTATGCGGATCGAGTGCTGAAGTAGTAGAGCATGACTCGACTTGAAATTTGATAAAAGAACAAGCATGAATTAGAACATGACACCTGAAGATTTTTCTTATCCATAGGTCATGCTCATACAGAGAGAGCGACAACTAGAGGAAGAAAAGAGACACCCCTTTTTCCACTTTCTTTCTTTCTTCCCCCTGTATACTCGGTACATACTAGGTGACCCTGTCAGGTATTTCCACGCCGCCTCACCACGCCAGGAAAGAAGCCTCTGACGGCGTTACTCAACCAGACGACCTCGCCATCCTGGACATCTTGAACTGGCACAGTATCCTCGTCGCACCAGCACGCCTCGAGCGCGTAGAGCCTTGTCACCGAGTGCATGCCCCCGGCATCGGAGCGTGGTGTCACCCAGCGACGAGCCCCGCTGCGGCGCAGGAAATAGACCGCCGACAGGGACGCCTCGGTGACGAGTCCGTCGTCGTTGAACAGGAGGACTTCGCGTGTCGTGGGCGGCGTGGTCGGGAGGGGGAGCGGTGGGTCGGTGGCACGCCCGCGGCGTCGTTGTACGCTGTGCGCACGGTGGTTTTGTGCCGCGTGAACAGTGTGGGATGTGTTGGTTGGGCGTCGATTGTGACGTGGCATGGCTGTGGCTGTTGGGGTGGTGGTGGTAGTGATGAGAGCCCTGCTGTGGCTTGTCCTTGATGTCCAGGCACGGTCGGCACAAACGGGCACGACGTGTACATGTAGACAGCGTCGGCGAGGGTTGAAAGTGGTCGTTCTTCGCCCATCGCCGTGCATTCCACGCTCACATCGCCGGCATGGGAAATCAGGACGCGGACACGGAAATCTCGTAGATACCCTGCCCGGGGACCGCGAGAGGGAGATGATGTTCCTCCTGCTTTTGCCGCCGCCGTTGCCGCCGCCACCGCGTTCTCGACGAGGACTTGTATATTGAAAGGTTTGTCTGTACTTGACGAGGAGGAAGGCTTTTCCTTTTCTTCCTCATCCGCTACGGTAACAACAGAAGCCGGAGGCGTGAGCTTCGTCGCGACATCTGTCCAGCCACATGTCTCCGCAGCCTCGCGCAGTCGCCGTGTATGTAGCGCAAAGAGCCTCGTGGTGATGTCCCTCCACTGGCGTATCAGTGTCTCTGTTCTCGAGTCTGGCTCGGCATCTTGAGTGTTGAACAGCGTGTGTTTCAGCGTCGTGATGATCCGAAAATCCGGTGCGGAGATGGTTGAATTGACATCGACTTGCCCTGGACGTAATGACATGCTTGACACTGTGTATCTTCGTCCATAGCCTGCCTCAAAATATGTTGCTGAGGTTAGCTATCTATAGTCTGCTAGACTTGTGTTGCTATGTGAATTTTCTTTCTGGTACTGACCAACCAACACCAGGTCGTAGTGGCAATGGCTTGTTCAAGCTTCAGTCTTAAGGTTCGGCCCGCCAGCGAGCACAAAAGGACATGATTCCAGGAACTACCATGACTACTTGTATGTAGCATCAAGACTTGCTGAGAGGAACGAGATGCTCTCAAAGAACACACGCACAACAAGCCCGCAAAAACTCTTACGCATGAGCCCTCCATCAATAGGTTCCGTCTTGTTGTAATGACAGTGGGCTAGCGATCTGAACCATACTCTGGATTCGAGTCCTTGTTTGCGAGATGAGAACAATCTTCCCTCAAGACTATGGGTGACGACGGGGCAAGCTATAGATATTCAGCATGGCTAAAATTGATCATACTTGCGTGCTCACAAGTCATGCTATCTTACCAACGTATGTGAGTTGTATCATACACTTGTAGGAGTAACTGTCGGGTCCGAATTTGCACTCTCGCGCAGGATTCTCCATGCAATCTCTTCCTGTTGTTTATTGATCTCCTCGCCTGTCCAGGGCCGCCATTGTTCTTTCAGTTGATGTCCCACAACCTGAACACCATCAACAATCGGCCACCCATGCTCCTCTGCAAGGCGGAGATTGCGTGTCGGTAAGGGGTGGTAGCACATGTCCAGCATACACGCGTGAGGCGGTCTCTCCTTTGTAAGAAATTGGACATACACGGCCCTAGCTTGGATTTCTCCTGAGGTTCTGGGTTCAAAGTCAGGAACAGTGCTCACGATCCATTGAGGGCACGGCAAGGTCGAGGCTTGCTCCGCGGTTCGGACGTGGACAATATGTGGCCGGGTCGGCGTTTTGTAATGGTTCACATCTTCGATGAGCTCTTCAATCTCGCCAGCGTCACGATTGATCACGTAGACGTCCTCGCAGCCCAGATCCATAAGTGCGTAGACTGCCGCTCGGCTTGCGCCACCTGCTCCAATCACCGCGCCTTTGAGCCCTTGTACGGCACGTGTGGCCGGTTCGCTCCCCAAAAGAGCCTTTTTGATCCCAACCCAGTCCGTGTTGGTGCCTCTCAAAGTACCATCATCGGCAACAGAAACATGGTTGCAAGCATTGAGCTGACCAACAAGATCATCAACATGATCCAGGCACGGAATGATTGTCTTCTTATAGGGCATTGTAACAATACCTCCAGCGAAATCCGAGGCGTAAAATGCGTCCAAGACTTCCTGAAGAGCCGAGGCCTCGAGAAACGTCATCTTCCAACGGCGTTTGAGACAATCAGCAATGAAGTCGTGGGCAGGGGGTGCTATGGAGCCACCTCCCGGGCCGCCTGCTATGAACAGTCGACTCCTCTGTGCGGAAGTATTTCCCATCGTGATCCGGTCGCCTACTGGATAGAGACTGCTGAAACGAGAAGAAATGAAACGAGACCAATGGAATATGCTAAAGAACTGTGACGAAAGTATCCGGAACCTGCTGAAGAGCCGTCAAGGTACCAGCAGCCTTTCCATTCATCGAAGTGTAGATAGGCTCACATAGAGCTACATATACCTTGGTATTGTCATTTGTGTTGGTTCATGCTGAGTATGAGGTATATGGAGTGGCAACGAGAAGGGACTGACCCGCCAGAAGCATCCGAAAGTATTTTGCTAGCCCGTAGGTCGACCCGTGCGGCGCGGCAAAGTTCATTGCCGGTCAAGCCGGTGTTTGACAAGTCAATTGTTGGGGTCAGGTTTCGGCTGCGGAGAGGTCTATCGTCGGCCCCATGTTTATGCGAATCGCCTCCAAGTGGGAGATGTCGAGATGGTACACAAGCAGGGTTTCAAAGGATCATTCATGGCTTTCTTCTGCGATGTTTGTTGGCTGTCCGGTCCAGCGGAACTGCCCATCGCAGCTATCTACATTTCGTCAGTTTTTGAAGCTCATCCGCACAAATGATTCAACCCGCTGTGGCCTCGTTGTCGTTAGGTGATCCTAGTGTCCACGACATCGCGTCAAGACTGCGCGCAGCCGCACAGAATGGATTTCATGGGGTCGAAATCATAGGCACCGATATCGACGCTACCGCAGAGAAGCTCCCGGCAGGATTGACTTATGACAACAGGCTGCAAGCGGCGAGGAACATAAGAAAGCAGTGCGATGAACTCGGGTTGACTGTGATGGTCCTTCAATCATTCCGACACTATGAGGGGCTGCTTGATCGTCGGCAGCACGAGGCTATGCTGGAGAAACTGCGACTATGGTTCGATATTGTTCGAATCTTGGGGTGCGATATGATTCAAGTGCCGACAACTTGGTTGCAGGAAGGGACGACGGGTGATGAGGAGACTTTGGTCGCTGATCTCAGAGAAATAGCAGACAAAGGCCTTGCAGAGAGTCCTGTAGTCCGACTTGCATACGAAGGGGTAGCTTGGGGCAGATATATCGACACGTGGGAAGGCACATGGGAGATGGCAAAGAAGGTCGACAGACCAAACTTTGGGCTTTGCTTGGACACTTTCCACATCGCTGGTCGGGTCTGGGGTGATCCTACCACGCAAACAGGGCGCACTGGCAACGCAGACAGTGCCTTGGAGGCATCTATCCAGCGTTTGATCCGCGAGGTAAATGTCGAAAAGGTGTTTTATGTCCAGGCCGGAGACGCGGAGAAGCTGGATCCACCACTGAGCCAGTCACATCCTTTCCATGCAATTGACCAGCCTGCAAGGATGAGCTGGTCACGAAATGCGCGACTGTTCCCCTACGAAGAGGACAGAGGAGGCTATCTTCCCATTGAGCCGGTAATGAAGGCAATTGTGAAGGGGTTGGGCTATGACGGATGGGTTAGCATGGAGTTGTTCTCGCGTGAGCTATCGCAGTCTGATCCCGAGTTGCCGTCGAGGTACGCGGCCAGGGCTTCGGCATCGTGGAAGAAGATGATTGCGGCATTGAAGCAGTGAGGATCAGCCAGAGAAGTGTACGAGGAACTCTGCGTCTTTCTCCAATATATGAGCAGGGAATGAACATGCATCCTTTCAACGCGAGAGCAAGGAGCGGAGGTTGAGTAACTGCGGTGGATGTGATTGGCTGATTCGGTGTGGCTGCAAAAGTTGCATCTCCATCTCCATTTCGCATCGTTTAGGGAAACTTTCTTGTCTTTCAGTGACGATTGTCAATATTCCTTTTCCCTCGTCCTTTCGCTCTCGGTCCACTCGTCGTCCTTTCCATCTCCATACGCCTGTGAGGTATCCAGGGCTGGCTATTCGAGCTTCGTTTTTCTTCTGTACAATAGATTTCTCTGCCCTCCATGTCCGAACCCGTCGCTATCGATGCCACCCGCGCACCCGCATCCCTTTGGGACCGCGTGTCGAACTGGGTCTCGGAGAATAAAGCTGTCGCTTATACCATCGCTGGAACAGTAGTTGTCATCACGAGTGCCGGCGCCATCTACTATTTCTCAAGTCAGAAAAGCGGTGCCCCTGCTACGCCTACAGAAAAGAGAAAGAGCAAGAAAGAGCGACGGAAAGAAAAGAAAGCTGCCGAAGAGGCACAGAAGGCAGGGATTAGTCTGAAAGATGAGGAAGCTGGTGAGACTAGGTTGCCACAAAAAGCGACGGGCAACACGGCTGATTCATGATGCAGGCACGGCGCCTCGAGCTGCGACCGTCGAGACCGAGGATGAAATACCCGAGATCAACGAGTCCAATGTTGAAAACTTCTCGAAAGAGGTAGAGTTTCCTATACTGTCCTTGAGACGCTATTCTGACCATGAACATGAGTAGGAGAGAGCAACATATGCCGGCAAATTAAAGGCTGCCGGCAACAAAGCATATGGCTCCAAAGACTACAATAAGGCCATCGAGCTTTATGGCAAAGCAATCCTATGCAAACCCGATCCTGTCTACTACTCTAACCGAGCCGCTTGTTACAACGCCCTTAGTGAATGGGACAAAGTGGTAGAAGATTGTACTGCTGCCATCTCGATGGACCCAGAATATGTCAAAGCTCTGAATCGCCGCGCACACGCGTACGAGCACTTGGGGCTCTTCTCTGAAGCGCTGCTGGATTACACAGCCAGTTGCATTATTGACGGATTCAAGAACGAAAACAGTGCTCAGAGCGTGGAAAGATTATTGAAAAAGGTAGCAGAGAAGAAGGGCAAAGCAATTCTTGCCGGCAAGAAAAACAAACTACCTGGTGCAACTTTTGTTTCCAACTATCTGCAGAGCTTCCGGCCGCGGCCACCGCCCGAGGGCCTGGAGGAAAGCGCTGAGCTCGATGAGAATACTGGCAAAGGCCAGCTGCAGCGTGGCTTGATCGCCATGCAGAAGAAGACTGCCGAAGGTTACGACGAAGCTGCCGCGGCCTTCAAGAAAGCTCTTGAACTCGGAGACCTGGGTGAGCATGAGGCTTTTGCCTACAACATGCGTGCCACGTTTTTGTATCTCGAGGGCGACATCACCAGCGCCCTCGATGACCTCAACAAAGCCATTGAGCTCCAACCTTCTCTCACTCAACCATACATCAAGCGTGCTAGTATGCAGCTGGAGTTGGGCAACAAGGACCTTGCTGCAGAGGACTTTGAAAAGGCCATGGCACAGGACAAAAACGATCCGGACATCTTCTACCACCGTGCACAGCTGCATTTCATTCTCGGAGAATATGCCGACGCCGCCAAGGACTACCAAAAGTCCATTGATCTGGACAAGGACTTTATCTATTCGCACATTCAGCTGGGCGTCACCCAATATAAGCTAGGATCGATCGCGTCATCGATGGCAACATTCCGACGATGTGTGAAGAATTTTGACAAAGTGCCCGACGTGTACAACTACTATGGCGAGCTGCTGCTTGATCAGCAGAAGTATCAGGACGCCATCGAAAGATTTGAGACCGCAATCGATATGGAGCGACAGACAAAACCCATGGGAGCAATCAACGTGCTCCCGCTCATCAACAAAGCCTTGGCACTTTTCCAATGGAAGCAGGATTTCAAGGCAGCGGAAGAGCTTTGCGAGAAAGCGTTGATCCGTAAGTTGCCACTTCGACCAAGTGGAGTCTGACCAGCTGCTAATGTGCTTCTCTAGTGGACCCTGAATGCGACATTGCTGTGGCCACAATGGCTCAGCTCCTCCTTCAACAAGGCAAGGTGACCAAGGCTCTGGAGTACTTTGAGCGCGCCGCCGAGCTGTCGAGAACAGAAGGGGAAATTGTCAATGCGCTTTCTTACGCCGAGGCCACACGTACGCAGCTGGAGGTGTCACAGAAGTATCCTCAACTGGCTGCCCGCCTGCAACAAATGGAGGGCGCAGGCCTCGGCGGACCTCAACTGAGGTAACAATGTCAGCTCCATGGCATGGCAGAGTTTGCATTTGGTCTTGTTCTAGCTTTTTGTTCCCGGAGGATCTCCCTTCTTGCCTTCTCCTTGTTGGTTCTGAATGGATACAGGCCTTTTATGCTGATGAGCGATCTTGACGAGAGATTCTTGACCTGTACGGGGATATGTAATACGCATCTCTTCTTCTTGTGGATCCCAGGGCTAGACACCTCGATTCGCGAATATGGCGTTTGATGAGCATGAGGGAACAAAAGGTGTGTAGCAGTGTGTAATAACAAAAGAAATCTCAAACTTGGTTGTTCTAGGCTTGGCCTGTGTATGCGAGTTCGAATATACGGAGACGGCCACGAGGCTGGATGAGGCTGGATGATCATGCTCTGGACAAGGCTGCAGGAGGGAGCCCGTTAGTCTGCTCAACTGCCAGGACTGCTTAACTGCTTAGCTTCTGGGCGCCAGTTGCCTAGCACGCGGGTGCCTAAAACAGCAACATGCTCCCCCCACAGACCCTCCCGCTCCAACTGCAGCTAGTCGCGCTGGTGTGACTGTTGGTGCCGCGTCTTATCGATTAGCTGGCAGGCGCCTTGCCCCTCACTTGCAGCCTGCCACTGCAGCCCATCTGCGCCTGACTTGTGAGACCGCGTTCAAGTCGCCAGCTGCCCTCACTTCACACCTCGACGGCTTTACTTTTCAACTTCTATCAAAGAGTCAGCTTTGCTTTCTAGAGTCCTGGAGCCCTGTGTGGCTAATGATCTTGGACCCTTTATCTGCGACTAAAACCTTACCTAGAGGGTACAACTTGATCCCGAGAGCCTGCCTAATTCAAACGACACCCCTTCTGTCTCTCCGGTCACCTGTGCCCTGAGCCCATTTCGACCTCCTCTCAGCTTCAGGACTCTACACTTCAAAAGAAAGCACGGCTACAACAGCCTGAAGACCGTTCTCTCACCCTTCTTACCCAACAAGACTCCTAGAAGGAGTCCTGAGATTGACGAACTCTCCAGGTGAAACATGGCAGACCTCAACCCCTCCAAGTATTGTACGTCCCACGGCCAGTTTTTGTGCCATGTACATGTATTTACTGATATGCCATCCAGTGACCATCACCCTTCGAGAACTCGACTTCCACGAACCTATTCCCAAGCGAGTCATTACCCTCGAAGCCCCAGATTGGGAGATTAGAATCGGTCGGGGTTCTGGGAGCCGTGTGGAGGAATTCGCCCCTGCTGAGGACAATGCCTGGTTTGATTCCAGGGTCCTATCAAGACGACATGCCATTCTACGTGGGAATCCGATAACCAAGGTATTATTGCATCATGTTACCCATGGCCTGGAGGCTAATATCTCTCAGGAAATCTATATTCAAGATATTGGGTCGATGCATGGCACTTTCGTCGCTGGCAAGAGAGTGAATACGAATCAGATGGAGCCCATTTGGCCCGAAGACACCGTGATACTGGGCTCTGATGTGATAAGAGGAAGTTGTGAGTACTATGAAGAGTTCGGAGTACCGGCTTCTGACACCCAAACAGCCCACTTCAGTGCCCTGCGGTTCATGGTCACTTGGAATTGGTGTGACGAAATGTAAGCAAGTCCGATCCTGAGATAATAGCCTTCACTAATCTAGCATGCTACAGTTTTCACCAACTAGACGCAACCCAGACAAATCCAGGAGTAAGAACGTATCAAAACACCTTCTCGGCCGACTACAGTGACGAGGAAGCATATTCCGATCCTTCTATCCAAATCTCCAGCAATCCAGAGGAGAACGAGGATGAGCACGAGGAGAGAAATACTGAACATCATTCAGACCCAGAGGACGAAGACCAGGTCATCCAAGACTCTGTCCGAGAAGCCAGCATCGAGATAGTCGTTCCCGAGGTGACAACCTTCGCCGTTCCTGAATCCGACGACGCATCCAATACTCAAAGTCACACTTCGGGGGCAGATGTCTCCGGCGAAGAAAGCCCGACCTCCAGCCCGTTGATTGCAAGCGATACCCATGAGGACAAGGGCGCCCCTCCTGAGAATATCCCCCACCTGTTTCAGGGTCCCGATATCTGCTCTGCCAGCTCTGACTATACAGACCATTCTCAAGTTCTTGTCCCTAACTCAGGCCAGCAGGCAGAGGTGCTACCAACCATGGATGAGAATACCTCTGAGGAAGATTCATACGGCGATGATGAGCTTGAAAACACATACTCAGACTCCTTCAGCTCGCTCAATATCCCTTCTATCAACGTTGACAACCCGGCAAAACCTCTTGGTGCCTGCTTGAGTCCTCCGGGCGTCACAGATCACCCGGAACATGTTCGCGCCCCAAGCCCGTCCGATGCGGCAATGGTCAAGCCGACGACCGAATCTGGACTTCGCGTCACATTGACTGCCCCACCGTTTTCGAGCTTTGAGTCGTCTAACCCACATTCCGGTCCGATGGACAACCACGTTGCACAAGGTCGCCTCAGTTCTGCATGGGCCGGACACAATTCAGTCTTGTATGAACCGGTTGCACATCCGCTTGTGCCGGAACAGTCTGCATCAGTCTACTACCCTTCTTATGGCCGTTATATGTCTCTTTACACTGATCCATGCACCTTCCAAAGTCCCATGATGCCGACTCAGGCACAACCCCCTTCGCCACTCTCGATTGCTAGTGTTGTGTCACAACAGCAAACATCGAAGGATATAGACGGCGCAAAGAAGCGCAAATGTGACCAGATCTCTTCTGATGAATGTCCAGGGGCAAACACAGTTTCCTCTGACTCTTATTCCTCCGAAGCCAAGGATGTTCACGCGACAAGTGTTGCAATTGGGGTGCGAGAGACCAGCAGTGTCAATGGTGATACCTTGCTGGACCCATCAACTTCGGAGGTGGCAGAGCGTAACGCATCTATGCATGTCGAGATGCCAGCACGCAAGAAAGTCAAAAAGAACACAGTCAAGGCTCCTGAGCAGCGGGATAGTGGCCGCAATAGCTTTGCCAAGACAGCTGGAGCAACCATTGCCGGTATGGCCATTGGGGCCGTCGGCATGTTCATTGGGCTTCTTGCTCTACCAGAAGATTACTTCATGTGAAGGATTTTACAACATTTCTCAGAGGGGTCGATGGATAAGCGTTGGCTATGACTTCTAATGGTGTCGGAGGATGAAGGATTAAGCTCTCATGACTTTTATGCATGAGACGGTCATGTGTGAGATAAGAGGTATCAAATTACCAGAGTTGATCTTTATGGTCCAACAGATGTTTACGACAAAGGCGGAGCTACGAGAACAGGAGCTTTCATACCACGAGCGAGGACGCTCACATACCATTCAACATCGAGCTTCTCACTGCAGGATAAGCATTAGGGAGAGAAGAGTGAAAGGGTAAAGGGTGGACATGATCATGGAGTTGTTTGAGGCTGGTCGCAAGCATACGAGTTCGTGGACACAGGCGTTGCATCAAGTCAGCTTACAGTGGTCCTACCTCTTCCATAGCTCGAAAGCTTTTATACCCTGGAATGGTCTTGTTATTACGGTTCATGTTCTACGGTCGGTGAATGCGAATAATGAAAGATTTTCACCAGGAATGTATGTGGCTTCAATAACCTCGAAGATACATACTGATGATTCGCTATCAAACCCGTCGTCGGGCTATCCTCTCTTCCTCTCTTCTCCTTTCTCTTTCCCCCTCTCTCAAGCCCCTGGTAGAAGGTGGTTGTGGTTGGTGGTGATGAGGATCCCAAAAGGTAACTTGCTGCTGCTCATACAGTATAGAGAAAGTTAGTCCCAGGGTCCAGTGTCCGTGCTCTCGTGTTCTCTGCTCATGCCGTGTTGCTTTCATACTTCATATCTTCGTGTCTTCGTGTCTTCATGTCTTCATGTCTGTTATACCTCGTGTCTCGTTCCGTCGTGCCCATGCCCGTGTCGGTCAATGTACAGCCCATCCGCAGGTGTCGTCTCGATCCCATCAGCACGTCATCATCTCTTCCCCACCCATCTCCCCATCCCAGGTTCAAAACAAGAAACAATCCCACCGACCAGTCCAATGTTTTCCGATTCATAACATCTGATATAGCTTGTAGCGCGGTGCACTCACCCCAACCCATGCCGGCGGATCGCCAGACTCAATTCGCCACCCTTTCTCCTCTTGATCCCGTCAGAGATTGATTCGTTTGTAGGCGATAGGTTCGCTTATCGCGTGTGCAATCCGTGTATAGTATTTGGCCTTGAATCATGTCGTGACCGTTTTGTCTCATTCCCTTCACTCTCCTTTTTTGCTGGGCGTCCTATCCTGGTGGCTTATTTCATGCCACCATTTGGGTATCCTGTAATAGAGTCGTGCCAGATCCCTCAACCCTCCCAATTTGTTGGAGGCCGTTCCATAGTGACTGAATATCCTTCAATCTCCGTGTCAATGGCCCGTGACTTCTGGATACAAGTACAACTTCCAAGATGGGTGACCTCTTGTAATGCGGATTAGCAGTCATCCATGCTTTGCCCTTCAACATTGGTGATCAATGGCTGAACTGGGTTTAGCCAGGCTGTGATACTGTCAACTTCCCGCCAAAGTGTTTAGAACGAGCCCTCAGCCCATCACTTTGCTTAGATTTTCCCACTTCAGGAGAAATACTCCAATGCAGTTCAAAGACATGGGCGTTGGATGGTTTATCTCAGCCAAAGCCTGGTCAATAGGAACCCCGGTGATGGAGTCCTCCCGCTTGCGCTGACCAAGTGAGACAGGGGGGACACTTTTCAGAAGCTGACCATTGTCCTCTGTCCATGTTCCACGCGCGTCCCGCGCTTCAATTTATAGCCTCTCCTATTCTGGGTGTGAGGCTGCTTTGAAGCCATTGGACAGGCAAGAAGGCTCATGGGGAAGCTCAAAACGGTGCGGAACCAGCCCTCATGGGACTTTCGCCATCGTCGGCGATTTTTCTCTTCTCGCCCTTTGTCTCATTCCCACGATCGTCATGGGTTGCATTGGTCTCATCTGCCGTTTTGGTCTCAAAGTTGACCACATCGAAGCCCTTCCCGTACCACTCATCCCAGTCCCAGTCTACGCTGCGGTGATTCTCCTGCCCAAAAGCTCGAATCATGAGTTCGCCCTCTCTCTCCGCCTCCGCTCCTGCCAATAAGGGCTTTGCATCTTTCCGGTATTTGCTTGTTGCTCCCTGTCCCCAGATTGTATTATCAGCCAAATTGATGAACGTTCCAATCTGTCTGAATGTGAAGCTGATCCTCTCTCCGTCGAAGGCGAGTTCGGCAGGAGTCTTTTCCGAAACAGGTCGTTTGTCGGCTCGAATGGAATGTAGCCACTGCCTGTTGGTCTCCTGCCCGAGGATAAAAAGAGAGTTGTGGGGAAGAGGGATTCGTTGAGAAGGCCGGGCAGCATCTGGTTCTTCCCTCAAATCGCTTGGTGTGAGGGCTGACTTCTTTGCCCTTAGCATCATCGTTCGCTGAGCTCCCAGGCTTACATTCACAATCTTAGATCCCCGGACAATGTCGAGCGTCTTGTCGGAATGCTCGGAGATGTTGTCCTCGCCGTGCCGATACCACTGAATCAACACATGGTTCAGCGAGTGGCCGACAACCTTTTCTGCAGCCTTGCGCAGCAGGTTTACCACCGGATCGAAAGGCAATAATTCTGGAGATTCGTCCGCTGGGTGCCTGTAGATTGGGACCTCCATGTCATTCTTAGACATGGTCCCCTGGACAGCGACCAGGCGAGGCACTTCGCCGGACCGGTGGAACATCTTCTGCCATTTAATATCGCTTCTGCAAGAATAAAAGGCCTCTTCCGCCTCTACTTGGTCGAGGAGGCCTACAAAAAGGTTGCAGTCGCCCTGTCCTAGGACGTCTCCAGGACCAAGGAGCTTTGGCGTTATCTTCTTCTTCTTTTTGGGAGCTGGTGGGCCGATTCCCTGGCTCGCCTCAAGGCCCGGATTTTCGACCTCAGTGGGGTCAGCTTCTGACATTTCCTTGTGAGTAGATGGCTCTCCGGTCGAGAGGGTCCGATGCAGTATTGATGTCGTAGGGGTAGAAGATCTGACCGAGGACTCGTGTGAAGGTCGTCGCTTTCGCGTTAATTGCTGTGCCTGCTTGGGTTTCAGTTGCTCAGCATGAGTCGAGGTACGACGAGAAGAAGGCTTTTGGGATAATTTTAGGACACGCTCTTCGTCCAAGGGATCTAGATCACTGGTTGATCTTTTCCGGGGAGGACTGCGCTCAACTGATATATGTCTCATAGATCTACGAGATGACTCACTGGGTGTGTTGGAGTCACACCGGCCCGCCCCGGTCTGTTCCGTCTCTTTCGGCGTTGTTCTTTCGGGCTTGGCGGGGGTGTTGGGGGCTTCTTCGCCTTCGAGACTCGAAATCCAGTCGTGAATCTGGCTTCTCGAGGTGTGGGATCTCGTCGTGCGAGCCGGTGGTGGCAGGCTGACCTGGAATCTGGTAGGATAGTCCTCTTCGTAGATAACATCACCAAGCAGGCCGGCAATGTCGTCACGCAGCTCCTGACAGTCGATTCCATTTGCACCCATCGTGTCTGCCATCTGACGCATGGCTTCTATATGACAGGCTTCATCAAGGTATCCGAGACAGTCCTCAACAAGTGTAACCTGAACACCATGACAAACGGCGTCAAGGACGGTGGCGTAGACCCCGACGTTTGAAAGAGAACCGCAGATGTAGACTTCGGTGATGAGGTTGGATCGGAGATACATGAGTAGGGACGTGCCTTCAAAAGCTGAGTAGTGAGATTTCAGCATGATTAGGTCTCTTTGTGAGTCCATGGCTGTTTTTATGCTTTCAGAATAGTCGGCGCCCGGTGAGCCGGGCATGCAGCATCTATGCTTAGTGGTGGTCAAGACGGGAGCAAGAAACGCTTCCCGGTCATGAGTGACGTCTGGGTTCAGAGAGGGTGACAGGGGATCTTCGCGAGGTGAGCGCGTGTGACCCGGGTCGTTGTAGTACTCACTGGTCTCTTCGTTCAAGTCCTGCCGTTGGAGATGTTGTTTGAGGACTATAGAGTGAGTTCCAGTTACCGAAGAAATGGTTGAACGGGATTGTCTGTACTCGGTCCCTGCCCATATCACCTCGCCCTTGGCACGGAATTCGTCTACCAGGCACAGTAAGTCGGATAAGAAGGGTTCAATATTGCCGACGGGAAGTTTGCCGTTGGGTTCAACAAAATCTTTTTGAAAATCAAGCAAAATCAAGGCTTTCTTGGTCTCGATAGGCGGTCCTGGAGGGACAGAGCCGGGTTCGAATAACATGATGATCGTGAGAGATGTTTCATTATGCGACGAAACAGTATCACAACGGCGCGACAGAGGACACAGCGTCCTCCACCTTTTGAGAGACGCGCTCTTGTTGAGGTGCGAGCTTCGGTCCTAGCTGTATAAAAGTCCAAAGCTGGAAGCCAATTGCAGGCGTCAGAATTGGCTCGGACCGCGGTTATGCTGGATGGCGGTGTAGGCGTATTGGGAGTTCGCAGAATGGTCTCACAGAGGGCGAATAAGTTCGAAGGTGGAAGAAAATTGTACGCAACAATGACCTTCGCAACTGTGGAGGAGAGAAAGTTCAGATCTCTCGAAACAACGAGGGGCTGTTGGGCCGATAGTCCACAAGTACCTCGTAAGGTAGGGCGAATCGAGGAAGGGCGTCGGAAGGAACCAAAATTGTGTGATCCGGCTGATAGACCGCTTTTCCCTCTTTTCTTCTTCTGGCGACGCCGGAGCGTGGGAGAGCTTGAAGGTTATAAGAATTCGAGGATGAACTAGGACCTTGGTGGGATGTTCGATGATGTGGCTTGTGGGGGTAGATGGGAGGAATGTTTTAGTTATCTAATGGTGTGAAGGAGAGGCATTCAGTTGTTACAGGAGTTGTGAGAGAGAACAATCGTATCCGCACAGGAACCGGCTGCAATATTATGGAGGAATATAGACGGTCAAAAGGTTTCCTTTTGTTTGCGACATGGAATAGGAACAGCGTGTATATCCGAAGATTTTTCTGGTCGATATGGATGCTGGAATGGTGGAGGGTGGGATAACAGTGATTGCTGGCTAAAGCGGGGACTAAGTTAGGGTGACGACCAGGGTTTGTCGATCGCCAGTCCAATTGCAGGCACCTCAAATATTCCAACAGGAAAACCGTTGTTGGGGGCCGATGAGGTGGTGAGTCGAATGGGGATAATAACAAGGAGGCGTCGAGTAAGACCTGCGGGGGATCATCGCCATGACGGAGGAGGTTAGAGCGGCCCAGCGGCTTGAGGCGGGGAGGAAGTTGAGACCGGGTCCTACGAGTAGTCCAGCCGTGGGAAGGTCTGGACGAACAGACAAGTCAGTGATTGATGTAGTAGGGGCGAGTTTGGACGAGCGACATAAGCGAAGGAGTCCAAAGGGTGTACAAGGACTGGAGGACGAGTTGAGACAGGTCAAGTGGGGTATGAGAGCACTGAAAGTTGAGAGTGTGAACCCATGGATGTATGGCTGAATGAATGAATTCAATGAGATGAGTTGAATGCGAGGAGCAGGGGAGCAAGGGTGAAGCAAGAGACAGGGGTGCCAGTGACAGAGCCCAGCGGGAGAATGGAGACGGAATGGAGAAAGACGGAAAGACCAGGGATGGAGGATCGAGAGAAGAAAGCGGAAGCGCAGAAAAGCCAAGGTTTCATTCAATTCAATTCATGCATGAGCCAGCAAGAGAAGGAGAAGAAGTGCTTTTTTGAGGCAGCAGGCAGCATTCAGGAAGTGCATCAGGCACACAAATGATTAGAGTAAGAATAAGTAAGGGAGATGGTGAAAGAGGGAAGGAGAAAGAGACAGACGCCGGGTTGATGATTGGTGCATAATAGGTTGGGGACGCAGGCGGCAGGTGCAGGTGCAGGTGCAGTTTGCATCGAGGAAAAGCAAGTGGCAGGTGGCAGATGGAAGTTGCAACCCAGTCAGTCTCAATCCATATTTTACTCTTTCTTCACTTTCACCTCATTTCTCACTTCCTCTTTCTCTTTCACTTCCAACTATGACCGAGGCCTCGACTCGTAGAACACTTCTCGTGGGAATATCTATGGTAGTACTGTTCAAATCCTGCTCTCCATCAAGCTTACATTTTGGTCCAAACGCCGCTGCACATGGTAGATCCCCTTGCACCCTTCCTCCACCTTCCCACAGATGTACCTCGCTAGATATAGTCCGTACCTAGGTCGCCTCCCAGGTACGGAGGCACGCTACTACAGACCCTGTTACTTGTCCTGGGTAGTTCCTCTTGTAACCGACACGCTCTCTTATAGCTTTCATCATACCTTCAAAAGGTCCATGCACACCATTTCATCCCCCCGATAGCCCCGCCGCCGGCAAGCCTTTCCCCCTCCCCCCCCCCTGTATCTAAGCCATCCCTGCACCAACAACACTTGCATCAAGCCCACTACCAGGACCTCCATCTCCCCCTCCCACGCGTGTTCTCTAACCCCATCTAGTTTGTTCCATCTCTCCAGGCGACCATAGACTCCTCGGTAGCGATATAGAGCAACCCCCTTCAGAGCTGAGCGTGCCGCCACCACCACCACCATCCATCCCAGAGCGACTCTATCCGCATTCCTTCGTCATGCCGCATACGCTGCATTAGGGCACTCCTGTCCCCTGCCCAAAAGGTACAAACCTCGATCGGCTGCTCCCTGCTAACTTCTTATTCAGCCTGCATATCGCTGAGACCTGCCTTTCAGATGGGCTCCGCACCCACTCGTCTACGTCTCCTCCCGATCGCCTTCCCATTTTCGTCATTTCCTGACTCTCTGCATGCTGAGTCGCCTACATCCGCGTGGCATCATGCTCTGCAGTGTCTGCCTCACTCAAACTTAGTCCCCACTCCCGGTGGAGGTTTGACTTGTTGGTTTTGTTCCCCCAAATCCACAAATATCATCTTCTCAAAAAGATTGGCGTTACTACGAATACTCGATCCTTGAAAAGAGAAAAGAATATCACCAAAGAGGACGATCAGTCTCAAACAAACTCGTGCTTCGGGTTGGTAATCCCCGTGCTCGCGCTCTCTTTGGTCGGGAGGAATAGACAAATGTCCCCACCGTTGGCAGACCATCCACAACATCCTTGCTTAGTTGATACCCCCTAGAGTACGCGGCTGCGCGGTAAGCCGTTCATTCTTGTTCATATTTGACTGCCCTCGGGCACGCGAGCGTAAGGATTATGCTGCTGTTGCAACTTTAGGAATCCTAAATCCGAGAGATCATCCTATGTACATCATGTGCCATCCTCCGACCGCCCTGGTCTAAGCAATAGTGTGACCTGTCTCCCGCTCTTTCATAGTTGGCAAGACCAACTTCCTCGTCCCCTATGAGGTGGCATTCATGGAGACAAGGTTGAAGCGAGATGCTTTGCGATGAGCAAGGGACCTTGGTGAGTTGTATTCAATCGAGGTCGCTGTCCTTGTCGTCGTTGTCGTCTTCATCCATTCCCATGGCCGCATCCATCAGCTCCTTCACCTTGGCTTTGATTTCCTCCACCTTGTTCTCTTTGACCAAGCAGGTCCTATCGTCGATTTCCTCCAGGATGTAGGCGTGGCCGGACTCTCGGTCGATCTTTCGCACCATTGCCATCTGGGGCGGATCACACTGGAGAAGAGCCCCTTTCTGGGCCTTCGGCATGGTTCTTGATGCAGCTACCTGGGGTGGTAATCACTTCGGAGAAAGGCGGTAAGTGGACGATGCGATATCTGCATAAGGAGGTGTGTGTCGCAGAGGGTGGTTGTCACTGTGATTGCGATTGACCTTATCCCTCGGACTCGAGCGATTGTGATAGAGCTTGTCCCTCGGACTCAGGAATAATTTGAAACAAGCCTAGGGCAGCTACAGCGTTGGTGGAACTGGTCAGCCCTTGACGCTTGCGAGCGAGGCGAGGTGACGAGGCGTGTGAGGTTCCTCGGTTGCTCGTCAGGCTCGTCACACTCGAATGCCAAGTGATTATGTCATTCATGGGACCTTGACGTGTCATTTGAAAAAGCTACGTGGAGTGCCAGAGTGCATGGGCTGCTCGCCGACGCTAATCCAGGCATTCAGGGGCTTGCGCCTCATTCCGCACTCATTCACTAACACACTGACTCCCGTCGGTGATTCCCTCTACCTACCTCGTCCATGATTCGGTTTCCATGTATAGTGCCAACTCACTGCTCCGATCCGAATGTTGTCTCCCATGCATCGTACCCCTCGCTGGCAAAGATCTTTTCAATCTGTCTCCTCCGAACGCCGACATTACCACCGTCGAAAATCGGCAGAGCCAATGCATCGTTCAGCAAGTGCCCGAATGGCTGCTCAGTCGAATACGCAGAAATACCAACCAGACTGATCGCATCCATGACTGACTCTACTGCGCTCTCCGAACCAAAAATCTTGGCTTCGTAGCACAGCTCGGCTCCGTGTCGCGTCCGACCGAAGCAATGCGCCGCCTTCCAGACCAGAGCTCGTGTGGCTTCACATCGAGTTTTGATCTTGATCAACAAGTCTGCCACGCTCTGCTTTTGGATCATCGTCTCCGTTGACCCTCGCTTCTCAGCTTTGGCCCAGGCTAAAGCTCGATCAAAGGTCTGCCGCATGATGCCCACGCCCATGGCACCCACGAGAACTGCCGACGCGGTAAAGGTCATTTCCACCACATCAGCACCCTTGCCAGGAGGTGCGAGCAAGTTTGATTTTGGCACCCGCAAGTCCTTGAACCGCATGTGCGGCCCATTAACAGCGGTGTGCCCAATCGTTTGAGGATGGTTGAGAACCTGATAGGCACTTGGGTCATTGGCCGCAATGTCTTGTTTGGTCACAATAATGATGGCCGTCTGGCCACGGACGTCCTCGGCTGGGGCAGATCCAATAACACGGCATACGACGCACTGAACGTCGGCGCCTCGATCATCCCACCCGGAACAGTTTGTTGCCCAGATCTTTGTCCCCATCAGCAAGGCTCTCCTCTGAATTCAGGGCACTCACCTTTTCACCACTGATTACATATTGTTCCCCTTCAACACGTGCGGTGGTCTGAAAGCCGGGTGCTCCAGCCTCAGCGAAATTGGCGCTACCCTCAGGTTCAGAAAAGACCAGACTGGCCATTGGAGTACCGGTGCCGTCCAAAAATGGTTTGAAGAACTTTTCATGTTGACTTGGGCTCCCCGCCATGATCAACGGGGTCAAGCCAAGGCCAGTCCCAAGGATGTTTATAGAGGCGCTAGTTTCGACGGCATAAAACTCCTCGACAACCAAAGCTGCCTCTATCAATGGACCTCCTCCACCACCAAGCTCTTTCGGAATTTGAGCCTTGATGAGTCCAGCCTTGACTGCTTCGGCATATATCGGCTGCGTCGAGCGGAAGCGTTCCTGCCATTGCCCCGGCGAGGCACCTTTACCCTCATATACCGAGCGTGCTGTAGTGAGGTTCGCCTTTGCCCAACCCTTGACAGCATTTCTGAGTGCCAATTGCTCAGGAGAGAGCTGAAGATCAACCATCTTCTTTCTGCAACCAACTCAAATGGCAAAGAGCGTAAAGTTTGAGTTGAACATCTTCAGCGATCCAAGACCAACGGCTTTATATCACTAGATGGGAAAACCCATCTGCAGTGGTTTGTGCGTTTTCCCAAATCGGCATTTGTCCCTGTTCAAGTGAGACCTAGTTGGACGCTGTTAAGGTTTGCTGAATAAAGCCGAGCTTTGTGTAAACTTGCCTGGGATAGGCGGAAAACTTCCGAAGCGTGGAGTGATTTCTATCTCGGGTTACGTTGGAGCAGGTCGAATGAACCCATATCTCCATGGAAAGAGCCAAAATGTTTTGCTGCGGTCAGCTATTGTAACGCCTGCGGAGGAGGCTCGCTTCTAGATGCTACAAAGAAGCCACAAACGGGGTCCAGACGCAGTCCTGAACCTGCTAAGATCCCCGCTCTGCCCAGTGCAGCATTTTGTTTGGTTCACTGTGTGGGACGAGGTTGAGTTCCTCCTCCCTGCATATGCACAATTTGATCATGTATGTCCTGACAGCTGATGACACTGAATCACCCACATGTTATTCTTGACGTCCGACTCCCAAACACCACGCCTGCAACGACGGTATCGCAATAAAATGAACCTTTTGGCAAGATGGAGATGTAGATAAGGAAGAGCTGCTTTGGCTCGGTGAATCTGCGAGATTGATCTCGATTGCGACAACTGAACTCGAATCGTGGAGGCGGAAAGATGCTGTGCAGCGGCAACGTGCAGGACGATCTCTCCGGCACACACCGTATGATGTGTGTCAATGTGTGAACCCTGCAGCAAAAATCCCTACCAATAGTCAAACGCGGCGGGTGTTGTATTGCGCAATAGTATCGACTCCAAAGAAAAGTCCTGAGTTGTGTGGCAATGTTCAATACCTTTGACGATGTCTGCCCTATATCTGAAGTCAATAATGGATTTTGGAGAGAAAAGACATGCAGACGCAAAGATGAGATCAAGAGACAACTGGGCGATAAGGCGGTGTCATCCAATGTGAACTTGATTGTTTTCAAATCACAAATGGAAGCGCAGGCAATTTCTATCGCCGCCCGAGCAGGTTGAATCACTTTGATTTGGATTCTTTCGAGATCTTTTCGTGTCACTCCTTCAGCAGACTAAGCGATCAGGCGTCTGTACCTGTTGTCTTTCGTGTCTCTCATTGAATTGTCTTCTTGTCGGCGCTATCAACTTCGAGCAGTTCATCTCATCTCTCAGTGCACACCCTGCACATCGTGCAGAATGCTTCAATTCTTGATCCTTGTCGCCATCAGTCTCCTTTCTTTCCTGGCACGGGATGTTGCTAGTATCGTCCTTGATGTTGATGATACACGTGAGTCTGATCCAAGTCTCATCCATTCCACTTCTCTCTGCTGACAATGAATAGAATCCATTCTGGAGGCGGCCGCTCTGACCGCTCGAGGCGTAATTGACCTGTATAACGGCAATCAACCTGGGGGAACTCCAGGCAAATGGCCCTTTCCGCCCTACTACTGGTGGGAGAGTGGCGGCGCATGGGGTGGGTTGATGGAATACTGGCATTACACCGGCGACGACAGCTACGTCAATCTCACGCAAGAAGGACTCATTGCTCAACTTGGTCCCAAATATGACTTCAACGTTCCTGCCGAAGCCTTCGACACCGGAAACGATGACCAAGCCTTCTGGGTCTTTGTGGCCATGTCCGCGGCCGAATATTCCTTCCCTCAATTGCCTGCTCCCTATCCGTCCTGGGTGCAGATTGTCAGCAATGCTTGGGAAGATTATGTTACGCGCTGGAATTCTTCAAGATGCAACGGAGGCTTGAAATGGCAGTTCAATCCTCAGAACGCAGGCTACTACTACAAGAACAGTGTCTCTAACGGCGCATTCTTTCAGCTCTCGGCAAGGCTGGCCAGGTTTACAGGCAACCAAACATATGTACTTTGGGCGGACACGATCTGGGATTGGGCATCGGCAATCGGCTTGGTGGACAATATCTACAATGTCTTTGACGGGACTGATGAAACTATCAACTGTACCGGCATTGACCACCATCAATGGACTTACAATGTTGGCGTCTTCTTGTATGGCGCGGCAGTGCTGCAGAACTACACCAACGGATCTTCGCCTTGGATCGAACGGACCGCTGGTCTTCTCGACTCAACCAATACTTTCATCAGTCCCTTTCGCAATGCATCCAACATCCTGTTCGAGGCGCAATGTGAGCTCTCCATGTCCTGCAATGTCGACCAGCTGTCAATGAAGGCCTATCTCATTCGGTGGATGGCCGCGACGTCGAAGTTAGCGCCTTTCTCGGCAGGTCGAATTGGTGAGGTGCTTCGAGCCTCCGCCCAAGGTGCAGCAGCATCATGCACGGGAGGTGGAGAGAACAATACATGTGGCAGTAAGTGGTACATTGAGGGATGGGATGGTATAACCGGGCTAGGTCAACAGCTCTCGGCACTGGAAGTCATGTACTCCCTCCTGGTCAATGAGACCAATCCACCCGCCACCTACCCAGATGTCTCCATTCTGCCTGCTCCCCAGTCGCCGACAATCACCGCTACTGCCACCGAAGGGCTGCCAACTGCCAGTGGTATCGCTCGTCCGCTTCACGATGGAGCGGCGATCATTCAATCCAGGGCCCAGAATAAGATTCGGCCCCTTGTCGCTGCCTTTATCACCTCATTAGCAGTAATGTGAGACGTTGATCAAGGTGATATGGTGCCGTTCAGCCATTGTATGGGAGATAAAAGTGTTGTGAGTTCTTTGATGCCTCTGAAGTCTCGGTGTCAGATGTGGACGATGAGGGGGAGGCTGGATGTTACAGACAAAATGACAGATGCTCTTGACGAGTCTAATTGAAGTCAAGGGGTCACTTGCTGGCTCGGCTGCGGCTGCTCGGGGTCCTAGGTGTTTACCTACCGTACAGGGTACTCGAAATGGTTACCTGCGGAATAGGTAGGCTGCTAGGTCGACTGCTTGTAGGAGTAAGCTCGGTTTGGTGACTAGGCGAACAGACGCCCAAGTGATGTGAGACGATGAGGGCCCTGGACAATAACAATGTACCACCTCTATTTGGTTCCCTGTAAGATCTCGAGACTCAGGTTGGCGCTTCTATCCCTTCAAGGCGTCAACTCTCTCGATTAATTGAAGCCTTGCCTGTCAAATCTGCATCCGGAGTCAGACTGCTTCTATGCCGGGTTTATTGACGCCCTGTACAAGTCAGATGAGATTTTGTCATGTGCAGTCAATCCCCCACCAAATATTGATCGGCTAATCCTCGCCTCCACCGCAGCCTGGATCTGATGCCCATTGCCGCTCCGCTCCGCCTTCCTTTGAATTGTTTTGTGTATTTCATATTTCAAACTACCGTTCGTACTCAGACCTTTTGCAAGAAGGGTCCGCCAACATGACATGTCTGTGACACCCCGACCAGGATGATATACTACTCACCACACCGCAAAGTGCATCGCCGGTGGAGAGGGCCCACTCGACTCTGCCGCACCACCACCGCCATGTAAGTCAGTTGTGGATACGTCTCTGCGTCTCTGCAGGCCTCCTTCAATCCCAGGAAAGAAGCAACAACACATTATCAGGTTGCGTGGCGGACAAGGCTAACGCGGTAACCCGTTCCAGACAAATCCTCCTGTTCCTCACCGTCTCCCTCGCCGTGTGCGGCCTGCTTGAAATGAGCGACATGGGCGTCTCCCTCCTCTCGTCCTCCGGCCAGGGCGTGCTCGACATTCACAACGACAACGGAGGCGGCGCCGGTGGTGATGATGGAAAGGGGGAAACTGGACAAGAGAAGGAACCCACGCGGCCTTCGGCGCAGATAAGATATGCCTACAAATACACAACACTGGAAGGGTACTTCCTCCAAGACGATCCCTCGACGGTCGCAGCAGATTTCGACTTCATGGCCACAAACTTTGGCCTCATCGACCGGGAGTACAACTCGGACGAGTCGCTCCCTGACAACGGACGGGACATGACGGTGTGGCAGAGATTCGAGCATCATATTTCTTCATTGAACCGCGCTGCGCAGGACGACGACGACGACGACGGAGATGACGACAGGAGAAGCAGAAAACGCCACGGGTCCTCGGCGAGGTATCTACTTCTGTTCCTCGGCCGGCATGGAAACGGCTACCACAACATCGCCGAGCGCTACTATGGTGGCGAGGCGTGGGACTGCCACTATTCAGCACTGGATGGCGACACGGACGGGATAATGACCTGGAGCGACGCTCATCTGTCCAAGGAAGGACAGAGACAAGCGAGGGAGGTCAATTCGTTCTGGAGAAGACAACTCGCGGAGCAGAAGATGAGCTTGCCGGAACTGTGGCTGGCGAGTCCCCTCGATAGGGCGATGGAGACCGCCGACATCACATTTGACGGCATACTACCAGGTGAAGCCAAGTTGGAGGCCATCGTGATGGAGAAGTTGAGGGAAGGTACCGGCATCCACACGTGCGACAGACGGAGCGATGTTTCACGCATCCGCCAACGGTTCCCGGCCTTCAACGTCGACCTGGACCAGTATTTGACAGAAACAGATGAATTCTGGGATCCGGACCGACGGGAACCAGACACGGCATTGACAGAGCGCCTAAGGGCCTTCATGGACAGTCTCATGGACCAGCACGAGCTGATTGGTGGCAAAGAGAGGCTCAGCATCACCAGTCACTCTGGTGCGATTGGTGCTCTGTTGAGGGTGTTGAACCACCGGCAGTTCAGTCTGGGCACTGGAGCTGTGATTCCTGTGTTTATCAAGGTGGACAAGGTTCCTCTCGACGATGACCATGATGACGCAGAAAAATCGAGGAACGCCAAAAGATCCGTCTTGACCAAGGACAAGCGGCACGGCGGATCGGGAGAGGGTGGAAACCACGAAGAACCCAAGCTGGACCTGCCTGACAATGACAGCAGTGAAGGTGAAAAAGAGACGGAGAACGCAAATCAGACATCAGACAGTGACGCAAATGACCGCTCGAAATGGCAACCCATCCCGTCCTGCCCTGCGGATATGGACCTCCCGACCATTGGCCACAGCCGCTGGGGCGTCGGACTGAAAGAGTACCTCGAGGGCGTGGAGAATGGGACGATATCTGTGGTTTAAGCCGTGTTTCTGTTCACCGCGTGATGCAAATGGGTTTGCCGGAAGCAAGATTGTGATGTTGGGTACTGAACCTCTTCTTTATTTTGAAGAGACGATATAATGATTAGCGACGGCCATATCGGATATCGGATCGTCTTCCACGATTTATCACTGGCTCAGCCATATACAATGACATGTAGAGATATGTGGATCCTCCAGGGCGATTTCCACGAGACGTCTATGTACAATATTGATCTGTTATCCCGTGCATGACCTACGCCAATTGCATGCTGTGGCATGACATGAAAAGCACCGCAGCAATAATCCTCGAATCTTTTGGCTGTCGTCTTCTTTTCACTAATACGAACAGACTGGACTACATGAAGTAGGGTTCACGTGGGATCCTCTCTATTCTTCCCATCAAACCATGTTTAATATTGTTTAGATGATGTACCGGAGGAGGTACGAAGAGGATAGATAAGACCCAAATCCATGTCCATGTCCATGGATGGCACACGTGGAAACTTTTCCATTCCTCTCAAACAGGTGGGAAGGGGGTTCACAAAATGTCCAAAATCTCGCTGCCAACATCGGACACGTTGCTCCAGAGGTATCCTGGCGTGGTCTGCATTTTTGACACGTTTGATTAGTTACAGGGTTGTCATCTTGAGCTAATAACTCGCCCATGGGCCGGAGAGAAAAAAAAAAGGACGGGTGGGAAGGGTGATGGGAGAGAAGCAGGGAAAGGGAGATCTCTCAACTCACTTGGATGACGAGCACGCCGTCCTCGACCAGAACCTCGTGGTAGGTGCCCTTTTGCAGCTTGTCGACCACGCGCAGCAGGATCTCGCCCTTCGTGACGGCCTCCTGGAACCCCTCCTGGAGCATGTCGTCGTCCTTGAACCCGGCGCGCTCGAGCTGGTACTTGAGTCCGTCGAAGTAGTCGAGGCTGACGCGGCCGAGGATCTGGTCCCAGTCGGCGCGGACCTGGGCGCCCGCGGCGGCGAGGACGGCCGCGTTGGCCTCGAAGTTGGCGTTGAGGCGGATGTCCGGCACGCCGACGAGCACGCCGATGGCTTGTTGGAGAGCACCGACCTTCGGGTCGTACGACTCGCGCACCGACTGTCGCGCGTTGATGTTGAACGCGGAGCTGCTGCTACCGCTACTACCGGCGCCACCACCTGCTGCGGCGGCCTTTTTCAGGGCGTCGTTAAAGTCCCGGCTCACGTCGCTGACGTTGGCAGCCAGGTATCCTTCGGCGAACAGCAGCCGCAGCACGCCGTCCTTGATCTGCAGGCCGCCGTACGTGAACTTTGTGTCGTCCTCCTGCGGCGCCAGTTCCACCTGGTGCTTGGGGCAGAGTGTGTTGAGCTCGGATTTCCCGTCGTCGCCGTACGTGGCCACGAAGGATTCGAGGTTCGAGCAGAACGGTTCCATGTACCTATTTGCGAAGCACGAGGCTCACTTTAGTCTGGTGTTTTTTTTTTTTTATTGACGAACTCCCGATCATGGTCCAAGAGATGTCACTTCTTCGGTGTTGGAATGGAGTACAAGCTGGCAAAGACCGCAGAGAGCTAGAACTTACCACATGATGATATTGCCGATGCGGGACTTGTACGACTCGTCGTCCGTGTACACGTACAGCAGGTTGGGGTTCGTGGTCACCGTCCATGCCTCCCCGAGAGTCTTTGAGATCCGAGCCTCGATCTCGGGCTTCTTACTCTCCCACTCGTCCCGCACTGCACAAAATGGTCAGTTAGGAGCTGTGTAGCTTAGGGCCTCGGGATTTGTGTCGTTCGTTACCATTCTTGCGGACCGCCAGCGGCAGCTTGTCAGCAGGTTCTTTGAGAGGCATTATCGTTGTAAGGCAATGGTATTTCTCTAGATTGAGAACCTTTTCATTCTACCCAGAGCAAGAGGGCGCCATCGCCCCTTTATACTCTCTGGTACTACATGTACGTGCGGGACCAACATTCTTGGTGGCTTGTTTCTTGACGAACCGGTCAGAGATTGGAGAGAGTGTACCCTCGTACCTCGTATGCTGTGATAGTGAACGTGGTCATCCCCCCCTGTGGCGTAGGGTGGACTCCGACCGTTTGAGCTTTCTTGCACCCAACCACTCGGAGCCGTGCTGCGCTAGCCAAGGTCGCCCAGAAGCGAGCGAGCCTCGGCGAGTTTGGGGAGAGAGCTAGTCGAGGCGGCGAGGCGGCACGGCGGATACAGAGCTTGTGAGTTTGGGCCTTTCGTGGGGTCCAAATTTGCGGTGGTACAAAGGACGGGGACGTGGTGGTGAGAATATGATAGTTCTGCCCCGGAGAGGGTGGTCTGTTTAGAGAGATTACAAGCTCTATGCAGTCAATTGATATAAGAACAGATACTGGTCTTTCACAGCAAGAACTACAAGGACACATCAAGGAGGATTCGGTAAAGAGGTGGAGACGACGAGTTCCAGAGCCAAGAATCCAGAAAATCCACCGGCGTCCGCATTCGGTAAAACGGGCGCAAGGCTGAATTTGTCCCTCACCCCCTTTTTCCCTTCCCTGCTCTCTAGATTGAACCAAGGCATTTTCTATCTGATCGGCCTCCGCATAAAAAGTGGGCAGGATGTCTACTGTGTCGATGTCAATACAGCAAACAGGTTCTCTCGAATAGCATCTTCCCTCTCCCAACTGCAGACTATGGCTCAATTGTAAGTTCACAAGGACATCCATATACTCATCCACGTCGTGCAGGAAGAGTGTCTGAATCACCAAACTGACGCATCCGTCCCAGACCCCTGCAAATCCGAAAAGACATCCGCGACCTCTTCGACAACGAGGACAGCGCCGTGCAGAGATCCATCGCCTCCCTCAAAGACATCATAGGCTACCATGTCGCGTGCACGGCAGAGTGGTACATGCTGTGGGTGGAGCTGGAGCCTGTGTGCCCCGACAAAACGACGTTCGTCCCCACCGTCGCCAAACTGGTGGAGACGTGGTGCGATGCCCTAGGCAAGAGACTAGAAGACGCGCGGTTTGCATCCTGGACCGAAGTCTTTCTCGAAAAACTCAAAACGGTCAATGCTGTCAAGTTTTCTGTACAAGTATGTTCTTACCCCAGTGCGACCTCTAAAACAGACAGGGGATGATGGTTGGAAGATGTGGTCTGACCATTGATGTATGACCGGTTCAGGTTGCTGCCGATGAATCCAGAGTCCGGACATCCTGGTTAGGGCCGAAATCAACATCGTTCACCATCTCGTTGCCCAAAACCGCCAGGCTGCAGACCATGCTTCAGACCGCTGGCCCGGCTTTCGCAGAAGACTTTGAGTCCATGTTTGACCCTCCAAATTCCAACTCCTCTACTCCATCCGACAAGCCGGAAGCAGAGAACCAGCACCCAGAAAATCGGGAAGATGACGAAGACTGGGCAGAACTGGAATCGGTTGCAGATACAACAAAAAGCACTAGCATCAGCACGACGGCGAACCGCGTTGTGCCATATCCAGCTCCACTGGAAATGAGCACCGATGTCTTACCCGCGCTGGAGACGCTGCCTCGACCGGAGATCCTCTTCCGCACCACGACTCCCTACGTGATGCTGGTGTCCTCCGGAGGGCAGAGTAAGCTAACAGTCAACGGCACGCACGAACCCAGTCTGCGGCTATTAGCAGAGTATTTGCAGCGGTGGATCAAGACAGATCCCCAAGACGTCCGCAAGGTGAGCGTGCAAGGTTTTTCCCTCCCAAAACCCATATCATATTTCACTTTTTCATGGTCAAGAGCTCGACTAAACGACACCCCCAGATCCCATACTTGCGCATCAAGCTGAACGAGTCGAACTTTGGCCTCGGCCTGTTTCGCGACTCGTTGACCATTGAGCCTTTCGACTACCATCAAAGACAGGCCGTCGTCAACGTGACCCTGGTCCTTGCATTCATCCAAGGAGTCTTGGGCTATCGACGCATCCCTGGAACATCGGGTGCTGGTCAGTGGGAGTTTCGGAGGGATACTCCCTTTGCGGCCTGACCTAAAACAAACTTCCCTCCAAGACAGTCCATCAGTGCTTGATCCTCCCCATTGTTGACGTCGGTGGCCTCAAATCAGAATGACAGCGTTCCTTGTACAAAGGCTTCCGCTTCAAGCTGTGGCTCATCCCCACTCGCCCCGGTCCTGCTTCTCGTGGTAATGATGAAGCGACGGTTGAATAAGCGCGAGCGCCACGGTCTCTCGTCAATGTGTAGAGGGAGCTCAAATCTGAAGCCGAGCCAGAAACCCTTCCAGCAGCGAGCGACGGCATTCGAGCACTCGTCTAGAGGACGTACACTCGTGAGACGACCTTCGTGCAGCTTGAAGACCGCAACGACTCCAGTCACAAGACTCTCGGGCATGTCTATCTGATGTAGCGGGACTGTACCCACCGGAGTAGCAACCCGACGCCACTTGTCCAGCGTCATCTGGAGCGGCTCGATCTCCCACAGAGGTATTTCCCTCAATCTGTTCGCCTCGTCGACCCCCTTGGACCCATCGAACCTGAACCTGAAGCGAGAAGAGGCTCCAGATCGGACGTCTGGGTGTCTGACCATCGCTTCTGCGACGCCGTCAGACTGGCGCGCGATGCACCGTATGTCGAGTCGGAACTTCCGCGCGCCTCTCTCGCCCGTGAGCGAATCGACAGGCCATGGCGTCTGGATCCGGTTCCCGCACGGCGCCGTGAGTACCTGAGGCACAAACGTCACCACGACCTCGGAGAATCTTCTCAGTGGGAGGACAGTGACCCTTCCCAAGCGCGTCTTGGGGAAAGGCGGCGTCCCGAAGAGGCAGCGACAGTGGCCACCGCTTAGAATGCGAACATGTAACGGGAGGCTGAATATGCGACGCAGCATCTCATCGTGAATCGCTCGGTTGACGCGCAAAAGGGATGCAATCGTGGCGAAATCCGAGTTGTGGTCCGGGTGATTCGATATACAGAGGCCGCCGCGAGGGATCAAGTTCAAGATGATCTGCAGCAGGATTTCATTCGGGAGGTGCTGATATACACCCAGCCGGGACGAGTTTGTAATGTCCCCGACGTCATGAATGCCGGTGTCGTTTGAGGAAGGCACAGCCCTGGTCTGCATGCTGAGGTTCATATCCATGTCGATGCTGATGCTGATCTTTCACGAGGTATTATTCTATGCCCATGTGAGGAACGCGAAGTATCTGTCTGAGTTGCGGCCATGTTTGAGGGGGGAGACAGTACCATGTATAAGGGAGAGAGATCGAGGTCCTCGCCGAGAATGATGGAGCCTTGTCTACAGAATCCACCATCTGCCCCTGAACCAAACTTCCACCCGCTTCGACCCGTTGGAACCATCAACACCATCCATACCCAACGACTCGACCCAGTTGGTACCGCAACCACATGACTGGTTACCGTTTCGCGTATCCGCTATGTTGGTGCTTTCAACACTGGGTTTCCTGGGCCGTCGCCTTACCCAAAGGCCGCCCTGAAAATGGGCCGGTTTTGCAGGACCTTGAGGACCTCGAGGACCTTGACTCCCCTTTTGGACTCGATGCGATCTCATTATTTAAGAATGACCAGACCACGGGGGGTTGGTACGCCCAAGACGTCTCTGATCAGTCAACTTGTCTCTCTACAGTACTCCCGATTCCACAAGGTGAATAAACACCAAGTCACTCGAACCATCCTCAGATCTCTCTCAACCTACCCTCACCTGAAGCCGACAATGGATGTCATCATGGCCTCTACCCCTTCTCTCGCAATACACGCCCAGGCACCTCTTAACGATCGATATCAGAGAGAATGTTACCAAGCCAGTCACGACAATTACTCACCAAGATACCACCTTCCAGACGAGATCATCTTACATGTGTTGAGCTACTTGATCCCCAAACACGGAGTGGTGATATCCACCGACTCGGACGGCGGCATCTGTCCCATGACCATCAAATCTCTCCTACAAACCTCCCGCACTATCAGGAGCCTGATCCTATTCTTCACAAAGCGCTTCCCTCTGCGCATCGACATCAAAAGCGGGAAGCACTGCCAGTGCCACGCCTTGAAGACACCCGACGATATTCTCAACTCCCCCCTGGGGAAAGTACTTCAGTTGCCTCTCACCATGTGGAACGAGATCGTGGTGACATTTGCCCCCAGTCTGCACGAGTCCCTCGACGAGGCGTGCACGATGGTCCACAAGTCTCTGACGAAACTCGACGTGGCCTACACGACCTTTACCGCCCGTGCTAGATCCCGGGCTTCGATCACTTGCGTTCGCCGGCAGTCCTTTGCACTCGCCAGGGCGATATACAGTTTTGGATGTGTGCCGGGGATCGAGAACATCCGCTGGAGCTATGTGTTTGACGACACCCCGGTATGTGAGCATCACGACGATCAACAACGGTCTCAGCGAACGCTCTGGAACCTCACGTTGATTAAGACTTTTTTGTGTCCGTGGCGGTGGCAGCCGCGTCAACACGGAGACCATGCCCAAGTCAAGTTCCCAAAGCGCTTCACAGTCGGACCCGACATGGCAGAAAGCTTCTTTTCTGCCTCACCCTCGCTTTCGGGCATATGATACCCGAATTTGAACTGGTACTTGGACGGTACAAGGAAGAGTTTGATGACTGGTAGTACCGTCCGCATCCTCCGCTGCCTCGAGGGTATATCTGTTGCCTAGACCTCTCTGATCGAGGGTCCAACGACTCGACTCCAAGAGAGTCGATCCGGTACACTTTGGCCGCGGACATGAAATCACACTTGAAGATATGGGTACAAGGAGGAACTGGCCCTATGGCGAATGCATTGTCAAGTCGAGGGGTCGGTCGGGAATTAGCCCATTTCAGCATCTGGGCAGAAGACGAGAGGTTGAGGTGAATGAGAGGCGTCGATCATGGAGGTCGCACAGGGGTTTCCATGACACTTTGCAAGTGGAGGAGCAGAAATATAGCCCATACCAGCTGGGACACGCCCATCAGGAAGGAGATTTTCTGAAAGATAGTAACATATCACATCATCTGTCTAAACTAGTTGGATAGAAGCCAGCAATGTATTAAATTCCCCTTTCAAGACACCTAATAGCACATGAACACATATCGCATCTAACTACTCACTACTCTTTTCCTCACTTCTTCTCCTCTCTTTCCCACGACAATAATTCCCTTTTCCCTTTTTAGATTTCTCCCTCCAAACACCATCTATCTGTCTCATGTCTGTCTCCGTCGCTACTCGTCCAAGAAATCATTGACCAACCGCGCAAAATGGGTGTTGTACTCGTCCAAAAACCCGTGGCCCGAGTCCGGGTACAGGTGCAGGGAGGCGTCGCACCCGCCGGCGGTGAGGCGGCGCCACAGCACGATGCTGTTCTCCGTGGGGACGAGCAGGTCGTCCGAGCCGTTGGCCACGAGCGTGGGCGTCGCTGCGAGCCGGTCGAGCTGGTCGAACGCGCCCTCGTCGCGGAAATCGCCGGAGAACCAGCGCTGCACGGCGGCGATCTGTCGCGAAGTGCCCGCCGCGTCGAGCAGGGGGGCGCGGTGGGGGCGGGACTTCTCCATGCGCTCGATCCACGACGCGGCCAGGGCCTGTTTCGCCGCCGACGGCGAGAAGAACGTGTGCATCAGGCCCAGGTTCGACTCGGCGGGGGTTGACGCGCTGGCGACCTCGGTGAAGTGCTTCGGGTCGCCGCCCACGACGCCCTCGCCGGCCGAAGGGCCCGCGCCGGCCACGACCAGTCGACGCACCAGGCTCGGCGCCTGCAAGGCCATGCGCTGCGCGACGAAGCCGCCCATGGAGAAGCCCAGGACGTCGAGTTTCGGAATGTCCAGCGCGGCCGCCACGTCGATGATGGTCTGCGCCCACGCCGCGAACGTGGCCCCGACCTCGCCCTCGCTGCGGCCCACGCCCGTGTTGTCGACCAGCAGGATCGGCCGCCGGGCCGCGAGGTCGTTGACGAAGACCGGATCCCACCAGTCCATGTTGCCGCGGAAGTGGACGTGGAGGAACAGCGGCGTGCCGCTGGTCTGGCCGAATCGGCGGTAGGCGTGCTTGATGCCATGAATGGTGACGAATTTGTCCTCGGCGGTTTCGTAGGTGGCCATGGTTGACGAAGTGGTTTTGATTCGGTGTCTGAGTGTTTTCTTGTTGGGGAAATGGAGGAATCAGACTGTTTTCGCAGACTCTTAAGTATTTGGATGATACTGAATTGAAAGCATGGTCCTTAACACGAGGGGATGTCATCTCTTATGTATCCTCTGTAACCTCCTTTCTGTTTCCCTGCCCTCCTAAGAATCCAACTAACTGAACTACCCACCGCTGTAAAAACCCTCACCTTTCCCCTCGTGCTTGACAAGCAGGTCAACCTGGAATGGAAGACACGAACTTGATTACGAGACAAGAGGCGTTTCTTCGTTCTCGATGCTTCTGACCTGACGGATAGCTGGCTGCCAAAACCTCCGTCATGCTCGTTGTCCAACCCACTCGTGTCGTTAGTCATCCCAGGCCGCCCGCTGTGATTGGCTCCCCTAAAGAATTTCCTGTTTGGGAGCATGACCCTCAAGGCACTAGCGCCGCATTTGGATATACTTTTGCTCTTATTCTCCACAGGTCGAGCAACGTCAATTCATCTTTTCGCTCGTACGTCGACGACAATGTCGTTGGTTGGTTCTGCTCGCCCAGATAGAAAGTGTGAGGCGCACACCTGTCAGGGCGAGGATTGTAAATCTGCACTGGGAGTCGGCGTCCTTGTATCTTCCGCTCGGCGGGAGGCGTTGCGTCAACAAGTTACAACGCTCGACGCCACGAAGCAGCGCGTCGGGAAATACGAGAAGATTTGCATTCTCAAAATATCGGAAGTCTGGGAGAGTCGGTACATGGCCTTGTCCATATCTCGCCTCGATGCTATGCTCGACTATTTTGGGAAGACTATTGCACGACATAGCGTGACAACCAGTAGTCCTGCCGTGGTGTGCCGTCCGATAAATGGCATGTATATCCTGAAAACGTTGTTTTTCGACTATATACCATTAACTCAGTGACCAGACTCCAAAAGCCAAAAACAAACGATCATCCAAAATCCGCACCGAGGAGATTTGCAGATGCATAACGCTCAAAATTTACGCTGTATTTCTCAAACCCGACTTCCGCACTTGTCCAAACCCATAACTTGGGGGCAGACACTCGATCCTGCACTACAGAATGAGGTACCACTTCCCTGGTTGTGAAGCTACAAAGTCAAGAGCGCAGGGCTCGCAACATGAATTCGGCCGTAGCGCCATCCTTCGCCTCGAGTGGTATACCTCGGAGGCCAAATATATGATCGCATGCCAGCGAATATAGCGATCACCTTTGGTCAATGTGATAATTATCCTCTGCGGCATGGTTATGCCATCATCCAGCTCTTCGTAACCACTGAGTATTGCTACCGCATCTGGGCCAAGCTTGGTCTTATTTGCCTGCTCCCAATGACTCTTGTTGAGGTGGCTGCACTCTGGAATGAGATGGGTATTGAACAGATGCTTGGCCATCTTGCCATAGGCTAGGTTTTGCTGGAAATGTTTGGAACCGCCATGATCCTGCCACTCACGAGTCGACTCGAACGAAATGAAAAGGATGCTTTGGAATTCGTATGATAGAGTCGTATAGTACTCCTTCTTGGAAGTGGATTTTGCGAATGTGCGGGGAGTGTACTCTGGTCCTATCTCGACTGGATAGACATATGACTTTGCACTCCTTTCCACGGCATTCCCGTCTACAATTCGCAGCTTGCGTTCTTCTGTTTCAGAATGCGTGGGTGTCCCTTTTCGGATGCGGACGAGCTCAGGCCGGATATCACCTGGGTCGAGGTCCGCATACGTGTTCAGGAGTACAGACCATCCAAAGTCGCTGCAGAGGGATTCGGTGGAGAGAGAACGACGCCTCTCATCCCTGGAAAAGAATTCGGCAGATGAGAGAAGTTTAGATACTCCATCGAATGCCTCATCCCATCTAACCAGGCCCGGATGATCATTCCCCTCCCGTACGTCGCGAATGAGGTTCGTGAAAGAGGTAACGTCATCGGTCAGGATTATTGGCATATCCCCACATTTGTCCACCTCCACGACGTGAGCGAAGATCAAGACGTGTTTGGTGGCGCTTTCGATGAGTCGTATCATACGATCTGCCGGAGAGAACCCGGGGCGGTGTCTGGGGACTCCTGCAAAGTAAGAATCAAAGGTTGCAGGTAGCGTATGCTCCGATAAGCGGTGTTCTGAATAAAACTTGGCGTAGTTCCAGCAAAGAATCGGGTCCATGGTGATGCCAGCGAAGAGTAATTTGGCAGCGTCTATGATTCTCCATGATTCCAGTCGGATAATTTGCCCAGTTTCCTCCACTTCGTCGGACTCTTGCGGTATAGGATCAGGCAGCTCCCTGGCCATTCTCTGCGAAGCGGCGACTGCGAATCCAACTATCAAACCTACCAACTCAACGTAGATACTGTCATCATCGCTGAGGATCACATCGACATTCAAGCTGCGACGCAGGAAGACCGTGCCATAGCCTGCCAAATTATGCCTCTCAGCCGAGTATAGGCTGTCAGAATCGTGATCTTCTGGTTTAGTAGTCAGAAGGATGGTCATGTCTGTCTCATGAAGGCAGATTTCAGGACCCTCTTCGTTCCCCTCCAGATTCCAGTTCAGTTCTTCTCTGTCAGGAAGGTCAGAGCGCCTCCAACGGATGAAAACGTGAGGCTCCTCAGCATTCCCGAAGACAACGTCTTCCCCAGGAAGACCAGTGATGACAACATTGAGGCACAAAATGTAATGCGCCCAGATGGTAAGAGGGATGAACCCTGCTTGAGACGAGACTGTGACTATTCTGTGTGATGGCAGGTGTTTGATAGCATAAAGGAAGTCCATAGCTCCCAGAAGCACGGCAGGGGTGAGACGAGTGTAGTAAGGGCTCCAGCTATAATCTCGCATTGATACTCGAAGCCGCTTCTCAATCTCTGCTCGATATGGCGTCCACTGGAATTCGCCACACTGCGTAGAGCAGGCTGCCAACGTCTTTTCAATGCCTTCGTATGCAGGAGGGATGGAGGCCCCTGGTATTTTAGCTTCGGCTCGTTTTGCCATCCCGTTGGCAATCATTCTGGCAAGATCATCTCTCGGAGTAAAGTAGCTCAATGCTGATAGAGTGACTATGGTTGCGAAATATCGTGAATCCTGAAACGCTCGGATGACAGTTGGGCCAGCGCCCGTTCGAAGTTGGATTTCCGAGCCCTCGTGCAATGTTGTCACCGTACTGATGTGGACTTTGTCCTTGAATGCTTTTTCGAGCTCCCGAGAAATTGGGCTCCTTCCAAAAATGCTTGCCAGATCGGCCTCAACAAATATATCAGAACCTGAATTGCTAAGCTCTCGAGCCAGATTGAGTAGCGCTGTATACGCGAAAGCAGTAACCTCCTTGACGGGTAGGATATTTGAAAGTTCCAACGCAAGCTGAAAGCCAGCGTAGGACGGCATCTTCGTAACTCTTTTGGAAAACCAGGAAACTTGCAACGGAAGTGTGATATGCGTGCAATTGAAAACAGGTACACAATCAAAGAAACAGAAGTCAGGGAGAGTATATGGGTCAACTTTTGCCAGGAAGGGGGGCTGTAGCGACTGGGGGCATCCTTTAATGCCATCATGGAGTTGATTGCGCTAAGTCCCAGGCCATGAGAGACGCGGATTCACGCAGGATTAGCAGTCAAAGCCGCTTCGCAAGCCGTTTCTTCCTGGCCTGCGGTTTCAGGTTGTGCAGGGGCTATGTACTCACATGAGGGTGTTCACCTACCAGGGCTCGCAGGGGTGGAGGATAAGTGCCGTGACCGCCCATGCTGATCGTCTGATGGCACGATCTAACGAATTGCTCGGTTAAATGATCTGAGACTCTTGCTCGGCTGAGAGCAGGCCGGCGTGAGATGAAGGCGCTGAACTCGGCGGCAAAGGCCAGGGATTCCTAGCCAACGCCCAAACGCTGCCTGTGTTGTCTCATTTTCATATTGCTGGCCGAGGAGCCTAGTTGCAGCCGCTCAGGCTAATTGCAGTTTTCCATATGTGGCGATTGGACTGAAACTAGGCGTTGGCTCAGACTTTTGATGCAAGCCTTGCCGCCCAGAATCCCAGGATCTCAGGATCCTACCGGCCAGGCGGAGGACGGACAAAGTCCGGGTCTTGGCCTGTGGCGCAGGAACGATGACTCAATCTGGCTCTAGCCGCAGCTCAGCCTGCGCAAATGAAATGGCGGCGGCGGAAATGGCAACTTCTAGATTGTCAACTCGACTCATTTTCTCCTCTATAATCAACAAGGTCAATCAATTCCTCTCACAGCTGGTCATACATCCCGACTGCTCACTTGTATAGGGTATACCGACTGCTCTGATTGCTGTGCTCTGTATAGTTCGTCGACCGAAGCAGCTGCTGCCTACGAAAGCACCCTATACGTACCTGAGCGTTCCAACAACATGGCTGACAATGATTGGGATACCGTCACTCGTATCGGTAGCAAAGCCAGAGGCCCTGGCAGTGGAGGCGTCGACCGTGAACGGGTTGTGAGAGGTTCCTCTGCCCTCAACGCAGCCAAACGGTCCGGAGCCGTCGTTGCAACAGAAAAGAAGTATGGAGGAATCAACAGCGTATGTGGCAACTCCTTTCTTAACGCCGTTAGAGATAAGATAAGTCAGGACTAACACCCAGACTTTATAGAAATCGACCGTCGAGGGCCAACACTTGACCAAGGTCGACCGTTCCGACGACATTATAAAACCCAAAACCGTCCCGCTCGCAGTAGGACGGGCCATCATCAACTGGCGCAACCAGAACAAGGACGCTCAGGGCCGAGGGATGCCTCAAAAGGACCTTGCCGCCAAGTCAGGAGTCAAAGAGGCGCTGTTGAAAGATATTGAGAGCGGCAAGGCGCTCTACGACAAGAATGCCATTCAGAAACTAGAACATTGTATGAAGATTCAATTGACGGGGAATGACATTGGGGCACCCAGACCTTCAAAGAAGAAGTAAAAACCATGATGAGTGCCAGAACTCGGAAGTGGAGAGACGACATCGACATCAAGAGGGGGGCGAGAGGGAAATGAAGAGGTGGAATATCGAGAGGACACAAGGAGACAACACGGGTGAAAACAAGCGTCGACATGGACGTTCCAATGCACGGCCCTTCTCGTGGAATATGTTATAGAGCACATCGGCTCACCTGCTGGAGGAGGCAACTGTGGTTGTGCTGCTGTTCGAGAAGGCTTATTGTCACGGCCCATCGCCGACTCAGATGTCTGTCTGTATGCTTGCTTGTTTGTCTGTCCAATGTTCCGGGTTTCCCCCTTTCGAAGGGGTGTTATTCATAGAGAGGTTCTGTTTGGTTCGGCTCGGTTAGATTATGACTTTGTGGCTCTGGTCCAAGGAGTAACAAAAAATAGACTCGTGTGGAATCATTGTCATGACTATTCCACAAATTCACATCAGACCTTCCCTCGTCCCCCGTGATATCTGTCATCTATCTCCTCAGGAACGAAGAAGGGGAAGAGTGAAGCAGGAGCAAAAGGACGACTCCTCCCACCCCTTCTGCAGGTCGACCTCTCATGGCACGGTGTACACACCGTCCGTACATACTCCTTTATTGTCCTCGCGCACAGAAACCATATAACCATATAATTCGCGCAGATTGCGAACAAGGCTTACCGCAAGCAGAAACAAAGTAAGGAAGAGAAACTCGACACACCTTTTGGGGGGGGAGCTCACAAAAGTCACGCCCAATGGGGGAAAGTATGGAGGTTGTGCACTTTGAGGATGGATGATATGAATGTGAATATTCTGGACATTTTGAAAATTGTACTTGATATTTGATTTTAGTTGATTTTATTGGGTTTAATCTATCGACTCGTTGTGACAAGCAAGTACTGACTGAATGCTAGATAGATGCGTCTTTTCCTATCCAAAGTTCAAACCCTCGCAACGGAAAAACTGATTGACTGATTGATTGATAGATCAGACAGACTCTATGCCGACTCCTGCATTGCATTGCTGGCCACATGTCTTTTTCGCCGTCTTTGGTCGTCTATGCATTCCGTCTTTGTTGTCGCCTTTTCGCTGCAATGTGCTCTATCGAGTTTGCGGATCCGCATGCTGTTGTGCCCCAGCATTTCGCCTCGGGCTTTTATGCCTTGGCCACGTCTCCCAAGCCCTCAGACTCCAGATTCTTCTTGAACCGTCTCTCAATGGCCTCCATGAATTGAGTCGTGGTAACCCATGCTTCTCGGTCCTTGCGGCCACATGCCAAAGCAAGATCCTTGGTCATGATTCCGTCGTCATTGACCGTCTGGATGACAGCCTTCTCCAGATTCTCCGCCCAAGTCACCAACTCCGGAGTCTCGTCAAGTTGTCCGCGCTTGACTAATCCTCTAGTCCATGCGAAAATGCTGGCAATTGGGTTAGTGCTGGTCTCTCTTCCCTTCTGATGCTCTCTGTAGTGCCGTGTAACAGTGCCGTGTGCAGCCTCGCTCTCAAACGTCAAACCATCAGGGGTAATCAGCTGGCTGGTCATCAAGCCCAATGATCCAAAGCCCTGAGCCACAATATCGCTCTGTACATCTCCGTCGTAGTTCTTCATGGCAATCACAAAGCCTCCAGTGCTCTTGATCATCTGCGCAACCATATCATCGATCAGGCGATGTTCGTACCAGATCTTCTTGGCCTCAAATTCTTTGGCATAGTCCTTCTCGTAGATTTCTTGGAATATATCCTTGAAACGTCCGTCATAGGCCTTCAGAATCGTGTTCTTGGTAGACATGTAGAGGGGATAGCCCCGGTCAAGAGCGAATTTGAAGCTCGCATGCGCGAATCCTCTAATCGAATCGTCGGTGTTGTACTGTGTCTGCGCAACGCCGCCGGTTGCGGGGAAATCAAAGACCTTGATCTTTTGCGCTGCGCCTCCACTTTTGGGTGTGAATACCATCTCGAGCGTGCCTTCTTCACGATAGACTGTGTCCTTGGCGCGATATTGATCCCCAAATGCGTGACGACCAATGATAATCGGCTGCTCCCAGCCGGGAACGAGGCGAGGAATTCGAGGGATCACGATGGGCTCGCGAAAGACGGTGCCACCGAGAATATTCCGGATCGTGCCATTAGGAGAGAGCCACACTGTCAGGATATTTAGTAACAGATCAAGAGCCTGCGGAGGGGTTCTGTAACATACTTTTCTTCAAATGAAATTCTTCAACTCTGGCCTCATCTGGAGTGATCGTCGCACACTTGACACCCACAGAATACTTCTTGATGGCCTCCGCAGCGTCCACCGTGACTTGATCGTCCGTCTCATCTCTGTAGGGCAAGCCCAAGTCGTAGTACTTCAAATCAATGTCCAGGTACGGGTAGATGAACTTGTCCTTGATGTCTTGCCAGATTATCCGCGTCATTTCATCGCCGTCGAGTTCCACGACGGGATTCTTGACCTTGATCTTTGCTGGGCCTGAGGACATGGTGCGACTTTGGCTCTGCGGCATTCCCAGTCTGCGTGTTTCGGCGGCGAGTCTGTTCGATGCTGAGGGCGCCATTTTGGATGAGAGAAAGGAGGAAGGAAAATATAGAGAGCGGTTCGAGAGAGTGGATCTTCCAGCGCCGCCCACCAGCGCGATCCGGAGAGAATTCATGTGGGTAGGGGAGAAAAGCTAGATAAAGGAACGGGAGGCGCAGGTATATAAGACGATGTGAGGTCCGGGTGAGCAGACCGACAAGTTCAGGTCAACCTTGAGAGCAATTCTGGGCCGTTACCTCGACAATTCACCAAGTTTGCACGATGCGAAGGGCGCCGATGGCTCGGTTGCTGTTGCTCTGGTGGGCACCCCTCTTGAGGCTCCATCGGATAACGCATCTTGTGATTGCACAGCCGATGACGAGATGGAGCAACAGCCGAGGATGAACATAGGCGGAATTGGTACAACTCTGATTCGACGGGACATCTCTGGAACGTGGGGTGTTTTGTAAGGGCGCAGGTGTGGTTGGCGGCGGAATAATTAAAAAGTGAGTAATATGGTAGCGAGTGCGGCAAGGGCTCCGATATCGCTTGTCTCCTACGAGTAGTAACCCGGAACGGCTGTCGTTTTCCGGCGTTAGAGTCGTTCGACCCAAGCATCCTGACACAAGCACAACAAGCACAACGAGTAATACCAATTACTTTACCTGTCGCATATCTTTCTCCCTCACATTTTTCCCCACCTGCCCTCTGTCCCTCACCATGGCCGATAAACTGCGCACTCTCCAACAACTCGAATCTCTCCAGGCCAAATACGTGGGCACGGGTCACGCCGACACCACCCGCTACGAATGGAGCCAGAACATCGTCCGGGACTCCCTCGCCAGCTATGTCGGTCACCCTCCTCTGCTTGCCTACATGGCCCTCGGCTTAGGAGAGAACAAGGAGATCGTGAGAGGACAGATGATTGAAAAGATGATCAGGGCGAGCGGACCGCCACCACAAAGAGAAGACGACTGAAAGAGATTTCAGCTTTGGGAACAAATATATTCGGACAACAGACCACGCCGAGGGGTGAGGGCAGAAACTCAGGTTGCTCTCGACTTATCTCGAGGATGGAGAACCAGCTCTCGCAGCGTCCATGATGGATATACAACTTCTCGATGGATTTTTAGCCAGAGCAACCTGGAGCTCAGTTACCGAAATCGAGGTCGGCATATCGTTTAGGCGCGGCTCTGGGCAAGCGAATCCCATTTCCAAAGATTCGGGTCAGGAACACCGATACCCTCTGGGGATTAATGACCGAGCATGATTCTAGCACGGATCGATCACAAATCTCAAACAAGACAGTCTTTGCAGTGTCCTAAGAGGGGGAGAAAGACACGGATCAGAGTCTGGGGGACAAAACAACTATGGATATGGAATTCTTGATTTCATACCAGACCCCTCGAAAGTACAATATGTGCAGTACCGGGAAATGTGTCTGCATATCAATCAGGTTGAACTCGTCATGCCTGTAAAATGAGATCTGCAGTTCATTCTGTCCTTGCTCGCTCTCTCAATCCCAAGGGCACTTGTGTGACACCAGTCTAGCCCGTCTCCTGAATTGTAAAATCGCCAAGCTCATTGTGCTGGAGAATGTTATGGCCTGTGAAGACCTGTCGAAAGGACAAAAGAGAATATAATGTGGATGGTTGTTGGAGCGTTGCCCCCTTTCCATTCCTTTGACAATCAGCGTAGCCAAAGAAGTCGGTAGCCGAACACCGACGATCAACGCCATTTCCTCCCATTTCGACGCCGTTTGCCTATGCATCCTGTCTCCATCAACAAGTGATTCCAATTTTCTTTTTTCTCAAGATAATGCCCATTATTCGCTCCAGTTGCAGTGCTTGTGCGCTCTTCCGCTCTGTGGAGGACACTCTAACGAAAATTCATAGCCATAGCCTTTGCAAGTCAAAGGCTGAAATATCAAGCATCAGAACGTGAATACCATCATTAGAAAATGCCGTTGACAATGTTGCTGCCAATTGTAGCTCCTGCTCCAAAGATGGCAGCATTGCCCATTTTCTTGCCGAATTTCTTGCCTTGCTCTTCGAGCTTGCTGTATTTCCGACCATCCGGACCGGCGGCGGAAGACCCTGACTGACTGACCTGAAGGGGTAGATTTCCATATTCGGTTGACTGTGAGTGAACCATCGGTGGCCGTCGGTCCTCAATGACATTGACGTAGCTGCGAGGGAAAATTCCTTCTAGATTGGTTCTTTCATTGCGACCTCTCCACCCTGAGATTTCCATTAGCATCGAGATAAATAACAAGTCTCAAAGGAGCGTCACGTACAATCATTATTCATGTGTTCCAATACTTGTATCCGATCCCCTTGTTGGAGCGCTAGGTCTCCAGCATCGGTGGGTGTGTATGCGTATAGGGCGGATGCAATTGACAGAATTGGAGGTGGAACGTAGGCTGGAGGAGGAAGAGGTGCAGGTGTAGGTACGGGAGCATATCCCTCTTTCAGACTCATGCTTGAGAATTGCTCGACAGGAGTGTTGGAGGTGCCATTGACGGGAGCGTGTAAAGGAGCATGTAACGGCGTCTGGGCCGGTAGTTGTGCTAGGATGGAGGAGAGCTGTTCAGGGGAGATGATGGAGGTATCGGCGAGAAATTCAAGTTCCTATCCAAGGTCAATCTGGTGATCCGAGAAAGGTTGGAGGTTTGGGTGGTTACACACAGTACGAATGGTCCGGAGAGAGCGGTTTGTCAGGGCGATCGAGGCCTCGGTGGCCATGATATCGCGAGGAAATCAGAGGACTCGGACGCGTATCGACGGCAGATGCTGGACGCAAAAATGAAGAAAAAGCGAAATGAAATCAGAAACGAGAGTGATGGAACTCAACCTCGGGAGGGTGGAGGATAGTCGAGTCGATGGTCGTTTGACGGATGAGGGAGGAGGTCAGGTTACAAAGGGTTTGAAGGCAGCAGGTTGGTTCAAGCGGTCACTCGGGGAAAGGTGAGGCGCAGGCACTTGTTTTGTGTACGGTGACTGGCCTGCTGGGTAAAACGGGAGCGAGAGGAGCGAGAGATCGGACAGGGGAATAAGATGCGAGACCCCGAGAGTGGTTGTTGTGGTTGGGCCGTGAGTGAGCTTCGCGGTGCTTGAGGGCCTGCCAGGTGGTCGATGCAGGGCGTTTGCGGGTGTCCCAGGGACTGTCCCAAGTACCTAGACCGGCTGGTCCAGACGCAAAGGAAAGCTGCTCGCTAGGCATGACTTACTGGGTATGGCTAGAGGCTGGGCGCGCCTGAGCACTAAGGCTCACACTAACTACGGTAGTTAAAAGGGACGCCTGACGTCTCGGACCAGGAGTCTCAAGTAATCCGTGTCTCAGAATGCCCGCGGCGCTAGTCCTCCGGATATATCGGAGTTGCCTCTTATAGTTTAGCCGTAGGATTTTGGCGGCATCGATCACTATCTTTGTCCGTCCTCAACATGCTCTGACTCTTCCTTCTCGTTGGTTCCTGTATCCGAAAGCCTTGTCCAGCCTGTCAATCACAAGTCCACTATGGATGGCCAGAAAAAGGAGCAAGAGCAAGGATTTCCTGCCACGTTTGCTCCACCAAAGCCGGCCGTCTCGTTGCTTATCATTGTCGTCTGCCTAAAATCAACGTCATCCCTCCATGAAAAGAACGACACAAAGATACAACAGGAGAAAGAAAACGAACTCACTGTCTTTTTGCGTTTCTTTGACAGAAAAGTCAGCTTCCTTTGTGAAGGGGTACATTGGCAATTGTGTCAGTATACTCCCGACTCAAAACAGCCGAGGAGATGCGGCTTGCCGTATGTATCATGGCCTGACGGTAAGATGAACACCGACGAAGTGAACGACCTTGTCGCATGTTCTATGGTGATGATGCTGATACTGATACTGGCGCCGACGCCGGCGCTGGTGTGTTCGGGAGTTTGACTGTGAACGGCCCATCATTTCATTGTTTCCTTGTGTCCTTGTCTACCATGCAATCGCCCGCTGTTTGGTCGTGTCGCTAGGCGTAGCCGCCTCGTGTGCAACTTTGAACCATCAACCCAGACGCGGCATGCACACAACGCACACAACGCACACAAACAGGAGCTGAACATGCTAGATTGCTCAGGCTTGACCGTTTGTTGGATGTCCAACTCACGATTGCTCTGATCCAGACTAGGTATATAATGCCTAGTATTCAATATCACTGAACCGCCGCCGCGATACCCTTCAGATCTTCTCACTCACGGTTCTACTTTTATTGGAGTGTGCTATATCTTCTCTACATCGAATTCACTGCTTGTGAATCCTGCCACCTTGGCCGCGCTGATCGTCGTATTGCGGTTAGCAGATCTATTCCTCTGCCATTGTTCCTCACAGTCAGTATTGCTGGTTTCTATTGTTCCCTTCGCGCCTCTATTCACCATTCACAACGTTACGCCGACAATGTCGCGCCGATGACATCGTTGCGTTCACTACAGTGCGGTGAATATCTGCCACTGATCACCTCTGCTATAAATCTCTTTCATTCTTCCCTTGTTCTCCTCAGACATTCTGCACACGAACTCTTTGTTGCTTGGGCTTGGTTATCAAAAAAGCTTTGTCGCTTTGGCTGTGTTATATACTCACGCCAACCCAACAGACGTCAACCTGTACCTTGAAGGCCCAGCCCTCCTCGCCTCTGTCAACCTCAGTCAACCTCAGTCAACTTGTCAAAGAGTGACTTTCACCAACAGATCGAAATGGCGACCCGGAAGCCTCTCAGACCCGAGTTCTTTGTCACTCGTCAGAATGGCGCTATGGTCCCACTGATCGCCATGGACGAGCTGCCCATTCATGTCCAGATTGAGGGCGTTCCTCGGAGTCTCAGTGCCTTTGACACCGCTGGCCTGACTGGCGTTGGCGTCCGGGATGCGCGACACGAGTACTATGTTATCGAAAGCATGAATAACACCAAACCAATCCCCTGGCACCCAATTCGCCCGTCTGAGACCCCGATCTCGAACACGTCAAAGGCGAATTCCCCTGTCTACGCCCCTTTGCTGCGCTCGACCACTCTGTCAACTCCCACCATGTCGAAAGCTGCCGACGTCGCTGGAAAAGAGCCTATCACGGCACCTAGCAACACTGCCTCATCTTCCAATGTCTCGACCGAAGAGGAAATCAAGTCATCTCAAGCCACCACTCCGCCGACCAGTGCTGCTACAAACGTCCCCCCGGTCACGACCACAGCACCCCTGACCCCTCTGGAATGGCGATCCAAGGCTGCGCCCGTTCTCGCCAGCAACAGTACCCCCGCCAACCCCGAATCGGACATGCCACCATCGGGTCAGAAAGTGTACTGCTCGTACTGGATGCGCCACGGCGAGTGCAACTTTGCGCAGCAGGGCTGCATGTACAAGCACGTGATGCCACTGAAGCTCGAGGTCCTCGAGGCGCTTGGCTTCCGCGACCTCCCAGATTGGTACCGCAAGGCGTACAATGTGGGCAGCATACGCGTCAATGGCGGGCGCAACGGTCTCAGCTACGGCATCCTCGACGGCAACAAGGGCGTGCCGGCCCCGCCGCTCGCACCGCCCGCGCCGCCCGTCAAGCGCGCCAGTCTGGATGCGGAAGCCACCAAGCGCATCATTGCCTCGCACATCAACGGCAACACGAGGGCCCGCCGACAACAATACGGCGACAGACGCCCGCGACCATCGGCCGGTCCGACCGCGGCGGACATCGCAAAGGCCAGGGCCGAGGAGAGGGAGCGCCGCGACGCGCACCTGGCTGCGGCCTTTGCCGCCGACTTGGATAGCGATCTTGACGACATGATGGACGAGGAGATGGAGAGGATCCGCGAGAAGGAGCAGGCCGGCTGGGAGGAGGAACAGAAAGCCGCGAGAGAGGCGGCCCTGGACGTTGGCCACAAGGGCAAGGGCGGAGAGGCTGGGAGCGACAAGGAGGTTGAGAAGGTCGTCCCGGCTGTTGTCGCTGATGCTGCGATCCCTGCCGCTGACGTCCCGACTGGAGCCCCTGCTCCCACGCCTGCCACTACTGTCCCTGATGCTGCTCCCGCTGTCGCCCCCGTTGCCGCTGTCACCGATGCCGCTGTCGCGGATGACGCCGTCGCTGATGCTGCGCCGACCACTGCCTCGGTTACCACTCCTGCTACCACCACTGCTACTACTGTTCCGGCTCCTGATGTCGCTGATACTGCTATGCCGGCTCCTGCTGTTCCGACTGTTGCTGTCCAAGCTGCTATCCCAGCTCCTGCCGCTAGCACCCCGACCCCTGCGAGTCCTGCTGGTGGATCAAGCACCGTCGTTGAAGACGGGAAGAGACGAGGCCGTGGCGGCGGCGGCAAATATACCAACCGGAAGAATCAGCAGGGAAAACAGCGAAGGCTCCTGAACTGGCGTCCCTCGAACGACAACGGTCTGTGAACGATGATCACCATCAACGACACTACCAATAACGACAACAACACAGAGATTTTTACTACTTTTACTTCGACGACGGTTACAACGACGACAGCATTGACGACATCAATGACAGCAACGGCAGGATAAAAAGCGAGAAACTCACGGGCATGCGCATGAGCATGGGCATCAGCAAGGAATGAACAGTGTGCTTTTTTTTCTCTCGTCTCCTTTTTTCTCTCGCGCAGGTCAAGGGCGTTTCTGGGCGCCGGGTACTGCGTGCTACGTGCTGGAATGGATAGAGACATGGCACAATCAAATCTTCCCCTCGAGAAACAGGGCTGGGGGATTCTCAAAGGGCTTTGACGGCCTGGAAATGGGTGGGCAAAGTCAAATTTGAAACCAGACATCGACATCGGGTTTCTTCAAGTGTATTGCAGTGCTTAGAATTTGCTTCAGAGATACTTTCTCTTTTCTTTTCCTTCTACTTTTTCCTGCTTTCATCTCGGTGAGACACCCCATCGAGTAGGTGTGAATACAGACAGATACACGAATATTCGACTTCACGTGTCCAAGAAACAAGCACGTTCAGATCCTCCATCTCCGGGGAAGGGTGTTGCAAATGTGCCGTTTAAGAATGATCTCGGAACATCTATAACGTATTGTATCCACTTGTTTGTACAAAAGACCAGGTAGGCTATTATCTCAAGGGCACTGCCGGCCTGCCTAACGCGCGAACATATTCGTGGACGAGCTCCTTGCCGTCGAGGACTGGCCCGCCCTGCCGTGTCGAGGATTGTTCCTCGCCCGACGACAACAACCTCTGCTCCTGTCTCGCGACCAACAGCTCCCTGACCCGCGAGGGCTTCAACTTCCAAGTCTCCGGAAACTCGATCTTCCGCTGCGGCTTGTGGTGTCTCAAATCGAGGGGGACGTCGTCGAACGAATCTTTCCCATTGCGCGCCTCGTCCAGCAGCTTCTTGACCAGGTCGCCCAGGTACCGCTTGTTCTGCGCGGGAGCCTCGTAGGTCTCGCACGACATCTTGACCACGTCCGTGTCCGGGTTGTAGCGCGGGCCGACCAGCTTGAGCAGTTTGAGGCGCTGTTTCTCGGTGAGGTTCGGCAGGTCTTTCGAGCAGAATTGCACAACTACTTTGCGGGCCGCCGGGTGGTGTTCGCCCATGTACGTGGTGTAGCGGAACCGGAGCGGCGTGGCTTCCGTGGGGGGTGTGAACGGTTTTGCGAACTCTTCAAGACCCAAGTTAGTAAGAGTGTCATGATGAGATCGGACTGACCAGAGGGAGACTTGCGTTGTAACAAGGGCATATCCCACGCAATCACCCGCGTATACTGCCTGACTTCTCTGTGTAGGTCCAACTCGTTGTGCGCAACACTCGAAATGGCACTCTCATCCCACTCCTCATCGCCATCTTCCACCTGGGTGAATTCGTCGTCCTCTTCATCCAGTGCCCAGTAGCCCACCTCGCTGTTCTTCAAGGGAACATCTGGGAAATCCAGGGGCTCGACTTCTTTGCCGATCTCGCGGTCTACACTGTCGACGAGCCTCTCCATCAGCGGATCTTGGGCGTTGGGGTCGGCATTGAAATTGATCCCAGCTTCTTCAAATTCGGCGGCGTAGTGATTCTGCAGCGCGAGGTACGACTCTTGGTCCTTGGGCGAGAGCATTTGGAAATCGGCGAGTTCGTCGGCATCAAGGTCAGCGAGGGTGATGGGGGTCGAGGGGACTTTGTAGCCCCCTTCAGGAGGTCGGCTGAAGTCCAAACCCTGGTCATCTTCTTCCTCCTCGTCTCCGTCCTGGTCAAAGGCACTGGTTCTTTGGGGTTTATCGGCGCGGCGCGGCAAGGTCGTCGAAAGCTGGCGAAATTGTCCGCTCGTGCTTGTGACATTATGTCGTTGCGTGAAGAGCTGGCATTGTGCTGCTTGACATTTTCTCTTCACAGGTATCCGCCGACTCACTTGGAACAATGTACGACACAGGTGCCGCGCCGTGGTGGCCATTGTTGCTGGGTTTCTTTGTGATTTTGTGATCTTGTGAGCCTGCGCATTGGGGGAGCCAACGGAGCTTCAGATAAATTTCCCCAAAATTCACATTTTGCATTTTGTCAACTTTACAGTCGACCGTAAATACGTCTATATATGACATGATCCACCGAAGTCTCCATCATGTCCTGTCACGCTTGTCTCCACCTCACCGTCGTGGCCCTCGTTCTTCCTACCATGTCATATCCGTCAATTTTGTGTCTTGGATAATGGGCGATCCAAAATCGTCCAGCAAGCCGCCTGGGAGGCGATGCTTTGTGACCATCGGCGCAACAGCTCCCTTCAACGGTCTGGTCCGCGCCGTTCTGGAACCCGCGTTCATCAACCCGCTCCGTGACGCAGGATACACACAACTCCGAATTCAATATGGCGACCATGAAGGCGAGAAGATATTCCAGGAGCGATGCAGGATTCTAAAGGAAGCCGGGTTCGACGACGGCATCGAGATCACGGGCTTTGGGTTCAAGAAAGAAGGCCTGCAACGGGAGATGGTGGCAGCCAAGGGCCAATCTCCCCAGGATGAGGGAATGGTCATCAGCCACGCCGGTTCAGGATCCGTCCTTGACGCCCTTCGCGTCAGCGTGCCCATCGTGGTGGTTCCAAACCCCGAGCTTCTGCACAACCATCAAGTCGAGTTGGCCGAGGCCCTGGCCGAACAGGAGTACGTAATCCACGGCAAACTCGACAATCTCGCGGCTTCGATAGCGAGCGTCGAGGATCTACGGAGGAAGATGAAACAGTGGCCACCGCTGAGGTCCGGAGAAGAAAAGTACAAACGTGGCCTGGAGGACGTGGTTGCGGACGAAATGGGCTGGCAGATCGATTGATGTCGCACTTACGGGTCGGGCGCCTCTTGGACGACGTCGAACTTCCGAATCTCTGTTCCCTTGCTCACGTTTTATTTCGACACTGTTCGACACGAGGTACAAAGTGCTCAAGATGGTCCAAGGAGGTCCCATCGAAGCTACAAACGGCGTATACAATACACCGATCGAATCGATTGCTAGTCAAGCTTAATTTCCATCCTGTTGGATGTTACAAGGAATCGTTGACCAGTCTCGGATGGTTCTTGAGCCCGTCCACGACTGGATAACCATTTCATCATACTGCACAGACATCTGTCAACGAACAGCGACTGCTTCAAGACTTCTGACACAAATAACATCGGTAAGTCACGCAGAAACTACTTTCTAAAGCACATCTATCTAACCGGTCCTCTTTCTAGGCCGGGAGGGACCACTGAGGTCCGTGCTCATTATTACAGTTGAGCTGCTGTCCTTGGTTGGACAAAGGAGGACATTCCCGGCGATCGTATACTATCTCATACAGGATCGTTACGCCGCAGAGGGCGCTCTCATCGGGACTTCTTGTTGGCGCATGTCCACTGACCATGGTGCCCTGTCCATAAGTGCTTTTGTGGGAGCTAAAGTGGAATTGGAGCGAGTGCAAGCTGGCGAGGACTGGGCCCCGGGGAGTCAAAAAGGTGAATTAAAAGAGCTTACCCAAAACGGTACTCCGTCTCCCAATCTCGTGTAGATTTCATTGTCCCTTGACTGTACTTTCACCGTCCATGTAAAGTCGCGCGTGGCAGCTGGTGTTGAGGCGAGGAGCAACAGACGGAAGAACTAGACATGACCAGTATGATCAATGGGGAATTAGATGCCGGACAAGATTGTGTCCAAATACAAAGGGTGCTGATATCCTAGGAAGCGGAAAAGAATAGCCCGAAAATCACTCTCATTGTATCGAGCCTTTTGCTGTCACCGCCGTCACGATGGAGAGTGTCGTCCAATCCCTGACTCCTGTTTCGGTTTCCCATATTCTACACCCCAGGTTTGACTACTTCGCGGCCTCAAATTCAACACTTCGTCAATGTTCCGAGAAGTCTGTATTTGACCGTCGGGAGTTCGCTGAGCAGCCCTCTCTCGATTAGAGCGAAGCATGCCGGCGCTTGGGTCATAGCCTCGTATACCGTAGTAATCCTGCACCTGCTTTTCCTGTGCTTTTCTTTCTGCCTTGAGTTTCTTGTTCTGGATCGCTCGGTCTCTGCTCTCTTGCCTTTTCTCCCTTTTCGCCCTGTTTTCTTCCTCTCGACGTGTCTTTCGTTCTTGCGTGGCTGTGTCTTTGCGCGCTTTGGACTGGGCCCTACGCTCATCTTGTCGGCGTTTCTCAACCTGCTCCACCGCTCGGTCTCGAATGCCTTTGGATCGTGCGAATGCAATGCGTTCGAGCACCTTTGTTGATCGGACCTGATGTGCTGCTGCTATTCTGGAGCCCGATAAGGTGGGAGTAGAGTTGTCATTTTCTAAATAGGGATGGGGAAAGTGTTCGATCAGTTGGTGCTGAGCCTGGTGTGCTTCTTCGCGACTTTCGGTTCGTTTAAGGTCGCCTTGCTCACACGCTGGTCGCTCGGCCATCTCCTTCACACAAAATTCGATTCACTCCTGTTGACGAGAGACTGCCGGGATTGAGATACGGATAAGATGGAGTCGAACCGGAAGTAGCGACGCTCACTGTTTCGGTGGATGGTCAAGATACAATGGATGAGGAGCGCTAGAAGCAGTACAATAAAAATAAGGGGGATGATATACTCCGCGAATTCGATGAGGTTGTCGAAAGCCATAGGTGAGGTGACACGAAGAGACAAACAGAAGACGGCTACGGGTCATAGATAATGTTGTTGGCCTCGTCAGCCAAACAGCACCTTGTTATCCAGACAAGGCAGTTACCACCGTCCATCGAGGGCCTCTCTCTAGGGTCGACAAAGCTCCGGCTAGTGGATCTGCTGTCGGCTCATCTTCCAATGCCGGCTTTCAATTTGGTGAGGCCATGGACTTCGATCATGACGGGCGTCTACATGTAACACATGCAGACACCTGACCAATATTCATGGCAAGTGCATCTTTGGGTCGGAGGTTAAGTCAGCTGCCAGGTCCAAGCGGTATTCGATCTGATGCCTCGCTGTACAGTTGCTTGACGTCGTCTTAACAGGGATCAAAGTCAGCGATATTGATGACTGATCGAGGTGTTTGTATTAGGTCAACACGTCGTTAGTCACAGGTCTTTGATCGGTGCCTTGGCCATTGAGGATATCGCCTGATTTCAAGTTTCTGCTCATGCTCTTATCGCCTGTTGTCATTTGCACCCGGCGCCACATTGAACCCAGGTGGAGGAGGGGGCCCGCCTTGATTGATGCCACCAGCAGGTGCGGGACTTGGACCGCCTGGCGGCCCTTGCTGACCTGGTTGTCCTGGGGTTAGGAAAGCGCCTGGTGCCCCTGGAGGAGGAAATTGGAAGTTGGGAGGAAATCCCCCAGGTGGTGGAGGAAAGGGCAAGCCATTGGGAAGGTTTGGAGGAGGAGCGCCAGTGGGCGGGAAGGGTGGAAATGGCATGCCACGACCACCAGGCGGAGGTACTATTCCCCCTGGACCTGGCGGTGGTGCACCAGGCAATCCGAATGGTGGGGGAGGCATTCCTGTGTCAATACAGTGAGAAGAGTCGTGGGCCAAAGTCGAGGATAACATACCTGGGAATCCAGGGAGAGGTGGAGGAAACCCTGGCGCAGCTTGTTGTAGCATTGGGTTTGCTTGTCCTTCGGCAGCGTAAGAAGACGTGATCGAGTCAATGACCGACTGTGCCTTTTCATGACCGATCTCTGTATCTTGTTAATCACTGCCTAGCTTCTGCCGCGCTGTTGATACGTACGCTGATAATATTCCACAACGTTTCTCAGGTGATTTCGACCAGCATTATGCGCCTTGCGCACAGACATGGAGTCATGTGTGAGGTAGACATCACAGTAGTCGCAAAAGAGTGCTGCATATGTCAGTACAAATAGTCAGACGCGGGGAGGTAGGGACTTATATTTAGGCATTTTGGCTGTTGTAGTGGCTCTACCTGAAAACTTAGAGCGACAGAGGCGTATCCAGTGGTGGAAACCAGATCAGGAGCTTGATGGTACTGAGTTGGGTGTTTCTGCGTGCGGTGAAAGTCGATACTTTGATGGTGGAGGAAACAAATCCTACAAAGGCGGTGTAAAGCGGCAGAATTTTCTCTGACCGCGTCTCGGGCGCTGAACTCGCGTCTTCTTTCGTCAAGGTCCCTATTTCTCGACTCCTAGTACACATCCACTCCAGTGCCATAATGCGGTGATTGAGGCAGAAATATCCCTGAGAACCAATCTTTACTTGCTTGCAACAGTTGTGGTCGACATGGCTGACGGTGGAAGCCTGCACAATGTGCCACTCGTGCTGGACAACGGGAGCGGCACCATTCGAGCTGGCTTCGCTGGAACCGATCTTCCTGCGGCCTATTTCCCTTCCTATGTTGGTCGGCCTAAACACGTTCGTGCCCTCGCTGGGGCCCTAGAGGGAGACGTCTTCATCGGCCCCAAGGCACAGGAACTACGGGGCCTTCTCAAAATCAAATATCCGCTCGAGCATGGTATTGTGACCGACTGGGATGATATGGAAAAGATCTGGACATACGTCTACGAACAAGAGCTGAAAACACTCAGCGAGGAACACCCCGTCCTGCTCACAGAGCCACCCTTGAATCCGAGACAAAATCGAGACACGGCCGCCCAGATCCTGTTTGAACAGTTCAATGTCCCGGCCATCTACATGTCGATACAAGCCGTTTTGAGTTTATATGCGAGTGGTCGAACAACTGGTATCGTCCTGGATAGCGGAGATGGTGTCAGTCACGCAGTTCCTGTATACGAGGGATTTGCGATCCCCAGCAGCATACGGAGAATTGATGTGGCAGGAAGAGATATCACAGAATACATGCAGCTGCTCCTGCGCAAAAATGGACATGTCTTCCATACCAGCGCAGAAAAGGAAATTGTCAGAATCATGAAAGAGAAGACAGCATACATCGCCCTGGATCCTCGAAAGGAAGAGAAAGATTGGTCACAAGGAATATGGAAGAATGACAAAAGAGATGTTGAGTACGTGCTTCCAGATGGACAGAAAATCAAGATCGGAGCAGAACGTTTTCGGGCTCCCGAAATTTTGTTCGAGCCAGATTTGATCGGGTTGGAGTATCAGGGCATCCATCAAATGGTAGTGGATGCCATCAACCGGACAGACATGGACCTCCGCAAGAACCTTTTCGGCAATGTTGTCCTCAGTGGCGGTACGACCCTATGTAAGGGGTTCCCGGACCGACTTCTGTATGAGATGCAACGGCTGGCGGTCAAGGACATGCGCATCAAGATCTATGCACCCCCTGAACGAAAATACAGCACCTGGATTGGTGGTAGCATCCTTGCTGGGTTGAGCACGTTCAGAAAGGTGAGTGATCAACAAAATTTTTCGCCTTTGGCTCATCACTAATGACGATTTACCAGATGTGGGTTAGTATTGACGACTGGCATGAGAACCCGGACGTTATCCACACCAAATTCACTTGATCGAGCATCGCCCAGAGGTATGCTGCTCGCGCCATCGTGGCTGGGAGTTCGCGCACTCGGCTTCATACGAGACCGGCTCACGAAACGACGAGCATCTAGCGGTGAGACCAAAAAGACGAGTGAAAAAATCTTTTTGTGTCAGGCACTACCGGCAGCGCGCCATCAACGCATCATGTCCAGCGTCATGGAGAGGCCAATTTTGGACCTGCTGATCCATGACACCTTGGGCCACCGTCTTGGACAACTGCGGGGAAGTGCCGAGAATCCGGGGATGGGCTAGCCCTCGGTCGTCAACTGGCTCTGGAAGCACCATCCGGATCGAGGTATACCGGACAAGGAACCCGAAGGCGAATTTTTACTTCTGGTTCATGGCCAGGGCGAGATCGTGCCGGTCCTTCTCAGGGGTAATCGACAAACACGTGTCGGATTGTCAGGACGACAAGTAAGCGAACAAGAGGACAACAAAGGATATACTCGTACAGGGAGAGGAGAATTATGGGAAGGAGGCGAGGGTTGTTGTCAGGGGCCCCGGGCTTCAGCGGTTAGCGATGCACCCGGAATACCTTCAAACACCACCCAAGGACTGGAGAAACAAAGCAATCTATTACCCCCAGGAAACGACGGTCCCCGCTCTGGAAGCCAGACGATTACCCCATAGATTGCTCGGAGGGCCACGCGTGGCGGAGGATCAGGCCAAAATGGGTGGAAATGAGGCTGGGCATGACTAACGGATTCTCCCAGCTGGACAGGAGGACGAATCTCGTGGTCAAGCTGACGTCTTGGTCCAGCCAATCATCACGTCGCTGGTGACTCCGCCCGAGGAATTTTCCACGAGAGACTTTCGCCATCGCGCAGCTTCCGCCCATGATCCAAGTAGCCGTCAGTTGTCAGCTGTCCGTCACCTATTCTTGCACAATCCTGCACCACACCGTGACCACTTTTGGTTCCTCTTGGTATTCCTTGTTGCCTTGTGAAATATCCACCATGCTACCGTGTCACATTTTTCACCTTATTCATGACGCCAGTCTTGGTTCAGTTTCCCGCTTCTTTGTGTCGCCATCAGCCCTTTTGACCCCATCGTGACCTGCAAATTTGCACCTTCGCGCTTTGCAGTTAACGGCAGGCCTGTCTTAACCTTGGCCGACACTTTCCAGTTAACTGCAAAGTGTGAAAAGGTGTTGGGTTTCTATCGAGTAATGGCCCCAGAATTCACACGTTTCATGGCCCTCTATGGTCCTCTTCTTTGCCAGTGACCTGTGCCCCTTCAGCCCGTCCCCTCCTTCCCCTTGCTTGCGTCTTGACTGGGGATCGTCGCGTCAACTGGTTCCCCTGTCGACCGTATAGAAAAAATTTTCTCTGTCAGAGTGGTCCGTGATCTGTATATAATCACCTGGTCCCCATTAGTGTGTAGGGTTGTACTCGTGACAGGATTCATATTTCCAACCAACCCCCCCAAGAACTCAAGTTGCCTATTACTACTACCACTAAAGTACCAAAGTACCTTTTGACAGAAGCTCATGGTCATTTACTGAACCGTGCGGGAAAATACCTCAACCAACCAAGCAACGAGACTACAAGTTTCTTTGCTTTTTTGTGACTGTCACCTGACGACCAAATTGAGAACCAAATAGAAAAATCCATTTCTGGCTTGCGGTCCGCCAACGCGTCATAGCCAATCATAAATACTTCTGGTCAACACCCGCCACAGGGCGACATAAAAGGAAGGTCACAAGCATCGCATTCACCAACAGAATCAAACAATAAATTAAAGACAACAAGTACACAAGTTCAACAAGCAAAGCACACTCACACAACATACAAATCACAAAAATGTCAGTCTCATCAACATCACGATCCTACGCCATCGTCGAGCCACACCCCTCGGTGACCAACAACATGCACTACATCTCCACGGGGCGAGGAGGTATCGGCAACGCCGTGAGATCCTCGGCGAGCAATTCCTCCGCATGGGGTAGCGGGCCCAGCACCAGCAGCGGGCGGATCGGATCGCTCTCGTCGACAGCGTCGTCGACGCTGTCCAGCTCCAGAAAGACCTTCACGACCGGCCGCGGCGGCGCGGGCAACGTGGTCCCCAGCTCCGAGCGTGCCATCTTCAGCTTCGACGAGGAACTCGAGCAGCAGCTGCGCTGGGAGCGCGACGCCGCTCCCGTGTACCACGTCGGCAGGGGCGGGGCTGGCAACATCGGCCACGTCCACGGCAGCAATAACAATAATAACACCGCCACATCGGCTCTCGCTGGCACCACGGGCGGCTCCGTCATGATGGCGCGGCGGCCGAGCGAGGACAGCGCTATCTCGGCCACCAGCTCCAGCTCGCGCGGCAGCGAATCTGGCGCGGACCAATTCAACCGCAGCGTCAAGAAGGGGTGGAAGAAGATCACCGGCATGGGCATGCACCACCACCATCTCCAGCATTAGCCGCCTTGCCCTTAGTGGGTGACTGACAAAGGGATTGGGTGGCCATGCCATATCCCCGACTCGCCTCCTCTCTCATTCTTTTTTTTTTCTTTCTTACTTGGTCAACATCACATCATCAACATCAACATCATCAGCATCCTTGCGCGCACAACATCGCATCTCCTCTCTGCATCTCTATTACAGCATAGCTGGACGGATGGACGGAGTTCCACAACAACATCGAGGCGCGATCTGCTTTTTTCTTTTTCATATACCCCAGATGGCGCTGACGTTGACGATGATGATTACGACGACGACCAATCAACAACAACAATAACAACGAAACCATCCGGATGACGATTGAACGAAATATCTCCTTTTAATTATCCTCTGTTTTATTTGACGACAAAGCACCGCTTTCTCTGCTTTTTTCCCACCAACAACGATTCAGGCGTGGCGTTTCTGGAGAATTTCTTGTGGGGCCTTTCCTATTACTTACTGCATGCATGCATGCATGATCATTGGCAAAGGGGGTTCATCGGACACAACAAACACACGCATACATGCATGGCATGCGCGGATGGACAAGACAGGCATGGAAGGGAAAGGGTACGGTAACGGGGTGCATGGTGGGCGAAAGGGGGAAACCAAAAAATACTCGAGCTCCTGACAATTGTCTTGCTGTAACCAGATATTCCTTATGAGCTACCTACCTGCCTTTTTGTCATCATGGCCTCTATCCACGGGGTACATGCTCGATACCAATAAGCAACATCATTGCAAAGGCACTGTATTTCATCTTTCTTCAACGTTTTCATAAGCATGTCTCATTCCACTCTCCTCTCGACTCCCTGCCTACTGACTGTAAGGTACTTGACGCCTTTGTAAGGTCGAACGCCGTCACCCAGTCCCTTGGATTTCTTCACATCGACCACCAAGCTGTCGACTTTGATCCCACTCGGTAACCATCCTTTAACGCTGAACGAGACCGAGATTGAACGTGGCATTAGTGCTTTAGTTGCTTGTGTCCTCTTGGATTTGCCGTTGCCTGATGGGTCAGGTGTCGAGCTATGATTGGTAACCACATCTTCGTGGTAGTATCCTGCCATAGTGTTCTGTTTCCCGATTTCGGCGGCTTGTGCCTCTTCGTCTAGGTCATTTTGCGCGTTGAAAGCTCCTGCAACTGTGCCCGTCAATGTCGCCGTTCCGTTGATCGATGCTCCATCTTTCGTAGGAACTTTCCATTCGACCACCTTGTCGAACGCATTAAACGTAGCCTCGCCTCTTGAAGCCTTCAGTTCAGTGACACTTCGCACATCTGATGGAAATGGTATTGTGACCATCACCGCTTCCAGGGTAGGGGCACTAGAGCTGCCAACACTAGATCCGCCAAACGATAGAGAAGATATCGGGCCTGAGCTTGTCCGGGAGGCGCTCGGTTTGGTCGTTGAAGCAACCCCGGGGAAGTTGTTAGTTAGGGTCAGTTTGGCCTCAAAGTCGGACCCGGAACCACCAAGTCCGCCTCGCAGATCTACAGTGGCCGGTAGGAACAACTTGTCACTTTTGCTAGGAGGTTGGTCGCTGTCGAGGGAGGACGGCATCAGGTCTGTCTCATAACCTGCAAGCATGAAACGACCGTCTGGTGGGACAAACGACAACTCTCCGGGGTGTTCTTTCCATCTCGCTAAGCGGACACAGGGGTGGAAAACTGGTAGTTGCATAGTACGCACAATTCCCGCGGTTTTGGCACTGCTGGTGCCTCCAGGGGCGGTTAATACCAAAAGCAAATCGGGTACCCCGGATATTTTGGCAGTGAAGGCGATCGACCCATGTGAGCGCGCTGATATGGGGCGACCCGAAGGGGCAAATATGACTGACAAGCTCTCAATGATATCGACATAGAGCTCATTAGAGGTGTGTCTGACATTTGACTTGCGCCACGGAATTGCCGGTCCTACAGGAGGCGAAGCCGTCCTACGTAGGCTTGAGGAGAAGCTGCTCGACGGTCCAAGGGCAGGCGAAGCCCTACGAGAATCAGTACCACCGATCTTTGCGAAACACGGTCCAGAACGTACCCAGGCAGTCCCACATGTGTGAACAACTTTCCCAGCACTGAAGACACTTCTACCGACTCTCTCAGCGCATTGGGTTCGGTGTTACATATTATGCCTCCATCACACATCTCACTCAATAACTGGGCGACAATCTCATAGTTGTCTTCGATCTTCGTGGTCAGGAGGGGGCTCCCGAGAAAGTCCTCGAAGACATCGAGGACCCGTTGAAGGAAATCAAGGATGGCCAACGACTGTGCATCTTTGCCAGATACTGCAATCAGCTGAAAGGTAGAAGGAGATATCGAGTATGCTGTGGTTGGCGGGGCAAAGTCGGAGAGTTGAAGGACTGATGGTCGAGGTCCAGTTCTCGCAGTCAAACCGGCGATGAGGGCCTGTGCGGATGGTGGACGACCTCCATAGACGTGTTCGAGGACGCAGTTGCTTGCAAAAGGTCAGCAAAGTGGTTTACCAGAGTGAACTAGAAGCACGCAGCCTACTTGTGATCATCAAAGACGTAGAGCGCGTCAATAGTGACGCTCATATTGAGGGGGAAGATGCATCAAGTCGCAGCCCGACGCATGGTGGGCATTTGATGCCTTGTTCTCAACTGCGCCGCCAAATCCCTTGCCACTTTAACCATCATCACAACTGACAACCCCTCGTCGTATCTATCGGGCGCAACGACGCACCCCCAACATTGCTTTTTCCCCCCTTCTCTGTATCACCACCAGAGGGACTACTTTGCAACATCCAATCCAGCAAGGAGCGCAGATGCAACCTGACAAGCCTAGTTCTGCTGTTGGCCGCTGCTAGGATGCAGTTCAAATCGGGAAAGTGTTGAGTCAGTCTAATGTCGCAGCTCAGGGTCCGGAACGTCTAATCTACTCGTACGGCATCTCCTCCAAGCGAGCTGAACTGGCAGCCTGCTTATGCTAGCATGAAACGGGATATCAGTGCCATCGTGGCGTCAAAATCGATGAACGACAACCTTCACTTCAGCCCTGCAGTCTATACCTGTGGCATGACTGGCGGGAAGAGGCCTGGTTGAGAATGGTGTATCCCTGCTCAACACTTCAGCTTAATCCCTGTACGAACAGGCATAGCTCTAGACTTCCAAGCCCGCACATCCGGGAAACATTTATCGATGAAGTTGCGCTTAGAATATGCCTGCCATGCGACGCCCGTAGCCTCTCCGCCAAAGAAGCCAGCCACATACACGCCAGTACAACTGGGGATTGAAGCGGTTGCCCAATCTGACTAAATGCCCAACCTGGTTGGACACGATGCATTGCCTGTGGCCTCAGGCCCCCGAGTCCCATTCATAGAGCCACCAGGCTACCCACTTCCCGTTTCTTAGATATTATCGGTGAACCGAGCAGACCAGCCCTCCCGCCGCCATACAAAGCAACACACGGTTCGACTGAGTAAATAGGCCAGGTAGTACAATGGCCATCTCACAACCATATAAGCTAAGGCTGGCCCCTTCTATCTGTACTCAGCCGACTCTCCTTGCAACAACCTGACTACACACTTGAAGCGATTCCCACCGTCACAGCTGTTGAACAAGCCTCAACCGCCATGGGTATCAAAACACTGTTTCCAGCTTCCAGCCAAAGGCCTCGATCCCAGTACTCCATTGCAGGAAATATTGGATCTGGCAAGAAGACCGGCTTCGGCCCCTTTTCTGGATCTGACATTGCTGTACGTATATTTCTATACAGAGTACGAGGTACTCTCTCACGGTACTGGAACTAACCAGTCCTCGCCACTATAGCTTCTCAAGGACAATTTCACCATAAAAACTTGGCTCCTGTTGGGCGGCGCTATTCAGATCCTTCTCTCTTTCATCTTTCCTCGATCTTATCTCGCCTTCCCTGTTCTGCTCGTCTTGGGTTGGAACATTGTCGACGCTTTCTTGATGCACTTTGGTCTCAAGAAGAACGTCTGGGCCGAGGGCGTCATTGACGGCAAATGGAGCGTGGGATATCCTTCCGAGGGAGAGACAGAGGTGGTTCACGGCAACCCTGGCGACAATGGCCCACGCGCAGTCATGATTCTCGGAGCAAGGAGCAATTCACCAATGGGCTTATTTGCTGACGGTGAGCATAAGTTCTTTTGTCTGATATCAGCGGGAGCTGACTGTTTTATGTGTCAGGTTACAAGGAAGTAGCCGATCGGTTTCGGGACATGCTTGTACAACTGGAGGACACCCGAGAAGAAAGTGGCTGTGAGTGGCTTGCTTTCTCCTTTCCGCACGCGTGTGTTTTGTCCACTGACTCTCTTCAGTCATGGGCATGTCGACTTGGATCAATGGGGGCGAACGATCCACAAGCAATGAACTCGCCACCATTTCCTACTGGCGCTCGATCGAGGACATTCACGATTTTGCGCTGTCGCCGGTCCATCGTGAGGCCTGGAACTGGTGGAACGACACCGTGTCAAAGCACAAGCACGTCGGCATCATGCACGAAATCTTTGCTCTCCCCGAACGTCAGGGCTGGGAGGGTATCTATATCAACTACCACCCGACGGGGCTAGGAATGACGACGCGACCAGTCGAGGCAGCCGAAAAGGGAGGCGAGAAGGTTTGGATCAACCCTATCGTGGATGCCAGCCGGGGCGTCTACCGAACAAGTCGAGGACGGATGAGCAGGGGAGACCCCGAGGGGAAGAGCAACGACAAGGTGGCCAAGAATCCCTATGGTCAGGCTGTCCTCGTGAACTAGGCGGCGATTGTGTACCAAGTACAAGAGACACAACAAGAAGTGGAAGCAGAACCGGCGGCGGTATTCTGCATTGCACCACTCCTTTCTGGAGAGAAGCTCATTTTCCCGATTAACTCTGTGGACAGACACATTTACCCAACCCCAACTTTGACATTCTCAAGCCATGACTCTCCCCTCTTCGCGCTCTTCTACTTGACATGCACCAGGTCTTTCGTGCCACCCTCTCCAGCTTTCAGTGTCGCCGAGCTCAGCCTCGTTGATGCGCCAGCAGATGCTGTCCCGCAATCAGGGCAAAGACCAAGCCGCCGCCACCGACGGTCACCTTTGCGAGGTCGGAGAGTGGATCGCCGCCGCCTAGAGAGCCGACGAGCACGCTGGCGACGTCGATCGTGTCGACGACCAGGCCGAGCCACACGGCCGAGTGCAGGGCAGATTCCCTCTCGGCCAGTCGAAGGGCAGCTAGACCACCGCCAATGCCGTGACCATGGCCCTGCTCGAGGCCCGTGCCAACTCCTGACGACAGCGATGTATTCCCATCCTTACTGACATCCACACCCCCCACCACAGACGAATTAACCTTATTATTGAACAGCAATGGCGTCCTGGTCAGCCGCTCCTCCCCCGCTCCAGCAGCCACAGGGGCACCACTCTTCGCCATCGAACCGACCTCACCATCTTCATGCTGCTGCTGCTGCTCCTGTTCCAACCCCCTTACCCTCTTCCAGAGGTACGCCCCCAACACGACGTCCCTGACCCCGACCATGCGGCCGAGGAGCACGCCTTCCGGCCCCGGCGCGAGGGGGATGCCGAAGAGCGTGCCGGCGGGGCGCGGGACGAGGAGGCACGTTGCCCCGATGAGCACGCGCAGGGCCGAGAGGGTTTTGAGCGTGAGGGGAGACATGGTTTGTTCTTTCTCTCTTCTTAGTTATCGGTATCCTTTTGAAGTCGATATCGGAGATGGGGGTAGAGATACCCAAGGAACCCAAGGTAGGTAGGACGATAGGAAGATAGGAAGTAGCCAGGTATGGCCTCGCGTGTGGAGTGACCGGCCGGGTTGGTGTAAGGTCTGAGAGAATCCTCCGTGGCGAGGGCGGGAGAGCAAGACTGCAGAACGGAAAGAAAAAGAAAAAACAAATGGAGAAAATTGCGTCCCTTTTTTCCTTTGTTCGAAATCTATCATCGTCTTCGTCACCTTCGTCTACATATACATACTCAGACATGGACTGTTCGAGGCATTTGAGTCGCTCTCGTATCTCGTATTCACCGCCACAATGTGAACCATAACGTAAGGGGCGCATATGTTATGCGTGTATGTGTTCAACCCATCCATCCAACTCATCAGCCTGCCTTCTAGCTGCCTGGCCTTGAACCAGAAGAAGTCTAGGGAACAGGGAACGGGAGACGGGACACAGGGAACATGGAACAGGGATGGAATACTTCTCAACATAACGATTCTCGTCTCTTCTTTTCCAGGTCATTCGTCTTGCTCTGCGCTAATGTACACATCGCACACCCACGTATCATGATATACCGTGGTACAGCTGTATGCTCTGCCTTTGATTGTTCCCACCCCTCAAACGTCGAAAGACATATGCTCGCTCCCACACCATGTGCATGGTTGATGCAAGAAGACGCGCAATGCTCATGCCGGAATCGTAACACAGACAAACAGACAGTCAGAGGTATCCTCCCACCCTCGTCTTCGCATAACTTGACCAAATCCCAGCCAATGTTTTGATCCCGCGTCACTCTATCAACACCCCTTGCATGGTAGAGATACCTGTGATGCACTGTTTCATATCAAGTAGCCGAAACCCCGTAGCGTCCTGATCAAACGTTGCCGTCATAACCACAGAAAAAGTAAAACTGGTTAATTTAAGAATACTGGTCATGTGCCCTTTATTTCTTCTTCCCCTTCGACTTGGTGGCTGTTGGCGTCGTCGATGAGACACTTTGTGCTCGAGAGGTTGACGGAGAAGTCGCTTTGCTACCACGACCAGATTTGACAGCCTTGACCTGCTTGTTCTGAACAATTGTTAGTCGGAGCATGGCAGGTGTAATCATCTTGTACATACCACAATACCATTCTTCGCCTTCTTCTTGACAGGAGGAGCTTCACTGTCATTCTCCTCGTCTTCCTCGTCGTCCCGGTCACGACCTCGTCCTTTCCCAGGAGCGTGCCCATTTGTGAGCTTCTCTTCGGTTTCTCCAAACTCTCTGGAGACGGTATTAAGCAATGTGGTACAACGTCGACCAATTTCCACAGGCGTTCTGCTGAGGAAAAACCAATCGAACCGGAACAGCGGCGATTCCCGGATCTCATCACGGATTCTCTCATACAACCCTTCCCCGTCCACACCGTATTTGTCAAGCATGACCAGGAGGAAGCGGTCTTCTTCCTCTGTATAGACCTTCTTGTTGGTCGTCGAAACCGTATAGTTGATCTTCAGCTGTTGCAGCGGCACTCGGTACATCTCCATCTTCTTCCGCAGCATCTTTCGTTGCCGTTCAGTCTTTCGCAGCTTTTCTTCCCCGGCCTCAATGTTCTTGATATACTTGTCGAACTCGGCGATTTCCGTGTATCTCTTCCAGAAGACTTTGGCGTACTTTTCGACCTCGTCTGGTTCCTTGCTGTCGACTTCGGTCGCAATTCCTTCATAGTTCGTTCGGCCAAATTTGGCAGACCCGTTGATGAATTGTTGGAAATCACGCCGATTCCAGTTGCCGAACCCATGCTCCTGCATCTCTGCCTTGAGTTGTTTCTCTTCCTCGGTCAGCGGCTCCGCGTTGTCTATCTCATTCTGAGCTAGCCGCTGATCAGCCTCCCGGTCGCTCAGGTCTTCTTCGGTACCATCGGTGAGGGGCACCTTGAAACCGATTTCTTTGTGATAATAGGCCGTCTCCTTTTCCTGGAGTTCTTGTAGACCTGGAGGGAAGAATTGCCAATCGTGCACGACGACCTGTTTTGGTGCGCGTGGAATCTTGGGTTTGGTGTCAGCCGGTCGTCCACCCGTCGACAAAGCCTGCTTGTAGTACTTGTCCATCGAGTACGACTGTTCCTTTCGTTCACGTTTGCTAGGATTGATCCAGTGCAAGCTGATGTCTTTTTTGCGGTTGGTGAAATCTTCACCATTCCACTCGTAGGCATTCTCAGAGGAAAACTTCTGGAGGTCGTCGATCCCGAGTTTCTCATATTTGGCGCTCAGTTCCGCAGTTCGAGCTTCACCACGTCGCAGAATCTCGTCAATGTCGTCAAGTTCTCCTGTGGTGCCCTTTGTCTCGAATACTTTCTCCGCGCCATGTTGAATCATAGTCAACAGCTCATCCTTTGAGGCAGCCTGCTTGACTTGCTGCTGCGCACGCCCTTGCTGAATGACAAGCTGGTCCAGACGTAACTTTTGAGCAGCTCTCTCAAGCACCTTTTCTTCAATGGCGTTTTCCGTTACAAACCGGAACACCACCACTTGCTTAGTCTGACCAATACGGTGTGCTCGGTCCATTGCCTGCAAATCTGCTTGCGGATTCCAATCGCTGTCGTAGAGAATAACAATGTTGGCCGAGGTCAGATTGATGCCCAACCCGCCAGCTCGGGTAGTGAGAAGGAAGACAAACTTCTCCGAGCCTGGTTTGTTGTACTCGTCGATGGCGGCAATTCGATCCTCATGTGCGGTTCCACCGTCAATACGACAGTACTGATGGCCTCGGAACACGCAGTAGTCTTCGAGAATGTCGAGCACTCTGCTCATCTGGGAGAATATCAAGACTCGGCTTCCCTCATCCTTCATTCGCTTCAGGATTTTGTCCAGGATGATCATCTTACCAGAGTTGAAGACGAGATGCTCATCCGTGGTGTAGGGAGGACCCGGTTCAGCACCTTCGAAAAGATAGGGATGGTTGCAGCATTTTCGCAGTTGCATGACAATGTTCAAAAGTCTCGTCTTTGATTCTCGCTTGCCTCCTGCACCGTTGACGGCGTCAATGTCCTTCTCCAAAATCTTTTTGTACCATTTCACCTGCATCTCGGACATGCCGACGTAGAGGTTCACCTCTTTCTTCGGCAGCAGGCTCTTCTCAACATCGCTCTTCACTCTCCGAAGCAGGAACGGTCGCAAAACACGATGGAGCTGTTGAACCACTGTATCTTGGTCTTCATTCTGGCTAGAGAACCAGGAATCGAATGCCTCAGAATCGCCAAATACGTCAGGCAGCAAGAAATTGAGGAGGGCCCACAGTTCGTGCAGATTGTTCTGGAGGGGAGTGCCGGTAATCAATAGTCTGTTTCGCGAGCTAAACATTCGGATGATCTGTGCAAGTGAGGACTCTTCGTTTTTAATTCGATGGGCTTCGTCGACAATGATGTATTCCCACGCAAATTTCTTCAGGTGAGACTTTTCTCGAAGGATCATCTCATAACTTGTAATGCATACATCGAATTTCTCATCAATTAAACGTTCATTGATCAAGGCATGGCGGTCTTCTTTTGCGCCCTGTAGGACCAAGACATCGACGTCAGGGGTCCATTTCTCGAATTCTCGACGCCAATTGTCGAGTGTGGACTTGGGGACTGTGATGAGATGTGGACCTTTTATGCCACAGATGTGTCGCAAGTACCCGAGGAAGGAGATTGTCTGCAGTGTCTTACCAAGACCCATCTCATCTGCGAGGATACCACTAATACCGTTCTCGTGGAGAGAAATGAGCCAATTGAGACCTGCAACCTGATAGTCACGCATCTCGCCACCCTTGATAAAGGCCGGCGAGTCTCTGAAGACAGTCTGGGAAGCCGTGCCGCGCTTCTCATCTCTGAGGAGTTCAGCATCCTCCTCCTGTTCGGTCTTTCGCTTGGCTGCACCGGCTGCGCCGCCTTTGCGGGACACGACCTTTCTGGCCTTTGCCTCCTCTTCAGCATTTTCTTGATCGATCTGTTGCAGAACTTCTCTGATCTTGGGATTCGGACTCGCATCAATGAAGTGTCGGAAGAGGTCAGTCAGGCCTAGCAAGTACCTGAATCTCCGCAGGGTATCGTCTTCCTTGGACTCGTCCAATTGGCCATGTTTCTTTCCCAGAATGCTTTTCCGGAGCTGGAATGCTTCCGAGCGCTTCTTGCGACCATCGGCCAGTGGAATGTCTCCAGCCACGCTGGAGGCGGTGGTGTTGGGATTTGTATCGGAATCGGTGTAGTCGGGGGTATCGTCAACGGGGCGATTGAGGTGACCAAAGGACGGTCTATGGGGGCGTATGTAGTCAGGACCGTCGGTCATTGGAGTGTCTGCTACAGACGAGGTTTCTGAGTCGGGCTGTTGTGGCTTTGAAGGAGCCATGGTGGACAGGGTTGAGGGGTGTGGCCGCCGCGGCCGTGGCGGAGGGAATAGTTATAGTTCAGTGAATGTAAATAGTTCTGACGCGACTTCTGCTGGTGGAAACAGGAAGAATCCTGGGGTGGCGCGAAGCAGAGCAAAGCGCGATGGCAACGTGTCGTGCAGGCAGAGGGAGAGTTGTCAAACAGAGGAATTGACAAGAATAAAAAGACATGGAGGGAGGGTGTGGAGAGAAGAATGAACGTCTCTACCATGCCTGCAAACGCGCTGCGATTGCCTCTGATTGGCCGCAACACGTCCATGGTTCGGCTTAGATGCCTTGTTGATATCTCCACGTGACTTGGATTTTTTCGTAATCGGAGCAACACATCCACCCGAGCCACAGTGTCACGGGGACTGACACTTCACATCTGCTCTCGGGTCCTGTTTCATTCCAGCTGCCCAACCACAACTACTCCTCTTGCAGCAGCTTGTCTACCTCTGTAAACAGATGAGGAACTCATCTGGCTGAGACTCACCACTTCTTTGTCACTCTTTTTCTATTCTGCCGGTTGAAGGAATTCTTTTGTCTTCAGGCTCGGCACCAAAACAAACCCCTCCTCCATCGTCTCGTAATCAAGTCTTTGACCATCGACTCGAGGCATCGCTCCGACACCACTCAGTCTTTTGCAAGAGCCTCTTCGAGTGTTCATCATGGACTCGATGAGGTCTCTCAACACCTCACTCCCCTCAACTCGACCTGCACCCCCCGAACAACTCCTCCAAGCCTTTCGAACCGCTGCGCTCTCCGTCACAAACCTTTACAAGTCGGCAGTCACAGATCAGAATGCCAGTCGCCAAGCTGGGTACCAAGATGCTTTGGAGGATCTACTCAGTTTCCTGGATAAAGAGAATCTCGGTCTACAAGATGGTGAGGGCTGGAGGGTGAGGCAGTGGGCTACCGAAAGATATGAGGGGTCTACCCACCACCACCAAATCGAAAGCGACGATGAGAGAAGCGAACCCGGGCAAAGACAACGAGCCATCTCTCCAGCAGTGGAACAACCCGTCTCGACCTCAATACTACCTCAGTCTGGACCTACAAGGGCAGAGTCGGGTACCCAAACCGAGGAGCCACAAATTTCTCTGTCTCAGGAGCAACCGACGACGACACCCATGTTTTACTTTAGTGGAAATACAGCCTCGACACCGCATGACGATATGCAAACAGATGAGGACAGTGGCGCGGCGCCAGAGCCCCAGGCCTCTTCATCAACATCAGGTAGTACGAGCCGAGCCACTTTTGTAAACAACCGAGGAAGTCGCACGCCCCATCGAAGCAGCAATCAAAGACACGGAACACGATCATCGACACGAGAGTTTGCTTTCACAGCTGGTACGAAGCGCAAATTCCAGATACCCGACTTTTTTGACATTTCCAACATCGGACCGAGGGAAGGATTCGAGAGCAGCAAGAAGGGAAGGATTTCATGACCTTTGGCCGCACACGCCGGTTTGTGTTTTCGGCGCCATGATCATCTTTCAGCTCTAGTGCATGAAACGGTATATTCTTATGAGGACATGACCATCAGCATGGCGAAGTTTTAGTTGCAGTAGAGTACATTGATGTTTTGGCTCATTTGAGCGCTCTAGACAGACAGATAGTCTCCGGGGTTGAGATTCGCCCCTAATCCTGATTGACTCCTGAAACCATTTGCTTTGTTACATATGCGGACCAGCTTGTTGGCTGTGAACACTGACAGACGGGCTCGATTAGATAAACATGCGGTAAATCCCCAAACCCATGAGCGTTGCGGACAATGATATGATGCCCAGCTGGCGCGAGCCGTATTTGTACTTGGACTTGCTGAGTTCGATGACCTTTTGCCGAGCGCGAAGTTGCTGCATCCCCGAGAAGTATGTGTAGCCGCCTAGGGCCACGAATGCTGTTGAGCCTGGAAGGGAGGAATCAGTCAGCTGTCTGTGCTCTGTAGTGGTCGGAGTGAAGTCTGTTTGATAGCCACATACCGAGAATCCTGCACGAGAGACAATCCTGCTTGTCGAATGCTCTGGGATCTTCGAATTCGGGGAACTTGTCCTCTTTTTTGAAAACCATTTTTCTTGCTGGAGAGCTTTGGGCTCCCTAATCACATTTTATATGGGAGAAATGACGTTGATGCTCTTCAGGCTCATGGTGTTGGTGAAGGAAGCAGTAGGCACCACTGGTGGTCTACCTCATACAAAAGCAGCAAATACGCCAAGAGAAGTTTGTTGACTTTGCCAAAGCGAGATACTCACGCATAATGTACGAGGCACGAGTATCTTTGCACCGAGTACCTCGTACACATGTACTTTGCTACAACGCAATGCCTACACCCTATCATGATCGGATGACTACCAGCCCCTCGCTGTAAATGTATGTGCATGGGTACAAAGTCCCCCCTCCCTCCAAGTTTCATTACCCTCACAGAGGCGGCTACATGGCTGCGTGTTAAGGCACAGAGCCTGCTACTGTACATACATACAGTACCGATCTCAATGGTCTGCTGGTGTACGTGTGCCATCATAGTTGATACGCTGAATTTCTAGACCAAGCACGTATTATGTGTTTGTCTACATAAGTTTTAGACAACGCTGAAGACTCACAGTGCATTTGCTCGAATTTCCGTATACTCCAATAGCAGTTGATGTTCGATTGCTCTCCAAATACAACGGATTCTAGGACTGCAGTATACCACCCAACTCGACACAGCCTTAAATATGGCTCGACCATTGGCAAAGACAGACAGTATCGTCATTGTTGGCGCAGGGGTGTTTGGCCTGAGTACTGCTCTCCACCTAGCAGCGAGAGGCTATACCAACGTCACTGTCTTTGACGTACAGCCCTATGAAACTACAAAGTATGACTACATCTCAGGCTGTGATTCTGCTTCTGCCGACATGAACAAGATTATCCGGTCTGCATATGGCGAACAAACAGAATACCAAGACCTTTCTAGAGAAGCTATCGAGTGCTGGGAGGAGTGGAACCAACAGATCAGCACGGGCAGATGCGTGCCTGACGGAATGACTAGAGCAGATAAGGTCTTCATCAACAACGGCCATCTCTCGTTGACTGACCGAGATGAACTTCCGGAATTTGAGAAAGCAACCATCAGAAATATGGAGCGAGCGGGCTTTAACGACACACAGCTCATCACAACTGACAGCCAGCACGAGGAAATTGCCATTGAGAGAGGCTTTGGCTATGCAATGGATCCCTTTGAACGCAAATCAAAAGGCAAAAGCTACCTCGGTGTTCTAGACACGACCGGCGGGATCGCAATTGCAGATAGAGCGTGTCGTTTCGCCCTGCACAAGGCAAAGGAGATGGGTGTTCGCTTCGTCCTGCATCCTGACGCCGGTCGTTTTGAGGCATTCTGCTACGACGATCGACAAAAAGTTGCGGGGATTAGGATGAGAGACGGCCAAAAACACCTTGCATCGAAGGTCATTATGGCGTGCGGTGGGTGGACACCATCACTGATCCCAGACCTCGACGGTATCTGCGAAACGACAGCTGGGTCAGTGGTGATGTTGAAAATCCCACCAAAATCACCTCTTTTCGAACGGTTCGATCCAGAGAGGTTCCCGTCTTGGTCATATAGAATGCGAGATGGGGCCATTGGTGGTCTCTATGGCTTTCCCCGAGATGAAAGAGGGTACATGAAGATTGGGTATAGAGGCACCAAATATACCAATCCTACGATACAATCAGACGGCAAGGAGCGCAGTGTGCCCGTCACAAGATATACAGCCGTTGAGAAGATTACCCAACTCCCCAAGCAAGCGTTGACAGTCGTCAAGTCTTTCATCAGAGAGTTTCTCCCAGAAATGGTCGAGGAAGGGATCGATATCCAGTTGACCCGACTATGTTGGTACACGGACTCTTTCGACAACCACTATCTCATCGACACCTTGCCTGGTCAAGAGTCGGTGCTGGTCGCGACAGGCGGCAGCGGACATGCCTTCAAGTATCTTCCCAATATTGGCAAGTGGGTAGTCGACATCATCGAGGGAGTTGATATGGATCGCCAATTGGTCAGAAGTTGGAAATGGAGGACATTGCAAGCAGGTCAACAACCTGTGAATGTTCTCATGGAGGGTAGTAGTGGTTCCAGAGCGCTCAAGAACGTGGAAATGTCTACCGACGATGATTTGAAGCTATCTTCTTGATCTGGTTGAGCATGACATTGGCCCAGAGCATTACTCAACTCAACACATTTGCTACCTCGAAGCACAGAACTACTGAAGCTGGTGACTCAGTGCCCGGAGAAGCCCGAAACTGCTGAGAAAGTTCTCGGAGATGGGCTACATCAAAGGGCGTGTAGGTCCAGCTTATGTCTACAACAATGGAAACAATATCATGGTAGAAATCGGTCGAGTCAGAGCTAGACGCACGAGACCGCCAAATTGGCTTTGATATGTCCAACGCCGCCACCACCAAGCCGCTTGTTGTGGCTCTCGGAGATCCAAAATATGTCGGTGATGAATTCCTGGCAGAGTTCAAGCGGGAATTCGATTTCGAGGTAACGAGTCTTCAGAGGCGTATGGTGGCCGACTCTCTAATCGCAAAAGATCCTCCCAGCAACAAATCGGCAGGAAACCCAGGATCTCCTCCCGAAATTCATAGCGAGCTCTCGTCCGGTCGATGCCTTTATCATCCGTATGGGCACCATCCCCTACGAGCCGTTCGACGAGGGTCTTCTAGGCAGCTTGTTGCCTCAATGCAAGATCATCACCTCTGCTTCGGCGGGCTTTAATGAGTTTGATGTCGACTGGATGACGCGGAATAATGTCTGGTTCTGCAACACTCGCGACGCCGTCGCTGAAGCGACAGCAGATATGGCCATTTTCTTGACCCTGGCAGTGCTGAGAGATACTACCCGAAGCGAGAAGAGTGCCAGGACTGGCAATTGGAAGCAGGGCCTTGTTCCCAGTCGAGATCCAACAGGGTTGACGCTCGGGATCGTGGGTATGGGGGCGATTGGAAAGGTGGGCGATACTGCTCGATGAGTTTGGGGGTGTCAACGCTAAGACTGATTGCTAGTATACGGCAAAGAAGGCCTCGGTCTTCAACTTCCGAGTCAAGTACTACAACCGCAATCGACTCCCCCCGGACGTGGAGAGGGAGTACAATGCTGAATACTGCTCATCGCTGCACCACCTCCTGTCCGAGTCAGACATCGTCTCCATTTCCTGCCCACTCAACGAATCGACCACGAATCTCATCTCGCACGCCGAATTCGCCGCCATGAAACCAGGCGCCTTCCTGGTCAACACGGCCCGAGGCGCCATCGTAGACGAGGAGGCCCTGATCCAAGCTCTGGAGTCGGGCAAGCTGACGCGCGCCGGCCTCGACGTCTTCTGCAACGAACCCAACGTCAATCCGTATTTTTGGGCGAGCGACAAGGTCGTGGTCCAGCCGCACATGGGGGGACTGACGGACGTGGCGTTTATGAAGTCCGAGCGGGAGTGTTTTGAGAATATCCGGAGTTTTTTTCGGACGGGGAGGCCCGTCGCGCCGGTCAATGAGGTGGTGACCAAGTAGGACGGTAGGTAGTCATGATATATCTATCTTGTCCTGTTGTGTTGTGTCGTTGCAGTTTTGGAGTTCTTACCAAGTCAAGCATCTTATCCAATGCGGTGGTATAGACACGACGACATCACCATATTGTACCTCGTCCTTCCTCTGTCTACCTATGTAGGTAGTCAGTCTACTTGGTACTGTATTCATTTTCCCTCCCTCCTTCGACAACTACCGAATCGAGTTCATCAATGACCATTGCCCACTCTCCACCAATGTTTCCACCCGTTTGGCCTCTAGTATTATTATTCATTCGCCCATACCCTCTCTTAGGCTATCTCAAATGACACGTTCGTCTAACCCGGATTTAGACACCAAGCAGCACCACGCGAATCGATGTGTTGTCCACTGGTCCACTTGTCCATGTGGGGCTTATAAGGAGCACCATCTCGAGCATATAACTCGGCCGCTTGTCGCTTGTCATTCCACCGAGGAGGAGAAAGGGGAGGAAGAAGAGGGGATTTTCTGAACATGACAACGCATCCATCTGTCCTTTCATCCTCAAGGCCACTGGCCGGATCTTATCTGGCTGGTCCGGGTTGGGCCGCCGCATGGCTGGGGTGTGTATTTGTACAGCGAGTGAGAGAGTGGGCGAGTCAGTGAGTCAGGCAGTCAGGCAGGCAGTGAGTCCCTCCCTACCTAATACCTACCTGCCAGCTAACCTACCAAAATAATTGGTTACCTAGTACTTATTTACGCAGTATCTCCGTGCCTCCATGCCTCCTAACGTAACTAGGTAGGTACGCAGTAGTGACCCAGTGCGTACTTGAACGGCGAGGGACATCATCCCATATCCCCTATCCCATATGCAGCATCCAGTATCCAGTATCCGGTACCAAATCACCATTCCACACGATGGAGCATGGTCGAGCATGGTCGAGTATAGTCGGATATAGACACACGGGGATAATCGACCCCGGATAATGTTCAAGGGATTTATACAAACTGCCTACATATCTCAGTATCTACCTAGGACCTCCTAGGTTGTTGTATTCATCCCATCTATCTCAAACCATTTCATCCCATCTCAGCCATCTCAGCCATCTCGGACCATCTTAACCATCTCAACCATCTTCATCGTATCCTGTCGAATCTCACAAAACCTCATCACACCTTAGCTACCCTCACCTCACCTAACAATGTCACCCACCACGACCACGACCACAACCACCCTACCGCCAGAAATGCTCGCAGCGCAACTCACGGCCTTCAACACCGCGCCCGTGGTCCAAACGACCAAAACCCCTTCCCCCTCCGACTTGGGACCTTACGACCTCCTCCTCCGCACCGCCGTCGCCAGCCTGTGCCACACCGACCTCATGGTCCAAGCGGGGTTCATGCCCCTGAGAAACGGCCTGCCCATGACGCTGTCGCACGAGGGGACGGGCGTGGTGGTCGCCACCGGCGACGCCGTCCCCGAGGAGGAATTCAAGGCAGGCGACCGGGTCATGTCGGGGATCACGTTCCGCGGGTGCGGGAAGTGCGAGAACTGTCTTGCCCCCCGCGAGAGGGATTGGCGCCAGTACTGTTTCGCGGCCGAGGGGGCCACGGGGGTCGTGACGGACGGGGCCTTCGCCGAGTTTCACGTCGTCGATGCGCGGTCGAGCTGTAAAGTGCCTGACGGGGTGGGGTTTCTCACTGCCGCGCCGCTGGCTTGTGCGGGCGTCACGGTCTATCGCGCCTTGAAGGTCAGTGGGGTCGTCGCGCAGCAGCGACAAGGGCCGGAGGGCGAGGGCGAGGGAGAGGAAGGGGGAGGGGGAGGGGGAGGGAGAAGATGGATCGGCATCGTCGGCGCGGGCGGCGGCCTGGGCCATTTCGCCGTACAGTTCGCCAAAGCGGCGGGTCTGACGGTCGTGGCGGTCGAGGCGCGCGACGAAGCGCTGGCCATCGCGCGGAAATACGGCGCCGATCACGTCCTCGACGCGCGCGACGGGTCCGAAAAAGTCCTCGCGCAGGTCCGCGCCATCACCCCCGACGGCGCGGGCGTCGACGCGACCATCAACGTCAGCGACCACGCCTCGTCCGCCGCGCTGGCCGCGTCCATGACCCGCTCGCACGGCACGGTCGTGCAGGCCGCGCAGCCGCCCGAGGTGACCGTGCGGTTCGAGGACATTGTCCTACGCGACGTCACGATCAAGGGCACCGCGCACGGCGGCAAGGCCGTCGCGGAAGAGATGCTCGCGACGGTGGCGCGCCACGGCGTCGTGGCCGAGACGCAAATATTCAATGGCTTGGGGGAGGTGCCGAGGATGTTTGAGTTGCTTCACAAAGGGGAGGTCAGGGGGAAGGCTGTTTGTGTGGTTGCCGAGGATCTTGTTTAGAGATACGATGGAGAAGGAGATGGAGACGAAGACGAAGATGGAGATATTGTCTAATGTGAGGACTGTCTGAGGACTTCATACAACAGTTTTGTCTAATGACCTTGTCCTTGGTATAGGAGCACACAGTGAGCACTGCAGGAGGAGGAAAGGGGGAGAGAGGGAGCGAGCATAGATAGTGAAGGACCAGAAAAAGGGGTAAACAGACCGAGACAGAGACCGAGACAGAGTGAGAGGGGAAGCGGTTCGATAGAGCAATATGAGGGAGACTGAAAAGAGGTAGACAGAGAGGAACTGTTACCCAATACATGGATATGGCCCTTTGTATTGTCTCGAGGTCATATCATCCTCATTCCAAGGCCAGCCTGGCACGGACACGGGACATCGAATTATCTATTCTGGTGGAGGAGGAATAATACCATCTCATGATCGATTTGCCATGAGAAAAGCGCGACGGCATCCATTCCATTGCTTTTCCATCTGGCCTTTTTATCTCTCTCTTTCCTCATACCAGTACCAGTAGCAGCTCATCTCTAGCTGTATTGTTCCCATCCCGCGCACTTATCCGGACAGCATGCATCGTTACCATCACCACCACCGTGTCATACCTCTCAGTTCTCAGCTCTCATGTAGAGTCACAAGACTCCCTAGGTAGGCACCGCAGCCGTTGTCGAGGCCGCCCGGCTCGGATTCCCGTGCACCAACTGCCCACACGGCCCGTTCATGACGACCCACCGATTCGCCGTGCGCCTGTTTGTGTTGAAGAACCCGGCCTGCGCACGAGCACACGTGGCGGCACCCCTCCTCGGCGCGTTGGCCTTGTACAGCACGCAGTTCCCACCACCAGCGCTGGTCTGCGTGTCAAAATAGGCAAAGTCGCAAAAGCCGTCGACCACGTCCTGGCAGATGGTGCAGCACTCGTAGCTCGAGGTCGCATTGGTGCCCGTGCCGACGTTGGCCCGCACGTTGTCCACCACATTGTTGATGTAGCTGCCGTCCTGGATGCGAGGGCCTAGGAGGTTGTCGGTCGCACACGCGAGATACGTGCTCCGCACAGCAGTGTAGTTGTATTGAGTGTTGGTGATGGTCAACACGGTCGTTTCTGCTGGGACTGTGATGGTCTGCGTCAAGTTCACGGTGGTAGCGGCCGTCACGATCACAGTCTATGGGTAATCAGTCAGTGTCGCAGGAGATATGCAGGGGGATGGAAAAGACGTACAGAGCTCACTGGGACATCAGGAACGCCCACAGTGCTGGTCACAGCGATGGTCGTCGACTCGGTGACGGTCCGCGGCGGCCGTTGCGTACTTGTTTTGGTCAACGTCACAAACACCGTCGAAGTTGTTCGCGGAACCAATCGCGTGACAATGGAAATGAGAGAGATATAAGAGGTATCAGGTGTCGGAGTGAGTCCTTGACGGGGTCGAAGAATGTCTGTCTCGGCCTCTGTATCACTTCGCCTAACGGTCCCATCGTAGTCTTCATCCCCCGAAGACTCTTCTACAGGGACAAAACCACTCGGAGTGGGCACGGTGACAAGACTCTCGGTAATAATCGTAGTGTTTGCGGTCGCCGTGACATTGATATATGAGGTGGACGTGCGGTTCTGTATGTCATACTCCGTGCTGGTGGAAGTGCTGGTGAAGACGTCGGTTCTGTATCCAGTCAGCCTGAGTCTTTGTTAGTGAGAGAGCCGACTTACGTTGCCCGATAAGTGCTTGTCACGTTGACGGTGGACAAATAAGTATAAGGAACGACAGTTGTGAATCGAATGGGGCTCGTTGTGGTAACCCTCGACGTGCTTGTTAGAGTAGTCGTGTCGAGGATTTTGGTGACGTGGATAGTAGACACGCTCGCGGGTTGAGAGATTGCATAGGCCGTGAAAGTCCGTTCCAAGGTAGACGTGGTGACTTCAGTAGCCCCCTGGCCCAGGACAAGGGGGATCACAGCGGCCAAAACAGCGAAGGACTGTGAGAGGGAGTACATTTTAGCGTTGTGCCTGACTTTTCTCGGCGTTGAAATGAGTAGAGAACCGAATGAAGGGGAAAGAAGATGTAGTCGCGCAGCATGTCCAATTTATATCCATGGAGCTCGCTGGGAAGGAATGAAGCTCTGACAGGACTTCCCGTGGACATTGACCACATGGCGGCTTGTGAACCAGGAGGAATCGTCATCGCGCGAGGCATTTGTCCTGAATGGCAGCATGCACGGCGGCTCTGCTCTAACCAGACTGTGGAATGTAGAAGGTGGTGCGCAAGATCTGTGCCAGAGCCGCGTTTCGCAGTCAATGCGTGTTGCGTCCCGCCGTACGTGTTGACAGCTGAACAACACAACTTGTATAGGTGCTGTCAGCCATGTCGGCGTAGCCCTCTTTCTTCTCTTTTGGTTGAGCGACCAGCCATAGCCAGCGGGGATATAATCACGGTAGGTTTCGACCAAGCTATTGACAGCCAGAGATAGTGGCCCTAGCCAAGTCCAAGAGTTCAGTTCGTCTCAGGATAGCCAAAACAGCTACGCCGAGGGACCCCAACAAAGAAAAGAGTCATAGCAAAGATCCATTTTCCACCGCAATCCAAGCTTGACAGTGACGTTTCGCCATGGAAGGGGAGATGTTTGCCTCGTCCGCGGAATGCTGGGGGTCTGGAAATGAGATTTCTGGGGCCAAGCCAGGCCAAGGGAATGCTGAACATAGATCGTCAAAGATCTACTGTGAGCTGTTGAGGAATGTGCGCCGAGTGTTTTGAATATGGTAGTCACAAGAGAGATTTACTTTGCAAGGAATGTCTGTGTAGATGATGAAACAGCTTGGGATCAACTAACAACCTTGAGGTAGGGAGTAGATCCACCGGATCAACATTTCTCCGAGACAACATGTGGACCCAGTCGCCAGGAGTCCAGCCTTGGGCCTGAGGATGAAAGACAACTTTGCTCAGTTTGGCACACTATTGCTACCTTCAAGCATCCCCGTAGGCGACTACTTTGGCGTATAACTCTTGAGATTCTGGTTCTGCCTAAAGTCGCTCGATCCATGACCACCACCACCGACTACACCTCAACCTTCTCCGGCATCCATGTACTCAGCGCCATCCCCTCGGGTACTTTCCTCCACTGTTTCGTCTCGGGGTCGAGCAGGCTCTGTGCCTCGCGCGCGGCGTCGCGGATAATCTTGACCTTCTCGGGAGACCGCGGCTTGAAGACGGCCTGATAGTCTCGCGGTTGTACGGTGATCCCGCCCACGAGGTCGTCGATGTCGGGCGTGATAGGCACGCCGTTCTTGTCTAGCGGCTTGGAGAGGTCGAAACCCCAGAGAAGGCGGGAGATGCCGAGGAATAGCGAGCGCTCGGCGATATGGATCCCCTGGCAGAGGCGGCGGCCTGCGCCAAAGTTGAAGTTGTCTCGTTTGGCCGGATCGCCATTTGCCGACTGGTACAAGGTGGTGTGGTCGTCTTTGAAGCGGTCGGGGTTGAAGCGACGGGGCTCAGGGCTTCTCCTGGGATCCATATGAATTGACCTTCAGGTACGGAAATAATGGTTAGTAGGTAGCCCTTGAGATATAATATTTCCATGACCCAAGGGAAACAGAGAGAGGACTTACCAGACATTATTGATAACCGATGCACCCTTTGGAATGGTATATGGACCATACGTATCATCCCTCATGACCGCGTGAGGCACTCCGAGAATGATTGTCGGCATCCACCTCAAACTCTCCTTGATGCAGCTCCGGATGTAGGGGAGCTGATCGTAGTCGTCCATCGTCGGCAGACGGTGGTCTCCCACAACACGATCGATCTCTTCTTGCGCCTTTTTCTGTACATCGGGCCATATGATCATAGCCTGGATGAACCCGTATAGAGTCGACGATGTGGTGTCCGAACCCGCTTCGAGGAGCGAGCCGCTCATGTAGCATGCGGCGTCGTCGGAGAACCCTTCCTTCTGCTGGATGCGGAGCACGTCGTTGCAAAAGCATGGCTAAGTCGAGGCATTGTCAGCAACTCACCCTTGAATAGTACCTCCGTCGTTGTCGGACGTGATACTACCTGGGAGAGAATTGTGTGGTGTAGACTTACCAAACCAGTACCATTCTCGAGTCCCCGTTTCGCCCGCATCCAATGGCCCAGATAGAGGTCTTTTTCAATCTTGTGCAGTTTCTCCGCATATCTGACGTTCGGCGCCAGAGCTTTTGGGAGTTTTTGTAGGATGGGAAAGAGGTCGACGATCTGCGCACTGGCGCTACCGGCCAGCTCTCCCCAACGCTCAAAGCTCTGGTCATAGCAAAGGGAGTTAGCTTTTCCACACGGAGCCCCGCAAAACTAAGGAACAAACTGAGGCATACGTACCCAGAATAGTTGCTGGAGATGTCGGTCCTTGATATCTGGACAGCGGAAGCCGAAAATCATCTGCGTGGCCAGCGAATAGCTGAAGCGGCGAATATGGTTCAGGAACTCTTCGGGGGTGTCCAGCAGGCCGTCCATCAGGACCTTGTTCTCCAGGTCTTGGTATGGCACGTAGGTGACGGCGGCCTTGATGTTGAGGATGTTGTGGACGATGCGATGAATCATGCGCCACGTATCGCCATATCTCTGCAGATTGAATCAGTAACACGTTCACGTTGATTTCTAGGATAGTGCCATGCTTACCATGACGACAAGCCGCAGATTCCCGCTGGCAATCTTCTGGCCGATAAACATGTCAGGTCGATCCGAGTAGATGCCACTCCGCTTGTCCAGCAAGTCCTTGACCGCCTGGTCGGAAGACAGCACGATCATCGTCTTTGTCCCGAGGATTAGGGAGTAGATGGGTCTATCGAGAGAGACGTCGTTGTTAGAAGACAAAACGACGAGCAAGAAGATGACCTGGAGCCGACACCAAGTTCCCCGTTCTCGCCCATGTTGCCAGCAAAGGCCATTCATTCTCTGAGACTTGACTCGACTCGACTCACCCATATTCCTGAGCCCACTTTTGGAACTGAACATGTGGATTTTTCGTTGGCATCTACGATCGTTTTGATCAGCACAAAGAAGTGAATCGAAAAAGGCTGTTGCCACTCACCAAATGCAGATTCCCCAAGATTGGGATGGTCGGCGGTCCAGGAGGCAAGCCTGGAGCCCGCCGACCGACTTTTGAGAGTTTGATGAGCAAGAAAGCCGCGATGGCCAGGAGGGGGATGACCACCAGGGAGAAAGGGGTATAAGAGGAGGAGAAGGAGGAGGAGGAGAGCTGAACCATTGTGAAGGTCCTAGTTGCAGGTGCAGGTGGGAGGATGGTAACGAGGATGGTGGCTGGTAGAGGTTGGGCTTGTGTTGTCTTTGTTGTCCCTCTCTCTTGTGCGTATGTGTGTGTGTTTCTCCCTTCAAGAACTTGATATCATAAGAGTTTCAAATTACTTTTCTACCTTGACTGGTGTGGCTGGGCCGATGAGGTGTTTGGACCCTGATTTTGTGCCCATGTAATACGTACAAGGTACACCAATTTCTGTGGGAAAAACCAAGGGTCGTCCAGGTCATGCAGGTAATGCAGGTCATGCCATGATGCATTAATTATTCTTCACCCAGGCACCCACCGGGCACCTGGGGGCACTACACCTCCACACTCCCCGGGTTTCCCTGTGGCCACGAAACAAAGAAAGGGCCCTTGAGTCGGGCCGAACAGCATAAAGTCGTAGACTTGTTCTTCGGGGTCGGGCATCGTTACCCGTCAGGATTTTACCTGCAAGTGAATCTTGACTACTAACTAGCCACCCACCAACTCCATTATTCCCCATCTACGACAAGCCCTAGCTTGCAGAGCCGAGAAAAAGACCCGGCGTTTGGGTATGTCTCTGACTCGATCAGACGAGCCTCCAGTTACAGCATGGGAAGGAGTAACGACACTACAAAGACAGATGCTGCTTAACGTAGGCGAGGCCGGTCGACCAGCAGCGACGTCTTCATTAGATGACATTCATGTTTCAACAGATGCTAGCCAGCAGTCCTCTCGTTGAAACTTGTCCGTGGTCGCCCATTTCAACCAAGCGAAACGAACCAAATGTCGTTACACCTCTCAACGTTACCGAGAGGAACAGATACTGATACAATACCAAGACAGACAGACGCATATATCGGATATGGACATGACCAAGATGAGCGTCAAGTTGGCCAGGCCTGGAAACACCATCACGCCAATGCCTAGAGTCAGCAATGAGGGTATCACATCGCATCGACCACCACGACTAAGTTGGCAGCAAATACCAACCCGCGGCTTCGGGTGGGCTCCATCCTTCGCCGAGGGAGGCGTCTAGGCATACCAACATCCTTGGATGTCACAGCTATTACCCTCTCTTCTATTTGCGCGGCCCCAGCCGGGGTTGCACCTGTACCTTGGCGGCTCGACTGATCTGCTTGCTGTTCGTTTACAAATACAGGCTGGTCGAGTGGAACCTCATCATGAGAGGGGCTGTACCAAAGGCAAGAGTGTTTGTGTACCGAGTGCTTTCGTTCGGGCTCGGCGTCAGTGTGCCGGGTGGGTGCCTCGGGTCGTCGGCAAGCTATGCTCAAGGGAGTCCTCAGGACAGCAGGTACTACTGCAGTCAAAGGTGAGAGGTCGTTTGGTCGACATTCCACATTGCTAATAACGAGGTCCAATGGAAGAACCTGCCACGGCACCATGAAAATCTGTCGAGAGGAACGTGCTCCAGTTTTCCAGCTCGAGGTCGAACAGTGAGCCCATATCGTCCTAGGACAGATCGGGAGCATCAGTAAACAATCAAGCAATCGCCGAGATGACAACCCCAACTAAAACCCACACATGCGCGCGGACACGAGGGAAGGAATACTTACCATGGTCTGATCATTGAACGGCTGGTCTTCAATGGCCAGATACTGGCCTGGCACAGCCTCGTTCTCCGACAGCTTTTGCGGCAGGCAGGTCAAGTCCTGGTCGTAGCCACCGCCGACGGTGCTGCCTGGGTGCAGCCCATGTGCTCTTTCCGTGGCTTCGCGGGAGAGCGTGGCGATCTCGCGTGCAAAGCTGATGGAGATTTCGGACGCCGTCGCGAATTTCACCCGTGCAAAGTATCCCGCACCGACCTCCATGAGCGCGAGATCCGACTGGATGCCGTATCGGTTGGGGTTTTGCAGGATGTAGATGAAAAGGTTGATCAACGCGTACATGGGTCCGAAAAAGCTCAATCTACATGCGTCAGTGAGTGTCGAAGCGAGAACCCGGCGAGATACTCACGGAACAGGCGTGCTTGCATCAAATCGTATGTGTTCGGTCGCCAGGATCGCCTGGCGACACGTCTCGGCCACAATCTGGGTTGATGTCTCGAGCTGGTCCCGCAACGCAGCATCAGGTGTCATACCACAGATACTCCGACTCCAGGGATAGGTCAAAGCGGTGTGAATATCGAGAGTGATGCTCTGGAGAGCGCCACGGAGATACATGACCTGCTGCATCGTCATTCCGGGTGGTAGCTGGCTCGGACTGGGAGAACTGGGCCGACATATGACCGGGTCGATGGTGCGCTTCAACATGTTGAGCTGCTCGTCCAGCTCCGCGACGGATCTCACCAACGCCGCGCCGCCCTGCTGAAAGGCCTGAACTGTCGACAGTCGTTTAGAGACCACAGACGAAAGTCGCGCCAGCCGGATCAATGTATTGCAGTACTCGATGTTGACAGAGCTGTCGGGAGGGGCGGATGTTGGTACTTGACAGCTGACGTCGTCGTCGTCGATTAGCTTAGACAAGGTCAGCATCACCGTTCCACTCTGCCACCCTTTGCTCAAGGTCAGACCTACCGAATGGCGTCCGGATTGACACACAATCTGCTTCTCCAAGCAATATATGGCCCAGAACAAACAACTCCTCAGCGAATTTTCATATTCGGTCAGATTCCACGAGGCGACAGCTTGTCGATGCAGTCCTTTGGCGATCCCAAGTCGGACCGCGATACCGCAGAGCACGTATTCAAGACACGGGCAGGCGATATTTTGGGTAAAGTAGGCCTGGTGTGCGTTCGTCAGCTCGTGATACATTGCTCTCCGACCGCCGTCCTTACCATCAGCGTCAGAGCTTGCACACCGACAATCGACGTTCGGAAATACAACATTTCGGTCTGCACCGACAGCGCATTTTCAAAATAACCCCACGCCGACTGGTTGGCCTCTTGGAAGGTGCTGGTTTTGGAGAGCTCGATTCGACATCCCGAAGCGTAGACTGCGTTGCGGAGCGCATACCAGGTGGGATCGGTATCTGTCACGGCTCCGTCAAAATGTGCCCTAAGTTGCGCCTCAAACCATGGGCGGTGCACGATGCCGAGAGAAGATTCGAGGGCCTCGTCAAAGAATGCTAGAAAGTGTCAGACTTGGTGAGACTACAGATGATCACGGCCGTTCGGAGTCATTACCTCGAGTATACCTCCAGGCAATCTCTTGATCGGGCTCGGGCTTTCGTTCCTTGGACAGGTTCTTCTCGATTTTAAGCCGGCGGGTGATGTAGGTCGTAAATGTCCTGGCTGTGTCGTTGAAACTCGAGCTGCCGGTCTTGCTAGCGACCCATTGCATTCCGGGTCTCGAACAGATAGACAAGAATGATCTGGGGCCTATAATGAAACTACTGAGCACCTGTGCAAGAGGTGTGTGAGGAGTTGGGACGTACCATGATATTCCCAGTTTGACTTTGGAAAGTCTCTGTCAGCCGATCCGAATACAAAGTTCTCAGAAAACACCTACCGTCTCACTCGACGAGATACTGCTCCGCTCTCGGATCTGTTCAGGGCTGTTCTCTGCAAGGGTCGCAGGGTCGGCGCTGTCGGAAGGCGTCGGCTGGTACCCTGAACTCCACTCCAGCGTTGAGGTGTTGTCTGCAAAGGCGGGAGGTTTGGGGGGTATCAAGGCTATCGAGTTCAAACTTGCCGGAGGGTTGGGCGTCTTGTACGGCTGACCCAACGGAAAGCATGACGAGCTTTGAGTCTCGACCCCGTCAGTCGTCAGCGAAGAGGACGAGGGTGCAGGGAGCACCGAGCTCATGGGATCTCGGTCATCTCTCCCCGTAAATCTAGACGAGTCACTGTTTAAAGCAGCTGGGGAAGTCTGCGCCGGGATGTGACTTGTAGCAGAGGCAGGCTGAGCTAGATTAGGGGCGACTCTGGCGACCAAGGGGTAGCAGACGGGGCTGACGACCTACAGCATAAGCCTGTTGCTTGAGAAGCGCCTCCAGCTGCTCCAGCCTCTCCACTAGATCTTTGTTGTCCCTGCCTCCGTCCCTGGATCGCCATCGACGAGGTGTTGTCGAGGTGCAGTGCTGCCCGCGATCGAGACAGTTTGTACATGGGCCACCACCTTCCCCATTGCCTTGAAGCGGGTTATAAGCATGTGACTCTCAGCCCGTAGCGGAGAAGGGGGAGGGACATACACCGAATCTTCTTGGCTCTGCAATAATTACAGGCCACAACACGTTTCGGCCTCGCACTGTCATTCCGTTGCGGTCGAGGGGCGGGAGAAGAGAGCGGCAGTGGCTCAGTCGACATGATGGACGCCATCTGGACTGACTGGTACATCCTGAGTTCAAGTCAATTACTCCAGACACAGGCCAAAGCGGCGATTTTCAAGGTTGGAGCTGTTGTAGGAGACGAGCATGGAGGCGGGGAAATGGTGGATTGGCGGGGACAATGAGATGATTTGCCACTCAAGCCATGTGATATCAATCATTATGATCCAATAGGCCCTGAGCCTCAGGGCCTCAATCGCCTTCCCAGTGGTCAGCTTGCCAGCCTGCCGAGGAATTCGCGACTCCACCTCTTGTCTTCTCTAGCCAGCTAAAAGTTGCCGTCCGAATACGCCGAACAAAATAGGTATAACGTTAGCGAGGCGTCGAACTACACCAAGAGTAGGTGGAGGGGTGGATCTGGAAAGACTTGACGCATGACAGAAGAACCGAGCCATCGATGGCTGTGGCCGTGGATCCGAAAATGTTGGTAGAGCAAGCGAGAAAGGGAGAGGGTTTTTAGAGATTCAAGTACCTCCATCGTAACCAGTAGTCAAACACTAGGTATACTTGGTTCTAAGAAGATGATCAGCAACGGACAGACAAACGGTAGCCATCAAGGCGACGGGCCAGCTCAGGAGTGTCATGTCTTACCCAAAGGCACCGTGCTTATCGCGGGCGGTGGTCCTGTCGGGTTGATTCTGGCCAAAGTCCTATCACATTATGGCACCAGATCCGTGCTCTTTGAGAGGAATCAGACGACGACCCGTTGGCCCAAGATGGATTTGACCAATGCCCGGTCCATGGAGCTGTTTCGCAAGTTGGGGCTCGCCGACGACCTGCGACGGCAGGGCGTTCCAGCACACATCGACCAGCCAGTCTTGGTATCGTCAGGTCTTTCCGCGAAGGAGGCCATCACCAGCTGGGATCTCCCGAGTGTCGACAGGTTCCGCAAGCAGATTCAAGAGAATAACGACGGCAGTAAGCCCTTGGAACCCTGGCAGCGGCTGTCGCAGGCAATCTTTGAGAAGTGGCTGAAGGCCATTTGCGACAAGGATCCTTTGATCGATCTGCGGTTTGGCCATAAAGTCGAATCGGTCCAGGAGGAATCTGACCATGTCAAAACCATCGTCACGGCCGTGGATTCGGGGGTTTCTTACCAATTTGTCTCGGATTATGTCGCTGGCTGTGATGGTGCAAACAGCAGAGTGCGAAAGTCGCTTGAGCTTCCCTTAGACGGTGGCCCCGTGTAAGTCTTTCTATGGGAACCACCTCATCTCCTCTTTACTGAACCCCTTTGCAGCCCCACCTGCGTCCTTCTCGTCCACTTCAAGTCTCGCGACCTCACTCGTATACACAAGCAAGGTCAATTCTGGCACATCTTTCTCCTAGCCGAGCACGGCGGCTTTGGTGGTGCCATCATCGCCCAAGATGAAGTCGACACCTGGACCACCCATCTATTCTTACCCCTGGATGCCGAACCGGAAAAGATCGAGTCGCGAGAGGCTGTGTATCGAGTTCTGGGTGGAATCTATGGCGCGTATCCGATTGAAATCGACGAGATTCTGGTCCGCTCCATCTGGCGACCCAACATCGCCGTGACACGGCACTGGAGCAGCCCCAACTATCGTATCCACCTCGCCGGTGATGCAGCACACCAGAATATCCCCACTGGAGGCTACGGGATGAACATGGGCATTGCTGACGCTTTCGACCTGGGCTGGAAACTTGCAGCCGTCATCAACAAATCCGGGGGACACGACCTGCTCGAGTCCTACGAGGTGGAGCGAAGACCCGTGGCCCTTCGCAACGTCGAGCGATCGGGCGTTCATTTCCAGGTCCACGACAATCTCCGAGAAATCCTGGCGGGTTACGATCCTCGCGTCGTGGACGAGGACACAGAGGCCGGGCGTCAACTACGGAGCAAGATTCACGAGCACTACCAAGCGCACGATGGCGAGAACCAGGACTTTGGCATTGAAATGGGTTACCGCTACAAATCACCCGTCATCATCCACGACGAGAGCGGAGAAGCCGAGCCTGAATGGGTACCGTCCAAGTATATCCCGACGACCTGGCCAGGTGGTCGGCCGCCACACGTCTTCCTCTCTGACGGCACCCCGATATTTGACAAGTTTGGCCGAGATTGGACGCTGCTCAGCTTTTCGAGCGAACCCTGTGGCGAAGATTTTCTAGACGAGGCAGCCCAAGCTCTCTCGGTGCCCTTGAAACGAGTGTCTCTCGACGGCGAAGACTTGGCCAAGAGACTGTATGAGAAGCGTCTCGTGTTGATCCGACCAGACCAGCACGTCGCATGGAGAGGGGACAAGATAGGCAGCGCAGACGAGGCAACGAAGGTGCTGCAGATCGTCACGGGCAAGGTTCATTCTCAGAGAGCACGAGAGCCAGAAGCTGTTGGCATGGCACCCAAAGCTGCATTCACGGCGACCAACGAGCTGACTACCCAGGTCATTGATTTCAAGTTGGAGAAGATGGGCGCTTTTCAGATGTAGAGTAGAGGGATCTATCTATACCGAGTGTACAGGAACAAGAAATGGGCCAATGTGTTTCCCCAATTCATCAGCTCGAACATATCGAGATACACTTCATAGAATCTGTCTCTACGGCTCCTACGCGACCATTCTGGCAATACACCCGCCAACCACCTGTTCAGGCCTCGATTACACCAGTGTAATGACATAGTAAGCACCCCCCCTCTCTCGGTGTTTAGTAGCCGGAGAACTCAAAAGACACCATGATCTGCCCTCATCTGCCCCTCCCATCTACTGGAAGAGTCACGATTGGTTCTAGCTCCTCTTTGGTCTCACCGACATGTAAACACACGGTCTAGTGCTAGTATATCACCGCCGTCGGCACCGGACGCCCGGCCACGAATAGTCGGAGTGACGGTCAACAAGCCCGAAACAACCTGAAATGTCTCCCCTCGACGCAGATCCATACTCCCCAGGATCCACCTCCACAACCCCAGGGGAGGAAAGAAACAAGCATACTAGGGACTAGGGGGTATAGGAGTATCCAATATGCCAGGCCTGATTGGCTCGAGGGACTACCTACCCTCCCCAATCCCTCACAGGAGGCGTGGGAGGCATGTCCGGATGGGTGCCGATGAATGCTATAAGTGATTCTTCCTCCAGTGTACCTTTTTCAACTGTGCCAAATTACCCTTTGCCGGGCAAGACTTTTCAACTGCTTTGAGGTTCGAGATTCTTTTGACCAAGTCCTCCTCAAGCTCAAGTACTTAGCGGCCAGTGACCATGGAGTCACCCAACTTTCTTGCAAAATACATCGGCGTCCCCGTGGTGCTGGGACTGGTCTTCATCCTGTGGAAACTGTCCCAGGTGGGCAAGAGACCCAAGGACCTCCCACCAGGACCACCGACTCTGCCCATTCTTGGGAACCTTCACCAGGTATGTTAGCACACACATCTTTCATCACATACGTACGCATGGCGAATACTAAATGTGTCGGGGCAGATTCCTTCGGAGAAGGCATATCTGCAGTTCCAGAAATGGGCCGAAGAATATGGGTATGGAATGCATCCCCGACTGTCCCATATTTTCGGCTATTGACATTGAGAACAGGCCCGTCTACTCGCTGATGCTGGGGACCAAGCCGACTGTCGTTTTGTCATCCGACGTGGCCATCAAAGAACTCCTGGACAAACGTGGCGGGATCTACTCTGACCGGCCCGACATGTACGTCAGTCAAGATGTGGCCAGCGGAGGCCATCGACTCGTGGTCATGGTGAGTGACGCTTCTAGGGAGTTTGTCGTTGGAACAGTTTACTAAAGCGGCTCTTTGTCCAAGAAATACGGCGAGAGATGGCGAACCATCCACCGCCTGATCCACAACATCCTCAACATCAAGGTCGCCGCAAAGTACATTCCCTACCAGGACCTGGAGAACAAGGTGCTCCTGAAAGGCCTCTTGGACTCGCCCGGGGCGGACGACCTGTTCCAACATCTCCGGCGGTTCGCCTACTCGCTATCGACGCAGATGATCTTTGGGTATCGCTGCCCCGATTTCCGGGACAAGAGACTGAACCAGCTTTTCGACGTATGTCTCTACTGTGTACCCCTAGCAATTTCGCGCTCTCTCTCTCTCTCACACTGGTTTCTTTTTCCTCGCTGCTAACCTATACTGTGCCGGTGGCGTAGGTTTTTAACGGATGGAGCGAGGTCTCAGAGAGCGCATCCTCCCAACTGGCCGACCTCTACCCGATTCTCCAGAAACTGCCCAACTTTATGCTCCCCAGTATCCGCAAGGGGAAGCACGTCCACCAGGTCGGGCGGGAACTGTACACCGAACACTGGCTGAAGGCCAAGCAACATCTCAAAGACGGAACTGGCTTGGTGAGTTTGTCGCAGTGGAAGCCATCACATCACATTTGACAGTCGTGTCTATCCCTGGGTGCTGGTGGTGGTGGTGGTGGTGGTGGCAGGCCATAGAAAGCTAACTTGGAGCCAAACACAGCCATGTATCTGCAACGACCTCCTCCTGGCGCAAAAAAGCGAGAACCTCTCCGACGAAGCGGTCGGGTACATCGTGGGATCCCTCCTCGAGGGCGGCTCCGACACAACATCCTCGACCATGTACGGGTTTGTACAGGCTATGATGGTCTTCCAAGACGTGCAGAAGAAAGCCCAGGAAGAGATCGACCGGGTCGTCGGCCCAGATCGGCTGCCTACTGTCGACGACTACCCCAATCTGCCGTACATCCGGTGTTGTGTCAAGGAGACGCTGCGCTGGATGCCCACGGTGATCATGGGGGTGCCGCACTGCGTGACCAAGGACGACGAGTACAACGGGTGGAAGATCCCCAAGGGCACGACCGTCATCAATAACGTTTGGTATGAAAACCTCCCCCAAAAATAGACCTTACTCTCGTCCTCTAGTTTTCACACCCCTTTTATACTGACGAACGACTAACTCTCCGTCATCTAGGGGCATCCACATGGACCCGAAACGCTCACCGGAACCCCGACAATTCAACCCGGACCGATACGCGGGGGACACGACGACGCTGTACGAATCCGCCAACGGCGAGCCGCTCAAGCGCGACAACTTCAACTTCGGCGCCGGCCGCCGCCTGTGCCAGGGCGTGCACATCGCCGAGCGCTCACTGTACCTAGGCATGTCGCGGATCCTGTGGGGGTTCCACCTCCGCAAGGCGCTCGACAGTGCGGGCAACCCGATCACGCCGGACGTCAACGACCTGGTTGGGGGGATCACGGTGAATCCGCGCCCTTACCCGATCGACATCGTGCCCAGGAGCCCCGAGCAGACGGCCATCATTCGCCAGGCGGTCAAGGAGGCCGAGGAGCTGCTGAATCCCGTGACGGGCCAGTGGAAGAAGGTGCCCGAGGGGATGGTGTTTGGGGCGTGGAAGCCGAATGAGAAGAAATGAGAGAGAGAGAGAGAGAGAGAGAGAAAGAGAAGGAGATGGAGATATGTATGTCAGCGTCAGGGTCAGTTTCGGCTTCAGCTATAGCTATCTCTAGCTTTAGCACCAGGTCTTGCTCTTGATTCGGTTGAGGATGGTGTTGGTATTTATGATATTGGTATTTTGAGACGAATTACCTCAGTCATGCATGATAGATATCCATCAATTTTTCCCCTCGGGCAAGTATGCTATGCTATGCTATGCTATGCTATACCATGCCATACTCTCTCTCTGCCTTGGGAGGCCGGCTTCACTTTCATTTTAAATTCCTCGCAACGCTCTAAGTAGACCATCAGTTAGCCAGGATCCCCTACCTCCGTCTGGCCCTGTCCGGCCCTCTCAAGAATCTATTTGAGGAGCGAAAGGGGAAGAGAACTCACTGCATAGACCTGCATCAGCGCCACGCGCGGCTCCCCATCCACGTCCTCCAGGACGACATGGGCGCCGAAGTCGGTCTCGACGACCTTTCCACTGGCAAAGTCCATCTTGGCGACACCCAGCAGGACCAGGTCGCGGCCCTGCTTGTCGTTGACAAAGACGTGGGTGATGCGGTGGTTGCGCGCCGTGATGTCGCCCCAGGCGTTGTCTCTGCAGCGGGTGATTTCTGTCATTCACACTCGGTTAGGACAATGTACATGTACAGGTATGTATATACCTAGATGGCTGGGTATCCAGGTCATAGTTAGGGATTGATAGGTACTGTACCTTCTCTCCCACTAAACGCCGCGTGGCTGGCCACGAATTTCCCCGTCGACGTAAACACCTCGTTGGCCATGCGTGGGCCGGCCTCGGGGCCCGTGTTGTCGGCCAACTCGTAAAAGAGGGCGATGAGGGCCTTTACCTTGTCGTCCAACACGATCGCCAAGGGCCAGACGGTTTCTTTTGTGACGTACGACATTGCACTATCTTAGATAGATGGTTATGTACGTGAGTATGTCTGGGATATACAGTCAGGGTGAAAAGTGTGTACCCAGGTACGTTGATGTCGATACAGCTATCTAAGATGTAGATGAAGGTGTGATGTGATATCGATACTTTTTTCACGCCCGATCCCTCTTCCACCTTCCACGGATATTAGTCATTCACATGTACCGGATCTGGGCGTCCTAGTCTACTCATTAGCCATGTACATGTATGAAGCGGCATGCTTGGTTGCTCGGGGGTTGCCAACTTGGTTGCTTGTTCCTCGGAATGACGGACGAATTCGTTCGGAATGAGTTGGCCGAGAATTTCTCCTCCTCCCCCGCCTCTTCCTCCGTCAAACCTCAACCCCCCTAAGCTTCGTTCGGGCCGGGTTACGAGACACGATGAGGTGGGATGACGATGATGAAGATGATGCCGCCGCCGCCTAAGAAATTATGCAGAGGCGGAGAAACTGTCGTGACTTGTGTGACTCCAGACAAGTGAATCTCGGCCTTGTGCTTACTGTTACACAGACATTTTTGACCGCGCAAATAGGGATTAGAACCGTTTGTATATCAACCACCCCCTCTTTTCTCACCACCACCACCACCACCACCCATATACACAAGAGTTCCCCCTCCATAATAGGAAAAAGAAGAAGAAGAAGACCCCTTCCACAAAGCGGACAACCGAACCAAGTGAATCACACAACTCAATATGGGCTCCATCTCAACCAACTTCTCCGACAAAGGGACCAAGGTTCTCTCGCCCTCGACGCTCGCGCACGTGGTGCTGCGCACCAACAACTTCTCCGCCATGAGGGACTTCTACACGACCTTCCTCGGCGGGACCATCACGTACGGCAACAACTTCATCTCCTTCATCACGTACGACGAGGAACACCACCGGATCGCCCTGATCGGGATCCCGGACACGGCGCCCAAGGCACCCACGACGTGCGGGCTGGAACACATCGCATTCACGTTCCCGACTCTGTCGGCGCTGCTCCTCGCGTACCGACAGCGCCTGGCCAGGGGCATCAAGCCAGTGTGGAGCGTCAACCACGGCCCCACCACGTCCATCTACTACAAAGACCCCGACGGGAACATGCTCGAGACGCAGGTCGACAACTTCGACACGGTCGACGCGGCCAACGAGTTCATGAACAGCAAGTACTTCGCCGAGAACCCCATCGGGACCGACTTTGACCCGGAGGAACTCATCCGCAAGATCGAGGGTGGCGTCGCCGACGAGGCCGAGTTGAAGAAGCGCGTCGAAATTGGGCCGAGGGGCCTGCCGGATTTGTCGGCCTTGTAGTGACCACCAAAAACGAAACAGACCTGGCAGATTGTCGGAAAAGGAGAGAAGCTCTCAAGATCTTCAAGTTCGTCCTTGATGGGGTGTTTGGATGGTCAGCGGAGGAATTGACGGGGAGACTATGTATGGCTCCCCTTCGACGGACGAATTCCAACAAATTGATTAGTTTTCTACAACGTATGTGTATGGCTAGGCTGGACGGTCCACTCGAACAGCTTTTATGTCGTCTACGGAGTACAAAGTGGACCTTTCTCTTGCTAGCTATTCACGACTGAGCGGGTTATGGATAACCAATGTACGTACCTGGACTAATTGTCATTGACTGGTGATACGCTGTAACGATCGAACAGGATCCAGGGCTACGACGACGAGGGAATTGATTGAGTATACCATGTTCAATCCTATTTTACAACACAAAGTCACGCTATCTTGAAATGCTCCTCGAAAAGTTTCCATCTAGCACTCGCTTGATCAGACATCAGTAGCCACGGCTTGAGGAAATAGAGACTCTGCGTCTTGTCCTTCTTCCCTGTCATGAAGCTCAGTGCCGTCCGCACAGCCGTGGCGTTGGGCGTGTGTCGGATACTGTCGAACAGCGCCGTCTTCTCCGTGTCACACAACCTCACCCAGAGATAGTCCAGCATCAGGGCCACCACACCTACCGCAATCGGTGTCGACACCGACGTCCCACTGGCCCGTTTCTCGCCGCTGGGCTCCAGATGCGTAGGCCAGGCCGAGAGCACATACTCACCCACCACGTTGAAGTAGGTCGAGTACGTCCTCGGGTCTGGTTTGTCCGGGTTGAACTCCGATGCCCGTCCACTGCCGTTCGCCGACCGAATCGAGATGACCTTGACACTGGACGCAGGATAACTATCTCCTTCGCTCTTGATCTTCCCGCCGTTGGAAGCCGCCGCCACCATGATCACCCCCTTGGCGTGGGCCACGTCGATAGCCTCGGCCATGTCGTCGATCTCGTCATCAAATCCAAAGGACATACTAATGATGTCGACCCCCCAGTCCTCGACCGCATATTTAATCGCCTGTACAGTTTAGCATATCCTACACGATTAGGGGGAAAGACAAACCTGGGCAATAGCGACCGGGTCCGGCTCAAAAAACACACCGTTCGTCACTTGTGCCACGTATATGTCCGCAAACGGGGTCACTTTCAAGATCAGCCCAGCCGCGTGCGTACCGTGTCCGTGTTCATCCTTCATTGACCTCACGTCTTCTCCATAGACCTTGTCGTTTGCCCACGAGCGCAGTCCTTTGATGCGATTCGATGACCCGCGGAGCTGAGGGTTGGTAGCCATGACGGCTTTTGTCCGGGGGTGGCGTTCAGCATCGATACCCGTGTCGAGGATGGCAATCTTGATCGGCTTGACTGGTCGGCGGGTCACACTTAAACCTACAAAGTGGGAGTGTGTCTTGCGCTGGAGGGTTTCAAACCAGTCGTCGGCGCCAGCCCATCTGTTCAGGTTAACAACAGTTTGACATTCTTTTTCGGGCCACACATGACCTACTTGGAAGCATCGTCCGCCATTAGGCTGCGTTCGCAGTCTAGAAATTGCCCAGGTTGAAACAATACCGAGACCAACCGATCATTGGCACCCCAAACGCTGCTTTGAGCTGGATGGTCATTTCTCTGCACAGGGTCCCCCAAGCTCAGAAACTGGTTCTGAGCGGTCTGTATGCCATCGGAAGTGATGCGAATTTGAAATGATGCAGAAAGAAGCTGACTCAGAGGCCCGCATATCTTGTCTTTGATCCATTGCTGAATCTCAGTCGGGTCCTTGCCCGAGGGCCTACAGTCATAGCATGCCCAGATTGCCTGTTGGTAGGGCGCGAATGTTCTCGAGAGGAGATCGGATCGAAGCACCCTTTCCAGCAACGAAATGCAGGGGGTCCGGTCAAGCGCGATTTCCGAGACTTGATTCCCCGGAGCCATGAGGTGCGCCAATTCCTGAATGGGTTTGCCCAACTCGAGCTCGACGAGAAGGACCCCAAGATCCACAAGAATAGGGCAAGGATGTTGGACATCATAGTAATCACCCTCTCCGGTGTGCTCATCGAGATCTGATTCGAGGTAAAGCTGGACCACGCAATCGGTGGGGGAATTCTCCCGCCCCGATAACGCCAAACACAGTCTCTCCTTGACCCACTGTCGCTGTGCCCACGGCGAGGCACGGAGATGCAAGACGGCTGTCGCGAGTATGTTTGCTAACACCAGCCGCTCCTTGATATTCTGTCTTAGATCCAAGAAAGCATTACTACCGGTGCCATTCAGGATTGAGGAAAGAGGTATTAGTCGGTCCACGCTAAGGTCGGCCAGTCTCCTCAAACTGCCGCGGAGATGGGTTTTATTTCGTTGTCTCCGTGCTAGCAAGTATAACATCTGAGTGTCTCGTTGACAGGCAAGCATGAGCCGGCACAGTGAGCCGGACTGGAATGGAATATCTCGGTAACTGGCTTCGTCTGCCTCCCCATCCGTGTGCAATCCAGACTCAGGCCCAGTATGCACTGTGCCTGTCATGGGATGATCTGCATGCTCGGCAGGGTTTGTCACACCCAAGGCAAAGTGGACTTGTGCTGGACCTCTAACTCAAGAACGTTAACTTCAACGTGACTGGGGAATGAGTTGGTAGTCGACCTACCTCTCCAACTGGATTTGGGCCTGTTTCCATGAGTCAAGGCTGTTACGAGAGAACAGTAACTTCATGTGGAACGTCCGATGGGCACTGATATCTCTCTCCGTGTAAAATGATGTCAGGCGAAGCAAAGCGCCGTGTCGCCTCGAACAAGAGCATGGCCAACGCTTAGCCATGGCCCTGTGGAAGACTTGGATTTCATAGGTGAGGTCAGGAGCCTGGTCCCCCGTCCCCTGGCCGCTGGCTGGACCTTGCTCCGTCGCTCCAGGCGGCTGGGCTCCGTCCTGCCACGATTTTGTCGTGGGTAATTCGCCTTGTCGCATGACGATACGACCAAGGATGGCAAGGCTGTTGTCGACATGTCGCAGAAGTTTAGCCCGGTGGTCCTTCAGTACGGCTGCCGACATTCGACGCAGGCCACAGCTGTCACTCGATGTGGTTGCAGACACAGCCCTCAGGGTTTGGAGCTTTGGAAATGGATGCGCAGCGTCAACTGTGCCTGTAGTCTATATTCAAGCATTCTTAGGTGCGTGACTCTTGAAGTTTTTGGTGCTCGTCGCTCACCCTCGCCAGACGCTCGAGACGCAGCAACAACTTTTCCACCGCCTGCGATAACCCGTGGCCGGCGAGTTGTCCCAAGACCGAGTCATGGCGTTCCCCCAACCCGCCAAGTATCTCGTGGATTGCCACCAGATTAGCCGTGAGATATCCGTAGAATGTCCGTAGTTTGGGCTTTTCTTTCCAGAGTGAGCCTTGTACCCGGGCAGCAGCGACGAACTTGGGAAGGACAGCAAGCGCTAAGTCTATTAGAACTCGGAGCGAGGCTGACATGTTATGTTGGTAGATGTCGTCTTCGGTAGGATGGCAAGTTGCTGATCAAAGGGAAGTTCGCCTTTTTGCTTGCTAAGGCTAAAGCCTGAGCGAGGACATAGTTAGTACGAGGTACACCCGCCTCTCCACGTGAGGCCATGATGGATGGTGGAGGGGCAAGACGAGGGGCTGGTTACATGGGTGATAAGCGAATGCCTTCAGATACTAACGCAATAGATCCTAGGCCTAGCCAGCTGGCCTTTACCATGGGAGAGCCTCAAAAGTCTCCCTGATTCTTGATTGAGAAGTGTCCTTGTCATCCTCAATCCAGGTCAATACGGCGGCTGAAGCATCGACCTTGGAGACTGATAGAATGTCGATATTTCAAGCTTCCAAAGACTGTGAGGCCCTTTTTGAACAATGCCTTCGACTACCCGACATCTTCAACAACAAATGGGCACTGAACCAATCTGCAAGTTTCAGGCTATGGGTCGAAACCATCGGGGCCTTTGCGCCGCGGTCTGCATCTGCTGATGCCCGGCTACAAGGCAATGAAAATATGAAGGCAGCAGTGATGGGTTTGTTAGATCTGTTGCAGATGAACCTTGGTCGAAGTATGCAGCCTCATCGTCTTTTTTGTTTTCCGATGCCATCTGCAATGTAGAGCTTTGCGATATCAGGCACCCTGGGATAAACGAGAGATGGAGATGCTAATAGTGCTCGGGAACCAGCAATCGAAGCGCATCAGGATCCGGCATTTATACAAAGTGTATCAGAGGAGCAGTCGCAGCCAAATCGCCAGGCTCTAGGGCAAACGCTGCCGTCGTCAGGGTCTGACGATGAAGATGAGGTAGAGATGGAAGAGGTTTCCTCGCCTCAGGTCAGCGATCGAGACGGTGGAGACAACTCAACAACGATGTCTCAGTCCCGACCTGATCAAGAAGTTGAGAATGTGTTGATCCGCCTCCACCAACTGCTTCTAGCCATCCGCAGCTCTCGTAAATTCGACTGGCGTGAGCGAGCGAGCAGATTCGTCTACCCAGGCTCAGAGGACTTCAGAAAGCATATGGAGTGGTACATCAGCGAACGCTTCCGACGCGAGTATCCTGAAGTGCCGGAGTTCATACGAACGCGTCTATTGTTGGCCAACGTGAAGCGACGCAACCAGTTCGAATATGCGCGAGAACATGCCTTCAAACTTGCCCAAGACAAGACACGCCCCTCCACTGACCAACGTTCGGCAAGTATTGCAATCGAAGATGAAACAGCTGACGACCAGCCTCCAGTCGCCCCTTCTCACAAAGATGCGTCCCATTCACGAGCCGATGCGCCATCCCAAGCACCATCCAAGTCTATGCCGAGTACGCAGGCGACAGACTACACCGGTGCCTCATTCGAGAGATCCGAGGGTGGAACAGCTTCAATCTCCAGCGGGCAGACATTCAAGGATGGACAGGTCACTTGGCCATCACCACCAGAGGCCCCTTCCATCAACCCTTCCTTGCCGTCCTTTCCCTGCCCATACTGTCGCCGTCCACTACCAACAGAATATAGTAGCGACTCAAAGAAGTGGAGGTTAGCTCACTGCCTGAGAAAAAGTTCACTCCCCAGGCACAACGCTGACGATGTTCCACAGGCAACATGTAAAGAATGACGTTCAGCCGTATGTCTGTCTGTTCGAAGAGTGCGCCACCCCTCTCAAGCTCTATTCGAGGAGTGCCGATTGGCTCCTTCACATGCGCAACACCCACGGTGAGATCCAATATGCCTGTTTGGCGCCGAAACATGGTCGTGAGCGTGTCTCCTTCAGAACGGCAGAAAGCTACAGAAACCACTTGACGCAGTCTCACGCAAAGACCTTTGTCGAAAACGAACTCGGAGACCTCCTTGTCCGTAGCATGTGCCGGACGCCACTCGACCCGATCTTCCGGGAATGTCCCATCTGCCCGGGACCAGAAAAAAATTCGATTTTGGACAAGAGAAAGCAACCGGAGAGTCTGCTGTCACCGCAGCAATCACCTGCTAAGCGTACAAAAGTGGACGAGGCATTGACATTGCGAATTCAAGCGGTCAGAATACGCAAGAGCACCGCCGCGGATGAGGAGGAGGAGGAAGAGGACGACGACGACGACGACGACGACGACGACGACGACGACAATAATACACACGGACACAGACGCTCAGAAGAGGCACGGCTTATACGCCATATCATGGCCCATCTCCAGTTCATTGCCTTGATGGCGCTGCCATGGTCAGAAGACCTAGGATCGGCCCAATCCTCATCAGTATCAGTGGGCCAGCGACTGGAGCATTCAGACGACAAAATAGATCCCAAAGATCATGAAGGTCCGGTAGACGTTGAGGTTGAACACCATGCCGACGATCCAACATACCACGACGGCATCATGCTCTCTTCGGAATGGGAGTTCATTAACAGCCTCAGTAATCCCGTCTTTTCAGTCTCCAGTCATGGAAGCTCACCTTTACCGAATTCCTCGGATGGCGATTCAGACTTATCAGACTATATCACAGCTCAAAATCCACTGAAGAACCAAATGCACAACCGTCGGTCAAGCGATATTCGCCCAGAGGAGCGGAAAGTTCACATAACGATGGGTATTTACACAGAGATATACCGGCAGATTTCCGAAGCAAAGAAACAAGGTACTCGTCGGAAAGGCTATACGATAGCTTGGATATGCTCTCACTCGCTCGATTTTCGCGTTGCCACCGCCTTGTTAGATACAAAGCACCACAACTTCCCCAGACATCGATCCGATCCAGACAACTACGTGCTGGGCACAATTGGTCGCTGGAAGGTCGTGGTTGCCTATCATGATCTTCAGACGGCCCGGGGTCCTTTGATTGTGGATCTACTCTGGGGCTTTCCCAAGATCGAGCTCTTCTTGTCCGTTGGAGTTTGCGGCGCTAGTCCGTTACGCCACGTTTTCCTCGGAGACGTGGTCGTCGATACAAGGAGCCCGGACTGGGAATCGCCATGGCCTGACGAGCTAGTCCTGAGGCCTGGTCCACGTCGGATCCACGTTTCCTCAGGCACAAAATCTCTTAGGGATCTCGACGTCAAGAGCGTCATGTCAAGCTTTGAGCATACGGAACCCGCCTTGAGAGCGTTTGCCGTCTACCCAGGACACGAGCGAGACCTTGCTTTCCGTAGAGAGTACCAGCATGTAGGAAATCATCCGAATTGCAATTTTTGCGACCCGAGCCAACAGTTGATCCCACGAGACAGGCTCCGTGGTCGCACTCTCCCAGGTATTCACCATGGCGAGATTGCGTTCACGAAGCGCGCCGTTGTAGACCCCCGTGGACAACCTTTTTTCGAGTCAGATCGCGTATTGTCTGCCATCGATGCAAATGCGCAGGACCTCTACACGACCCTCGCCGCCCAGCCTCTTCTGGTTATTCGCGGGATCGGCGATTATGCTGACTCTCACAAACAATCGATTTGGAAGAATTATGCTTCCACAGCTGCTGGCGCATTCACCAAGGCACTTCTACTCCAACTGGTTGATATTAAGCCCGACATGCTCACGAAAGGGGTGACGGGCTTGATGTTAGATTCAAACCGACTGGGCCCTTCAAGTCGCTCCATTGAGCCAATGAGCAAAAAAGAAATTACCAAAGCGATCGTCTGTGCCTCCATCATCGAATTTGAGGCTGTGAGGTCGATGTTCGATGAACATTGGGGATCATATGGTGCCGAAGCTGGGGACGATAGTACATACGCAACCGGCACCATTAGCGAGCACAAAGTTGTCCTGCAGTTGCTGGGAAACCCCGAAACCCCTGGTCAACCGTCGTTGCTTTTGAGAAGCTTTCCGGCCGTCGAAGTCGCGTTCCTTGTAGGAGTCTGCGGCGCGTCCCCTGCTACAAAAGGGCGCTTTCATTCACTCGGCGACGTTTTCATCTGCACGAAGATGGTGGAAATCGACTTCAGCTGGAATAGTCTTGAACGTGTCATTGACCCATATGATAAATTTGACGAGATATACCAGGGGATGCCCGTAGATATTCAGGCGGCCATTGTAAAGCTTAAGCGAAGTTACAATCAACGGCATCTGAAGGCTGAAATAGATGGTTATCTGCGAAATTTACAAGCTGTGGACATGGATTACACATACCCCGGCAGTCAGTTCGACAGGCTGTATACGCCTTCGTACCGGCACAAACATCGTTCACCTCGCTCCTGCCTCATCTGCGGCGCTGGCGAGAGCAGGATATGCGATGATGCGAGAAACGAGTCGTGTGAAGATGTGGGCTGCGAAGATATAGCGCTTGAGGAACAGATCAGTCCGCCGGAGGAGAGCGGTGACGGCGGTGAGGGTGCTGGCAAGAGAGCCAACCACATTCCGCGTGTTCATTTGGGTGTAATGGCATTTGGGAATGGCAGGCTATCATCAGGGCGCCAACGCGATGAGATTGCCGACAAATTCAAGATCAGCGCCTTCAACACCCACGACATCGGATTCCGGCAACTCGTACCCATGGTTGTGATCAAAGGGGCCTGCGATTATGCCGATGACCACCGGAACGACAGGTTCCAGAGATATGCGGCCGCCTCGGCGGCAGCTTGCTTGAAAGCCTTCCTCGTTGAGGTGCCTCAGGTGGCAGAGCCGTACAGTCCCAATTTGAATGCAGGGAGGGACATGTCGAGAGACATGACGAAGTTGGAGGGGAGGAAAGAGAAATGAGCCTCCCACTTAGCTATTGAGAAATAGACACTTGATTGGAAACAAAACCGTGGAGGAGTTGGCACAAGTGGACAGCCATGTATGGAAATGCTTCGGAAGGGATATATCTCATTTCATGACTGCTTTGCTTACCTTTGATATAAGAATCGAACAGACCACATTGAACAAGACACTTGAGAGAATACTCACCGATGATGATCCATGTCTATACTCGGTCTGGACGAAACGAAGTCGTTTTAGAGTTTTCTTTTTTTTCCTTGCCCCCTTTCCAGGTTTGTTGTTCATTATTCATGACGCACTGTTTCTCTATTCGGTATATGTGGCTGTGGGGAAAAGATAAGAGTCGATGACGACAGGCCGCAGGACTATGTAGAAGGAAGGATAGAAGGGGTGGTTCACATGCTCTCCTGGTGGTGGCCATGCTAGTCAAAACGCTAGTGGATACGGAGGTAGATGTGCGCGTATGTACATACCGAGTACGAGGTAGATGGAAGTGAATGGGGGAACCGAGGCTGCGAAAATACTGTAGATAGATACCAAGTAGGTACTTAGGTAGGTAGTTAAGTACTTGGTAGGAAGATTGATCCATTCTGTGTTACGAGGCACTCCCTCCCGTCTACTTGTGATTCCAATCTGCTGTGGCATGAATGAAGGATGCATTGGAAAAATGTACATTTGTTTTCCCTCGAATGTATATACCTACACCTAACCTACCTCTACCTACCTGGTACCCAATCCCACCGTCTTATTTTTGGTGCGCATCGGGCCTGATTACCACCTCCTTGGCCTCGCTGGCGCATTATATCCCGGTATCCCAGCTACTCAAGAGATCAAAACCCAAACACAGTTACCTCCCAACGCCTGCAAAATGCCCATTTTCCATGTCGTCTTTGTCTGTCATCCATCTATGTCTGCTGGCTAATACGCGCCGTATGCTTTCTGGGGTCGTAATGCCGTCCGGGGCATCCTCGACGGCCCGATGTCAATCCTGCTCAATTCAAGCGCCAGCGAACTCTCTCCATCATATGACGGGCCACCGCCGTACCCGCCACTCTCCGGCAGTGACCCTCCCATGGGCGGATTTGCTGGCAAAGGAGAATATTCGGGTTGGTATTGAGATCCCGGTGGTGGTCCGTATCCACCATGGGGACTGTAACTGCTCGCAGACGGAGCTTGGTATTCCGGTGCTGGAGATCGCTGAAGCGAACCGCTGCCAGGGGAAGAGTGGATCGTATACCGCTGGTTCGAGGGACTAGCCCGCTCACTTGAGGCGCCATTTTGTGCAACAGGGCCTGTCTGAGGGTTCGGATATGGTTGAGTCGGGAGAGGTCGGTTTGGCATCTGTTTCCGCAGCCTGTTTCGGCCACTGGGAGTTTCGACTTGAGGGGAAGCGGGAGCCGTGGATGGAGGGGTCGACGTCTGGTACGACGAGGACACCGGAGCGTTTGGAGAGCCTTGATAAGGCGACGTTGCAATCGAGTGTGGTCGAGCCGAGGCGGGCGATGATCCTGTGCGACTGTGCGCCCGGACTTCCTCTCTTGTGCGGATCCTAATGACGTGCTCTGGTTTTCGCTGTTTTCTTTCAGGTTCGGGCGCCCATGTATCAGAAGGGAGATGGTCCGAGGGATCAATCACTCGGCCATCATTCCCGATAATTGGGCCTTGATCCCTAAGTTTGTCGGCCGCTTTCTGTCGCGCCATCTCTACCGAATCTTCTGGGGCATTGAATGCAACGTCAACCGATGTTGAACCAGTGGCAGGATTCAACACATCGTACGATCCAGGCCCAAATGGAACACTGGATATCTGGTTGCGATCATCACTGTTTGGGAACGTTGGGGTAATGGACTTCCGGGGGATACTGTGGTTAGAATTAGGGGTGATCGGCTGGGGGCGAACGACCACCGGAGCGGATCTTCGGACGTGTCTATCATCCTGCAATTCAAAGTTGTCGAATGTTTGTGCCCGCCGCAGAGGTTCGTTACCTACTGATCGCCGGAAATGCTCTTGGAAACTTTCCCCTTCGCGCTGTTGGTCAAAATTGGGATCGCGACTCTGTTCAGGACCTGGCACGCCACTTTCGCTAGAGATTGGTTGAAGTTGATTGATATCACCGTTGTAGGATTTTCGCTTATCGGATGGGAACAAGGGATATCGATCGAGGTCCATCGGTGGCGGCGGACTTGGCTCATAGGATTGCGGCGAGGGAATATGATGTTGTATTTCTTGCGAAGGGCTCGCTAGGAATGGATCATAGTCACGCTCGAGCCTCTGAAGAGGGCTCCTGCCTTCGAGGCTTTTCATCTTGACAGGTGTGTGGGGTGCAGGTTCTCCATACGAGTCTCTGTAACTCAACGACGATGCCGGCACTCTCGTCATCGTACCTCGGTGAGCAGGAGGTGGCGGTGGTGATCCATCTTCATCGAACCGTGGATCGGAGTACATCGGAGCGACTCCAGGCATATCATTTGGATTGATGGATTGGCGGAGTGGACTGTCCCGGTAAGTGGCGTATTTGGTGGGAGACGCGCTGCCCCTGCCGTTCCACTGCTGGCTCTGCGGGGGCATTCCTGGTGGCGTACCCTGGGGCGTCATTCGCGGCGGAGAGGAATGATACGGGGCTTGATCCAGCATATCGTATGGCGAGTGTGGTGCCGACGAGGAATGATGGTCTGGTGGTGGTGGTGGCCCTGGCACAGCATGTGATAGTTGGGTTTGCGACAAAAGTCCTGGTTGCTGGTAGGAATCCACCGCATAGGGGTCTTGCTCCCCGTACCCCGCCATAGGATCGTCGTGATTGTTGTAGTACTTATCAGAGGATTGACTCTGCTGGTAAGGTGAACCGGAGCCCTGGAGCAGTTCGTCAGGGTCAGGGCCGAATCGAGGGTTGAGAGAATATCCAACATCGTCTGGAGTCTCGGGAACAAATCGTTGTTTTGGTGGACGCGGCGGAGGGTTGCTATTCGTATACCCATGGCCTGGAAATGCATCTGGTGACTCTTCCCGAGACCATCGCTCGACACTTCCAGTGGTGGAAACACCGGAATGCCCACCAGGACCAAGTGGAAGAGGTCTCCTCTTGATCTCACGGGGACCAAGTTGGCGAGAGCCAGAAGGTATGCTCGAAGCGTCACTGACTATGGTATGAGATTTGTCTCTTTGTTTCTGCTTCTCTCCTAAAGATTCTGGCTTTGGTCTTGTATCATAATATGTCAGCTCAATCCGGATGTCACCTGCATATTTCCCCTTGAAGTTCAATTGACGCCACTGGTCACTTTGTCCACCGCCGGGGATGATGACCTGTGTGAGATCTATCCAAGCTTCGCCAATGAGATCGGTCTTCTTGTCGTCGTTGAAGACAGAACATTTCAATTTGTAATAGTCAGGGGAGTCGTGGACAGTAAATCGGAGTTCTTGGTCCCTGGTATCCGTCAGCGAGATGCTCGTCCGTTTTTCAGATTCTCCTCACCATCTGGGTGTTTGTCCCCCTCTTTTATCAGTTTCCGTCTTTTTGGCTTCCTTTCCGAGCCTCATAGCACAGTAAGGGTCTTGTTTGCCCATGGTCTTTCGATTCGGCAGGTTTTTTGCCCTGTCCACCACGGCGACGAGGGTGCCAATCTCGGGGCCATCGAGGGTCATGTCTGCAAATATTCCGGCAGCATGAGCGGCGTTGAGGGCTCTCGTTTTGGAAGCCATGTTGGCAAAGATAGAGGAGACTGACTACCGTCCTGCGGTGTTGATACTGGGTTGTTGAGGTTGTTGTGAAGGCTGCGGCATTCGAGGCAGAAATAGTGGTTCTGGTTCTTCAAGGCCACATGGTGTCAGTTGCCGGGTAGAGAAAGACGTTAGAGATTGCGAGGGAGCTATCGAATGCTTCCCAAAGGAGATTTGCCGAGTGACAGTTTCTGAACGAAGGACAGAATTGAGTTTGTGTGGACAAAGGGAGCATTGAGACTCGAAAGTATGTAAACCAGGCGCCAGCCACAGAATTTACGCGTGCAATTATGCAGAAGGCTGGGAAGTTTCCGAGGCGGCAGATGTGAGGGCATTAGGCGACAGATTGCTTCCTAATGATGATTAGGACACTCAATGTCCTATCTACGTGAAGAATAGAGAGATTGAGTTCCCCGTCCAGATGCTGCACCCTGATCAATTGATGGTTGATGGTATGCTGTGTCGTACCACAGCAAGCTGCCTCAGCAGCCAATCATATGGATTTCCAATTGTTTTGGAGGTGACGTCGATCTTGGAGTCGCCAAGCCCTGGATCCAGTGTGCGCCATTCCATTTACGGTTAGTCTGTCTGTCATTTTGCTGATCTGTTTGGGCGTCTGGATCAATGGAGATGATATTTCACGGGTCCTGCTCATAGTTCGACTCTTTCGGTCGTCTCAATCTTCTCGGGATAGCTGAAGCCATGTTGCCGTCGGACCTCATCCATCACCTCCATGATCAACACACTTTCATCCAAGCTTTCATACCTACCCTCTGTACGTCCATCCACAATGGCTCTCCCGGCTTCATCGGCCTCCCAAAACATTCCGTGGCCCTCGCCCTCTGCATTCATTGCATCTCCAAAACCGTTGAACCACCCACTTCCTTTACCTGGACCAGGTTGCGTCCATTCTTTATCCTCCGTGGTACCGTCGGTGAGGATCAGCCTGGTCTTCGTTGGCCGGTATGCTGGTGGCCATACTTGTATTTCGCCCTTTGTGCCTTGAATCCGGACCGCAGGACCAGAGGTGCCCTTTCCATCAATGTCACTTGATGTGCGCATTCCCGTGGTTGCCACCGCGTGCATGTCGCCACCTTGTTCGGGGTCGCGAGGGAACGTAAGTATTATGGTGGTCGTCTCGTCAACGCCTGTTGGTGGATACTTAACCATACTAGAAACAACCTTTGGTGGTTGGCGGCTCGCGGGTGCTTGCGTGGTGTACAAAGTCTGAAAGACCCACGTGAGGCTGTAGATTCCCAGGTCTAGAAGAGCGCCACCCGCCAAATCTGGATTGACCATCCTGTGTTTGCCGTCGGCCCAGACCTTCTCCGGGTCGGAAGCGCGAGAATTGTCGGCAAATACTCTGACTACATAACCCAATCTCCCAGAGCTGATTGCCTCACGTACGTAGACAGAGAGGGGGAAATAGCGTGTCCACACTGCCTCCATCAGGAACAGGTTCTTCTCTCTTGCCTTCTGGACGAGCTTCTTCGCTTGGGAGGCGTTGACAGTGAAGGCTTTCTCGCATAAGACGTTCTTGCCAGCCTCAAGGCAGAGTAATGCGTTCTGGTAATGATGGGAATGAGGCGTAGCTATATACACAATGTCGATGTCCGGGTTCTGCACAAGCTCCGCGTACGATCCATACGCTTTGGCGGTCGACGGAGCCTTGACCTCGTTCAAGAATTCCTGTGCGCGGGATGTGCTGGAGCTACTAGCTGCAGCAACCACGGTATGTCTGACATCGTGCACACCGCGAGTTGCAGGATCAACCAGAAGGTCTTTCGTGAATGTAATGGCAATACCTCCGGTAGCTGAGTCATTGTTAGCCAGTTGCACTTCGGCGCGGAACACGGCATCACTTGCCCAAAATGCCCCATCGGATCGTCTGAGGAGCCATGTTGCCAGTTCGAGAGTTTCTCTTGTCGCCAACTGGTAGAGGAATGACAGAAGTTGAAGGATTTTATCCCAGAAGACCCTTGACCTCAGATGCCCCGCATATGAGATAATGTAAAGTGAGAACCACGGCAACTTCCGGGGAAACCTTAGACCGACAGTGACCGTTCCGGGCCTCTTCAGGTTCCGTGGCGCAATATAGCCGAGATTCCACAATGTCGACTTCGGGCGGTTTCTGCAAGTACAACGAAAGGCTGAAATATGTCCACTTAGCCGAATTGCTGCGCAGCCATTAGCTCCAACATTCCCCTGGTTATCCCAGCTTGCTCTGCTCGATCGGTCTCTTCGTGGACACGGTCCCGTAGCTTTTTGAGGTGCTTTGCGAGATCCTCGGATTCGGAGAGGTGCTTTGAGTATAGGTCCATGATGTTCATCGCGACTTCCACGCACAGGGAAACAAATGCTGTGCTGGAGATGTTCCTCCATATCCAGTGCAAGATGGGCTGGAGATCTGATTCGGTGCGGTCTTCGAGGGCAGCACGCAGTGCAGATCGATAGCGGAGAGTGTTCAATAAGGTGACAATCGTGAGCCTATCAGCACCTTGCAGAGCAATGTCTAACGCCTCCCGGTATCTGCCTTTGTGCAGTTCTTTTTCCCACAGAGTCAGCTTCTTCTGTTTCGGTCGCACATTTCCTTCGACGATGATGTCAGCATCTTCGCCCGCATAGTCGCGCCCTCTGAGCCGCTTTTCGAGTCCCCTTGGGCGTTTTTTGGCCTGCTTCTTGTCGTACTCTTCGATCGTCCCTGCAATCAGTGCTTCCATTTGTTTTTGTCTTTCCCGCTCTTTTACTTTTTGCTCCCCAGAGAGTCTTGTTCTGATGCTGAGCTGACCAGTGGACATCCCCACCACAACGTGCGTGTCTTCTCGAGGGTTTCCAGCCGTAACGACCGATGTTGAAAGGATGCCGGCGGGGTACTTGGAACCAGCAACAACGTTCCACCCCGTCATTTCAAAGACTTTCAGATGTCCATCTAGGCCTCCACTAACCACTCTTGATCCATTGGATGCCAGGCACAACGAAGTGACTGTTTTTTGGTGGTTTTTGATCATCTGCAACGGTCGTCCTGCCACGATATCCAGCACTGCAATCTGGTTCTCGGCTGACGCCAGGATGGTGGTCCCAGATGGCATGCATAAGACATCTTCAACCGCGGCCACATGTTTAAATGTCATGACCGCCGCACTTGGCGTGCGAGGATCCCAGAGCCTGATCGTCTGATCATAACTACCCGACACAAACAAATGGCTCGACTGTCCTGGTAGAAACGCACCCGTCCGCACGTAGTCCTGGTGGCCGCGAAAGGTCTCGACGCTACTCTCGCTTGGAAGATCCCACAGTCGAACCGTTCTGTCGTCTCCGCAGCTCATCAACGACGTGGTCTCCTTAGGACTCCATCGAACCGTGCGCACTGGTTGTTTCTGTTCTTTCCAGGTCTTCAAAATAGCTCTTGAATTAACATCAAACACCTGGATCGCACCAGTCTCATCGCCTGCCGCAAGGACTCGTCCATCGTATCGGGCTTCTCCACTGTAGGCAATATCGTCGAACCGTGTAACCGTCTTCAGAAGTTTTCGGGACTTGACAGAGTAAAGTTGCACCCGCGCACCAGTCGTGACAACAAAAAAATCGGCAGGATTCTGGCCAACACTAACGGGCTGTGGCTGCGAAATATGTGTAATTGCATGCTTTGTCGGCGAGGGAATGTTCAGAGGAGATTTGAAGGATCGCCAGTACGTCTGCTCCGGCGTCAGAGAAGAAGGTCGAGCAGGCAACTTGACCTGAGCAATTGGCTGGACATCGGCAGCCATTGTGCTCGTTGGTGTCCGAGAAAGCTGGTTGTTCTGGACTGGCAGACAGGGTCGGTGTCGGGCCAAAATCTCATGGTTTTGATCAGCGCAGGTGAATTTTTCTCCAACGAGATGCAGGCAAATCTAATCTTATCTTGGAGTGAAAGTTTCTTGCTCCACTCTCCTCGAGATGCGCTAGAACAAACCTCACCCACATGTTCTTCGTTCTGTGTTGTGTTGTTCCTACACTACTTAAGATGACCCTATGTGGGCTACACGTTATACTGTCCTCGTGGAGTCTTCCAGTCTTCACTCCATAGATCCTGCTCACCCACGGGAAGCCATGAAGAGGACCTCAGGATGTTGTCACATTCGATCACGTTGGTCTATCAGTACGACGAGACTTGGGAAGACCGAGCCGCCAAACGTTCTACAAACTTTGGGTCTCGATGACTTGGTCTGCTGGAGAGTTACAAAGTCTTTATGGGTATTTGAATTGGGCCATAGTTGGAATACGAAGAGCAAGCAAACAAAAAATGAACAGTCGGCGGGAAGTACAGGATCAAGACTCGGGTATCTGTGTAGGACAAAACGTCGAGGACAAACAAATGAAGATGGCAAGATGCTCATTATCCAACCTGGACTGTCCCTAACAACACAAACATCTCGTTCTCTACATTGCATATCTACCTTTATCCTCTAACAACCCATTCTTTGATCAATCGACAGTGCGACTCCCATCACTCTTTCCGGCTACTCGTTCTCTGTGCAGCTGTGCCTCAAGTCTATCAAGCTATCCTGTCGCCTTCCATAACTTGGATACAAACTGATCAGCAGGTACAACTGCCTATCACGATGCTGCTCCAGTGAGTCTCTTGAGCACCGCACCTTCCCTGGGCTTCACCAGCCGCACTTGCTCTTTCGCATCAGCTTGCGTGGCATCTCTTTTCCTGCACGTCGTTTTCCTTCTTGTCCCATAATCCACACCGTCTCTCGTTCTGTTCCTCTTCGTCCAGCATTCTATCCCAATCGCTCATTGTTTCACGCTGTTAACCATTCTCTGAGCCGGATCGCTCTACAGCAGTATCTTCATCTTGCACCTTTTCCTTGCCACCACCATGGCACTATCCAAGGTCACTCGAGTCCCTGTTCTCCGCAACGCCGACTACAAGGCCAATGGTACCAAGTCTCTTGTCTGGCTCTACAACAAGTACAACATTACCCCAACTAGACCAGGTCCGTATCATCGTGATGAAAAGAATCGTCTCATGAAACGTCAGGACGATGGCTCTTCGACTGAAGTGTACGCCACCCTGTCTCTCTACCCTCTCCATTTGTCTAACCTAGTGGTAAAGCACTGCACAAGATCAGCAAAATGACGTCTACTATACTTGTCCAGTCACCATTGGCACTCCTGGCCAGAAACTTCAGGTGGTATGTTGGGAAACAGATCATACTGGGGAGTTTTATACTGACAAATACGAAGACCTTCGACTCTGGTTCGGCTGACTTTTGGGTACATCTCCTTCCCACATCTGTTGACACCATTGAACTAACCCTACCAAGGTCTGGTCCAGTCATCTCCCTGAAAGTACCAAGAAGAGTGGGACTGCGTCCGGTGCTGCCATCTATGATCCCAACAAATCCTCCACCCAGAAGCCCATGGCCGGAAGCACCTGGCAGATCCGATATGGAGATGGCTCCTCGGCGTCAGGAACAGTGGTTACAGATGTTGTCAAGGTCGGAGATATCACGATTGAAGGTCAAGCAGTCGAGATTGCCAGCCATCTCTCTAACTCTCTCACTACTCAGACTGCCTCGCAGGGCATCTTAGGCCTGGCCTTTGGCAATATCAATACAGTCACTCCCGTTCCGGTCAAACCCCCGCTTGACAACATGATTGCGCAGGAGGACATTCCCAATGACCAGGAGATTTTCACCTGCTACATGGGCTCTTACAAAGATGCCAAAGACCCCGACCATGGCGAATCGTTTTTCACATTCGGGAACATCGACAGTGAGGTGGTCCATGCGACTGGGGGTGAGATCTCTTACACGCCGGTCAACGACAGTAACGGATTCTGGGAGTTCGCTTCAGAATACGTCGTCATCAACGGGAAGAAAACCCCGTTACCAGGAAACACCGCCATTGCTGACACAGGCACAACCCTGATGATCATTGATGACGACCTTGTCGAAGAGATCTATTCTTCCATCCCAGGAGCGACATATGACCAATCCCAGCAAGGCTGGCTGATTCCGTCGGATACCCCTCTTGAGCAGATCCCTGATGTCGCTTTCGCCGTTGGAGGGGTAGAGATTGTTATCCAGAAGGAACACATTGCATTCGCCCCGCTCAAAAACACAGGAATGGTATTTGGCGGCATCCAAGGTCGAGGAAGATTGCCCTACAATATCTACGGTGATACCTTCTTGAAATGTGTATATGCGGTAGGTGGTCTGGGTCTGGATGTGACTCGTGAGCTCTGATCACTAACACAATGCAGGTCTTCGATGCTGGGAAGAAGCAATTTGGTGTGGTCCAGAGGGTTGATCCTACTCAGAAGATTGCCTTTTAGATTTGCCGTTCAGAACGGTAAGGACTTTTGAGCTCACAATTGAACAGATGATGGTGGTGGTGGTGAACGGCAATGAGCGACATACCTAGACACTATTAATATTCCTCGTGTCCTAAGGAGGGGGTTAGACAGAATCACTCGTATCAATAAACTATCCATCCAAGTTATTCACATTGCTCTGCTTCGACTCCCACTTTGGGCCTAAGATTATCAGAAGCTTACGTGTAGACCCATCCAGACTCGGGTTTTTCAGTTCATCAGGACGATAGAGGCGGGCAAGGAAAGTGGACAACTCTGATAGGGAAACAATAGCCCTGGGTGTGCCTTCCTACGGATTTCTGCCCGAGATGAAATGAGGTGCTTTCGGAAGCCGTGGATTTATCCTTCGCTCAATACACCTATGTTGATGAACTTCACAATGAGAAAACTCGCAGTATCATTAGTACAAACTTTTCTCCTGCTGACCCTGTTCGGTCTCCTGATCTTGCAGGAACTACACAATCAACCTCTGATCGACAGGCTGCATGACAGTCTGCGTTTTGCCACAAATGGACTCAATCGAACAGCCACTGCATTCAGCACCTTGACTGAGCCAGTTCAGCCTCTGGCCTCGCCATTGAGCTCGATACCTCCATCTACCGAAGCAAACTTGACCCAAGCCGAAGCTCAACATCTTGAGGAGGTTGATCACCTCACCCCTACATCCCTCCCTGCTCTCGTCCAGGTGCAGGAGCCTCAGGTCATGCAGATCGATTGCAAAGACAGAGTGGCGGATGGCGATTCGTTCAATAAGGCTAGAAGCTATGTCGACTCAATCATGAATCGTGGTAATGGAGACCTGCCTCAGCTACAGTGCCCTTCGGTGAACGCCAGCAGATACCTCAGTCTCCATAATGCAGTCTCCTCTAATTCAAAACCGAGGTTTTACTTTGCAATGAATCTTCATCAATCAGCTCATATCCTTCCACAACTTCTTGGGGCTATTGTAGAGATCGTTCGGCTTCTCGGTCCCCACGTCTGCGTCATCTCTGTGGTAGAAGGCAGATCAACCGATGGAACGTTTGAAATCTTGAAGAGCTTGGCAAAAGAGATGGAACATCTAGGAGTGTCCTACTTCCTGTCTTGCAACGAGCTGCAGCCTGGTGGAGAGGGCATGGAACGTATTTCCACCCTGGCGGAACTGCGTAACAGAGCTCTCTGGCCTTTGACCCAGCGTTCACAGTCGTATGACCCATCAACCACGATTGTCTTTCTGAATGACATTGCACCATGTGCCGAAGACATCTTGGAACTGATTTATCAGCGAACACTCCTGAAAGCAGACATGACCTGTGGCATGGATTGGTACAATTTGGAGGACGGCGGCACCTTCTACGACTCGTGGATCGGAAGACAGATGAACGGCGAGACCTTCTTTGAGGTGCCTCAGAGTACGTCCTGGGATTTTTCCAAGAATCTGTTCTGGAACCACGAGACAAGCAAATCACGGTATCTGCAGGGGCAGCCCGTACAAGTCTTCTCCTGCTGGAACGGTGCTGTGGCTCTTACTGCCAGACCTTTCCTGGAGGGAAAGATCCGGTTCAGGACTGAGATAGAGGAGGAGTGTCACCTCGGAGAACCAGTTCACCTGGCCAAGGATCTATGGAGGCTTGGCCATGGCAAAATTGCGGTGATCCCGAGTGTCAATGTTGGCTATTCGGTGGATGACTCGAGGAAGGCCAAAGAGGCACATGGATGGGTGACCAATATGACAGATGGGGAATCCATTGAGTTGAGAGAGATTGATTGGCAACAAAAGCCACCAGGTCAGATCAAATGCTTGGGGACTTGGGATCGTCCCTCGTGGGAGCCTTTCGACATTTATGAATGAGTGAATGCGGAGGGCTGCAAGTTTTACGGAATGAATGATGTTGAAGGCAAGAATCTGTAGAAGATGACAAGGTACGAGGAATCGTGGGACTAAACTTTCAAAGGGCCAATAGCCAAAAAGGGGGCGTCCACAGGCAGAATCACAGAACAAAAACTATTACCTGTCGCGGGCTCGAACCCATGCACATTCAGTGTTCTGATGCCAAAAAATTTTAATAAAATGCCGACGCATCAGGTCGGATTTATATGGTCCAAAGATTGATAAATGGAGTTTATTGGGCGTAGCCACGGCCATCTCTGGTAAAAGGCAAGAAATGGATTCTGCTATAGCTCGTCCCACTCCAACTGAAATTTTTCGGGGGAGAAATATATATCCTGATATTCTTGAAGTGGACATTGTCACGTGGGTGAGCCTCAAGATGGTCCCTTGCACTTTGTTTTCTTCCCCCGCATCCCAATGCCCTAGCTCCGCAGCGCAAGCTCTCTCTGGTCTGGTGGTCGGTCGTGGGGCAGGGAAGATTGCAGAACGCAGGTAAATCGTTCTCCCCCGGAACATTTCGTCGTTTCTCTTAGATGAAGTTACCATTAAAGATCAAAGGTTTGATACTTGATATTTGATATTTGATATCCCCCAGACGTGTGTTTCTGGAAGTGTCTCGCCTGTCAGGATTTTTTCATCGAGGCACGCACAGCAGCAGCGGAGAGAACAAGATTAAGATGGCCGCATGTATCTTTTGCAAGATCATCAAAGGTGAGAAAGGCCCTCGAATGCATTGACGGGTGTGTTTTTTCCTTAGGAGATCGGAGAGTGCTAATGACCCTGGGGGTGTTTTTGTAGGAGAGATTCCTTCGTTCAAGCTCTTCGAGTCTGAAAAGGTCCTTGCGTTTCTGGATATCCAGCCGCTGAGTCGAGGACATGCGGTACGCGAAGGCTCCTGACCCCTCCACCTCCCACCTCCGTTCCCGGCCCCAGCACATCTGAACACAGGACATATGGACACACAATCTACGCGCAATATCACCGCATTTCACGAAACCGAAAATAGCTAACTCAACGACGCAAATAGCTCGTGATCCCCAAACACCACGGCGTCAAGCTGACCGACATCCCCGACGACTCGCTGGTGGACATTCTCCAGGTCCTCAAGAAGATCGCCGTGGCGACGGGCGCCGAGAACTACAACATCCTACAGAACAACGGGCGGCTGGCGCATCAGGAGGTCGACCACGTCCACTTCCACCTCATCCCGAAGCCGAACGCCGCAGAGGGGCTGGGGATCGGGTGGCCGGCGCAGAAGATGGAAATGGACGAGTTGAAGAAGTTGTATGAGACGTTGAAGGCGAAGATGTAGGCCAGGTGAGGTGAGATGAGATGAGATTCTTGGGGGATTAGGAGGGGATGTGTGGATGTGGAGAATAGAAGAGCGGGAGATAAGAGAAAGAGAGAAGAGAGCATAGAGAGAGGATCTGGGTGGGTGTGTGTGTATAAGAGAGAGAGAGGGAGGGAGGGATCTTGAAAGATCTTGAGAGGTGCCGTGGCCCAGAGAAACAAACAACAAGACCTGGTCCATTTCAAACGAGCACCTTGGACCACATCAGCACCTCATGTGGCAATATGACCGCTGTACAGAGTACAAAGAAACACTCACTCATCCCTCCAAAGCCTCCCTCCCAACATTTCCCACTCCATTTCCGATTTCTGACGATTTGAACTGTTTGGTCTGGGTCGACCTTCGGGGGATAATCGGCATTTACATGATTGAGTGAACAACAACTAGGGTATCCAGAAAAAGAGTGTCTCAAGACTATGTATTTGGGCCCCCTATCAAAGACAAAAACCCCGTTGGATATTATTCCCATTTGCTTTATTTATTTCGTTTGTTGGTTCGTTCACCGTCATCAGGGAGGGAGACAGGTAGGTATCCGTCTCGATCTCGCCAACAACTGGAAACCGCCCACTGGTACTCCCGGAAATCTATCCAGAGGCAAAGGCAAAGGGCAAGGCGGAAGAATAAACAACGCCAAAGAAAACGTTCAATGAGAAGAACGAGGAACGAGGAATGAAGTTCTGTCTTGGAGAGAAAGGAGCCAGAGAAGCCAGGCAGATTTCACCAGCCCGCCATGAGCAATAGACTAACCAGGTTCCAATCACAGAAGAAAGGAAGAAAAGTCTAAAGGCTTGGATCATCGTCATTGTCGTCGTCATTAACATCATCATTATCGCGTGAGTCTGAAATATTCAAAAGCGGTAGGAGCAATGTACTCTGGTGGTGCTGTTGTACTATACATATCACTCGCTCATATGCATGCACGCATGCATTGTTTTGTTTTGGCCCTGTCCTCTACCACTCCCTTCATTTGTCTACCACCGTCTCTTTTGCCCATCCTCGGTCATCCAGTCTAGGAAAGAAATTGTTCAAAATCTTGACTTTTGACGATAGGGAAAACTGTTCAGTCCCCTTGTTTGCCCGGCCACCGCACCGGGGATGTTCAGGTCTCGATGCTGCATTGTTCCAGCTTTCTGCATCACAGAATCCCATCGCTCTTTTGGTCTTTCCTCATTCTGTTGTTCTGGGCGAGGGTAATCAGAGGGGGGCCATGAGAGAGGGAAATTGTGAAGTGGCGTTGGCCCAGAAGAGAAAGGGCGAGGTGGGGTTTCGTCCCGTCGGTCATATCATGTCGTGTCGTGTCATCATCAGATGCTTGGCTGCAGAGCAAGCCGCAGACAAGGCAAGGGGAAGAGAGAAGAACGGCGTTTTCAAAGCCGTTGCGATGGTTGGGGGAGGCAGCAGCGACATGCTCCTCCTCCTCTGCTCGGTTCGGGTCACTTGGTCTGCCGTGGCGGTCTTAGTCTCGTGATCCTCGCCCCCTGGCTTTCCCTGTCCGTCCATCTGGGGACGGCTGGTTTCGGGGTCATTGAAGTCGACATCGACGAAGTCCCGGTCCCGGTCGCGGTCGCGGTTCCGGTGGTGGCCGTTGCTGTCCTACTGCCCCCATCCTTTGGTTGTTGTTTTGACGGGGTTGCTGGACCGGGTGGTGGTGGCGGTGGAGGAGGAGGTAGTCGAGTCGACTGCGACTCTGTGGATTGGCTGATGGTGTTGGTGTTGGAGCTGTTGTTGATGCTGCTCACAAAATCGGACTTTGCAAGTTGTTCTTGCAGGTTGTTGATGAAGAGAAAGGTCGAGTCTTGAGGCGAGAGGTCTCGGTGAGAGCTGGCGCCGGCCGACATGGTCATTCTCGAGCTGGATTGAGGTAAGGATTGGGGTTGGGATCGTGTTGATAGAGGTCTCGTCCTGCTACTCAGTCTGCCGTTTGGGTTCGTGTTCGAAAGAGGATGCGACCGAGGACCCTAGAAGCATTGGTTTCTCCCGGATGGAACTGGACATGCAATGTCTGTCCCTCCCTCCCTTTCCCCTTTCCTAGAAGGGAAGTACTATGGGGTCAAAAGACCCGAGGCTCCTTTCTTATTTCACAGAAAGTGATGGTCTGGATGAGTGCGCGAGAAGTTTGAGCGAGTAAGTAAAGTGAGTTGAGTTGATATTATCTGGCCCGAACGTGTGCGTGTTTCTCTCCCTCTTCCTCCCTTTCTTCACTCACACGCCCACAACCACAGCCACTGCTTCGAGCTTCTCCTCTCCTCTCTTGTCCCCCTCCACCCAACACCGCGCGGGCGCGCGCACCCCTGGAAGTATTCGATGGGGTGGACAAGAATCTCTTAGAAACAGGGGCAAACAAGAAAAAGCAAGACGAGATTGTCGGGTAACGAGGGCTAAGTCCGAAGTGCCTGCCATTCGAACGTTTCCACGTTTATAAATCCCCGACCAGGGCGGAGAGGATTAGTAAGTCGTCAAGAAGGAGGAGGAGGAAGAGGAAAGGAGGGAAAAGAAAACAAACAGATACAGACTTGGGCATAAATTTACCCATTATAACGAAAAGGGAAGGGGAGAGGAAAGAAAGGGAAAAAAAAAAGGAAAAGAACGAGGAAATTGGAAAGATGATCGTTTGATGTTCATTAAACAAGACGCGTTTCCACTTTTTTTTCTTCTAACTTGGACTTGGTATGTATGTATACGGAGTATGTACGTATGTATTGCGTCTACGTAGATACACATATTTTATGCCCATGTACAGTACTCGGTTTTCTCGCCCAGTTAGCAGTCGTCCACCTGCAAGAGACGAAACAAAACCCGATGACATACTCAGACCGGGCTTGAATCCGAACAACACCATCAGAGCTCCTCCCTCCTCCTCCTCCTTCTTCCTCTTCCTCCTTCACCCCTACCCAGGGACAAGCGCGTGCCGGCCGGCCCCTCCTGAGAACGGTCTGTACCCGCTGGCGCTGGCGCTGGCGCTGGGTGAACTGCGGCCGAAGGTCAAGGAGGAGGAGGGGGAGTGAGTGAATTCGAGGAACACAGCCCCCTCCACTTCCCTCCCCTCCCTCACTCCAAGTTGCTCGGTAAGTAAGTAGTGAGACTACGGAAGTAGCTGATACATGATACATACCCTTTGGCACCTTGGGTTGCAGAATAGCTACTGACCGACACTACCACTACCACTACTACGTCTCTTACTACTCTTTACTCGTTATTCGTTACTCGCAACGTTGGGCAAGCAAGCAAGCAAAGTCCACCCACAGCGAGCGCGCGCAAAACGATCAGCGTTGCGCATATGCAGACTTCTGGCTGGACCCGGGGCGTCCATCAATACAGTTAGTCGTTACACCCTTGGGCATTTCCGCTTCCCTTTCCTTTTCACCCTTTCCACCCCTTCCCGCTCGCTCGCTCTCACACCGCCCACGGGTTGAACAGCCGGCGGGTTGAAGCGTGAGAACGTGGGAGCATTATTCCGGGGTAAGGCAATGGGTTGGGTAGGGGAGAGGGGGTAGGGGGGCCATCAAAACTACCTCCCTGGGAGACGAGACAGAAGATCATCCAGCATTGGATGCTAGAAGAAAAGAGAAGGAGAAAAACGATTCCTGGCTAGCCAGCAGCACCTCTTCTGTATCTCTTCTTCCCCCTCCCCCTCCTCCGTCCGACCAGCCAGAGACGAATGTGATAATGCAACGGGCTCTTTGCGCAAAGGAAATAACCCCCCTCCAGAGGTATTAGGCAGGTTCGCGCGCCAGGAAACCAAAATAATACTCGGTACCAAAAAAAATAGAACAAGATATTTTGATCAAACGGCCACCGACGTAACTGTGCATGAAAGCAAAATCCCTGAAGAACAGGGGGGTCTGCTGCTTGCTTGCACTCGGGACTTATTGTTCCACCAGAAATTCAAGGGACCCCCTTTGCCCTTTGCACCTCCAGGGGGCCCATCGTATCAACAATAACAGACCCCCAGGAGGGTTCCTCGCGTCGAATGGGTGGTCCCCGCCATGCTGGTTGGTGGCTGGTTGGGATCACCAAACTGGATACTTGCTTATGCGAGTCAGCGTCGTGTGTGGACCATCGGGAAGATTTGGTGGCTTCTAGCACCGGCTCCATTGGCCTGGACTAGGGAGTTCTAGACCGCTCCATTTCATGGATGTCGGCACCTCAGAGTTTTTAGGCGGATTTGGCGAAGATGCAATCATGTCATAAGTCGTAAAACCGAGTGCTGCCCAAAAGAAGGTCGAAGCCCTGTTTTGGGAGATAGATACTCGTACTCGGTAGACAGACTGACTTCTGCTTGAGATGGAAGAGACGTATAGACAACCCCGGAACAGATCTGAGGGGTTTTGCAATGCTCGACGTGTGCTTGTCGTGGACTCATCAACCTGTCCCATCGAGGACAGACAGGGGTCTAGTGCGTGAGTCGGACATACTCGGTACTCGTACAGTATTTGGCAAACGGACGCCGTTCTGCCACGGGTGCTTCGGTCTGTGCAAGCTCGTGCAGATCGTTCCATCGTCGAATCATTTCGAGCCGGCGAGCCTTGCCAGCTTCCTCGTTCAATGGAAGTACTTCAACTCGATACGACTGACCACATTCGGCCGCTCGTTTCTGCAGATGGTCAAGATCACGACATGCCCCTTCCATTCACAATCTGCGGCACATCAGTCCAACCACTGGGATCGACAGGTGGCCCAGGGGGGGAATTAATCCAGTGTATCGGTAAGAAATCGACTTACCTCCGCCCGCACCGTGTCTGATCCGACCAGGGCTTGGGAAATATACAAGACCTGTTCTCCGTGTTCCGTAAAAAACCCTGAACACGACGTTGACCCATTTGTACGAGGTATTCCGTCCATGGAGCAATACCTGCTATGATATGGGTCCATGACGCAACACACCAACTTCTTTCCGTCGAGAAGACGACGGACTTGAGGCTTGGTGGGTACCTTTGTGTTCAGAGAGCCGGGCCTTATCTCAGATTGGTGTCCATCTGCATAAGTCCAGAAGCAAAGCAGTGGCGGTGACAACACAAGAGACCAATCCAAAGTGAGGGTGGCCTTTGATAATACGGGAACATAGACGAGAGGTCAACAAGTGGGAACAGGAGTAGACGAGACCCGTGACACCAAATGCAGAAAGATGGTCCGCGCCTCGCTTTTTGCACGACGGCGCAGAGCTGCTGTGAAGTTCCGTCCAATAATCAACGAGGTGATCGACTTGACCCGGAAGGAAGCTCGGATGCTGGTCTTGACGTATCAGTAGTCAGTCTGTTCAAATCACTCTCAAAGGAGAAAAAAAGGGTGCTGTTCTGGCCCCAGGAACGTGTGATCTGGTCAACCGCCATCCGTCAATCTGGAGTGGATGTGTGGATGTGTGGATATTTGGTGGATGGTCCTCTCATTTTGTATAAGTGCGTCTTGGTGTTGTTTGTGGCCTTCTTCTGAACGATCGTATCGTTGAAATCTCCTTGTTTTCGATTCTTTTTCTTCCACAGACTCAATTGTAACTGTGCCCCAAATGCAGTAACTCGTTTTGGCCGTCCTCACCGTCTTCATCCTTGGCCGATGTGTAGCTCTGCATGCCTCCTGCAGGCCGGAGACACTATCCATCCCAAACTTCTCATCCAATGCACGGTCGACAAGATCAAGCACAATGACAAACAATCACAGTCGAGCTGTGTAACAACCCATCAGTACACCTACCAGGGATTAAATCATTAATAGTATATGTCTTCTCATACCAGTGCTATGTATCCTTGCACATGCTCGGAGCTGACCAATGTCCATCTAGACTCTGGCCGTATCGTATATCCTGCTGCCGCTTGGGTCCCCTTGATGGTGGTCCAAGGATCAAAATATCAGATATGGGTAAGGGCGTTTCTCAGGTTGGCTTCTGCTGCCACCAAACTTTAGTCGACATCATCGGCAGAGGTCTCGACCTTGGGTGCATCCGCTAAGGTCTCTGGCGACGTCGGTTTGAGATCCGCGTTCTCTCCCTTTCCCGGAGGCGGGGGGTAAAAGTTGATCTTGCCGTCTGGTCCGATCATGCCAGTGCGGTCGTAATACGTTCTGGCCCGCACATATTTGTCCAGTTTCCAATAGTTTTCGTTCAGCTCCTTCGCTAGGGTGTGCCTCTCTTCTTTGATCTTGTCCACATCCGGCCCTGTTCCTTTCGATATCCATTCAAATGTCTTATTCTGATATGCGCGAACTTGGGTGTCCCGCTCGGCTTGGAGAGCATCCCGCGGCCCTTCTTCCTTCATGGCGTCGTTCTCACCAGGTACTGGCTCCACATACTTATACTCCCAGTCCTCTTCTCCATCCAACTCCTTGATGATCTGTGATCTAGGGATAAATTTCTCGAGGTCCTCCACTCCAGACGTAAAGTGCACTTTGCCTGCTACAACAGGGTCGAGCCAGCCGCGGATGATCTTCCATATGCCTTGGAAAATCCATGGCGCCTTGTGGACGAGGACGGCGCCAAGGGACTCAGGATAATTGGCTTCAAAGATCTTGATCATAAACTTGACAGGGGTATAATCCATGTTGGCCATGGTGAAATTGGTCATGTCGAAAACTATACACTGAAAAGCAAAATGTCAGCTGTGCTTCGTTTGGATATCGGGCAAAACTCACAGCGGTCTCTATTGGCGGCCTCAAGGCGAGTCTGGCCGTCTCAATCACATAAACCGTGTACCTTTCAAGGGCACGTTCGGTCTGGTCGCCGCCTCGATGAAGGCGTACCCGTACAAAACACAGCGGTCTGCCTTCTTTATCGGTGCCGTGCAGGAAACTCTTCCCTAACCTTAGTTGCGCCAGGAAATCTTCTCCCTCTCTCTTGATGACCGGGTCACTGGATTTCGAGTCCTCTAGCGCACCCCCTTCGCCACGCAACACAACATCGTCGTCGACATGTTGTTCCTGACTTCGCCATCGCATCGTAGAGATCAACATGACCAGTGCCTTGTCGACATCCCATTTTCGTGCTCTTAGGAAGCGCAGCAGTAGTGCATCTGGATGGTCGGCCTTGACCATGCTCCAAAAGGTGCTGCGCAAGCTTTCAGGTGACTGTGTGGCTAATATTTGCTGGAATTCTTTTACTTGGCCATACTTGTCATCGGAATCCGCATGATGGCTTGGGTCTTTCGTCGGCGTGGCCGATCCGTTACTTGACTCCTTATCCTTGTGTCTCTTGAATATACCCAGTCGCTTTTTGCTCTTCTCTTTGTCCTTGACATCAATTTCTGATGCGGCATCCTCTGTTCGTGGTGTTTCTGTTCCACTGGCCTGTTGGGGGTCCTCTACACCAAAGATCCTCAAAGTAGCAGCCCAGAATTCGCGCAGTTTGGCTTCTTGCTCGGGCGTCAGATTACCCAGGTGCCCGGGAGGAGCAGGCATATCGATACGGAAAGGGTCGTTGAGATCTAAAGGTGTAGGGCTGGGGCCTTGGAAATTCGCGGTGCGGTCGCCCTTGTCGTGTGCCTCGGAGGGCTGATGGTGCCCTAAGTATTCGAAAAGAATTGCGACACCACAGGCAACGCCGAACAATAAAATGTACGAGGAGACCGAAGATTCCACAGGCGCGACAAGTCGTCGGACAGGACTTGTAGCAATAAAAGGGTGAGTGGGAAAGAAGTGAGGCCTTGTTTGCGGGCGAAAAAACGGATTGAATTTTGGGGAGAATGAACGCGCCCCTCTCCGAGTTGCGGAGGGGAAGAAAGCTGATCGACTCAATGGCAGCAGATGCTGACAACAGCAGTGTCGCATCTATGACAGAATGAAGAAAAAGAGGCCGGATCACACTTGATTATCAAAGATGCGAGATTGCCGCCTGTCTGAATGTTTTTGTTGAGCCGAAGAAGCCGTGAATTGAGGATAAACTCAGCACAAAACGACGACTGACTTCAGCAATTGCCATCATCCGCCTCACCGGGTTCCTGGTGTCATTGTTTCCCGTGGCGCAGGAGACGGGCGCGAGGGTTGGTAGCACAAAGAGTGGGAGAATTAGTGGATTCGGGATCGAGCGAGCAGGGATGGTGAATGGTGCGTTGGATGATTGATGGTCGTTTTGCGAGATTGGGAGATTCGTTAGGGATTATTATGTCATTGTTCATTGAAGGTTTGTCCGCAGCCGCAGCAGCAGTCGCAGTCGCAGTCGCAGCCGCAGTTGAAGCGACAGCCACAAACTGCGCTTCTCCCTCCTCGTCCTCATCCTTTGTTCTCACCTCTTTTTGTCGATACCAACTCAATTCCATTCACACCATCAGCTGGAACTGGCTGGAACTGTGCGCTCGGCAAAGTCTTCCCTCATGTCCATCCCCACGGAAGCCGCAACGACCCAAAAATGCTTGGACCGTCATCGTCAATGCGCTCCCAAAATGAACACACTATCTATGTCACGACTTGGGACATTCCCGATTATTAGCCAACATCGAACTTGCGTTGTTGATTATGATTAAAGAGAACGAACTGCACTCATTCACACACAAAGAACCTCTCGTACTTTCTGTTGGTGCTATCACAACGCTAACTGTCCGTGAAGAGTGAAGGGCTTCACGGTGTCGTGTGTACACCTCTGTCACCCTGAACGAGTTGTTGTCACCACTTGAGTAGTGACGAAAATCAGAATGCTTCCTCAAATTCACGATTTAGAATTGTAATGTTCAGAACGCGGTTTAATGGTTCTGAAGACGCGAGTGCCTATTTATTCCTTCTAAAACATGGGTAAGGTTGAAGTACTCTATCATCAGCACTCCTCTTTGTCTCAGTCAAGTCTGCTTTCGTTAACAAATGGCTACCTCCATCTTCATCCGTTCTCCTCTCGTCTTCCTCGTCATTTTGCTGGTCAACCTTCTCGTCCGAGCTCGACAAGACATTATCCCACCTCCAAACACACCAGTCATCGAGGGCCCTGAAGGATTGACGGATGCTCAAGTGGCTATCTTCTATCGCACATTCCAGGATGCCATCTACCTGGCTAGGCATACCGCTCTGTACTGGCCATGCGATGCCGCGAACGACGAGGTGAGTTGCTGCATCACCGTGTCTGAAATCAGGTGGTATATCCAGCCAGCCTTGATCGAAACCAGTCGCTGAGTACGTTCTAGGTTTTCACCCGCTATTTCGATGCCGAAGACGCCGAATTCGTCAAGAATATCTTTCGTGCAATAGCCAACATTGATTTCGACCTGGACCTCTCCGACCCAGAGACTGTCAGGCAGCTGGCGGAGGAACCCCTGACATACAACGAACAGTTCACACGTTTGTCGATTCATTTTCTCGGGGATCATCCGGGTTTGGAACAACCGGGCCTCCCTGCGCCTGACCACAGTTGCGCGGATGGTGCCACTTGGTTGGCCTTTGTGGTTCCTACACATGCTGGCGATTCGGCATTGATGTCTTTCTGTGCGCTAACGTATCAGCTCAAACCCATGCTTGCAGATGTAGAGAGGGCAGCAGACTGGGCAATCGACCCGACAAAGGACCAGTCGAATGGCCCTCAATACTATGATGGATATGGATGTGAGAACCTCGGAGATGTCGACAGTGATTGGATGCACAGCACTGGATCTGTCCTGTTACATGAACTGCTGCATTTCCCCGGTCTGTTCTCGGACGTCCCAGACTACTATAGGAAGATTGTGACTGCATACGATGAAGATACCCCGCACTTCATCTCAGACTTCTATGGAGACTGGCCAGAAGATGGATATGGCACCTACAATTCTGCCGAAATCAAGAGGTACCATCCACGAGATCAAGATTGGCTCGAGTGGTTGCCTATCTACAATGCGGACAACTACGCCAATTATGCAGTCAGCCAATACTACGCAAGAACATGCATGAGAGTATTCGGGGAGACACCGAGCGAAGCCGCTGCTTGGCCAGAACGGCCGCCTCCCCCCGACCCCTTTTCTTAGCGAACCGAGCGGCGTGCCATGATGATGGTGGTGGTGGTGGTGGTGGTGGTGGTCAATCATACTTGGATAATAGTGGCTGTTCCTAGGATGTCACGAAAGAGTTGTCACATTGTCACCGGGCTTCCAGTACGGAAAGGAGAAAAGAAAAGAAAATGGAGATCTAGGTAGTGAAGACGGGGTGCTCGTGTTGGGATGAGTATGTACCCACTCAAGTTCACCCGCTCTGTTCAATGACAGATCACAAAATCGAGCATTTTATCCTGCTTCATTCTTCTCATGCTGGCCCTGTTATCCACACAGTAGACTTTTCTTTGTTCAAGTCACAGTCAGGGACGGCAGCGATGCTGCTCATATGGCCGTCTCATCCCAGTCCCAGGTGTGGCACGAGCCTCTCTTTCACAAACTGCTCCAGTCCGTGCAATTGCACCCCGAGATCCAGCACTTGCTGGTCAGGCAGCACCACGCCCGGATACGTGCCCGTCTTGTTGTACAAGGTAAACATGATATCGCGCTGTTCGTTGCCGGACGTAGGCAGCACGACGTATTTCGTTGGCAGACCGGTAACTGTTTTGCCCCTTTTTGTCAGTTTTTTCTGGTCTTTTTAAGGGCCTTAAGAGTGCGGGCAAGTAAAATGGATAGCTGGACGTGCTTACCACGGTTGATGACGTCGCAGATCTCGCGCGGCGTGTGGATGGCATCCATGGCGTAGAGATGGCGATATCTCAGCTCGTCCTTGCGCTGGTCCCAGTTGTCGAATATCGCTTCTGTTACCCCAGCCAGGTCCTTTTCGACCCAGACCATGTGGACTATAAGTAGAGGAGCCAGTGGAGAGATATCATCAGCAGTGATTCAACATCAGATCTCACTGAATTTGGCACAAGCAGCAAAAAAAGAAGAGCCGGGAGAGACAGAGACAGAGAGACAGAGACAGAGAGACAGAGACAGAGAGACAGAGACAGAGAGACAGAGACAGAGAGACAGAGACAGAGAGACAAAGAGAGAGAAGGGCACTCACGCTTCGTGTCCTCCTTGATGATGGGCTGGCGAAACTCGACGCTTTTGCGGTCATCAGTCTTGATCACGTGGCCCCTCAAGACCATGTTCTCGTAAAAGTTGCCCGTGTAGACGAAGACGGCGGCGTCGAAGCGGAGCTCGTCGCGGATGAAGCCGTCGACGCGGTACTTGCCCTCGTAGATCTCGCAGCACACCTCGCCCTTGGAGATTTCGACCGACGACGGCAGCGTCGACCACACGAAGCACGACACCCCGGCCCGTTGGGCCGCCAGAGCGGCGTTGCGGCCCTGCTGTTCTTCGCTGGCCGGGTCGTTTTTGATTGTCTGTTCGGACCCACAGAGGCATCCTATCAGCAAAGGGGGTCGAAATAGAACGAGTGCGATTCTGGAAGGGGAAGAGGGGGAGAAAACGAAGAAGAACTGCTAGTGTATGGCAGAACAAGACAAGTACTCACCGCATCATAGAAATTCGTAACGACAAACGCGCCCCAACAGTCCCGAAACGCCGCGTCCAGCGTCGACGCATCCGTCAGGTCCCCCTTGACTACCTCGGCGCCCTGCTGGGCGAGCTGCTTCGCGGCATTTGAGCTCGGGTTTCGCGTGAGGACGCGGACTTTGTACTTGTCTGGGTGTTGTAGCAGGAACTTTGCTACGGAGCCGCCTATGGGAATGAGAGGGACGACATGGCACAGCGGTTAGCCCCATGGTAAATGGTTGTGAGGTCTTTTGACTATGCAATGATGGGGGTGCAGTGTGTGCATGTGTGGAAGATATCAGACCTGAGTGTAGAAATATGAAATGTACCAGGTATTGATAGATGTACCTTGATTTCCAGTCGCGCCGGTCACAAGGATGCGCTTCGACATGGTTTTTGTTGGTTTGGTTCTCTGTATGTCTGTCTCGTGTCCTCGTTCATCAACTTTCCTTTGTCGCTCTCGCCCCTCACAATCTGCCCCTCGATCTCTTTGTCCAAATTAGTTCTTTCTCTGTCGTCGCGACTCGAGTTATTCCTCACAGAGGGAAAATAGTTCAGGTAGTCGATTCTGAGTTTCACAAGAGATGGTTGATGAGAGAATGTACATGTTACTCTTCTATGACCACAACCGTCGTCATCATCACGAATCGCATCCCAATGACGCGCCCGGTGTATATCAACCGCAATGTCGTGAACGCGTGGGTGCTGACAAATTTGGCATAAAGGGTGAGGGCGGAGAGCGGAAGATGTGCCGTAAACTGACTTCAACTCGTGTGAGATTTGTTCAGGCATGGGGCGTCCAGTAAATGTGATGGGACAGAAACAGAGAACCGCCGACCTGCCGACGGATGTACCGCCTAATCACGCCCATAAGGCCAATGGCTACGAGACGCTGCACTAGCGGTCCATATTGCGATATTTGTAGTCATAGAGCACAAAGGGCGGGAGCGGCGTTGCTGGACGACATCATCATGGAAATAGCCACTGATTTTTATGCTGAATGAAAGGCATAGGAAGGGGGAACGGGACGAGGCTGCGCAAGGCTGAGTGGACAAGGGGCTCGGAGCAGACGCCGTGGGGTCGGCATATCTCGGTCCGAGTTTGCTGCGTTTGATGGGAGATCGGATCGAGTGCCCCCAATACACCGTACACCTTGACGCTTCAGGATCAAAAACATCAGCAAACTGATGGGCATGTACGAAACATGTTGCGCGGGACGGACTCATTTCCGTCGTGCCCACTTCGATATGAGCAGGCTCGTCATCTTTCTAGACTACAACGACGACCAGATGGCCTTGAACGCGGCCGTCTCCCTCACCGATCGTACCATCTCCAACAACGCCGGCGGGACGATCTCTTCTAACTGGACATCCATCAGCCTGGCCAGGAGACAGATCAAGGTAGTGTCCAGCGCAGTCGACACCGCGGTGCCAAAGACCCATGCCTCCCCCGTCAAGTCCTTGTCGTTGTGGGACTGTCTGACGTGGTCGATTTCACTGAGAAAAGCACGCGCCCGCTCGGTTTCCTCTTTGATGACTTCCGGGCGCACGCCGTCGACCTTTTCCGAACGGGTTCTGACGGCAAGAAGTATTGTTAGTCACCACCCTCAAAATATCCTTAGAAGGGACGAGGGCCCAATTACACGGTCAACTTGTACTCCAAGGCTTTCTTGTGCCTGTCCGAGAGGTCTGGTGCGTCCAGCCTTGCGAGGATCGTGCCCTCCAGCATCTCTGCTCTCTGTGGACGATTTCTCATTGACAGAGTGAAAAAGTTGATGGCGTGCAGATCTCGAAGTAATCTGTTAATGTCGTCTGCATACTCCGCAGGTCTCAGGTTAGGGTGTCTCTCGCATAGCCAGAGGGTGATGTCGAGACTGTCGGTCATTGGCTTTTCGAAGAATCCCGGACTCGACAGGGACGGAACCTGTTTCGCATTTGTCAATCTCCATCCTCGAATTTCCAGGCAACAGCCGACGGGCATCGCCGAAAGCATGTCTTTCTTACCTGGCCTTTGGGATTCACTTCACATAGATATGATTCGGAGAGCTGTTCGCCCTTGTAAATGTCGATCTCTCGAAGTTCCGGTGAGAGGGACAAGCAATTCTTTCCTGGCGACCCTGCACAGGCAAGCGTATACCGTACCATCGAGCTACATATCGAACGCCGGTCGTAGTAAAGAATGCATGGCTGAGTTTCCATGGTGCTCTGATGGGAGTCGCTGTCTACGATGCGTGGTGTTGTGGACTGATTAATGGGATCTCCACAGCCTTTTATCAACGGCTGATTAACGAGAGATAGAAAGTATCAACCTCAAAAGTCTAACATAAGGCCTGACAGGATGTTCGACCTCATCCTTCCAGGCCGTCTTTTGCCGCTTAGTCAGCTCCATTGGTACAAGAGCCGATTCTCGCGTATAAATCGGCCTCTGATTCTGCTGATTAGCGGGAATCAATAGGTTGGGGACTAGCTTGGACGTTATTAGGGGTCCTGTTAGTTAGTCCTCTTCATTCATCGGATATCATACTTTAGCTGCTGACACGAGACCAGAGGGTGAGCAGTGTCATGCGTGAGACTCGTATGCAATGAGTGTAGAAAAGTATATCTATCTCAAGAACAAGACTTTGATGACATCAAGCAACAGTGCCATTCGCTTTTGAAGACCTCAGTTTCGTTGAATCTAAGATGCCTAAAAAGATGATGGTCCCTGGTCAGAAACTTCCACCGAGAGCCGGAATGCAGTGACCTCCTCCAAAGTATCGGAGCCGACCAACGTAATGATGCACAGCTCTGTCGAACTGTCGAAGGCTATATAGGGATTCACTCGAGTTAGCTATCTCCACAAGCGTCTTGCCATGTGTTATCTTCTGAGCTCAAATATCATGTGGCCCAAGAGCCATCCTTTGCAAATCTGAATAGTGCGTCGAGATTCGCTTCGAGGTCGAGGAGACGAAGGAAAACCACAGGCCGAACAGGATTGGACCCAAGGCGGCTTGAGAGAAAGACCATGCTATATGATCTTTCAGAGCGACGAGTGTGATATTCCTTGCTTCAGTGTCCATGCTTCGCGAGGAGTGGCGTCAAGCAGGCTGATGGCAATCAAAGATACAGCCGTGCATCTCTGGCTCGCTAGGATCCTCTAAGTTAAGCGAAGACACGATACCAACCGTTTCCCTCAACCTACATTTCACAAGGTTGAGGCAATCTAACAACTTCTGTGGGATCAGGGCATGGGAAAGGGGGTACAGTGCGAGCATTCCATCTATGCTTCCATTCAACAAAGTGATCCAGAGGTCTTATCTTTGGAGGACATAGGTAGGGTCTGCTTTGGTAGCATACGTGGCGTATTCGTCTTTGAGATATCCACCGGGTGGCAAAAATTGCAGTATTCGTGTCGACCAGTGTTTAAGAGGTTGTCCATGGCACACCGTTGGAAGTCCGCAATCTAGGAGATCCACCGATTGGAGACGATTGATTCTTTAGAAGTGGACGCGTCTCTCATTTTCGCGCATAGATCACAAGTCAGTCTGTTGGCCGGAGACGAACCATCCTGGGCAATCCACACCCATCTAGGACGGGTGATCATGTTCAGGTACCAGCGGAGGCAACTTGTTCCAGGAAGTTCTTTGAGAACCGAGTGACCTGCTCGTAGACTTTTTCGAATCCTCTATCGGCCCCGTAGTAAGGATCGACGACCTCCTCACCCTTCGTTCTCCCCCCGAAATCGCCAAACATCATGACTTTAGCTTTTGTTTTTTGTCCCTTGCTTTCGACTCTTCGCTGCAGTCGCTGTAGGTCGTTGAAATTGTAGTGGTCCATTGCAAAAATGTAGTCAAACTCGTGGAAGTCTCTCGAGCGTACTTGACGGGCGCCATGCTCGTAGTCTGTAATGCCATGTCTCCGAAGGGTATCAAGTGTTCTGTCATCGGGCGGATCGAGAGTGTGATAGGCGCCTGTGCCAGCGGAGTCGATGTCTCCGATACGAGGGTGGGATTTCGCGAGCGACCGGAAGACGCCTTCAGCCATGGGCGATCGACCTGTAGATTCCTAATCAGCCGAGATACACAGAACCGTAGCAAGGCAGAGCTGTACAGATATTCCCGAGGCAGACAAAGAGGACCGAGATTTTGTTCGTAGAATCCGTCATTGTGGGGTATCTGAATGGGCGCAGTCGAGACTTGCGTGGAAGATTGCGTGGATGCTGCCCACCGACAGCTAACTGCGCCAAAGAGAGTGACGCAATGACACGGTTAGAATGGTGCTCGCGAAACGGTCCCAGAACAGTTCTTGGTGAAGGACAAATGGACTCGGGATACGGAGTACTATGATGAAGTAATGAGCAATATGTGCTTTCGGGAGGGGGTTGGAGAGGCCGTTATGGTGCAAGGCTGCCTTCCGAATCTACGAGGTACGGATGTACGAGGTGACGAGGAGCCTCACTAAGATGTGCAGCCTCGCACGCCTCGTGGACTTGGCAGGGCTAGTCCGGGGAACCATGAAACATTTTCGTGCACAGCCACAAAGGCACCAAAATCTGCAGTTTGCCTTGAGGGAGATTGCGCCGCGACCGTTAGGTGCAAGGGGTAGCAATACGAGTACCGAGTATACCAAGCACGAATGTGGCCACGGGTACGAGGTACTGAAATGCACCTATAAAAGAGGGAGCCCGTTGATGATTATGCGATACGGAACCCCAAGTGGCACTGGTCAATTAAAGGTAATAGGCTGCAAAGAGAAGGGCAAAATCCCAAATCTTGGTATGAATAAATAGCAACACGGGTGTTTGGTGATGATGAGAGGCGGAAACTGCAGTAACCAAGAAACGTGGGCGCCTCCATCTTTCTGCAGGGCGGTGGCTCGTTTCTGCGGCGATGACCTCTGGGCACAGATCTTACTGGCTGAACGCCGCCCGGGGCCCGTGGCGCCTGTGCGTTAAGTGCCAGGGAACCACAGGGAGCCAATGCCAACCAGCCCATCAGCGGGTCCCAGGCTCATGGCGCCCAGAAACAGAAATGCAAGTCAGAGAGAGCTGAGGCTTGCTGAGGCTGCATGACTTTTGAAGCCTGGACTCTGTTGCGCCCAGCTGAGAACCAACAGGACACTCTTTTCGTCTCACATGTACTGTACCTGGACATTATCGCGCTGACAACCTTTCTCTCGACACGTTGTCAAAAATATTCCATTCCCTCATCCAAGTGTCACCAGTGCGACTCCTACAGAGTATCCTGGGAACCCCCCGGCATCACTTCCTCCATCTCCTATGACTACATAATAGCTCCGCCCCAGAGTCAGATCCAGTAATAGAAGAGTAAACAATACTCGGTATATACCAAATACTCCACTCCGAGCAGATCGAATGCCTGGGTTCTTCTTACGAGCACTGTCCAACCATTCAAGATTCTAAATTCTGACACAAGAGATCGTCCTCGTCTCCTTCTCACATTCCAGTCCCCGAACACAGACCACTTTCTCTCTGCGCTCCCCTCCCCCCTTCCTGGCCCATCATGGCCTACAACCCCATCCGTGAGACCCCTCTCTGCTTGGTTCCCAAGAGCATACTGACTTCGGTCTCCAGGTGATCCTCAACGCGACCCTTACTCTCCCGGTATGAACCCTCAGTACGACTCTCGGTCGCCTTCGCCAGGTCGGCCATTACAACCTTACACTCATCCAGACGAAGCCCATTCGCGACAACAAGTTCCCCTTCAGATGCCCACGGCCTCCAATGATCGCCTAGCTATGCAGCCGACATACTCGGTAGAAAACATCCCGCATTCTTACGGGCACAATCAACAATATGAACAACAGTTACCAGTCGGACCAGGGGGAGACATGGGCTATGGAAGAAATGACTACATTGTGTCGCCGGAGGAACATCACGACGCTTATTATACACAATCATATTCGCCTCATCCGCAGGGTGATTATGCGCTGGATCCCTACCCTACACCGGACCAGCCATACCGCTTGGATAACGACCATGATCCCATACTTCAGTCCGACAACTCGTACGGCCCAGATCCGCACGGTCAGGATGAAATGAATTATGACGGCTACCAAGACGAGCAGCGTCCTACGCCTTCCCCCGCACCCATACGGAGGTGGAAGACGGTTAAGGAGGTGCAGCTGTTCAACGGCAACTTGGTGCTTGATTGCCCCGTTCCTCCAAAACTCCTCGCCAATGTTCCTCATGCGCAACCGCCGGAGAGAGACGAGTTTACGCATATGAGGTACTCAGCCGCCACATGTGACCCCTCGGATTTCTACAGTGAGCGGTTCACTTTGAGACAGCGACTGTTCGCAAAGCCGCGAGAGACGGAACTGTTTATCGTCGTCACCATGTACAACGAGGACGAATTTCTGTTTGCTCGAACCATGATTGGTGTCTTCAAGAACATTGAGTTCATGTGCAATCGCAACAGCAGCAAAACATGGGGTAAAGAAGCGTGGAAAAAGATCGTCGTGTGCATTGTTAGCGATGGTCGTGCCAAAATCAACCCCAGGACAAGAGCCGTTCTCGCTGGTCTAGGTGTTTATCAGGATGGCATTGCCAAACAACAAGTCAATGGCAAAGATGTCACTGCTCATATCTATGAATACACCACTCAGGTCGGTCTGGAACTGAAGGGCACGCAAGTGTCATTGAAGCCGAGGTCAGCTACCCCGGTTCAGCTGCTGTTTTGCCTCAAGGAGAAGAACCAGAAAAAGATCAACTCACATCGGTGGTTCTTTCAAGCCTTCGGTCAGGTGTTGGAGCCAAACATCTGTGTCCTCATTGATGCAGGGACCAAACCCGGCAAGGACTCCATCTATCATCTATGGAAGGCCTTTGATCTAGAACCCTCTTGCGGTGGTGCTTGTGGCGAGATCAAGGTTATGCTGGACCATGGCAAAAAGCTCTACAATCCTCTGGTCGCGACGCAGAACTTCGAGTACAAGATGTCGAATATCTTGGACAAGCCGTTGGAATCCGCATTTGGCTTCATTTCGGTGCTCCCTGGTGCCTTTTCGGCTTATCGTTATATTGCCTTGCAGAACGACAAGAATGGCGAGGGACCCCTCGAGAAGTATTTCAAAGGCGAGACTATGCACGCAGACGCTGGAGTGTTCACCGCAAACATGTACCTCGCCGAAGACCGAATCCTGTGTTTCGAGCTCGTCAGCAAGCGCAACTGTCAGTGGATCCTTCAATATGTCAAGTCCGCCACAGGTGAAACTGATGTTCCGGATGGCATCGCCGAGTTTATTCTTCAGCGGAGACGTTGGCTGAACGGATCCTTCTTCGCTGCAGTTTACGCTGTGGCACACGTCTACCAGCTCTGGCGCAGCAATCACAGCGCCATCCGGAAATTCATGTTCCTGGTCGAATTCACGTACCAGACTATCAACATGCTTTTCGCCTGGTTCGCTATTGGCAACTTCTTCCTGGTTTTCCGACTTTTGACGTCTTCCCTTGGCTCACCTGGCCCTCTGGGCAGGACTGGCACAGTTCTGGGCGTCATCTTCGAGTTCATATACCTGGGCACGTTGCTTTACTGCTTCATCTTATCCATGGGTAACAGGCCCCAGGGTTCCAAGAAGTCGTATCTGGCTATGGTTATATTTTGGTCCATTCTCATGATTTGGTTGACCTTTGCTTCAATCTTCTTGACAGTGAAGTCGATCCAGACCGAAGTCAACCAGAAGGACTTCAGCTTTTCGACCATCTTCAACAACAGCACATTCTTCGGCTTGATCGTCTCTCTTGCGAGCACATATGTCCTCTGGTTCGTCGCGAGCTTTTTGTTCTTCGACCCTTGGCACATGTTCACCTGCTTCCTCCAATACATTGTCCTCACTCCGACCTACATCAACGTCCTCAACATCTACGCATTCTGTAACACTCACGACATCACGTGGGGTACGAAAGGAGACGACAAGGCCGAAAAACTTCCAAGTGCGAACGTGAAGCCTGGTGGGATGGTAGACGTGACGATTCCTCAAGATGACGGTGATTTAAATGCCCAGTATGATGCGGAATTGAAACGATTTGCGACCAAGGCAGAGAAAGAGGTCAGGAAGCAAAGTCCGGCGGATAAGCAAGAAGATTACTACAAATCTTTCCGAAGCAACGTAGTCACTGCCTGGATGATCACGAACTTCATCCTGGTGGCCGCCGTCCTCAACATTTCCGGGTTCGAGAGAATCGATACGGGCGACACGGCACAGCAGAACTCGACCATTTATTTGGCGGTCATTCTGTGGTCGGTGGCGGGATTGTCACTCTTCAGGTTCACTGGCGCATGCTGGTTCTTGATTGTACGAATGGTAAGTCGATCGTCGTCTTTAGTATGATCTCTGGCTGACCTTATCTAGTTCCGCGGTGTATGATTTCACGAAAAGTCCCTATACCTGAGACACAGGCGACATTTTGGATGATGACTTGCATTATATGTACGACTGTCGGGCGTTTTAAAAGGCACACTGTGTATGTATAGGACGGGCAACGAGAGGGCTTCACCATGGCGAGATACCCCAAGGAAATCGACTGAGCGTTTGGACACTGGGAGTTCGTCACGACTTGGACTTTAACCGGGACGAGAACAACTTGAATAGATGGCAGTCAATCGTAGTCAACGACAAGGCTAGTTGTGTATTGCTTGTCCATTCCCTGACCCGCATCTATGTCCACATTTTGGTCTATAGTCATGTATAATCAAGGCTATCTCAGCCCCAAGGTTTACCCTACATCATGCCCTAAATCAAGTCTTTGACCAGACACAGAGTCCGATGCCGCCACATACCAAGACCATCCCCAGCCAGGTGTCTCTCGAAATGAGTTTGCCCTCTGCATACCATTCTCCCAACACGGTGAATAGGAACGCCAGAGAATTGGTGATGGGCACTGTTAGAGACAATTCTGTATGGGCCGGTCAGCCGTTGATGATCGACATTGTCTGTTGCTCAAAGACAATAACAGTTTACAATAGTGTCCAAACACCGTGTACATACCGGCTTGGCCAACTAACAGAAAGAACCAGACACTTCCCGTCAAATTCAGAAGCAACGGAACGGCATAGGTCGGGGTTCTCAAGAGGCCCAAGACGGTGAAGAAGGCTTTGGCCACCTGCCGCGAGATCCAGGATCGGTTCGGGTCGGTGATGGAAGGGTGGGATGGTGCCGTGTAGTTGACGGCGGCTTTGCGGATGAACGGCGTCGTGAAGCCCCAGCAGATGCCGACGAGGAGGAATGAGAGGATGTAGTTGAAGGGAGATGGCATCGGAGAGCCCGAGCCCGAGTCGGCGGTAGACGAAGACATTGGCTGGGCGGTAGGACGGGTCTGGCTTGCTACTCAATGATAGAGGGACAGACGTTCGAAAGGGGGAAGCTAGCTTTGGCAGTGATATTTGGGAAATTGAACGAGACACGTGCGAGGCTCCAATCGCAGGTCGCAACTCAATGGTCTACCGTAGATTTACCGTAGATCGAATACGGTGAAGTACTTCACTTTCTGCAAACGGTAACCGCAGCCGCAACCCCCAGCCAGGCTCGTTTACTTGACGTTTCTCAACCATTGAGTTTATGATCATCATCAGGCACCCTGCACTGAGCTGAAATGATTGTCCCAGCGCGCCCTATCATGTCCTGCCTTACAACGCCGCACACGTGTGGCTCGCTAACGCCCCTCCCGATCGGCGGATGCATGCTGTTAAAGCGTCAAGGTCGAATCTTAAATACCAGGTCGTCAGCTCCTATCCAGCCATAGCCAAACTCATCTTCACTCAACACAGACGAACTTAGAATGGAACCCAGACACAGTCTCGTGGGAAACTCTACAAACAATGGTCAATTCGCTGGTATGCGCCCAGGCGCGGTCAAGGCGCCACGCACCCAAGGTTCGCACTGGATGTGTGACCTGCAAAGCGAGGAAGATTCGGTGTGACGAAACGAAGCCAAGCTGCAAGAGGTGTACCTCGACAGGACGTCGATGCGATGGCTATGTCGCCCCGAGACCTCTTCTCTTCGAAATCCCGCAAGACAAAGACGAACGCTGGGGTTTCTACTATTTTCGGGACAGGACTTCGAAGCAGCTGCTCAGCTTCGCCAATCACGATTTCTGGAGTCGCCTCGTCCTTCAAGCTGGCTATTTCCGTGGCGTTGTCAGACATGCGCTGGTTGCAATTGCCTCCTATCATGAGAGTGTCGACCATCCTGACAAGTTTCGACAGTTGGATCGCCAATGCTTCGCCCTTTTGCAGTATAACAAGGCAATCAAAAGCCTTTTCGATGCGGGAAGTCACAGTCATGTGGAGGATATTCTGCTGGCGTCAATCCTGTTCACCTTTTTTGAAAATATTCGAGGGGTGTTATCAAATGCTCTGGTTCACCTAAATGCAGGCTTGCGAGTCCTTTCCGAATGGCAATCCTCGGACGGATCTGAAACTATACTCAAGCCATCTGGCGGACTTATTGAGGAGCATCTGGCACCTATCCTAAAGCATCTCCAAAACACAGCTGCCACTTTGATGCCGATGCGACCAGATCAGCCTAAGATGTCCCAGACTGATCTGCCAGAGTGTTTTCAATCCTTAAAAGAAAGCCACTTCTATTTCGAAAAGCTGGTCCATGGTCTATGCAGCAGCCTTCAACACATCCACGAACAGAACGCGTGGCCGTATTGTGATTCCAGCATAGTTCAACAAGGGAGAACACTTCTGTGGACATGGCACGAGTCGTTCACAAAGTTTCTTGGCGAGGGGAGACATAGAAGCTGCAATTGCACCGTTCCTTTATCTTCTTTCCACTTTGACATTGGAACCTGCTATCTGCAGATGCAGTTTTGGGCCACCATAATACGACTGGAGTCAACGATATCTCGATCGGAAATGGTGTTTGACAATCATCTACCCAAATTCCAAGTTCTACTCGACCTGACCACACGACTTGCGGATATGCTCGATATGGAAGTGGCAGCTGGTGCTGATACTTGTCTCGGCTTCACTATAGAATACCTTGCGGTGGCAGGCTTTATTGCTTTGCGTTGCCGAGACCCTGTCATCCGCAGGGGCGCAATTCGTTTGATGCAGCTTCGCTCTAGGACTGAAGGTATCTGGCAAAGCGCCGTGGCAGCAGACCTGGCAGAATTTATCATGACCCGTGAAGAGTCCGAGAGTACTATGAACCATCCCCGCAGGTGTCACGATACCCCCGAAGAAAGTCGGCTTCAGCTTCTCTCGTCCAATTTTCTGTCATATGAAGAGCAAAGCAAAACCTTCCAGATGTGAGCCAACATGCACGTTGCTAACTTTCATACCTCACTAACGATGGCAGTGCTCACGGGGTCTCGTCCCCTGATATAATTAAGATCAGGGTTATTCGGTCTGGACTAGAGCCGGCAGTCCAAGGGTTTCGGATTTTCTGGATAGACCGACGCTCGGGACATAACATTGCTATGCTCGCAAACTGCACCCCCAGTGACGCCTCAGGTCTCTTTCCTCAAACCATCGAAGCCGAGTCGAATCTTTGGCGAGAGATTGACGGTCCGAAATGGGCTGAGTATCTCGAAAGGTCTGCCGCATCTCATATTTGTGGCAATGTCAAAGGGATCCAGGGAGGCCACCAGTAAATGACGGAGAACAGCTGGAGAGACGACCACCTACAGAACATAATTGCCTGCCACCCGCGAGCTGCTTTGCTAGACAATTTCCAGCTCTGAACCTTGTAGATCTCTCGGCGTATTTGTGTTGATTCTAGACCGCAATTGAGATGCGAGCGTTTGGATTGATCCTCAAACAACACCATCGAGATCAGATCAAGTCGGCTGTGAATCCTTGCGAAGGGCATCAGCCATGCATATACTCTGGAGATCATGTAGGATCCACCGTAATAGCCATGGTGGGATCACGTGAAAAAGCTCTCCACCATACAAAAGTCGCGAGGCTGGGTGGGGCGGGGGCAAGGCTGGACTTCGGGCAACACATTGGCCTGCAACTTGGAGCAATAACAAGTCCTTTTCTGACGTGGTGATGAATAATTGATTGCCACGAATGACTTGTATTTATTCTTCTCCATCCAAGTCTTACAATGGTGGAAACACTGATTCAACATTGGCTGGCAAAGTAGGGATGATCCAGGCCCCCAATTTCCCAGCCTCGTCAACCCACCATGTGGCTGGGAGTCCAATCTCCAGAAATTGTCTCAGAGGACCCGACTCGACCTGCAACGCTGACCCCAGGCAAAGTGCTCTAGACCTGACTTTTTACTCACAAGTGCTACTGTCTGTCTCTCTGTCTATCTGTCTGTCTGGCCCCTTGTCTTTCTGTCCAGACTATATCGTAAAATCCCACATCACCAAAGGTCGACTCACTGATTGACACCAAACTTCATTCTTCACCCCGATCTCACACCTTTCCAATTCCAATCTACCCGGTACAATGCCTACGATCCTCACTCCGCAAGGATGGGTCAAAGTCGCACCACCACCCCCTCGTAAACGACCTGTGAACCACGACCCAAAGGCCGTCTTTCGAGGACCGCTGGCATACCTAGCCTGCCAGAGGAGTAAACCTCCTCCCCTCAACATTGGCGGTGGTGGGAACATCAAAGGCCGAGCAGAGTTTCCATATGACCTGAGTGCGAGCCCGGAGAAATTGAGACGGCAGGGCGAGGTGAATGCGCGCTCGAAGGCGGACAGGAGTGTTTCTGCTCCGGTCATGCATGGCGGTTTGCATCCTCGCGACGACGATTACGACGACTACGACGACGAGGTCGAGGATGTTCCTGCACCGGAGGTCCAGAGGCGTCGACCGCGAACGCCAAAATCGATAGAGCAACCAAAGCCCAAATCGAGGTCGAGTCCACAGTCACAGTCGAGGTCATCTCAACACCACAGTCACCACCATAACGACCGTCCCGAGCGCCGTTCTCATACCAGCTCGCACTCCCGCGCACCATCCAGTCCCAGCTCGAGTTCGACTTCGAGCTCAAGCGCGAGCTCCAGATCCAGCGCTCCGAGCTCGCGCTCCAGCGCCTCGAGCGTGTCCAGCGCACACTCGACAAAGTCCTACCACCGACCCGCCCCGCCAGGGCACAGCAGACGCCCCTCCGTGCCCGCGGCCGCGCCAGCAGCAAACCCGTACTACTCGATGCCTCGATACGACCACTACCCAGCGCTGCCGGGTTCGATGCCCATGCCTATGCATGTGCCGATGCCTATGCCAGCGGTGCCGGCGGCACAACCAGTCTCGTCTGGCAAAGGCAGTGGCAGCGCAAGGAGCCTGTCGTATAGCTGGTATAATGCCACGACGCCGCTGAAGCTGTGAGAGACTCTTTCCGTCCTGCGGTCTCTCTGTTGGGTGTTCCTGTTCATCTCCCTCTTGACTACCGGGTATTTATGAAGGGGAATAGGTCTGGGACTAGGACTAGGACTTCTCAAGGGATCTCTTTCTCTGTGTGTAACTAGATAATTAGCTTTTCCAATGCAATGGTTTTCTCCATCCCTCTATCTATCTGTTGGATTTCTGTTTGAGTTGGCAGGGAAGGACCCAACTAGACGAGCCAGATCAAGTTAAGTAGACAGGTGGGCGATACTAGGGCGTTGATGGTATACTCGGTATATCCCTGATACCTCGTACTCGTGCCTACCGAGTACGTACCTTAGGTACCACAAGACAAGGCACGGACCAATGGATCGGGTGAGACGAGATGCGATAAATGAGCACTTCACCCCGGTATTGTTTCACATTTCAGTACGAGGTACTCGCTAATTTACATTACGGGGTGCGTTTGTTTGTGTTCGATCTGCGGATATGAATATGGATATAGATATGGACATGGATTCTGTACTGTACGAGGACAATCAAACAGTCAAACCGTGGCCCGAGGCAACGCAGTCGGCTTGCCTTCCTTATAGATTGCTTGCTTGTCGTCCCCGTTATTGATTTACATGGCGATAGTAGTCCTCCTTAATAATGCTCGGAGTGCTGACGACAGAAAGCTTTTAAGGTATGAGATTGATTTGGATTTTCCATGTCATTCATCTGGGCTCAATCAATCTGCGTAAATATGTACTCGGAATATACCAAGCTGTGCATGAATTCATCTCTCTTAAAATTCCCTTTTCCTCCGTAACATAGACTCGTGGATATATATGTAAGCAAGAAACCAGCCCTTCCATATGTGTGGGTATACCGTCGTTGCGCCCGTCAATGCCAATGTCCCGCCCTCTTCTCATCCCTCATTGCGTAGTCATGTAAACATCGTCAATATTCTGCCATCTCTCCGATAAGATAACAAAAGATTCCACGGGGCTCAATCAGATCCTCTCTCATTCTCGCGTCAGTCTTCCACGACCACGATCTTCTGCGCCCTCCTCGTATGCCTCACAGTTCTGACCTGCCTGACAGGCGGTGGTCTGACAAAGGTCTTTTGCGTCTTTGTGACCATGACCCGCGTTCCCGGGTAGTTTCCTCCGCCGACAAAAGTGAGATTTGCCGCAGGTCTGCGGGGGTAAGGGTCGATGACAACCACAGGCGGTTTGCGCCGCCGCGAGTGACTGGACGATGACGAGGAGGAGGACGAGGATCCCGCATAGTATCGTCGGGGCCGGTAGCTGCGGAACCAGCAGATACATAGAAGGACGAGTAAGAGAACGCCGAAGAAGGCGCCGAGCACAATGCCGCCCACAACGCCGGGGGCCAGGCCCTGATGGTCGTGGTCATCGACGACAATGACACCCGCGGGCGTCGTTTCGATAGGAATCAAGCTGGTCGTGGTAGGGGTGACAACGATAGGCGTCGGACACCACGATGAGGAAGACGTAACTACCCATTCACAGGCACAGTCCGTCGTCGCGGTATAGCTCGTAATCCATCCAGATTGTGTCGACCAACTCGTCGCCCATTCTTCATAGGATGATGTGGTCCATTCTTGCGCGGGAGTCGATGTGCTCCAGACCTGCTGCGAGACGCTCGTCCAGCTTTCCCACTCAGTCTGCGCAGTTGTCGTTTGCACGACGGGCGACCACTCCGATTGCGGGTCTGGCGACCTCTGCTGGATCAATGGCATGGAGACGGAGGAAAATGAGGGCGAGGGAATAGATGGGCAACTGGATGATGTTCACGGGGTCGAAATTGCATCTGCGCAAGGACACAGCATTGGGAGGTGAGCTGCGTAAAGGTCTGAGGATAGGAAACAAAGCACTCAAACCTGCAGTCCAAGCTCCTCGGGGGTGGGATTGGTACCGAGTGGTTTGGGTAAGTAGTTGGACTGGATCAAGAGCTGACGAACGCACGGACTTTTGAGACACACTTGCATGCATGATGCATGTCGGTCATGCGTGGGCATATGATAGATTCTCTTCCTCTCACCACTACGCATGACGATGGCGGCGGCGTGTGCACCAGCCTCCTATGTTTTCTCTAAGAGGGGAGTGCTGTTTTTGATCAAATGCAGGCGGCTGGAAGCTTTTTAGGGAAGGAGGGGCAGGGATTGTGCCTTGTCGGCGGGGCTTCAAGCTGATGCCGGGAGCAAATCGGCGGGAGAGGGGCAGGGATAGTAATTAAAGCTCCTTATAGGTGGGGGGCAACAGTAATGGTAGGCATGGCCATCGGCTTGGTACGCTCCACATAGTGGGGAGGGGATGGCGGGGCTTCGGTAGGCGTGGCGTGGTAGGGCTAGTGGCCTTGCGTGAACCCTTTGCCGATTATTGCCAATTAACCAAGTTAGGGCCTAGAAGCTCGTCCCAGAACGATTATGTCCCAGGCTTGCCAAGGTAGAGGTACAAAGTCACGAGTCTAGTTCTATTGAGGCACCTGCGACATCTCCTCATCCTCAGACTCAGCCTCAGCGCCCTGCATGCCATTTCATGTTCTACTGTAAGGCTGCCGAATGATAAAACACCACATACAAAGTACCATCCCACATGCAGTTGGCTCGGTTGAACACGTCACTTCATGTCGTGTCACTGTGAAAGTCTGAAACCATTCGTCCTTTGATGCAGCCTGCCTGGCGAACGCATGTGGAAGCTCTTTAACCCCCATACTATGCTTGTTGCACACGCAGGATGTTAATATCGCAGTTTGACCTGTAAGTTTCTTCGATCTGCCTCTCTCCTCTTGAATCGCGTCTTTTGCTATGCCGTTTGGTGCCGCAGCCATGGATATTGCCTACGAAAGGTATGTTTATCGACGCATGATCTCCCTCGCCAGCTTTGATTTCTCATGCTTGACAGCTTTGTCGATTCGGAACCTTTTAAATTCCTCGTTGGTCCAACAGCAAAACCTTTCTACATGCATGGCAGACTTGCTACAAAGCTGTCTGACCGCATGGCTGCCCTGTTCGGAGGAGGCATGAAGGAAGCACAGAATCGATATGCATTGTTGAAGGATACGGATGAAGAGACTTTTGTTCGCGTCATCCAATTTGCCTATACAGGTGACTATGCTGTCGCCGAGCCAAAGTCAGATAGCGTTCCCTCCACAGCAGACAATGACGATGATATCCCTGCTCCACCAGCTGAAGAACCAGTCTCCTGTGACGACGCTCCAACCGCGGAGCCTGCTCAAAGTTTGGGCTTCTGGGGCGAGAGTTGCTCCTACAAGAAGAAAAGCAAGAAAGGCAGAAAGAATAACGCCTTCTATTCAGAAACCTTCGAAGACACTGGTTCTCCAAACCCCTTCGAAAATGGGAGGTCAAAGGGTGAAAAGGCGTGGGACTCTTTCAAGACCAAAGCACACTTAAAGGGGATTATGTGCTGGGATCCGGAAGTCAATGAAGACCAACATCAGGATTACACATCTGTCTTCCTGTGTCACGCCAAACTCTACGTCTTTGCCGACCAGTATTTCATTGAGCCGCTCCAGGAACTGGTCCTACAGAAGCTCCGACTCACCTTGTCAAGATTCAAGCTGCATCAGCAGCGGGTCGGCGACGTTGTCGAGTTATTGAAGTACACCTATGCAAACACTCCGTGTCGTGACCCGAAGATTGACCAATTACGCGATCTGATCTCTGACTATCTGGTCTGCCATATTGAGAAGATTGTACACCATGTGGAATTCATAAAGTTGCTTGATAATGGTGACGTGACGAAGGACTTCCTTCCCAAGCTGGTGGCACTACGGTTGGATTGAGACAGGAATAGCTAGTTATCATAGCGGTAAAAGGGCGGGAAAGGGGAAAAGGGTTCTCGACAGCTTTCCAACAAGAGACAAACATTGACCGGCCGGAGGCACCTCCATCAACGGGAGAGAATCCAATAACCCACATTCATGCTGTGATACCTGTTGCGCGGGCCTCGACCTCACGTAGGATTCAGCCAACTTCCCCCACACCGCCCCCTTGTAATGAAACGCGAGTCTCGACCGTACCATCTAGATGAGGTATATTTGGGTGGTCCCCCCTGGTCAAAATTATCATTGTGCCTGTCCTGCCCAGTGGTGATTCTAATGATTTCCTACCATTTCCCAGTTCCACAACAGTGATTGGATTGAGCACCTTCACAACGTTCGGGAGCCCTGTATATTTTATAACTTGAAATGGAACCTTGAAAAAAATAAAAAAAGAGAGACCTTATCCCTTCACTGACCACGCGTGACATCAGGGGCTTCTTTGCAGAATAAAATCATGCACTATCCACATCGCCAGCCTGAAACCCAGTCGGGACACTGTAAGGGTCGGCAATCGGACCTCTCTTGACAGGCGAGGCGTAGACGGTCACAAACGTATTGTTGGAATGGCCCGGCAAGACTCCAGTGCGCAAGAAGCGCTTCGCGATCGCGGTCGAGGATTCAGCGGGCACTATCGAAAAGGAAGGGCCTGGTTAGTTCTCCCTAGAAAGGGAAAACGCAAGGCAATAGACGGCACTTACGGTTGAATGAAACATGGTCATCGCCATGCCGAACAACCAGATGACCATTCGGAATGTCGGGCATCGTCATCGTAGTCCATTCTGTTGGTGCGCTGTGTCATGTGAAGCAAGTTTGTCAGAAGATTGCCTTTGAGCTCTAATGGTTTGCGCCTGGGTCAAAACCTACCTGCCATCGAAATCCGCCGTGACGACCAGCATGGGGATTTCCGTGCGGATTGGTACCAATGGCGCTGTGTCGAACGGCCAAGCTGAGCAAGCAAGCTGGACCGTGTCAGCGTCAAGTTCAAAAACACTCATTGGTAGTGACAAAACTGACTTGTGCTAGCCAAGTTGTTGTTTGACCGAAGTTGTTGGTATCAAGCTATGATCAAATCTTGGTCAGCCCTTCGTCCTATAACTGAATCAAGCAGCTTGAGACACAGTTCTTACCGCTAGACCAGCGTTCAAAGATTTTTGAAACCCAGAAAACGTTGTAGTCAAAGCTGTGTATCCGTCAGACCAGCTATCATTTATTCGCAGAAGGACACCCACGCACGAGAGTCACCGCACTCCAGAACATAAGCAACAATGCTCCCGGCCGTCAATGCTTGTTGGGGCAAAGCGTCCAAAGCGCTGATATTCATCGACAACGCGGCAATCAAGTCGATAATCTGAGGAAAGTCGGGCTGATCTTGGAGCAGCCCGGTGATGGTTGCTTGAATGGCCCAGACAGTGTCGATAGATGAGTTGGAGGCTGTCTTCATGATTTCACGGTATGCCTGACAAATGTTAGCGAATAATTCTGTTAGACACAATCTCCAGAGACTATGGCACCCACTTCTGGAACACTGCCTTTGCCTGCACCACTGAAGGGGCACGACGAGTTGTTCTGGCAATATGCATCTGCTCTCAGTAAGACCCGATTTGCGGCTGCCATCTCATTTTCGGCTTGTTGAGAAGGACACTGCAAAGTAATTATTAGTTGTCAACGTAAGCTACAAACCTGGTGCACTTACAACTCCGTGAGGCACCACCGCGTCCAGCACAAAGTGGCCCACAGAATCGGGATATGTTTGAGCGAACTGTAAAGCTCGATAACTCCCACTGTGGACGCCTGAAGTTAGTTGGAGTCGTTGCATCCAGGAGTACAAAGGAGACTCGACTCACTAAGAAGCGCCGATAAAGTGGATTTTCTCGTAGCCTAGGGCCTGACGGATCTGATTGTAGTCCTGAACAACCTCTCGTGTGCCGACATGCCCAACGATTCCCGGAGGTGAACTTGAATCGACCCACGACTGTATGGCGGCGGCAGCAATCTCTTTCGCAGTATTAAATTCATCCTGAGACGTCGGGCTTTTGAGTGTTATGCTTCGGGACTCTCTCACAAAGGATAGGCGGAGGGACTCACTAGGGGTTGAACAAGGGCAGAACTGTTTCCAGCGAAACGTTCAGGGGATTGGAGCTGTAGGTACCACGAATATCCATCACTAGAAGAAAAAATATTAGTTTCAGTTGACTAGAAGTGGCCGGGGTTGAGTACTCATCAAGTCGTAGTCTGTCAAGTCCGAGAAATCAGGAATGAATGGGGAGGTAATGTTGAGTGCAAGATTCCACGCGTGTACGACTGCATTATCCGAGCCACCTGGACAGCTTATGTTGGGTCAACTTTTTTTGAAGACAGACAGCTTTTCCGAGGGTAGACGAACAAGAAGATAACGCCTCTCGGCTGAGCCGGCCGGTGCATAGCCAGGCCCAGAGTGATATTGTTGCTCTCGCTTAGTGGCTTGGAGTAATCCATTGGCACAACAAGCAGGCCGCATTTGAGCGTCGAGGGGAGGTGTTGAAGGTCAACGCCGGTGGCATTGAAAACATCGCTGGGTGGAACGTGCTCGCTACAGTCAGTCCAGAGGATTTCTGGGTGGCCTGCTGCCAAGGTAATGGAGAAGCAGAAGAGTGCAGTCGCCCATCCACAAGAGGTACGCATTTTGAGACAAGGAGCCAAGGTTGGAGAACTGTCATGAATAACGGTCCGACGGATTTTATATCTTGTCAGTCCACAAGGCGACTACCCTTGTCCTGAGGAACAATAGAAACACTGTGTTGGAGCCGGTGAATGCGCGTCCCACCATTTCGGATGCGTACTTCCTTCAGGTGAAGGCATTGCGAACAGTCCAATCGCGAGAATGGATGTGCATAGGTCAATCTGCTTCAGTAACGGAGGGTGAGGCTGACCCGCCTCGAGTGTAGGGGATGCGGCGGAGTCAACAATTCCCGTTACTCGTTATTACTGAGGCATTTGAACACGCATGGTGTCGAGCGAATCTCGCGAAGAGAGTAGTAGCACGGGGCCGTGGCAGTCTGCGAAGATGTCTTTTCAGGTCGAGATCGACAATCTCAGTGCGTTGGCGTGGTACCTGAAAATAACCGACGAGGCTGCACCGTAGAGGTGGTCATTGTATGGACTGGCTCGGGAGTCACGCCCGCGAAAGGCTTAGCGCTCTCGGCGTGCCGACTGACGGCTCGGACCCATTCCGCCACCCCGCGAGCTTCCCGAAACATCAGCCTGATGGCCCCTGGATTAGGACGTGGGGACGATACTCGAACATGACCTATTACCTGCTACTCTCCCTACCTGAAGATCTGAGCACCCAGGCACCCGCCTCACCGCATCCTCTCGTGTCCCCTCGCCGTCACACCCATGGCCGGGCCAGTAGCGCCACAGCAGAGGCAAAGAGTGCTGTTTAGCCCCGAAGCTTCCTGCAGTACGATTGTTTGCTTGTCGCCTATTGTGCCAGCCTGTGTCATGCCTTGCACTTTAGCTTGCGATGCCGTCGACCAAGCAAGTCAAGCATCGTGCATATACAAGAACGGGCTGCAAAACCTGCAAGTGAGTTCCATCCGTTTTGTCAAAATCCAATCCATTGCCCCAACCCGATACCTGGTCAGCCTCGCATGTACCGAGTTTCAGCGGGCGCTGGTTGTAGTTGCGCCTTTGTACACGAAACCACTCCCAGCGCCCTCATTGACAAACAATCGCAGGATCCGCAAGGTCAAATGTGACGAAATGAAGCCACAATGCCAGCGTTGCCTACGGCGCGGTCGAATCTGTGATGGATATGTCGAGGTTGCAACGAAACGTGAAAAGACGGAATCCTTCACGTTTGTCAATTACCTAAACCACGGACCGTCGTTGTCTGAAGCCCTTTTCCTACAAGACACACGACAACGACGGGCGTTCGAATTCTACCAGCTGCGATCGTCTCTGGAACTGTGTGGTCCTTTTCAGGAAGAGACGGAAGTCTGGAACAGGCTGCTACTGCAGGCCGCCTACCATGAACCCGCTATCCGCCATGCTGTCTGTGCTCTAGGAGGCTTTCACCAAGAATATGAAGATGAGGCTTTGCATGCTTCGGGGTTTTTGAAGACTGGCCTGGAGCAATACTCGTCCGCGATCAAAGCTCTCGTCGCAGCAAACGAGGACCTGAGATGCATGGAGGTGACCTTGATAGCTTGCATCGTGTTCACGTTCTGCGAGCTTCTACAGGGACATCTCGGCTCAGCCAAGGCTCATGTGCACAGTGGTTTGAGACTCCTCGACACGTATGGAGCCGTCTCTAGAGAACTGGACCGAGCCGAAGTCACAAATGCTAATCAACAGCGACCATACTTTCCGCTCTCCATCCTGACCATTCTGTTTAGACGCCTGGAACGCCAGCTGGCAGAAATCGGGCAACAAACTGTGCATACAGCTCGCCACTCTCTGGGTGGTCTGCATCCCCATCTACCAGTTCGGTTTCAGTCCATATCAGCTGCCACTGAATCCCTCGAAATCATCGTGGATCGGCTCACCGGAGTGACACTGGAAGCGACCACTAAACAACTGGACAAGTCTTCTAGTGAGATGGCAGCGTTACGTGACACCTGGTACTTGCCACTTTCGCAACAACTCGATCATTGGAAAAAGGCCTTTGATAGGATTTCATCTCCAGACTCGACACGCAGTCCAGCCCGAGCGAGTCACCACCGTGAAGCAGCTCTGATTCTCCGACTCTGGTACCTTGTGAGCCGCCTCTTTCTACTGCTAGATTCTCCGAACGAGGTCATGGACTATGATGGATGCATGCCGATATTCCAGTCCATGGTCGATGTTGCTGAAGAATTGCTGCATGTTCAGAACACTGGCGCACGTGAATCGACAGTATCGACCACCAAGTCGCGGAAACGCAAAAAGACACCGGCTCCCATCATTGAGGCATTTGTGGTCCTTAAGCCCAAATGCGACCCATGTGAACTGGAACGTGTTGAGCACGAAGACTTTGGCACATTACGGCCGTCATACTTCTCCCGTCTACCGATCTTGAAGAAAGCGGTTTTCACATGCACGGCCTTGTCCCCAGTACCTCCAGTTTTTTTGATCGCCACTCGATGTCGTGAGCCAAAGTTACGACGTCAGGCATTACAAATTCTGTCCAAGCTCAATCGGCGTGATGGTTTCTGGGACTCAAACCTGGCTGCCGTATGTGCTGAAGCCATCTTGTACTCGGAGGAGCTTCACACCACCGATTTGCACGACCACAGAGGGAAACGCGGGATTCTCATTGAAACTGGATCTGCGCAGAAAATTCCCGTTACTGCTCGAATATACGGCATCCAGCCACGATTTGGTCAAGGGAGATCATTGACTTTGGAGTTTTTGAAAGCGTCACCGCAGGCCAAAATTGAGCAGCATTCGGAAATGAGTCTCCAATATTAGGTTTAATCTGGCACTTATACTGCGGACCGAGTACATGTCTGTCCCCTCAACCGTGAAACGATGTACAGAATATACTAGACAGTCTGATCCATAGTTGGAATCATAGTCATCAATTCACCAGATCGCCATGGCCATCTTCCCAGCCAGCGCAAATATCACCATTGCACCAGAACCCCAACGCGACCCATATCTATCTAGCCCATATAGTACAAGGTGCATCGTCTGCTCTTCAGACAATCGGTATCACCCTCGTCCTAAAGATGGTTAAGCCGGCTGGGTGTTGAATTACCTCGTCTTGGCGCGCAGTCGAAAATACTAAGCGTGAGGCGCATCTTACTTTCTTTGAGGTCTACGTCAGTGGATCTGATCTTTAGGGCGATTGAAACCCCCGCGCTGTTCTCCGCCTTTGGAATATCGCCATGAACAAAAGGATCGAGTCTGACATTTTTCCTCACCTTTATAATAGACCTCCATGCACCAGGTAAGGTACATTTACAGCCCTACTGAACACTAGCTACAGCCCTACTGAACACTAGCTACAGCCCTCATCCAATTTCCGGCACCATTTTCTGAACCCCTCAAAAGATGGCGCCCTCGAGAATCTCGCCAGACCCGCCGTCATCAGAAACACCCGTCGTGGGCCTCACGCCCAAACAGGTCGCCTCGTTCCAGCGCGATGGCTACCTCATAATCCCGTCATACCTGTCACGCGAGACGTGTCAGAACCTCCTCTCCAAGACGCACCAACTGCTGAGCGAGTTCCCGCTCGAGGACCACCCGATGACGAGGTTCACAACGGGGACGGACGACGCGGGCAAGCCAACGGACAAGAAGCACGTGGGGGACGACTACTTCCTGACGTCGGGGGACAAGGTGCGGTTCTTCTTCGAGGAGGACGCGTTCGACGCGGCGACGGGGACGCTGAACAAGCCCAAGGAGAAGGCCATCAACAAGATCGGACACAACCTGCACGGGCTGGTGGCCGAGTTTGGCGCCGTGTCGCACGCCGGCGAGGTCGGCCGCCGCAACGCCGCGATCGCCCGCGACCTAGGCTACCGCGACCCGCGCCTCCTGCAGAGCATGGTCATCTGCAAGCAGCCCGAGATCGGGGGCGCCGTCCCGCCGCACCAGGACAGCACGTTCCTGTACACGCACCGGCCGTCGGCCGTGGGGTTCTGGATCGCCCTCGAGGACGCCCGCGCAGAGAACGGGTGCCTGAGCTTCGCGCCGGGCAGCCACCGACGCGCGCCCATCCGCGACCGCTTCGTGCGCAGGGAAGTCGACGGGTCCGCGGGGACGACGTTTGAGAGTGTGTCCGACGAGGACGGACAATGGCCGCGGGACTTTGAGCACGAGACTCCCTCTGACAAAGAAGAGGAATATGTCCTGGGCGAGGTCGAGGCCGGTAGTCTGGTGCTCATCCACGGCAACATCCTGCACAAGAGCGAGAAGAACACGAGTCAAAAGGGACGCATCATCTACACGTTCCACCTGATCGAGGGCGAGGAGCGCTACGATGACAAGAACTGGCTGCAAGTCCCTGGCGGGCCTGGGGCGTTCACGAAGCTGGACGGGAAGTCATAACCTACAAGAGAAAGGTGGACAATGGGGAAAAGGGATGGCTCGTTTCTCTACCTAGGTATCCAAGGAGAGAAGACAACTCCAAGTTTCTCGCATCGTCTTCTTCTTCTTTTTCTACGCATGTCCTCATTGATGGTGCCAGACGTCCAGACATTCAGGAGAGTGTCTTTACCGATCCTCCTCCTTGCCCATCAGCCCGCCAGCCCGCCATCACCTGCATCTCTCACTCACATTCAGGCACACACTTGTATCCTTCCTCACCCACGCTCGAGCCCCCCGATATGACCAGACCAGACCAGACCATGACCCGTTCTCGTTCTCCATCCTTGGAGTGAATCTACCGTACATGTAATATCCGGCATCGAGCACAAGTGAAACAAAGGACCATGAATTATTTCCAACCCACATCCAGGCGCGTGCCAGAGAAATTAAGAACATTCTGAAAATGTATCAACCAAGAAACGGCGCTTCCGAGCCGTTTGTCGTTTTTGTCTTCTTTTCCCCGGCTCGGAGATAAAACCCCCCCAATGGCCTGCCTAGAGAACATCATGCATCATGTGTGTGTGTGTGTGTGCTTAACGTGCAGAAAACCCAAAAGACCCAAGTCCCAGCCAGCCAGCCAGCCAGCCAGGGAGGGATACATACCTTCTAGGTAGTATTTGATTGGCGTGATTGGGCAGGGCAAAGAGAAAAACTGCCGGTTACTCCATCGTGTCCATTTCCCGACTTCGCCTCTGCCCTTCTGCCCGCAAAAGTCCTGCTTGGTGACGTATGTACCTCTCGTACGACGGGTACAGATCATAATCCATTACCCATTTCCTAAAACCAGTACTACGGGGTATAATAATAATAACAAGAACGATTATTAGTACGGAGTGCCTACCTAGGTACCTTACCTACCCAGCCTACAAGCCTGCCACTTACTTACCAAGGTGGTACATGGTAGGGGAAAATTCTCCGTGGGTGACGACTTCCTTTCCTCTTTTGGGGCAACATCACATTCCGTCCCATTGATTTCGCCTTTAATTTATTTTTATTTTTTGACGAGATATCGTTATTCCTTTCTTTCCTCGTCAATAGGACAGGATAGACTGACAGTTTTCAAATATCTTGTTCTAAAGATTGACACGGCTTCAGCATCAGTCAAGTCGTAATTATCACCCCCTCAACGCTGTCCACTCTCGCCGTGTCTCTAACCCCTCCATAATGTCTCGACCACAACTCCAAACTCGGCCCTCGAGCATCGTCGCACAGCGCAAAACAATCATCCTCATCTCTGGCGGAAATGCAGGAATCGGCTATGAAATCGTCAAGAGGCTCGCCGGCGACAGCCCCAACAACCAAGTCTTGATGGGATGCCGCGACACCCACAAGGGCGAAGAGGCGGTGGCGAGCATGGGCGCCCCCATCAACGTCAACCCCATCCAGCTCGACATCACCGATGACGAGTCCATTGAGCACTGCTTCCTGGCCATCCAGCAGCATTTTGGCAGACTTGACATCCTGATCAACAACGCCGGGACGGCCGCACAGCATCTGGCCCAGGACGCTACGGTACGGCAGAAATTCGACCTCTGCATGAACGTCAACGTCACCTCGACCGCCGTCCTCACCGACAAACTATTGCCACTACTCGAACAGTCTAAGTTGCCCAAGGTCATTTTCATCACTTCCACCCTGGGATCCATACAGACCACTCTAGATCGTGGCATCATGTTCAAGGGACCCTGGTACAATTCGAGCAAATCCGCCGTGAACGCGCTCGCCGTATACTACGCCAAGCTGTACCCGCAATGGAAGGTCAACACGGTGTGTCCAGGGTATCGTGCGACAGGTTTGAACAATGCAGACGTGAACAAAGAGGGATTGCATCCAAAATTGGGAGCTGTCAGGGTTGCCGAGTTGGTGGCGCAAGGGCCTGATGGAGTAACGGGGACATATTCGAATTCCGAGGGTGAGATACCTTGGTGACTTTTGATGTTTCTCATGGGAGAAGATTCTCGCGCTCTTCGGCATCGTCGGGAGTCTCAGTGTATCGATTTCTTGTTGCTCTGCGTGTTAGATAGCTGGACAACTGAAAACTCCAATGACAGCACATGCCGGCGCAAAAGCCGATGGCATCGTTTTTAAACGCAATAAGCAGGCCAGCTGTCACAAGCATCACACTCCATCTTTGCTTCTGTTCTTCGTCTGTGATGTCGGTGTGTCTTGCGCGTGACGCTTCTTTGCCCAGGTCTCGCGCCCGCGGCGTGTTCAGACTCTCTCCGACACTAGCGAGCTCCAGCCCCGCCGCGATGATCATGACCGAGAGGAGTGCCAAAGGGAATCTATGAAGGAGATCTGTAAGGCTTTCACCAAACAGAATGCCCAGTAGGAGTTTGAAACACCCGAGGAAGATGATACTGGCGCCCGAGCGAGCGCCGAATCGGTATTGTGCCGCCAACCCGCCGGAGCCGTGGCACACGGGCATGGCTCCGAACCAGCATCCAAAGAGATTCATGGCCGCGACACTGAGACCGATCGCCGTGACCGAGGGGGTTTCAATGTCCGGGAGGAGATCAGTGGCCAGGTGGGCAACGGCGATGATAGAGTTGAGTGTGGTCAGGGGGAGTTGGCCGATGCCGGCGTCCAGGATCCCCGTTTTCCACTCTTTTCCCGAAGGGGCTTGGGTGTAGGGACGCCACATTTGGAATCCTGGAAGGTGGTGTTTGTCGTGCCCTGTGATTTGGATCAAAGCGAACACGACGCCGACGAGGAACAGGATCAGGGCATAGGGCGTCCGCGGGCGGAGATTGATTGCGAATAGCGCGATGAAGGCCAGGGTCATCCATATGTAGTTGTCTGCCCATGACGGCCTAGTCCACGATAGGGATGACAGCGCTTTGGTGCCCGCGGCGATGATCAAGCTCAGCCCGGCGCCCACCTGGATCCCCTTGACCACGGGGATCGGAATGACCCGTGTGAACCACGACAGGATCCCCGTGACGCTGAACAGCAAGATGCAGCTCGAGACGAAGATGCCCGCAGCGGCCGTCTGGCCTGCCGTCAGGGACTTGAGGATCGCGACGGCGGCGATCGCTTTCATCGGCTGCACCGGAAGGGGGATGCCGAAGAAGGCACCCGTCAAGATGTTGTACACGCCGGTGAAGATGAGCGTGGTCGTCAGGGAAATCTGGTGACCTTCGGCCAGGGCGATCGCAATCGGTAGGAACGTGCCCAAGTCGCCGAGCGAGCCCGAGATCTCGTTCCATGGCTGTCGCCGAAAGGTCGACCAGTTGTGGGAGGCGGCGTGTCGCAGGCGGGATTGGCTCATCGTGGGTTTGGATGTGAAGACTGCTTGGTGTTCGTGTTCATTCTCAAGGTCATGAAAGACGAGAGAAAAGAGAGGCCCGCAGGGATAGAAATAGTCGGCAGGGATGGAGGGCAGATGATGGTGGTGCAGGGATGGACCTCGCGGATAAATGATGGATGAATGATAATCCGAGTTCGCATGTGGCCGACGGCGAGGCTGTTATTTCTCAACCTCCACGGGCGCAGTCAATACACTCCACTCTATCATTTAGCTGTCATTAATTTCTTCATCCTCCAGAATCAATTACTTATCTACCGCGGGTATCTTGTCGTACACACACCATTAATGAGGTTGCCCAGCTATTTTTTCTATAATACAGGCCGCAAAATGTCAAGGCGAAGAAAAGCCCACGCAGCTGTCATCCATTTCACATCCCACTATGTCCCGCAAATACCCAGTTGCCGGGCTCTCAACTCTGGTTGATCATATTTCGGAAGTCATCATTCGTCTTCTTTCCACTTCCTTTCTCTCCGTCTGTAATCGTGCTGTCCTTTTCATGTGCCGCATGTAATATACTCGATCGTTGACCTAGATGTCCCTTCTTTCGAACCCCTGGCTGCGCCGGACGTCTAATTGGACCACCGGCAGAGGTGACAGGAGCTGGAGCGGGGCGTCGAGCAAATTGATCTGTCTTGTGCTCCCGACTCTGCTGCAACATGTCCTTTTCCGTAGTGACTCGGATGTGGCGACCAGGATGGATTTCCAGGTTGTCGAGCTCTATCATGGCTCGGCCAGCATCCGGGATATTCTGAAATTCAATCAACGCGCCCTGATGGTTGGTCTTCAGGATCACCTTGCGCACGGGACCAATCTTTTCCGCCACAGCCTTGATGCGACTCTCATTCACAATGTCAGGCACGTCGCAAATGACAACAGTCCGCTCCCGTCGTTCCTCGATGGCGTTCTGGTCCACGGTCTTCGGCACACTGGAAGTATCAGAAGCTGCGTCCGGGTGCAGCGAGGGAGATTTCGACCTCCCGTTCACGCTTTTACCAGATCGGCCGTCACGTTCGGAAGCCATATTGACAGTAAGTTTCCTGCCCTGAAACTCCTCGCCATGCATGGCCAGAGCAGCCTGCGCCTCCTCCGAACTGGAGTACGTCAGAAAAGCAATACCTCGGTTCCGAGTGGCAATTTTCTGATCCTTGGGAAGTCGGAGATGCTCGATGGATCCATACTTGGAAAAGACCTTTTCAATATCTTCGGCAGTGGCCTTGAATTGTAGCTGACCCACGAAGATCGTCCTGCCATCACTGTTCCGCTCTTGTCTTGAGTGTCGTATCGCTGGGTTGGATATTTTGGCTACTAATTTCAACCCATCAATGTCTTTGTTGTCAAGCTCGGTCGCAGCCTGCGCTTCTGAAGGCCGCTTGAACTCGACATAGCAGAATCGGCGTTTCTTGTTACGTTGGAGAGAAGGAAAGCGAACGTTAACAATCTCCCCGTACGGACGGAACAGATTGCGAACATATAATTCATCAGCGGCAGCAGGGTAATTGGTGACAAAGAGCGTGGATCCAGTGTTGAGAATGACAGAGAGCTCAGCACCTTCAAACTCGCGTCCATCTCGGGACAGAGCGAAAGAAGCCGCGTCGGCATCGTCAAACTCCACAATGACACTGTTTTCTTCGTCTTGTAAAATCTTGACCTGCTTGACAATACCGCAACTGCTGAAATACTGCCGAATTTTTGTCTCGGAGACGTTGGTTGGGATATTTTGCACCAGCACGCTAGCGTGTTCACGATCGCGTTTCGGCTCTTCAATGGAGGGCACATCGGGTTCAATCGATGGCTCTACGGCCTCTTCGTTTCGTCGTCTTTTCTTTCCCTCTTCGTCCTCCGACTCTTCGTCTCGCTTGCGTTTCCCAATGTGAAGACCATTGGCGACTTCCTCTGTCCGACTGGCCACTTCTTGTTCGGCTTGTTCTGTTTGGGCTGCGACCTCTGCTGCATGAAGGGCTTCTTGTTGTCGCCTTGCGGTGAGTTCTTTCTGGACTTTCCGTACCAAGCTTATGGCGTTTTGCAGTTCGTCAGCATCTTCATAGTCCTCACAATGATTCAATAGCGCTTCCATGAGTGGTTCTGGATAGTCTAAGCCGGGATGAAGGAGTCCCTGTTTCAAGACCCCCACAGCAAATGGGGCAGAAGAAAGAGAATCTAACTGGTCGGGCCCTGGTCGTTGGAGCAAGGCGATATGCATGGATTTCTGCATTTCGAACTCGTAATAACGTAGCCAGAACTTGTAATATTTCCCGTAGTCTGCCACCGCATCGTTGAATTGTGCACCTGCATTGTCGAGCCGGCGCTGGGACTTGAGATATTCGACATATTTTCGCTGGAGGCGGAAGGACGGGTCAAATGCGCTTCCGATACCCAACTTCGAAGCAAGACTGTGGACTGCCTCGATAGACGACCGGATTCCCATTTCCGCGACATCAGCGTCTTCTTCAACAGCATCGGGACGTTTGGTCCGCCGCAACAGATAACCACACCACGCATCATGAACGACCAGAGCCTCCTCGATGCCTGCGGCGTCCAGAAGCCCAGTCCTGGTGGCTCTGTGCTTGATGTCCTCGGTTTCATGGAACGGCTGTTCTGCGAGTTCGGAGGACAACATGTACTGTTTCCACAGCGACCCTGACCACGGGCAGTGTTTTGTGGCTCGAGACAAGACGCCTAGCAAATCCGACGTCGGCTTTGACTTCTCGATCAAATAATCGACATGCTCTTCCCATATCGCAGGCACCGAAGGGAAGCGAAGTTCCGCACGTTGATAAAGAGCGTCGACCATGTCGAAGTATGGGTTTCGAACCTCCTGCGTCTTTTTGCCCCTACCTTTCCGCTGTGTCTGTGGCCTGTTTTCCTCTGCACGCTCCCACTCGATGTATTTTGAGAATGCTTGGTACTCGAGAGCAGCATCAGCAGCGTTTTGAGTGTCCAGCAGAGTTGTCTCTAACGCATCTCTGTCACTCCAAATCTTCTTTGCATTCGCAGAGTCCCTGAGATTTGACGCCATGATTTCCTCGTACTGATCTGCCGGTATGTTGGCGGAGACAAAGCTCGAGAACGCCTGGAACGTCTGCTGCCATTCGGCATGTGGTATGCGCAAACGGGTTTCGAACAGTTCGAGAACGGAGGCGGCATCGGCTGAAGACAATTTTTGGGTGACATCGCCAAACCGAACGGCCATGTACTTGTTCCAGACTTCATGACTGCGGGTCATGTCATGCTTTGTTCGTTGCACGGCTTCAGTCCATGTGTCCACGACGATACTCATGTTGAAGACTTCGCGACCATTCAAGCGTTCCGAATCAACGTCGCCCTGCGTGTCTCCAGAAGAGTCGAGAGCCCATTTGTGACAGTACAAGACCCAGTCACCGTAAGTTAACCACAGTCGTGTGCTGCCGTATTCCTCCGTCACCGCCCGCCGACATTTTTCCACAACAGCCCTTCGCTCGTCCGTCGTGTGAGCAAGAATGCTCTCATCCTGAAGCCAATCCAGCCACTGGTCCTCACCAACTGCAAAGAGCTTGTCCAAGTTCTCACGAGCACGCCGAAGGTCGGCGAGGAGGTCGTATTGTCGAGGATCTCCGTGAGCATTTGGGCTGGACGAGGGATATATGTGGTCGACAAAGCCTTGGTGCAAGATTTTGATGATCTCCTTGTGGGTTTCATACGAGGAGGGCGTCTCTTGAACGTGCGCAGCCAGGACAGCCAGTCTTTGTTGGGCCTCGGTGGGGAGAGAAGTGTCGGTGTAGTCCGCTCGTATAACAGTCTGCGGCGTCTCAACCATGTTGATGTCTATGGATGCGCGAGGGTTTGAAGTCGCCCCAGCTGATGTGAGGTGGGGGAAGAGACCCGATGATGAGATTTGGCTATCGGTTGAGTCACGGCTGGGTAGAGTGGGCTTTGAGGAATTAAAGTCTGCCAATGACTCCATAGTCGGCGTGGAATTTGATCTAGGCAAATGAGCAGACGCGGTACCAGCAGGCACGGGGCTGATAAGCGGCGATGAATGCGGAATCTGCTGAGCAGGACTTCTGACATGGGCAGGAATGCTCGATGGTGTTTGAACAGAGCGACCTAAAGGTGAATTCACCAGGCCTGTAGTCCCTGACTGCGCTCTTTGAACATGCCTGAATGGCGACTGCGATTGTGATTGTGGTTGTGAATGCGAATTCGAGGTCGAATTCGAATGGCTCAGGCTCAGACTCAGACTCGGAGTGCCAGTTGACGGAGTGAGTGAACTGGCGCGACCATTGTCTGAGGGAGAAAGAAGAGAATTGATATCCATGGTCGCACGGTTACTGTCTCTTGGTTATCGAGTAACTTGATGTGATGAATGTGCCTGCTCCAACTCTTTCCAACTTGATGATTCCCCAACTCACTAAGGAGGCCATGCTCCTCTTTCAGTGAGGACCTGACAGACCTCCGATAAGAGAAGGCAGGACTTGTGTGGAGGGGCACGAAACAGGGACCGAGGGGGTTGAGATTAAGGCGCGTTTGTGTAGACGAGGAAGCGGAGAGGCGTGGAACGAGGGTCTACCAAAGGGTACCTCGTACACGGGGTGCAGACAGCGTAAAAAGTTAAGGAATGACGAAGGGTCAGAGAGCTAGGAAGCAGGAATATTTTGCTAAACCTCGAGTGCATGAGCTGGATGAAAACTCCGGTCGCTGAGAGGACAGGCAGAGGCTGCATGCGAAAGAGTTGCAGGCTGGGGCTTCGGGCTGGGGCCAGGCTCTTTTCCCTTGGCTAGAAGCTGGTGCCATGGGGGGCTTCCAGACCGTTAGCTCCCCTGCTAGTGGCTATTTGATGGCCCAAGCGATCACTCGGGCTTACCAAAATCCAACCGCAAAATGCCGGGTACCGATTCCGGGCTTACGCCGGCCCTGGTGGTGCCCAACGCATGGTGACGTCCTCTGCCAAGGTGTAACGGTCCGGGGCGGATGGGTCTGAGGGGTTCACTGAGCCACAGGACACGAAGGTACATAATACAGCGTGTATCGAAGGTCAGTCTATACATCTGACCACAGAGATAGGCATTGATCGAAGCTGTGGCGCGCAAACTGCGCGGTCACCTCATGCACGATCAAAGCTTCTATTCATTGGACGTTCGGCCTCTGTTTCCGATATCGTATCGACTTATCCTTGCTCGTGCTTGTTAACCCTGCGACATCTGGAGCCTGTGAACTGTTTCAGAGCAGATCCCTATTTTTATGCTTTATCACTTCAAAGGCCAAGGTTGTCAACCAGTAGAGAAGACGCATGCTTACAGTTGGTGCACTGTCAGTATACCCTCTTGCAGTAGCCCTATTGCGTGCAATCAATGTCGAGCACCGAGACCATCCATCATAGTGAGAGTCAAAAACCCTTCCAAATGCTCAGAGCAAGATTTGAAGGTCTCTAGAAAAGACTCGGTGCTGTTCACAATCCAAAGACTTGCGAGTAGGTTTGGTCGTTAGTCCCTGATACACAATCGCTCTGCTTGATCGAACTTGGTTCTCCTTCAGTGTATCGGATTCTCGGGTAGATTTCGTTGAGATAACCATTAAACAACAACAGCAGCTGTCAAATGCCACTTTGGATTCCAACCAGTACCTATTGGCCGGGTTCGTGCTCAGGCCATAGCAGTCTGCTTTGCCTTCCAGGGTGACGCTTCTCGTGTAGAAGTAGATACTTGGGGATCATGTCGCATGGGTTTTCTCTGGTATCATCGATGTCACGAGAATCATCTCTTCCATCACCAAACGTGGGAGACATTCATTCTTCTTACGTGTCGCCCAACATGAAATTGGTTGTGGTGTAATCGCAGAGGCAGGCGAAAAGGCTCGTCCAGAAAAGGGGCGTGTGTTCGGATATGGGTTTACGTTGTTCCGCTGCCAAGCACTTTTCAACAGCCTCCATCTGGAAAGTCTTCAAGCCAATGTCGCTTGAATTGATTCGCATCGAAACAGCAGTTCCCAATATAACGGAGCTTGCTCTAAGCTCAAGGCCGTCATGATGCACACCCAGCAGATGTCTCTGCGACACATCTGCAGAGGCAAGTCCTCCGTCCCCCTTCATTCCTTATAACCTAAGTTACTGACTGCGTTGTAGCGTGTCGATCACGAACAGATCCTGCACCCCTGGTCGAGCTGTGTCGTCAAACGTCCGCTCTCCAGCTCTCAGCCAGCAGGTCGCTCCATACCTCCAGTGTTCGATATGCCTCTACGGAATCAAGCGCGCCTTCAGCAAAGCCATCTCCCGGCAAAACGACGGAACCCAGTGCGAAGCCAATGACCCCGGCAGAAAGAATGAAGGCTGCAGCTCGAAGAGCCCAGGACAAATTGAGCGAGCAACGGAAAGACTACGAGGCAAACGCTACTCAAGGAGGTCTCGCTCCCTCCAGCGCTTTTGGGGGAGAATTGAAGCGCAAAGCCTTCCAACCGACCGGCCTCCTCGTCGAAGATGCCTTTGAGAAGCGAAATCCGTCAAACATGGAACAAGCTCTCAATCCGCGTCCCGGAGCCCGGTTACGATGGCAGCGCAAGATGGTCATCCGAGAAATCAGACATCGCGGCCGGCTCTCGAAGGAGGTGAAGATCGCCCGGACCGAGCGCAGCCACATGTCTCGATCGCATTTCTTCAAGACTTCGATGAAGAAGCTGGCGCCGCTCGCCCGCCAAATTGCCGGCAAATCCATCGACGAGGCGATTCTTCAGATGAGATTCTCGAACAAGAAAGTCGCCCAGGATGTCCGGCAGCACCTCATCCAAGCGCGGAACGAGGCCATCGTCGTCAAGGGCATGGGTCTGGGCCGCGCGGGATCTGAAAACCAAAACGCAGAGCTCCTGCAAGCAGACCCCAGCGAGACGCCACCACTCCCGCATCAGACACCGTTGAAGACGTACAAAAAGGGCGTCGCCCCCGACCCCACCGACATGTACGTCGCCCAGGCGTGGACCAACCGCGGTCCCTACGGACGAGAACCGGACTACCGCGCCCGAGGACGCATGTACATCATGAGACCGCCACACACGGGCCTCACCGTGCTGTTGAAGGAAGAGAAGACGAGGACGAGAGAAAAGGCTGAGAAGGAGGCGAGGCGGCTGAAGAAGAGGCTGGGCAAGAACATGTGGGTGCATCTGCCCGATCGGCCCGTCACGACGCAGCGCCAGCATGTATTGTGGTAGGGAGAGAGAAAACAACTCTTGTATATGGTGGAGCAGAAGCATTAGTTATTTGTTCCTAGAACGGAAATCTGTAACAAAAATCGTTCCTCATAACGGAATACCCGAAGAAAATTCCGTCTGCTGGCCTCCCATGTCGGGCCTAATACCTACTACGCCTTGATGTTGGATATGGCGCACTATGGCTTTTCCTGTCCGAGCTTTGCGTAACAATCTCATCCTAGCATACCCAGGTGTTATCCCAGTCCCCGCTTCAATCAAAGACATCGACCGCATAGCGCTCGCCCCTCAACTTGTTCCACCACTTCAGGCCGTCTTCGTGCGACAGGTCCTTTCCGGCCTTCTTGGCGCCCTCAACGGCGATCTTTGCAGCGACGTCTGCGATGCCCTTGCCCAGTGCGGCATTGCCGCAAATGTACGCTTTGGCGCCTTCGCCGAACAGTTTGCTGAGAGTCTCCCGCTCACGCCAGAGTCGGTCTTGTATGTATTTGCATCCCTCCGAGTGCTCGGGTTCGCGGCTGAATGCGTAGAACAGCTTGACAGCGCCCTGCTCGGCCCATTCATCCAGCTGTTTGGCGTGCAGGCGGTCTTTGTCATGGTAGCGGCAACCGATGAACAAGAGGGCCTCGCCAAACGCGTCGCGGTTTCCGCCAACGGCGGCGATGCGGACTGCACGTTCCTGGACAAACCCCAAGAAGGGCGCCAGACCCGTGCCTGCACAGGCCATGATGATGGGCGTTTTGGGGTCTAGCGGTAGATGGAAGCTCGCGTGTGATTTCTTGATCATCAACTGCGCTCGTGTGCCCGGCTGCAGGAGCTTGAGGTAGTTTGTTGCGACGCCCATGTGGTTCGTGTCCGCACCGACCACGGAGTATGTGATGCTGACCTTGGTCGGGTCCTGCAGTGGCGAGGACGAGATAGAATACTGTCGTATGCGCATAGGTGGGAGCATAGCGAGGTAGAGAGCAAAGGGGAGCTCGATGCTCGGGTATTTCTCCAGGATTTCCAGGACCGACAAGGGCTCAGTGATGCCCAGGACCTCTTTGCGGACAGATTCATCTTTGGTGTACTTGCTGAGAGTTGCAATGTGTTTACGGCTGGCCGGATTACTCAGTTCCACGTATGCAGCCAACACCCCCGTGATTGCAATGGGTGTTGCTGTTGGAATTGTGGTATGTGCACCTTTGGCCAGTGTCATGATGGCATCCCATGGCAACCCAAACCGGCGGAGCACCCTTGAGATTGTTTTCATGTTGTTGACTGGCAGCAGCGCAAGATAGTCTCCTGCTTCATACGTCATGTTGGTTGGTAACTGGAACTCGGTGTGTCGCTTCTCTGGAATGGAGGGATCGGTCAACAGCTCATTCTCCAGAACCAACGCATCCTGCACATTATGCCGGAGATGTGAAGCACGAGCGCTGGTGCTGATCTCCATGTTCAGAGCTTCCGAGGTCTCGTCAGTACCCCCATCAGCAGATAGAGTACGCCAGAGATTCTCATCTTGCCAGACGTCAAAGTCGTCAAACACTTTGCCCTCGGCGACATCAGACTGTCCACGCTCCACGATTTGTTTTGCTCCTTTAGCGGCCAATTCGGAGTCGATCAGTTTGGGGATTTTCTGAAAAGTGGTGACCCAGTCGTGATGGCCGCAGCCGAAGACAGCAAACTGCACGTTCTTGACCTTTTCAGCATCCACCGTCTTGAGCCATTCCACGAACCCCGCGGCATTGTCGGGAGGATTGCCCTCGTAGCTCGCGGTGATGATTATGACGGGCTGGTCGCTTGGTAGGTGCTCGACAGCAGCATCCAGAGGCTTTACTGAAGCATTAAAGCCTCGATTTCCTGCGCTGTTGGCAAGACCCTGTGCCAGTCCTTCACAGGTGCCCGAGTTAGACCCGTAAAGTATGAGCATTGGCTTGCCCCCTCCACCCACTTTCTTGGCCAACGCACTGCGTTCCTTGTGATGAGCGTCTTCGGTTTGGATACCTGCATACAGTTTTCTCTCCAATGTCACTGGATCGATACCTTCACGCAGAGTGGCTCGTAAGAACAGATTGTCTGGCTTGACGGTCAAGGTCTGCTTGATTTGCAGCTGATATGATGGATCATCCAATCTGATGTTGAAGTTTTGGAGAATGAGAGCGATAGCCAGGATGGCTTCTTGCCATGCAAAAGGGCGCCCAATGCATCCACGAGCGCCGTTTCCGAATGGCTTGCATCCGATTAGCAATATATTCGTTGCTCAATCGACAGATTCAAACTTACCTTCCAAGAGTTGGGTGGCAGCTTCGTAAAGTTCTCTCCATACATTCTTTCTGGCTTGAACTCCTCGGCATCCGCGCCATAGACGACCGGGTCACGGTGGGCTTTTGTAAGGAGGGCGATGATGGGGGAGCCCGGAGGAATGGTGTATTTCCCAGCAAGCACCACAGGCCCAGCCACTGTGTCCAGTGGTTTGAGGGCAAACGCAGGAGCTGTAGGGTTGAGTCGGAGAGTTTCTCTCATGACGGCCTCGATATAAGGTAATTTCGTCAGGTGCTGGACCGTCACCGGACCCTTGCCGACCACTGAATCGACTTCCTCTTGAGCTTTTCGCATTGCTTCAGGGTTCTTGCAAAGCTGGTAGAAGGCAAATGAAAGAAGCCCCGAGGTCGTTTCGTGTCCCGCAATGAGGAAAGTGATGATGTTGTTGATGATACTATCATCTGTCATCCTCTCCCCCGTTTTTGGGTCCTTGCCGAACAGCATCGCATTGAGCAAGTCCTTCTTATCGACCGGGTTTGCTCTGCGGTGATCGACCATCTCCTTGGCGACGGTCCTCATAGTGTCGATGTCTTGATAGTACTGACGTTCGACTGATCTGTTGAGTAATGACCCAATTCTTGTACGTTGAGTCCGGCGCCCGGACTCCAGCAAGAAACCCACCATTGCGTCCACAAAGGGGTGAAGCTTCTCTGAGTAGAAGGAATTGAAACGCTTGTCCATGACACATAGGGCAATAGAGTCCAAGGTCAGTCGAGTAAAATCATCCGTAGCTGCAATCTTCTGCTCAGGCCCACCACGCGCCCACTTTGCAATCAACTGGGTGCCAATATCGTACATCTCGTCGTCTACAAACATCAGCACTGTTTAGAGAAGCAGGAGAGAAGACCATACACATATCGTGAATACCGATCGGACCGAATGCAGGCACGAGAACTCGGTGAGCCACCTCCCAGTCATGTTCACCAGGGTAGGCAGTAAAGAGACCATTTCCTACTCCATTCCGTACTTGTTGCAGTGCACCAGACACAGCCTTGCAGAAGCGCTTCTCATCGCAGACCTCATTGAGGAGTTCGATTGAGCTGATGACATATCTTTCGGTGCCGAGGGTGGTCAATTTGAAGATGGGGCCTTCAAGACGTATGTTAGCACGATGATCAATCCTCGTCTCAGCAAGCGGTTGGCTCCAAGGTACTCACCATATTTGTCGGCCAAGTGCTGAAGACTCTGATTGGCATGGTTTGGGTCAATGTCCAGGACGTTGCCTAGGATGGGAAGTCCGGGCGGCGCGGGGATGGGAGTCGACATGTTGTCGATCTCTTAGCTGGTTTGGGTGGCAGGGAAAATGAGTGTTGTATCGGGCTCAGGCAGATACAAGCTTGAACAAGGCCGAGAGGGAGACAGCGGTATTTAAGCATGACGGAAGTCGATCGAGCTCGAGCTGAGCAGTCTGCAAGGATCGACTATTGACTTTCCGTCTTGGCCTCAGCTGTCGAGACCTTGTTCTGAACATCTGACGTTGTGCGGGAGTTGACATAATGAAGGAGACTGTCCGACATTCTGAGGTTGACTAAGGTGCAGCTACTTCCCTTCGCGGACAGAGGATTCTGTGAGGCCGCGCTGGCTGCTCTCATCTTCCTGCGGGACAACCATCAACAACGTGACACCAGCGATGCGCAGAATCGGATAAATCATCGGCCCGCCAGTTGCATCACATCTCATTGTACCTAGGTAAACACAACACACAGCCTCCACAATACCAGTGAGGACGGTTTGAGGGTCTTCACGGGCCTATCGCATCTGTCCATCCTAATCCTTTCCCGCAACTTTGGCTGCGGCTGTCCCGATGCGAGCGAGACACCCGCCGATTAGCGTATGATGTTCAAAGTACACAGGATTACTCAAGCACCAACTAAGCCGCTCTCGCAAGGTAGAAGCAAAAACAGGAAGGTCAAGTTGTCCCTTGCCCAATTAGATAACGGGTTATTAATGGGTGGATTTAAAACACTCTGCGTGGCATTGGTGCTAATTGAAACTCCAGATTCTTGAATCCGTTTCTGACTCCTTGCGTATCTCGTATCCATCGGGAAGTGGCCGCTTTTAAAAGCCTCCCGCCAATCCCTGCCTGATCAGGCACAGACTCCCCGGAATTCGGCATCCAACCACCAAGCCCATATCTGAATATCACATGCCTTGGGCTGCAAATCAAAAGCGGCGCCACGCCAGGGCCGTTCTCAATGCCCGTCTCGTCCGCATCTTCATCCATTCACATGTTCTCGACTTCGGTTAGTTTCCTCCGGCAACGGCTTCCTTGTGGTCGCCTTGTTTCACGGCAAATACCGTCAAATACTCAAACACCGCCTCCAAGTAACCATGGTACGGACACTAAATCGTTCTCTATATTACAGCTGGTTGCGAACAGCTTTCTAGGGATCCCGTATATATTCCCCAACACACGCAACGCCCGAGGTCACAACATCAAATATTTTGCTGTCAAGGCGACGTCCCAGATCCAATCCCGCCAGCGCGAAGGATACTCAACAACAACATCTTCAGAAATTGTTCAGCATCTAGCGTCTCCCGATCATTTTTGACCCGGGTTAGCCATGATCTGGAATCAGTTCGTATCCTCCCTCACTCGGCAGTGTTACTGCTGCCAAGGTAATAGCAACCGCGCACAATGCTTCAAAACTCCATGAAACCGTGCACATGGTCCAGCTCTTATCGAGATACCAGCCGGAAAAAAATCGCTCGTCGTTCTCGTACAGATATGCCTGTTGTGGTGATTAGTTGCAGGTTGCGCTATGGAGCGAGACGTTTCTCACCATCAACGCCATTCCAATGGCCTGGACAAACGCTGCCAATGCCACCAATATTGTCAAGACGCCCCAGCCTTGTTCTCTTTTCTGCTTCCCACCCACAAGCAGGACGGCAAATGCGGCCAGTGTCATGCCCTCCAACACCACTGCAAAGGACATTAAAAAGCCTACCGATCTCCACATGCTGCAAAAGTATCGGTCATCCCCCCGGCAGTCTTCGTACCGGGGAAATTGTGTGCAATGCCAATTGGAGGCGGATGTGTGTGTGATATTTGAAGGAGGGAGGTTTGTATTTGAACATCTTCGATGTAGGCCGTAGCTATATCGTATCGAGGTTCCGTGATTCTGTTTACCAGTGAGACACAACCTTGTACCCAGGCACATCCACTCACTGTGCTCCCATCGAACGCTATCCAGTCCGGGATAGCGATTGATGCTATCGTCATTCCTGACGCTAACTCAATGGTCAGTTGCATCAGACTTGGGATCAATGGATTGAGATGCGCATGCCTGCAAGGAAGACGAAAAGAGCTCCAGAGAAGACGATGCTCCTTGTCAGCATGCCAGTGTAATTACTGCCATGCCCACTGGGCACGAGTGTAAAGTCCGCCATCCTCCCCTGTCCTGCCACCAAAAGGAGTGTATGCCAGCTCTTGCTTGTAAACTATGGTAGTCCGGATAGATGTGCCGACCGGCTCTGGAAGTAGGACTCGACGAAAAGGCGAATGGTTGTCAATCTCGGAGAATCTATCAGAGTTTGGTACTGCGTGTGCGATGGGGGGAAGAATGAGGTCAATCGGTCGTTGCTGAAGTTGGTAGTGATGAGCTCGATTGAGATAGCAATCGCATTGATGTCGGTGTAGAGCCAGATGCGCAAAACTGCGGAGATGAAGAACGACCCTCAATCCGCAGACATCAAAATGCGGCTTGCTAGAGACAAAACAATGCAATGAAGAACAACAATGTCAGATTCGATGGGTGTCCGCGATCCAGATTTGTGTTGCAGAACGAATAAGATATTGCAGGCATCCTCTTTACCACCAACTCCACTCGAGGCTCGAGGGAGCGAACCTGAGGGGACAGTCGTGGCAGTCCATCTCCGCCAAGCAATGACGACAGGTTCAGTTGACCACAGAAACACCCCTGCGCATAATAATATCCCCCATTGCTACTTGTAGTATCCCCTTACTCGAGGACGTTCATCCTACTGTGTTGCTATCCTTCCGGTCTCAGCGATGCTCAAAGATTGCCTTGATGTATTTGGTGGTTCGGCCAGTGTCGCTGTCTTGCGCCTTGAGACGTTCACCGGCTCCTGATTCCAGCCAATGCGGGCTTTCCTCCAGGTGACACAGAAACCGACCCGCCAACACGAGCCGAGAGCGTAGGGAGTCGCTTCGGGTCGATGTTTATAACTGCAAAATGAGGTTTAAGTCTTCCTCGTAGTCTGATCTAGCTACATTATTCGCTAAAATGCCAGGACTATCACTTCTTGAGATGATCTATCCAACAATTGTCAACACACCTGTTCACCTCCTTGATCCTGCCTAGGCCGCACCAGTGGTCAAATACTCTCGAAAATCCTCTCGCAGTATATTCGTTCCCTGTTAAGCATCAGCACGGCTACCATACCCTAATAAAGTCATACTTTACTCACCTGTGCCATCTGCCGAGCTAATTCCTCGTCCTCTTCCATCTTCTTACAAAGTTCCCAGAACTCTTGTCTCTCTGACTCGGCCTCGTCTAGACAAACACGTCGGAAATTGGCTCGCGACATGGGGTCGATGATCTCGGCCCATTTCTTGCGTCGGACTTCACTATACTTGTCGAGGATGCTATCGTCTGCTTTTCCCTCCTTCAACGCCACGAGAGCATCGAATAGGCTCCCTACGTCAGCAATTCCCCCAGTTAGGCCCAATCCACCGCTACAACCGACTTGTCAGCTTGAATTTTTTACTAGTCCGGGAGGACTTACAATGGGTTGCATAAATGAGCAGCGTCGGCGGCGAGTAAGAATCTCCCTACCCGAAAAGACTCGGCGCATCGTTGATGTAGCTTGTACGGACTGGCGCTGACGAGCTTATAATCTCCCGGTTTCGGATGCCCAGGCAGGATTTTCTCGTACCGCTCGGGTTGTCTTGCAAGGTACTCTTCGTTCGACAGGCCCCATACGTCGCCATACGTTACTCTCCATAGTCCGTCTTGGGTGATTCGAGCCGCCATGTACCAGTCGTTTTCGTCGATGATGAAATTCGAGTCCCAGTACCCGAATTTATGGAAGTCGTAATATACCTTTGAGGGATGTCAGTCTCTTGCGTTTTGTCCAGTTGATGCACTCACATTGGTGGCAATGATCTGTTTCTGTAGGGTCTCCCCGGGATAATTCAGATCACCGAAAAGCGAGCGCCTGATCTGGCTGTTTGCCCCATCACATCCGACGATATAGTCGGCGCCGAACGTCTTCTTGCCCTCCGGAGATTCGACGTGGACTCTGGCCTCATTGTCATCCTGCTCGATGGAGACGACTTTATGGTTCCACAAAACTTCGGTATCTGGCTGAGCCAGGAAATGTTGCAGGAGGAGGACATCGAGTTGATCCAGGGGCAGACAAACCATGGGGAATTCTATGTCGAACCGACTTCGAATGCCCGCGATGAAGGTGCCGTCGGGATGGCGCCAGCACACCGCATCGGGATGGATGCCTTGGGCCTTGACGTCGTCGAGAACTCCCGCCCGATGCAGTTCGTACACTGCCGACGGGGCATAGTGAGCCGCCCTGGGATTCTTGTCCAGTTCTCCGGCCGCCTCGAGGATTTGTACCTTTACCCCTCGCTTGGCGAGCAGGATACCCAGCAGCAAGCCCGACGGGCCGGCGCCAACGATGATGACCTGGACATGTATGCGACTCGTCAGCAGGATGAATGCAAGGCAGGGAGACAGGTCAGTCCTGCCACTTGAGGGGTTAACCCACCTTGTTGACAGGGGTTTGTTTTCCCATGGTGCCGAGTTTTTTTGTAGAGAGATGACTTTACCACCGTCCCAGCGCGGCGCTTATTCGTGGTATTCGTGGTGATTTTCTGCCACTTCTCCAAAGAATCTGGGAAATGAATACCCTATGTATTATTGTATTCCTTCCCTCGTGTTCCACTCTTATCCTTCGTTATTTATTGCTCTCAGGTGTTTTTGGGGCAATTGGTGGGACCACCGCCGAGGCTGTAACACGAAAGAAAAAGCCCCACGAAAGAACTATTACTGTTGCCTTGCAGGAGGAGAAGAATCATCAAGAAACGTCTGACGGGTTATTATTATTGGTCATGGACCAATTGGGAAATATATCAGAGTCAAGACCTGGAGAAGATACCTTCGGGGTCAGGGTCAGAGTCAGAGTCAGGGTAATCTAACATGTTGGAGGGTGGGATCTCAGGAGATGGGTTTGTGTCAAGGACCCGGCAATACAAGTATTCCCCTCGCCGTGTCTTGTTACATACCTAGGTACACGACCCCGTTCACAGACAGCAGTGAGTGATGTTCCCCATGTGTCGTGTTGTGTGGGGTTTGACTTCTCTCTCCACAGAGGATGAAATAGGAAAATAGGGGACATCCAATGGAATTATCAATGAATTATGTGGGGTGATGGTTCTGTCTATCACTTGTTCGTCCGGAGCCATGGATGGATGGATGAATGATGGAGTCTATCCTCTCCTATGCTTTCCTTACTCCAACTCAACTCAACCACTTTATGCAGAGCAGCCACAACAGCCAGCAAGAGACGCAAGGAGGGAAAGTCTGCGAGGACTTAGTTACTCAGTCAGTACTTTGTGGCCACGGCAGTTCTTCCCTCTCTCTCAATCAATGCCGCGTGATGAGGACTTCGAACTCTGATCGAGACGTCAAACGGCGCGAATCGATGTTCCCCCCAATTAACCTGGAACGAGTCGATTGGCTTTCCCTGGAAGTTTTGATTAGTTTCGTTCGCAGACGCGGGAGAAATTATAGAGGTAGTGGGAGGTAGTTAGTTAGAGAGTGCTCTCGGGGATGAAGATAGAAACTCACTGGAACGGCCTCAAAGTCGAAACAGTAGAGGAGTCGTGCCACCACGATCCAGACATTCGTCTCTCCTACATTGTATCCGGAACATACGCGCCGGCCTGGATGTCCCGCCACATGGGCAAGTTGTTAGTATCATCTCTTCATGTCTCTTACAAGATTACCAGAAGAAGGGTAAACCCCCCAACATACCTGGTCCAAAGCTCCAGTGTCCCTTCAAAACATGGTCCAGGTCGTTGTTGAGGAATCGCTCGGGCCAGAACCGTTCCGGTTGCTCGTACTCGCGCGGGTCCATCGCAATGGCTGTAGCGTTCCACGTGAACAATGTCCCCGCGGGGAACCGGTAGCCTTCGTACTCGTCGTCCTGGATGAGCATGTGCGGCACTCCAATCTCGGCGAACGGGCGCCATCGGAACGCCTCTTTGACCGTCGCCGTGATGTAGGTCAGGTCGACCCGGTCCTCGAAAGTTGGTAGGCGTTCGGCATTCCTCCCGCAGACTCGGTCGAGGGCTTCCCGCGCGGTGTCGACCCATCGCTTGTCGAGGACCGCGGCGGCCATGACCTGGCTGATGGTCATGCGAGAGGTATCGCTCCCAGCCTCCATCAGAGACCCCAGTGCAAAGTACGTCTGCGTCTGCCCGTAGTTCTTGGTCTCGGGATCGCGGAGAAACCTTGTGGCGAAGCAATCCCTCGCGGTTCCGTTTTTCATCTTCTGCTCCAATTCCTCGACCTCCCGCCTGTAGATGCTGTAACCCCGGTCAGTTGCAGCGTTATATGATACTTTTGGACCAGCTTACTTGACAGTCTTTTGAAACATGGCCTCCCCTCTCGGCCGCCACCATTGCAAACTCTTGGGAAGTCTTTCCAGGAAGGTTAGGGAGTCGACGAGATTGGCCGAAGGCTGAATCGCCTCGATGACAGCGTTGGATGTCTCAAAGAGTTCTCGTATCTTGGGATCTTCCAGCTCCATGCGCTTGCCAAATACCACGCTCATGATGACCGAATTGGCGAAACGCTGGGTGGCCGAGTACCACAACTCCGGATGGTGGAGAAAGTCGTACAGGAGATGCTTGGATTCTATGTCTTGGAAGGGTGCGAAGACGGGCGAGTTTTGCTTGTTGAGGATCGAGTGCATGATGCGTCGGATCATCCGCCACCGTTCCCCGTATGGCATGAGCAGAACTCGATTGTCGCCCGAGAGAACGCCCGATGCCATGGGCATGTATTGACGCGAAGAGTAGATGGACGACCGCTTCTCCATCAAGTCGTTGACGGTGCGTGACGAATTCAGAAAGACCCATGTCTTACCACCAATACTACAAGTGAACCTGACCACAATTCAGCCTTGTCAGATATTCCTCGTTGGAGTCCGATTACTTACATCTCCCCGTATTTCTTTGCCATTTCCATGCCCCATAGTCCCTGCTTCAAAGGAGGTAGTTGAAAAGTGTTGCCGAAGATCGGTACCCCCGGTATCCGAGGCGGGAATCTGTATTTTCGAGCCTTGACATATTCATTCAGTCTCCAGGTTGCAACAAGGACCAGGGTACCCAGTAAAGCAATCCCAAAGACGGGATGCTGCGCACAAAACGACCAAAGCGGCCAGTCACCCATGTTGATGTCGTGTAGCACGGGAAGCGAGATAACGCCGCCGCTCTCAGAAGGTCTTCAGCGCCTACAAGCTCGTCACCCCGAAATCTCTTCATATATGGACTTCCACCCAAGGTCCACCATCTCAAAAGAGGACTCAGGTTCGACGTGTCCAAGTCGCTGCACAGCCTGACGGTGGGGCTTGTCGGTCTCCCAGAAGCAGATGGTTTGGGGAAGATTGGCGGTGTTGGCATTTCCCCAATTCAACGCAGATTCTGGTCATCGGTGATGGTGATCGAGATAACTCTGCTGGAGCGGAAGCCGACGATTCTTCTGGGCGAAGATGCCGCAGATCGCACTTTCGTTTAGGCTCTCAGCCCTGCAAGCGAGCTGCTTTCGATGAGGAGCAACAGCGCGTTCTGCGCTCGCTCATGGGGCCATGCTCGACCTTTACCCCACATATTGAGTTGCGAGCAGGAATGGCAACAAATTGATTGGGGCATGTTGCATGGTTGCGTTGGTTCTTCGTGAAGTTGGATACCAGGGAGGAATTGCTGAAGATGGTAGGTTTCGTGGGTTTTGAACGGACGATGATTCCTCGCTGATACCAAGACGCAGACGCAGACGCAGTTGTTGCCCCTTTTTGGAGATCGGCCGCTAAACAGGAAATCTGCCTTCGTCGGAAATGTCAACATCCACTGTCCATCATCAAACTCGATCTTGATCCATCAACCATTCTACTCCATCCCTGTAAGGGCAGGTCAAGAGGTGAGTGGCGTCGTTGTTAATGAGAGAATTCCTGCTAATATCGCAGGTCAAAAGGAACCGCGAGTATTTTCGCGCCTCCCCATGCCAATGAGGCAATATAATCCAAAAGGGCCGAGTTAACAAAATATCGAGCAAAAAAAGCCCTCTGATGCTCTGTCGACTTAGCGGATTTTGTCGACAATGAACTCAGGGCTTCTATCTGAAATGGAGTAACTAGATGAGCCTGGGTCAGACACAAAACCCCTGCACGGCCGCTAAAGGATTGGATGGCTTCTTGACATTATGAGTTCCTGCCGCTCTTCACCATGTCGTTGGATGTTCATTGAAGAGTTACACTACCCAGGATGATCAATACCCGCAGCCGAGAAGATGCAAATGTCTGCCCAAAGGACATTACCGTTCAAAGCGAGGCAAGGCGACCGACAGGGTGTGCTTGAATCTCCTCCGACTCAGTCTCCATGTACAGACTTCGAAAGCTTGCAGCCTTATACTGCACCAAAGAGTCGTCTTGACTCCTTCACTGCTCCAGATGAAGCTAAGCAAGATGTTCGGTTATTGCCTCAGACCCTGCAGAGTCGATTTTACACCCAGAGCCGACAGAGTGCTTGCATGAATCAATCTACGACATGGTCTGACTGGTGATTCGCTAACACGACGAAATCATATGAACCGAATCTTCGATGCCCTTATCAGCATCGAAACTCGATAATACTACCGCACTTTTAAGGTGGAATGACCATACAGACCGTTTTAGCCGTGGAAAACAGCCTGCGAAGACAGTATTGCCGCTTTCTCTATGCACCCAGATCACCTTACATCTTGCATGGTCAGTGAGGATTTTGGCCTGTACCTCGAATGCTCCGGCAATTCGGATGCCATCGGCAAACAATGTGGCCTTTTCCCAAGATTCTGCCATTTACCCATCGTCCTCGTTGCTCTTTCAAGTCATCTAATTCTAACGAACGCTTCATTTTGCCATTACACCGACTTCTGCAAGGGTTGGATCCTACGGCATTATTAATGGGCTGCAGCAAATTGGCTAAAAACGCCGATTGCGGAGAAGATGAATACAGCAGAAACTCCCACAAGACACCAGGATTTCCGGTTTATATGGCCGGTTGTCGTCATATTTCTGCAACATTATTTGCATGCAAGCGAGAGGAAAGATGGACTTGAGCGACAGTGACAGGTTAGCATGCGTGACAGCTGGTGGCAGGTCGGAGAATGGCCGCCGGGTAAATGCTACCGATGAAAACACCCCGGGTAAAAGACGATCTGGTGCCTTTACGATCTGTACGGGGTGATGTGTGCGGGGAGACGAAAAAGTACATATGTTGTACCTGCATTGGACCTTGCTTGGCCAGACGATCGTCGACAAGATCAAGGAGCAAAAATGAGGAACCTCGTCGTCGCTGTCTTTGCCGCTGGCGCCTCTGCCTGGACCTACGCCCCAAACATCACCTACTCGGCGGCAATCTCGATCAATGCACTCCAGACATATCAGACGATGATAGGAGGTGGATGTTCAGGCGCATTTGGTATTGCATGCCACCAATTTGGGTCTGTGGGACTGTCTCCGGCCAACCAGGAAATTGTCACCCAGATCCTCTTTGACGAGAACATTGGAGGATTGTCGATTGTTCGCAATGACATCGGCTCGACTCCAGGCCATGTCCCTGGCGACGTCGCATCCATCCTGCCAGTTTGTCCGCCGACGCCAGAAGGACCGTTCAACTATGTGTGGGACCGAAATGACACATGTCAGCTGCAACTCACACAGACGGCGCTCAAGTACAACCCCAACGTCTATGTATATGCCGATGCATGGTCAGCTCCTGGATGTATGAAGACGGTTGGCACCGAGGACGAAGGCGGTCTCATCTGCGGTGTTAGAGGCAGCACCAACTGCAGCGGCGATTGGAGACAAGCATATGCCGACTATTTGGTGCAATACGTCAAATTCTACGAGCAGGAAGGTATCGAAGTCTCGTTGCTCGGTGCCTACAATGAACCGGACTTCAACCCCGTCACTTACGCTTGTATGGAGTCGGACGGTTACCAGGCAAAGGACTTTCTGGAGTTCTTGTATCCGACAGCAAAGGCGGCATTTCCTAACATCAGTGTTGCGTGTTGTGATGCGACTGGTGCCCGACAGGAGAGAAATATTTTGTATGAACTGCAACAGGCTGGCGGAGCTGACCTGTTCGATGTTGCCGTAAGTTCCTACCCACATGTGGTCAAGGGAGAAAACTGATGGATCCAGACATGGCACAACTACCAGAGCAATCCAGAAAGACCGTTCAACTCGAACGGAAAGCCAAATTTGATGACCGAGTGGGCTGATGTAAGGAAAGGAGATCATTCCAGTCGAAACCCAAGACTGACTGACCTTTGCAGGGTTCGGGACCATGGAATGCCAACTGGGATGTATCCGGACAACTCGCGTAAGTTGAAACTCTTGCCAGAATTCTTCTGTTGAATCCCTATTGACTTTGTGCCAAAGCGAGGGATTCCAATGGGCAATGTACATGCACAACGCCTTTGTCAACTCCGACACATCGGGCTACACGCACTGGTGGTGCGCGCAGAACACGACCAACGACAATGCGCTGATTCGACTCAACCACGACAGCTACTTCGTATCGGCGCGACTGTGGGCATTTGCATCATATTTCCGCTTCGCGCGCCCAGGCTCCGTGCGCATCGGGGCGACGAGCAGCGCCGAAAACGTCTATGTCAGTGCGTACGTCAACACGAACGGCACCGTGGCCATCCCCGTCATCAACGAGGCCCATTTCCCCTACCAGCTGACCATCAACCTGAGCGGCGTCAATGCCTCGACGGCCACGGCGTATCTGACCGACAACGAGCACAATGTCACCATGGTGGGACAGACGCAGATTGGCGGCGCCGTGTTCGAGGCGACGATAGAGCCGCGCGCCGTCAAGACGTTTTTCCTGAGCTAGAAACAGCCTCTTCGACGACGGGATCGGTCATGAAATGAACGGGCACACGAGAGTAAATGTGGAGCTCGCAGTTACAGGAGGTGGTATTAGTAGTAGTAAAAGTAGTATTTGACAGTCACAGTCACGCCTATTGTAAATACTCACTATCCTTTGGTATATATACCTAAAGTACGTCTGAAACATCTATACCCACGACAAACCGTGCGTGATAAGCTACAGTACATTGTAAAATAGAAATCCAAATAGTTCAAAGACTTTGAGCTCTAGAACATTAGATTTTCCCGAGTGATTGTACTTTTGCTGAAGGTTTCCTCCCCCCTTTGGCCCTCGACTCCCTGGATCATATATATATATATATAGGATCAGCGTAGCCTCGCGAGGCCTGGGTCCGGCACTTTGCCGAGTACAAACACAAATACAAGTACAAGCACGAGTCATGTATGTAAGGTGCCTGAGTACCTAAGTTCCGATTCTCCTTTCCAGAGAGCTGGCCAGACAAGGAAGGACACTACCGGATCCAAGCACTCGTATCACCGGTAGAGCATTACCTGTATTCTCGTCCCAAAGATGGGGCTAGCCTGTACTGAATAAGTCACTAACCCGTATACTTGGACAGCGACTTTGGTGCCGTGGCCGTGCGTGCTTCCAGGATCCTCAGACATCTTATCAGGTGATCTTTTCAGCCCTGAAGAACGGTTGAATTCAATTCAAATGTAGGTATTGCGTACAGAATCGAAGCCCTTCCACTTATGTAACCACGACCGCCACGACTGTAATGCCACCACCTACAACTTACAGCAAGCATCTCGGGATCTCCCGCTTCCACTTCCATTTGTCAACACGGAGGCTTCATTCTTCGTTGACGGGACATCGATGGCCGGGTTTTCGGTGAAGAAATCAGTGGGCTTGATGTGGAGTTGGTGGATTTCGACCGGCCTGTACGATTCGGAACGTCAGTTAGAAGTGTGCTCGGGTATCAAGGATGGGAGGGAGAGGAAATAAAATGCGATGCACAACTTACATGACAGGCCAGTCCTCAACTCGAGGGTTATGGGTCAGTCCAAACACATTCCACACGACGACATCTTCATCCTCGACCGCCTCGTCGCGCTTGACAGCGTCAGCGACACCTCCGATTTCGTTTTGACTCTGCAGCGTATATCTGCCACCTGCATAAAACTCGCCGTCGAGGTGTTTTGTCACCCAGACATGATGTTGTGCGAATAGTGCCCGTTTAGACTGGACGGAATCCGGGTCCGCGAGCAGCAATTGTGTGGCCGCTGGTGTGAATTTGTACCCGACCGGTTTCCCACTTATCGGATTAGTCTTGCTCTTATTGACCATCTTGATGATCCGGTTGTACTGCGGAGCGGCGTCAAGGCTTTGACTTCGATCGATGACCGTCTGCCGGACTTCGTAAAAGTTACCTTGTGGGTTCGTTGCTTTGTTCATCGGCACGCGATGCGACTCTTCTGCCAGCACTGTGTTCTTATATCCGTCGATGGCCGGGTCGATGCGGACACAGAAAACATGCTGGTGGTTCTGTGCCAACGCACCAGGTGACACGACATTCCCATATGGACTGGTCTTTCCTGGATCGATGTTGACAACCGACACAATGCCTGTTGCCCGGGTCTCAACTGTGATCCCACCTGCCTGGTCAAACTTGTATGCGAAGATGTATTCGTAGTTTGCCAGGGTGATGATGAACTGGACGACAAGCTCCCGATTCCGGGTCACAACAGCACGTCCTGTCCGCCAGTTCGTGTGCTTCCAGCCGATACCATTATCTTGTTCATGAAGACAAATGACATTAGGTGCAGTTTTAGCCGTACCATCTGGCCCAGTGACGATTCCATCGAAGTATTTTATAACCCCGAGGCAGTCACAGCCCAGGGAGAGATTGTTGGCACAATTGCCTGCTCCACCGTCCCCAAAGTCGAACGCCTGCTTGCGGGGGAAAGGCGGGCGGGGATCAGCATAAGGCACAGTCATCTCACTGATGCTCAGCCTGTGGATGACGCTTCTGCCGGCAAAATGGACGTCATGCACGACTGCACCTTCTCTCGGGTTGAAGCTCACACGGAATCTCCAATTTTGCCATTCAATCAATCCGCCATCTACAGAGAAGGATGGACCCTCTGGCTGCAGGACGTTTAGAGGCTTCAGGTTCTTCCGTGTGCCATTTTTCAAGAGCTCTGGGACATATTCTGAGGTCTTGCAATGGTCGATGACGTTCTTGGTGTGCGTCTTTGCATCCAGCGCATCTCCCTTGCCACCAGTCGCAAGTCGATCTATCCGAATGATTTCCTTTTTGTGTGCGTCCATGACAGGGATGAAAGGCAAGGGATAGGCATAAAAGTTCGAGTCCGGGTTGCCAGATCTCGTGTCTCGAGCAAAGCATAGGCCTTGAAAATAACGTCGGTTCTCCTCGTCGGGAGACAAACCGCCATACGGCCAGGGTTCGACGATGACTTCAAACCCCTCTGGAAGTGAAAACTCGGCGCAGACGTCTTTGAACATCTGAGAGGCTGTGCAGACCTCGACAAGCGTGTCAAACTCGGAGCTAGAAATCAACATTATTAGTGGCCAGACCTCCAACTATCGCATTATGCACGTACAGTGTCAGGCTCGCATGCTGAGTTTTGTCGACTACAACATGTGAAATCCTTTTTTCTTCATCGAGATCGACAACAGCCTCATGGAATTGGGGTATCCTGTCGGCGCCGATGACATCGTACTGCACTAAGGCACGTCGAGGTAGGGGAGCAGCAGCCTTTCCAGAGTGTTCCGCCGCCAAGTATTTAATGAGCTGCTCTTTGGGCGGTTCTTCCAAGTAGATCTCTCGAAAGCTCAGCACAGCGTCGGGATGAAGACCAAGAATCAGATCACGAGCACTGTTGGTCTCGTCAGCTGAGAGAATGTCCAAAGGATGAGGTGCCATTGTGTGATAGAGACAAAGATCAACCAGGGAAGAAAGACAAAAGACGCACTGGAACACACAGTGACATCAAGGGCGGGCTTTTATAGACCCAAGACCAACTTGTACCAGAGACCGATGGATCCGCAGGGCCCTCCCTTATCTATCTACCTTCTGAAAGGAAAGGGTCTTTGAAGCCAGAACCCTGCTGACTCGAACATGCCAAGCTTGTTTCTTGACGGCAAAGCGCGCCATGATAAATATCGTCCGAAGAAATACCTGCACAGTGTTCTGTTTGTCGCAGGGCAAGCTCGGCTGCGGTTTCCTAATTCGGATGATGAGTACATGGTGAATGTACGGCATGACAAAGAGCGGCCGCTGGCGTCTCCTTGGGCGGTATATCTCGGGCGAATAGTAAGCAGGTCATTCGCTTCGTCACATCGACCAAGAGATAAAGACACATGCTCGCTCGCTCATTAGACGGGTCGACGAGGGAAGTTGCATAGTGAAACGGAGTCGAGATTCATAAAAACAAAGGCGGAGGAATTTCCAGGACGGTACATTTAGAGTTTGCGCAATTAGTCCTGATTGGCTATTGTGGATTGTCGTCCCAGCACAGCGGAATCGCCCTCCGCGCACCTTCGACAGATCAACATCCTCCACCCTCCTCTTCTGTTCCGCTGGGAGACGTCTTCAAAGCGGTCTAGACTCGGAGTTGCCTAGCTACACATCCTTCCAACTCAGGGTGATTGCCATGAGACTGGAAATACCATCAATTTACGTAACGCTGTGTCGTTACTGGCCTCGTGTGCGAGGAATGTAGCCGCGTGTCAACCCGTTTCTCCGTGGTGGGTAATACCCCAGATCCACGAGGCCAAGAGATACAGATATGCCTAATCACTGGTGCTCTCACTCATCCGGGGTCGTGTCTATCGGGATGAAGCATTTAAGACTGCTTGGGGCCCCAGGTGGTGGGACTGTGTCCATTCGAGGCACTCCAAACGCTCACAGGCAGAATGGACATTGAAAAGCTGGCAAGGAGGAAAGAGGAAGTGGAGACAGTGCCACCGGTCAACAGGCGGTCGCTCAATGACGAACAGTTGCTCGCTGCCCTGGGCCACAAGCAGGAGCTGCAGCGGGATTTCTCGATATGGTCTCTTGGCTCCTTGTGTCTCTGCTTGATGGCCACGTGGGAGGCACTGTCATCAGTTGTTGCTGCCGCCTTGATCAGTGGTGGTGCACCTTGTCTCTTTTACAACTAGTATGTTTCGACTTTCGACGGATGAGTCTCGATATTTTGTCCCACTGGCTTCAACTGACTGACAGAACCAAAGCATTATATCCTTCGCGGGCACCGTGGCAATTGCCCTCTCACTTGCTGAGATCTCCAGCATCTGGCCGACGGCGGGAGGTAAAGAAGACTCCATTCCTCAAGCACCGTGAGACACGACTGACATTCACCAGGCCAATATCACTGGGTCGCTGTCCTCGCACCACGAGGCTCGAGAGTCGTCGCGTCCTGGTTCACGGGATGGATCTCTGTTGGAGGTCAAATCGTCCTGACCGCATCCGCAGCCTTTGCAGCTGGCCTCCAGTTTCAAGCCTTGATCACACTGAATCATCCCGACACATATGTCCCCCAACGATGGCAGGGAATGTTGTTTTACTGGCTCGTCTTGCTCTATGCTGCAGCGGTAAATATCTGGGGTTCGAAGATCCTACCTCATACCAACCTCGCCTCTGGTGAGCATGAACGCAAATACTCCCGCTTGGCTACACTTCTAACATCCCTAGGCGTCTTGCACATCCTCGGGTTCGTCGCCATCTTCATCGTGCTTGGGGTCATGGCGCCCAAACACTCTGCCGATTATGTGTTTGCCCAGGTGTCGAATTCGAGTGGCTGGAGTAGTGATGGAGTTGCATGGCTCATTGGGCTCCTCAGCTCAGTCTATCCATTTCTCGGGTATGTCTTTCCGTCTCGTTCTCCCGTCGTCATCCACTAACCAGATGGTGATGCAGGTATGATGCAGCTGCACATCTTTCCGAAGAAATGCCCAGGCCAAGTCGCAATGTGCCAATCGCCATGGTCGGTTCTGTCGTCGCCAACGGCATCATCGGATTTGCATATTGCCTGATGCTCCTGTTCTCTCTTGGTGATCTACCAAGCCTCCTCGAATCGCCCACTGGCTTTCCCTTCATGCAACTATATCTCAACGTCACCAAATCCCCTGCCGGAGCAACCATTCTGTCGTTGGTAATATGTCTGATCGCCACTGCTGCAAATGCTGCAGGTCTGACATCGACGAGCCGTACATTCTGGGCCTTTGCACGAGATGAGGCGACTCCCTTTGCGAAATACTTTGCGCATGTCGATAGCAAGCTCAAAGTCCCGGTGCGGATGATCGTTCTTGTCTCAGTGCTCCAAGGATTGCTGGGTTTCATCTATCTCGGGAATACCACGGCTTTCAATGCCATTCTATCTATGGCAATCATCGGCATGTATCTGTCTTACCTGCTGCCAGTCGTCTACATGGTCATTTACGGAAGAGTGAAGCTATCCAAAGACGAGTACGGACCTTTCAAACTCGGCAAGTGGGGAGGAGTTCTCACCAACGTCCTTGCAATTGTGTGGCTCATTTTTGCCATGATCTTCAGCACATTCCCAAACTTCCAGCCAGTGACCGCCCAGAATATGAATTATTCGACCGTGGTGCTGGCTGGTTGGGTTGGGGGCGGCGCTTTGTACTACTTGTTCAGAGGCAGGAAGGTTTACACTGGACCCGTGATCGAGACGGAGTCGTCAGTGTTGGCTGCGATCGGAGCATAATGAAAAGTTACATGAGTCAAGATGCCACAGCGCCACCAGCGCCGGTTAGGAGCGTAACTCTTCAAGCGACGTTGCCCACAACCTAGACGTTAGCCAGAGGGCGACAGAGTGTTTTCTAGCGAGATGTCAGCCCACAACCCCGAACTCTTCGGCCGTGACCGGAGGCAAACTGGTGCTTGTTGTTGAAGAGTATCTAGCGGCTATCGGCTCGAATCTCTGGGAAGTTCCATCTAAAGGAAAAAGTCGCGCACAACCGACCTAGGCTCAGCGATTGTGTCAGAAGACTGCCCAGTCCTGCATGGAAAGGATCTGGCCAGCTTCTATCAATTTGATAGTAAGCTTCTGTTTTCTCTGAGTTGTGAATGGTTGGGAACACAATATGAGCACAGCATCTCTTATTCCTCCTGTTTTTAAGGGCGCCGAAGGATGGTGTAATAGGTCGACAATGTCACAACACAGGATTGTGAGCTGGCTCTAATGTCCGTAATGGGCATACAGTGTAGGAGACAATCATGAACGGTGGTGATGTTTGAGATGGTGAGGATCAGGTTCGCAGGTGGCAGGCTTCGAAGCTTGGCGCAGTCGCAGTCGCAGGTGCAGGTGCAGACGCAGGCGAAGAACTCATCTCCGTACCAGCACCAGCACCAGCACCAGGCCACAAAGGTCAACTACACATTTCTCTTCAAGCCACTGTTTGTTTGTGGGACCCCATCCCATACTCGTACTTCGACCTCTTCGAAACACCGCATCATGGCATGTGAATCGTCAATTTTGTTGGGGTCTTATCCATGGTGAGGAAGTCAACAGCGCGATCCAAGTCATCAATGCCCAGATGCTGATCACAGTCAATGATGCATAGTCTCTTACTCTTACGCGTACCTGTGCCCCGCGATGCAGTTCGAGACGAAAAATGGATCTGAGAACATGTGAAATATACATAGGCCTATCATGAAAGAGGAATCCCATGGTCTCCGTCAGAGAATAGCGAGAAGCTAAAGACCCAGTTCACTCATCCAACCCCCTCCGGGGTGGCCCTATCAGCTTAGCTTGAACGAGGAACTGCACCCGCTGTTAAGCTTTTCAATATTGTTCTTATTCTTCCACCAGCTGCTCTCTTTTGGGCATTTTGGGTCTCGACCGTCGGCGGGCACCACTTCCACGTCTTGGTACACTCGATTGACTGGTCACGATCCAAGGACAAGAAATTCTCCCCCTCTTGCAGACTCCCAGAGAAGCAAAACTCTGTTGTGTCGTTTATCGCCAGTCATGCCACGCCCCCAACGCCGCTCGACCCCAGATGGTACAGATGCCTCAAGACCGCGACATCCCACCTTTATCATTCCGATAAATTGTCTCTGTGGCCCATTCAGATAATGTCTCATGCCTGCTATCCAGCCATATGGAAAAGCCCCCTCTTCAGCCGATCTCAGAGGTATCGCAAGATCCTTTGACCTTCACCAACAGCCTTCCTTCGCCAAGTTCCAGTCGGTCCTACCCCAAGTTCGGGCCTCCTCGACTACGACAACCATGGAGGCACTCAGTCTCAACCGATGGGTTAGGGTTCGCATCGCGGACGACACGAGAATTCAAACCTGACCGCCAACGTCGCCGGCTGTTGGCTGTGGGCCTCTGGCAATGGTTCCTCACGCTGCTGCTGTGCGGCCTCTTGGCTGTCTGCCTCGGAGTCTTTGGAAACCTCTTGTGGATGACGGTAACACAAGTCAAGGCCTTCAACGCCCTCATTGTGCTTCTTTCGCTGTTTCTCGGGAACAACCTGACCAGCTCACTACGAGAATACGCCATGATGATGCGGTGGAGAATTCTGACCGAGAAATACCGGCCTTTGAAAGAATTCGATTTATTGTTGCGCTGTGACAGTTTGCGAAAGGTCGCTCGATTATTTTTGACTGCAAGGACTCCAGGAAGAGCCTGGTTCTGGCTTAACACGACGCAGTGGCTTTGTGTCTTGTGGCTTGGAATCAACCTCGTGGTGCAAATCCTCGTGGCCTTGCTAGGATTGACGTACAACCTCAACACCTCCAACATTCCAGAACGTCGATTCGGGACGATGAGCATCACTGATTTGACCGTCATCCGTGACATTTGGGGAGCCAAAGATCCCACCTTTGATGCGCAGTTGGGATCTGCAAATTACTTTGGGATTCAGGGTCAGGACTATTTCTTCGTTGATGGTAATCCGCCTGGGCAGGGGAGTGTTCCGAGTTATGGAACACCTGGCACTCCAATGATTTACGGCAACCAAGACTGGAGTGTCATGACTTATGTGTTTCAAGACCAGAGTCTCCAAAACCCTCAACTCACCTTGGTGTCCCACCGCAATGTCAGTGTGACGGGCGATTGTCGACAACTGCAAGTCATCGAAGGCGGTAATGGAACCAGTACTTCCGTTACTTACCGTGACGAGGCTGGAGGGCTATCTACTTTCGACGTGGAGCATGTAGGACCAGGCGCAATGACGTACGTCGGTGTACTCAACTCTACCTGTGGGCCGCGGTGCACGGAAGTGTTGGCGCTGCAGAGCGCCAACGGCAATACAATCCCCGAGGCAGCATTCTTCAGGTGCCAAAACACGGTATCAGAGGTGCGCGGGACCAAAGAATATATTGATTCTGGTGAACCCGCGGAGTCGTTTGAGTTGTCAGACCAACAAGCAAGGATTGTTGCCGGAGCAATCGGCTGGTCTGGGTTCAATTATACCCGGGACGACATGTACCAGTATGTCCGATACAACACGGAGACGTACTGGAGCCCCGACATTCCTGCAGATGCAGACATGATATCCCAGCGGATCATGGAGTTTAGCGTCGAAGCAGTAGCCGCCATCGACTACAATGGGCCACGGCGAAATGCATCGGGGTGGTACGCGGTTCCTGCGCAGGTGGTGAGTGTGGAGTGGCGATGGTCAGCGTCAATCTTAGGACTCCTGCCGTTTGTTCAACTGGTGACATTGTTGTGTGTCGTGACCTGGGCCAACTCGGCCGTCATTCGCGACGACAACTTGCTGAGCGCCGCACGACTGCTGCGTCCTATTGTCGAAAGGTTGGGCGACAAGGGCTGTTTGCTGAGTAGCTACGAGATCGCGGAGGAGCTGTCGGAGTTGAGGGTGAAATACGGGTGGAGAGAGCCGGGCCCAGACTTCGTATTTCGAAACGAGATTGACGGCGATGTCATCCGGCATGTTGATATTTTGGACGAGCAGGAAGGGTTTGGCATACAAGGTCCTATGCCAGCTGGTCGGTATGACGGACTTGAACCCGATAGACAGTCCACGCTGGATAGGGGGAGAGATCTACTGCTACAGAGGAGGCGCGGACGGCGGTCTTTGAGTTTATGACATTGTTAACGCCTAGAACGTGTGACGCTTATAGATATCTTATATTAGAGTGTAATACTATTTCTTCGCAGAGCTAGGATTTCTGGAGGGTTGCTTCCCTTAACTAGTCAGTCAGTCATTTAACCGATCTCTGGGGAACCCCCATAGGGGCTGTGAGTAGAAAGTAGGACCTTGACATATATACGTATGTGGTTGTTGTCTGTGGATATAGGCGTGCCAGGACGCGAGATCAGCCGATCTGAAGGGCCCGATCGCACTGCTGCCCAATCTCTCCTTAGAATCTCTCCTTAGATGTGGCGCTCGTGGCCGATCAGATACGTAGATGCATGGTTGGACGGGACCAGGAAGCGAGGGGAGAGAGGGAGCCAACTGGTACATAGCTAGTTCGCTATAATAACACCATCGTCCTCGGTATATAGTACTAGACATGTACCGAGTAGACCACCCCCGGCTTTGGCTTCAATTAGTAGCACTAGTAGCATTACTAGGTAGTAGCAAAAAAGACCAGACGACGTCATGACCTTATTTTCTTTCTCTTTCCCCATCCCGCCTTCGAGCTGGGTTGTGAGCCAGCTCCCACTTTTTATTTTCTGGCATCATGCCGTGCATGTCCAAATGCTGTATATACATACAACCACTCAGAATAGCCTATAGTCAACGCCGGACCGGCATCATGGTGGTTGTGGTTGTTGCTACTGTTGTTCTTGTGCGCTGAGTTCTCTGCGAACCAACCAACCAACCATGCCGATGAGCTTCGATTGCGACTTCGACTTGGACATCGCCGTTTAACCAGCCTATACAGTCTTCGTTCAGGAATGTTGAGTTACTTTCTGTCTTTTACAATTTTAGCTTGTTTCTTTACATTGTTGCTTCTTTGAGCGGACGACGACGACGACGACGACGAGGAGAGAACTATTGCTATCGAATATACCCGAAGAGAGTCATAGAGTCATAGAGACGAGAGACGAGAGACTCATCAAGTCAGAAAAACACGCACGCCATTCCTTCATCCGCCCTCTGTCTGCACTACCCCGAAGAACAAATAAGGGCTTCAGAGACTCGCCTGTCATCGCCAAAGACATACCGTTCAGAGACCTGGCCGAGAACAAGATGCCGGGAATTTTCAGTCTGAGGAAGGTCATGGACAAGCAGACCCAGGTGGTCATGTTCAGTTCCACGGCCATTGCGCTGTATGGGTACGATCAAGGTAAGAAAATGGAATTGGCAGAAAAGAGCCACAGTTTCGTTGATTTCTCAGGGGTGTTTTCCTGGTTGTTTGTCGAATGCCTAATGCCTCCTACGGGTGGATGAGTATGGAAAGTAGTGTGCCCATGCCCGTGTCAGCGAAGGGCTCGGACTGCTTCCTTTTCAAATGCCAGACAAATCTCCTTCGTATACCGCGTGTGCGAGTCTTTGAGAGAACGGTACCTCGTACAGAACGCGAACTGATATCTGATCTCTGATCTCTGATCTCTGCTAGGAATGATGTCCCTCATCAACACCAACTACAGCTACCTCTACACCATGGGCATTGCCGGGAACTCGGCCCTGGTCGGGCTCGTCGTCTCGGTCTACTATTTGGGATGTGCTCTGGGAGCCGTGTTGGCGTCGCGCTTTGCAGACGCAAAAGGCCGCAAGCCAGCCATCTTCGCGTGTCTGGCGACCGCCAGTCTGGGGAATCTGCTCATGTTCGTCGCGGGGATGGGCCACACGAGCCAGCAGGCTGCGCTGGCGACGATGCTGTCCGGGAGGATTGTCATGGGACTGGGAGTCGGTACGTAGGACGCAGATCTTCAAGAACCTTGGAACTTCTTTTGACTGGGCCTCCCCCTTTTACAACAGGAGGTATCGACGCAGTCGTCCCCGTGTATAGCTCGGAGCTCCAAGAAGACGACGCCCGCGGGACGGCGCTGGCGCAGGAATTCCAAGCCAACATCTTCGGCCTGAACATGGCATACATCCTCAACGTCGGGGTCACGCACGGCCTGGGCAAGTGGAACCAGTGGGCGTGGCGCGTGCCCATCATCGTGATGCAGATCTACCCGGTGCTGCTCCTCGCGGTCGCGAACCTCTTACCCGAGACGCCGCGGTGGTGCGTCCTGCACGGCGACAACGAGCGGGCCAAGCGCAGCATCGCCCGGGTGTTTGGCCAGGACCAGGTCGACGAGCGCATCGACGAACTAACCAAGGCGCACAAACGGGAACAGGAAGAAGGCACCATTTCGTACGCCGACATGCTGTGGCCTGGCGGGTCGCAGTTCCACCCGACCGTGGTGACAGTCATGGGCCAGGTCAACCAGGCTCTGACAGGCTACGGGGCCGTGTCGGTGTTTGGGGCCCAGATCTTCCAGCTGCTGGGCTTCGGCGTGGCCACGGCCGAGTTCATCACGCTGGGGAACTACGTGTTTTACTTCGCCATGATGACCATCGCGTGGGTTTTGATCGACCGCGTCGGGCGACGCAAGCTGATGGTCGTCGGGGCCTGGTGGCTCTCTGCCTCCTTCGCCCTGCTCACCCTGCTGGGCGGCCTGGCGTATAACCGCCGTGCCCTCTCCATCCCGCTGCTCGCGACGGGCATCCCCGGCGTCGCGGCGCTGTACGCGGCGACGGCCGTCTTCGGGATCTGCTGGCTCGTGCCCCCCTGGCTGGTGCCCACGGAGATCTACCCGTCGACGGCGCGCGCGCAGGGCGCCGCCGTCAGCGTCGTCGTCTGGGGCCTGGCCAACTTCGCCGTCACCCTACTGACCCCGATCGGCTTCGACCGCCTCGAGTTCTATCTCTTCCTCGTCTTCGCCGCCACAAACGCCCTCGCCGGCCTGTGGACGTACCTATACTGTCCCGAGTCCGGGAACAGGACCTTTGAGGAGAACCAGGAGTTCTTCAAGGCCGCGGCCGAAAGGGGCTCGTGGGTCGTGAGCCGCGCCATGGACGGAGAGTTCAAGGTTCTGCCGCAAAAGGAAGTCGACGACGAGGACGATGACGAGGAGATTATTGCTGATGGAGAGGACAGTGGAGGTCGAGGGATAAAGAGAACGGAAAGGAGAAAGAAGGCAAAACTAGATGCTCACGAAGAAACGACCCCTTTGCTGGGCAGGACGAGTACACGGTAGAGGTTCAGACGGGATGAGAGAGTTTTCACGCACTACGACCGCGATGAAGCCATGGACATCTTGCACAACGGGCCATGCAACCATTCGAAATGAAGATTCACGTAAACACATCTTGTTGATAAAGCATTCTGATTGTATGTCAGGAGTACCAATATATCTCAAGTACATGAGCTCAGCCTCCCGCGAGAACAGGGGGAGCTATGGTTACCAGTCCGACCAAATCTAGGATGAAACCACCTGACCCCGTCCCAGACCCATATTTGCCCGAACAATGTGCCCTTGCTTTCAACGCACAGCTGAAATGCAGGACCCTAGAATTGGAGCAGTTCATGCAAACCATCTAAGACTTCTCAATCAGAGCCTCAAGTTCGGCCGCAATCTGCTTCAGCTCGGCCTTCAGCTCGGAGGCCTTCTCGGAGAGATACGACTCAGCGTTGGATTGGCGGAAAGTGTAGCCGCCATCGCCAATGATCTCAGTGTAGTTGGACTTGCCACCACCGTTCCATGCGAGGATGTTGGCAGTGTCAGAGGGAACATTGGAAAGAGCACCCTCGGTAGCGATGGAGATCATGTTTGCCTTCATCTGCTTGGGGGTGATGGCAGCAACGGCATATGCGGAATCGCTCGACGGTTGAAGAGACAGGAAGTAGGCAAGGAGACCGCAAATGTGAGGGGAAGCCATAGAAGTGCCAGAGATGATGTTGGTGGCATACTTGCTGCCAATCCAGGTGGAAAGAATGTTGAGACCAGGAGCAAAGATGTCGTTGCAGGTGCCGTAGTTGGAGAAGTAAGCACGCTCATCGGCCAAGGTGGAGGCACCGACCGTGATGGCCTTCTCAGCGGCAGCAGGGGAATAGTTGCAAGAATCGGCGTTGTCGTTTCCGGCAGCGACGGCAAAGTGAAGACCAGTGTCCACGGCGGCGTTGACGGCAAGATCCAGGACTCTGGACTTGCCACCACCCAAACTCATGTTGGCGACACTGCCCTTGAAGCCCTTCTTCTTGCCCTTCTTTGCGGCGCTAACGGCTTCGGAGTGGGCGTTTGCAGCCCATTCGACGCCCTTGACAACATCGGACATGGTGCCAGACCCATTCGACTTGAGGACCTTCACGGCGTAGACATTGGCCTTCTTGGCGACACCGAATTTCTTGCCGGCGATCGTGCCAGAGCAGTGTGTACCGTGTCCGTTACCATCCACATCTTCATCGCCAACGGGGATTGTCTTGCCCCAGCTGGCGCGGCCCTCAAAGTCCACGTGCTCGATGTTGGTACCGGTGTCAATGACGTAAGCGTCGACGCCCTCACCGCCATCCGCAGAGTAGAGGTATTTGTTAAAATTGCCAAAGCCCAAGGCTTCACGGTGAGAGATACGGGCAAGGCCCCAGGGAGCGTTCTTCTCGAGCGACGGAGTCGAATTCATGGTTCGGACCTCGGAGTCACGCTCGATGTATTCAACCTAAGCAATCAAGCACGTGAGCTTCGGACCAATACACCAAAGTGCGGAGAGGCACGGAGGGAAAAGTAGCTTGTGAATACGGGGAAATCATAGCAATATCATCGTATCGATGATATCGAATGGGCGCAGGCCATCTGAAGACCGAAGAGCGGAAACGAGGGGGATAGGAACTTACATCCGGGTGCCTTCGGACCAACTCGATGACTCCTTCATCGAAATGGCCAGCATAGCCCAAGAGGCCGCCGGGAATGTTGTAGGTGTGTCTCAACCCTTCAAAGACGGTCTCATCCGACATAGGAACTTGGCTGCGTTTCCGAAGCTCCAGCTTGCGGGACTCGTGTGACACGTGGGCATCCTGAATCCACGAGTGATGGGCGCTGGCATCTCGCTCAGTCACATGCTTCTTGAAGATAACCATGTAAGAGTCGGGAATCTCCTTTGCATTGGACGAGGAGATGACAGGAGCAGCATCGTTGTGGATGGTGTCGACGAGGATTGGCGAGCCTGCCGCCAACAGTGGGAGGAGCGATAAGGCGAATGCGTAACCCTTCATGATGAAGATGGGTTGACAGCCGCAGGGAGATGAGATAAATGGGAAAGGAAAAGGACAATAGAAGTGCGAGCTTGGATGAATCAAGCTGCACAGGAGATGGGGAAAGTGAAGGAGTCGAAGGTGATGATGAGAGTGATGGGGAGGATGGTATCTTTAAGGAACCAAGAGAGATGGGATAAGAGATACAGTAGATGATGCCACAGCCACAAGTGGACGCATGACTACTTGCCGCACTACCGCCTAAACCAGGCTGCCACTTACGCAGCTTCGGGCTAGACCCAGTTGTTGCCGGGGAGCTTGGGGGTCCGAGTGACTGCTGGCAAGGAACGGCAAGGCACTTTGGCCGGTTGCGGATCCCGGAGGACCCTGAACTTATCCACGGGTCCAGATTGGCTGCTTTCATCCATGTGCCCCCATCACGCATCACGCCCCCCGTCTCGCCCATATCTCCACCCCCAACACGTCAGCGGGTACCTGGCACGGAGAACATCCCTCTGTGTCTACGAGGTACTCAGTACAAGCATCCATTGTCTCCTAATCTCTATCCCCCGAGTTCTAGCATCGACAATTCTGTTCATACCACTCCTGGGCGGGGGGCATGAGAAAATCATTTACAACAAATCTCCCAAGCACAACTCTGGCATCACCCCACCTGATGAGTCTGTTTCCGAGGGCTTGCTCGGCAAGCTGCTGATGGAACCACTCCCCGTTCCTATCGTTTCCCTGTGAGTACTGGTACCGTAAGTGCTCTTCGCAAAACGAGCCTATAAAGAGTATCCAGAAATGTGCATCTTTGTACATGATCCGTTCTGTTCGGGAGCAGCTCGAAAACGCAGATTGTATTCTGGTAAGAAGGGCCGGGAGAATGATGGTCGCGCTGTCGTGAACATCAATACAGCCAGATTGCGAGGTGTCGCTGAAGCTCTTTTGGAAAACATATAACAGAGCCAGCGCGAGAGCAGCCTCGGTATGCCTCCCGCCTTCAGACAGCTCGTTGAGATTCTCGATCTCTAGGAGATCGAAATACAAATCCAACAACCTGCTTATGTGATATTCGGACTTGGTGGTAACCCAGTGGAAGATCAACCGGGCACGCCTGAGATGCTCGTCATTGTCAGGGGGCATTGGAATCTTACCGATGTTGAGGACCCGCCTGATGTGACTGAAAGCCTCTCGAAGCTGAGGACTCACCACACATTCAGGTACAGGTACATGACCTCCCCGAAGATTGGGAAGCAAGGGTTCTGCCGAATTCCATGTAGTAGCAACGATCTGAGGCATCCAATTGAGGTAATTGAAAATCGGTCGTCGGAGTTGAAACAAGGCTGAGAGACTGTCCCCCCACAAAGCTATACCCAGGACATCTTCACCCCCTTGGCATTCTGTGATAGGTAATTGGTTGGTAAGCCAGAACAGAAGCCTTGCATGGACGCTGGCACTATGGGTGTCTCCGCTTGTCGTAGCTTCACGAAAGAGCGCTTTGACTTGATAGATCAGAGTCATGCTAGGCTGGGAATTCAGTGGCTTATCCTGCAGGGTCTCTCTCAGGCCTGCCAGGATCCTTGCCTTGAGCTCTAGAGAAACTCGATGGAGTTCTTGTGCCCTCTCTGACGGAAGAAAGCGAATCATTAGTGGCAGTATGCTGGCCACAGCAGACCAGAACGTTCCCACGTCTGCAATAAAAAAAGACCAGATCCATTCTGCTGCCATCGTGCCAATTGTGCTGCTAGTCCCTAATATGGGACAGTTTCCAGGGCTGTTGTCCTGAAAATATGCCATGTAACTCGGTGACCAGCACCGATTGAGATGGAACCGGACAAATGAGACTGCTTGGTTCACAATGGGCGACACTGTGATCATATGGGAGTTGAAAGGGTCCGAGTTGCCCCTGATTTCGAGAGGCAGTAGGGAGAGACTACGAGCCAAGTCCGGAGCTTGACTGCTGCCCGTATCGTCATCCTGCTTCTTCTGCTTTTGTCGCCGTTTCCGGTGAACTCTCCTAGAAATGTGGGCCTTGCATGCAGCGTATTGGAGTTGCTGTGATACTCGATCCCTAGGAGACGAGGTCAAATGCACAAACAGGTAATCGGTTTTCTCCATGGCCGATGCTGAATGTTCTTCTCGGACTCAATAAGTCAGGGGGGCGATTGGAGGCTTTGTACTGGAGCATTCCGTCCTCCGTCTCGGACGAGATCCAAGGGGAGTCAAAGGGTTTCTCGCGAGCAAGCGTGGCTGTTGCTGACCTCGTGTTGTAGAAGAGTAGAATGGTGAGTGGCTTGGGATGTTGTGTAAGGCTACACTTGCAAGCCCTAGACTAAACCTCTTTGAGTTATACCACTAATGTCATGATGGTTTAACAAAAAACGGGGCTCCGTCCTGCTTTCCCCCTGTTGGCCTTGCCAACACCTTCCCATGCCACTTCTCGGTCGAATCCAAGCTTGAAACTAGGCGGCTGCGATGTGACTGTGGGGAGTCCATCATGAGCAAAGAAGCATGCGACGACGATTTGCAATCCGGCCGACCATGAAGGTCAGCAGCTGTTGGGGTATAAAAGTCGAAGGGGACCAGCCCAAATCCTAGATCCTGCGCAAAGCTCTTCTATCTATTCAATTACCTCCAGAGGTATACATAACGGCGACACCTTTGGTCTTCTGTGACAAAGCTTTCTCCTACTCTTGCCCAAAACACTTGGTCCTCCTTCACCAAGATGGCTACCAGTACACTAAAGCCTCTGACGGTCTACGGCCACTGGGGAGCGCCCAACCCGTACAAGATACGCATCATCCTTGAGGAACTTGGTATTCCTTTCGACTGGCGCATTGTCGAACTTGCCGATGTCAAGTCCGAGTCGTTCACCAAGGTCAATGTGAATGGCCGCGTGCCCGCAATCGTGGATCCCAACACTGGAATAACGCTGTGGGAGTCTGGCGCGATCATCCTATATCTGATCGACGAGTATGACAAAGATGGGAAGCTGTCCTACAAGAGCGCTCCTGAAAAGTACCTACAGCAGCAGTGGTTGATGTTTCAGGTTTCAGGTTAGTCCCCTCGACGCAGACTCGATCTGTGTTGCCACAAAACACTTCCCAATCACGTTCCTGTTCCAGAGTCAGTGGCAAGTAATTGATCCTTCTATAGGCCAGGGACCATACTTCGGCCAAGCCATCTGGTTCACAAAATACCATCCTGAGAAAATCCCAAGCGCCATCACACGCTACGTTGATGAGATAGAGCGGGTTACTTTCGTGCTTGATACTCATCTCACCACCACGAAGCAAGCCTATCTTGTGGGGGATACATGCACATATGCAGATCTGTCGTTTATCAATTGGGCCAATCTCGCAAAGGACTTGCTGAAGCATCTGGGGCAGGAGAAGCGGTTGGATAAGTTTACAAAGTACAACGAGTGGATGGAGCGGTTGGCAAGCAGAGAGGTTGTCAAGAGCTTGAATGAAGACATGGAGAAAGGCAGGAGAGAACATGGGCTCTAGTAAGCCACGCACCATATGTTCCGAAGATTTTCAACGGGAAGATGCTTTCTCAATCTCAATTGTTGTCCGCACCCACGAATCCAACTCCTTCGGGTAGTGGGTGGCAGAGCCTTCCTTCGTGGCTTGCAAGTTATCGGACGCCTCGCTTTGGGCTAGACTGTGATGTCGCGGACCGACCGTGGAAGGGGACGTGAAATCAGGCTGCGTTCATTGTGAAGTATCCCAATCTTGATTCATTCCAAATCGCCACGTGAGAGTGTTACATCCCTGTGAAATCTTGATCGGTGCCTCCTTTAGGGAGTTACATCTTGTCCCGAGAAGGGTTTATCTCATCGAAATTCTCAGTCATTGATCCATTGTTGGTGGCTGAGGTGATGTTCGGGGGCTAAAATAGAGATCTAGCGGTTCCGACAAAGTGCGGACTCCAACGTCACCCGCAGTTTTCCACCTTCACAGTGAATCCCCTTCATATGCGGTGGAATGCTGCAACAGCCCTTACAATAGTGACTATTGTACTCCATAACATGCCTACTACATGAAACTGGCATCCCAACCTGTTAGCAAACACCCCTCCTACGTCTGTCTGCGCCATCGCCGCCCGTGAAAGATCTACAGTCCTTCCCCGCTGCTCCAGCACAGGGCATATCCCGATGCTGACCGTTCGATAGCCTGCCGTGTTTTGTATTGGTCTCTGACCAGACTTCCAGACACACTCTGACTCAAAGAACCTGGTGACGCCTTTACCTCTCCCTATGCTGTCGCGGCAAATATCGTCTACGGTGCAAAGGCCAGATAAGAGGTGGGCCCGAGTTGTACAAAGACATGGGCCTCACCGTTAACACCCACACTCGCTCGCGGGCCGTGTCGACCGCAGACATCCTGCGTCCGGAAGACAAGGATATTGCACAACTCGTCAAGAGTCTTGACGCTCTCGATCGCAGCTCCTACAATGTGCTGCAAAACAGTCTTGATCAGGGAGCCTGTCTGCAACAACTGCGCCACTTTCTGAAAGATGACAGTGATATACACGGAGCACACAGTGGCTTTCGACGAGCCGGTGGCTTCCAAGCGCTGCTCCGTCTCCTTCGCTCACTTGTCGACACTTACTCTATGCCAACCGAACCTCCTGCAACTGCCAAGTCATTCCTTCAGTCTCTTTCACAATGGTTCGGCGTCCTCGGGGCGGGCTTGGAAGGTCACGAGGGAAATCAGAGATACTTCAGAACAAGGGTTGATAGTGGTGGTTGGGACTCGCTACAATGCACTCTGGGACAACTGTTCACTCTCCTGTCTTGCCAGACAGGCGATGATCTCCACATGGAGCAATTCTTCGGGATCCTCTTTGCAGCGGCTACTGGCGTGGAGATGACTGAGGACATTTACATTGCTCTGGAGCGATCCACAAGCTTTCAAGATGACAACCTCTTTTCAGAGGAATCGATCGATTCAGTACGGGCAGGCATTGTCAAATCACTGGCAAACGTTACCGAACTAGCAGTCCCAGAGCTGCTAACGGTGACCCTAGGGCTTTGGACAACCGGTGTCAAGGCTGGCCAGATTCCGCAACGACTTGTGAGAGTCGCGCTGCCACTCAGCCTCAAGGAATTACTTTCGACATCACGCCAGAACATTGTCTCCGCACACACGGCTGGAGCTTTAACTGCGGTGCTCAAGCTGATCTTTGAAGAGCAACTCTCTGCCTCCGAAAGAAGTCTGATGAAGGAAGTAGCCCTGGTTCTTTGCCAGGAAGGGGTCTCCAACCTGGACGATGCTGATTTCCTTTTCAAACAAGCCACTTCGTCTTCAGACGCTGCTTCATTCCTACATGAGGCTATTACCATCTCCCGGCAGCCGCCCAGTCTGCAATTTGACTTATCCCAGAATGGCTATGCATCCACGGAACTGTCCACTCTTGGTAGACCCTTCCCGCCTCTCGATACTGGTGGATACACGCTGAGTCTTTGGGCTCGATTTGACGCCTTCGATAAGCAAGCCCATACCACACTCTTTGGAGCTTTCGACAGGACTCAAACTTGTTTCGTTCTAGCTTACCTCGAGAAAGACACCCATCACCTTATTCTGCAGACAGCGATACAAGGCACCAGGCCCAGTGTCAGGTTCAAGTCAGTTGCTTTTCAGCCAGATCGATGGTATCACATCTGCGTGGTGCACAAACGACCACGGACGACATCTTCTGCAAAGGCTTTGCTGTTCGTGGATGGAGATTTCGTAGAGCACCAGAAGGCGAGTTACCCTTCTACACCTCTCAGTGAACGAGGTCAAACCAATGTCAAGGTCCAAGCGTTTTTCGGTACACCCCAGGATTTGTCCCCGAGTTCTGCCGGAGTGGCTTGTCTCTCGAAGTGGTCACTTGGCTCTGCAATTCTGTTTCAAGAGACCATGAGTGATGACTTGATTGCCGTCTTTTACTATCTCGGCCCAAAGTACCATGGTAACTTTCAGGATTGCCTTGGTTCTTTCCAGACATACGAGGCCTCAGCGGCACTGAATTTGCGGAACGAGATGTTGCATCCGGGAAAGGAGGAACAGTCAGAACTCATCATGGCTATCCGTCAGAAGGCAAGCACTCTCATCCGCGAGGACAAGATATTGATCAACGTTTCCCCTGCGACAATCCTCGATAACGACGATCGAAATAACATTGACGAAACTCAGTTGGTCAAGTCATTGTCAAAACTAGCAGCCAAAAATCTTGTGGCCTATACCCGCTCGGGTACGAGTGCCGTGGCGATCAATGGCGCAGTGCCCTCGATCAACGATGCATTGACTCAAGCTCGGGGCGTTTTTCTGCTCATGGGCGATCCCACAGTGACGGTCCCGCAATCACTAGACGATGCCAGCTGGCGTTTGGGCGGTTGCGGTGCGGTCGGATTGGGACTCGTGCAACGAGCCCGGACGACAGAAGACGTTGCCCTCGCCGTCGACATCTTGCTGGAAACCGTCCGACACAGTTGGAGAAACAGCGAAGTGATGGAAAGAGATGGCGGCTACGCAATTCTAGCCATGCTGTTGAAAGAGAAGCTCAGCCTTCCCTCGCAAAGCAACGGAGAAGCTGCAAAAGTCGCTTGGGCAATCCCAACATCAAGACTCGATAGGACCGGGCTGAGCATGCGGGTTCTGACTTCCATCCTTTCTTTCACCGGCTATAATCCTGAGAATTTGACAAAATCTGTCATCAACAACCCTTTGGCCTACAAAGTTTTGGTAGCAGACACCAGCCTCTGGAGATGTGGACCACTTCCTGTGCAGCAATTATACTTTGATCAATTTTTGGTGTTTGCGGAGCAAAGCGAATACAAACGATTTAACTTGAGAAGACTGACAAGGATGAGAGTGCTCAAACGTCTGATGGAAGCTTTGAAATCCGAGCCCGTGATGCGTCCCATCATGCCACAGTATATGGCAGCAATCAAAGTCCTCTTGCCTCAAACGTTATCGGCGGAAACTTTACGCTCTCTCGCTCTGTTCATAACATTCTCCGTGAACAAACGCAATGTGGGCTTACAAGCGCGGAAACCCATACGCCGGGAAGCCCGACAACGAAGTTCGTCAGCCGGATCATCTCACGGTCCTAAAGACGACGGCATATCGACTCTGTCACATTTTGAGATTGGAATGGAGGTTCTTCGCCTCTATTCGGAAATGTTGTGCCGCAAAGACGACGACAGCCTAATCAAGAAATTTGCCAAAACCGTGACAAACAAGTGGCTTCTGTATCTGCTGTCCGAGACGTCGCCGGAAGTCGTAGTGCTTTCGATGAGAATTCTGGCGAGACTGCTTGTCGTCCACGGCGATGCCTATGTCAAGAAATTCAAGGATACGTCCAAGACATCTGGCTTCACCATCATGACTTACCGTTTGAAGAGATGGTGGCATCTTCCAGCGTTATGGCCTGCCTTGTTCGCAGTTCTGTTTGATCTTGACGTTGCAAATCTAGATCTGGATAGAAACTTTGATCTGTACGGATTCATCGACCTCTTTGCTAACAAGAAAGAGCTCTCGGTGTTCTATCCAGAAATCCTCGAAGTCATCACGGGCATGTTGCAGAGCGGCCTGAAGACCATCGTGTCGTCGAAAAGGCACCAAGCTGCTTCGTTCCTGGCGCCACCATTGGAAGAGCTGAATGGACCACCTGAGCGACTTTCCATGTCAACAATGGCACCACCGAACCCGTTGCTCACAATTGTAACGAGTCAACACGTCGAGACATTCAACACTGTTGTTCAGTTCCTTGCCGACCTTCACACTCGGTCGCAGAAATTCCGGGATTTTGCAGCCACGTCTTCATACATCCAAGATCTTCTTGCCGTGTTATTTCCTGTTGTGGTTGGGTCTGACGTGGTCGAGGCGAAGACGGAGCTAGATGCCCGGGATTCAACGCTTACATTTGATGGTGGGGACGTTGTTGTCCATCCTCTCTCGACCGCTCCACCTGTTGTCCGGACTATCGACACAGAAAACTCGTCTGCGGCGAACAGAGGTAAAACTCTTCGAAGAGGCTCATCTTTTGTGCTCGTCACTAAGGACCACGCCCGCCAGACTGGTTCCGTCACCTCCACAGCAGCTTCACCCTCGAACGGCTCAAACTCTGCTACGGGAAAGGTGCCAGAACTTCACGACGGTCATTCCATTGTTCAGGGCTTGTTGGAGATAGTTATATCTGTTTTCATGGATCAAATCCTAGTTCGGAAGGAGTTTCCAGGACTCGGGCTTTTTCTGAAGACACCACCTGGCTTCATCGAGCACCAATCTTACTTCGAAACGTGGATCTTAAGAAACACCGTCTCGCAGCTCGCTAACCATATAGCACTAAATCAGACGATCCTAACGGAGCCTAGGGTATTGACCAACCTAGCCCGCCTCTTCGGACACCTTGAAGAGGCTCTCTTCGAGGGATGGTTCATTGGAGGTGCCGATCCGGTACTCGACTTATCAGGATCCATATTAGAATATCTTCAACGCCCCGATATTGCAAAATTGAAGAGCGTTCGACTGTGTGCGCAGACCGTCGCCATCATCCGCGCTGTCGTTTTCCGGACAGTCCTTCTCAGTCTCTCATCAATTCATGACAACGACTCATTACCCTTTCTGGAAAAGTTGACCTACTGGCAGACGGTCTTACTGTCCGGTGAAGACACTCAATCGGCTAATCTGCAGTTGATTTGTTACCTTTTGTACGCCAACCTCATTTCCAACACTGATGCTGTTCGGCAAGCGGCAGCCAATTTGTGGAGGATCATACTAGTCCAAAAGCCGGATGAAGCAGCAGCGATTTTCGGGCAGACCGACACGACGGAGCAGAAAGGCCTGACTGGCGGATTTTCGAAGCTGGTTGAACTGGACAATGAAACTTTTCTCTACTGGGTCGACGAGCACCGCGATGAGCTGGATTCTTTGTTCTTTGATACCCTTTCGAGGCAGTGGAATGGGTTCGTCACTTCAGAAAACAAAAGGACTGAAGAAAACGGACGGATGAGAATAGCACGCCGGCGAGAGAAGCTCAAGCAATGGGCACGAGAAGAGGCCGACCGTGAGGATCTGATTCGTCGCCATGAGATCGCTTTCGAAAATTGGACTGCCAATATCTACTCCTCTGAATACCTCAAGCACCAGCGGTTGGTCCAAGATCAGCAGGATGATCTGGTGTACACCGAAGCCAGCTTTAATCGGATGCAGAGAGATACAAGTAAACCAGCGGGGCTGTTTGCCACGAATAAATCCAGAAAGTGGAGATTGGATCAAACCGAAGGACGGAATCGGATGCGAATGCGATTACACGAGGACTACACCTACACAGAAGACGATCAACAGCCGAAGAGGAAAGGATCTGATATGCCACAACTGCGGCTTGATACTAGAAACACCAAAATGTCCACAGCGGAATCGATAGGTGTAACACCCGGTGGCGTAACACCAGTTGTCGACACCCCGAAGCGCGTCAACAGCGGAACTGAACCATTCCCATCCCTTCAAGAAAGCACCGAACAAACAGCAGACAGTGAAACCCAAAGCGAGGCCATGGAAGGCGAGGAGAGTTTCGAATTGGTTGAAGATCCAAATACCGAAATGGATGATTTCGAGGACAAGAATCGGAAGGTGATGCGTAGCCTTCACCGCGGAGACCAGGTCAAGCACGTTGCCAACATCTCTCGTATTCTAGGACTTGAAGCGGTGGAAGGCCTCCTCATTCTGGGCAAGGACTATATTTACATCCTCGACAACTTTTTCCAGCGGGCTGATGGCGAGATCGTGAATGTTTGGCAAGCGCCACAAGAAGAGCGGGATCCGTACGTGCGAATGATCTCTGGCCGCGATGTCACGGAACGCAAAATCGTCTCCCGGAGTGACGAACATGGCACTCGAAGTTGGAAGTGGTCCGACATTATCAGCGTTTCCAAGCGGCGATTTCTTTTTCGAGATGTTGCGATCGAAATCTTCTTTGGCGATGGCAGAAGTTATTTGTTGACTGTGGTCTCGCCTCACATTCGGAACGACTTGCACAGTCTTATCAGCGCCAAAGCTCCATCACCTAACGGAGCGGGCAGTCATTCGGAGACAGCCTGGCGCTACGAGACTTTAAGAAGTGTGGACGACGAACCACAGACCCTTGGGTCCAAGTTTGCAAATGTCTTTGGTCAGCAGTCGAGCTCTCTAGCCGCAACTCGGAAATGGCAAAAGGGGGAAATGTCGAACTTCCACTATCTCATGCTAATCAACACAATGGCGGGACGAACGTACAATGACTTGACCCAGTATCCCGTGTTCCCGTGGGTCATCGCGGACTACACGAGTGACGAACTAGACCTCACAGACCCAAGAACATTTCGCGATCTTTCCAAACCAATGGGTTGTCAAACGATGGAACGCGAGAGAGAGTTCAGAGAACGATACCAAACATTCGCAGAAATGGGCGACAACAATACCCCGGCTTTCCATTACGGAACGCACTACTCCTCGGCCATGATTGTGACATCTTACCTGATTCGCCTACAACCCTTCGTCAAGTCGTATCTCCTCTTACAGGGGGGTACATTTGATCATCCAGATCGCATGTTCTTCTCAATAGAAGGGGCCTGGAAATCAGCAGCCCGAATGAACATGAGCGATGTCCGCGAGTTAACCCCTGAGTTTTATTACCTGCCGGAATTCTTAGTCAACGTCAATGACTTCGACTTCGGTACCAGGCAGACATCGCAGTCGATCGGAAATGTTGAGCTTCCACCCTGGGCCAAGGGTGACCCTCGCATATTCATTGCCAAACAGCGCGAAGCATTGGAGAGTCCCTATGTTAGCCGCAATCTCCACAAATGGATCGACCTGATATTTGGCAGTAAACAGAAAGGCGAAGCTGCTGTGGAGGCCGTGAACGTATTCCACTACCTATCATACCAAGGTGCGAAAGATCTGGACGCCATTAGCGACCCAATGGAACGGCTTGCAACAATTGGCATCATCCACAATTTCGGTCAGACCCCATATCAGGTCTTTACCAAACCGCATCCTGCGCGAGAACAGATCCGGCATCGCTACAAACGGCTTGATACTGCCGCAGAATCGTTGACTCGGATTCCATCAACACTCCTAGAAACAGGGGAAAGAGTGGCTTCACTCAGATATTCCTGGAAGTCTGATCGGCTGCTGTGCTCAGGGCCATTTAGGCTGAACATCCCTCCGGATTACGACATGTACCTTGAATGGGGGTTTTCCGACAACAGTGTCCGGTTCTACTCAACCGAGAGCAGAAAGCAGATCGGGCTCTTTGAGCATCTGCATATTGGGCAATTGTCTTGCGCGTTGTTCGCTGATTCAAAAACATTGATCACTGGTGGGACAGACTGCACCGTAGCTGTGTGGACAGTCATTGAAAGTGGGAAGACTGTGGAACTGCATCCACGGGCCACACTGTTTGGGCACCGCAGACCCGTGAGCTCTTTGGCTATATCCAAGTCGTTTAATGCCTTATTGTCAGCTTCGACAGATGGACAAGTGATGCTTTGGGATCTCAATCGCAGCGAATTCATCCGCAGGATGGATGGCGATCTGCCAGTTCAATGTGCGGCTATCAACGACGTTACGGGGAATATAGTCCTCTGTCACGGGCATGAAATCAGCATGTATACCCTTAACGGCGATCTGCTCCTGCGACAGGACTCTGGAGACCGCTCGCAGGAGAGCATCGTCTCGTGCGCATGCTACGAAGGCGCGGGCAACGAGTGGCTGGAACGAGACCTGGTCTTTACCGGCCACAAGAGGGGTCAGGTCCGTATCTGGAGCAAAGTGGTCCGTGATGGCCGCTTTGAATTGGAGCTCATTCGACAGCTCAATCATGCTGACGGCAGCCGGGATGATGGAGCGAACGTGAATGCAGGGATCAGCTGCATCCTCCCCATGCCACAAGTTGTCTACACTGGGGATGAAGACGGCCGAGTGGTGAGTTTCCTTGACTTGACATGCTGTGCAGCGGAGAGCTTTGGCTAATCATGAATGCAGTATGAATGGAACTGTGTGCAAAGGCACTAACGCAGAATATGCTTTGCGGTTGGTGCTCTGTCATGGAGGGGTGCAGGATACACCAATTATGAGTTGTTAGAAAGGCATAGCAAGGCGCAGGCTTCGGTTGGGGGTGGAAGGGCTTTTTGGATACGAGCACTGGAATATCTTGAGTTGAGTTGGCCTGTTTACTATGCGTTCCAAGCGCCTACAAAAGCCTTGTTCTGGGAAAAGTTGGATAGATCGCGTAGAGACCGATGGCACAGACCCAAAGAAGGGCATGGGAAGGAGTAGGAGAAACGTTTCAACCCATGGGAAAGAAAAAATCCCACATGCATCAGTTTGATTACAGGTGTCTTTGGAAGATGTCTCTCTTTTTGCATCTGCATCCCTGTACATGTGGCCCATGGTTGGTGGGGAAGTTTTGCGAGCTGCATGGGATGCCGAAATGCGCCAATGCAGCTAGCTCGAGTGACGGGAGCTGAGGAGCTGCAGGCAGAGGACCAAGCCGTGTCCACCCACGCGTCAACCATGTCCCTCTCTTCACGTCAACTGGCAGAAAGGTGTGAGATGTGATGCACGGGATTCCGGGGGATTTGGGTAGGGCGTTGGATGCAAGGTTTCTTTGGCTGCGTTGGGGAGGGAGGAGGGTAACACCAGGCCAATGATCAGGATACACGATGGATTGATTGTCTTTTGGGCTCGATGGAGGACGGACTTGGTGGACTGGCGGACAGGACGAGGTCAGAGCGGAGCAATGCAAGTGTGGCACACACCATCCAGAAGATCGGTGTTGGGCGTTTGTCAAGTCGTCTGCCGGGACATCCATGAACATGAGGTATCACACACACAGTCTCTCTCTTTCTTCCAAGAAGAAATTGTGTCGAGATGGAATAATATTCTCTGTGCAGTCCGCAGGCACCGTTACTCGTGGACCCAGATCGGACGGTGGAGGAGCCGAGAGACAAACTAAACTGTATTGGGATTTCGCGTTTTCGCTACCGTGACAACCGGGTCAACAAGCGTAACAAGCGTGTCGATTGTTGTGTGTCGCAGGCGCAGGCACTGACTGGACGACAGACGAGTCGCCCTTCAGCTGGGCCCAATCCTCAATCTCCACCAAACTGCTCCTTAAAAAGCCCTCTTGTTGCTGATGGTCCCAGCTCTTTCTCCTTTCCCCTTTCTCTTTCACTCCGATAAACACATCCTGTAAACATTTGGCCGTTTTTTGCTCCAAATTTTTGCAAGCATTTGTTGATCCTTTTTTTGCTCAGCGTGCATTGTTGGCTTCCTCGTTGCAAACTCTTCCTCCTCACGTCCTCGTTCCCGAGTACCAGTTTCCCCCAAAGACAGTCTTGACTCTCGACTGCCGCAAGGGAGAAGAGAGTTGAGGCGCCTTTCAGAGCTGGCAATCTGGACTTTGACGCCCGAGTCCCCATCCCAATCAGTGTCTTCCCGTCTACGTACAGGAGTGACGCTTCTGCCCAAGAAACTACCGTCACAAAGGTAGAAGGGGAAGTTCAACTACCCGGAACTTCGTCGCGCGTCGGACGGGAAGATACTCGATTTTCCAAGGAAGAGGTCGACATCTCCTACAGAGACAACCGTCCACGCCGCGATCAATATCAACGAGAGGACGTGCGAATCTCTGAGGAGCGTGATCGACGATACCCCGAGGTAGAGCTCACACGCGAGAAGTACGTGCCTGCATGTATTCCGTGCAACAATGCCCGCCCCCTCTGCTTGGATTTGTGCCTGTGCTTCTAACGCATTGATCTGCCCGGCAGTTCCGAGCCGTTGCTAACCTACCCGTCCCGATCATAGATACCGTGGGCCCGCTGACTACAAGGCCACCAACGTCGAGATCGAGGTTGACCGTCGAGGTGCCCGAGCCCCCAACGTTGACATCGAAATCGATCGCCGAGACACTCGAGATCACGTCGAGGTTGATTACGACCGCCGCCAGACCTACGACAAGTCTTTTCAATCTCAACTAGACATCACTGAGCGAGAGTACCGTCGCCGCGTCGATCCCACCTACGACGTTGAATACGAACGTCGCCGTCCCGCACAAGCCGACGTCACAGTCCAAAAACAAGAAGTCAAGGTCGATCAACCAATTAGAAGAGACATGGGCTACTACGACGACGATGGCAACTACCACAGCTTCCGCCGCGGGGTGGAGCGTGCCGCTGACCGCATCTTGCACCCCTTCTCCCACCATCATCATGAAGGTGGCCGTGAGGAGGTAGTGGTGTCGGATACAAGAGAGGCCAGCGGCCCTACCCGCGTGCGTGATGGCTCCGTTGAGCAAGTCCGCTTCGTCGAGCCTCGTTTCGGAGGCCGCGGTGTTCCCATCCAATGCCACTTCATCCGCATTGGTGACATTCTCCTCCTCCAAGGCCGTCCCTCGCAGGTCATCCGGATCAGCATGTCTTCTCAGACTGGCCAATATCGTTACCTAGGTGTCGACCTGTTCACCCGCCAATTGCACGAAGAGAGCTCTTTCATCAGCAACCCTGCTCCCTCCGTTGTCGTACAGACCATGCTTGGCCCCGTCTTCAAGCAGTACCGTGTCTTGGACATCCGCGAGGATGGCATGATCGTCTGCATGACCGAGACTGGCGATGTCAAGCAGGGACTGCCTGTCATTGACCAGGGCGGTCTGTTCAACCGCATTGACCGAGCGTTCGCCGATGGTAGAGGAAGCGTTCGCGTGTTGGTCATCAACGATGGTGGCCGGGAGTTGGTTGTGGATATGAAGATTATCCACGGGTCGAGATTGTAGAGTCGACATGGTGTTGGGAAGAGGAGGTGAAGTGAAGTGGTAGGGTTGGATACAACAAGCACCTGGGTAATATCGAAGTGGATGGGTTTGGCTACCAGGGTCATCATCTGGACTAGGTTTACCTGATATATTCATGTGCATACACTTGGACCTTGTGTACATGGCAGCAAGACAACTATACGATTCGGCAGAGGGTGGACTGTGTAGCTACCTCTGCGTACCAGCTGGGACACGTGAACAGGGTATGTAGGCTAGGTAGGAAAGGATAGGCGCAATGGGAATGCGTTGCGGTCGACGAAATGACCCCTTTGCTCTTGATCGGTGCCTGTGCCCGGTATGGCCAACCGTGCCGTCCGAGAATCGTGTGATGTTTCGTGTGATGTAAAGACGCACCAAGTATACCGAGTATGTCCTCTTCGATGGGTGGGTTCAACTCTGTCCAAGGTCACAAACAGGTTGTCAACGTCACAGTGCTGTGTCACGGTGTGAGACATGTTTCCCGTCGAAGATACAATTTCCGACTCTTATCCTACAAAAGATACCTAGGTAAGTATATGCATCGACATCTCGCAATATACATGCAAACCACTCAAACTAAACAACCAGGGCACTTGAGACCCTTGAGCAACATTTCTTACTACTAGTCAAAAGGGATATTCTTCGAAGCGGAAGCTCCATATTCGCCGAGCATTGTCGTCAAAGCCGTAACCTTTGGAACTGGTCGCGCCCATGTGCTGCACAAGGGGCGGGACAACGGCCCAGCGAATGTAGGCTCCAGCATCCGCGATCTTCTCCATCTGCATGTCGACCAGGCCTTTTGTCTCGATGCGCAACTTATCCAGGACCACTGGCACCATGTCCCGGGGGAAGACGAAGCCTTGCGAGCAGCATCCGTACTTGTTCATTTTTCGGACCCCGGGCCGCAGAGGCAGCGTGGTCTGTTTCCCCGTGAGGAAGATCAAGAGGACCATAGCCGGGATGCAGACGACGGCAATGGCGACGACCACTTCGTGGGTGAAGAATTCCAGCTGTCTCGGGAATCGTCTTCTTGCTGTCAACAGGACTGTCATGGTGGCACTCCAGACGCTGAAAGACCAGAAGAGATATATGTGCCACTGTTCGCTGTTCCAGCCCAGAAGGTCATCCGTGTAGAAGAGACGAAGATACAGCCAACGCCGTCCAGGGTGGGAGCCATCCATCTTGACCCTGACGACGGCGAGAGCATCGACCAAGCGCCTGAACCAACCTTCAACAGCCAAGGTATCGTCCTCGACCATGGCGATATAGTGAGCCCCAGTATCATAACAGTCCCTCAACAGATATCTGTAGTCGTGGATAGATTTGTTCCTGTACCACCCTCCTTCTTCCCACGCGCGCAGCTGGGCCAGCTCTGCAGTGTCGTTTGGATATTGTAGTACCCGGTCCGGTACGACATCGAGCCAGTGTTCGGCAAAGACCGGGTGTTTGGCTGGATCAGTGTGACCGATGAGGAGGTCAAAGAAGATGGCACCTCTCTCTTCCTCAGAGAGTCCTGCGAACAAGGATCCCACCGTGGTCCGCACATACTGAGTGCCCCGACGGGCTACCGTGGCGATGCCCAGGCACAGCAAAGGAGGCTCCGGATGGCTGGGCGCATGTCGCTCCGAGCGACCGATGGAGGTGATGTACTCGTCCGCCTGTTCAGCACGATGAGCCGAGTACACATGATCATACGCGCGCCTGGGATCAAAGAACACAGACGAAGAATCGCGGAAACTGATGGAGCGGGAATACAACAGCGCGAGGGCGTAAAAGATTGAGAATGCCAGAAGAACCCAGATTGTCCGGACTCCGACACGGTAACGACATAGCTTCGTCCAAGAAGAAGGCTGTCTCAAGACGAACATTTCTTATACAAAAGTATTCGCATTTCCGGGGATAGAAGCTGAAAAGCCTCTGGCAAGTTGCCATCAACCTACTATACCTACCTATGCAGGAGTAGTATTAATCCTGCTTTCCCACCAAAGCGAGCGCCTATCGTAGGCGAGGTCCATGGTGCCCTACCTACCTGTAGCCAACTTGGCCACTACTGCTAGGTGGAAGGAATGTGAGCCGGTTTCATTAGAGCCTAGTTGCTGGTAGTTGGGAACTAAACAAATAAATGAGCGCTGTGTTGGAGGAGCATTCTGCCTCTAGAGGTCTGGAAGCGCGACTCAGGGTTCAGGGCTCAGGGGCGCCGGAGACTTGCCGCTCGTTCCGTGCGGGAGCTTGACAGGCAAACGGGGCAACAGGTTATAGGGGACATGGGGGGGCCACTGGCCACTACTGTAATAGGAGGGCCAGAAAGGGCTAAAGGGGCCACCAATCCCTGGTCCCCTGGTCATAATTCTTCACGGAATCGTCCGCCGTGGCCCCTGCAACGCCCGTTGGCCCTTGGCCCGTGGTTGACGTGCCCACAAACTGGTTGGCTTGCTTAACCGAGCTGTCATTCAAAACTTCTTATTTGTACTTCGCTGATCAACCCAAGTCAACCTAACCTCGAGCAGACAGTTTGCTATTAGCACTGTACGAGATGTTATGACACGAGCAGCATGATTTTTTCCAAGAGCCTACAAGGGTCCACCTGTGCTGTATCCGCTACACAAACAAAGAAAAAGGAAAGAAAAAGAAAGAAAGATGATGGACTTGATATCAACGGCCTCAACCACCAGACCCCTGACCAATTTCCAGACGCATGTCGCAACCACTCTACCTACTCGTAGGCAGTCATGACCAAGCCCGCCCCCAGCGTCAAGCAACCCATCTTATCACTTGAAAAACAGCCTGCATACATTGAGGCGTGTGTGCCCACATGTGGTCCCCCAGTGTGTTTCAGATCAATATGCTACAAGCGCCAGCCAATGCAACCTTGACGCTGGCGAACTCCCTTCTAAACCCTGCATGGCGCCACACCCTTCGATCCTGACCAGCTCGAGGAACATCAGACTGTCTCTACAGGCCATCATGTATCACTCACTTGTCCTCCCCAGGCGCACTGAGACACTAAATCAAGCCCTGGCCAGTCCAACAGAAACGTCTCGGTGCGCTGTGTTACAAGTTCCGTCGTCTATTCGATCAGCCCAATGTGCTCCTCTGATGCCTCGTGCCTATGTCTACCTTGCCTCCTCATGCTGTACTCGGTAGACTGCGCTCTTCAGTATGTCCCTGGATCCTTTCCCACGTCATGTCGTTGCTTTCCAGACTATTTTCTCTTTTGCCTCTTCTACCCCTTCACCGTCGACGAGTTGTTCAGCACTATGCAGAGCAAAAGAAGGTGATTGTGTCGAGTTCGACCTGGAAAGCTCTGTGGCGTTGCGCTCCCCATGTTGTTCCCATTGCAATCTCCGTTGTCATTCTCACTCTGAGCTTCCACGGCACCTACATCGGCGCAGACTTCGCCTCCGAGACCATCACATTGATGAGCTTTCAAATTGCCGCCAAGATCCATGAACTCTTTATCGTTGCCAGCTTATCCGTTATTGTCTTCCACGCCATCAGACATGAGTTGCTGCATGGGTGTGGTCTCCCGCTGGGGCTGGTCGGGTCAGGCTTCAACTTTGGCAGTTTTGATTTCTTCTTCACGAAGGAGTTCCGTGGTGGATTGTTGAACGTCATGACTCCCGGCCACAGGCTCAGGAAAGCCGGGTTTGTGATCCTTCTCTGCGTGGCAGGACTCATAGCAGCCCTTGCAGGCCCTTCAAGTGCCACACTGATCGTCCCCTCGTCCCAAACCTGGCAAGCTGGCGGAACGCAATTCTATCTCAATGGCTCGCAGGCCGATTTTTGGCCCTCCGACATCTCAAGCAGTGTATCAGCAGTGCGAAGCATGTGCAATGGCTCACAATCTACTGAGCTCGCTGTATGCCCTGCTGGAGGTTACCTTTCTATCCGAGAGCATTGGAGCAGAATGAACTATACCAACTTTCAAACTTACGACGTCCCTGCTTATGCTAAGAAGCTATCTGGATCTCGGTTCTACTGGCCTGTTGGCAGTCCATCCTCTCCCATTCCGCCCCGTTATCTTTTGGGTAACGCCAGAAATGTCACTGCCTTTAGCCCTGGCACCGCTACCTTCTTCGTGCTGCCTCACGCCGCACCTTCGACACTAATGCAACGAATAGCTAACAAGTGGTGGACAGCCTTGGAGTCTCACATGAAGGTCTCTGACAGACAAGTCGATGACCGCAAAATCGGAGTCGAGGCACTCTCCGCCATCACAACCATCAGATGTGGCGAGCCCCAAAACCTCTCTGCGGGTGCAAATTCGATCCGTTTCCCAGCTATCAGCGGCCGATTTGACTACATCGAGGGGGCGAACTTGACCGTTGACAGTCTCAATGCCACCGCTGTTGGCCACATTCGCTTCCAATGGGTTCACTTACCCGACCAGTTCGGCACGGTCAGCATCGGGGCGGTGCTTGAATCGGCATGGGACGAACAATCGACTTCAAGAGTTGTTGTGGCATGTTCTGCTCAGGCCGGCTGGGTTCCGACCTCAGTGTACACCGACGAATACTCCTTTTGGACCGGCTGGTACCCGTGGAATATAGACTACGGAGCCCGGACGCCGTCGTGGGTTATTATACCGGAGGGCCAGCCGCAACCGGCCACAAATGGGCGAGTCGCGTTCAATGACGACTGGTTGAACATGCTGAATCCAGTTGCTAACGACTCAGATCCTGGCGCAGAGCCTTGGAACCCCTCCACGATGGAGAGTATCATCAGTGCCTCCGGTCTCGCTGACGACCTGTCTTCGCAGACACCGGCTGAATCATCTTTGGCGGAAACATGGGTCAACGACGGCCAGCTGGGCATTAGCAGGACTGTGCTCCTCGAATCGATCATCAGCAGTGTCATCACCGACGGACTCGCCCGAACTGGAACATACCGCGTCTTCGACGCCACCACCAAGGGATCCCCGTCAGAATGGCCGTTCTCGCTATTCGATCCACTCCCGGACTTTGACAAGCGCATCATTGCCGAGCATGATGCCCTGCGCCCCCCTCCTCCAGACTCATCGACCACCACCCTGCGAGTCAAGATGGAAATCACGGGTTTCGCCCTGAAGAAGAGCCTCGCGGGGGCCCTCTCGATGGTGGTTCTCCTGGCGCACATCGTCCTGGCGATCGGCCACATCGCGTTTGTCATGGCAAAGCGCCAATCGTCGGACAGCTGGGATTCGATTTCCGAGCTGGTGGCGCTGGCGCAGAACTCGCGCCCCGCGTACGTCGCCCTAGCCAACACGGCCGCGGGCATCAGACAGCAGCGGACGTACGGCCGGCTGGCGCGGATCCGCGCCACCTCGACCCTCCATCACCCGGACGGTGATCATGTCGAGCTGATTTTTGATGGGCCCGACAGGGAGGAGGTGGTGGATGATTTCGAAGCGTTTCGTGCGATGACTCGGGCTGAGAAACAGACGGTTCCGGCGCAAGTCAAAGACGGCGAGGACGATAACGGCAACGACAACGACCGTAACGAAGAAGAACGAGAACAAGCAATAGAGCAAGAGCAAGATGAAGTCGACGATGATGATAATGAGAATGAGAATGACAACGCTGAAAGCCAGTCTCTGACACAGCCACTAAACCAACGCCACCAAACCCAGGCAGTAGAACTAAATAACACCACCCACCTCCTGCCCGTGAGCCGACAAAAATATACCTGGCCGCATGACCGTCACCAAGGACCACTACCGCCGTGGGATCCGTCCATTCCGAACCGCATCTCCCAAGCCCCCGCCAGCCAAAGTCTCCCCCACCCACCGCCAACGACCGACCACCACCACCACCACCACCACACAGCAGGACGGGCTCGAGGGAAAGTCTGATCGCCCGACCAAGCCCTCCTCCTGGTCCAAGTCGACTGCGGCCGGCATTGGGAGAACTGGTGCGCGTGAACCAAGCGTATGGCTGAACGGTGCAAGGCTCGAGGCGCTGGGGCCTTGGACATTCTTTGTCGACCGTCATAATAATGTGTGATATATCCTCGCTCTTGCAAAAGGGAGACGAGACAGAAGAGCGTGTAGCTGGACTGGGACGGCTTCACTGCCTGTATAGTATATTTGGTTGGAACTTGTACAGTATCTGTGAAAGAAAGGGAGCAGGAACCCCAATGAATGAAATGAATAGATGTAAGCCGCCACCGGGAGATGGGTCCTTGAGAATTTTAATGGCCTTTTAGTACGCGGCTGGCATAGATGATGTCTTGCGCACTTTCGAGCCGTGTGAAGGGACTTGCAAGTGTATGTTGTGTGGCATACGCTGAGCCCGTGGCCGTTATTGTCATTGTCACTGCAATAGTCTCCCTATTTCACTCCCCCTCCCCGAAATCGTGTTCCATTTTCTTTCCCCTTTCGAAGGGTTGTTAGTGTGCTCATGGGTGTCATACGGACTGGGTGGTCGCCACAGCCGTCCTCTTGACGGGTTATCTGGTTGAATATGGAGGGGGTGGCCATCATATTATGGCGACTGGTGAGCCTCTGATCCGAGTAGCTTGGTGCAGGCATCATGGGTTTCATCGGGCGCCAGGATTGTGGTCGTGAGAGATTGGAGTGTGGTGGATCGATTGGCCTGGCGGAGGTCTCCAGACACAAGGCCCCAGCCTACTCGGCTTCCCACAGTCTCGAGGCTTTGTTGAACCGGTGCCTGAGAGCGGATATTAGAAAGACTTGAGAGCAGAATAACAGTACAAAGATGTATCATACCAGTGAAAGCGCGTTTTGGTCAGGGACCGTCTCCCATACTCCTCGGCTAGGATTTTGGCCGGATTGCGCGGCACTTTGACGCCGATGTCCTCGAAAGTGGTATCCTGCAAGGGGAATAAATCTTCGCTCTGTGACTCAACGCCGTTAGCTCCTAATCGGCCATTTCAAGTCCGAAGGGGGCAGCCGCCCCGAGGCCCCTCCCCCAACCCCCAAAACCTTCGGAGAGGGGAGGGGAGTAGTGAATATGATGGATTTTTGTACATACCCGGTATCGATGACCATCTTTGGAGAAGAGAACGCCCTGGTCAAACGGGATATGTTGCGTCTTTCCAGAGCTGACGTGGACGGCGGTGATATCGATATACTTGCCGTTTGTAGTATCGATCCAGCGGCCGTCGATCTTGTTCGCTACATCGCGCGTCGATGCGATGGTGTAATGTGGGTTGATATCCAAGAGGTAAGTTCGAGGCCTGTCCTCCCCAGCCACGGGGTACTGGTACTCGCTCATGTTATAGGCGGTAGCCAGCGCCGCCAGCGTTTCTATCGACATTTGGACGTCGATATCGTTGTCCCAGGGTAAAAACTTCTGGTTCCAGTGCCACCCCAACAAGGTGCCGTGCGCGATCCAACTCTCGGCGTGAAGCTCCTTCATCGTCGCGGCGTACGTCTTCATCAGCGCGAACAGTGCCTTCTTCGTTTCATCGATACCCGGAGCCTGCGAGGGCGCAAATCTCGGATCACAATGGCTGATGGCGCCGAAGCTGTGTGTGTGGTACTCGAAGTTGATCTCCGAGAAGTATTGGTAGGTGCCTGGCATGGGCGGCAACGGCCGCCGGGGCGTCCTCCATAGATACAGAGTGTAGATGAGGAGCATCACCACTCCCAGAGAGTAGAGCAGCGTTCTCCTGCTGCGCACGATCATGAGTGCGGATATATTGCCAGGCTTTCTCCTCATGCTTATCACAAAAAAAATTGTTGAGTGAGGATGCGTTAGTTACGCCTCCTTTGACGTTTTGATGTGGTTGAAGCAGCAAGGGGTCGATCGTTTTACACTAGACCGCAAATAACAGGAGCTGTGGCTGCTTTTACCTTTCGTCTCCCCCGGCTGTCTGAACATGCTTGGCACGTGACCAGGCTGCGATATGGGCACGAGGGGCAGCAGAGGAATTGAAAATGGTTCCAGATATGATGCCTGGGTGAAGTGTTGTCGAAGTAGTCAATTTGAAGGAATAAGTTCCGCACATACTCTGTTGCAGCAACGGTAAACCCAGTTACTCGGGGGTATGGACAAATAAGACTGTTTACCGCCGAACACGAATCGAACGAATCCTCACTACTAATTACTACGAACGAATCTCTCCTGATGAGTAAACACCAAGTCACTCGTCCCCGACTTCTTTCACTTTCAACTAAGTTTTATAAGTCCATGAACCACTGCCCAACTTCTTACCTAATTAGTTACCCAGCAGTTACCCAGTAACTGCTCTCTACCGAGGACAACCAAGACGACCAAACAATGACGAATAAATCGAGTGGCTCAGTGGGTACCTGGTGCCCGGAGTACAAGCGAGCGTGGGTCCCGGGCAGGCGGGCAAATCCCCCCCTCCCCTCCTTCCTTTTCTCGCGTGGTGGTAAGTAAGATCGTGGAGGGGGGAGGGGGACAGATTTCCAAAAGACTCGAAAATCAAATAAGAGTTTGGAAGCGGAAAGGGAAAGGGTTAGCGATGATGTGATTGAGCGACGAAGGAACGACACACTCACACACACATACGTACCTAGGTAGTATATAAACACCCGTCAAGCCGCAACACAACGACGCTTTCCCACCTCTTGACTTGGTGACCGAGGACACCCATTTTACACATAAACCTACAGATCGTCATAACACAATGGCTTCAGCAACACAGGTCAAATCTCTCAGGGAGATGCTCGGCGCTCCGGCCGCCACAGCCTCCCCAAGCGACAGCACGTTGATCATTATTGATGCGCAGAATGAGTATGTCTGAAGAGTCCATTGCTGCTACCGAAATCCCCTTCAAACACATCCTCGGCTCTTGTTCTTCTCCCTGTCTGATCCTGACTTTGGCTCAGATACGCCCAAGGCAACCTTAAGACAGTCAACGTCGACCAGACGCGAAAGGCTATTGCCTCGCTGCTGGAGAAATACCGTGCGGCTGGAGATGGGAAAAACATCGTTCACGTCGTCCACAAGACTCCAGAGGGCGCTCCGATATTCACTCCCAACACCCCTCTGGCGGAGGAATTCGACGAGTTGAAAGCCCGGCCGGGAGAAAAGGTGATCGAGAAACAAGCCATCTCCAGCTTTACCGGCACGGATTTGCATGAGTACTTGACGAGTCTAGGGGAGAGGGGGAAGAAGACGGTTCTGACGGGCTACATGGCACATGTTTGTGTGAGCACCACGGCCCGAGCAGGCAATGACCTGGGATACAACGTCGTGTTGGCCAGCGACGCCATCGGCGATCGAGATGTAAGTCTCTCATGACCGTTTGAAACCCTTTGCCGGCAAGACCAAACACGTGTCTGAGGAGGACAATGTCTTTGGTCTTGTACTCGTGCTTCGTGACATACCACCTCTTTTTTTCCACAGACCGATACAAGGTTCTAACCTTTTGATAGATTCCTGGATTTGGCGGTGCCGAGTTGACCGAAGCAACATTGAAGGAGCTAAACGATGCTTTTGGAACAGTTACCAAAAGCGCAGAGATCAAGTAGTTCAGGTATGAAGTAATAGACCGTCTCACTCGGTCTGGACTTGCTCGTACGTGTCATCGTTTCCGCGCCACCACATCACAGATCCGTGGAATGGGAAGTTTTTGAGGTCCAACTCAGGCAGGACTGCGTGCTCATAGTCCCTCTTGAACTTGCTTATTGACTCCTTGTCGCCTTGAAGCGAGTGGTCGAAAGACCTGTGCAGCCAGATCCGTGGGGCGCGGGATACAATCTGGCTCTCAACCTCTTGTTCCGCAGCCGGCGAATAGGCGAACGAATTCTGATCAAGCAGCTCGAATCCTTTCGGGTGGTCAACCTTCGTGACATCCAAGCTGGCGAGAAAAAGGACGTCGAGGTCATTGTAGTACGGTTCCTGGGCATAAGCCTGCGGCACATGGCCCTGCAGTCGTTCTATGGTCCTCACCACGGTCCGGAAAGCCGCCAGCTGGAAATACGCCGACTCGTGCCTGTCGACCCAGTGGACCGCGTCGCCGCAGAAGCTGCCCGTCCCGAACAGAGCACAGTTGGCAATGTGATAATCCCCGCCACCAGTAGTCAGGATCCTTTCTCTCAGCATCTGCTCGACGCTCCTGCATAGGTCCGTGTCTCGCCATCTCGTCTCGATCTTGGCAAACTGCGCGCGCATGCTCTCAAGCGAGGACCCCTGGGCCGCCGGCATTGGGAGCGGGAGGGATGCCCCTGCGATGACATTCAAAGTAGAGATCTCGCCCGATTCGCCCTGGGTCTGATTCTGCGGCGCGACGGTCAGAGGTGTCGAAGAGCTGGTCGTGATCCTCGTCCAGCCATCTTGGTCCACGATTTCCCTCCTCTTGTTGCTGTGGGAATTCTTTTTCTTGCGGCTCGTATGAGGCATTTTCTCTCCCCCCCGAGTTCACGTCCACGAGTCGAACCTCAAGGAGGGGTTATGGTAGGAGCAGCAGTCTAGTGAGCAGCAAGGAGGGAGCGAGGAGTGAGGGAAATCGCGTAGAGAGCGCGGGATGGAACAGCTGGAAGAATGCTGCGTACGGTACGAGGTACATTTGACTGCCTATACCGCGCAAGCATTTTTGAGGGTAATTTTTGGCCTCGCGCAAGGAATTACCTGCAGTTGCAGGATATTCTATTCATACCCAATGTATTTACTTTGAACCCCGAATTGTGTGAAATTGTCGGGGCGTGTTCCCGAAGATCAACCGGTTAGTGGTTGCCAGCATGCCCTCGAGCCCTGTAGCACTCCTCCTCCCGCTGCGGTTAGTGTTCAGACTACCTGGATATTCTCCCCTCATCTCACAACCACTGCTTGTTGCCATGATGGGACACAAAAGAACCACCATGTTCTTCCGCATTGAAATCGTGCATCACCTTCACGCAGGCCTCGGCCGACTCCAGAGGAGTCAGAGGGCCCGGCCAATCTGGAACCATCTTTCTGAGGTCCTGTATCACTGAAGGAGGCTCCTGTGTTCCCTCCCAGGTCGCGACCACGCCGGGCGACAGCGCAAAGAACAGAATACCTTCCTTCTTGTACTTTGCATTATATTTGCAGATGGCCATGTTTACCGCAGCCTTGCTGATGGTGTAAGGCGCGTCGGTGGAGATCCCCGAGTTGACGAGGTCAGGATCAGCCATTCCACTGGAGATCACGACCACTTTCTTTTGAGTTCCCTTCTTGATCAGCGGAAGGAAGACGTTGATGACGTGGATCACTCCCACGACATTGACATTGAACGAGTCAACAAGAGCTTTGTCCAGAGCTTCGGGCGAGTCTTCAAAGTCATCGAGACTTTTGCCCTGGCTTGTGCTGTCAATATAGGCCGCATTGTTGATCAGATAGTCAAGGGAACCGCCAGTGATGTGTGCCACTTTTTCTCTGGCCGCCAACAGCGACTTGAGATCGACGACTTCAGCCTGGATCATGGTAACGTTCTTGAGGCCATCTGCAGCAACCGACTTGTCTGCGGCCTCTTTGTTTCGGACAATGCCGACAATTGTATTTTCTGGATTTTTGGCCAGAAACTTCACGAACCCATACTGTAGAGAATTAGCAGAGCCTGGTTGAATGCATCTGTGGCGGACTTACACCAAGGCCACGGTTGGCGCCTGTCACGAGATAAGATGGCATTTTGCCCTTGAGGATGTTTCAGCAGCTGTGTTCTGTGGTGTCTGTTCTCGTCAGATGTGGTATTGACGAGATATTGTTGAGGTTGCTGATTGATGGTTTCCGTCAACAACGACATGGCGATTTCACTCAATATATAGACAGCTCTGTCCCTCTAAGTTTCTATCTACCTTTTCCTATTTGTAAGCCATGGTCATTTACAACATATTGTTTGCAAGCAACACGGCAATGGTCGGTGTTACACTCGTCCGGAAGCATTCAAATTGGCTTACTTGAGCCATTCTCAAGGAGAACGGCGAGAAGCGGACGAAAGGACATGGCAGGCGACGGATGGGACTGTACTGGTACTCGGAGTCCCGGATCAATGATTCGAATTCAAGGGACTATAAGAACCAGTTCTGTTGATCAAGGTGGACGTTGAACGCGAGGCTGAAGGAAGTGGTTCAGTGAGAGCATGATATAAGTTAGCCTCGCCAGAGTGGAACAAGAACATTCCAAGAACAGACCAAGAGTAGCAAAGTCGGATTTGGGGGTAAGCCTAGTGCTGACCAATTAGGTGGTAGTAAGTGTAAGGAACATTTGGCTACACAAAGTGGGTGCAAAGTGCTCAGGCCTCCAGTTACATAAGTTTGCAAAGCCGTGGTCCGAAGTAAGAGTAAGACCTAAGACAAGCTGTTTGTCCGCTCGCGAATTCCGATTGACTGGTGGCGTGCGCGTTTCCATAAGTGGCTTGACAAGGTGACTGATGATGTTACCTCTCCTGATTTGCGCAGTGCTGAGCAATTTGTGCAGCCGCCTGAGTACTGGGAGAAGGTTATCGAGATGATTATTTCTGCTCGTCTGTTGAAGGGGGGTGACAGTGAAGGTGGCGAGGTAGGCGCGGGCACAGCGGGGAAGGAAGACCAGCGCAGCGCAGGTGAAGTGACTGCAAGTGTGGATGTGGTGGAACCAACAACTGCGTCCCCCCTTTATCCTTGTCACATCTCGGCGCTTAACGCAGCTTCCGCAGTTACTTTCTAGCCAGACTCGGGCAGCATCCGTCCACCACCAACCCACCTAATCCTCCTGCTGGCCAATTGATCCCCGCACACGGACTTTCACTACCTGGTGCTCTTTCCTGCCTCGGGTCGAATCAGATGCGCCATCACAGCTGCTCTAGACCTGTCAACCCTGTTTCCTGCCTTTTCACACTCTCCGAAAAGTGCCACCCGTGCTCACAAACCACTCACAGCTCGCCATGCAGACAACTCTCATATCCCGAGTGCCCAGAATGCCCAGTCACGGCGTTTCCAAGCTTCATCTCTGGGCGGTTGACCGTCTGGCCTAATCATGCCCTGCAGTACCCCATCCCCTCCCAGCGACAGGGGATCAGACCTAAATAACAACCCAATGCGCTCGTTATCATGGCCTCTCGACGGACTTCCATCTCGACAAAGCTCCCCACCTGCGACCTTGTTGGCCCTAACCTTTGAAGTTTTCCCTCGACCACATCGGCCACCAAGTTAGCAACTCGTGAAGACCACTTGACTGTGACATCTTCGTCTTGACAACGTTCATATTGCAGTTCGAGGAAGGCCGCCGACATCAATAGAGAGGTCTCGTTGTTGTCAGGATGCCTTGCAGAACGGCTCTTACTCTCCTCTCGCTTGTCAGCCTAATCTCTGCGCACACAGTCATTACATATCCTGGCTGGAGGGGAGACAATTTGGTATCGAATGGCACGACGGTAGAGACAAATGGTCTTGGACAATATGCGATTGGAGACTCCGTGGAACAGCAGGATTACCTTTATCCCTATGGAATGCAGTGGATGTATCCATGTATGTGTTGCCCGTCAAATTTTCGACCGCATTCCCGAGAGTCACTGACCTGACTGATTTTTGCAGGCGGCGGTATGCCAACTTCTCAAAATCGCACCAAATGGCCAGTAAAAGGCGGCGCGGTCGCGTTTCAGCCTGGCTGGTTCCAAGGCCACGGAACAGCCTTCATTTACATCAACCTTGGTCTGGGGACAACCCCTCAAAATATGTCCAACGTTATGCTAAGCGGGGTTCAAATCATCGGCCCCAGCAAAGATCCATATCCAGGAAGTTTCTGCTTCCCCCAGGTTCCTCTCCCAGCCAACATCACAGTCAACGTTGGAGATAATGCAACTATCCAGCTCATCGAGACTGCAGTCCATGGTGCCGCGCTGTATAACTGTGTCGACATTACCTTTGCTGACCCCGAGGACGTCCCGGAAGTTAATGCCAGCAACTGCTTCAACTCGAGTCAGATTACGAGCGACCTGATCTTCACGACTTCCGCACTGGCATCTGACTCGATAGAGTTGTCAAGCAACCGGTTCGGGTATTTGAGCACTGCGCTCGCCGTGGCACTTGGTCTGCTACTGCTATGACCATGATGAGAAAGTTGTGTAAAACGATAAATTGGATATGACGAATAGGCTCGGGTGGGACTGACCAAAGGGCTTCCGGCCTTGACAGGACCGACCCAGAGCGAGACAAAAATCTCCTATCCACCCACCTATGTTCTACAGCATTGGAGTTGGGATTGAAGGTCGATACCGCCAGTCACTCAGATCACGACCTTGGCTCGGAGGAAGATGCCACCCAAGACTGCGACAACAGATGAGTGAAGCGATGCCATTTCCTACACCTTAGCGCACCCAGAAGGCGGAATTTCCCTGGATTGGTCTGTTTGGTCACAGCGGGACACCATTGCATAGAAGTTGCGGGAGTTTTTTTGGTTTCCTCTTGGCCCACGACGCAATGAAACCATACGCCGCTTCGCTTCCATTTCGACGCGTCGAGTTCTTGTGGATGAACACTTGAAGCATGTATTTGTCATGTCTAGCCATGTCGAAAAGAAGGAGGGGCCAGACAACGGTCGTGTCTGGAGCTATAAGGCCTCCTGTCTGCCTGGTGTTGGGGAAAGGAACGCGCCTCTGTCGAGATCGACGCATTGCACAAAGCAAGCAATTCGAAGTCTCTTTAATGACCCTGTAGAGTTACTTCTCAATTTCAGCTCATGATTTGATGAAGCCAATACCAATGAAATCTAGCGTGTAACCACCACATATAAGTGCAGGATTACTCTGGCCATATCCCTTGCTCAATGCCGTGGGCGACCATACCTGGGTTTTCCCGTTGTTGACTGAATTCTTCCATGTTGTCTACTTTCACTCCAACAACCAACCATTCCATGAATGACAGTTTTTGTCATCCCCGCCATGATCCTTGTTTTCCGAAAGCGACATCAAACTCCCCCAAGACATCCATACTGTCGTCAGTCGCACACGTCGTGCTTGATCTGCGTTAATAATTGATAGCTTTCGAGAATCCGGAATGCTCAGTTTACTGCGCTCTATGGCAATGCTCGGCTTCAAGTTGAATCTCAACTGGTCATTCTTTGACTTTCCCATCACTTCTGGGACATATGATATTTGGCCTCACTTGCTTGAACATCGTCTCCCAGTTGACCACCACGAATCTCGGCGGGCAACGGCGCGTTCTCGTGTGCCGCCGACTCGGCTTGTAATTCTTGCAAGAATCCCGTTCTGCCATCGCTTATGGCCATAGCAGCTTCCTCCTGGTTTGGGATAACTTGAGAGCTTCTCTGAGGTCCATAATGAGCCCTCAAAGATGGAGGCGTGTCGACCCATAGGAGTTCGCGGCGCTGCTGGCCAGGCGATGATTGTGAGGTGAGCAAATTTAGACGTTCGTCGTCAGCAACAAATCCGCCCTTAGCAAAGTCTTTCCAGCCTTTCCGGAGCTCAGATTGCGTGACTGGAGACAGAGAGTCCGACTGAGTATTCTTCTGGGATGCCGAACTCCAACCTGTTCCTCGTTGGCCATCGACCTTTGGCGGTTCTGGCCGCGTTGGAAGCGATGCATCGATGCGATAGCCTAACGTTGAGATATGTGGTGGACCAACCCCAGTTCTAGCCTCGAGAGGGATATCCTGCGGAGGTAAGCGGGTAAGCGTCTGATCAATGACCGTTGCACCCGGTACCTCCTTATCTCTGTGGCCTCTTTCGACAGTTTGCGCCGGCAACGCTTCAACAGTCCCACTCGTCGTTGCTTCAGCTTGCCTGACCTTGGTAAATTCATCACAAGGGCAAAAACATATTTGAGAGCATCGGCCACCACACCTATGACCACACATGAGCGTCTCGCGACAGTCGAGCGTGCATTGGACGCCGTCAAGTGGGTGTTGATGGCAGAGACTAGGGCAACAGTGACCACAGGGCAGGGTCGTGTCGCAGGGTAGCATGCAGCCACCTCCGTTGTTTTCCCAGTCTCCTGGATATCCAATAAGAGTAGTCCTGCCATGGGGTTGACACTGTATTGGAAGCACACCCCCGAGTCGCCTGGGATTTGCTTCGAGTAAAGTCAGGACGGTGTGCCACAAGTCACTTCCATTCATGAGGATTCTGGCGTTTCCAAAGAGATAGAAGCCGTATTTCGCCCGGGAGAGAGCTACACAGGTTCTGTTTTCATTGGACAAGAACCCGATCTTGCCTTCCTCATTGTTTCGGGCTAAAGACAGAATGACGATATCGTTTTCCTCTCCCTGGTCTAAGGCAAGGTTAGAGTTGAGTTGCCAGAGAAATCAGTCAATGGGGTGGACAAGGTTGACGGAGTGCTAGGACAGGCCACAAGTGCACAACCCTAGGCTCCCACCAAGAATCCAAATGCAAAACAAAGGCGGTAAGAGACCATCACTTACATGAATCCACTGTTTTCACATTCAACTTGCAAGCATTCCGAAATTCAGGGAATGCTTTCAGCTCAGCGACTATGCGTTTGCGCTGTCCGTTGTAAAAGGTCAGTACCGTGATCCGCGAAGGGCTGATGCCGTTCCTGAAAAGGTAGAGGTAGAAGCCAGCGATGAATTTGGCCTCTTCAGAGTTATACGTTGAGAGGGACTCGTCTTTCGCCTCCCACCATTCGTGGTCGAAGAAGAATGATTTGATCTTGCCCATACCCCACGACTGGACTGGCCGGTCGATGACACTGGGGTGATCCTTCAGATGTGGGTAGAGAACGGAGATGAGTCGACTAATTTCGGGTATCATTCGTCGCTGCTGGAGCAACATTTTGAATGCCATGTTGTTCCGCACAAGTCTTTCAAACAGTGACACATTCAGATGGAAAGGGGTGCCTTCTAGTTCTCTGACGCTGCAATGGCCCTGAAGCTGTTGATGATCTCCAATCAGGATGAGATGCTCGAGGCTTTCCACACATGCGACCGTGACAGGAGCCTCCAGCACCTCAGCCGCTTCTTCGATGAGGATGATCTTTGGTTTGAGAGCTGCCACGAGAGGTCTGTATTTGCTCAATCCAGTAGTTGTCATACCGATGATGGCAGATCGCTGGAGATAAACGATATCTTGTTCCCATTTGCCAATGAGGTAGTCTTTGGCGAGCTGATTGTAGTTCTCGGCTGCCTCCCGAAATTTGGCTGTGATTGCATCCTTGGCTCGTGACTGAATAACGTGGTAAACAGGACCACGCCAGTAATGACCGATTTTCCACAAATCTGAAACAGTATCCAGCAACTTTGTCGCTCTAGCAAGATCGGCTGATGAAGGAGGCTGAACAGTAAATCTGTCGCGGAGTTCTTTCCACGGACCTCTGAGCATCTCAATGTCTTCCTCATCATTCACTCCTGTAGAGTCCTCGTTTTCTCTGAGCTGCTCGAATTCGAGATCGTTATCTTCAACTTCCTCGAAGCCGTAGTTTTCTGCTGTATAGTCGACCTCGAATGGTACAAGCGCTTTATCCAACCATAACTGTAAGGGACCTTCTGCTGCGGTGGTTGCCGAGACCCATTGGGATGCACCATCTTCAAGTGATCGAGCTTGTTGAGCACTGATAGCTCCTAGCTTTTCGAGAACCTGAGGTCCAGACACCTGATCCGTGGACCACGGGTCCGGCCCTGACATGGCAAAAGGTTCCAAGATCTGAGTCATGGTATTGATTTGTTTGGTCAGGAGGCTGCTGGCTTTTCCCAACGATCCACCTGGAACTGGCCTCAGTCGTTCCGCTTTCTGAAGTGCAAATAACGCCCGCTTCTGGACCTCGGGATTGGTAGAGCGGCCTCCCAACCGAACATAATTGGGCTCGAAGACAGAGATATGCTGCAGCAGCTGATCAAGAGCGTGGTTTGTCTGAGCAGCAATAACTATAGGCGGATCCGATGCCGTCTTCCGATTCGCATGTAGAATTTCAAGGGCTTTTCTCGAGACATATGTCTTTCCTGTCCCGGGGGGGCCCTGAACAATAGCTAGTCGTTTAGTAAGAATCTCTTTCAGAGCCTCCCACTGCGTGTCGTCCAGCGAGTCTGCGGGAGTCGGAGGCCAGTCTTTGGTTACATCGATTTTGGAGTATTCTTGCTTCTGTGCAGGGCCCGCTACTACGCTCAAGTCGAGAACAGGGTTCTCGTGAATGTAGGCAGGAGGTTGGGTAGAGGGGGAGAGATGACAGATATGATCACTCATGGGGAATCTAGGGCATATTAGCACAGACAAGCTAATATTGCTTCCAAAGCACGTACGTCTCCGAGCTAAGCTTTTGTAACGCTTTCAATGTGTGACGGTAAGCCTCAAAGTAGCCTTGCTTTGCTTCAATCATGAGCCACTCTTTCTGGGGGTCGAGCTGAATTTCTTCAGGCCGGGCAAAGTAAATGTCAATCTCCGGGGGTTCACACAACAACCCAGCCAGCGGCCTTGCTGCGATGACAGCCACAACCATGTCGTTCAGATCGATGGTCTTGGTTTTAGCTGGTATGAGTGCGACGATACTGCCACTGACCAGTCTTTTACTGTTAGCCCATTTGATACGTCTCCCTGCTCGACGCGTGGTGAATTTGATCCTGGCAGCAACTCCTCGACGTGCAAAAGTAAAACCAACAATGTGGACCTGATCGTACACTGAGAACTTCATAGTGTCGCTGGTGGTGGGATCCCGAAGGAATTCCTGGATGGCGTCACGGAGGCAGCCGACGGAATCCTCCCGGAGTAGTGCATGGTGAGTTTTCAGGTATCTGTCCTTGCTCTTGTAGGGGCCCTCAATCTTGTTTGCAAGGAGGGTAGCTCCTTCGACAGCCAGCTCCTGCTTTGTCGGGACTTCATCTTGAGAGAGCCAGGCATCTTTGTCAGAGGTAGATTGGATCTGTGCTTGCTTTGTGTGATAGTCGCGGATGTCCAAACAGAGGGTAGGGCCAGGTTCGTCATTGAGGGTGTTATCCCGGGCACTGCGAATATTGGAGCGGTGACGAACACTTTTGAAGCGCTCGGACAGCTCTGTGTTCATTTCTGAAGAGTTGTCAGTAGTTTTTATCTCGATAAAGGTAGACTGATTAAAGGCTAGGTTCCGTGCAGAGTCAAAGTAAAGGACTTTGTGGTGCTGGGCGGTGATTATAATATCGAACTCACCGCCAGTCTCAAGTGATTCAAAAGAATTGTTGCTCTCTGTTCCAGCAGGATGTTAGTCCTTCATCAAGATAAGAGGTGTAAACAAACAGAAGCCGTAGTTGGGGGTTGATCATACCTACAGCGCTCCTCCCCAAGGCGGGATTCCCTCGCCCACGTCCTCGGTGGACCGATCGCCGTCCTGACATGACGGTCTGGATACTGCAGATGAGGCTGAAAGGTGACAGGACAAGTGTCTGGTGGATCACATGAATAGCTGGCGGTAGAACGAGGCGGCCGGTGGACAGTGGCGAAGACACAGATCCAGAGGCAGGCGTGCAATGAAAAAGACTTGTGTTAACAAGTTGTGCAGGCAGGCTTGGAGTCAGCTCAATTCGCAGGCAAGAGGCAGTCTAAGACCTGTTCAGCATTTGGAAGTTCCACAGTACGCGACACTTTGACATAGAGGTTTCATGCTAGTGGTTGGAAGAAGGCACCAACCCAGACGTCTAATCGGCCAACTGTGTCCAGTAGCTGTCAGGAGAGAAGCTTGCGTCGTGATCTAAAAGGACCTCGTCTATGACAACAAAATAACTGAAATAGGCATACAATCTGTCAGGCGCAGAGCAATAAGGATCAAAGTTACACAAGCATCGGGCTGAGGCTGGACGCCAAAAGGAGTCTTAGCACTACTGTAGTACCTGCGTGGGATGCCTGCATACTCAGCCCGAAAACCTGGCAATGGTCCAGATCATTGACAGACAACCATCGAGACATGATATTATTGAACGACAAGAGCCCCAAGGTAAGGAAGGACAAGGCAGACAGAGCAAGTCATTTCAATGTCGGCTATTTTGCTTGCTTCAGGATATGCCGGATCGGATAATATTATATTCCGAAGACGCTAAGCCTTGGATGGAATGGTGGGAATCGTTACTTTTGATCCAGTCGCTGTCTGGGATTCATTCTCACAACCACCGATTTCAAGATCGGTTCTTTTCGATCTATATATACACTTTGACTGTTGTCATTTGAGATACTCAGCATCGTCTAGCTGCTGCACGCTCCCATATCCAGACTATGAGCCAGCATAATGCCCACATTCGACGAGGATGATGACCGATCACAGGACGGAAGTTTCGACAACGACAACGACAACGATGAGACCATGCAAGATCTGGATGATGCGGATGGAGATGCCGAGGGTGACGGCGACGGCGACGGCGATCAAGATGTGGACGGCGATGGGGACGGGGATGGAGAACTAGATGGTGACGGCGACGGTGACGCTGAAGCGGAGGCCGAGGGCGATGGTGATGGTGATGACGACGAAGATGCGGAAAGCCAGTCTGAACAATCCGACAACGAGGACGCCTCTGGCGAGCAGAATGCAACACAAGAGGACACTCAACAACCTTCGTCCACACAGGCTGACTCTTCCCGAGGAGCTGCAACAGCCTCAAATATCTCCCCCGAATATCTCGAGGCCTTGACCTATGATATTGTCCCAACCATCGCCGCTCCTCACAGCACATCTATCAACGCCGTCACCACTACTGCAGATATGCGATGGGTGTTCACTGGGGGCTCCGATGGTTATATCCGCAAATTCAACTGGGTTGATTCGGTCAACTTCAAGCTTGCTCTTACGGTAGCTCAACGGCATCCCTTTGTCGACAGTGTGGTAAAAGCTGGGGTCCTGATGACATACTGGGAGAACTGGGACGCTCGCCCAACAACCACCCGCACCTTGTCGCCGGTATACTCCCTTGCTTGCCATAGTCAAGCACTATGGCTCCTATCCGGTACTGCATCAGGTCCCATTAGGTTACAATCGATCAGACACGACGAAGGCAGAGAGATCACGTTGCTGCAGAAACACACGTCCGCTGTCTCAGTCCTGACACTCTCCTCGGACGAAAAAAGTGTACTATCCGGGAGTTGGGATAAAACAGTCTTGGATTGGGACCTAAACACGGGCCAGGTGCGGACCACATTCGCTGCTAGTGCCAGTCAGATATCTTCCATTGAATCTCGTCCGCTGTCGTCGGTACCTGTCCCAGCCGAATCAGGAGAAGTCATTGTCGCTAATGGCACATTCTCCTCCAACGATAGTAAACCCCTTGCCAACGGTGTCAAAAACGAGCCAGCCGGTGTTGATTCTCAAGAACATCCCACAGTTGCGACTCCAGATTCTCTGTTCGGGGATGACGATGATGACCTCTTTGGAGGCGGGGCTGGTGGAGTCATGGGCAATGGTAGTGACCTCAGCGGTGCCTTCGGCGAAGAGGATGATGAAATGGCGCGTGCAATTGCAAATGGTCCACAACCCGAAGAACTCGTTGACCATCCAATGTTGGACTCCGTGGATCCAGCTGCTCAAGAAGTCCTAGCTCCTACCCAAGAGGACTCGAATCTCTCACCAACTGCACCAGAACCCACGCCGCAAGTCCCTAATGGCGCCCTCGATACCGCTGAGCAGCCGGTTATCAATGGCTTGCCACATGCCGAAGATCTTGAAAAGCAGGATGATAACGAGAACGACAACCAGGAGAGTGAGGTCCCGAATACATCTGACTCTACTTTCCTCGCGACGTCTATTGATGGGGCAATCCGCGTCTGGGATCGAAGACAACCCAAACCCGTTGCGCGTATTCTGCCACGGAACACACCTCCTTGGTGTCTGAGCGCGTGTTGGTCTCCTGACGGCAACTTCATATACGCAGGACGGCGCAACAACACTGTCGAGGAGTACGACCTACGGAAAGGGCTCAAAGGACCCGAACGAGTTTTTCGATTTCCAAATGGAAGTGGTGCCGTCACATCAGTCAAGGCTATGCCTAATGGTCGCCACCTAATATGCGCTTCGTATGATATATTAAGATTATATGATCTCAAGGAGTCACAATCCCAACGATCAACCGTCCCGTTCTTGATCGTGCCTGGTCATCGAACTGGGGTCGTGTCACACCTGTACCTTGATCCAGCTTGTCGATTCATGCTGTCTGCTGGAGGCAACCGGGGCTGGGAAGGGGCTTCGACCGAGGTCCTTCTGGGCTATGAGATAGCTCCTGGTCGATGAGCACTGCCAGGCCATGTTTTGTTCGACAAGTTCCAACCGAAGCCTAGGGCAGGCCTTCCCCTCTTTTGTCGACTCGAAGAAAGGAATGGGGGCCACAGATAAAGGAATGTCTTTGGGAGAAAAAGCCACTTCAGTGCTTTCAATTGTCGACAAAGACCGAGCCGCCCATTGAAGGAGACTGCCAACGGTGACCAGGGGAGTAAGCAGTGGAGTGTCTACGCTGTGCAGTATCCTCTAGTGTCCTGCGCAAAGGCAGTGAGTGCGCCTGATCTGTCTTAAAATGTGTTCAACCGTCGCTCGTCTGTCTGCCGAGCCTCACTATTCACACGCTGAGCACCATCTCTTTGTGATTTTTCACAGATAATCCACAACACCACAGACCGTCCCACATTCTACACAACTCATTCTTCCCCTGAACCATGCCTACCACGCAAGGCTTCGAATTCCTTGTTGAAGGTGTCGACGGTGTGCCATTTGCCACATACGGGACCAGATCTTTGGGTCGAAGCATCGTTTCCACCAAAATCCAAGCCAAAACCGGTGTGAGCTTTCAAATTCGGGTCAAACCGCAAATCCCCTTCCCCACACCAAACGATGCACCCCTTGGCCAGAGCAGGTATAATCTGAGACCCTCGACACGAAGAGCTGAGTTGACGAACGGCAGGAACGTGGGCAACCTCGAGTCACCAAGCGCCTCGGCAGGTCCAAAAGCTTCATTCCTCTATGTCGCTTTCGTGTATATAGACGGCAACAAGAAGGCCGAGTGCTCGAACGTTGTCGTGGTGAATCCTGAGAGCCGCAAATACAGTGAAAAGGGTAGCTTGCTTCCAGGACGATATTCTCTGCTTGACGATACTGCAACTCAGAATAGGTCGGACCAAGGCGAGCGGGCACATATGTCGATCTGTCCATGGGTTTTTACAGAGAGGGGGATCGATGTTCTTATGAGCCGCATGGACATCTCAACAGCAGACCCTGACATCCCAGCCACGGCCATGGAGCAAGAATTGGTGGACCTCACACACGCAATGGACAAGGATAAACTAGGAGAAGCCGACCAATTCAAGCGAGGAGAGATCGAGGTTAAGATCATCAGAGTCGTGGAAGATTACGTAGCGGGCTCCGAGCTGTACTGGAAGAGAGGAAACCAGGAGACTCCTAAAGGTGACGACGGTCAAACACACGATGTCACGGTCGATCGGGGGCAAGAGCAACAAATCCACATGCACACCGTCAAATACCGTCGGTACCGACGTGACGAGGCGTTTTGGTGCAAAGCCGTCTTCCAGTACATGGACATCGCCAAGCTCGTGAACCTCGGATTATGCAACCCACACGGCGGACTGGTCGAGCGTTCCCAAGGAAATACCATCGGCAGCTCCCTGCAATCATTGTCCAGTCTTCATCATCAACCAATGCCTGGCCAATTGAAGCGTACGAGGGGTGGCGGGCAAGAGTCGGGCAAGCATGGCGAGTCTGAGCTTGACAGGTCCTCGTCAAGCGAAGACTCGGCCTCAACCACAACCAGCGACTCTGACGTGCCTCATCGAAAGCGTCGTGGACCAATAAGAAGACGCGGAGCTAAGGCATCGAACAAGAAGATGACAATGGGGGAGACTCGTCGAGGGACAGCACGCGCATCAGCAGGCATTCAAGAGCCAGGAGTTGGAGCGGCCAACAGACAATTGCAGCTTGAGAAGGCAGCTGGGGGGCAGGACTAAGATGTGATAGCTCGAGGCTCGCAATAAGGACATGCGGCTGGAACAAGATGTCTGCTCAACACGGACCATTTGCTTGTGCCCCCCGTGGCATTCAAGGTTATTTATTGTCCGAAGTGGAGCACGGGGCTTGAACAATTTCACATCTTGATTGGACAAGCAGGAGCTGCACTTGTAGCTTATTGAGGCGGAGTCTTGGATGGTTCACAAGGCAACCGATTCCACCCCATGTCCGCAGTTTGGCTCTCCCCCCTTCAACAGATCAATGCACATGATTTCAATCAATGACAATAATGCTCGACTTCACTGTAGTTCTATTCTTCTCGACGCACCTTCGCTGTTTGCCCATACGTTTGTTTCGACCACTGCAACCCCCGATTCCCGCATGATTGGCAGCGGTTCAGACCCCGGTTGACACTAACTGGTCATTGTTTCAGCTGAGCCGTCCCCGTATTCTGTTTGGCTGCGCCCGCCCCCATCACCAGTGACCGCTGCGAAGTAACACAGACTGCGGGCAGACCGCTGCGCCCGTCTTCAGGCAGGCTCAGCAACTTGATTTACTCTAGTATAGGTGGCTCAAAGGTGCATCTGTTGCCAATTTTGAACCGCTTCTCCATCACCAGACATCCCTCAACCGTTCGTGCTCGGCGGTCGACACAAGCGCTGCATTGATTCTTACCACGGACCACCTGTACCGCTTGCGGTGTCACCATACACAGAGGACCCTCTTTTTTCTACATCTCTCGGGAAGTTGCAGTGAGCGAGAATGTCGGGTGGCGGAAGGAACTTCTCCTTCGAGCCCGAAGATGACAACACTTTGAATCCGCATGGACGGGAGCCTCAGACCCAGGCACTGGAACAACCACACCTGTCTTACCAACCCTACCAGCAGCCGCCATATCATGAGACCCCACCAAGGGATTTGATCTCTCCTCCTCCCAGATACGCCTCTGCCTCCCCAAGTCGCAATCAACAGCACTCTCCTCCCCAATCCCCCCGCCGACGCGCTGTCCCTCAAGACACACATCTCCTTGCCGATACCTCGCCTCCCAGAGCGCTGTCACGACGATCAGCACCTACAGACTACGACGACCACGGCCCTCCCCCTCCTCCGCCTCACAGGTCTAGTCCGAACAAACTCTCAAGAGACGATTCACAAAGCCACAATCCCTACTCGAACGTGAACGCAGGAATGGACCACCCGGGAAATAGGGGGGTAGGAGGGGGATTTGACCCTGTTGCGCAGGGCACCGCGGATCGATATCCTTACGAGACTGGTATTGACGGTGCTCGCTCATTTCCTCAGTCCTACTCTCCATACCAACAACCACAGCCCTCGTCACGGCTTCCCGAGCGAGCCTCATATGGTTCGACATTCGCTCTTGCTCATGGTGCCGCAACCCCAGGCACCATCACTCCTTCTCCTTCTCCCGGACCCAGATCCTCTGCCTACTCCGGAAGGAGTATTCCCTTGGAAGAGTATCACCCCAGTTCCCAAACACCACAATCGTACCCAAGCTACCACGATCTCCCCTACCAGACAAATAACCCCGGCAGCTTCATAAACCAAGCCAACATCAATCCGAACAACATTCTTGACGATGGTGATGACGGAATGCCACCAGTTGGAAACCACCGAAACATTGGAAAAGGCGCTGGCCCCGCTGCAGCCGCCGCAGGAACCGCTGGCTTCCTAGGAGGTCTGTTTGGCCGCAAATCAAAGAACCACACTCCCAGCGGGACTTATGATGCTGTGGGTGCGGCTTCCAAAACCGAGCGAAGTGAATGGTTGGCAGAGCAGACCAGAGGGAAAAGAAAGATGAAGTTATGGGTGGGTGTTGCCATTGGCCTTTTTATCGTCATCGCCATTGTCGCAGGCATTCTGGGTGGCGTCCTGGGTTCAAAAAGCTCAAGCAGTTCCGGCTCGTCCAGTGGCGACACTAATAATGCAGCCTCAGACACCGATGCGAATGGGGACCTTGACAAGAATTCGGCCGAAATCAAGGCTCTCATGAACAACCCGGACCTCCACAAGGTCTTCCCAGGAATGGATTACACCCCTTGGGGTACACAGTATCCTTTATGCTTCACGTACCCACCCTCCCAGAACAATGTCACACGTGACATAGCCGTCTTGTCACAGCTCACCAATGTGGTCCGACTCTATGGTACTGACTGCAATCAAACCGAGATGGTGCTTCATGCCATTGATCGTCTTGAACTCAGCGACATGAAACTCTGGATGGGCGTCTGGATTGACACCAATCAGACAACCACAGATCGCCAATTGGATCAGATGTACAAGATTCTGGCAGACACAAAAGACCACTCGGTCTTCAAGGGTGTCATTGTCGGTAACGAAGCTCTCTATCGTGCAGGTGAAGACAAGGCACAGTCGGAGCAGGAACTGATCAACGTGCTGGACGGCGTCAGGACCAAGTTCAAGTCCCTCGGCTACGATCTCCCCATTGCTACATCAGATCTAGGAGACAATTGGAACGCTCAGCTTGTGCAGGCCGTGGATTATGTCATGTCGAATATCCATCCCTTTTTCGCCGGTGTCACGGCAGAAGTCGCCGCCAGTTGGACATGGGATTTTTGGCAGTCTCACGATGTCATCTTGACTGAGGGAATGCCCAACGTCAAACAACTCATCAGTGAGACAGGCTGGCCCAGCGGAGGTGGTAAAGATTGTGGAGGCACGGACGGATCCTGTACGGCAGGGCAGAGTGGATCTGTTGCTGGCGTTGATGGCATGAACACCTTTATGGACAATTGGGTGTGTCAAGCATTAGCAAACGGCACCGACTACTTTTGGTAAGTCGCGTCCCCTCTGGATCGCAGTGACGGTTATAGACTGACATCAGTACGACAGGTTTGAGGCATTTGATGAACCATGGAAGGTCATCTATAACACTGCCAGCCAACAGTGGGAAGACAAGTGGGGTCTCATGGACCCAGGGCGGAACCTGAAGCCAGGCCTGAAGATCCCCGACTGCGACGGCAAGACGGTTGGATCTTGATCAAACTTGGGCTGCGGCCGATTGAATCTGGGAATCGACCTAAGCCATATCGCCTCACGAACACGCCTCGTTCCTGACGCGAGTTGGACACGGTTTATTGCATGATATCAGTGTTGCAGCGTTTTCGGCATTTTCGTTAGAAGGACATTTTTGTGTGTACAGTCGGCAGCGACGTTGCTAGACGCCCTCCATGCTGGTGATCATGGGTAAGAGACTGAGCAACACGGCCAGCGGGTACGGGTAAATGGAATATGCGGACAGTATACGAGCTTGAAGGAAGTCATGTCTACGTCTTTGGATGCAAGGGGAAAAGTCACTAGGGTCAAGGGGCGGCATGTACATTACTTCGTGGCAATTGTTTTATGGAGTCATGGTGGCACGATGTATATAATCGTTTGTATATAAAAGTAGAAACCCGACCGATATGGGAGGAGCTCCCGAGGGGTATGTGTCGAGGGCCGGAGAGATACTGTACAATAGTACTGTATCTTTATCAGGGCTACTCTGTTGACCTCAACATTTCTGGGCCCAACCCATCTGAACATCCCACTTGAACATGCGATGCATGCACAAGAAGTACTTTGTACACACGTGCACAACGCCTATCCCGTCCGTAGACACACTGGTCCTCAGAACAGTACAGCACATCCCTGTCCAGTATCTAGATCGTACCTCGTACCTCGTTCATCACACCTCGTCGCACACGATAGATCAATGTCAGGGACAAGGGACAGGGGACAAGGATAGGACAAGAGAGGGAGAGAGGGGGAGATATGCGAGAGGAAGAAGGGGGCAAAGGGGAGAAGAAGAAAAAATACGATAAACACGCGTGTCTGTCAGACAGAAACAAAAGACACTTTGGCGCAAAAAACCGCTGAGGGAAGAAACAGAGATAGAAGAATATCCATTCATTCTCTCCTTGAGATTCGGTGTCCTCATCCTCATTCCTCGCCTGGCCGGTCCATCGAAATTTCCTGCCAAAGAAAAACAAATAAAGATCCGTGATTGACGGAAGTTCCTCCTCCTATTTTGAAGTGGTCGGTGCTGACCCTTCCCATTCCATTCCATCCCATCCGTCCCCCGCAATCGCTGTGCTGTGCTGTGCATCGCATTGCCTTATCCATCCTGCCCATTTGAAGCTCCATTTACAGCCATTTTCGCTATTCGCTTCTCCCTGTTCCTTTATATATACCATATCCCAAATGTCCAACTCGGGTTCCATTGCCATTCTCATTCCCAAAATTTCCATACTTCGGGGCCATACCAGGCCCGAATGCTCAAATCCAATGAATCCGCCCAGGTGAATATAAAAGTGATCAAGACAACAAAGAAAGAAAAGGTATCGTGAAAGCATCAAAGTGAACAAAGGCAGCCTCTGCCTCTTCAAAGTCCTTGTCCCGCAGCCGTTGACCCTGTGAATTGAACAATGCACCAGTCGATCCGTTGATGGCCAGTCGTGTTTGTGGATGGATGCGCGCTTCTTGCCCTGGCAGAACCAACTTGGAGGTCCAAGAAACAAAAGAGAAAATCGGCCGTCTCTGTAAAATCGTTCCAAATCCCGTTTCCCAATTCCAGCCACAGTACATTCCCAACCATAATGCATAGCTGGAAGGGGTGACGCGGCAAGACGCACTCGCCATTGAAGCCATTGCTTGGTTGAGTAGACTCCCCCGCAATAAAACAAGCACCAAATCAACATCCGCCTGCTACCAACAACGTACCAGAACAGCGGCAAATCGCACCAGGGTATCCATAATGTGTTTTATTTCCCTCCCAAAACGAAAGGTTCCCATATAATGAGCCGTCAAAGCAAAGTAGGGCATATAAGGAGGAATGTTGCAGATGTCCTCCATTGATCAAATTTCAACTGTGACGTGCAAAGGTCGTAGGTCGCGATACTCTCGAAACAAAAGGCGGCAAATCGAAAAGCGGGGGAGAGACGGCTGAGAATTAGATGGACCGCAAACTCAGGTATCGTGT